GACTACTAATGTTTCTAAGGCTGCTAATAATTCATAACAAGATGACGCTCATGGGTGTAATGTGGGTAATTCACCCCACTAGGAGGAGGAGGAGGAGGAGGAGGAGATGTCCTTGACAGACCACCAACGAAGTGGTAGGCTGATCACGTACTACCTCTACACAAGAACGTCTCTTGCTTGTCGAGACGCCGCCAAGACGACAAGAAGAAAGGGAGTGGATGAGTTTCCTGGTCGAAGAGCGGCACACAATCACGTTTCGGACAAAAAAAGTGTCTAGTCGCTCTAGTATGGTTTGCATACATTCAACCCGGACGAAAAGAGCGTCCGGGATGTGACAATGTAAGGTCATTTGCCTGGCCAAGCCCGATCTAGGGCTGTGCTTTCCTAGCAGCTACAAATTGTCTGCTTTTCACCACTTGCGTCTCATCCCTTTGCATGAGGATCTCGGTTTTCGGAAACTCTAATATGAAATGATGGTGCGAAAAGGCAGGTTCGGATGTACATGACTTAGTAGGCAAGGCAAGCGCTGGCTGCAGTGCTATCAAGTCACGCCACCATATGCCGCCAAGTGCATGCGTCTTGATCAGGTCATTGGAACGAACCAAATCCAGCAAAGTATACGTGCGAAGCAACAATTTTGGGTCCCGATGTTGGAGTGTTGACGAACTTCCCAAACGATAAACGATCGGCAGGGACTAAAGTGACCCACTGCATGGAGACAAGATTAGATGCGATTTGTCTGCCTGGCGGCTAGGACATCCTAGCGCTTTGGGAGTCCATGGAACTCCGCAGCTGCGCTTGGAATTATGCGCTGACGGGTTAGCCTTGGCATAGGGAGGCGAAATGCAAAAGTACAGGACAAATTGTTGAGTCTCATGCTGCGGTTATGCTAACAATGAAAGTATTGATTGAACCCTATGACAGAATCTTGCTTGGTCGCTGGAATGTGCTCATTGCATTCTACCTGCGCCAGAGGACGAACGGGTGGTCGATAGTGTGTAGCATGCAATTTTACCTGCAGGCTGGTCGAGCTTTGAGCTCATCGTCGAAGAGCCAGAAGCAGGTGAGTCGCTCGGTGACACCAGTTAAGTTGTGTGCAGCAGCACATCAATCTGTCGGCGATAGAGCGAGTGATGCTTTGATATGCTAGAGCAAGGTTGACAGCCACGGTAAGGACTTTTGCTTCCCTCAATAGCTAGTTCCATGGACACAATCAGGACAATCCACTTGTGAGATGATGTCCTCTGCCAGGCTTGGTTAATCCTTGACTTTTTCTCAGTCTCGTCGAGAGTCCGTGAGAGATTGATTCAGCTTGCTGACCCCAGTATTCTTGTCCTTCATGAAAGCTGCTAGCAAATCGAACTCATTTTCTAGGCCGATCGAGAGAAACGCTGGAGGTTTCGACGGCTTTGAGGGCTTGGTTGCTTGTTTCGTAGTGCAATTTGCTGTTGGATGACACGGCGTAGATGCTTTGGAATTCTGCTCGGACATATCTGCTGAACATGCGCTGTAAACGTGTTACTGGAAAGCTTTGCTGATTCTGAGGACTTTGAAGACACTCACGTCGAAAGGGGAAAGTTCGTACAGTTAATTGAACAGAGACACAAGAAAATCACAAACACAAACATCTAGTTGCGTTCTGTGCCATGCACAAACTCAAATATGCAGAGTTGCATGAGTAGTGTGATTCGCTTCTTGAAGTGAGCTGGGCCTTCTCCACGCTCTCAAGAAAGTCGCACGAAACATGAGCACGAACAGAGAACCCCGCCAGCAAGACCTAAGAGACTGAACACAGAGACGGACAAGAACGATGAACGAAGCAACAATTGTGCCTGCCTTAGCGTATCGGTTTTCAGATCGGGAGATATCGAGGCAAGTGGGTCAATCTGACCCACATGGTGGCCGACTCGTAGGTTGCTCTGGAGAGCGCATTTCGAGGGGTCTATTGAAGGAGGACTGTTGGTGGAAGCATCGGTATTTGACATTCTTACGCCCCAACAAAGATCTGAGCTGGTGCAGACATTTCACATTGCAATGTACCTCATCGTCCAGGTTGACGTGTCGGCGGGTTGTGAGAAGAGCAGCTGCTCGCGGATCTCGCTCATCGCTGGTGGCTTCACTAACATAGCTTGACTGCAATGTCACAACAAGAATTAACTGTGGCGGAGCTGCGATGTTTGTGGGTGAAAAATCGTGCGGGCATTCATGTGGTGGCAAGAACTGTCTAACAACACCATACGAAAGGTGTCTTGCAAATTATCAGAGCTGTTGACAAGTGCGGAGGCTGAGCTTTCGTTGCGTGAGCTCCAGGTCTGTCGTGCCGCCGATGGGGAGCAGACTTAGAGCAAATTCAGCATTGTCGCTAGCTCTTCCAGATTTGATGGTAGATACAATCGGCCAGACAATTAATGTAGCTGCGACAGAGCCTCCGATAGAGTGCAAATCAAAAGGGTATCACAAACCTAGGACATACTGAGGGTAATTGTCAGGTCTTAAATTCTCTTAACATAGTTGAATGCAGCGTGATCCGTCTGTTGCGAAGGAAAGAGATGGTCGAAAGACAGGTAATCATCAGAGAGTGCCCTTTATTAGTACGGCCCTTTGAACAACGCTTGATCATTGCACTTACTTGGCCCGCCTGAGTGACTATGCTGTCTCAAGGAAGGCATGTCGTACAACTGGATACGGCTCGATCAATCCTGTTCTTTCACTGATCAATTGCTATATCTTCGATGTCGTAGGCGTGATTGAATGCCCGAGAGGGGCTTGAAACTGTGCACCAGGGCGGGTCATTATGATTACTCGATCGTGAGATAGAACCCTCGATGCACATTGAAGTCGGTTATAAGACAGATGGAGTCTGTTCAAGTTATGTCTGATTTGCGCTCTGCATGCTGACCTGGAGGAGTGTGAGATGACTTGTCTGAGCTTTACGCGTAGCGGTCGGATGTACGGTCTGTTCTGAGACTAGCGCAAGAACGCGTTTCTTCGACGGCGCGTGTCGTTCCTTCCCGTGAATGTGTTCAATTCCTTCCATGAAGCAAGCTCGGTACCAGCAATCTGGACGGCTGTCAAGGGCAGTCGTCGAGATGAGTAAGATGTACAAAATTGCTGTGTGTGACAGCGACGCGATGCCCATGTCACTATTGTGGCTGCTTGCACTGCAGCCAATTAGCGAACGACTTTTTCCCATGTGAAAACAAGAGCACAGGTCTATACTCGGTTGCTGGCGATTTTTTGTTTCTTCAACTTGAGCTGGCTGAGACTTCTGATGGCTCAAAGTGTACTTTGCAGCACTAGGACAAGAGCACCACAACGACAAGGTAAAGCATGTGCAATAGTGCTTGGAGGGCGCCTGGCCGTGCTGGCCGATATGCTCCAACTCGTTGGCCACGTAGCTTTCAATCGTGGGAAAACAATCACGGAAACACTCATAGTAGAAAGGAGAGTACAACCTTCAGTTCACAGCTGTCTCTGAACTCACCAAATCATGGACGTCCCCACAAAAGCCACAACGAAGGCGATACACAAGTACGGCGGTCATCCCTTACATCCGTCCTCACGCGCTTCGTCCCTGTCGACAACTTCAGTGTAAGCGCATACAGCGTTCCTATGCTGCTACTGTTCAGAATGTTCTACCAAGCTGCCCCACACGAAGTCTTTAAGGTTGCGGCAGGTAGTCCGTCAATCAATCAGGCAAATACTCCGACCAGGCCGTTGCCGATGAACAGCATGAGAAGTATCTCTCGTTCCAGGAGCCCTGATAGAAATTACCTAGACACTCATGTCATAACCAACACCGCCGACTTCGCTATTACCCTTGAGGATAACGACGAGCTCGAAAAATGTACGATATTATCCATCACTTGGGTTAAAGCGCTAGCTTCACCTCTATCTCATGAATACATCCAATTCATCGTTCACAGCAGTGATACCGGGAAACGACATCGTTTGGTAGCAGAAAGGTCCGATATTGGCGATTTAGTGACTGTTGGTTGGGACTGGTCGTCTGGAAATTATGCATCGCATCACCATGTCTTGCCCTTGCCACTCTTAACATTATCTTACGAAGATTTGCCGACAGACAAACCACCAACAATAAAGCAATTTGCAAACATCCTACACGAAACGTCCGAGATTCGACCTTACAACCTGATGCGGGAGATGTGCTGGTGGTATGCGGAAAAGGTCTTCGTCGAAACCTCGCGAAAATTTCCAGACACGAGAGTCAAGCAGTGGCCATTTGCGAATCTGAGATACAGCTTCGTGGTCAGATCTGAATGGATCAGAAGGCCAGCACTAGCAGATGCAGCCGAGAAATTCCGCGTGATGAACGTTCAAAAATTGGCGTACTGAATATCTCGAACGAAAACGCGTGCAGCAGGCGGCTGGGAAACAAGCTCTGCTGTTGGCTACCCTTTCAATGCATATGCTTCAGGGCTGCAGCGCTTGAGTGGATAGCCCTGAAAACAGATTTTACTATGGCTACGATCGACACGAATACCTGTTCACGGATCGCATTTAGCTCATGCAGGAGTGCTTCGCGGTCGTGTGATTCTTCCTCGTATCATCGCCATGAACTCATCTATGTGTACTTGTTTTCAACGATCTCTCGCGAAACTAGCGTCTTCGTCGCAGATCTGCCAGCCTATTGAGGAAAATCCCAGGATTGTGATCTGACTATGACAGTGTTCTCCAGGATGTGGATCACTACCGAGATCACTCAGCTAAGCAACATTGCATGCGGCCACTATTACACGGCTCCTGCGGCAGCACGAGTGATGTCAAGCACTCGGCAGCTACAACGCTCGTGCGACCATTATTGCACAACCAAACATATCAAATAGCATTGCAAGACCCCAATCAGGTGTATGTTGGAACGCTCAAAAGCCGCCGTTCCAAATTCTCCATCTGGACGGAACATCAAGGCTCGGGTCCCCTACCACATATATCGGTCGAGTACTCAACACTTCTTGTCAAAAGTACGAGATGGAAAAGACAAAGATGGCTAGTATCTGCATGCATGCCAAGCGCCATTGCCTGAATGATAGGCTACAGAGGTTTCCTCTCCTTGGCTTGAAAAGCCTAATTCGTCCTTAGCACTAGAGCCACCAGACAGGATTCGGTCTGAGCAGTATCACTGATCCCTGTCAAAAGCTGATGGTTTTCGCCGGATGTGTACCTCCTTGGATACAACCATGCGGACGCTACAGACTAGCGCATTGGACAAAGGACGTATTCACGTCCCCACATATCTCACACTGCAGGATGAGCTAGAGACTTTGATCCACATGGTGTTCGCTACAAGGTTAACTTCGACTTCTGGTTCCCTCAAGTGGTGTAGAAGCATGACAATTTGCGGGATAGTGCCCCAACTTGCGATCGCGAGCCTACTCTCGATGGCCGAAGTGTCTATTGTTGTCGCAGATCCGTGTCTCGCTGCAGAAGTCAGGCTTGTTCAACTGGGTAGTCGCTTATGACTGCTTGTGAGACAGCATCTTCACCATTTTCGAGTTCACCGCTGGTGCAGCAGTTTACTGAGACCACAATTGCCTCTTGCATCACAGCCCTGGTCTTCAAAGTTCCAGCGCATTTAGAGCTGTGAGAGTGCAAACAACAATTAATATCCCTCCAGCTCACGCACGACACTCGTGGTCACATGTCTGTTGGGTCTCACGAAGCACGGACGGCTCGGAACGCTCGTACGAAAATGCTCACTATTCGTTGGGATCTGTTCGTGCGGTACTTCCCGAAGCTTTGGCTCCCTATTCCGTGCAGCCAAATCTTGTGTATCATGATCTTGCTCCTGCATCAGGCAAGCACGGAGCACAGTCGTCGGCTCGAATACTAATTATAAGCCCACCATCACGTCGCGCTCATCCTAAATCTGCGAGTCAATTTTCGTGGTATGTTCTCGTCAGTATTGTCTGCACCATGTACACACTTGCCCCTGCAACGCAGCGACCTTAGCGATGAAGTGGTCAGACTTGCTGATTGGCCATTAATCGGGGCCAAGTAGCAACTAATCCTCTGGCTGTCTTCTTGCTTGCCGAGCACAGTCTAATCGCCAGTAAAGCCAATGGCTTCCAGGCTGAACCCTGCTGCACATTGTCCCGAACGAGTTTAGGCGTAGGACGCCCCAACGCACAAGCAGGCTCGGCTGCGTCTTGGGCCCTTTGCCATGCTGACTGTACAGCGTCTACAAGTACCAAGTATGTGAAATACGGAAAGGTGGAAGGACAGCACGACGTCCTGTGAGATTGGCCCTTTGTGGCTCAAAACGTCTAGTCAATGCAAGGTCCTGGACGAGTCCTCGCGCGAGCCGGAGTGGAGCGTAGGTGGTCGCTCGCTCTAAGGGCCATGGCCAAGTACATTTAGGACTGTTAGCTCTGAGAATGGCATGATATGCTAAGAATGCCGTTACGAAGCGTCCAGGTTACCCCGCTGTAAGGATTGCATTGTCTTTGACTTGGGCACAAACCGCAATTGAAGAAGCATGTGCAGAGTTCTGATCATTTCGCATTGGCATGGGAAGCTCAATCACCTCGGCCTTTCTTCCTAACACCTCTAAACTCTGTGGATTCTCATATATAGATGCTGTTTAAAATACATGCGCCTTCAACTGAAGACGTGATCGCAAAAAAACGCCACCGCCGACCAAGTGACACACCCATACCATTGCCACTCGAGCCGACTCCTTTGTTATGAATGCACCATAACCAATCGCATATGGGGGTATCGGAGGGTATCACTGAAAGGATTCATGCAATGGTCGCCATTCCTGTGCATCTTCGACCTTTGAAAAACACCATGTGCAAAAAACATTGAGTTTTTTTGCATGCATTTCTTTCGTTTCGCGTAAGACCTTGAGTCGTAAAATATCGTTAAGTCGTTTCAACAAACAATACGTAGTGAAGCGCCCGTTGGCGGTAGATGATGATAATGGATGGAAAAAAGGATTGATTGTACATCTCGCTTCAGGCGCTAGGATCATGATGAAACACAGAGAGCCTGAGCTGCTGAGGTGGCGGAGAAATCGAAGGATGGGGTGTGGTGGTAAGTCGGGTGCAGGGAGCTCTGAAAGAAAGAGCTCGCACAGTCGCTATCGTCATCGAAGGGCCGTTTCTTGTATTGTGTAGCAGTAGTAGTATACTCCATTAGATCAGAGTCTATCTTGCTCACTGTCGGGCTAAGTAGGATTCGGTCAAAGGTCAGGGGTGTTCGCGTCATACTGCATGGAATGCGGCAAGTCTCGCCTTTGGAGGAAGACGAACACAAGGTTGTCGAGGACTCTGGACTGGTTGACGAACTGTCTGATTCGTCTACACGGTGAGATGTGTATGAGAAGGATGTGCCGTAGTGGTGACTATGGCGGTACGTGGCATGTGCATTGCTCATGTTCGCTGAATGGTTTGGGCCAAGTGCATGAAGAGGGAAATTGGAATGTCCATCCCCACTTTGACCTGAACCGCCATCAGGATCCATGCTTGTCTGGCTGTCACGACGACTGTCTTTGTAGTGCCCTGGTGATCTCCCTCGGACTACCATGGGATGCGACTGTTGAGTGGCTACGATAACCCATTCGTCAGGTCCGCCTGGCCGACCCAGGTTCGCTTCAAGTCTGACCACCACGTGAAAAAACTGCTGCTGGGCTCGTCGCTTGCCATTGTTGGCAGTCGCCTTCTGAAATTGTATTCTCTCAAATGTGTAGTTAGTCTGTGGTGATGGTCCATTTGGATGTGTGAAAGGGTCAAGTCCATGTGGCAGAAGGTGGTGTGAGCTTGACGTGTATATCCCGTTGTGTGAGATGTTATGGCCATTACTGAGGCTCTGTGCTGGAGTCGGGACAATTGCATGTCGAGTGGGAACACTCTCCGTTGCTTTGTCACGTTTAGGCGTGTGCTGAACAAGACCCCGCGTCTCACTATCATTGTTATTCACAACAGCAGTCTTTGCTGCAATGGAGACAGCGTATCCGTGCACATGCTCAGCCTGCGATGCATATCTCTGGCAGAAGACCTGACTGTCTAGACTGTGTGTCTTGAAGGTGAACCCACAAGAAACAGTGAAATAGTTCCTTCGATAACAGGTCCATTTGTCTTCGACCTTGAAGAAGCCCTTAGGTATGCTTGCAAGAACATCAACCTTCAAGTTTTGCCCTCGAGAGTTGACAAGTGGATGGATGATAACGGTGTCCTCAAATGGAGGACCTTCTGGGCGATTCGCTGCTGGCATAGGTGGAGCTGGAAAGATACTGCTTGTGGTGGACGAGAAAGGATGTGGCATTTGTGGCCGAGGTCTGAATATGTCATAACTGGCAGGTCTCGATGCATAGCTGTAAGTAGGATCGTAAGTAGTGCGAGCCATTGTGAAGTCAGGGGGAAAGCTGCTGCTGTTCATGGGACCATAGCTGTACGGAGGAGATAATGGAGCAGGTCTGTCCAACGCGATTTATGTCAGTCATGCTCACAGACATCTGGCAGGACACAGAGCCACTTACATCTGCGTCGGTGCACCACGTCCGTCGATATGTGTCATACTAAGGCCATTGAATCCAGAGCGCGTGAAGGTCGGGATGCCACTTGAGTAGTATTCAGGTCCGGATGCATTGCTTCCAGTAACCTTCGGTAACGAGGAATAACTGAACGAGGTTGAGGAAGGATTTGTGATGGTAGACGAAGACTCGTCGCCAGATTGAGGTGGGGTGAGGATAAGCTGCGAGCTTGCAGTGTTGCAACTAATGAGCAAAATTGTCAGTCTTGTGCTGCGACCGACTCAAGCTTGAAGCAGCCATGTGCTCGACAAACATCTCACACTAAATAGAGCAATTGGGGGAGACAGAAACATGCAATGAAGAGCGATTGAAGCAATACTCAATCTGAAACGCATATAGTAAGGCCGTCACGTTCGAGCCTGACTCGTGTTCCCTAGTGCCCAAAGTCGTGGCATGCACATCAGGCTAGATCGAGCGATCTCTCTTTACCCAACGAACTGAGTTTGCCGCACAGGAACTGGTGGGGACAACGGGAAGGACTGGTTACTCACGAGCCTTCGTGCTGCAGCTGAGTAGAACTGTAGCTTAACTCAAGGTTCGAATTCCCAAAACTAAGAGACGGTCCAAGTGAGTTTCGACCTAGCTGGTTCTTCGGGTCGAGGAGCGAGCTGGTTGTCACTGAGTTGTTTGGGTAGTGCCGGTCTGACTGATAGTACTTGAAATCGTTCGTCAAGGCTTGGTCCATAGGATAGGAACTGTGAACTAGAGCTACCTCAGTGTGTCAGCGAGGTGATCTGCATGTGTGACAGCATCTGGGACGAGCCTTTAGCAGTGGTAGGTAATGAGTGGAGCCGGGGAAGGGTTACTGAAAAGATGAGCTTTCGGCAAGTTCGAAGAAAGCCTGCAGCACATGATAATCGCGACATCCTTGCAACTGGAAGACTGTGCTGAACAATCTCCAATCGTGATGGCGTAGCTGCGCCGAATCGGCTTCAGCTCGAGGCACAGCCGATCAGCGCTAGCCGTGCCCCTTTCTGTTGAACCATGGCTGCGGGTATATGCAATGGCGTACGACTTCGCCGTGCTAACACAAATCCACTAATAAAGGTCTCGACTTACTCTGATTCATTGTTTATTCATGTGTCTGTTTGCTTGTTGGCAATTCAACACAACAACAGATTTGAGCCTGATTGCTTCGAAGTGAATTTCGTCGATCTCGAGAGAGCTTGGGCTCGGACGGTGGTGTTGTGCTGTGTCGTGCTCGGGAAAAGTGTAGAAAAGCAGGCCAAAGCGACTGTCTGCTTTCTGAACGTGTTGCCGACGGTCAGACGAGTTTCAGGCTGAACACGATGCTGAGTCTTGGAAGTTGCTCCTTGAGCAGAATCGAATCTCCGCTGTCGCTGGTAGGATCGCCGGATTGATTGTCTATAGAGCCGGTTGTCCGCCTCTTGTGTGTGCCAGCGACTAATCCCTTCAGGATGTTTCGCAATCGTTGCAATCTGAGCGCCTTGTTGAGGTCTGTCCTTGATGGGCGCTGTTAAGTTGAGGTTATTTCTACCTTTCGATGTTGCTTCTCTTCTACTGCCCAGGCCTCAAAGTCATCCGGCTGCAGTGGGGGAAATATGTTGCCGACAAGGTGTAAATTGCTAGCAATGCGTTCAATATTAATGAACACTAGGTCGATATCGAAGTACGGACTTTTGCTTCTTAGTCCTCGCAAGGTATTAGTATCACGAAGGTCAGCGAGGGCCAACTACTCGGGAATCAAAATGTGTATATAGCTGCTGTTGACGATCAGCTTCGACGAATACGCAATCGCATGGTGCTCCACCACTAGCCTGCCGCAGGAAATCGAATACATGATTAAGACCCATCCAGGACGCGCCATTGCAGTAGGCTATGATCCAAAAAGGCAACAACGAGCTTAGCCACTCTGGTTTGAAAGAGAGACTACTTCCCGGGCTGAGATTCATTTAGGGGCGTTTCTAGCAGCCAAAGAATTCGCAGTCATGAGGAATCAGTGGACAGCTGCAGAGCATGGAATCCAATGAATCTTTGCCAAACAAACGTCGACCTTGGAACCGCCTCGAGCGATATGCAGGTAGCCTTTGAGATAGAAGGCCAACTAGAAGGAGCCAAAAATTACAGGTCGGTAGTTTTCTGGCCGCTTCTCAATTTGGAACGGGCGAGGAATCAACCTTGAAAGCTGTTCAAACCTATCGGTACCATACTCTTGCACCATCGAACCTCACCGTTGGTTTGTAGGGCGATCTCAATGGCCTGAGTATGGGTTGTTCGATGATTCTAGTTAGTGGCCACGTGGTTGCCTTTGAGACAAGGTCAGGTTCCTTCCGAGCCACGAGACAACAAAACCACCAAGCAATCCTGCTGGAGGGATCGAAGGACCTGTCCAGGAAAAGGCTTTGTCAAGCTTCACGTGTCTTCCAACGACGGCCCTTTCAAGCAAGAGAGTTCCGGCCGTGCAGTGATGCCCCCTATCAGACATTTGGACTATGCGAGCTACAGCAGGGCTGAGCAGGCATTCCTAGGTGCGGCATAGGCAGGGGAACGAAACAGAGGACCAGTCAAGTTCGAAACTGTCCAATTGCAAATGACCGGGCACATGAGTTGATGATAGTGGGACTCAGTACTACGAGCCACGTCAAATCTCTCGCTAGGCTGGAGGCAAATTCGATGAAAAGAGTATGTTCTTAAACAGCTGCACCTTCAAGACATTTGTTTGCCAACCGGACACGTGTGCAAGTCATTTTTTCTCTCTGGGTCTCCCACGGAATGTCTGAGTGCTGTCTCATCGAGTATTGGCGCATTGTAGTAAGGGTATCGCTGCCTTATGTCAGATTTGAGCGGTGGCTACATCGCTCACTGATATTGGAGTGTAGCTCGCAAATCTCAAGAGCGATAGACGACTGCATGTCGAGATCCGATTAGTTTGTTCAGCACGATGCGGACTATTGTTCATCGGCTGCAGGTATGTCATGCTCATGGCCACGATTGATATAAGCTTGACTTAATTGGGAGTGGTGCCTCGGGTGAAACAGCAAGTCACAAAACATAGATTGGCTAACTAAAAAGAGTTCATGAAGGGGTGTGAATACACCTGGAAGGCTGCGTGAAGCAGGGATACGATGACAAAGAGATGGAATAGAGGGCAGAGCCCAGGACTCATGGAGGATTATCGAGGGAAAAAGGACTGCTGCAGAGAATGATGGGAGAGAAATTCGGATGTGGGTCACACCTTCCTCTTTCAGGGTAACGCGAGCCACTAACTAGTAGTTAGCGAAGGGATCATCCGCTGTACATTAGCTTTGCCAAAATATACTACATCCCTCACGTTCAGCCCATTGAGATGGATAGAGTAGCAAACTACACAGTTCATTCCTCGCCTTTCAAGGTTCCACACTTATACCCATCGATTCTGCGAAAAGATCTCCTTCTACCTTCCTTTCAGAATAGTTCCATGATCGCTCGGCCACAGTTGTTTTGGCAGAAAAATCGATGGAGGTAATGTGGTCTGAGCCCCTAGCATCACATGTAATAGTCGTGAGCACTGAGCCATATGGCGACCAACAAACCCTTAACCTGCGTCAGGAGTCTATGAGTGATGCTGATCAGAGGGTTTTAGGCAAGCCGCATATCGCATTCTTTCTCTTCTTGAGCCGCTACTGATCGGAAGCATGAAATACGGAAGACAACTGTTGGAAGCTAATAGCTCCTCAGCAAAGCACGTACAAGTGCTTTGCATTCGGAGCCTTGATGAGTTCTGCACGGGCCAACAGTTCGTTCTGTCAGGAACATGTTGCACAGCTGTCATCACTACATGAAACGTCTTCTCCACATATTCTCCTAAAGTCTGCCATTGAGTCAATCCAAGGAGAATTTCAAATCCTGGATGATCCTTCGAGAAAAAGGGCGACTCGCGAATGCATCGAACTTTCGGCGCCACTGGGTCTAAGCTGATTGCAAGGGCCTGATCAGCCAGGCAGGATGCAACCAACATTGTGCGACCTAATTCATTGTTTCTCGCAGCGGTGTTGACATTTTCTCGCTCCGAAGAAAGTGGTGCTGCGGGATCGTACCCATTCAGGGAAGCTGCGGGAGCCTTCATGTTGTGCAGCAGCCGTCAGACAATGGTGGACGGCTACCCACATGGACTGGAAGATTTTGCTTGAACAGGCGATATTATGGTGCTGAGCCTTGCACAGAAGGCTACCAAGCTGAAACCTAACATGCATGTGCTCTTCTTCGGACTTTCTGGAATACCAAAGGACGTTTCCTTGCATAGCAGGCGATCGTGTGTCCGTTGTACACATGCCACTCCTGATCTCTTTCTTGGGGAGCGAGAATGTCTTCCCAAAGGTCGACTGGTGAACTTGAGGTCGTGCAACTCCTCTTGCTTCCAAACCTCAGAGCTTGAGAGGCGAGGCAATACCAGGGTGGGCGGACCCTTCGAGGTGACAGGGACTCGGAACTACTTTGTGCTAGGTATAGTGATTACTTGTCTTAAAATGCTGACCTGATTTTAGGTGCTCACAACAACGAGCAGAACGCCTTGTTGTCAAACGACACCAGGCCCTACTGACTTCCTACTCTTTAGTCGTCATCGTCCCAACTGTGCCTTGACATAACGCGATACTGAAACCCATGCCTGCTCGAAAAATTGTTCGTGGATCATTTTCTCAATATTACCACATCACCGATGTCTTGTCCGTGTTAATCACATATCAAAGAAAACAAGGTTTGCTTATTCCTTTAGCTCTGAGGCAGTAAATTTCTTAGTTAGAGCATAGACTAGTTTAGGTAGTTCGCTTTGCGAATTCGACCCTCAAGATCAAGTGCCTATACCCGAACCCATCCATCTTCTCGCAGGCCCTCGCGGCTTCGGCGCGGTCGACGAAGCTAATGAAAGCGAAACCTTTTGCGCGGCCCGTTTCCCGATCTTTCGCGAGGAAAACTCTCGTGACGCGTCCAAATCGCTCAAAGAGATCACGTAGCTCCTGCTCTTCGGCAAGTTCAGATACCTATCAGGCATTGTCAGCATTTCGTTTCTCCAGGAGTTCACACAACGAGAACTTACATTTGTGACTCTCAGCGTAGCCAGATCATCTCTCTCAAACTTGCCACCCATTCGCTCACCAGCACTGGCAGCACCACCCTTTCGCAAATGAGGTGGTACATAGCCTCCGCTACCAGCACCAAGTCCACCTGACTTCGTAGCAGGCGCTTCTTCTTCAGCCAAAGGATCAGCTGCAGGCTCATTGTCACCACCAACAGGCGCCATAGTGTCCTTGTACGGGCATCGTGCAGTAAAGTGCTCTCCCTGACAAATTCTGCACTTGACTTTCTTGTCTCGTAACTGCTCTTTCAGGCTCTTCTCCTCTGCCTTGCCGCCACCATCTTTCGCCTCTGCCGCCTGTACGGCCTTCCAGTCTCTTGAAGGTCTGAAAACAATATTCTCGCCGACGGACGTTGTGTCTGGCTGCGGTCCCTTGGATTTACCCTTCTCAAGACCAAATTTCGCCCACGTTCTTCGCTCGGCTACTTCTGGGTCGACTTTTTCTCTGTGCACCGTAGTGCGGGTTTTGCGTGTGACTTTTACTCTACGACCGGAGTCGTCAATTTTGTAGGTTACTGTTGTCTTCGTGCCGTCTTTGTTCAGTGTGGTTACTGGGGCTGGCAGGGCTTGGGGGTCGTTTGCCTCGTTGTCGCTGACATCTTCGGCCCACTCGCGGCTGGGAGAGATAGGTAAGACTTTATTTTTTGTGAGAGGTTGTGTAGATACGTACCCTGCGACTTTCGACATGATTGCAGTATTCAGATGTTGTTTCTCGTTCTCAAAGGTTTTGAGAGTTCTTTCGTGTTGGTGTTCTGCGATAGATAAATTCTCTGTTTTCAAGTTTCCTCGTGTGATTGTTCTGTATTAGATAACTTCTCTATTCTCGGAGTGGGACGATTGCAGGTAATTTATATGCGGTACGTAACTGACTCAAAAGACTGTCTGTACGTTTGTCCGTTCAAGTCGTTCTTGGCACTGTGGCGGGAATTCTTGTTATCAAGCCGACAGAGAGCTTTTGTGCTGAAAAATAGCCGTCTTTGTCGGGAGCATAGTAATACAGATCAGCCACTTGTAGTTGTCGAGCCTACACAAGTGATAGATGAACGAAAGTGTGTCTCAGCAATTTTGCATTCACTCGATGAAGTAGAATGAGAACAACGCATTGCAGTAGTAAGAGAACAATACACTCGTCCAAAGTCTATCAATTTCGACTTGAGCTAGCACTTACTTGGTGGAAAACATTGCCAAACACCTTGCTTTTCATCACTCGTATATTTACAGCCTGCTCCTGGCAACAATCATGCTGGTTCCTTTTGTCATGCAATCCACAGCACCACCAACCATCTCATCAATGATCTCACGTGCTGTCTTCCTCTCGTTTACCACAGCAGCAACCTTGCCCATCAAGAAAGGTCTCGCCTGGTCCATCATTTCGTCACTAATATCATCGCCAGCCTGTTCCAAGTCGTGCTCAACAGGGATAGTACCACTACTTGTCAATTGCTTGATCTCAGCCTGTCTGTTCTCCTCCCAGTTTGCGATGTATTCATTCTTCCTGACTCTGAGAGGTCGGCCAGTGAAAATGATTGTGCGAACATTGTCATCGAAGCCGGCTGTTCGGACCGCCTCCTGGTGGGCCTTTGGTGCACCAGCTTCTTCTGAGAGCACGAACCTTGTGCCGACCCAGACGGCGCCAGCACCCAACATCAAGCACGCGGACAGGGATTGACCATTGAAGATACCACCTGCCGCGACGACCTGCACGGGTTCACCAGTAAGTGGAGAGGTCTTGCCTGCGCACAATCGGGCGACCTCAGGAATGAGAACAGACGTTGGCACATCGCCAGTGTGGCCACCACCTTCGCCACCTTGAGCGCAGATGAGATCCACGCCCAAATCGAGACATTTCTGGACGTGTTTCGGGTGGCCAATCATGTTCATGTAAAGGACGTTGTGCTAAAAGCTATGGTCAGTATATCCTGGTCTGCTTTCTTCTCTGCTCAGAGCTATCCTACCTTATGTAGCTTTTCGACAACTTCTCTAGGCGGTACGCCAACAGCGGAGACGAATAGTCTGGCGCCGCTGTCGATGATAATGTCGACGAGCTCGCCGAGCTTGCCTTTGGTGTAGTCGTAATTTGTCTTTCGTGCTGAGCCACCGACCTGCGGCAGGAGTAGATCAACACCGAATGGTGCGTTCTTATCGCTGAGATATGACTTGAGCTCAGAAATTTGTTCGCGCAACATATCAGGTGTATAGCCGACCTGCAGTACGTGTCAGCACAATTCAAAGGCGTGCTACAAAGCAGTGGCAGTGTGCTTTTGGTGAAGAGAGCTTACACCTCCGATTACACCCAGACCGCCAGCGTTGGTGACTGCCGCTGCTAGTTTAGGTCCAGCAGCAACGTTCATGCCAGCAAGCATGACTGGGTGCTTGATCTTGAGAAGATCGGTAACCGTAGTCTTGATTTGTTGTGGTGAAGACATCTTGGTGAATGCAATGAAATTGATACAGTGTTTGGACAATGAGAACTTGGGTTAGTGATCAGGAAAGAAAGATGAATCTATACAACGATAAAAGAAGTGGAACAGACAGACGACATCTGTCGCATGCAATAGACAGGAGATTCTACTTCTGGGCGCAGGTGATCCTCGTCCATAGCAGAATACCGAGGCATGAATGAAATCGTGGAGAAATCGGCACTAACTAAAGGAATGCCCTGGAGTGCCGCTAGCTCAAAGTTGTAGTGCTAAGCTCAAAGTAACCCATAATATGCTGACTTCCCCGGTAACGACGAGCGTCTCTGACGGCCACCTGTTGGCGACCCATTACCACCTTAGCCTGCCATGTGCTTTTTCTTGCGAGCCTCGCAAGGCTATCGTATCAGGAGCTGGACTTCTGTTCATTCGCAAGCTTTGGTTTTCCGGACGATCGAATTTATATCGGCGTCGTCAGAAGCACCTCAGAAATTTTGACCTTACAGGTGGCAAATGAATTCATTTTCTCATGCAGGGCGACGTCTCTGTAGTTGCACCAAGCGGCGCAAATTGAACGTAAGCAAGAATCAAGCGTCGATTCACTCGCGTTGTGAAAATACTCGGAACCAGGTATCTTCTGACACAACTAACGAGCATGTATGTTTCGAACGTAGCCCTGACTGTTACTGGAGACCGAAGTCCATAGCGACGACCAATAACATGTATACTACTTCCCGAAATTTCCACATCCAGACGAGATCTGCGAGCTGGCAAACACCAGAGCTTGGGCCACAGATATCTGTCACAACTACGAAGCGTCAAACACCGTCACCTGTCTTCAGCTCAGACCATCCGCAACGACCAATTCATGGCTCCAGACTTCCTCCTGTCGTTATAAGAAGAAGGTCTTCAACAAAAGCTGTCTCTGGTGTACATCAAGTTGTCGTCGCTTTTGGTAGCAATCTTGGTAACAGGATTGCCTATATCGAAAATGCTCTAGATTCCATGCGGAGTCAAGGCATCAAAATCAAGAAGATCAGTCGGCTCTACGAAACCCAACCCATGTACTATGAGAACCAGGACGCTTTTCTCAACGGCGTTGTTGTGATCGAGACCAGTCTGCAACCCCTAGAACTGCTTGACGTCCTCCAACAAATCGAACTAGAGCAGGGTCGAAGAAGGGACATTGAGAAGGGACCAAGAACTCTGGACCTCGATGTCATCCTCTATGGGGATGACCATATTGACCATGATCGACTCAAGGTTCCTCATCCTTTGATGCTGGAGCGAGAATTCGTCCTGCGACCTCTTTTGGATGTCCTCCCCGAGCACAACATGCTGACTCCAGCTCCCACACTTACCGATTCACCAGCTCAGACTCAAGTCTCGATCAAGGACGCATTGAGTAAGATTAGCAGTCCAGACGAAACAATGTATCCTGTCACGTGCTTGTCAGGGAAGTCGCCCTTGATGGTGCCGGCATCGGCTCGGCCCACGAGCAGAACGCTTGTAATGGCGATACTTAATATCACACCTGACTCGTTCTCTGACGGAGGCGATTTGACAACCCACGGAAGTGAATTCGTGGCCCATTATGCTGAAAAAGTGATACACGATGGTGCCACAATTCTTGATATAGGGGGGCAGTCCACACGGCCGGGCGCGCAGTTAATTTCTGCTGAGGAAGAGCTTGCACGTATTCTACCTGGGCTTGAAGCCATACGTTCTGTTCCTTCAGTTTCATCCGGTCAAGTTCTCGTCAGTGTTGACACTTTTTACGCCTCAGTCGCACGTACGTGCATTGAAAAGGGTCTTGCTGACATAATAAACGACGTTTCAGGAGGCACTTACGACAAAGATATGTTATCGACAGCTGCAGAGCTGAAAAAGCCCATCATTCTCATGCATATGCGCGGTACACCTCAAACCATGGGCAGATCCCACTTTCACGACTACACTTCACTTGGTGGCGTCGTGCCTGGAGTTGCGAAAGAGCTAGCTTTTCGGGTTGAGGCAGCACTGGAAGCTGGTATAACACCCTGGCGAATCATGCTCGATCCAGGTCTAGGTTTTGCCAAATCGGCTATGGGAAGCATTCAGCTGCTGAGAGCCGGACCAGTAGGGCTTGTGACAGCGGAGCCAAGACTTGGTGGTTATCCGTGGTTGATTGGGCCGAGTCGGAAGGGGTTCATAGGCAGGGCCACTGGAATTGTGATGGCTAACAGCAGAGACCATGCCACATGTGCTTGCATCACGACCGCAATCGCAACTGGTGCTGATGTTGTACGCGTTCACGACGTCAGGAGTATGGTGCAGGCAGGTAAGATGGCTGACACGATATTCCGCGATGTTTTGAGCGCAGATCTCCAGAAAGATGTTGACATGGCCAGGAAGGGATCTGAAAAGTCTCAAGAAAATGTATAGCAGTTCAGGCATATTGCCGCTGGCTTGACCTGTGGACGAGCCTTGCTTGGGCGTTCGTGCTGCGTGCAGGGTGTTGAAGGTACTGGCCAGTGATGATTCTTTTGGTAAAAGGTTCGAAAGTGAGCGAGAGCAATAGTTTCTTTCTGCATACATTGAGAACAACTACAGATACTTCTGAGGCCAAGCATTATACACAGGCACACACCCCATAATCTAAAAGTCAACTCTGGTGAATGATAGTCCTGGAGTCGTATATAAAATGTCCATTCTTGGCGTTGCTAAAGCGCGATTTCGCAAAACAATGCCCAGTACATACGTATGCAAGTAGTATAGCGACCAACACGCCTATTACCATGTAACATGCGGCGTGATGAAAGGGGTGTGACGTCCACTGTTCGACCGATATGCGGCGGTTCGGCTACGGCACATCAGGGCAGGTGCAGACTGCGGGGAGCCGACCAGTTAGAAGAAGGTTAATTCCAACAGCGAAGTCGGAGATCAGGGACGTGGTAATAAAATAACATATTCTGCCCATTTCCTTCACCAAGGTCGATCGGGGGTTCATTGTCTTTTTGAAACATCTTTGAGCTTCTCGCTGAACTCTACGTAGCGCTCAACCATGCCTTCTGCGGTACAACAGCCTAGAACGCTCTATGACAAGGTCTTCAACGATCATATCGTCAACCAGCAAGAAGATGGCACAGTCCTACTATATATAGGTATCTAGTGCTTAACGTGCTCATTGGATTGGAAACTGATGGTATACAGACAGACATCTTGTTCACGAAGTCACATCTCCACAAGCCTTCGAAGGATTGGAAAATGCCGGCCGAAAAGTACGAAGACCTGACTGCACGCTTGCCACTACAGATCACAACGTACCGACCACTCCGAGGAAGAATTTTAAGAACGTCGCCGATTTCGTGAAGGAGGACGACTCCAGACTACAATGTATCACTCTAGAGGAGAATGTGAAAAAGTTTGGTCTTACATACTTCGGTCTCGGCAGCGCCAACCAGGGCATTGTACACATCATTGGTCCTGAACAAGGCTTCACTCTACCAGGGACTACTGTGGTATGTGGAGATTCTCATACCTCGACCCATGGCGCATTTGGCGCACTCGCCTTTGGTATCGGTACCAGTGAAGTAGAGCACGTGCTGGCCACTCAGTGCTTAATAACAAAGAAGAGCAAGAATATGAGGGTCCAAGTCGATGGAAGGTTGGCATCTGGTGTCTCGAGTAAAGACATCATCCTACACATCATTGGAGTCATTGGTACTGCTGGCGGTACTGGTTCAGTCATTGAGTTCTGTGGCTCTGCCATTCGCGCTTTGAGCATGGAGGCAAGAATGTCCATCTGTAATATGTCGGTTGAGGGTGGTGCAAGAGCAGGAATGATCGCTCCGGACCAGATCACTTTCGACTACCTCCGAGGACGTCCACTTGCTCCGGTACCAGACAGTTCCGAGTGGAAAAAGGCTGTGGCTTATTGGTCCAGCTTGGCCTCAGACCCAGAGGCTAAATACGATCGTGAAGTCTTCATCGACGCTAAGGACATCGCACCAACGGTAACTTGGGGTAACTCACCACAAGATGTTGTTCCCATCACCGGCGTGGTTCCTGGCCCAGATGACTTCCAGGATAAGGCAAAGAAAGAGTCGTGCCAACGAGCTCTGGATTATATGGGCTTGACAGCAGGCACGAGGATGGAGGACGTTGAGCTTGACAAGGTATTCATCGGCTCATGCACGAACGCAAGAATGGAAGATCTGAGAGCCGCAGCCAAGATCGTCGAAGGCAAAAAGGTTGCAAAGAACATCAAGCGTGCTATGGTCGTACCAGGATCTGGCAACGTAAAGAATCAGGCAGAAAAAGAAGGTCTCGACAAAATTTTCATTGATGCAGGATTCGAATGGCGTGAAGCTGGCTGCAGTATGTGTTTGGGCATGAACCCAGATATCCTCTCTCCTCGCGAACGATGTGCTTCGACCTCGAATCGAAACTTCGAAGGTCGCCAAGGTGCTTACGGAAGAACACATCTTATGTCTCCAGTCATGGCGGCTGCTGCCTCAATAACTGGCAAGCTCACGGACGTACGTAAGATGACGGATGACGCCACACCTCAGAAGGCCTCGCCAAAGATGGAGATCTCGGAACACGTCGACGATATGTCGGATGGTGAAGAGCTCGAGCGAAATCAAGACTTGCCAAACGACTCGAATGAAGGCGTTCAGCACTCTCGAGGCGCCACTGGCTCTCCAGGTCTGCCACCTTTTACAATCTGGAAAGGTATCGCAGCACCATTGGACAGAACAAATGTTGATACAGACGCCATAATACCAAAACAATTCCTAAAAACCATCAAGCGAACAGGACTTGGTAAAGCACTGTTCGATCCTCTGCGCTTCAAGGAAGACAGGTCTGAGAATCCGGACTTCATTCTCAACAAAGAGCCATATCGCAAAGCCAAGATTCTGGTAGTCACAGGACCAAACTTTGGTTGTGGCTCATCTCGAGAACACGCACCTTGGGCTCTCCTTGATTTCGGTATTAAGTGTGTCATCGCTCCTTCATTCGCAGATATTTTCTTCAATAATACATTCAAGAACGGCATGCTGCCACTGATTATGCCGGACGAAGCCAAGCTTACCGTCATTGCTGACAAAGCCAGAGCGGGTGAAGAGATCGAGGTCGACCTCCCCAACCAGGTCATCAAAGATGCTTCAGGTAACGAGCTGGCCACATTTGAAGTGGAAGAGTTCAGGAAACACTGCTTGGTCAAAGGTCTTGACGACATTGGCCTGACGATGCAGATGGATGACAAGATCTCCGAGTTCGAGGGCAGAAGGACACAAGAAACACCCTGGTTAGATGGCAGTGGCTATCTCGCACACTGGAGGACAGGGAAGAAAGGTGGTGTTCCAGGACAGCCGACAAGGATTGAGGCAGCGCCAGTACCAAAGACTAATAGAGGTGAGCCTCTGACTGATCCGACGGACTGGTAGTTGGCCATTGGGTGGAATATTTGCTTGCACATAGTTTCAACGTCGTGTGGTATGTATGGTACCTTTTTAGCATGTCCAAATAGTATCGGGTGACCGTCACGATAGATACGAGTTGATGTCTAATGGTATGTAATCTTTTTGTCCTCGCAAAAGTGGTTCCAAAGCATCTCTTGCTCCTTCTGTAGAGTCTACCTCAGTCCACATTGCACAACTACAACTTTCTGATAGTACATTCGTGAAGAGCAATCTTAGGAGAACCCTCAGTCCAATCTCCTCCGCTCCTCTCCAAACACCCACAGAACGTCCTGGAAAGAGTAAGTATATCTGAGCACTATACGCAATGCCTCGAGTCCACCACAGCCCATACGATAGGACGGAGGCCGGCCTGCAGACATTATCCACATATGTCCTCGTGCCAAAAGGTCAAAAACCTCGCTACACTCTTCCTCAATCGCGCTCTTTCCAGCTAGCGACCATCGATATCCCGCCCTTTCACTAGTAGAGGTCGTTCTCTCCCGTTTCGCAGTTGATCCGTGAGAACTAAGCCGAGCATGGTGGTGCTTGGACCTCGCATCGTACGATGCCATTCGTACGTGCTATAGCCCGAGTCGATGCCGTTTGAACCGTGGTTTTCGCGTGCATTTCCACAACGCCGATGCCGCCAAACGCGCTGTGTATGTTCAGAACAAGGAGAGAGTTGTTCTAACTGTGAACAGTCTATGCATCGGAAGAAATTGCTGTTGCATATATCGACCGATAGTGGTGATCTTCGAGGACTCCAGGATCTGCTGTATCGGGACAAGGCCCAGCAGTTTTCAGCCCAGAGTGCTTCGTGTTTTATCAGCTTGGGAATCTTCGGCTCATTGCTCGTATGTTGGCATTGGAGCCTCTTTCGGATAATGTGAGTAGGTGAGTCTATATGGTTGACGCTGGTCGGATCAAGTCTGGGTTGGTGGTTACGTCTTGTTTGCAACTTGTCGAAGAGAATGTGGCTGCCGAAGTATCGCTTCCTGGGGTCTTTCTTTTCCCAGGCCCAGTACATGGGGTCAGTTGGGGAGGATTTTTGCTCGAGAAGCATATTCTGCGAGTGTGTACCCATCCCTGTTGCTTTCTTAGGCGGTGTTCTGCAGTCTGAAAGCAATCTTAGTGATAATGTTTCTGCTGGAGTTGAGAGTGATGGGATGGGAATTGATACAAAGGCACGACGGCATTGAGGAAGACCCTTAAATATCGTCGATATGCAAGCATCTTGAGCTTCTCGTGATTCAGATCAACTGTGAAACGGGTTAAGTATTGTGTTAGACATCTCGGATACCTTTGAAATTGTGGTAAAAGCGCAAAGCTTTCCTTCGTGCCATGTCTCAGTAGAAGCTGCTACTGAGTTCTTGGTGTTTCAGTATTCGCATAATTTCCATTTCACTCGATAATTGTCTGCGAAGCCAGATCAGGTTCTTTGTTCCCTAATTAATACGCAGCTGAGGCGAAGTTTCAATGCTGTCTTGCATACTGATATACCTGTGTCATTGAACTTGAATCAATCTCTGCTGGGTCAAGTGAGAACTTTTCTGCTAGACTTCATGTCTGTCGCGGTGGTCGAACCGCATTTTGATGGTAGCCAGCCCCTCAATGAAGCAACATACCTACAACCGAGTTTGCATCTCTTGCAGGTTTCGAGTTACGTCGACATGGTGCTTTACATTCTCCTTTCGTTGTCCCAAATTCTGCCTACATCTCCAACATATTCCGACATGGTTTCCAACCACATTCCTCACTTCTAAGCTCAGCACATCAAACTTCCTCGAACGTCTCTTTTCGATTCGTCTTTGCGAAGACTACAGCTCAAGATGCCTATGTTCATCGGCTACCGCGGCCTGTGATCGTTATATCCTGGTTTTCGGCAGTATCGTTGTCGCTACCACTACCGGCAGAAGTGGCACTTGAGCTCGAAGAGCTTGCTTCATCAAAAGCAGGGTTTTCCTGCACGGTAGATTCGCGTAACAAGGAGGCGCCATATTTTATGTCGCGTTTACGCGGATCATAAGTGGTTCCATCAAAATGGAGACCGGGAGTGGAACCTTCCATATCTGAGAGGTACTGGATGGCCTGTAAGTCGATGTCGGCGAGCATATCTGCGATGAACCTATTTTCGGTTATGGGTTTGCCGGAGGCTGGTATCAATGGTTTCGACAGTTTGTGGATAGGACTGGAGGTGGTGTATGGAGGCATGTTGAAAATAGGCCTGATAAGATGCCAGAAATGTAGTGGTTATTCGCTACTGCCTAGACCGGTTTAAGGTTTCTTCCTTGATGTGTTGGTTTTCTGGTTGAAACGGAATGAGCACGCACGATGCCAGCTGTGCCCGTAATACCATTGTAATATGTAGAGAACAGATCGTGTCTTATATTTGTGATTATAACGTGAAGACATGGCTTGGCGAGCATTGCTGACAAGACAGGTGACAGATATGCGCAAACACACATTAGTAGGCACAAGTCACAATCGTACTGCGCAGATCCGTCCGCAGTGATGAGTCCCAACTCAAAGGGAGGAGAGAACTGTGTGATCGAACTTCCTCAATCTCTTTTACCAGGACCTGGGTAACCTCCATAGCCGCCATATCCGCCGTACCCACCGTGGCCAGAACTTCTAGAACCTGCTTGTGGTGCATAGCCATTCGTTGGAAGTAGTCCATTGCCAAATTTATCAGCACGGCCACTCTTTCGCCTTTCGTACAGCAACATTAACAAAGCACCGGTACCGGCACTTCCAGCCAGCGCAAAGAAAGACAGCAGTGAGAAACCAGTTCTGTGATCAGTCACTCCCACATATGGCTTGCCTGTATCTGCACTAACCATGCCTGGCAAAATAGATCCAGGTATCCAGCCCACATTGAACGTAAACTTCAAGGGCTCATTTCGAACAATCTTTGTGCCCTCTGGAACGGTATTCGGATCTGGCAGAGAATATGCTGTCGAAGCAATCAAATGTGATGGATTGGTATGGTCAAGTATGGCCGTCCGCTGTTTTTTAGACAAGTCTGACAAATCTTGCGCGTCCGTGGAGGTATGGAAGAGCACGTTGATGTTTGTATGTAGGTGTAGATGGCTCAATTGAAACACGCCTTGTAGTGCTATGGTCAATGGTGTCCATTTTGTAGCATCTGCCACGGCATTCACCCCGGGATCACTCGAGGAGGCTGCTGAATCGAGGGCATCGGTCGCTGATAACGGGTAGGAAGGTATACGACAGGACAAAGGGACGTCGGAGTGGACGAAGTACTGCAGTAGGTGGTAAAACTCGTCGCTCAAGACCTCGATGGTGCAAGTCTTCGTTTCGGGGACGCCATAGGAGAATGACAGTGGCGCATTGTTTGTTTCATTGCAGTGCAGGAAAGGAATATACTGCAGGTTTCCATGGTCATCGGTGATGTGCTCCCCAGTCTCAATGGTTCGATTGAGACATGCAACTGGTATCAGGTCGCCTTTCGAATATGCTCTGTGTTCGGCGAGAGCGCTCTCTTCGGATGACGCTGCACGCACAGACACCGACAGTGATGTGTAGAAGACCAGTAGTGCTCGAAGCAGGAGCATTGCAGTCAAAGCCATGTCGTTGTAGACAGCACAACTCGAACATTCAATCGAGCATCGTTCTACCAAGTTATATTTTTTGGCCAGGATCCAAGCGACCTGGGGAGCTGAATCTCCACATCGATCCCTGAAAGGTGCATCTTTAGTGCTTGGATAACAAGCTCCTGAAAAATGGAGGCCACACAATTTCGCGTTCGAATTAGAATACTAGGAATCGAGTGAACAAGCAGTTACTTGTACGAAAAACATTACTATTCCACAGTTTACAGCGCTACATCTTCATGCCTCCACCGAGACGCCGGAGGACAGAGTTTGGCAAGATTCTTCCATCACCCTCGGCACCTTTGACGTTGACTGGCTGTCCGTCTCCTATAACCAGCTCAACAAGGACTTTTCCAAGCTCGCCAGTCGGACTGTGCATAGCTTTGTAAACTCCTCTTCTGAAAACAGGTAAAACGACTGCCCCAGTAACTCTCATCGCCATAGAAGACCTCACCTGGCCTCCTGTGCCGCCGTCGTTTACATGGCTCAGTTCGTGGACCAGTCGCTGATCTTGCTCAGCTCCCGAGTCAACTCCTCCAGGTCGGACGTTCAGCACTTTCAGACAATCTTGTGACTGCATGAGCTCGATCAGTTCAGTCTCAGTCTTGCCCTTGATTCTGCCAAACATCTGTGTCAGAAAACCTGGGTTCTGAGTAGCGCCCTCGCCAGACACATAGACAAAGTTCAGCTGTTTGACTCCGAGGTTCGATGAGAAGGCTTTTGCTGCCTCGATCGGGTATACGCGTACGATCTCGTCATATTGCTGCTCGGACGATGTGAGGGTCTGCGACACGCCGAGAGCCCATATGACGCCAATCTTTTCGTTGTCATCGCATTGCTTCAGCTTGCTAAGGAGACCATCCTTCTCGTAATCCTTGAAATCCTTGTGCGGCAGCACTTCGATCTTAGTGAATGTGTTCTGCTTGGGCCTGTTGGGGTGTTCCAGGAGAGGAATTTCTGCTCTGCGACTGACAATAGAGAGGCGTGTGATCTTTTGCGCGGTAGGAGATGATGCTGGAAGGGAGAGGATGTGATGTAGCACTGCTGTGCCCACGAGACCGGTAGCTCCAGTAAGAATGAGGTGCATACTTTCAGGCTGGTTACGAGTAACTTGTTCAACGTCGCAGGTATGGACTGATAGTAGAAATGCAGGACATGAGTTCGTGAAGAGGGAGAACTCCTAATCAACGACAAGGTCACACAGGTGAAGGATGTTAGCGTATAACGTAGAAAACCTACCTTTTCATCTGAGATTTTTAGAAGCCGTCTGCATTCTGCATGCTCGTATAGCTGTCGCAGCAGGCAGAAGCATTGATCATCCTGGATAGAGGAAAAGATAGAAGCTCAATCTCGGGTACCGTCACGGACGAAGGTGTTAAGACCGAGTTGAAGCTCTTTCCAAATTAATTCTGATAAGGCTTTCAGGCAGCAATCATCTTCTCCGCAGGTCTGGGGTGCGAAAGTCGTTTCCCGAACGCTCTTTCTCTCTATCCATTGAATTAATTTCAGCAAGTAGTCGTGCCTGCTTTGGATCTAGGCAGTCGTCGACAAGCACTTTCCTTCTCCTAATCAAATCCTTCCTGCATTCATGCATTGGCACGCGGTACCATCCTTAGCATTCTTTACTTCCTGAACTCATGGCTACTGACCCCTCATCTAATTTCGCCGGTAAACGCAATCATGCAAGAAAGAACACTCCTGTGATTCCAGCCCTGCCTTTGTCGCTATTAAAAAAGACGCAGAGACTTCACACACCCACTCCTTCTCACGATGCGCAAATTCGGTCTGCCACGAGCGCTTCTGACCAAACAAAAGCAAAAACCGAAGATCCAGCTGAGGCCGGTAAATCAGAGCCGGACCAAGTTCGAGACGTGGTCACTCTTGCAGAAGCTCAGCATACCAACCAAACAACCGAAAATGAGATAGATCAGGTTGGCAAGGTCGAGGTAGTCAACGAACCAGCTTCGCAGGAAACATCCATTGGTAGTGAGCAGATTCCTCTTGTGCAACCACAAGAAGCCTTCGAGCAAGAGACTCTCCACAACGAAGCTGTCCCATCATCAGAGATACAGCTTCCTGAATCCTCACAAACACCTCAGTCACAGCCACTATCAGAAGGAACATTCGAACCTCAAGCGACCTCTGACGAGACCAACGGTAACGAGGTGCTGGATGCATCCAGCAACGGAAAAGTGCACCTTGTGGAAGACGAAACGCAACCTTTTGAGCTCGAAATCTCAAGTGCCGAGCCCAGCAGCACGACCGGGTTGACTGACTATGGAAGTGCTACTGGTGAATCTACTTTGGAGACTGTGGTCGATAATGCAGACTATGGTCGAAAAGCTATGAGCCTGTCGCATCGAACATCGGAAGTGGCTCCTGAAGCCCTCACTAATGGATACCTTCCTCAGTCGCCTCATGGCAGTAATACTCTGCTTCAAGCTAACGGCTCATTGCCTACTCCAGCTCCAAAACCGACGATTCTACCAAGCATTCAGGAGCATCTCTTGTTCCTTGCAAGTTCAAAGCAGTTCTTCGACACGATTATTTACGTGAATCATCCCGATCGATCCTACCATCCCTCTGAGCATTTTGGACACTACCTGTTCCTCTCAAGAAGCAACGGTTTAGCAAAGTCGATGTCCGAACCTGACCCCACTGGACAACCACAAGCTATCCAGCTGTACCCCGCGAGAAACATTCTACCTCATGCATTCGAGGCTGCTCTACGTTTTTTCTACTCCGACCACATTCTTGCAGCGCAAGCAGTACTACCTCAGGTTGGTTATCAAAACAAAGAAGCTAAAGAACAAACTTTCGAGTATGTTATGTCATACTGGTTCGCTGGCATTGAACTCGGTCTCCAGCCAGTTAAAACACGGTCTTATGAGATGGTGCAGGAGCTAGTTGATTGGGACTTGGCTGACATGGTGGCTAAAGAGCTTCAAGTTCTCCGAGCGGCCGAAGTGACCATGTCCACCATATCCGTGAAGACTGAAGTTCAAGCCGTTGCTGACAGTCTCGCTCAGCTTCTCACACGCCTGTTTGTGAGCCAACTGAACATCAGCGGTTTCACTCTTGATCCCTCCGCACCATCATGGCCATTACGCAGCAGGTTCGCGCAACTCGAGCTTCCGAGGTCTAGCAATCCTGCGCTTTCTGGGATGGTGTTCGGCTCTTTGCCCTCTGAGCCGCTGCCACAAGTAACATCTCAGTCAAATACCTCAGCAATCTTGCTCAACTTGAATTCCAAGGATTTCAAACATATTGCAGACGAAATCATTGTCCTCCACGGATCTCGTGGCGTGGGACTGATCCAAGAAGTCGTTCAACATCGGGAAGACAAACGACAACAGGTTGTAAGCAATCGGGCCGTGCCTAATAAGCAGAGAGTGGCCGACTCGCCAGCTTGGAGTGCTGCAGGCTGGAGAGAGTATGTTGACGAAGCTGGATATGTGATTCAGGAGAGTGTGGGATTTCTGTTACCGTCAAAGAGTCGTTAGGAGCCGACCGATCGTTCGCGAGGTGTTGCTATCCTGCGGCGATGTGACGGTGAACAACGCTTGTGGTTTTGCTACCTTTAGACTTGGGCGTCTCCAGGCTTGGTGGTGTCAAGGACCAAAAGTGAGCGTTTATGGCATTGCTAGCAGGCGTATTGGTAATGGGTTGTAATGAGAGGGCAAGACTTGAACATGAACGGAGGAACATGCTGACATGATGAAACGAGATATACGACTGTGCAGACATAGATACCCCGGAACCAAGAGAACAAAGTTCAGATCACCTCGACATGTGTGATGCGTGATGGATGTGTTAGCTATTCAGCCCCCCTTGCCGTGACACACTCCCTCTGCCACCGACAGTCCCGTCCACTCCTCTCCCTGCTCTTTCACTTCCACTACCCCCAACTCCTGCATTGTCATTTCTAAATCCTCCAGACCTAGCATTAACCCTGGGTAGTTCAGTGCTGTCCGAACCTAGTCCACTTCGTACGGTTGTATATCCCCGCAGCACGTCGCTCACACCACTTTTCACGATATAGGGCTTGATCAAAGCCCAGATCAGCAAACTCGCAGTCGCAAGGATGAACAACGTCACGATTGACCTGTCTTTCAGCGAGTCTCGTTCTAGCATACCTGTTAGTATCCCAGAGCTGGACGTGTCTCTTAGCGCTTGTAACATACGGAAACACTGCGCAAAGACATCCTCCTCTTTCGCATTCTTGCAAATTGGCAAGTTATAATCTAGACAGAAAGCGCGGTTGCAGTCTGCGCAGGTTAAGGTATGGTGGTGCTGTTGTTTCTTCCCCTTATCTTCCGCATTATCTTCCTGTTCGCGTACGAGGAGCGGTGATCGTGCAGAGGGCGTGCTGGATTGAGAGGGAGGAGAGTTTAGCGGGATGATGGTGCTGTTCTGAAAGCATATGCATTTGCAGTATGAGGTTGGTTGTTTTAGCGCATTGCCTGAGGTGATTAGAAGGCAGATGGCTAGGAGAAGCACTACAAGATAAGAGAAGGAGCGCATGGTAGGTAGAGGCGTGCCTCGCAGCTCGTCTTGAATTTGGTAGAAGTGACGAACTGACGAACTGAGGGCTTGGACAACCCCAATTGAAAGTGAAGAGCCACGAGATGCCATGCAAGCATGTGAACTTGAAATCTGGGGTAGTGGACCCGGAGGCTGGGCGTCCTCTCCATCGATCATCGACGCTGCTTCTTCTCTCAGATGTGCTTCTATTTCCTGTCGTTTATCAACGTTGACCTATGATACTTGCTTTGGGTTACTCTCTGTGTACGTTTTGGATCGACATTTCGTAACTAGTTCCTGAACACAAGACCAAAGGTCACTTTCTCGTTGTCAAACGCTTCTGATCACAATCAAACATGATCGGCTGCTCGTGAGGAACGAGTTACGAAGAGTCCTACTCATAGAGCTGTCAAGTGGAACGGTACAACGACATGGCAAAATTCACAGCGATCCAGCTTCTGCTCAGTCGTCGTGAGTATGATGCTCTGCAAGAGGCCATCACAGACAGCATCACCGATGACCCGAGATTTAAGCACCTATCTCCAGTAGCGAAGCCCACGCGGCCACTGACCAGGGAGCCAAGATGGACTTCTGCTTTTCGCGCTGCGACTCGAGTTTACTTAGGCACGAGTTATGGACTTCAAGGCATCCAGTTACTTTTAGCTCAATTGGCAGCTCGAAAGTCGAGGGGTGCCACTCCTCCCAGGAAACCATTGATTGCTAGTCGTCAGCGATTTGCACTGTCACTGGCAACGTTACTCTTCTGTCATCGAGTCTTGTACCATACATTGCACAGTATGCGCAAAGAGCTACTGCAGGAGCATGTACAGCCCTTTCGAGACAGGCATCCATATTTGTGGAAAGCATTAACCTGGCGACTGGCGCCCGCTGCAGGAGCAAGCTTATCTGGATTGGCTCTAGGCATCTATCCTCAAGACCAGCTGCGCGTTACGATTGCTCTCTACGTGCTTATTAGGGCAGGCGAGCTATTGTACAAAGGGGCCGAGGCGAAAGGCTACTTGAAACGGAAACCAAAGTGGGTGGGAAGTTGGATGCTAGCGGCTCTTTCTCACGGACAACTGCTACACGCTTTCCTCTTCGACCCAGAATGTGTTCCCGCGATATACAGCGATTTCATCCTCAACAACAGTCCTGAGTATCTACAACCACGGCCTTCCAACCTTTCAGAGAAGGTCAGTTGGCCCACAGGAAGGCAGCAGATCGACAGTCTTGCCCAAATGGCTGACAGGAAATGGCCTACTTATGTTTCTCCTATACTACGCCCCAAAGACCCAGTAACATTACCTGCCGGCATCAGCCCTGCAATCTCACCCATAACTGATCGAGCCCACCCAGCACTGCAATACCTATCATGTGCTCTCATTCACCCCCATGAAACATCCTGCTTCCCACCATTCCTGCGACAGATCCTGCTGTCCTCCAGCAGTATCGGAAGAACCATGACCTTGTACTACTCGGCACTATCCCTCTCCAGAATCAGCAGTCTCGTCAAGCAACCCAGCGCCTTTACCACAGCCTTGGTAACACAAATCTTGAGATCGACCGCTAGTATCGTGGCTACTATCGCAGGTATTTGGGGTTCTATTTGCTTTGGCAACAACTATCTGCCAAGATCATTCATGTCGACATTCCGATTTTTGGTGGCTGGCAGTATCGCCGGAAGTGCTGCAGCCATTGATTGGTCACCTACTGGTCATGCCAACAACATGTACGTGCTCAGGAACAGCTTAGACTCCTTGTGGAAGGTGGGCGTCAAGCGGCGGTGGTGGCGCGATGTCAAAGGTGGAGATGTGTACCTCGTCGTACTGTCATTAGCAGTGATGAATATTCTGTACGACAGTCAAAAACAGACATTCGATCATGATGGCTCGATGAGGGCGATCAAGGTCTTACGAGGTGAAATCGAGGTTGGTCTGAAGAACAAAACAGAGCATGAGACCTAGGAGAATCGTGCTGGTGAGGTCAAAGTTCTAAAGAGGGCTCTCAAAAGATGTCATAAAGAGGAGCTACCAAGAAGACAATTTTCAGACACGAAGAGTGTATCATTCGCGGAATCTGACGAGCTAATTGGGGCACACTCTGCTGGAAGTACAACGTCCGATCCAATTTCAGTTCCTCCTCAGGAAGAAGCAGGCGAAGATGAATAAAGACAGCAGAGTTATCTGTCTACTATCTGTACACCACTAGTCTCATCGAATGCTGTGGCAGCCACCAGGGCACTGATAATCAGAATGGCTTGAGAATATTTATGAACGCCATTCAGGTAGTAAACGTCCTGAAACCACGTACACTATTCTGGTCGGTAGAGACAGAAACAACCATAATGTTGTTGATCATAAGCCATGACTTTGCGAGCCTTAGCGTACAATTATATCTGGTACCGCAGAGCCAAGGGCGGATTTTTCAAGGTCCACAAGTGGAGGTTGTTGATATTTAAACAGGCTTACTTGACGTCAGGCACGGACTCGAAAAGCATTGCGGTATAGCCTTGAGGCTGCTACGGAGTACATTTACATGAGAAGCAGGGTCCTCCAAAGGGACTACAGTGTTCCTCCAGCCACTAAACTGTGCCTTGCAGTGGTCAGTTGGTCGAAAGTGCAAAGTTGGAGTAAATGAGGGTTCTTCATATTCCCAGTGAGTATATGCCGGCTTTCCGGCATCCTCAAAAGGATGCCGATGAAAGGTCATTAGTTGAGTAAAGTCTGGTCTTCTGTGAGTGCAACCAATTAAATATACTCTACTTCATCGAGAGGTGAACTCCGAAGCATTTTGCCCTTTTGAGATGATCAGCCTCAAATCTGTCTTTCTCTGTGCATTGTAAGCGCATGTGCACTAGCTCTATTCTGGAAAAGCTCGCTTGACATTGATGCAGGTCGAAGGCCACGGTCCTAGATGAGGTTCTCAGGTTTGGGTTTCTCACGCCGCCTCACGACGCATTTCGCGCTCTCTCTACACGTACGTCTTCCACATATTGTATACGTCCTATCCTCGTTCAATCATTGTTGTAGTACATCTGAATTATTGAGAAGCCCAAAATTGTTTTTGTTCGCATCTGCTCCACCACTTGTTTGATCTATCGCCAATAGTTTCCAGCAAACAAGCCGCAATTCACCTGCATCGATTGTGTCTGTCGAGCGAATAACTTGACCTGTGGAGGACCTCTGGTAAAGACTTTCGCAGGTCGATGAGATGAAAAACTCACACGCCTCAAGATCTGCTTCCGACGAACCTTTTCCAGCATTTCAACTCTTTATCCTTTGTATGCAAAGCCGTCTATTTCCCGAGATTATACCACTGACGCGACTCTAGCAATATGTCGACTAGCCGAACCAATCGCCCTCACCTCCATCTTTCCTTACGCATGGCTCATGGTCCGAGGTTTTCATATCGGTAGTGAAGATGACGCTTCTTTCTATGCCGGCTTCCTCATATCCGCCTTCAGTCTCTGCGAAGCCGCCTCAGGTATGTTCTGGGGTAGTCTTTCAGATCGAATAGGTCGCAAACCTGTCATGATACTGAGCTGTATTGGCACTCTCATATGTCTGCTTATGACCGGTTTCGCCAAAAGCTTCGCCTTTTGTCTGATAGGAAGAGCTCTGGGAGGCTTACTAAATGGATCCATGGGTGTGGTACAGACCATAGTCGGCGAAATCGTCAAGAATCCAGCTCACGAACCTAAAGCCTTTGCGATAATGCCCTTCGTATGGTCAGTCGGTACCATCTTAGGACCTGCGATTGGTGGGACCTTTGCAGATCCAGTTCGCGGCTACCCATCAGTTTTTCCAAAAGGCAGTTTGTTTGAAGAGTACCCCTGGGCTCTACCTAACATCATATGCTCGGTCATCATGCTGTGCAGCTTGGGCTTGGTCATCTTTTGTCTTGAAGAAACTCATCCTGATCATTGCAAGGGAGCTGACCCTAACGTGCATCATCACGTTACTGAGACTACTCCGATGATTATTGGTGGTAATAATGCTGCTGACCAAAGCGCTAATCTTCACGATGACCACGATACATACGGCACTTTCAACGAAGTCGAAGTGACTCGTAGAGACTCGTGGAGAGTCACGCCAGATGGTACCTTCCGAACCTCATCACTTTCGGAGCGACAAGTAGATAAGTGGTTTACTTGGCGGGTCTCCTCCATCGTCATTGCTCTTGGGATCTATACATGTAAGTTCGAAGCAACAGGTCTAGTGTTTATTTCACCACTTCTGCTAACAGGTCGTGCTTCTAGACCACTCTATGTGCTATGACCATTTGTTTCCCATTTTCTTGCAAGACTCACCTGGTACAGAGCTGAACATCTCTGCAGCAAGAAGCTCACTCTTGCACATGGAAGGTGGCCTTGGGTTATCTACCAAAATGGTCGGTCTCATCATGACTGTTGGTGGCGCCATCGCGCTGTTCATCCAGGCTGTCATATTCCCATTCGTCGCTGATCGTTTGGGAGTGTTCCGCACTTTCATGATGGTCACTCTTCTGCACCCTATTGCCTTCTTCATTGTTCCATACCTCGTTTTCTTGCCTTCGGACTCGTTGATGGTTGGTATCTATGTCTGCCTGACCATTCGGCACTTCTGCTCAATATTGAACTACCCTAGTGTACTCATTCTGCTGAAACAGGCATGTCCGTCACCTCGATATCTAGGCAAGATCAATGGATTGGCTGCATCTGTAGGCGCTGCTTGCAGAATGGTTGCACCACCAGTCGCTGGTCTACTTTACACCAAAGGTCGACAGATTGAGTTCACTGGTTTGGCTTGGTTCGGGGCCGGTGCTGTGGCAATCCTTGGAGCTTTTCAGGTGTTCTCGGTGCCTCGGGGTAGAGCGGATGGTGCGGTTGTGCATTCGTGGACTCGGCGTCTGTCAAACGCTGCTGTTGAGGACGGCAATGTGCCAAGGGAGGTCGTCAATATCACGATCTATGATGAGGGCCCGGACAGCGAAAGGCAATGATAGCGGCACGTACAGTTTCGGTGTTTGGGGGCAATTGTTATAAAACTACGAATGCGACATTCACGACCTCATGACTGGGATCAAAACTAGAGATTAGGATGCATTCCTGGCGTACATAGAGAGAAAATTGGTGTTGGCAGCGATATAGACATAGACATCTTCTAGACTCCTGGTTGTTCACTTCGGCAGTCTCCCACGAAACACGAATATCAATCAAGTACTAATCCACGATTCAACCTGATCATGCAATCGTGAAACGAACACGATACTATGCCGCCAAGCGCCAGCAAGTCACGTGTAGAGACTGCTAAATTTGGGTGTTTCACCTTGTACGATTTTCTTTGCTTTCCAACCAACCATTCGACTGGCCAGTCAACCTCGTTTCGATTCCGGCTCTTGCTTCACATCTACCATCTTATGTCGACCGACTTGCGACGTGGTCCATCTCGGTAAACGCCAGTGTGATACCGTCCACGATGATACCAAGGCGCTTAGGTAGAGACATCTTGGAATGTCTTATTGCCTCGAGGTCCTGCGTGAAGTCTACAATGTATTATTTAGTTGCGTCGAAGTCCTTGTTCGCGATCCTGTGGCTTCAGATCTGAATCCTTACCTTTCTCTTGTTCTTCTAGACTGCTGTTTTCTTTTCGCGAGAGCTGTGCTCCTTCGTTTCTGTTCTTGTTTAGACGTGGACCAACCGAGCCCGAAAGCGTTGTATTGTACCACCAACTGTCACGAGCGATTGAATGACAGATGTTCTTCAATCGACAAAGCCTAGCCAGAAGACCGTCACTCTCTACTATTGATTCTGTTGACACAACAAGGGAAAACTTGGTACCCGGCTATTCAGCTGACGCAGAACGCAAAGACATCTTCATCTCCTCCGAGCGCCATCAGACAGCCTACCCACGACCTTACGTCCCTTCACCAGCTACAGTAAATCAAGCTTGGATATCACCGGCCATGGAGCAAGATCTACCTCGACCACCTATCGTGCGGGTGCCCACTACAGAAACAAGGTACATGCAAATGTTATTACACCTTGATCGCATACCACGAGTTTACAACTTCCTTGCTGGAGTATTTACATGGATTCTGCTGGCCAGTTTTCTGATCATACCCGGTACATATACGAGTTTCAAGAATAGCGATATGTTTAAGAACCTTGAAGAGGATGACGATAAGAGTAGCGCCATTGCGAAAGCGATTATTGATTCGGCGGCTAATGTTGGCCTATTGTGGTTGAGCGGCGCATTCTGCATTATTGGAGGCACTGGCTGTCTTTTCTTATGGCTGAGATGGAGGAAGAATTATGTCTGGCTAGTGAACAAGGTATTTTTGTAAGTCTCGAACAGTAGTATTCCTGGGTGCATACTAACACGCTGCTAGGCCAGCTATGCTCAATTCAGTAGCAGGCTTGCTCACCACGATCGTCAATGTCTACACGGCACAGAAGGGAGTTTGGAGCGTCACTGCCAGGATCACGGCTATTGTGACTGGCTGCTTGATAGCAGTTGCTGGTGGGCTCTGGGGCGCTTACAATTTCTGGTATGGATTCAAGTAAATTCATACCTAATCTCAAGCTAATGATTACAGGATACTTGAAAAGGTTCGAGATGCACATGAGGCAGCTTACTATCCTGACGAGAAGCGAGACAACGTGTAAAGAAAGGAGAGGCATTCTCTGTAGTTGCCAAAATTAGCGGACAACCGTGCAATAGAGGTGCACTTTCCTTACCGGCCATGATGGAATACTACTAACGACAAGTTGAATCCTACTCGATCTTCGTCTTTTTCACATCTTCAGTCTCGTTGCGACGACGACCTTGTTACCTAGTATCCTTAGCACCATTATCCGCAACAAATACTACCTAATACTATTTACAGCATGGCTCCAATCTTCGTGGCCTCCCCCGCAGCTAGTCGAAGAACACGACGCAAGCAACAACGACAGCGAAGACGGCAGTATGAGAGGAAAAGGCAGGCTGATTTCTGGTCACGATGCAAGGCGAACTCTGCAATTGTTCAGCCACAGAATTCGATAGCTGCTGCATTGTCCACCAACGTTACTCCTACCTCTGCAACACCTCACCAAAGTGGTCAGTCTCAGCCTCAGTTGGATGGTATGCTCAAGCCAAGTATGTTGTGTTCCATTTATGGTTGCACGGGTAGAGACTAACACCGGTAGCCTCGAATCCTTATTCGATCTTGAACGTCGAGATTCCTTCGCCCGCAATACACTTTCCCGCTTCGTCGCCACAGCCTGCAGAACCCTACTACCTAGCCGCCTATCAAGACATCTATGGCATTGGTCACTCTGCTCATACCGGTCTGCTCACTCCACCACCTGAACCCAAGATTACAGCGGTCCTACGGGGGGATGAATAGGCTTCGTCTCTGCAGAAGGAGAGTGTGGTTACAAGATCGAAAGGCTTCTTGGCTGATGGGAACCAACAGGAAGTCACTGTTGAAACCCCAGTGGCCACGAGCCTGCTCGACTCTAATCCCAGAGTCCCAACGTCCTGCTGTTTGATGCAGCCAACATATCGAGTTCCAAGCCCGCTGCTATACCATCGAAGGAGCAATGCTACGGCTACAGATCCCATGAACGCTCAAGCCCCAAACACGCCTAAGGAGCCATATGATTGGTACAACTCGAAATGTACTCGATTAATGTCTGAGATTCGTGCTGTTGGACATCAAGAACAACCATCTGAGGTACAAGCCAAGCAGGGACAGCCTTTCGTCGCTGCAAGATTGCCTCTGATGAGTAGAGCTCTGCCGTCCGAGGACTCGGATGAAGGTGGTGTGTTATTGCCTTCGAACAACACTCCCGAGACAAAGACCATCTTACCTCCTATCGTCACCACAACCAGTACCTACATCCTTCCGAAGCCACCGACTTCATACCGGATCGATTCTTCCCACAGCAATCTAACCTTGACCTCGAACCAGAACCTTGTCTTTCCAAAATTGACCATGCCCAGACTTATCGAACGAATTTCCGCCAGTACGAATGCAGATCGAGCATTTAGTCAAGCTTCAGCTCCACAGAATACGGCTCAAACTACAAAACCTGCAACAACGCCTTGTACAACCTGTACTCCAGCCTCAATATCAAAATCATCAAGATTGAGGGGAAATGCTTCGTCAAATGGCTCCCTTGACACTTGTTTCAATGTCGTTGCAGCTACTGAGAGCCGATGTCTTTTAAATCCTGCTAGCACTACTTCTGCTGAAGCTATAGATGGTACACACGCATTGAGGACACAGCAGCCAGATCACAGAGAGTCATCGTCGGTCGCGTGTACGCCTGCAGCAGCACTTCCTCCACCGTTCGGAATGTGTGCCTGGACTTACTTTAGACCAGAGTATGGCACAGAGATTGGAAAGATGGTCGACTGGATTTGCGACGACATCGAGGCTCAGGCTCAGGCTCAATCAGCCGCCAGCAACCGAGCCGATGATCAGCTTGAGAGTGACGATGTAAAGGAAAGCTCAGCTTCAAACTCTCTCACAGCGTCACAGCTTCTATCGCAGAACCTGGAAGGTGACGAAGAGGAGATCTCGGCGCTCCCAAGTGATGCGAAGGACCTACCACGAACCATGACTTGTGAATCCGAAGAGGAAAGTGAGATCTGCTTTGAGGAAGTAAGTGAAGACGGCGAAGGCTGGTCGTGGGACGATGATTTGTGGGAGACTGCTTCACCCAGTCCTGCCAGTGAGGTCGATACTATGCTCGGGGTTCTCAGCACCTGGTAGGCCTAACTCGAGAAGCTGGGTACGGCATTGAGATTTAATCAATTCAGACTCCAAGGTTGATGCGAAGGTGGAGATGGAAGTACGTAGACAGAGGCTTGTAGCACATTGCCCATGAACAACAGCGGCGGGCTATATATAGACTCTGCGATACTCTGACGACAAGCAGACTTAGATTGCCAGGATTCGTCGTCCTCGACAGCCTAGAGTCAGAGGTTAGATGAATAGCTTCATACTTCTTTCCCCTAACCTTCTTCGTCCATTACTACTAGAGCATTTTATCTGCACTGATATTACGCCTACGCGACCCGTGCAAGAGTGATCGGAAGTCATCGAGAGTCTTCTTCATTCAAAGTTGATCAGAGTTGTGTAAAGTCAATGAGAGTTGTTCAAAGTTATTCAAAGTTACGCCAAGTCTCGTAGGTTCGAATTTTATTATACTCGAAACACTATTCAGTCGTGACATAGCAGGCCAGCTAACATGTGATAATTTTAACACGACACGTTTCATGAATACGAAGGTAGTATACTTCATTCAAAGCGTGGGGAGCAATGGTATGGTATGGTATGCAGTACTCGAATTACGAAGATATAATCCAGCGTGGTCGAGAGAGAGTAAGGACGGAAAGAATGCTGTAGGAGAACGGGCGATTGTTATTATCATTATTGCAGCCGCTTTGCGTATCGGAATTGATCACATGTTGGCTCCAGATTCCTGTGGTCAATTCCTGGCTATGTACGTATTGCTGGGATTGGGTTGTGGTCTGGTGCCTAGGTCAAAGCTACCTCCTCCAACTCGATGGATGGTGGCTCTCTTTGATCAACCGCATAGCTTGCATGCTGCACAGTTTGAGGGTTAGGCTAGATAAATCTTGGTCTCTTGTGCACGAATCCGGCTCATAGATTCGCTTCCCACCACAGGAGACGGCGCCTCAATGCCAGAGACCTGTCCGACGTGCTTCAAACAGGTTGTTGCTTTGTGAGATGTGCTATCTTAAGCTCTAGTATGATCATCGGCTGAACATATGAGTATGGACAGCTAGATGTGATCTTCGGAGGTGTTCAGATAAAATAGGGCTGGGGGTCTTGTTGCAGGTTGAAGGATGGATTGCCGTACTGCTTGATGTCGTGGTGGACTAACGAAATCGCGTTCGCCAAGTCAACTACGCTTGCGAGGGCGAATGCTCAAAGGGTGGGGGCGACAGACTACAGACTGTGAGTGCACTCGTTTTGCGACACTCCTATCTTGATCTGCAAGTGAATTTTGGCCTCGATTCAATAGTAGAGCCTGCATTGGTGCAACCTCGAGTATTATGGTATCTTTAGCTGAGATCGCGGTGACATGAGACTCATCGGCACAGCATATGTGTGTCAAAGGCTTCGTTTTGACACCATGCCACGTGGCAGTATTGATGAACAATATGTCTCCAGAACTCTTCCTCAGTTTGAGGACGGTTCAGAAAATCGAGTCCGAGCTGTCAATCTGTTCCACTGTGGTTTAGTGTCGTCCTTAAAGACAGCATCCCAATACCTCAGAGCCTTCTTGCAGATGTCTTTCTTGCCTTTCCAGCTAAGGATGGCATTCTCATACTCGCATGCAATCTCTCTGACCACATTCCACACTTTCTTCTCCAGGTCGAAGCCGAAGAAGTCGACAGCTTGCTCCTCGTTATCGAACCAAATTCTTCGCATGTTCTGATCACTATCTTTCGTTGGACCTGTGGCGCCGAAACTCTCATAGTCAAAGATTTGGCCAGGATCTAGTTTCGGGAGGTTGACGTGAACAAAGTATGGCCTCGGATACATATCTCCCAAAACCAGCGCAGCTTCTTGCTTCTCGTGATCAGGATCGAAGTCCTGCATTGGATCGAATTGTGCCATGGCTGAACCTCTCCATTGTCCATCCTTTGTCTGATAACCGAGTGCTCTGACTCCTGTTGTAACGTGGTAGAAAGGTTCTCCTAGTACGATTGCAGACCACATAAAAGTCTCCTTGTCACCTTCTCCTGGAGCACCCTGGCTAAGCAACGGATAGTAATAATTTGGACCGTAGTAGTTGTAATATGTTGCTAGGAGGAGGCCTGCATCGTGCTTGCTTTTCGAATACAAGATCTCGCCTGCTTCAGTGCTTGCACGTTCGTAGACTTTCGGTTCTGGTATAGCTGCAATTTGGAAGTACAGGAATGATTCGGAAGGAAACCAAAAGTCAGGCCAGAGTACAAGGCCAGTGTCGTTGAAGGGCGCAGACTCGAACAAGTCGTTGGCATTGTGGATAGGAAAGCAATCGCTGTCCAGAAAGAGCACTTCCTCAAAAGATGAGAACAGTATAGACATTATCTTGTACTGATATTTCTCCAAACCGTGCTTGCTTGTCTTCTTGTCGTAGTCCATCACATCTTGAAGCACAATACATCGTGCATTCAGCGAGGGCAAGATTTTACTGCAGATGACAGGATCCCACTCTGACCATGTGGAGAGAAAGACTTCCACGGGAAGGTCTGAGTTCGTCTCGCGGAGCATACGTATGCTGACTAAAGCGACAGGAAGGTAAGCACCACCAGCAGTTGTGACAATGCCTCTGGTGCCCGGGTTGTATGGCACTCGATATTCTCTACTACGAAGCTTTTCAACAAATGCTGTATGCGACTTGCTTAATGCTTCCCATTGCTTGACCATCATCTGCAGGTAATCTGGCCGTCCTCGATGGTCGGATGCATCGAAGCTGATCTCCAGATGCTTGTCCTCCGGATGATTGAGAGGTGGCACGTATGGTCCATGGATTTCGAGGTCCACGATGAATTGCTGCCAAAACTTGCCCTGTTGCTCGAGCAGTTCATCACGTGGGGTCGCGTAGTAGTTGAAGGTTGAGCTTGACCGGATGGTTTCTTGCTTTACAACCAGGAGGAGAGCTATAAGCGCACAGATCAGTATAGTCGTGATCAAGCGCCTTCCTGTCGTGAAGATTGGCAAGCCTGACATGGCCAGAAGTCCTTCAAAGAACAAAAAAGTCGGGCTGGAAGCTGTGTGAGAGCATTGGTTCGCTCTTTCCGGTTAATGTTCCGCTTTTCTGCCAAGCAGGGACGAGTTGTGAGATTGCATGCAGGCAGTCTGTCTGTTGGTTGATTGCCGATGCAAATAACTTTGATCTGATAGCAAAAGGGAATGAGTCAGCGAGGACGAGAATCTAGGAAGGCATGGATAATGGCTCAAGCGAGCCGTCAGCATTCTTGCCCGTCTCACTCACGAATCGGACGAAATGTGTCTGTCTCACTATACAGGGGTAGGTGATCTTTCAAAGTTGATAGCGAAGCTTGGCCCACACATCGGCAGACAAGTCGAAGGAACATGGCTTGCAGCTTATCATTGCACGTGGGTGATAGTCATTCGATATGTGATGCGAAGACACGTGTTCCATTTCTACTAGTGCTATCGTGTTCAAGAGGGCTAAATTGAGCGGGATGATCGCATGTGGTTGGCTGGTAGTGTGCCTCTACCGGCCATGGTTTCCACCTCTGGTCCGTTGCCATGTTCTTTGAATATTCAGCAAGCCACAGATACCAAAGAAAGACCACACCCGCGAACAAACATCTCTCACAACAGGAGGAACATACCATAGCATTCAGGATGGCGGGCAAGCACTTGCAGACAATATGAGATGGCACTGGACATTTACAGCGAACTGCCTGGGCGAACAACCATTAAAGTCGGGAGAGGACGTCGAGCCTTCTTATCATATGCCCATGGAAGAAGAGATTGCTTGTACATTATATCATCCCTGAAGCATAGAATTTTCAGCCACAGTTTGCGGCTAGTGGAATATGGCGTTGATGTATTCTCTTGAGCGCTATATCACCACTTCTGCAGTCCGGTGTATCCCATGCATCCCTGCAGTAGACCCGTCAGAACATCGTCCCCTTGATTCAGTCTATGCATCTGTGTTCTTCTCGGTCTTTGATGTGGCCTCCTTTGCATGGTCCTCGAGTGGGTGCTTTGGATTGCTCTCTAGACCTGAAAGCTGGTCATCTTTGCCTTCGTTCTTGGCTTTCGAGTTGTCAAGCTGTTCAGAAAGATGTTAGCATTTTGCTAATAAGAGACGCTGGATGCTGGTTGCGAGCATTGTTCCGAACAACAAATCGTTGGTTGAGCGAGGTATTGCCTTGGGGCGGAGTTTGCAAACATGGAAGGAGTGCTTTGACTGACCTTTCCACTGCCTGGCTGACCTGGATGTGCCTGAAGTTGGTCGTCGGATTGTCGCTCCGGTTCAGGAGACTGTCGTCCTTGGTTTGGTGCAGACATGGTGGTGGTAGGATGTGGTTGCTCTTACAAGAGATATGTTAGATTTGAACTCGTAACAAACTCAGTGGGCATACATACTTGGTTAGGTACTTGCAAAGTCGTTTTCTCAAACAGTTGTTTTCGTTGAAATACTGCTGAACAAAAAGATTCGTATATCAGGGTGCCAGCCCACTTGCTTTGCATGAACCGCATTCGGGTTTACGTCATATGCGCAGCGCTGACTGTCAGCCATTTTGCTGAAGAGGAGTCATGCCTTGGAAAGTGCACGTGCAGAAAAACGGCTCGGATCGTGCTGACTAGATTTTATGCCAATACAAGTTACCAAACAGCTCGCTATTTTGACAAATGTTGATTCCATTACTCTCGGCTTGACAATTCAGCGCGAACCACGATTACGAGTAAGACTGACGGCAGAGAGCCTAATGAAAGCCAGAGCAAAGGAGTGGACACGGAGGGGCCTGATTCTAAAGATCACGAGTGTGATCAGAGTGGTGACCAATAAATACATTCAATATCCTATAGCCTTGGTAAGCAGGTGAGGAGCGCCCACCAGAATGAACCAAATCAACTTTTTTTCTTGCTAGTTGACTCAAAGACACAACCTCATCGAAGCTCTTGTCACATTACACATTACCCCTCCAACTCAAACATACACAGCTTTTCCTGAGACAACGACATTAGTGTGTTATTGTCGTCATCGTGGTCTTCCATCCGCTCAAAAGCAATCTCAAAGTATTCTGCTCTGCCATGCAGTCATTTGAGATTCATGAGGCTCGGACTTGCAACGCCGAGGTGGACGTTCCTGATGGCCTGACAGGTCATGCAGCTTCGTGATTTGCTCTCACGAATGACCAGCTGAACGAAGTCTGGGCATTGCTTGTGCAGTTTGTGCTTGCATGCGTCTTTGTCGACCCTGTATACCTGGTGATGACCGCAGCGCATTTTGATCAGCCGCTCAAGACACATGTTGCTGACAGATCGATTACGTTTTTGGACGCGAAAGGACAGCTTGAGTCAATCTCTATACACAGTCGATCAGTCGCCGCGCTTCAGGCTGTGTTCAAACAATGCTTCTTACTATTTTCCAATTTGTTATATATATGAACCAGTAGATCCAACCTATGGCTGTCTCATCAGAGGTACCTGAAGATCTTGATCGTAGTCCTGCCCGTGGCGATCGCCAGAGCCGGCAAAATGTGTCGGGCCAGTTAGCCAGGCTCGTCGCACGCCTCGGTGAAGAGAACGATCGTGGAAGTAGAGGGTTTGTTCATAATCTGGCGGATGGTGTAGTAAGTGAGTAAAGATTTGTCTAAGAAGCGAGATTTCCCACGCTTCAAGGTGAAAGGCGCAATTTTTATCAATCTGGTAAAGGTGCAAGAGCGCAGTGTGGTAGGGAAAGAAGGAAGTAATGGTTGCAAAGAGCAAAAAGCGAAGAAAAAGCTTACCATAGTGTGGGTGACTATTACCGCGGATCAAGAAAGCGGATGTCACTGACTCGATTGCGTGTGCCTGAGGAGCCCGCTGGTGGTGAACTTGAGCACCTATCGTCACCCTTAAGTCGTGTTCGTTTGCAACGTGTTTGTGCCTTTGACCCGGTGGTGGCCACGCCAAAAGCTTTTTGACACTTTTCGGTGAGGTCCCATAGACACATCCAAGAGGTAATACGGTTTGTAACAAACGGCCGTTGGCTGAAATGCACGGTTTTGTCCTAACGGTTGGATTGGCTGCAAGCGCTAACAAATGAATCATCATGCATATCGTTGTTGTCTATGAACTACCTGTGTTTTACTGGTTCAAAAAATAAAATCGCTGTCATCTTTGGGTATCGCACCAGAAGCGACTAGTCATAAAAATCATATCGTTCAGTATCCCTCCCGCCTATCGCATATCCTCTCGTGCTCAGTATGCAGTGCCAAACGTCTCCTTTGGCAAGTGCTGACCCGACGCCTGAGCAGCCTCCTTGACCTCAGAGGTTGCCTCTGAGGAAGCCTTGGAACAACCCGCACAAGCACACTTTCCAGGGGCGCACCCGCAAACACCATCTTTGCCTCCGCAAGTGCACACAGTCTTCTGCGTACCCTGGACCTCCTGAGGAGGGTTTTCCGTCTTACTAGGATCATCACTCTTGCTGCAGTTGGCGCAAGAGCACTTGCCTGGTGCACAACCACAAACGCCCTCAGAGCCACCACAGCTACAAACTGTTTTGTTTGGCTGTCCAGCGACTGTATGTGGTTCTTCCTTGCCGGGACCCTTCTTCATATCTGCCAATCTTCTGGCTTCATTGTGTACATCGGTAACCTGCTTCTCACCCTGCACATAAAAGTCGCGAAGTTTTTGTCCGGTGGGTGTGTTGAGGGCTTTCTCGAAATAGCTGTTCAAACCACCCCAAGCACCCCAGGCCTTGTCGGTCACCTTGTACTTGTTGTCCAGGTCCTTAGACTTGTCGGTGACCTTGTATTTCTGGTCGAAGTTGGAAAGAACGGCTGTGAATCTGTTGCTATAGCCATGCTGCTTGTCAAGGTCAAGAGCCTTCGTGATGACGTTATCGGACAAAGCGTAACCGTGAGCAAGATACTCGGCAACAATTCTTGATCGAGGCTTGTCCTCTTGAGAGATGTGATCCTCAGCAGCCTGAGCTGCACTTGTAGTTGCTGAGCCAGCCTGTGTAGCCACCTGGTCTATGCTTGAGGCTGACGATACATGTACTTGAGACTTTCCAAGCTGAGTATTGTCGAGTAGCAAAGCGGTTTTGGCAGCTGTCTCTTTCTCGAACGTGACAGTGGCCGACTTCTCGGCATTGGCATCGCCCGATACTGGTGTAATGGAGAGATTGGTGATTTTACCACAGAAGGAGAAGAAATCCTGAATAGAATTAGTATTGGCGAAACGTTTTCAGTGAAGTAAGTGCTTACCTTGACCTCTTTCTCCGTTGTCTCGTGAGAGATTCCTTTAACGTGGACGGTTGTCGACATGGTTTCCGTTTGGATGTGTGGGTTATGACTTTACGAAGATGAGTGCTTCTGGACGAGTCCAAGTAGTTTGTACAAATTCCAAGGAGGAAAAGGCGCAAACAGAAGGTTATGTAGTAGAGGTTGAGTGCTCTCCGCGTAAAACACAGTTTCAGGCTCTTTCGAAGTACGAAGAAGGTGCCGACGTCATCCTATTGAGTAGCGGGGTGGACGCCACGCATGTGCACTTGTCCAGCCACATCAGCCACATATGAGGCGGTGTTAATGGACATCAATTTGGGAGGTGCCTATGTAGTGGAACACGAAGTACGAGCCATGCTTTTTCACTTACAAGAGTGTCCGGAGTCGAGTATGTGTATTTTGTCTCAAACATACATTGCTGTATACAAGTATGCTGCTTTCGGACTTGTTGTTGAAGGGCGCTGCGATTGACAGTTTATATTTGACCGTCGCTGGTGTCGCAGGTCGACTAGCTCAACCCCCACTCCCGGTCGCTGTTTATATGATTACCTATATTTCGCCAAAGATCTAGCAAACGACACTGCCTCGTCGTCTTCGTGTCGAACAAGCCCTAAGTCTGTACCGCCAACGCCTTCGCTCAAAATCAGATGTGGCTTCATGCCTTCATTATCCATCCACTATATGTCATAAAATCGAAAATCCGATTGGCTTTGTTTACATCAATCTGGTCATAGTCAGTATGTGTCACGAGGATCAGACCAGGATTATCTTACTCGACAAACCCCTCTGGCTTCCTTCTTCCTCATCGCCCCACCTTGCTTCATGGCTTCCCGGAGAAGTCCTTCCTTGAGTGCCAGGTATGGTTTCGGTCGAATATGCAGTACATTGCAAAGCTGGATTTCTTCTTCACTAAGTAGTTGCAGATCTGGTGCGAGGGTTTTCTCCTCCTCCAGCTTCCAAGGTGTCACTCCATTCAACGGCTGAATCACATATCGCGTCTTCGCTTTGGGCGCCGAATTTGATTCAGTTCCGTTACCTTCTGCGAACATTTTATCAAACTCGTTCTCGACAGCCGGTTGGCTATCGGCAAATATTGGTGCCGTTTTGGGCTTGCGCTGGAAACGGAGTGGTAGATCAGGCGCAACCATTCTTGATGCTTCGCTTGGCACGTTCTCGGTTTCCTTCTCCTTTCGCTTCGGGTTGTACTGAGTCATCCTATCAAACTGGCCTTGAGGCTGTATCCTTATTGCTCGAGCTGCCTTCTCTTGCTCGTATTTTTCACCTTGCCTGAGGTCCGTGACCCCGTGCCGGCGCCAGTCTTGAAGTTGTGTGATGGCTTGACGAAGATTATGCTCCAAGAGCAAGTCTTTGGTAAATGCCTCAAAGTCATCGTGGTTCATCATTTTAGCGAATGGTTTAGCTTTGTGCAGTAAGTCGTTTTCCTCCTTGGTGCGTCGCTTAGCAAGTGTCTGGTTCTTTTTGTATTCAAGCAACTGGTGTTCGAAGATGACTTTCTTGCGTTCTGCTCGTTGCATCAGTTTCGAGTTGTAGATATCGAACACCGTCATCTTTAGAATGGTCTCTTCGTCCATTTCACCAGTAGTTGGGTCAATACCTTCGCCAGGCTCGAAGGTCATATGTTGAACAGCTTCTTCGGCGTCGTTAAGATGTTCAGTCTCGAATTCCAAGCGACCAGGCATAAAACCTTGCACTTCGTGGCATGCTGGTACGGAGGCAGTAGGCTTCTGCTTGGGTGTGGCAGGTTGGGCAGACTTGGCGGCCTCTTTTCTTTCATCTATTCGCCGTTTCTTCCTGGCTTGAAACTCCTCTTTTGGTACGCGCTCGGTGATCTCAGTGTTCTTCGGGTCGGCCAACTCAGGCAAGGGAAACAACGAGGATTCGATATAAGTGTGGATATAGTGATCTCTGACTTCGTCCTTCTCACGATAGCCGCCAATATGCTCGGCCACGTCAGCCCAAGAACCCAATCCATACCTCTCTGACCCTTCTAGCATTAACAACTCTTCATCGGCGCCCCAGTCATCGGTATATATTGGTATGGAATTCTGCTCCACCACTCGGTAGGGGTGCGTCTGAGGATCGTGGTTCTTGTCTCTTCCACCTCGGGCGAAACATTGTACACAAAGGTCGAAGTCTCGACATGCAGGATCGGCGCAGCTGATGCGAACAGTCGAGGTAATGTCTATCGAGCATACATCGCAGTGGTATTTGGTGCCTCCATCGCTGCCTCGCGAGGCTGTGGCTTTTCTGATTACACCCATCACCACACTATTATCGCATCACTACGCTGCCAAGTTATGTTTGGAGTGAGTGACTGTAGTGGATCGCGAGCCCGTAGCGCGTGAACAGCCTGCTGCTCGTCGCGATATACGTCGTTGTTGCCACCTTTAGTTGTTCGGCTCTGAGCCCAAATTTTTGCTTCAGTCGGTCCTCAAAGTAAAAGGGATATCAAGGACGACTCGAGCTGTCCTTTTCGTTTGTGATTGACCTCGGCCACAGCCCAGTTATGCCAGCACAACAGCCGTTGGTGTCCCCTCGAAACATGCTGTGAAGTCACATCTCACGTGAGTCTGGCTCCACAATAAATTCGACCGAGAGCGCTCGGTGGGCGGCCTCGAGACCCTCCGCACTAAATAGACTTGCCCGCGGGCTGTGCCTCCCCTACCGTGGTAACAGTTGACTTGCCCACCTGTACCACTTGATCACGTAAACCAGGATCGTTTCTGTAGTCCTGTCAAACAATTACACCTGTTCCGTTCCCTTCAGAACTATCCCTCAAGCCGTTCGAGTGGCGCAGTCTTGCTTGCAACAACTTCCGCAGCATCCTTCGTCACCGCGTTCTCGTGTTCACTTGTCCCTCTCTACCATCACTCCTTAAGAAAACAGTCTGCAGGTCCAGACACTAAGAGAAGCTGGGGTAATTTTGTATAGGTGGCTCTGGGCCTAGAACTACATCATGTCGTGGAAATTGACAAAGAGTGGGTGTGATCTATTCGCCCAACATTGTCGAGGCTAACAAGTTGTAGAATTAAAAGAGACTCATCTGGCGCCTTTGACGAGTGGCTTCAGCAGTAGATCAACCTCAACATCCACAATCAAGCACGAAGATGCAACTACCACCTCAGCTCCAGAGACTGGCGATACAGCCACCACACCTAATTCTGCCAATGGAATTGCCGCGTCAGAACACCTCATCAACCCTCCTGTTGCGACCGTGAAGCCAGGTATTCTCATAGTGACCCTGCACGAAGGAAAGTCCTTTTCGCTACCCCAGCAATACCATTCAGTCTTCAACTCGTATTACGGTCAGGCAGGCCAAGCAGGATCGGTACGGCCGACATCGTCTTATGCACCAAGCTCAGCTGTGGGCTCCTATTCACAATCAAGTCGTCCAGTATCAACACATTCTGGAATCAACGCTGCACCAACGAATCATGGAAGATACATTAGCAAATACCTTCCTTATGCATTACTCGACTTTGACAAGAATCAGGTTTTCGTGGATGCTGTGTCTGGTACACCCGAAAACCCCCTCTGGGCCGGCGATAATACTGCCTTCAAGTTTGACGTTTCAAGAGTGACAGAATTGAGTGTACAGCTCTACCTGCGAAATCCAGCTGCAAGACCTGGTGTGGGTCGAAGTGAAGATATCTTTCTAGGAGGCGCACGAATAACACCACGTCTAGAAGAAGCAAAGACATTTGTCTCTGATCCCAAGAAGAGTAAAAAGGACAATGAGAAGGCGGAAGCTGCCTTCAATACCAGCGAGAAGCAGGCTGGACAGTTGGGCGCAGAGTGGCTGGACATTCAGTTCGGTACTGGTGCTATAAAACTTGGTGTCAATTACGTCGAAACAAAACAATCTACTCTGAAGATAGAGGACTTTGACCTGTTGAAAGTCGTTGGTCGAGGAAGTTTTGGCAAGGTGATGCAGGTCCTGAAAAAGGATACCGGTCGAATTTACGCCCTCAAGGTCATTCGCAAGGCACACATCATCTCAAGATCTGAAGTCGCACATACGCTAGCTGAAAGATCGGTACTGGCGCAAATCAACAATCCCTTTATCACGCCTCTCAAGTTCTCCTTTCAATCGCCAGATAAGCTATACTTTGTTTTAGCTTTTGTCAATGGCGGCGAGCTATTCCATCACCTGCAACGTGAACAGCGATTTGATATCAACAGATCAAGATTCTACACCGCAGAGCTACTATGTGCACTCGAATGTCTACACGGCTTCAAGGTCATCTACCGAGACCTGAAGCCAGAAAACATCTTACTGGATTACACTGGACATATCGCGTTGTGTGATTTCGGTCTATGCAAGCTAGATATGAAAGATGAGGATCGCACCAACACATTTTGCGGCACTCCGGAATATTTGGCCCCTGAATTGCTTCTGGGCCAGGGCTACACAAAGAGCGTGGATTGGTGGACGCTCGGTGTACTTCTTTACGAGATGTTGACAGGTCTCCCACCTTTCTATGATGAAAATACTAACGAGATGTACCGGAAGATTCTCCAGGACCCCCTCCAATTCCCTGGACCAGAAATCGTCCCAGCCGCAGCCAAGGATCTTCTGCAACGTCTTCTCGACAGAAATCCCGAACGAAGACTGGGCGCAAACGGCGCCGCCGAGATCAAAGCACACCATTTCTTCGCTAACATCGACTGGAGGAAACTGCTGCAGCGCAAGTACGAGCCAAGCTTCAAACCGAATGTGGTATGTGACATCTACACCATTGACTCATTCCATCACTAACAACTTTACAGGCCGATGCACGAGACACCGCCAACTTTGACCGCGAATTTACCTCGGAAGTGCCCAAGGATTCATACGTAGAAGGACCGATGCTATCAGAAACAATGCAACAACAATTCGCTGGCTGGTCATACAACAGACCTGTCGCTGGATTTGGAGACGCTGGCGGTAGTGTCAAGGATCCGGCTTTTGGCAGCATTCGGTGATCACATGTATTTAACTGTATATTTGAGTGTTTACGAATACAGTGGTAGAGATACAGCAGAGACATTGCAGTGGTCTTTCATCGGTATTTTTGAACCGGCAATGCCTGGCAGTGAGGCATCTATATAGACACTCAGTTCGCTGCACAAAGGTCTTGGATTCAAAGCTCCTTTCTTGGGATACTGCCATTTCTTCTTGCCGTGTCCTTATCCACGAGTCGTTACACCTCGAGAACCTCATGTTTAGGCTTGCAGCTTGTAATGGTGATGTTCAATCAGTATTTCTTTCGAAGTCTTCAAGTGTGACCTTTCCTCGCAAGTTTGCTGACTCTATAGCATGGTGCCAGTCCCTGGCAGCTCGTAGACTTCGTATGAATACAAGGATGTATATTCGAACACTTTGGTTTGGGGCTCTCGGGAAGGCAGCACATAAAATGATGTGTCTTCCTCGAGACCACTCAGGGTACAACGCCGCTCCTGGAATTCGTTTGGTGTCCAAAACACAGAAGTGTTCTTCTTTTTCAAAGGTTTCTGTACCATCGTCGTCTACCAGAGACTCTTCACCACCCCTGTTTGGCCATCTTCCTCGCCCTAGCAGTCTCAGCAATATACCCCTCCTTAAACAGCTGCCTCCACCTCTCCCTCCTCTTCATCTTCTTCAGCTGGCCCTGCCTGATATGATATTTCTGTCTCAAGATATCCTTTCTCACGTCATTTCCTCGACTGTTGATTCTCGACTCTAGCAACTGAATAGTCTTGGTCAAGTCAAAGACCTCAGTGACGCGAATTTGCCGACCTAGACTGGGCGTGAGTCGCAAGGATTCTTCTCTGGAGGCGTTGAGGTCGCCTACGAGGTTGCCCATCACACTGTTGTTGATGTCGTTGGCTGAGCGAGGTGGTACCATTGATCTGGGATTGAAGGGGGAGGATGGCGATGTGGTGGTGCGCTGCGATAGTGAGCCGCCTCGGCCGTAGTGGTCGCTGTTGAATTGTGGAGGTGTAGCTGTGGCTGTGGACGTTCTTGTTCCTCCGCCACCTTGATATTTTTGCTTTTGTTCTGCTAGGAGTTTGTCGAAGATGCCCATTGCTGTGCTCTTGGCGTCTGGACTTGGTGGTCTGGCTGGTTGAAGTCGATCGGGACGTCTGTAGTTTTGGTTGGATGAGAGAGAGGAGAGATCCATGCTTGGTGGTTGTTGAGATGGGCGTTGCGTCCGTGGTTGGGCAGCTTGTGTTGGAGTCTTTTGCTCGTCATCTCGTCGGCGTGAGGATGTCGTGAAGGATCGATGGGAGGAGGGTCTGCTTGAGTTGGAGGACAGGGATTGTGATGTCTTCCTGGTCGTGGCTCGCATCGATGGACGCGATAGAGCTTGCATGTCTATGTGCATATCGTGAACGCGTCTGCAGAGACTCGCCGAATTCTGCATTGTGGTAAACTGAGCGCAGGGAGAGCTCGACGATACAGTATTTGATTGATGGGGAGATGAAACTCGACTCGATCGCAATTGCTGTGCTGAAAGAGGAAAGCTGTAACCAGCCAATCACAGCAGCGAATCTTCGGATTCTCAGGATGAAGAAGGTAGAGCGGACAGCGTCTAACTTCTGTACAAGTTTGGCCACATATGGGATGAATGATTAGGTCTCCGCAGTAATCGAGTGCGAACTGTCTCAGTACATGATCTTGTTGAAGCCTGCCTATAGAGAGACTTCAAAGATGTCAAGCACTAAAGCGGCCTCAATAACACTCTCATCTCTCAAATATATCAAGCCCGTAGACCTAGCAAATTCTCTACAGGATGCCGAAACCTCCTCCAAAGTAGCCATCGTCGACGTGCGAGACAACGACCACGTCGGCGGAAACATCAGAGGCTCGCAATGGGTGCCTATAAATCAGCTCGATGCACGCATGCCGGAACTATTAAGGATCAATCAAGACAGAGATCGTGTCGTGTTTCACTGTATGCTCAGTCAGCAGCGTGGTCCCAAAGCTGCTCTGGCATATGCACGAGCTCGAGCCTACCAAGCTGAGAAGGAGGCCAAGGGGCAGGGGAAGAGCTCGTCGACTGAGGAAGAGAAGACGAATGTGGAGGGAAATGGAAAAGTATACGGTCAGGAAGTTTGTGTGCTGGAAGGTGGGTTTGGGGCCTGGCAATCTTCTTATGCTGAGGACGAGACATTGACGGCAGATTATGTTGAGGATTTGTGGGAGTAGGGTGAAGCCATCCTAGTGCAGGATTGATACTTGACCACCTGGACCAGAATCACTGTTTTCTGATTGCTACGTTTCAGGCGAGCTTTCATTGTTCGGCTACCATCTTCGAAGTCTAAAAAATCCTTATGAACGGCTCTACTCAGCCGAAGGTCCTGTCATGACTCTTCACTAGCAATAAAAGAGGCTTTGGTCAAGGTGAACAAAAGATTGAGAATCCTCGAAAAGCATGTCCAGACTCGATTTCGTGTCATTCAACTGATGCAAAGTTGTGCATGGCAGCTTATAGAGCAAGCATCAACACAACGGTCAGAGTCCGTTTGGATGTTGACCAGACCTAATGTGCCTGAAGTTTCGACTGGTGCAATAGTCGGTCTGACCCCAGTGGGAAATCGACTATACAAGTACGTTCTGACCAAGGTTGTGCGCAGAAGCTCAAATATGCAGACGATTCCGCTACTTCTGCGGCAGTCGTTGCACGAAGATAGCTACGTCACTTGTCAAGAGTGGGCGAAGTGATGTATGCACATCCAGAGATTCCGTGATACATGGAGACAACGCATTTAATACTCCAATCTCGAAGGGACACGTACTATCCTTGTACGACATGACTGTCACGCTGTCTTTGTCCTGTTGCATGTTGTGACAGTTATACATCTCAGACAATATGCACGCAACATGACTGGCAGACCAAACTTGGAATAATGACGCTTAACATTGAGCCTAACCCAAATGAAATAACTTCTGACGATCGCTAAGCAACGCTCTCCAACCTGTATCACCATCGAACTCCTTCGACGTGTTCAGGTCCGATGCTGATACACTCAACAGAAAGGGTATCTAGGAAGGAAACAAATTTGCATATAGCCTGCCCATGTCTGAAATCCTGCCGTTACTTTGTTTGATGTTGTCGGTCATCGTCCTGAGTCTGGAGTACAGGGTGTTCGAAATGTTACACAAGTGGACAGGAAGACGATGAAAAGGAAAAAGGCATGTGTTGGCGTGAATGGTCCATGTGTGTAGACACAACAGAGATTCGAGAAATCGTTTCGTCGTCAGCGGCCGGCAAGGTTTGGCGACAAACAAGACATGCCAAAAGTGTGACTAGATTTCTTGATCAGCCAGCTGCCAACACTTAGACATGGCCTAGCCTTTCCAGCCTGGCTTGCACGTAGATGATCAGGACGCTTACCTGTCATGACGGCGGAGCTGCCACGCTTGAGCATGTGAAGCTTCAAGTTCCTGTCTTCGCCGCTCTGCTGCCTCACTGCCGACATGCTTCTTCAAAGACTGAACAAGCTCTTCTGCAGCAAACCATGTCGCTTTATGGAAGGCACCGAAGAAGTCCCATCTGAATCGAAGCACATCCTCCAATGCTTGAATGCCTCGCTCAACATCTACGCCGATAGTCGCGGATCTGCGGAGGTGTGTCCTCGAGATATGCTGTAGCAGACGGAATTTATAGGGAAGCAAAGGATATGGGCATTGTCGAAGTTGGAAATATGCGTAATCGATGTAATGCTGCGCAAGACCATTGCCCATCTTTTCGTAGCAGATCGCCATGATATCGTAGCAATTCACAGTAAACAGGTGGCTGGAGCCCATCACGCTGTGTAGCAATGGCAATCCAGTCGGCTCAGTCAACATGTCTAGGCATTTCTGATGATCGCCCATCAGGTGAAATGCCCACGCATGGTGAAACTGCGTAATGGCAAATGTAGAGGAACATCCCTGATTCATAGACAACAGAAGATCTTTGCTACGGTGAAAGTCGGCGTCTAGTTCCGCCTTGAGCATGATTTCTTTGATGGCATGTTCCTCCTGCTCGCATTCTTCTTGTGGCGACGTGAAACCTATGCTGGTACCTTGTTGCGAGATGAGCTTGCCAGCTCTAAAGATCGGCAAAACAATGCGACTCGTTACATTGGCAACGCTTTCGGCGCATTCGCAGCAATCACTGTAAAATTGCTTGAGCAGTTCTGCCTGTTCGTTAGATACGATGACGGCCTGTATGTAGAAGACGGTAGGTAGGATCTGCATGCTATCACCGATGAGCAATTTCTTGAGATTCTCTTTGGCTTCAGCACGAGTAGCGACATCAAAAGAGTCCAGAGTTGTATCTGAATAAAGTGATTGTTGTACATAATACGCAGCGAATTTCATCAGCTGCCCTTCAGACTCGCGAAGACGAAGGGGCCGATAGGCATCTCCCACGTTCAGGCCAAGGAACCTGGCCCACATGAGTCGACGAGTATCAGTCGGTTCTATAGACAAAGTCATTGAAATGAACAGCTGCGTTATTTCTTCCGGAGTTTCGTCCTGACCTGTGCCAGGCCGACTTCCGGTCAGGGTCGACGTCCCCGTGAGGGGCCTATGAGTTTCGAAGTCACTCTCAACGTAAGGAGGAGTATCGAATCCTGTGTCCGAGTCCGAGTCGTCATCCTCGCCAAGTTCCATGTTAGGCACCACAGTGCGAAGGGGCCTGCTTGGAGGAACTAATGGCATGTCGTTCAAAATCTCGATGTTGGCGTGGTTGAGGAGCTCGAGAGCGTCCTCATAGCTCATCTCACCGATAGGTCGACCTCTCCGTTTCCCTGTCTTAATCGTTCTTTGTGCCTGCTTCGCTATTTTGGCCGCTTCGTATAGTTTTGGAGCTTGACCTCTGACGAGGGTGACATTGAAGTTCAGAGGGCGCGGCAGGTGAGTGTTGGTTTCGATAACTTTGTTCATGGCACAGTAATACTCCTGTCGGACTTTCTTGAACCAGCCCCATGCTTCGAAACGGAGCTTTAGCTGCCTCTTGGTGACGGACAAGTCACATTCAGTCTCGAGGGTTTCAACGACTGTCGGTGCTGTCAATTCTTGCTCTAGGTACAGGCTCTGGATGTAAGGTTTCCATTGCTCGAGAACATTTGGGGAGTATCTCGTTGAACGAGTCATGGTGGTGCTATCAGCCGTCACTCAATGCCCAACCTGCGAAAGGTTTTGGAACAACATGCACCACTCGTCACAGCTTTGAGGTGACAGGACAACAAAAAGGACTATGTGCAACCCATAGATAATGGTGTGTGTGCTTCAGTGTAAGGCATTGAACGAAAATGGCAGGTAAGTCTTCCCTGGATGATCGTTAGTTGAGGCGGTAGCCATTCGATCCGTCACATCAACATCGCAAAGCAGACATGGCATGTTGATCAGCAAGTAGTAACCTATTGTGGCACAAGCACACGCTGAGCCGTGTTTTGTGTACTTTGTGCGAGCGTGAACGTTTCAGGAAGGAGCACAACCCGCAGTTCAGGACATGCAGTGCATGGCGTAGGCGTAGTCGGCTTAACGGACTGTCACAATATCTGCAGCGCAAAACGTTGTGGTCGGGGTTAATTCAGCCAGATCATGCTGTCGCTTGATTGGACAAATTGTGCCGCTTGGCTGCTGGCTTATCCTGGTTGGCGGCTCCTGAGGCAGGAGTGACCATCGATCGAGGGGCATTTACCTTTCCGGGACGAAGCGAACTTTAAATTCGGCCTTTGTGCAAGGTCACCCCACCATGAATTTCGCAACCCTGCAACACCTTCCAGCTCTTCCACTACGAGCAACATTTCGAGGTAGTGGCTCTTCATCGCTCGTGTTTCATGCATGCCACCTACCTCACTGAAAAGCTCACTTACAGTAGCGTGTGATGAAAAGATGTCAGATGCTTGGGCTTGTAGGATCTGACGAGACACACACACCCTGCTAGAGTAGCACAGCCTCTGTCAGTGTGATCACATTTTCACTGACTTGCAAGAGATGTTACAGGGACAATCCTGGTCAGCCGCAGTCAGCCCCACAGCTAACGATACTCAAGTAATGTGCTGTGTATCAGAGACAGCCTGATTTCAAATGGCTGCGATGCGGTCCCGCGGAATCTGTGCTCGCCTTTTCAGTGCACACAACAGCAAAAGCCACAATGTAACGCTGAGCTCATGAGGATCTGCGGAAATACTGTCATACACGACCTTCGGATGGCTGCAACGAAAATTGATCGTTCGTATGGGTTCGCGTAGCCACGAATTTGCTCCCAAGTCCATACGAGATCTCGTCGCACTTTGCTGGGAATACCGAGATGTTTTGACGTGATTTTGATGTCTTGTTAGCGACCATGTCGGCTGACTCGATCTTGCATGCCCAATAAGTGAGGCTAGAAGGAAGCTTCTTGACCAAAATTCATCGCTTTCTGTAGAGGTGGCCGGCTCTCTGACCGGGCCCATGTACGATTCCGACGGTCTTCGTAAGCGGAAACAAAGAGTTGAACTCAAAGTTGTGTTTCTTCGTGCCTTGGGCGAGACTCGAGCCTGTTTGACAGCTCATCGGTACTCGGCTAGATGCTTCCAATTTTATCGTCAAGTGCATTTCCCTGCTTTGGACATAGACAGATTATGTTAGTGGCTGTTTGTCCACGTCGTTGTTCCTTGACTGTATTCTATGCTGGCCTGATTTCAGTCGCTGCGTCATGACAGTAATTTCTTTCTCGAGGGAACTCAATTTGTAAAAAGTCAAAAGCCTGGATGAACTGATTGCGCTCGATTTTCACAAGCAGCGTCGTCTTTGGCAACTTGTAAGAGGTCGTATCACACCCTCTGTTGATGCGACGGATACCGGTTTGTGTTGCTGAAGTCGCCAATGCTTGAGGTTGATTAGTAACCCAATCGTCGGCTTCGCGAAACTCGGGTGGAAGCCAAGTGGCAGGATCGTTCTTGGTATGACATTGCTACTCGAGTACAATTTCATAGTTGGAATACTGTATGCATGCATCGTGGTCTGTGCAGCTCGCTTCGCTGTATTAGAGTTAGTGGAGGAGGTTGCGTGAAGTCTAATAACTTCGGTCTGGAATTAGAATCCTATTGTGTCTATAGCCAGACTATGCAATCATCATTCCTCGTGCTGGACACTTTTTGCTCTCGATATCGATGACCAGTACTGTGGCTTAGCGGCATCTCTTGTGCAGCAAGTATGGTGTATCGTTCCTGTTACGACTTTGAGCGTCGGATGCATCAAAGCAACATACCTCAGCACGTCCCTTCAAGCACCGTATCAACCCATACCCCATCCACGCACTTCTTGTCCTCTAGGAGGCTTCGGAGGCTTATCGTCGGCGTCATCCGCTTTAGGTGGCTTCGGCTTCTCTGACGGCTTCTCCTTGGGAGGATCACCACATCGTCTGTAACGTTTTCCGGTCTCGTTCTCTTCAAAGAAGTCTGAATGGGAACTGGTCAGAAACGGAACTGCCGAAACAGACAAGAGAGATTCCGGTTGTGCAACAGAGGAGAATCGTGTACACGTGCAAGCGACCTACCACTTAAGTGTTGAGCACCCAATCCTTTGACGAATTAGCTTGGGTTACACAAACAAGACAAGCAGTCACGCGGTCGAGCAGATGGTTGGTGAAGGTGGTCCAGCTTACCCACACTAGTGACAGACCTGGCTTTGTTGGCTGCTTGAACAACCGGCCTAGCCTGGCGATCATTGTCCATGTTGAGACGTGCGAGCAGTATAAATTCAACGTTGGTTCTTCAATTTAGAATTGAACCGAGCAAGAGTAGGACAAGAAGGAAAGAGTTGCGGAGCTCGATTCTCGCTGGTATTTGAACTCCGCAGCTCGACCCGTGACAGCTAAGGGCTGGAGGAACTTCGTCTCGTAGATGGCACGATTTTCGCGTAAGCTTGATTATAATAGGCGGTGAAAACACAGGATCCAAAATGAGCAATTAGCTTCTTCTCGGCTCCAGCAAAGTTCAGGGGATGGCGCCATTGAGGCTTCATAAAATGGAACCGATCTTCAGAAGCGTTCAGTAGTATCAGAGCCATTGTTCATGGGTGGCTGTAAAACCATCCAACCGATGCAGATTGTCTGGATGTAAGGTATTTTCGACCTTATCTGCCTGGGTACAGACAGGACCGAAGCATTGACTGCTGTATCGATTGCCCAGCCTGCACAGCTCTGCAGAGCACCACGACCCTTCTGGTTGTGTAACACAAGCACAGACTTCCATCTTCCCCGACCAATGAGCCGTCTGATTGTGTTCCTCGGTCTGGTGTCGACGGAGGCGTGCTTTCGACTGGTCGACAGCTGTCGGTGCTTGCTGGAAGAAGCTTGGACTCAGAGCAGGTCCATGGACTGCAGCTAACACGTCTTTCCAAACCTCACATCGACAACAGAATGCGAGAGCCGGATCGACGAGGAAGGTATCAATAGAAGCGAAGACGAATTTATCTCAACATCTTGATTGGAGTGTTCGGCTCGGAAGCAGATCCCTCGCACATCAGATTCCGTTGAGCAGAAATTTGAATGTCGGCTGAGAGCCATCAAAGCATTGTTGTACACACTGGCTATGTCGACAGCAGATGTCAATGTCCTTGAAGTGAGATCAATAACATCCGCTTGATCTGCTTTCGCCAAATGGTCATGCCGTGGTCGCTGCTCGTATAACGGCTTCAGCCTGAAATATTTGGGCCACGGCTTGTTGTTGTCTCACTGAACTGCCTGTTGTGCTACCAGATGACGTTCAGCCCCTGGAGACAACGCAGATGAGGTCGTCGAATATGATCATATTGACTCTGAGACTCTTTCCAAGTCTGGACGGCCAATGTGATTGTTGCTCCTAGGAAGAGCTTGTCCGTATGAGCTGACTGTTGTTAATGATCAATGTGTCCTAGAGAAAGAAAGATGCAAATAAGATAGGAACGTTTGGTAGATGTTGAGTGAAGTCAACGGATGCTGCTCCACGTGAGCTCTGCGGATGCGCTTGCCTCTACTTGAAGTCAAGGCTGCGGCACGGAACGTTAATTACCAGTGGCATCGGAAGGCTTGAGTCAGGAGCGATCGAGACACACTTGAAACCTGCCTTGAGGTGTAGAGACACGGGGTATGATGATTCAGAGTTGACTCTTTCTTCCGACAGGTTGTGCATCACTTGTCTAAACCTACCTGGCTCTAAGGTAGACGTTGAAGGACGCTACAAGGTCGGTCTCTGGAATCGCAAGGGCGGAACTTCCACTTCTAGAGTGGGCCAACAGAAAGAACAGTGCCTTGGCAGGCAACAGTACAACAAACGATGGTCAACATCCTGAGCTCCACGGCAATACAACACCATCTCACCACTGGATATGGTTAGCACGTGTTTCAGCTGGTACGCAATTGTGCTACGGGCAGAGCCTGCTTTTGTGCCAGTTCGTGAAACGTATTGCTATCTCCAAGCTTCAATAGTGGCTTTGAAGCCGGCAATCCAGACTCCAGCAGTCCGAACTCAGACGATCCACAAACTCAATGACCCGGCATTAGACTCAAGTCATGTGCTCGCCCTCCCTCTGGTTGTACCAAGCTTGAAATTTTGTCCTCAACCAGCTGTCTTTACAAAGATGGCATATTACAATGCCGTTGTGATCTATCACATCGTTAGTCTTACCTTAGTTGTGATGGTCAGGGCTACTGAAGTGGCTGTTCACATCACTGGCGGCTCGACTAGGGCTCATGCACATCTGGACGATCTTCACACGAACTAAGCTCCATGCCGGACCGGCAGCCCAAATAGTCCTGGTGTCGGAACCATGAGACCATCGATACAACAAGGTCTCGTCACCCAGAATCAAGCTGCGCAAGACTTTGATCTACCAGGCCAACCATTACATAGTCCCTGACGAATTACAATATGGCCTTTCCCTTCATTTTCGGGCCAGCTTTTTGCTTGAAAACACGGTGTATCGCGATCATGCAGTAACCGAACCGACCTTACATGCAAAGGCCTCTCGAGGGCCTAAGCTGCATTTTTCAAGTCAGGAAACACAGTCGGACCACGAAACCTTGTCGAAGACTGACCTCAATGCTAGAAAGGTTTGCTGTTCGTGTCTGGAATACACGTCAATCACTTTCCACGTGCTCTTCTTCATTCAAAGGTGATGAATTGCACGCTTTGAACATACAGCTTAACATCCCCCGCTTGCATTGCTGAACCCTGAAGTTGGTGTGTTTGATCGAGGTTTCGAGCACGATCATGCACGCCCATCACTCATTTCACATTCGAGCATCTCCTCGGAAGCGAGGTATCCAGCGTTGTGGTACGCTCTATGCACTTAATGTCTAGACATCTGCACCCTCTTTCTTGTGACTCGCTTGGAAGAGGCAAGCAAACAGCATTTTGTTGCGGCACTTACCTATCGCAGCTGCAAGCGAGAGTTACAACTTTGACGTAGACACACATCTCGATCTACGCAAATCGTATCGAGGACTTCAGAATCTCTGGCCAGGCGCAACTTGACAACATTGTTCTATGCCTAACAACGCCACTCATGTAGCAAATGGCTTCTTATTGGAATTGATGCTGGCTGAGGCGCCAAGTCGCAGTGTACTGGTACCACGTGAATATGACACGTCAGACATTCGAATATGCACGCGGCACGAAGCAACTTGAAAGTTGTACAGGTCTACCTAGTATCATGCATCTCTCGACTGCATTGCTCTCACACTTCGCTACACCACTTGCTCAGCACTTCCCCTGCACCTCCACCAAACCCACCTTCGTCCTCGAACTTTTGTCCAATAGCCCACGCCACATCTTCAAGCGCGACCTCCGACCGCCACGACCTCGTGTCCCCCACCTCTGCTCCTCCACCTCTCATCCCGCCATCATCCTCCCTAGCACCAACAACAGGCACAATCATCCCCCACAATCCTAGCTCTTCCCATGCTCCCCGACATGTTTCCCTACCCCATTGCCTCAGTGTTCCCGAGTGCGTCACGCTACCAAACGCAGTTTGCTTCAGACGCGATGTCTGAACAAGCTCCGTGTAGTGAGTGTAGACCAGGTTGAAATTGGAGGTGGTCAGGGTATGGATGGTCTCGAGCCGGCACATTGAAATCAGTAGCGACAGATGCAGGACTGGTAAAGTTATCAGCACTGCCAGGATGGAAGGCGGAGCTGATAATTCTGGACCTCGTGTTGTAAGTTGCGCCGCCCCTGTTGCCACCATTCGTGCGTCGTTAGTAGCTTTCCTCGTCGAAAACGGTGGCTGTGATATCGCTATCGAGGGATACAGGGCCATGAACAGGTCTGGCAACGACTTCGTAAAGTAGAAATGCGATCTGACCAACTTTTGCGTATCCTCAGACGGCAGAAATGTTGCCTGACATCCATAGTTAGCATAATCCCACCAAAAACACATACAATTTCCAAGTATTCACCTCAATATACACGTTCCACTGCTCAGCACACTTCTGCTCCACCACCCCCATCCTCGCCCTCTCCTCCTCCCCAACCACAAGCGCTCTCCTAACTTCCTCCTGCCACTCTCCCAAAGTCCTGCATCCCGGCACAAGTACCCAGCGATGACTAAACCGTGATTTGACCCTCTTCTCCAGACACTCAATCACATCCATCCGACAACTACATCCCACAACCACAATCGGAGCCTTCCGGCTCTGCGCGATATCAAATAGATTGTACAGTAGCGTCTGTCGAGGATGCGTGGTGAAGAGGTCGAATTCATCGAGAATGAAAACTATGCTTTTGCTTGTGGTAATTTGTGCTCTGTTGTTGTTTTCCGTCTCTGTGTCATCATCCATCATCTCGTCAGGGTGGCTGAGGAGACTAAGTAGACTCGCCATGGTATCTGCGTAGCTGGCGCCAATGTCTTCCGTCTCTCGTTCCTCGAGATTGCGGGAGTGTCCCAGCTGGCGCCAGATTTCACGTAAGGCCTGGCGATCGTCGGTTTGGATGAAGCCATTCAGGTGGACGGTGTGGAAGTTGTTGAAGTATGTGGAAGAGAGGTCGGAGAGTGCTAAGTCTAGGAGTAGGGATTTGCCAACGCCGTGAGGGCCTAGGAGGAGGACGGAGTTTGATTCTGAGGACTCAATGGTCGCTTTGAGTAAGGAGTGAAGTTGTGTGTATTGTGACTGGAGGTGGGCGGGAGGTTGGGATGGTAGAGAGCTGGATGTGAGTCGAGAGAGCACAATGTGTTTTATTGCTTGTAGGTCAGGGGCATTCTGCACTAAACTTTGCGTAGAAAAGGTCTCTGTATGTGGTAGTTCGGGGACGGGTACGGTGGCTGATGGCTCATCGAGAAGCATGTCTTCTAGCACATCATCGTGATCTTCCTCCTGATCCTCCTCTTCGACCATAGCACTCTGTGTTGCATCATTATGCTCAACAGCCTTCGACTTCTTCGGATGTGGTGTAGCCCTTTTCGGCAGTTTCTTGAACGCAGGAGTCTCAATGTCTCTGAAACCAAGTTGTTCTTCGATTTCCTTTTCATCCTGATCAAAGATGACAGATTTCCGCACTCCTCGTTTCTGCTTTCTGGAAGGTGTCAGGATACCTTTCAGGGCAGGAGAGGCTGGCGCAGATTCGGTCGGCTCTCGCGAGGTCTGTGTAGTCGAGCGTCCTGAACGCTTTGTAGGTTTATCCTGTTCCATAGTCTCTAGTAATCGTTTCGGAGGTCGCCTTTGCCTGCCGCTAGATCGTGGCTGAGGCGTCCCTTGTCCATCGTGCTCATCCTCGTTCTGGTCTGCAGCTGATTCGCCGTTGAGCTCGTTGGTATTGTTTCCATTAGCAACGTCCTCTGACTTGCGATCTGCAACATTGCGATCAATAGGACTCTGCTGGCTGCGACGAGTTCTCGTGACTCGTAGAGATCGAGTTGTAGAAGGTGTATCGCTTCGAGACAGTACGTCTTCTTCCGAGATATGAGAGTCCACGTTGTCCACCCGGTTCGCTTTCCGTCGTGATGTTGCACTCCTGTTTCCACTTTTTCGAGTCGATCTTGAGGGAGTGTTCACTTCATTATCGTCAGACTGATCTCCTTCGAGGTTGACGCTGTCCTCATTCTCCTCCGTAGTGATCTGGCTGCTAACATGTCGTATCTGCGGCACAGGATCTGCCAACAAAGTCCTTTGACTGCCGTACCTTCCAGTGCGTCTGCGTTTCGATGCTCGAGGAGATGGGTCGAAGTCAGAGGACATTACTTCGTGGGCGCAGAGGAGATGCTAGCATTTGAGCAAGACTACAGTGTCATGAATCACAACGTATGATTTGCATATGCTTAGTGGGGTGTGCCCAATGATTGATCTTGTATCTTGTGTGCTCGTATCTAATTTGACACAATCGCGAAAGTTGCACGAAACTTCGCGCTTAAGGAACAGGACGCGTCTACAAACACTATTATTTCTCTTACCAAGTGCTATTGCCAATTTGAAGCCTATCCTGGTAACAGTGTTCATCTACACCAAAACCTCTATCAACGAAAGCTAATGCTGTGCTTCTGAGCAATCTTCTTCAGGCTTTCTGGCTTGCCTCCAATGAAGAAGAAGGACAGTACAGCCGTAACACCAGCAATGGCTGCAAAGACAGCACTCATGTTCCCATACCCAACTTTGTCCCGCAGGGTACCGCTGAGAATAGGGCCGAGTGTGAGTCCAGCTGAAAAGACTAGAGATTGGAACCCATACAGCTGAGCATAGGGACCGTTGCTTCCAAAGAATGAAGGGTTGGCCTTGTCGTATCTTTGGACAACGTCACTAGCTTCGACAATGCTGGGGGAGCCAATAATGGCCATGCCTATCCCACACAAAGCGAGGGTTACACACCAGAGAATAAGAGTTGCCTTCTGTCCATGAACAATACCTGCCGTTGGCAGCCTTAGCAGTACCAGAGCAGGCACGAGGTAGCCAAACCCTATAACTGCTGCCGGCTTTGTGCCATACTTGTCCACAGCCCATCCAGCGACAGGGCCCAAAATGAGATAAGGTATGTCGAGAGCAATGAACAGAAGCCCTGCCTCAAGCGAACTAAACCCGAGTAAAGATGATGCTTCTGTTGGGATAGTGGCGTCAAACATAGCAAGCGTAGCTGCTTGCACAAAGGACAAGAGTAATGCAACTGCAACTCTTGGGTTTGACAGGCAGTAGAGGACAGGTAGGGTCCGGACGATTTTGTTCTGCGGTTGCGGAATCTTGAAATTTCCCTCCTCTTTCTTATCAAGCAAGCTCGTCCCTTCATCCACGTTCTCTTCGTCTTCATTCTCACCGCTTCTTGAATCATGCTGCCTAGGATTGGTCGATGCATCATCTGCGCCATAGCATACAGCGACCTTCTTCTCGATAATCAACAGACGCATGAGAAAGTCAACTCCTAGCAGTCCAGCTCCAACGCCAAAGACGCCAGCATATCCTGTCTTGCTGTACAGTACACCACCGAGCACAGGTGCAGCAAGCTCTCCCACCGAGATGAACGAGAAGATAGACCCTATCACCTTACCCAAGTTCTCGGGGCCAACTGTGTCTAGCACGACCGCAAGGCCTATGGTCCAGACGACTGCCGCACTTATGCCCTGCAGTATTCTGGCTGCAACAAGAACGCCAACCGTCTGACCAAATGCCAACATTATCGTTGCCCCAAGTAGTGCCAAAAGTCCCGCTAGGAAAGGCGTTCGACGAGCATTCGTACGATCCGCGATCCAGCCTGCAGGTATACTGCCATCTGATTAGCTTAGTGATCCACACTGATACGAACCACAGCTTGTCCGCCAAGACTTCGAATACGACGAACCTGAAAACGACACTAGCACCAGCATATGCAGCAAGTAGACCTGACACGTAGCTCTGCACTTTGCTCTCGGGAATGTTGACTCTTTCTTGCAGCAGGAAAGGAAGAACCGGAACGATCAAGCCGTAGAGAAAAAGATCCGTAAACAGGCCTATAGCGACTGTAGCGATGATGAACAGGGTATTCGAACGCCACTTCAGCCCAATCGGTGGTTCATCGGCACCCATGTTAAGTAGCCTCAGCAAATGCTGGACTGTGCTTCTGACAATGCTAGCGATAGATGAGGCAAACGATACGACTTAACAAAAACACAGAAATTTGGAATGCCTGGAGTTTTTTGTACCATACAGCTGTTCGTGGTTGAAGTTGAGTACCCCAAAAAGTGCAGACGTCATCGCGAAATTTGACCTCACCGTCCCTTCCTCACAGTAGAACAAATTCACCTTCCTCAAAGTTCGCAGCATCCGCAGCACGATATCCGAAAAGCAGAGATGCATATTCGACATCAGTTGCATGCAGTCCAAGATGTCGGAGTTATATTCCAGGTAAAGCACTATGTGTGCGATGTCCATGCATACTGCTCGGCATATAGTAGTGCCTAAAGCCACCTGCAAGTGGTGGTACTCATTATACGCCTACCATAGAACAGGTAGCGGTTTTACGAACCTTGTTGGAGCAAAACCAAAAACCAATTCGCGATTATAGAAAAATCTTCTCGCCAGTCCTTTGGATGTTGCGACCCGATGTACGGGTCTCTAGGCAGACAGAATTTAAAAACGCAATATTCCCAGCTGAAACGCTTACCAAAAACGCTTCCTGATATTGCTCCCTTTGAAGCAGCGACTGGCACAGGTTCTCGACTTGCACACATTTTTGCCATTGCTCAGCCTTCTCATATGGCAGCACCTTCTCCTGGCAACCCAAGGCCTCCATTGAGGCGGCCCTTGAAGCACGCGGTTCCACCAGGAGACTTATTTCGTCCTCCCTTGTTCATTGGGACTTAGCACAGCTGTGTAAACTTTCCGACGACACAGGGCGAGACCGTTGCCGACCAGCTGCTGCGATTGAGTCGTGCTTCGTGTTGCACAATCGTTCATTCGCTCTCGTCCTTTTCTCACACTGCCCAACCACATCAATATTGATGCAGGAAAGTTCGACAATCTCCTTACTAGCGCTCCAGGTATCAAGATGTCTTTCAGAGTTTGAGTCTGAATCTTATCGACCTTATCATTTTCGTCGTCCCATTTGACGTGGAGATGTGCTCGCAACATGAGTGCTTGTTTGTTTCATACCACTAGCTTTTCGAGATGAAACGTGTAGTCCAGCGCAAGTGACCATATGCTTGGTGTGTGCGTCTTGGTTATCGTATAGTCACCAAATAGAAACCTCGTTGCTATAGCGCGATATGTGCATTTCTCGTAATTTTTATGCATGCGTTTGCACTGCAACGAGGACGTTGATACAAGCAGTTTCCATGCCAAGACAGATAAGTGCCATCGTGCTCTGTGCACATTGTGTAACCATTGTATTGTAGGTAGATAAGCTTTAAGGCGACACATCAGGAATCGAAGATGGGAGCAAAAGTTGGAACACCACGAGATTCCAAGCCGTAGACGAATTTTCTGGTCACAGCCGCATTTGAGATGATGAAGACAGCCTCCGCGCCCGAAGAGCAATAAATCTTCCACGCCTCTTCGACAAGGTTCGGGCGACCAGCTTTGCGAGTGTCGATAATGACCGCCTCGGAGTCTGCCTTCTTGACGTAATCGACAATATATGGTGCAAAGACTTTTTCAGGAGGACCAGGTGTGGACCACAGAATCCGAACGTCGAGGTTAGGAGCTTGCAAGAGTGAGAGAATCGGAGCAATACCAGACCCTGTTGCGACAACCACGATCTTCTTGAATACAACTCCCATGTATAGTGCTCCACGCGCCGGTGTACCTTTCGTCCAGAGTTCCTTGGGTGGAGTTTTAATAACTTTAGTAGTCCAGTCACCCGCCTTTGAGATCAAGACACTGTAGCCAATACCGTCCTCAGCTGGAATAGCTGCAAAAGCATGCCACTCCTTCAGGATGTAATCAGAAAATCGTGGCGTCGTGCATATTGCCAGGTTTTGATGGGTGAAATGTAGCCTTATTGCATGGTCTGAGAGTGTTTCAGCTCGAACGGGGACTTTCTTCAGACGGAACCAAGGTTCGAATATGACGAATGTAGTGATGAGTAAAAAGTAGAAGTTTGGAGTCTTGTACAAGATCTCAAGCCAGCCTTTGTTGTCGTTGAGCCTGTATTGCACGTGATTGAAGAGGAAAAGGTGAAGCCAGAAAAGACCAATGGCTGCCCAGCCTGCGAACCGATGCATCTGCTCCCACATGTTGTGGTATCGAGCACGCAGCTTAGGATGTGAGAGCACCAAGATATTCAGCAGGAGAAGATCTAGCAGAATCGTGATGAAGAAACTGCCACCTCTTATGCCCTGATATTTGAGGTTTGTCATCATGTTCATGACGGCGCCATTGAACAAACCGAACCACAAGATGGCAGCAACGCCACAGCCCGAATGTATGCCACCAAGGTGGTAAAGCTTTGCGATGACCCGGCGAACTCCCAGTGGCCAACTCTTCGGTGCTTTTCCAAATGACCAGAACAGGAAATTAATGATATGCTCGTTTCGTATCAGAACAGTCAAAGTAATGTTGGCAGCAACTGGTGTTGAAAGTCTCGTCGGTGAGCTAAATGTATCGGGTTGAACGAGCAAATAGACCATCATGACAAGGTTGGGCAGCAGCACGATGAATGCCAGCCTCTCGTAGACATTGAGAAAGGTCCATCGAATATTCCTAGCAACACGTCCATACTTCTTCGATGGCAGCGGCTCAGGTGAATGGTGGCATTCGTCATGCTCGTCTTTCTGGACCTCGGCCACAGTGACCTGGGCATCTTTACTTTTCCCAACTTCAAGATCGATATCTTCCAGTTTGGCGTATGCACCTCTGTTGGTAAAAGACCGAACCAGCTGCTTGATGTCCGAGATAGGTGTTGGTTGACTTAGCGGTGGATTAGCTGCCAACTCTGGAGCATGGCTGCTCTGCTATGGTATCGGTCAGCAAACCAGGAAGTTGATAATGGGACCAAGACTCACTGGAACAGCTCCTTCACTAGACATCTCTTCCGTTTCCAACAAGGCTCTGAGGTCGAAGTAGCGGGCGCTTGTGGTGAACAAGCCAGAAGTCTTGAAGGCACAACATATAGAAGCCACTGCTGACCCTCGTGGATCCCGCCATCCTTGAAGAGGGGTTTGTTATAGATCAACTAGAACGCCTAGAATGCTTCACAGTTCGCGTTCAGATTACCAAGAAATGGCGTTGGAAGCTAAATATCCACTTTAAGGTACGGCCCCCCTTCGTGCGGCTGAGAGTGAGGTGTGGCACGTTGGGCACAAGTTATGTCTTACCCATCAGCTCGTGCTTCTCTAAAGGTCTAATGATAGCGCTCATTGAAGTAGGCATGTGACACTAGAGATGGATATAGACGTCTGCTCATCCAATATTGCTTTCCTGTAGAGAAGCAGGCAGACGTTGATTGAGGACCGTGAAAGGTAGAAGGTATGCTGGCAGGTTAGTATCTAGTACAGCTTAGCGTGAACCATGGACGTGGAAGTGCGAGCACAAGTACAGCTGGCGTGAAATCTATGCTTGCACTTCGAAGCAGCTCTCAACTTGTGTAAAGGAGACATCGATCTAGGTTCACAACTTACATGTTAAAAAGCGCTAAACCCGCATCTGGATTCCTTATACAGAACATGCCGCACGTTTTCGAACCGTGATGACGCTAATGGCGGGAAAAGAGATTAGACATCGTCTGAGGCTGGCTGAATCAGAGGCAACCACGAAATCCCCTGATGACTTGTAAAGCATCCCAAATGTTCTGTATAGGTGATGCTAATGGAGCGACAACCGACAGCTTGGGAGTATGTTCACAAATGTCAGTGCAGAGCATGGATCGGTCGTGAACAGTCATCAGAATTTATTGTATAGCAGAAGATGCCGACATATTTACAAGACGCGAAATCGTTTCCAAACCAGCGCAGCTCTCCGACCAGGAGGCCAAAAGAATAAGCATTTGAGGGTGAAGGTTGTATAGACACTGCACAAATCGAGCAAGATGTGTCGCATCACGAAAGAAACGAGACGAGCAGTTGACCAGCAGACGACTGAGTAAAGAAGGTTAGGCGAGCTCTAGTGGACCATCACTTTGACCACACAGGTACATGTTTGCTCCTTCCCGTTTGCAAAAAACCACAACCATGTAGCTATTCATTCGGCTCCAGCTCAAGCTGGTGCAACACATCGCTATGATTCCTGCACTGCCACTGCAACCACAAGCCGCTAAGCAGCCAACCGCGAAGATGCCTGAGAAGCTGGCAATATCACTAACATCTCAGACCAATCCAACACCCTCAGCCGCTACCACGCCAATTTCCAGCCCGACGGAAGAGGTTGCACCAATTACTCAGATGCACCCGAAGATACTGGAGAATCTTCTCTACCATCAAGGTTTTATGCAACAAGCCATAGATGTTGCCGAACAAGCCCTAGCTGAAGGAGAAACACCCGTCGCATGCGTGCTGGTGCTGGATGGCCAAGTTGTAGCTCGGGGTATGAACGACACCAATCGTTCCCTGAACGGCACAAGACATGCTGAGTTTCTGGCAATCAACGAGTTTCTCTCCAAATATGCCATCACTAAGCTCGCCGAAACGGATCTCTACGTCACAGTCGAGCCTTGTATCATGTGTGCTTCTGCTCTACGGCAATACGGTATCCGTACAGTCTACTTTGGATGTGGTAACGAGCGATTCGGAGGAAATGGTAGCGTGTTGTCAATTCACTCTGACAATAGTCTTGATCCACCTTATCCCAGTTATGGAGGACTTTATCGCAAGGAGGCAATCATGCTGTTGAGGAGGTTCTATATCCAAGAGAATGGCAATGCACCAAATCCCCGAGCCAAGGGAAATAGAGAGCTCAACGTTATTGTTTGAGGTGATGAGGAGGGCTGACGGCTGGTGATATTGCTGTCAAGTCTTGGTGAAGTGGCAAACGACTGGTACGCAGGGTCATTTCAGAAACACTTTCAGAATTGCATGATAACGTGGAGTACATACCTTAGCTATTGATCACTATCGACACAATCTAGGCATTTGTCTTCTTAGCAGGCATAAATACAGGGGGACCTGTAGAGCCGCAAGATGATCAACAAACACAACTAGCTCACACTGGCATTTTCCTCCACGACGCGTACCTCTTGATAAACTCGATCAAGAAACGATTTTAATTCTTACTACCTCAACATTCTCATTCCAACCCTCTCCTCACGTCCACATTACACCATGGCTACTACACGAGCCACGAGGCGGAGTGCTCAAACTACACCACCTTCTCCAACACCTAGACCCGAACATGTGACTACTGTCAAAATCAAGAAAGAAACTACACCACCGTCCTCAAGATCGACCCCGAAACGTGTAAGTGGTAGGAAGCGCAAAAGAGAAGATTCCCTGGAAGTCTTCGAAAGTCCTCTCAAGCCCTCAAAGCTGGTGAAAAACGAAACAAAAGACTGCGACATATGCGCCGAGACCAAAACTGTACCTCAATACTTCCCAGAAATATCGACCTGTGACCACGATGCAACGGTGTGCTCAGAATGTTACCAAAAACAATTTGAAACAAAGATCGAGGAGAACAAAGCAGAAGGATGGGAGGCTTGTACCTGTCCCCTCTGCAATGAGAGTGTCCCTCGAAACGAAGCAGAAGCCCTTTTCATAAGAGACAAGGTGCGCAAACTCAATGCGACCATCAAGCAGGTATGTTCGAGCCGGATGTTGCTCTGTGAGAAAGCTAAGTGGATTGATAGGCACAAAGAGAAGCTGCCACAAACTTTGTCTGGTGTCCGAACCCTAAATGTAACCACGGACAGCTTCACAATCCCAGCAAAAAGGCCTACGGCCACTGCAGGAAATGCAGAACCAAGATTTGCGTTGAGCACCGAGTACGTTGGCATGCTGGTCTGTCGTGTCTTGAGTACGACGAAACACAAGATCTGGATCAGACTGTACAAAAGAATATACTCGAGATCAAGCGAACCACCAAGCCGTGTCCCTACTGCAAGGTTCGAGTCAAGAAGGAGGGCGGTTGCAACCACATGGTCTGTGGTGGATGTCGCAAAAACTGGATGTGTAGGTACTAAAGACTTACTGTAAGCTCCGCTGACACATTTGGGGAACGATGTGCCATTTGACGGCGAGCAAAACGGTGACAGTCGTGAAGAAGCTGACGGATCTCGGCGTGCTCAGTCGCTTGACCCTGCAGCACGGGCACTTGTGGACAGGGTCATGGCCGTGGAAAATGCTCAGATCGATAGCGAACGTCTCATGCCTGGGCTTCAACATAATCCCGTACCAGCCACTGGATTTGGACTGGGCATGCTGCAACCTATCCGTGGATTTTTCGGTGGTCCACGTGCACAATTTCCACCGCAGGCCACTGGTAATGACGTGACAGCACAGGCAGTCGTACGATTTGGTCCTTGGAACATTGGCGGAGCCATAGATGCTATTCGTAATGCCATACGTCCGAACACAAACAGAGTGGCCTCAAAGCAACCTACAGATGCCCATCGCCTACAACCTATCATATTGGGAGAATTTGCCCGAGATGCGAGACCGCGACCACGACGCAGAGCAAGAGCAAGTACGAGGAGGTTCGACCTACAGGCTAGACGAGTTCGGCACGCGGGGCCTGCGCGTCGAGCCACGATTGACCTTACTGCTGATACCGACGAGGAAAGACCAGTACCAGAGGTCATTGACTTGACAGGAGACGATGACTAGAATCGGTGGAGGACACAATGGTACTATATTGGAGTTTTGATCAATTTGGGATGATCACTCGGCTTAGTGTCGAGATTGTGGAGGACCTGATAGCAAAGAAGAGTGCATCTCGAGCTCTACTAAGGGGACAAGGAGGCAGTATTGGTATGTGGTTGGTGTACCTAGAAAGTGCTGAGTCAGAAGTGGCTTAAAGTTACATGTTTTTGGTAACTGCGTTCCGGCCAAAAGCCGCGTTCGCTTAAGTACGTGGTCGAAACTTAGTGACGTTCAAGTTTCTGCGCCGATTGCCATTCACTCTGTTCATACCATTTGATTCACCTCAATAGATTCGTTCTTACCCAGGTACATCCTACTTGATCCAATCCTCACGATCCGGTCAGCACGCGATTCAATATTGACTCGATACAATTTCGACGCGACTTGGTCCAAGCACAACCCTTACAGAAGCAGTACAGATCTGCTTCCCATTCCACATCTGCCAAGTCGCCTACAACTTCTCTCTTGAATCGCTATGCCTCCCAAAAAGGCTGCATCTGGTGCTGCTCCTGCGCGTAAGAGCACGAGGACAAAAGCTGAACCCGCCATCAACGGTGTCAGTAAGCCAGAAGGGCAACCAAAAAAAGCTGCCGCGTCGAAAACTACGAAAGCCAACACGAAAGCTCCTTTGAAGACTACCTCCAAGAACACTATGAATGGCGCGAAAGAACCTGCGAAGAAGACAAACAAAAGGAAGGCCGAAGACGAGGTCGATGAAGAACCTCAAGTCCAAGGAAACAAACGCGCCAGGAAAGCCTCGTCTGTCTCCGAGCGCGGATCGACAGCCGAAGCTGCTCCAGCAAGAAGAAAGATAGCTGCCGCGAAAGCCCCTGCCGCGAAGAGAACAAGGACTGTGACTGCCATCAACCACGCGCCTACAGAGCCTCTCAACGTCTACGTCTTTGGTGATGGCACCAACGGTGAACTCGGTCTCGGCACTGGCAAGAACTGCTCGGAAGTCAAGCGACCACGGTTGAATAACTATCTCGCGGGTGACTCTGTTGGTGTCGTGCACGTCAGTGTAGGGGGAATGCACACCGCAGTTTTGACCAGGGAGAACAAGATTCTCACATGGGGTGTCAACGATCAAGGCGCCTTGGGTCGAAGCACTGACTGGGAAGGTGGACTACGAGATATGGACGCAGACGACGATGAGTCGGACAGCGATGCAGGCACAAACCTAAATCCAAAAGAGTCTACACCCACTGAAATTGCTTTGGACAATGTGCCAGAGGGAACAGTTTGGACACAACTCGCCTGCTCCGACAGCGCAACTTTCGCTCTTACCAATGATGGCCTTGTCTATGGCTGCGGTACATTCAGATCGAACGAAGGAATCTTCGGCTTCAGTCCTGACATCCTCGTCCAACGAACTCTCGTTCAAATTACCGAACTCAAAAAGATTACAAAATTGGTCGCAGGAGCCAACCATATCCTGGCACTTGACAACAAAGGTCAAGTCTTCGCATGGGGCAGTGGACAACAAAACCAGCTAGGTCGCAGAATTCTAGAACGATTCCTCAAGAACTCTCTTGTCCCTACGCAGTTTGGTCTACCCAAACAAATGGTCAATATTGGTGCTGGTGCATATCACTCTTTTGCTATGCACAAGAATGGCAAGTTATACTCGTGGGGTCTGAACAGCTTCGGAGAGACTGGCGTTACAGACAACTTTGAAGCAGAAGGAGAAACAGATGTACATCATCCAAAGGTCGTGCCAAATCTGGAGAAGTATGGTAATATCGTGCAGGTCGAAGGTGGCAGCCATCACACAATTGCACGCACTGACCAGGGTGAGGTACTGGTTTGGGGTCGACTCGATGGCTACCAGCTGGGCATCAAAGTCTCAGATCTACCACAAGAGCACGTCATCAAGGACAGCTCAGACCATCCTCGAATCCTCAAGGCACCTACGCAAGTTCCTGGCATTGACGCAGTAGCTGTTGCAGCCGGGTCAGATCACAGTATCGCCATCAGCAAGGACGGAAAGGCGTATGCATGGGGTTTCAGCGCAAGTTACCAGACTGGACTTGGCACAGACGATGAAGTTGAGGTTGCGACACATATTGACAACACTGCAACAAGAGGAAAGCAGCTGGTTTGGGCTGGAGCTGGAGGACAGTTCAGTGTTATTGCAGGGCTGTATGGGAAGGACGCTGAGGCGCCTGCAGTGAATGGACTCAACGGACATGCTTGAGGATGTCAATGTATGCGAATAAGGAATGATTGAAATTGATTTAGAGCAAGCGAAGAAATCGCTGCTTCAGCAGAGAGAGCGTTAAGGTGTGAACAAAAAAGTGTTCACCTCGACTTGCATAGCAGAATCAAGCAGGCTCAGGCACGATGCCGTGCTTACAAACTGTACATCTAGTCCAGTCATTTCTGTTTACCTAGCTAATAGAGTCTGGCGTCGTCCAGCTGGGAGGACATAAGATTGTGTTTGTCTTACCGGTGTTTCTTCTCCTTCGGAAATCGTAATTATTGTTTTTTTTTTTTTTAAAATCTTCACGTCAGTTGGGTGTATGGCTGTATGAATGTTCCGGGAGATATGACTCTGAGAGTCTGGGACTCGAGAGTGTGAGTGGCAAGAGCATTGTTGTTGTAGCTAGTATGTTGTCTTGGGTTTCAGTGCCAGTTCTTCGAATATCCTGACGGATTTATTCTCCCCAACAGATAAGGTTGAATAGTTGCCTGTACCCTGGCTGATCGTGTGTGAACGTACGGCAACCTCATCAACTGATCTCAGGCGAAATTAGCTTCTCATTCATTGGCCTTCATTGATAACAAGAATATACATAATCAAATTGTTTCTGCAGGCAATGATCAGATCTAGGTAAGACCCCTCTGTATGACGGAATGAAGTGCTATCTGCAGATGAACTTCTCTGCGACACATACACATACTGCTTTGAGCCTGTTGCGAGCCCCAGAGAGCGCAGATATCTAGCCACAATTGCAACGCGGAAGACTAGGCTGCCACGTGATAGCGCAAAACTACATATATGGCATGTCAGTAAGTTTCTTGTTGCCTTCGGGCATTTGGTCAATTTGAAACGATACAGAGAAGATTAGCATGGCCCCTGCACTAAGGATGACACGCTCAATCAAAGAGAAGCTAAACGTTTTTTTGCGTTTCTTACTACTTGACAAGTCAAAAATTGGGTGTAATTCGGCTTGGTAGCGGGTTCGATTCTGGTCGTGAGTCGTGCTTTTTTGTCTTCTTTGCACTTTGGGATTGTTTGCAGTTTTGGATGTCCCGCGATTAGCCTTGCTCTGTGTACCTATACAATTGACTTCGTTCTATGACGATACCATCTCATCGAAGTTCTTTTCAATGAATTGTATACAATCTTCTGCGACACGATGTTTGTCGTCGAGAACGTATGACTTCCTCATGGCAGTGTTGCGATTTGGTATCGGCATCACTGCCGCGAACAAAAGTTCCCAGCATACGAACCGCACGATCTGGACCTTTTGGAGTGAACTGCCTTCTCTCTGCTAGCTCTGCTAGGCTAGATCATCCGACCCTCATCATAGAAGTCCATTTGATTAGCGATCATATTCAGCCTGATTTGTACTTACAGTCTTTTCTGTCGCAAGAAAAGAACATCGTCCATCTAACACGAAGCAGCTATTCGTGTGATCTACAGCACGTGGCAGTGTCGTCGCCATTGTATCAAAACTTGCTAGCGATTCGAAAAATAAGATACTGATGAGATGGCACATCCAAGCGCCTGCTGCTGGTCAACATGATGCATGCTGACACCCACGCTGCTCATGAGAGCAACTAAAGACAAAAATGTAAACGCGACCATGGTCCGCTTCATAAAAGTGTAATACTTATATTGGCATTATCAAAATACGATGAATAGCACAACATACGGCACGATTGTCGTCGCGGACAATGCGCGAGCTCACCTTGGCGATGTACACAATCATTACAAGGCCGACTCAATGTCAATCGCTATCGGATGTGTATCACTCACTGGAGGAGCAACCAATCTTATGATGCGCATCGGTGTCTTCGTTTCCGAGGTCAGAAACGCTCGCAAAGATATGGACGCTGTGAGCAGGGAACTACTATCCCTTTCATTATGTCTTGGTACTCTCAAGGACGATATACAAAAGCGAAACGTTGCCTATGATCAAATCCTCATCAACGACATCAGCCAGATTCTCGTCAATTGTGAAATGACCATGCAACAAATCGAGACGGTATTGACCAAGTTGTCCTCAGGCAAACTATGTCATCGCATTAATTGGGCTGTGTCTCAGCAGGAACAGATGGACAAGTTGAGGTCCTCTTTAGAGTCTAGCAAGACAGCTCTTGAGATTGCCCTAACTGTCGGCAGCATTTCGATGCTGGCGACGCAAAGAGGTCTCCTAGAGGATGTCGGAAAGGATATAACTCTAGTTCTGCAGGATACGAAAGTCATCATCACCAAGACTGATGCTGTGCTGGCCACGACAGCAAGCATCGACCGCAAGATTGACGTTTTGTCGCACATGCAAAAAGAGGACCCGCGACTGGATAACATCAATCTTGAAATTCATACACTAAACGAGCAGCTGAAAAAGCTTATGCATACTAGCTCGAAGACATCTACAGTCACCGGACTTGTGGAACATGCTCAGAGCACCACGAGAAAGGTATTGGAACCACTGGCACATCTATTACCTACGAAAGATGAGTTGAACAAGCTGAACAGCACCCCGAACGAGGTAGCTAGCGGCATGTTACCCCATTCTGAAATGTCTCTCCACAAAGATCAAAACTATACAAATATACTGAAGTTCTGTCCAGCATGTTCAAGGTTGCTGTGGAAAAAAGACGAGGCTGTTGTCGAACAGTTTCATGCTAAAATAGATGAAACTCGGAAAAGGTGGACAGAACAATTGCAATCAGAGGAAACCAGAGGCGATGAGCTAGCCCGCCTGATAGTCGTATCGAATGAAGAATTGAAAGCAGAGAAAGCGGCTCTGTCGGAATTACAGATTCGATACACAGAAAGGGAAGCATTCATGCAAGCAAGCCTTGTTGAGACAACAAGGAGGCTGGAGCTGTATCAAGATGGTTCCAGGCAGCAAGCTCCTGAAAGTAATCCCGCTACGATTGACGAGCAGCCACCAAATATCATGGCCGATAAGTGGCCTTCTGCAATAGATGTCATACACCGACGTTCTAATGCAGTCACTATTGTTGATGTAGCGAATGAATCAGCTGGGGTAGAGCATCTGTTGAGATTTTACAATGACGATTTGCAAGATTTCACCGAACTCACAGAAGAGCTGAAAAGACTGCAGTGGCCGAGCGATGATACTTTGTCAAACTTGGAAGATGGAGAGCTACATACTCGTTTTCAGGAACTACAATGGAAATGTGCCAAGGTAGCGAGACATTGGTGGGACAACGAAGAGCAGCTTCGACGGCTTCAAACTGATATTGCCAAGGCTCAAAAGGCTGATAATTTCACGGCGGCTCATGGTCAGGAATACGATGATCGCATGCTCGAAATCATGGAAAATGGGCTGGCGAGCCTTCAGCTTGAGCTGCTGGAAAACAAAAGAGACGAAGTCAATCGTCTTTATACTGATTATACCATGGATAGCGTCGTACCAAATTTGCCACAACATATTGTAGAAAGCCAGGCACTCAGATCAAATTATTCGACGCTTTCAGCTGCATATCTGAGACTGAAGAGGTCGTATTTTGAGAGACTCACAGTCCTAGAAGACCTCAAGAAGTCATCAGCCAACCTGCCAAAACCCGCAGTAAACCTGCAATTTCCTCAAGCACCGCCGAAGAACCCGCATCACCAGCGACTGGACACACAGGTCGGCGGCAAGCTGAAATACGAGGAGGGAAAGAGCGCTGCGCGCATGTTTATGCAGCTACAACGAGACATTCACGAACAAGCACAGAACCATGCAAGTCAAGCCACCAAACACCAAACCCGACATGACAAACTACGATCCTAGGCTGAAAGCAATATTCGCCAGCTTGAGCTCAACCAAGCTCAGACGGCTCGTGAAGCAAAAGCTCGGATCGAAGGGCTCACATCTAGACTCGAAGTCCAACAGCAAAAAATAGACACCGACACTACCACTATTTCCAAGCTCAAATTTACTCGTAAGTCGTGGTCGGCACATTATCAAAAGCAGTCCGAAAAGCTTCAGCAGCTAGAAGCAGGAATGAAAAGCTTCAAACAGGAGACGACACAACAACAAGCGCGGCTAGAAAACCTACAGCAGAAGTACGAGAACTTACTTAATCAGAATCAGGCTCTGCGTCATCGTCTTGAGCAATCAGAATTCGAGAAGGAGGCTTTAGGTCTTACATAGCAGACCGCAAATGCTGACGAAGAGACATGACGACAAGGATGACACTTGGAGACGCGATATTATCACCATCGATAAGTGCTCTCATTTTCTATCACTTATTGCAAGTGGCAGAGCATTCGCAGCTTAAAGCTCAAAAGATTGCCAGCGCGTTTGGAGGACTTGCCACACCCCCTGGCACATGCACAGCCTCGCTCGTCAGGAAGAAACTCCACCTTCCCAACTTCTCACATGTTCGACTCAATTCTTCCAGCTCAAATAGTTCTCCTATGGGACATCCCCAACCAGCCAGAAACACTTCATGACAACTCCACTCGAGTGGTGTCGGCCACTGCTCAAAACTAGGATGATCAGCAGCCACCGCAGAAAAATTATCCCAGATCCAGTTCAAGAGTTCTTCCGACTGCTCAACTCCACCCAACGACGGAGGATGCATCGCTTGCAGGCGCTCTATGTCAGCATTCTGCAGTGCATAGTATGCTTTCATATAGCCTGATCGGATGATCAGAATATCACCAAATTTGACTTGGGTTCCCTGCCAGTCCAGGATCTGCTTCAACCACTCAAGCTTGATCGGATGCCGCTCAAAGGACTGGAAGCTTTGCACTTCCGAAATATCTTTCCCTGGTCCACTTTCCCGCCATCGAGCAAAGTCGACCAAAATACCTCGACCGACAATACCGTATTTCTCCAGATTTTGCACACCGAGGATATTAGAGCGCTTCTGGGCTTTCTCGGATGTGCCTGCAATGTCTTCGACTGTGGTGTCGTTATAGAAGCGTTCGGCTTTTTGATATCCGAAGTGCCGGAGGCCGTCCCATTGCGAGGAGGACTGGGTGTTGAAATGCCATGTGTCGTCGTGGACTATTCTTGGCTTCTTTTGGTAGACGTCTTTCTTGAAGACTTGGCGGCCGAAGAGGGGTCGGTCACCTGTAGTTGAGATGTGAGTAAGCACAGAGTCTTCTTGATTAGTAGATTGAGAGCACTTGAGACTCGGATGGTGTGTAGACGTGTAAGTCCTTTCACGACGAGATTCGAGCAGTACATAAAATCTCACCTTGAAAATCCAGCGCAGCATTCAAGCTGACACGAGTACCAGTCTTGATCTCAGAGGCAGCGGCAGCAGCCACAATCTCATCTGTCTGTCGATTTAGGAATCCTCTCTCGTCTTCGTCTCCATAGGCTCCCCACGCATTTAGTTTGGCGGCGGCGTGGGTTTTGGATAGTGGGAGGGAAGAAAAAGGTACGGGTGGTCCTCCTTGTTGAGACATGTTCTAGGAAGAAACTGAACACTTAGCAGTAGTCTTTTTGGACACGTTCAAATTCACGAGCAGAAAGCAGTAGGATTTAGGTCTTGACATTAAGTGAGCACTGGCATTGCTGGTTCATTACTGTACTAGCGATTGTTGGAGATGCATGTCTCGACTTTGCCATCGCGTCGTGAGGGGGACACGAAGCGATCGCGGCGAGATAGACCGACCCGAGGCATTTGAGCGCTGCGCTGAAAGTCTTCCTTCCGACAAATGACTACGCGTGATATTGATGGTGACGATGCAGGAGTTGCAACAGAATGTAAGTAACACAATCAAGGCGTGGTCGTGGACATGATTTTTGATAGACGCGTTTTTACCGAGCACCAATACACGAGAACGCGTCGCTGGCGTGTTGTGGAGCCAAGATTTTACGATCGTTGTCTGCTGCTTGGGTATCTCTATCTCGACTGGAGATGAGGGTGCTACTGTACAATGTCGCGTGATGTGATGGGGTGACTCTGTAAAGAAGCCGATGATCACCACGGGCAATTCTTCTCTTCATCGTCGGTTAACATGACCATCGTTCTGGTATACGGAGATGACACGAGTCTAACTTTGCTTGTTTGGCTCAGTGACCCGTGTTATTTCGCCCTTGAAGGTCACTTGTGATCATTGAAGGTAAATACATCCACTGACGTGTCCCACTCAAAACGTGGTGTTTTGGTATCGATGGTACACCCTGGCAGCTCAATGAAAATCTTGGATCGATCTTATTAGCACCAACCTAATCGCTGTGAGGCACCACGCTATGAGCACTGGATAATTCGAGATGAGATCGAAGTCAATCTGAGCATCGGGAGAGCTATCAGATGACGAAGGCGATCTTCTGGCATATATAAACTCTGTGTGTGTTGTATTCTCGGATGGGAGATGAGTGTCGTGTAATGTTAGAATTCTGACTGAATTGTTGTTCAGGAAGGAAAGACGACCATGGCGAATGAGGCCCGAGATTGGATGAATTCTTCGGAACTCTGAAATCTTCCTATTGGTTCAGTGACGCAAGGAAAGCCAGAGTGCTAATTGGATTTCCCATCCCAGCACATGGTGATGGGGTCTGCATCGTGATTTATTGACCGTTGAACCCTACATCAAACTCTATCCCTCCGTGAGATCGGTACATGCAAAATGCAGCACATTGCATATATCTCCGACAATCTCTTTCCGAAGTGTTCTATGGACTTTTGGGCCGCGCACATTTAGAGATGTGTATATTGCAATCAGAAGTCGAGAAGTGGTTGTATGGACATGCTGGATGAGTGATTCAGGAGAACTGCTGTGCACTGGTGAAACACAAGCGAGATGTTAGTCACACGAGTGTGGACCTTGGCGAGCTAAGATGCCTGACATGGACTCGGTGTTCCTCGCCTACAATACTCGTAGCGTATATATAGCTTGCACTTGTCGAGAGTTGTGGCCAGTACTTCGATTTCTTGTATAAGAGAATTTTTCCGGATGAAGCGACATGCCTGAATTGATTCGAACGACTACGAAATTACCTTGGATCACTGGCCGAGGTTGTAGTGGTAGCGGAGCACGTGACGAGTTTGCTGCAATGCACACCCCTTTCCAAACGGGGACGTGGAGCCATCAATATTTAGTGCCGGGCGGATGTGGCTGCCCATGTCCTGGAGTTGAGAAGCAGAAGTGCTTGGCAAAGAAGATTGCAGAGCTACTCTGTACCAGTACAGGCTGTGCCTGCACTGCTGATGGACAGTAGACGGCCCCAAACCCCGCAAATGGAAGCAAACTCTTTAGCACGAGAACATAGTGGCCAGCTTGTTGCCTGATACAACTCCTCACCCTGAAAGTCAGTATACTATCGTGCTGTCTCATAGACATAGTGCATATGCCAGCCACTAGGAGCGTGAGGAGATGGTCTTTTACCCAGGTCTGGCGTGTATGACACTCAGGAGTGCAGAAGAGAGTGTAACGAACCTATCTACTCCTGCAGGCTGCAGCTCGTCCACACCACTGGTGTGTTGTATCGCAGCAATGTTGAGCAGACGAAAGAGTGTTCGGACTGCAATGACACGACTGGACCGTTGTCCAGTCCAGTATACCTTACTAGCGACAGGTGAACGCTAGACGCGAAAGCATCCCCTGAGTCGTGACGGTCGTGACTACTTCCAGCTGTGCCAGTAAGCTGTCGATGTGACGTTCACAATGCATATGCCAATGTTCGTCTTTACATCTTGACTGACACTGCGCAGAAAGATCGGATTTGCTAAGCGAAAAGAAGAGCCATAGATTAGGACAAAGATGGTTGTATGCCTAGTGGTCTTGCGAGAGGAAGAAGCTTTCAAGCGCCGTCCAAGGATGGTGCTCTTTCAAGGATCAGCGAGCCAGGTCAAGCCGGAAAAGAGGCCCGTATGATACCTTGATGAGACATAAGCCATAAGAGCAGTACAGTCCTGCTCTGCGAGTATCAAGAGCTAGGTTTCGTGATCGCATACAATGCTAGTGAAAGAGGTATCAACTGTACGAATCTAAAAGTACGTCGTCTGTAACCTCCAAGCTGAAGGAAAGGCGCGTTGCTTCTCACGGGGTACTTTTCCCCTCTAGCCCCTGGAAGAAATGGTTCTTGCCTTTGCAGCAACTGCGAGCTCAGGACGAGCATCCTTGGGCAAGCAACATGACTTGCTGAGGACACATCAGGTCTCACAACATCTGCAAGCTCACGATCGGGGTTTGACGTATCAAGTGCCTGATTGCAGACACTAGCTTTCACTCTAGCAGCTCCAAGGTTTGATTGCCGATCCCAACTCGGACTAGTAGCATGCAGTGTAAAACGTCCGAAGTGTGGGTCACCGTTGATCCTTGACGTGCTGCTTTCCAACCAAACAGTCCCAGCAGACTATTCGAACAATTCACCTTCCCTGCCGTCGATTGAGATTGAGTCCACTTCGAGTCCAATTCCAAACTGTCGGCAGCCGGATCCCTGCTAAATGGACGCCGTGTGCGCTACTGCCTACAGTGACTCGTCCATAGTCGAATCCTCTGCATGATGTGCAGCCCATTTCCTTTCTCTCACTGGCAGTCGCGACGTTGTTCCTGCATCGACTTTGCATGGTACATCCTAGCCTCGCACAAGTACTCTCCCTCATCCCTCCTCACTCTCATTTTCAAGGGTTACTCCAAAACCACTGTGAGAGCCTTGTCGACTCTTCCGTATGTTCTGGCAACTACTGTGAAGGTTCCTATCAGCTTCTTCACACCTTCCCACCTGTAGTCATTCCTTTCCATCCCTTCGTTCTGCTTGATGCTGAACTCGACATCATCAACCTACCAATATTCCTTGTCCAACTCGAAGTCGCTCTTTTCACTCGTACGACCAGCACTCATTCAATTCCAGCCACAATCGACAACTTTCTCAAAAAGCGCGTGTGATTTCTATGCCAGAAAGAACAAGGACGGAACTATAGTAGTCGTGATCAAGATCCTGGCTGTTGCGACGCTACACAAGTTTCTGTTCACATCCAACACTTGGGCTTTCACTTCAGAATCATAACCGGTCCTTGTTCTCTCGCTGCATGGAGCATTCCCGTTAAGAGCCCGACCGAAAGCTCTACCGCGATTGCACGTTATTCCGACCAGGAATTAAGGCTCTTTGGCTAGCAAGGGGTGTAAGCACTGAAAGAACCGGCAGGATGAATATGTTCAAGAAGGGTCGAAAGGCCAAGGATCAAGAGGATGCTCTTGACCCTTTCAATGGCACTGAGGCGACGTCCTTTGCAAAAGCCTCTCGAGCGCTGACTCGGAAGAAGAAGAAGCAGGATGTTGAGGAACAGCCAGTGTTCGACCTGGCCAGTGCTCTCCCAGATAAGAACGATTTCCGAACGAGTCTCCTCATGCCCAATCTCTCCGCTCGCTTCAGCATGCTTCGCGAGCAAGACGATCCCAACACCAAAGTCGGAAAAGCTAGTGACGACAGTGTGCTATTTCCCAAGAGAGCCTCTCGTCTCATGCTGTTCAACAACAACCCGCTGACCGATATTGCCGAAGTTGAATCCATTCGTTCAGGTATCCGACCACCATTTGCAGATGAGAGACGCGGGTCCCTGTTTGACGGCTACGCAAGTGACGATGGAGCTGTTATCATGAACCGTGCTCGTCCAGGTGAAGGGAACAATCTGTTTGGAGGAAGGCAGAAGCTCTACAGGATAGCCGCCAGTTCCACTCGAGATCTATCGGTTCCGGACATCACACGCGGCAAGCACACATACGAGCACGATACCGCCTTGTCTTCCTTCCAGCAAATACGTCTTGGAGAAAAAGAACAAAGAGTACAGCAGGAGGGATCGGATGAGAAGACCGACCGCAATAGTTATCCAACTACCGAATCCGAGGAGCAAGAATCGATTAGATCACCAATGACTGGTTTTAGCAAGAACAGAGGTACTCAATCATCCACAAACTCCGGTCCCTCAAATAGGAGAACCTCCACGGCTGCCACATCTTTGGTTTCAGATTCACCTCTGCCATATCAAAAGAGCAACATTGCCATCAACAAGGTGAGGGAACAAGACGTCAATTCCTCGGCAGAGAGTATAGGGTTTGCATACTCACCTGGACTTCCAATGCCGGCTCGCGACGATGATCGTCCAGCAGCTCAGCTTTCGGGCTCAAGTGGTATACCCAGAATGAGAGAACATGGCTCTGGACAGTCTCCTGTACACACTTCTCAACCATTCCGTGGCATAAGTCCACCACTAAATGCAACGTCACAGCCACTCGATTTCGGTCTTCAGGACGTCGCCAGATCTCAAGGCACTTCATCAAGGTTTCAAACGACATCTCCAACGCCCCAGTTCGAATTTGAACACGGTGATACTCTGGCAAGCAGTGTTCGACCCAACGATCGTGGCAAGGCAACCGCCATGGGTCTTTTCAACAAGCCAGCACGTCACTACGATGAAGCACAATTTCAACAGCGCCAGATGCAAATGCACGAAGGCAGGAATTCTCCCATCTCAATGAGCTCGCGAGCCGCGAGTCATGCCTCGATCGAGCCAGGCCGTTCGTCACGCCCAAGTTATGCCTCAACCACCAGCGACATCCAGTTGGACGATCATTACACTCCCCAGGTACCACCCATTCCTAATCAAACACCGTCACCTGTGCCCTCGAACAGAAGATCCTCCGCGAATTCCACTGGAAGGCAATCGACTTCGCGTCCCAGGACGAAATCTTCCACCTCCAATAAGGAAGCCGCTGTCAAGGCGAGAGTAGAATCTCTGATCCGGCGTCAGAATGCAGAGTTGGCTGCTCTAGAAGAGTCGCAACTCGGTCGAAATCATAGTGTCGACGACGGGGACGGCACTTCGCTATACAAAAACAAGGGCAATGGTACTTTTTTCAACAATAGTGATCATAGTGATGACGAAGATAGTGTACGAGGTCGATCGCAGGTGAACCGTCGTCCGAGTGTACCAGCATTGAAATCTCCAACAGAAATTCATCCTGCTTTGCGCGAAGACATGCAGGGCTTCGATTTTGGCACTGGGGATATACAATCATTTCCCTCAAAGAATTCGAACTGTCTCAGTACTTCCAATCCTGTGCTCCCGGTCGAAAACACTAGACAACCGACACACGAGTCTCCCAGGAGCACTGAGGACGTCGACTCTCCCACTCTACCAGCAACCGGACTGGGTCTGAGTGGTCTGATTCGTACTCACTTGCGCCACGATAGTGATAGATCGTCCATGCTCCCGCCTCCATCACCCATGATGCCAGCGTTCGACGCGTCTAGAGGCTCCGTGTCCTCTACAACACAAACAGTGACTGAAAGCGTGAAGAGTGATCCTTTCGAGTATGATAGTGATCGATTGACAGTACGACAATCACCGTCGCAGCTCCCGTCTCCAACGACAGCCACATCTATCATGTCTCAAAAAGCTCAGCAGATCCTGGGAGCCGCGATGGCTCTGAGAGACGCGGCTGTCAAAGCTGACGCCACACCTACATCAGCTCCATCGACATACGCCTATAGCAACGATAAGAATGTGGATATGCAGGCTGATGCTTTGATTCACCAACGTTCAGACAGCACCGAAACCCAACGTGAAATGCAACGTTTTGACGAGGAGTTGGCAGCGCGGCGAAAACGCATCGAGGAGGGTCTTAAAAGTGTACAAGAACGTTCAAGATCAAGAAGTCCTCATACCGAACGACACGGAGTTACTGGTGTACACGGCTTTTCATTGCCTCGCTTCCCTGGAAGATCAAACACAGGTGATCGTTTCGACGGTGCGACTTCAAGCAAGGCTATAAAGATGCTTGGTATCTCTTCACCGCCACCACAACCTCAACCATCACCGAGAATGCTGCAATCATCAGCAAGGACCAAATCAGACCGTTCTGATGACACGATCACGCATCATGGTCGCAGCTCGCCTCATGACCACGAAGGATCACACGGCATGTATGCATCAAACATGGGTCGTCGCACTCCACTGTCTGCATTGAGCAATCACTCTGATAGACCACCTCCTCCAAGGTCAACGACACCATCAAGCAGACCAGGTACAAGGAACCGAAGCAACTCAGCTGCCGCCGATCGTTCAGCTAGCAGAAACAAACACATCCCAGATTTCGACCGCACAATGATGTCAAACTCTCCATACCTCAACGGCTCTCCTAAATACGAACAGGAGAACAGACCAGATAGTTCTGCAGGTCAGTACAGTGATCGCACTGGCTATTTCAATACCAAACCACTAGCAGCCCCCGAGATGAACGAGGGACTTATACCACGTCCATCGTCACGACCTTCACCAAATTCGCAGAACACGTTCGAGACAAGCCATACTCCACAAATGGCAACCATGATGTCGCCTCCGTCCTCTGCGCTGCCGTCGCCAAATCCTGCTGCTGCATCTAGTAGCTCGAACGGTCGTACGACTCCAACTGCAGCTTCTGGCCGTGCTACACCCTCTAGCTCTCGAAAGCGATCGGTCACTAAAGGCATGATATCGGATCCCACATTCGTTTCCAGCACTTCAACTGTGCCACTTGTCTATCTTCCACGAGATGGTGGGCCTGCCGTTGAACCAATGATGGCTCCTCCGTTGCCCGCCATGAATCCTCGTCGAAGAGGCACAGGATCTGACCTACCACCGAGCTCTTTCAAGCCACATCCAGCTGTGCGTCCGAATGTGTCTTCTCTCTCAGTCGTGGCGGGTTCACCCGTGACGCCTGATTTTCCCAATCTCGATCAGCCAACCAGCCGACCACCACCAGCACGACCACGTAACAGGCTGCGAAAGTCAAGCAGTGAAGGTGGCAATATGGCAGCGCGAGCGAGGCAGCAGGCGCTCGTGGCAGAGCTGGCACGTGAGAAGGGCCGCAGTCCAAACGTTGCTGTGTTCCCGAACAGAAGTGCCACGTCTCTGCACACGCAAGAGGGACGAATGTTTTGATTTTCCTTTCTCGTTACTCTACAACCACCTTTCCCTGCGATTTCACAGCAAATTCCTATCCTTATCATTCCTAAACAACGCGCAACACTATTTCTAATCAATTGACTGACGTCTGGAGTCGTCGCGGAACCAGGAAGTTTTGGGAGGCCAATCTGCGTACCTCCAATCACGACGCGACATGATTTTCTCCATTCCACAGTCCTTTATCTTTTTTTTTCATTTGACGACCTCGTTGATACCATATAGTCAGTGTTCTACAGCATTCGGAGTCGGAGGGGTAGGGACGTTGCAATATTCAACGAATTGGGCTTTTGCGAAAATGGGCTGTGGGAAAAATGCAGGCTGGGAACACATTTAAGACTATGTAGAACATCTAGTGCTACTACTTATTCGGTACATGATAGGAAAAGCTGTACAACAAATGAAAGGCCCTTCTATTCGTACTTGATATCACGCGTTCGTGCAGTGTTTACCGCATTTTGAAATGAGGACGAGGAAATCATGCAGCCTAAATGTATAGGCGGTGACACTTTTGAAGTGAACGATTATCCTTGGCTACAAGTTTGACCGTGCCTAATTCACATCGCGATATACACACTCTTCAGCTCAGTTCAATAATCTGTAGCATGATGACTCATCTCTCTTCCATCTCCTGAGGCCTTCCAACCATCAAAGGGGCTGTCAATGGCCATCGTCGGCGAGGTGCAGTTGACGCCGACAAATCCTGCCTCCAGCGTGGTGGTCTGGGTCTTGGCATGCCTAGACATATTTTCTTGTTCCAGGTGCTTCCTTCTTTTCAACTCTTTCTTGCCAGTCGTGCCAGTGTCATTCATCACTTTGAAAGTCGACTTCGGCTTAACTCAATGAACACTGTCTACAGCTTGGTCAAAGGAAGAGGATTTGCCCAGGCTTAACGTATTATGAGCAACAGCTATCGCTGAATCAATTCAGATATTGAGTCCAACAAGCTTACCAATTTCTGATTTGTCAACTACGATATCCCCCAACTCTATCTTCGTGTTTAGTTTCAGCTAACGTAGATTTTTGTGGTTGGAGTAGCTATGCCATGCGGAGTCGATTTGCAATGACATGAGTTTACTCGTGCTCAAGCACTGGTAGAAGACGAGTACCCACGACTCTTATGCATATTGACCCTCGTTAGAAGGATGGCAGATTCTGATATTCAGCCATTCAAGGTCGACATACCCCAATCCGAGGTTGACCGGCTTAAGCGCAAGCTCAAGGATACTCGTCTCCCTCCCAGGGAGATCGTACCTGGAGCTGGAACCAAGTACGGCCCAACATACGAGTGGGCGAAGAACCTGTATGATGCCTGGATCAATGACTTTGACTGGTATGAACACCAAGACGAGATCAACTCTGCACCACATTTCACAACGCGCATAGCAGACGTGAAGATCCATTTTGTCCATGCCCGATCGAACCGAGAGGATGCTATCCCATTGATTATGGTGCACGGATGGCCTGGCTCCTTTTACGAGTTCAATCAGGTCTGGACACCTCTGTCGAACCCTTCCGATGGGAGCTCGCCTGCCTTTCATGTTGTGGTACCATCAATGCCAGGTTACTGCTTCTCAGACTGGCCACCAAAGGCAGGATGGACGTTACAGGACAATGCACGGATATTTGATGCCTTGATGAAGAGACTTGGATACAAGGAATGTAAGTAGGCCAGAATGCGGAAAACTTGCGTTCGATGAGCAAAGCTGACACGAATTTCCAGACATGATCCAGACAGGTGATTGGGGTCATTGGGTTGGTCGAGAAATGGGCTCGAAGTACACTGACTCCTGCAAGCTCGTCCACTTCAACTTTGCACCCTCACCTCTCCCAGAAGGCGTCGAGTATACCAAGCGTGAGCAGGATGTCAAAGACCGCGTCGACGACTGGCTCGAAAACCACATGGGATACGCCATCTGCATGCGAACTCGTCCACATACCATCGGCTTCGGCTTCAACGATAATCCAATGGGTATTCTGACCTGGGTCGGCGAGAAGTACAACGAAGCTGCAGATCCCGAGAAGCAGAAGCGACGATACTGGACGCAGTGTATCTTGACCACAGCAAGCTTGTACTATTTCACGGACTGCATCATGCCAAGTATGCTCTGCTATTATGAGAATGTGCGACATGAGAACTTTGCTAGCTTTGCGATGGAGGAGCATAACCGTATCACCGTGCCCTTCGGGTACACGAGTTTCTACTGGGACACCGAACCGAGCTCGAAACGTGCGGTGGAAAGGACGGGAAATCTGGTGTTCTACAAAGGTAAGTCTGTGGTCGTGAACCATCAAATTGGTGACACGCAATTGACTTCCACTAGAAAGAAACGATGGCGGGCATTATGCTGCACTGGAAGACCCCGAGGGAATTATCGAAGACGTTCGTGCGCTAGCGGCGCAAGCGTGGAAAAAGTCGTAATTTCCAGTCTACACCAAGCTCTCTTTAGAGGTGGTGTGCGCAGCAGATCCAAGTTCAGGCCGTTTGATCACAGTACGTATGATGAGGCTTCAGGCAAATACAATACTGCCTATCCATCCACAGAGACCAAATGCTATCGCGGTAAGGAAGTGTGGTGCACCACGAGTATCCGCATCATTGCCCGTCTGACTTGGTGTTGAGGCACTCTGTGTTGAGCCACCGGTACTCGTGGCCGGATTTGACAGTCCAGTACTCTGAGTCACTGCAGTGGCAGCAACACTGACATCGTTGGATGAAGGTACAGAACTCGCCACTGGCCTCGAGGAGCTGCTTTGAGATCGAGATCGAGACTGCGATTGAGAATCAGAAGACTCAGCGCCTCCAAGATCATCCCATTCTCTCTGCCAGGCCAAACCATCCCATACCCTATGTTGAATACTGCCAGCTGCAAGCCCGAAAACATCAAGACGATTCAGTCCCCACGACACGACACGCACATCAGAAAAGCTACCTCCCAGAGACTCCCAGCTAGCGGCCCATGATCCGTCCCACGCTTTGTGATAGACCGCGTTGTCAGCACCAATTCCAAAGACATCTACCCTGTTGAAGCCCCAAGAAACAACCGCTGGAGCATGATCGGATTTGAAAGTCCCTCCAAGGTTTTCCCATGCAGTCGACCATCGTGATCCGTCCCAGTGTTCGTGATACATGGAATTATCGGTTCCTATCCCAAACACACTAAGCCGATTCACACCCCGGGACACGACAGCGGGTGCGCTGGTGAAGACTCCACCATGTCGTTCCCATTCACTTTGCCATGACTGGCCGTTCCAGGATTGATGATACATTGCCTGGTCCGTGCCCAAACCAAACACGTCAAGGCGATTAGGTCCCCATGCCACAGCCGCCGGAGCACTGGTAAATACACCACCCAGCGAACCCCAGGAAGACTCCCACATATCCCCATTCCAAGAATTATGATACATCGCCGAGTCCGTCCCAACCCCAAAGACATCTAATCGATCAGACGCCCACGATATCGGGACTAACTCACTCGCAAACGTACCACCAATCGAGTCCATGCCATGCTGCCATCCCAAATCCCCGCCGTCAAATGCCTTATGCCATGCTGCCAAGTCCGTGCCGCGACCGAAGATATCGAGTCGACCTGTACCCCAGGATATCGCTGATAGGCTGCTGCTGAAAATGCCTCCGTGGTCTTCCCAGGCGGGTTGCCATGAGGTTCCGTTCCAGAAGTTGTGCAGCAGGTTGTTGGTGGGGCCGAGACTGAAGATGTCGAGTCTGTTGGCGCTCCAGGAGACGACGGCGAAGGAGGCTGCGCGGAGGATGCTGGCCATACTTGGTCTAGCTTGATTCATATGTCTCGTACGAATCGCAAAGGAAAGAAGAGGAGCTCGGACGCTGGTCACTGTACGCTTTGATCAACAAACAGCGTTCGTAGCGAGTGTGTACAAGCAATCAGGGTAGGCATTCTACGAGAGAAAGAGTATCGCCTTGTTCGGCGTGATTCGCCATAGTTGTAGCGACTTTTTGCAAAGTTCATGTTTTCGCTCGCCTGTTCATTTCGGTGCTACCGCTGAGGAACTACACTAGCATTTTGATGAACCGGAGTAGGTCTTGCTAGGCTGGCGAGTTTGACATTTTGTATGTGCTGAAAGGCTGTTCAGTTAGACCTTATTGTTAGTGTGGACAACAATTCCGCACCAGAGAGAGACTAGCCAGCGCACCCTAGCAGCTATTCCTGCGTGATTCATGCAAAAGGCACATGCAGTATCGCGATGTGGTAGTCGTAGGCATGTCAGTAAGGCTGATTGTCACAAATGTTCGCGCATGCTTAGGTATAGGTGAGGCGGAAGGCCAATCATCCTAGCAATCAGTCGTTGTCGCCTATGAGTACCAGGAACCTGTATCTCATTTTGCGCGATTCATGGTAAATGCTCGTCAGTAGATCGTTCAGAATAGGTCACAGTCTTTGTTGCAAGCCCAGAGGTAAATGAAGGTAATTAGGTGGCTGGGCATCTGCTCAGCATGCACTCCGCACGTTTTCTGCAAGATTGTGGGTTCTGCTTTGGGGGCCAGGAAAGTGCACCTCGCTTCGAAGCACTCGATCCGCTTGCGTAAGTCACTTGAATTGGATGATGTCAGTCACTGGCAAGCTCTTCCTCTTGATGTGATGATGGCGCCGAGAATGATGCGTAAAGTGAGAGAGCAGAGACCAGCAGAAGCTAGACAGTCGCGGAGCAGTGCGTAGGTTCGAGAGCCGTCCATCATTAACAGGGTCTGAGCCTCAGTCGCTGACCAAGTAGGAATTCATTCATCTCATGTCTTTCTATGCATGAAAGTCCGTCACAGACTCGAGATCATACAAGCCACATAGGGCGATGGGAAAAGGAGATCATGGCAAGATAGAATTTGTGTTAGGAATTAGAGGTCAGAATAGTTCTCAAGCATTGACAGCCTTCCTCAGACTTTCCAACATGTTTCTCCGCTTCGCTTCCCGACAAGCTTATGGCAAGAATTTACTCAACATACCATCATCTCCAGGTTTAGGACGATAATCTTCCAAAGCCACAGGTATACCTCCAGAATATCCAAGATCGCCTTGTGCCCTCTCCAGGTTTGCTGCAACTTTCCCTACCAGTTTCGCGATCCACCTATCGTTCACCATCGAGCCAACTACAGCTTTCTTCATGCCATCCCTCGTGTTCTGTTGGACTTCCTGCATAAAAGTTTTGATAGAATCTTTTGACAGCGAGTCTTTCGTGTTCAGGCTTGCTTCGCGAAGATTGTGCTGTAGGTTCTTGGTGAAATTCTTGAAACGAGCACCGGTAGTGCTTGGTGTGATATCGGATGAAACCCGGCTATGTCTGCTCATTATCGACGGTGTCGATGACACACTGTTCACGGTATCGTTTGTGCTTACTGGCGTTAGTGGTGCCGCTGTCGAGGAGTCGATCGAAGCTGTTTCGCTCGCGTGGTCGACCTTGTCGGTGGCGTGCTCGGTCTCGACCTTGTCTACCTCCTTGTCAAATTCAATGATCTTGGTTGCCTTGACAAGTGCCGCAATAAACATGAGAAGCTCACGATCAAATGCTGCAGGAAGACTGGCATGAACAGACATGGAAATTGAAGCTTCATCCTTCTTCACCATTTCCATCTCCTGCTCCGCCTGCACCATCTTAGGGATACCGTCTGCCTGTTCGACTTGATCTTCCATCTCTTTCTTGTCTTCTGCAGTCGGCCTGGGAGGTAGGACGTGCTCGTGATGAGGGAGTAAATAGCTCGGAATTGTAAAGGTGGCATCTGCTCCACCAAGCCGGACGACCTGGTTCAGAATTCCTGACTGTGGAAGAGTCCTATATGCCATGATGTCTGCGAAGTGTAGATATGCTACAATATCGAATTGGGTCGAGAGTGGTACCTGACCTAAACCATCTATGTCGGTGAGCTCCAAACAGAAATTCGCATCTTCAAGCCAGACACTAATTCGCTTCTGAAGGCGGCGCAGTTCAGCCGATTTTGCAGCATGATGCTTGAAGATATTCGTCTGCAATAACTCTCTAAGCCATTGACCAGAACCAGCAGCGGAAATAGAGTCGATAGTAATAGGATGAAAGTAACCCAACGGATTCAGGAGAAGACGAAGGAGAAACGGCAATCGATGTAGGAAACGCCGCACACGGGGAGGGTTCAGCTTCTGGAGCGTCGTAACTTTGATCGATCGTCTTGGCGGATGTGGTATGGAAGGAAACTCGTGAAGTTCGGCGCAGACCGCTGCACGCAGATCTTTCTCGTCGTCGATCGTCCTACCTTGTTCTCTAGTTGCTTTACGTACTCGCGCTCGGGATTGGTAGGTGGCGTCACTAGTGCGGATCTCGTTGATCATTTCGTCGTACTTCTTCTCTGCATCCTGGTCGTCAGGAGACAATGTCCTGATACTCCCAAACCCTGATTTAGCAGATGAGTCCTTGATGTAAGAGCCACCAGCTAGACTCTCCCTCAATTTCGGTCTGTCTTTGATGCCTTCTGAGCCAGCAGTCGCTGCCCGTAGAAGGGGTGTTTCATAGAACAAGGCATCCTCTTCCGCGCCCTCGTGATCTGTGTCGTCAAGGTCTGTGAATGTCATCTCTGATCTCCCACCTTTGATGTTTCCGTAGACATTGCCGACTTCGATACGTCGAAACAAGGATACACGTACTTCGTCTGCATGCAGAGCAAGTTCAATTTCGTCTGTAAGCTTTATACCCACCTCGATACCATGTGCCACCAAAGTGAGACCCGATAGCGAGAAGGTTATGCCACGAATGACCATGAGACCAGCAACTTCTGTGTCAATCTCAAGTGCTGGCAAGTTGAAAAACGCGATCCTATCTTGCGTGAAATACAAGTCTCGCAGTAACCGCCTTAGATTGCGACGTGCAAACTCGGAGGCGAATTGGAATTGAAACAAACACGTGAGAAGGATGAATGGCCAGCACGCTGCAGTAAAGAGGCCATACAGTAGCCATGAGGTTGCTGCAACGGCGTACACCAGATTAATTGAGATCAGCAACACCCATAATGGAATAGAGGGAAAGATGCGGCTGCCATAGCCAGCAGCATAGGCGATGAGAAGTGATTGTACACCACAACCAGACAACAGCCAGCGACGAGGCCATACGGAGATAGCCAGGAGTAAGGCGACAAAGGCAGTGGTGAGTATTGGCCAGGTCAGGCCGAGTGCTGCTTGATCGTTCTCCAGCTGAGCATTAGCCTTCAATGACTTCCTCTTTCGAGGAAGCATGATAGGGTTCGGTGCCATATCGGCAGGTTCGTAATTGTGCTTGGGTATGCTCTACCCTTGCATGCTGACAATTGTGTTTGTAGGTCCTCGTAGAAGAACTTGCGGATAAGCCGTCCTCGGTGCTTAATGATACTGCGTCCTAGAGATGTTATCTGCCGATTATCTTGTAACTGATCTAGTGTTGAGAAGACTTTGATTCTGATTTCGCTCAGGCCTGGATGACGAAGGGAATTGATTTCACACTTTCCAAGTTTGTTTTTGATAATGACGTCAATTACCGGATTTCACTAACGAGAAGGCGCTATCGGTGAGCTTGCGAAGTACAAATTCCATGTGGTTGTCTCGTGTGGGAAAATCTTGTTGCCTTGTAAGTTCACAAATACACGTGGTGATCGACAAAAGCGACGACCGCAACTGTTCGTCGCTTTCGTGTATCTCGCAGCTATCCGAGGACTACCTTTGCCAACCACCACGTGCGACTACATGCCTAGTGGAAGTCGTTATCGACTATTTCTTGCACAAAAACGACATTCTTATAAGTATTCTGTACAGTCTATCCGTTATGGTTATCACCACGGCTTGTGCCCCTGCTTTACAGTAATTCCATCGCCTCCATTTCGCCTCTAACGCTCACGCTTGTGTCGAAAATGCTCAGTCCAGGGCAGAGTTGTACACAGAAAACAAAGCAGGAATTTGATGATCAAACGTGAGGCTCAATGCCAAATGCCCGCAGCAGATCGGGATGTACACGCAATAGCCCAAAACTGTCAACGTAGGTGGTCTGACCTATCTTGCTGACTGTCGAACTTGTTGATTCGACGTCGTCTGGCGCTGTTGCTTCAGGTGATAAGGAAGCTAATGGCGACATGGGCACGGACTGTATAATGGTAGCAGATGCGGCAACGTCAGAGTTGTTGAGACCTCGGATCGATGGACCTGTCACAGTGTCCACTGGAGTCGTAACATCTGGCGCTAGTTCAGTAGATGTCGAGATGTCTTCGAGGCCTTCCGTTGTTTCGGTGAATAGTTCTGTGTCAGGTACGCTCGGCTTCTCTGTCCGTTGGTCCTTAAGGTGTTCTTGGTTCGTTCTCCTATCACGTGTCTCAATAGAGGGTGAACGAGCAGGAGAAGGTAGCCCTGGTGCTGACGGTGGAGGTGGTGGTGGAGGAGAAGGAGGAGGCGGTGGTAGTGGGGATGACATAGCCACGGAGCTGACCTCTTCCAAGTGTGCGTGAGTCTGCTGGATATTGCTGTGGCGCGGTTCTTCCACACCAATGTGGTAGTCTTTACTGTGCTTGCTGAGAAGTGCCATCATTTCGGCAGCTTCAACGTCGTTCAATGAGCCTTCACCTTCGGTTTGAACTTTCTCCAACAGTTCTTGTGCTCTGCGCAAATCTATATCACTCTCGCGTCCCTCCCCGACTGCTAAAGGGCACTGCTCGGTATCATCTCTCTTCTGTTGCTGTTGCATAGTAGTTTTTACATCGCCCTCTTTCGCTGAAACGTTGATGTTCGATAGCAGTAGGGGATCACGTCTCCTCCTCGGATCTTGGGTTTGGAGCTTGAGCTGAGGCTTGTTTTCCAATACAGAACTTATCTGTGTAGAAGCCTGCTGCTTAAGGTCTGAGCTTGTGTCAGAAGCAGTACTACTAGCGGACAGTTTGTCACTGAGTGCTTGAGGGTCATCCTCTTGCACCAAACCCTCTTTCGGTACAACGGTACTCTCGTGAATGGGTACGTTCTCTTTCCTGCTCTCCTTGCTCTGGTCTCTTTCAGCCAAGGCAACAACACCAGTTGTGGGGGCCGTGTCCAGTATCCCAAAGCTCACGCTTGTTGAAGGACTATCCGTATCTGGCTCTCCTCGCTCCCATGACAGGCTGTTCCAGATTCTAGAATTTCGTTCTGTAAAAATGTCAATCGAATTCGTCCTGCTTGGAACAGGTCTCCTGGAAGCGACTGAAGCTCGTCTTGCTGGCTGAGTGTCCTGCAACGCGTCGCCAGCAGCTCGTGACCCGGTTCCCTCTGCAAGGGGCTCACGGCTTTCCTCCTCCTGAGAATTCGCAAGTTGCGACAAAGCAACACGCTTTGCTTTGATTTCTTCAAGTAAAGGGTTTTGCAGAGCGTCGCGAGCTGCATTGCTCGCAGCTATGCTTTTTGTGTCGCCCATGCCGGTACCGATGAGCTGGCTCTGATATCCAAGTCCAGAGAAATACACTTTCATCGTCCAATTCTCCCTCTGTTTGAGCTCATCTGGGTGTTCCTGCGGCACATAAGTTATCTTCAGGCTCCTATCAACGTGGATTCCAAGACTAGCATTCAATTCGTCTTGGACATCTGGTATTCCGAGAGGAACGTCCAATCGTGGCGCTTTTAGTTTATGGTGTTGTTCGCCTAGATCACTGTTTTGTCTTGGGCGTTTTGCTGCAGTGCTAATGGCAGGATTGCTAACACTATTGTCTTCAGCACGTTGGTCGTTGTTGATCAACAGAGAAGGGCAATTGTGAGACGTTCCCTCTTGATGCACTTCCCAAAAGTGCACAATATCTGCGCGACAGATCTTAGGTCTCCGGCATAACGCCCAGCTACCGTCTTGATCCACCGCGTCGCGGAGCCATCCTTTCCACGAATAGACAACACCAAAAGTTGTGATTGAGCAAGAACGACACAATACTAGTCTTCGTGGCAGGGCGAGTCTCTGCTCCTTGTAGTTGAGGATCGTGATCTGATCAACCTCTTGTAAGGTGACCATTAATGCGTCGCATGCCCCACACACAGTCATTCGCTCAAAATTCTGCCAAGAACCCACCCAGGATAGGTACGGCCAATATTTACCTGCCGGACATGTAGGACACACCTTCACTTGATCATGGTTTCTGTCTGCTTTGATCAGTGTGAGCTCGCTCGCTTTCTGCTGCTTGTGCAAATCTGTGTTCTCTGGCGAAGCAGTCTCGCCTTCTTGACGCGTTCGACCACTTGCTAGCTCATCGACATCCCAGAACTCAGACCACGGTGATCCGCATGCGCCACCCACTCTGCATCTGGACCACTCATTAGAGTCTAAGAAGGCCACACCCTCAGCGCCGGGGTTCTTCCACGAGTAGATAATGCTGGATCTCCGAGGAGAGCACTTTAGACATAATTTCAGGCGTTTCGGCTTCTTCCACTGTTTTAACTGGTATGTTTCCACTGTTTTGAAGTCGACTTCCTCCAGCGTCAGCATTGGTACCCGACAATAAAAGCAGTTCCTTACAGATCGAAAAAATCCAGGACTCTTCCACGATACCACGGGCCATCCAGTGTTTGAAGGACATGTTGGACATACCTTAACCTGGTAATGAATAGAAGTGGTATCAACTACATCCTTAAAGTTGACCATGCCATCTGACTGCTGTAGTGACGCTTGTTTCTTCTTTGCCTCCGGTTCAATGGATATTGGTGGGTTGGAATCGAGATTCGTTCTTCCGCCATACGACCAGAATTCAACAAGCGTCTCGTGACACTGTGTGCATTCTGATTGAAAAAGTCCAAAAGCGTTGATACCTGAGCCCTTCCATGAGAAGACGACTAGCTGTTGACGTGGTGGACATATCGAACAAATTCTAACACGTCTCGGCTGCTTGAGTTCTCGATGTTTGTAGACATTGATCGTCTTAGAACCAACTTCTTCTAGCACTAATAGGCTATTTCCACATGCCTCGCAATGGTTGGTTGTACCATAAAGGTTGGGTGTTTTCCATTCGACAATGAGCGGTGACTTCGAAGCAGAACAGCGAGCATCTGGACAAACTTTCACTCGACGCAGTGGTGCGCCAACCTCGTTAGCACCCATCTTGAACTTTTTGAACACGTTGTCATACTGCACGAGCAGGCTGCACGCTGTTTTTGAGTGGGTTCTCTATGGTTCAGATGGATTGAATGCCAATGTGGTGATAATATTCGTATCACTGTTTTCTAGGAGTTCCGTCTTGAATCAGTGCTTGAGGAGGAGTGTCAGGGTATGAGACCTGACGACTGAAAATCGCACGAAAATTAAAGAGTGTTTCGAACCAATAGCGGCGGTAAAAGTTGCTCGTTGGTTGGAATATCAACTGACGAGCTAGGATCGTGCCGTGGAGACGAAGCTTCTACTGCGTAGAGTTTGCTCTTTAAAAACGACTCCGCAAACAACTTCTCTGGTAATTAGAGCCGTTATGATGGTAAACGGTGGTATAGAGGAGGAATACTGGCAGGTAATGAAAAGTTCTGAAGTTTAGAGCGATTGTTTTGGTCTTATCGAGCTTGAAACAATCTGGGAAAGTGCTTGCAGAAACTAACGCGTGGTGTAGGAGTCGCGTCCTGAGCTACTGGGAACTACCCGCAAGTTCCTAGTCTCCATGGTGTGTAGGCCGGCAACTCTGAAAGAGGATGATAAAAAGGTAATTCGGAAGTCGCAATGGTGGTGAGATAACTGCCAGAGCAGCTTGGTTTTCCAACCTGGGTACCTTGTCACAAAGAGTATCGCTAGCATTCACGTTGCAGATCGGACAGTCGCGTCTTGCAGTGTGCTCTTCTGCTAAATAGAAGACCAGTGTTAGCAAATGATTTTGATCAAAATCGTCCGGGTTCTTGCTTGTGCACAGTCATGCCAGTACCAAGCACATCGACAATGCCGTTCCAGTCACCTTTGGCTCTTCTCTCCCAATACCCTTCCGAGCCGCTGGACTTAGGCTTCCAGACGGTCTCACCATCAGGACCATTATTGACCTTGACAAAGAATTTCGGCGTCCACTCTTCTCCTGCGGCTTCTAGTTCCCTTCTTCTCGCACGCTGTCCTTCTTCTATCTCGTTCTTAAGTCTTTCAGCGTTATCGTATTGCCCATTCTCTAGAGCTCTTTGATCTGCCCGAAGTCGACTGTCTGTGGGCGGGAGCTTCCCTTCCTCGACTGGGGTAATCTCATTCAGCTCTGCTGCAAACTTGGTCATGCCGTAGTGTTTTTCTGGTCTGTCAACAAGAGGCCCGACACGCCAGATCTCTTTCGTTGCATCGACTCGACCATTCTCCTTGACTGCAAGATGGCTCGTCCAAGCACCAGAAAGACCGAGTGGTTGCTCAAGTCCGTTTTGATCTACCATTTGTACATCCACCTCTTCGCTCCTCCCACTGAACATACCTTTCACTTTAAAGGTCACGACGCATTGCCAACCCGTGGTCTCATTCACCACGGACAATTTACCAACTGGCTCAACATATTTTTCGCCAGCTATTATATTGCGAAGAAAACACGTTGGTGGTGCCCATGAGTAACTTTCTGCCACGTTGTGCAACGCAACTCGTACTTTCCCGTCAGTAATGATCTCGGATGACTTGCCCCAGAACTTCTGTGAAGGCAATGGGGATTGACCAACACCCCAGTTCTTGCCTTCGGCATAGAATGCAAGCTGCACTGGTCGGTGTGATACTTTCTCGGAGATGAAGCGAAAATTCTTGTCCTCGCGTACGAGCTCGTAGGTCTCACCTAGCATAGGATTGAAGGGCTTCCGAATGTTTCTCTCTTTGACTCTTGCATTCGACAGGGATGATATCGCAAATGCTGTAATATGAAGCAGTCTGTCAGCTACATCGTTCAGAGTTGTTGCTTTATCAAGTAGCTCCGAATATTCGAAGTTCTCAGCCGCCTTGTGCAGAAGACTAGTGGGCTCATTCGCAGAGACCGGCATCGAAATGGTCGAAAGATCCTTCCCTACATTCTTCCGCAGGAAGCCGATCAAGGAAGGTGGCATAATGGTGGGCTCTTTAATCGTCGTTCTCCGCTTGACGCGATCCAATGGCAACGGTGTCAGCGATTTAGCAGGTGGTGGCATCAACGAGCTTAGACTTCCTGATCTGAATGCTCTGTTTCCAGCCGTGTCATTCTCGTCAACACTGCTACTTGTGTCGGAGTCGCCTGATCTCTTGTCCTCGGTGTCGCTAGTGTCCTCATCTTGAATTTGCAGGAGTTGAGTATTGCTCCTGGTCAACGTTCTGTCTTCGGCGTCGAAGTACTCTTGACTTTCTATACTCATGCGAGAAACAGCAGACTGTGGTACTGCAAAAGCATTCTGTGGTTTCGCATCACCAAGCAATGCCGCAAAATCCGCAATGACAGTGTCCAAGTTGTTCAGTATTTGTTTCATATTGTCGCCAATACCTGGAGATGCGATCGCATTCTGCGAATTTGTGATCGAAGGAACAGCTAGCTGAGTAGATACGCTTCTCTTAAAAATGTTGCTCTTTGTCTCGTTTGTACTAGCTTTCCTTTTCCAAAAGGCTTTCCGCTCCTCTGGGAAGTAGCTCGCTTCCTCTCGATCAGGAGTCGCAGGCTGCGCTCCGTCATAGGAAGGCGTCTGAGCGGGAGTAGCATATCGCTCGGCGTCGCTGCACAACCTCCTCACAGCATCTCTGGTGCCCGAGATCTTGCTTAGTAGCGCTTCCAAACGCTCCCAATTAAGGCCACTGCTCATGGAACTCTGGAATGTCTGGATAGCGTCAATATTGAACTGGGGATCGTTATTGTCCAGGCGGGCCTGAGAGGCTTTCTCCAGGGCAGTCTTCCAGTCTTGAAAATCTTCTGCATTGTGTGCTCTCAGATGCCAGATTTCGGCACCTGAGTCGATAGATATCTCTCTCGTTTTCGCATTCGCACCAATCGCCGCTAGAGATAGAGGTATAGCTCCTCGTAGAGCTGAAGAGTTTCGGTCGTGATAGTATGATAGGGTGGAAGAGGTGTAGTCTAAGCTGAAGAATCTCCTTGCGTAACCTTGACCTCGCTTTCTTCTCCTCTTATGTAGAATTCCTTGAAAAACCTGAGCGGAGTCTGCGACTGCAAGCTTCGGTGCTGACCCTGTAGGCGTCGATCTCGGTGTCAACTCTGATGCAAGCTTGAGTGAATCAACAGACTGCTTTGGACCTATACGAGGACTTTTCTTCGACATGGAAGGTGCCAGAGTCATGGCCGAAGCCATGGCTGAGCCATGTTGATGTGACTGAGCACCAAACGATATCTGGTGCTGTGCATTTGTTGGGTAAGTCAAGAGAAAGAAGGTGACCATTTTACCTGTACTCTTGGAGAAAGTGTTGTCGAAGACAATGGCATAGTGTCCGCCCTCACCATTGGGCACATCATATCGGCTCTGGGTGAACTTGTCGGCCTCACACTTTCCTAGCTTAAGCACTTGCCTGAGACCAATACTTTCCAATCTGTCCACCACTTCTGGCTGCTCAAGATTCTCGTCATCGTTTCGACTGGATACTGTGGACAGATGAGGTAGGCCACCAACAGAGGGAAGACTAGCAAGTGCACCAGGATGCTTGAAGAGGCCGAGATTGATCGAACGCTTGTGAGGTTGGACAGTCCACGAGATTGTAGTATTGGACTTTGCGTGCACCCAGCGTAGCAAGTAGCTCTGCACCGATCAGCACGTGGGACTCGAAATCTGGTCCTTACTCACTCTGCTATGAATCTCAATCTGTTCCATATTGACTGCTGAGAGTTAGGTAGAGGGTCTGCTTTCGCATTCAGTCATGGTTGTGGACAAACGAGATCAGATCATGGAAGAGGCCAGCAAGGCAGCACTCAAAAAGTATTTGCATATCGGAAACAGGAACACAAACAAGGAAATCAGAGGATGCGCATGCTTGTGTATTGGCGACCAGAACTCGGGTCCGGATGAAACGTCAGGCCGACATGAGTCTAGGAACTCAATTAACATGAGTGATAATCCGGAGTAACCACTTCCAGGACCTGATACGTCCGAGATTCACAACTGGAATGCAGACTATCTTGCCATCACATTCATCTCTTAAAGAAGTAAGGGCCTGACCGAGCTGATAATCTAATCCTCAGGACAAGATTGTTGGTCGGTTGATTACGTAGACTATTTCAAAATCTGGCACATGGCAGGAACAATTATGGTTTGCTGCGGCACGGGAAGAACCTCAAGTGTTTCTGAGCAAAGACGTCAGGCATATAAGTTTGAGTTAAGTTCTCAGGATCACATCCTCGTTCTCCAAGAGTTGTTTCGTCCGAAATTGCTGCGTGGTGTCTATTTGCTGAATACTAGAGGACAAATCAGGACTTTGTATGGTATACTTGCTACGAGCAGTATTCGACAGTGGTCCGTAGATACCTATCGCCTTAGCAGCTGGCACTTGCACCTACTGGACAATGTCACGCAAGATGACCAACAATGCGTGGTCCTAGGAGGCAGATATATCCATGCTGGCTCTCTTGCTCCTCTTCCCTTCGTCACCCTTTCGCCGCTTGATCGGTCTTGCATTACCACCTTTGGGCCTATATCCTCCATCCTCATCGCGCTTTCTCTTGCCTTTGCTCGTGCTCGCAGCTGCTTCGTCCTCTGCCATTAAGCCGTCGTCTTCGAGGGATTTCTGATTGGCCTTTAGTGCCCTGGCTACATTTTCTCTCTTGCTTTTGCGGTTAGCAGCAAGAGCGACCTTTGCTTTTTCAGCCTCTGTATCTTGGAGGAAGACCTGAGGTTGGTTCTTGCGCAGCCAATTGTACACGCTGACAGGATTGCGAAGTTGAGCTTCTCGTTCCCGATCTGCACTTTTTCCGTCTATTCGTGCACCAGGATTGCCCAGCGCATGAGCTCTAGGATGATTGGACTTTGTGCGCAGGAAGTCATCTAGTGCTTGAAGATATGCTTCCTCCTGCTTGCTTGAAAGGAACCCGCCAATCAGGTGGCTGATTGGGTCTGGAGTGATGTCAATTTTGGGTCGTTCCAGTGGTGCTCCCTTCAATAGATCTGCATAGGACTGTTTTGGTGCGAATTCTACAGTATCTAGCAGTTCTTGTTCCAGATCCTCGTAGACTGGTTGCTGCACTTCGCCCTTCTGTATCTTATGTCGAGTAACCCTTAGTGTCTCAAGCGCAGTCTGTTCATCCGTGTGTCTCTCTGGTTTTCTCGTCGTGGCAGGATCTTGCAGATCGTACCGCAGTCGAGGGGGGATTTGTGGATGTGAATTCAATTCGAGGAGTAGTGCTAGTATCTGGTCGTTCTGCTCTGCAATACGTTGTGAAATGTCATACAGTCTTTCTTGGTCTCGGAATAAAGCATTGCTTTCTCGCATTTCTTTCTCAAACCTGACCATGGCCTTGCGGTACTTCCGTCGATATGACCTGTGGGAATGTTGCACTGTCGATGGCAAGGACGACTGATCCTTTGTTAACACTAATGGAATGTAGTCCTCGGCCGACATCTTTCTGTGTACTTCTTATGGCAGGTTGCGGACTGGAGGGAATGAGTGAAGGTAGGCAATCAAAGATTCATTAGAACGACCGCATGCGAAGGGAAGCATCTGTTACAGAAAATGGTTCCACCCACGCGTATCATGTACAGGATTACGCGTGATTAGAGGTAGAGGTCTTTTCGGTTTGTGTAACCGAATTGCCACGCTCTTCACCACCTTGCACCGGCAATTATCATATACATCGTACGAGCAAGTCCTTTCCACCAAAATTTCTGTGCCCATTCTAGCACCTGTAAAAGTTCCAACATTCTGGATCTAGTGCGTTTGAGCTAGGCAAACAAGAAGATGAGCGTCACGGAGACAATTGTCGTGGACGGTGACAAACAATCATCGAAGCGCAAAAGAGACGAGGAGTTGGCAGAGATTGAGGTCGATGTCGATGCAGCAGAGCCACCATCCAAGAAAGCATTACGCAAAGCCAAAAAGGCCAAAACAACTCCGGGACAGGACGATACAGAAGACTTCATATCTTTAGGCAAGAACACTGAGACCACCAAATCTGACAAGAATTCAAAGTCTGGACCCAAGAACGCTTCTAAAGGTGATAGTACCAAAGGAGAAGACCAGCACGATGTTACTACCAATAGAAAACGTTCAGGGTTTGGTATATGGATAGGAAACCTCTCTTTCGCGACTACAAAGGAGGAGCTGATCACCTTCTTAACCAGCGATCGGGAAAATCCTATTGCTGAAGGCCAGATCACTCGAGTGCACATGTCCAACGGACCCAAAAAACTAGGCAAGCCACAAAACAAAGGATTCGCCTATGTCGACTTTATAGACGCTGATACATTAGCCAACGGTCTCGAACTCAGTGAGAAGTTATTGGCTGGTCGGAGAGTGCTTATCAAGGACGCCAAAAGCTTCGAAGGTCGTCCTGCAAGCAAGGAAGACATAGCAAGTGGAAAGACGCCCAGTCGCCGGATCTTTGTTGGCAATTTATCGTTCGACACCACGACAGAAACGTTAGAAGAGCACTTTGGTGTTTGTGGCAACATATTGAAGACACAGGTCGCTGCTTTCGAGGATAGCGGAAAGTGTAAAGGTTATGCATGGGTCGAATTTGAGAAACTGGAGGATGCCAAGGCTGCTATGAGAGGGTGGGTTGAGCAGGACGCTAGTGGTGGAGTGAGAGTCGACAAGAAAAGGATATGGCTAAGTAAAATTGATGGTAGGAAGTTAAGGATGGAGTTTGCAGAGGATGCGACAACGAGATACAACAAGAGGTTCGGCAAAGATGCGAAGAATGTGGTACAGAACGCAGAGACCGAAACGCCAGAACAACAAGAACCTATCACCGAGGTTAGTGATAAAGACCAGCAGCCAGCAAGACAGTTCAAACAGAGACAGGATAGTGCTAGGAAACGCCAACCTCAGAGATACGAACAAGAAACTGTCCAGAGACTGACTGGTGCAATCACTGAAAGCCAGGGGAAGAAAGTCGTATTTGACTGAAGTATCGTTTGACACTCGATTGCCACAAAATTCTATGGTACAACGTCGCCACTGCCCGGTTTGACGCAATCGTGTCTGTAATCACACGTCGTACCTATATGACAAGGCACGCCCTTCACGCGAACATTCTGCTCGCCCTCATACACAGCCCTCGAACTCCATCGACCACATCATGCCTAGACGAGATCCGATTCTAAACAATCGCCCTGCTGTGATCACTTTCGCGTCCCCTACTCGTCACGACACGTCCTCAGCCACGATCTTATGTGTACACGATGAACTCGTCGCACTCCGTGACGAGATTCACCACTTGTCCGCCGAGCTCCGGCACGAGCTATCTGATATCAGGGGACTGCTCCGCCGCAGATCTGCTATTGTGGTTTCCGATGGGAGACCACAGAACCACGCCTCTTTCCGCTGAAGCTCTTTGAAGAGCCGGCTGCTCGTCCAGTCGTGTATCAGACCGATGAAGGTACCTGGTGAGAACAAGGCAAATCAGGTGTGCTTGAAGTTTTGTGCTCTTGCTATTTGACATTTCAGAGCCAGCTTCAAACCTTGATAGCTGTTGAGCTGTTCATCTCGGGAGGCATTTCTGCTGGAGTAGATAGACATCGAGAGCTGCAATTGGTTGCTGCTGCATCGACGATACTATCGTCGGTTGAATCTGCTGAAATGGTACTGAAACAGGATTCAGATCTTTGAAGGTTACTGAAGAGGTTTGGAAGTGCCTGAAGCGTTGTGCTCTAGACAACTGCCTCTGTAGGACATTGATGCTTGTCTTCATCCCACTAACACTTCTGCACTGATTTCACCTGCAGGAACTCACCTTTTACAGCTGCTTTGTCTATGGCGGCCGTCAAATAACGCGACAATGTAATGCTGTTGGATGTGGTGCTATAAAAGTTCCGAAGTAAAGGAGCTCGTAGCTATGGACCCTTTAACGTTGATGGGAGTTCTTGCGATGATTGTCCTTGCAATGCTATTCTAACCCAGGTGTGGCGATAGGTTCAATGAATCCGCCAGGAGATAGGTAGTAGCAGCGGTAAGAAGGACGATAATATATTGTTCTTGAATCCTCCATTTCCTCAATTTCCCTAACGTGAACCTCGAAGCTTCTGGAAAGTATACATGCCGGGACTATCGACATTAAAGCGCAAGATATCGGCAACATGATCATTCGCATCCTTGCGTTCGAGTAGTAGTCGAGAGAAGAACAAACAATAACTTGCGACTTCCCATTACACGTATCAAATCACCTACCTTGTTCGAGCCAGTTCCTCTCATGTTCACTGCGCCAACAGGATTCATATTGTGCGGTAATATACAATTTAATATCATGGTTCGCTAACACCGCCGTAAACGACCTCAATACATCATTTCCCTGCTGCCGTCCGGTGAAGCCATCTTCGCCGGTACCACGAACCATGAGTTCATCATTCTCGAGGACTTGAGCTTTTCCTTTTACTGTGTGACTACCCCTTAATACAATATTACCAACAAGTATGCCTGGAAGTAAGCGAAAGGGTCTTCTCCCACGACGAAGACGTCACGATGATGAAGGTGAAGAGGAAGGCTCTGCGCTTGGTGATGTGGCCGACTATGCCTCTACTGCTGGTTCGCTAAGCACCGATGCCGAGGAGGACGGCGATGTCAGCAACGCCACAGATGGGGAGCAATCTGCAACGATATCTCCGGTGCTTCTCAAGAAGGAACCAATGTTCGCGACCACGACCGATACCGAGGCGATGCTGAATGGTCTGAAACTCAGCACGGATGAAAAAGTCGAGGAGTTACATTTTGATGATGCGGGTCAGACAACAGCTAGTCGCCTTACTGTACAAGAGACCAGATCTCCGCCAACAAACTCTTCGAAGCAGCGATCTTATGGACATCCTATGACTCCTCAGCGCAAGGGTTACTTTCTGCATGATGATCGATCGAAACAGCAGGCTGCGTTGCCAACGAGAGGTTATGGGAGAGGGTACGGACCGTATGGAAGAGGGTAAGTACATGACTGTACCTTGTAAAGCAACGACTCACAAGAGACCACAGTAATTTTGGCCGTCATGCACACGGTGCGAACAAGCAATGGACCCACGATCTTCACGATACAGTCAACCAATCAAATATGCAAGCTATACCAGTTTTACCAGCACCTGTTGCAAAAACAGGCCCTACCCGATCGTTTTCAACTACCACTGTTCTCGGCAATGTACCTGTAAATATATCCTTGCCTGGTGGCACAAAGAAGACGTCTGCACAAATGGTCAAGAAACACTATACGCTGTTGCCACAGCATCGGCCGCCTTTACGTAGGGACAAACCCGTGCGAATTTCGATCCCCGACGAAGATCCTAGATACATCTTCCCCAGTACTGAAAGATCCTTCATCTTCATCCCCCGAGCCATGCGTCCAAATCAACAACAGAGGGCTCGTGCAAGGGGAAGTTTCGGTGGCAGCAGGAGAACAAGCATGCATTCATATACACCAAGTGTGGGCATGAGCAGAAGACCCTCTATTGCCGCATCTGTATCTGGCAACGGCGCACGTACTCCTACAGCTAGACCTGTCGTGCGTTTACCGCTCCCACCAAATGTCCCTGCACTTCACAACACGGAGGTCTATCTTGGGGATAATAGTGCTATCATACATAGCCCTTCAACCACCCTACCTATACATCAGCCGGTCCCACAAAAGACTGTCTTTGTAGCAGATATTGAGTCGCCAGCAACAGCACCACAACAGCAGCCTCAACAGCCTTTCCACCAGCAGGTGCCAAATCAGCCTCAGATGCCACATATTCCTGAAGGTGCCATTTACGCTCAGCCTTTCCAACCCTTTCAACCCATTCCTATGCAAAGCTATTATTACCCTGGAATGATGACTCAGCCAGCTCAGATGGCAGCAGAAGGATCACTCGTGCCGCAGCAGGAGGGTCAGCAAGCATCTATGGCACATGAATCGAATGGCATGGTCTATTACTACAATCCTTCGCAGCAGTTCTACTCGCCCGTTATGATGCAGCAACCCTACTATTACCCGCCTATACAAAACCAGATGTTCTACCAATAGTGTGGAGGTATTCACGAGACTTCAGTCGGGGATTGTGATTGAGCGCAAGGACGATCAAGTTATTTGAAACTTGCTTGCATTCAAGGTGTGCAGCTCTAGAGAGGATTTCTCACCCAGGAGCAAGCACTGGAATAGCCTAAAGTTCTTACTGGTCGTTTATCTTGTAATGCAAACTGAAACTGTTGAGTGTTGATCATTGGCAATTCCTCATCGTATTGAAGCAGAATACAACTCGTGCGATCGTTCTTCCGCTACTAGTAGCGCGTACCCACCTTGTGGGATACAAGCTAACTAGACTTTGCGGGGAAATGTAGGGATCAAACCTTGTATACTTCACTAGGCACTAGTATATGGCCGAGGCAACTTCGTTGTTGAGCTTGATGCAGGCTGTCATTTGTCCGTGAACAATAGGTCGTCCCGCTTCAAGGTCAGAGGGAGGCTCGGCCCCAGACAGTCGTACAACCAGTGCGTATGAGGAGTACACGATGCTCATGAGAGGTAGTAACCGCTTCTGAGAATTCAGCACTTCTATCCATTGTTGATGTCTTGATTGTGAAGCTAATCCTGATGACCATGTTTCTTTAATATCTAACAGCCGAGAAGACGAAAGTAGCCTGTATCAGAGAGCGGTAAATCAAATCTTTGCTGGACAGTGTTCAGAGTACTTGAGACGTCGGATACTGCTCGGACTGATTTGTCGAAACAAACACACCGAACGAAAGCGAGCCAGCCTCTTCAGTAACCATGACTGAAGCTACTCGACTCTCCAATGCATTGGTCACAGCAGCCAAAACGCCTATCACACTGCTCCAAGCTACAGCTAATGAGCCACTGATTACCGGACCACTGCTATACATTCTCACTCGTGGATCAGCAGATATCCGCCAGCGTCTACTCAATCTACCATATGTTAGGAAACTCCTTGAACGCAATGGCGGCGAACGACTGGCATTAGCCATCAAAACTCTGAAGGTGCTCTTTGTTCTCGGCGTCATCAAACGGCTGAATCAAGGACTCAATCGAATTGCACTGAATGGCTGGCAACTTCCAGGAACGAACAACCGGGCACGTTGGGGTTGGGACGGGAGAACAGAGACTGTGGTCATCACTGGCGGCTGTTCAGGCTTCGGATATGAGATGGTGAAAGGGTTCGCAGGAAAGGCAAAAGTCATCGTGATTGATGTCTCTGAATTACCTGCTGAGTTTGAGAACCGTGAGTTTCGCAGTTACAGCCATGATGGCAATGGCTGCCATTTACAAAGTGCCGATGTGCAAGTTTCTGCTTGGCGATGTTACTAACGAGTTTATTCAGTGCCCGAAGTACATTACTACAAGTGCGATCTGACCGACACTGAAGCCGTTGTCTCTACCTGTGCATCAATCAAGAACAGATTCGGCCATCCGACCGTGCTGATCAACAATGCCGGAATAGGTGAGTAAAGAGCCCTAGTATCCCCATGTGCTTCACCTTGCTTCTTACTAACACCACACCCTCTCCACTAGGCTCCGGCAAAACCATCCTCGACACCCCCCACACCTTCACCGACGCAATCTTCAAAGTCAACCTAAGCAGCCATTTCGTCCTCATCAAAGAATTCCTCCCCGGCATGCTCGAAAAACGCAAAGGCCACATCGTCGGCATCGCATCCATGGCCTCCTTCGTCTCCGCGCCCGGTCTCGTCGACTACTGCGTCACGAAAGCCGGTGTGCTCGCATTGCATGAAGGTCTGCGAAACGAGCTATTGATGAGGTATGAGAACGGGAGTTGTGTGGCGAGTACGACGGTGCATCCGAGCTGGCATGCCACGGGGATCGTTAAGCCTTGGGAGAATAAGTTGAAGGAGCATGGGATTAGGCCGGATCCGCCGAAGAATGTGGCGGATGCGGTGGTTGAGCAGGTGAGTTTACGAAAAACAGTTTCAACGGCATTGTCTGCTGTGTGCTGTATGGCATGTGTACCCGAAAAAGATGTGACTGACGATGCAACAGGTACTCGCACACAGATCAGGCCGCATCTACATGCCTCGCAGTGCAGAGAGCCAAGCTGGAACAAGACAACTACCACTTTGGCTGCAGGACTGGTTCCTGGGCGTGGTCAGCATCAATCCGTTCGCTAAGAGTAAGGGCTTCCAGTTCGATAATGCTTGATCGGGGCAATTGTCTGTCAATGGTGGCGTGTAATGATTCCGGCTAATTTTTGACAGAGGATGAGATGAGGGGATTGAGATTCGAATGACGGACGTGAGGTTTCGATATTCATGATGGTCGTGGATGCCATGAGCGGTTGAAAATGATTCTGTGAGATCGATGGATTACACGTCAAAAATTTGGTAACTAACATGACATGAATTTTTGGGGCAAAAGCAAGCTGGCTGGAATATTACTCAACCCATAATTATAGGAATTTTCTCTCATTTGTCAACGTTTTCTGCCTCTGATAGACGCTATCCCGGTCTTTCACACCGGACTCTGCGCTGCGTTGTTCGTCCCCGGTTCCTGCAGTGAGAGACCGGTACTGCGGTACGTTGCCTCAAGTAAACATCCTGAATCGCAGACTGACTACACTCTCGGCCGATATTATTGACATGCTGCAGTGGAGTACGAAGAAGTCCTCATGGAAAACAGCAATGGTTCTGGTCTTACTGCCCCAAACGATATCAGACAAGACGAAAGCTACAATCGAGTTTGTCTTCGGTTTTCGTGCACGTCGAATTTGTGGAAAGGAAAGTCCGAAGCTTTGAGTGAGCTATTGGATCTGTGTGGACAATTTTGCGCGGCATGAATACTCAGATCGTAAGTTGCTTAGCTAGAAGGCATCATTGGATTCGTCCCATATAACATCCAGAAACCTCGACTCGTGTTTTGTTGCGCATTCACATACAGGCAGTCCTTGCTGGTTGATCTGTGCTGTTGCATTCTGCCAAAAAATCATGCTGTAACCGCTCTTAAGTCGTACTGGTGGATAGGACGTACGACGAAAGGTGCCAGGCCTGTTCAGCTTCGTTGGCTTGTGGCCAAGCCGTTGAGGAGGAATGATTAATAAAAGATTCCTCTCCTCAAAAGATTTACATCTCTGTTCTCTGACCATTCATGAATGCCTGGAAAGCTGTTGCGTTTCGTGTTTGCATCAGGACCGTGCCAGGACCAGTAAACTTACACGCCAGACCTTCGCCACTGGACATACCAGAAATAATACCACCGCTTGCAACTCGTTCAAGCACGTACTTAGCTGTCCAGGCCACAAGGTGGCCATTATCGATGATGTATCGTTCGCCTTCGACCAAGTCTTTCCGGATGATTGCGCCAAAGCTGCTCAGCCACATGATGCCTTGTCCAGATATTTTGTACACGAACAGACCTTCGCCTGAGAACATGGCTTTCGAGAAGGATTGAGATTTGTACTCTTTTATCACGCCCTGTGTGCAAGCAAGGAAAGCGTCTTTGCCGACAGACCATACCTCGTCGCCCGAAAGTTTCAGGAGGTGAATGTCGCCTAGATATGGAGGTGCTAGGAGTACTTCGCCCGGACCGGTGAAGGTTGAATGAACTATATCTCCCCCTACCAAATACTTTTTCATGCTGAATTTCACATTTCCCTTTACTGTCACACTGTGGCTCATGGCAATCATAGCACCTGGCTTGACCTGTATCGGACAGCCCACAGCAAGCTGCAGTGTCACGATCGAGTTTGTGTCTCGGTGAGATACACGGTAGGAGCCGCCGTTGAAGGTGCCTACATCGTCCGATGAAGTGCTCTTTACGCCTGAGAACTGACCAGCAGCAACTCCTGACACAGCAATACCATCTGAGGATGAGGCCCTGACCTCGGGCGACTTCATGACGCTTCCCATCTCTTCGGTGATGTGGTTCAGGCCTGCTGCGAACATCTTGCGTCTACTCTGCTTGTCTGGCGTGCCTGACTGATCTGGAGCAGCCGGAGCACTTAACTGCTGTGGAGTGAAGGAGGTTTGGAAGGCAGGAGCTGACTGTGGTACCGAGCCATATGAGGCGGTCCTTTGAGCCTGAGGATGCTGCATGGTGGGAGATGGGTATCCGTAGGCATCGTAGCCCTGGGTTGGTGGTGGAGACGACGGGGGTGGAGGGAAGAAGCCTGCTGTTGCGGGTGGTGGTGGGTAGTCCTGTCCATTGGGAGGAGGTGGGAAAGAGGTCGCGTTGAGAGGTGCTGCTGAGTCTTAGCCGTTGGCACTGACTTGGGGCAAAGTTTCTTACCTGGACGCCGGTTCGAGAAAGACATCCCGTAAATGAAACCTGGCTGTTAGTGTTGCTTGTACGTGTTCACGATAGAGCACAAAAGACAGCAATGTGGAAGCGCAATGGAAGTCAACGAGAGAGAACGAAGCAGCAGTGAGTCGAGTGGCAGTATGTGCTGTATGTCATGCAATCAGAGGCAAGAGGAAGCTTTCATGATCAGGAATAGCAACAGCCAGGCCACGCAGTCAATACTCTAGCCAGCGTCCCGCCTTGAGATCCTGTAGAGACAATTGGATGAAACGTGAAGATGATTTGTCGTTGGCTAACGCAGCGCCTATTTGAGTCCACACCAAGGGAGCCTCAAATGGTTAGGAGATTGGAACAGGAATCAAAGTTGCTCTTGAAACTAGCAGTATCGCAAGTCAGGCAGCCAGTTGAGTATTTGCTTCTGCATGCTGTTCGGTTGAGGAACTTCAGTACGAATAGTCATGTACATTCACAGCAAGAACTGGATGAATACGAGCAACGGTGTTATTCCTACTTAATCTCTCGATGGAAAGCTTGGACAGAAGTACTAAACGCCGCTCGTGCTGCAAAGCGAACTGCCATGTACATTGACACTGATGTCCTACCGAACATGAAGGACCAGTCTAATGCTTGTGCAAAATCAGGCGTGCGCAAATGTTCCTTTACCGAACACACGAATGTCGACCCTTCTAGCCAGCCATTCTCTTTCTCTTTCCGACTTGAGCTGTGAAACCAGACTTGATCGCTTGAACGGACCTTCTTGAACCACATGAATTGCATGTAACAAAGTACAATCTGTTCTCGCCTTTACTCAACTCGGTGTCAGGCGACCTGCAAGTCTTGCAAGTAACATATTCCATGATATACCTTCGCAGGACGTTCTCAATTTGTTTCTGCTGGAAACGACCTTTAATAACCAATCTTTTGCTACCATCAACTGAACCGCTGGTACCCAATTCAGCAAACAGAAATTGAATAACATGTTCGTCGTTTCGCTTCATTCGTTTGCAGATATCAGAAATGTTGGCGAAAATCGTCTTCTTGTTGCCTTCTCGTAGACATTGTGGAGGAGGGATTTTGTAGGACTTGCTGCCACCGTCCAAAATGCCAGGATTGAAGTGGTTGAGCAGGTTGAAGAAACGATCCAGTAGAAGGGGGTATGCAATTGCAGTATTGTTATCGTGGGCGAACACACCAGTTCCCTTCTCCCAGTCGCCTTCCTGCTCTCCCGTTGGTGTAGGCTCTTCTGCAGTTTCAACACCAGCCTGTGCCAATTTAGCCTCGAAGTCATCGTCTTTGGGCTTTGTCTTCTTCTTCTTCTTTTTCAAGGACGAGGGATCGAATTCGCCATCTGCCACTGGTGCTGCTTCGGTGGGTTCATCTTCAGTCTTCTTTGGCTTCTTCTTCTTCTGTAGACCAGCGAACATATCAGTGCTCTCTAGTTTCTCAGTTACCTCGTCCAGATCTTTCTCGACTGCCGAAGAAGTGTGCTTCTCTGCAGTGGTTTTTGTGTCATCGTGATCGACTTCGCGGATTGCGCCGTTCTCGTCCATGACTGTGGCGCCTTCACTGAATGCAACGGATTTACGTGGTTTTCGTTCTGAAAGAGGTTGTTGCTAAAGAAGAACGTTAGAATTGTTTGCTTGGGAGGAAGGAGCCATTCGTGCGTCACAGCAGGAAGGAGCGCACAGAGGGTGGGGCCCACGTACAACTTCTGCCATATTAGCGATCGAAATTCCAGTGTTTATCTCCTCGCTCGTCGTGAGAACAAGGACTCTGTCAGATGTGTCCAAGGTCGAGAAACTAATATTCATGCACGAACCTGCGAATGACTCCTAGCGATGACTCAGTAGGGAATACTATCACGTGCTAAGGATTTCTTGCGAACGTATGGGAATTGCAACGCACGTGGGGCATTAAGGAATAACCGAGCATCGGGTGCAGAAAGCTGGTTGCTTGCGGCAACTTCCCGAGAATAACAGTATTACCAGTGTCACTTCCCGCCCTATGAGCTGTGTCTGCCTCAATACCGCGTCTACAGATACTTACTGCTATAACTCTCGAGAGACGTCGACGCCTGTATCTGACACACGTCGTTTTTAGCAGCCATTGTACAGCTAGCTGGCTACTCAATAGTCATAATGTCCGACGATCTTGGCTCATCCTCGTTCATGAACATTTCAGCACCATCCTTCTCTCAGCCGTCGATTATAGAAGCACCCGATGCTGCTGCAGAAACAGACGAACTAGATGATCTACCTTCCGAACCAGACACCGATGATACTATCAGCGAAGAAGAAGGAGAGTCAGACGCCGAAAGAGAATGGAAAGAAAGCATGCAACAGCTGGAACTACTCCTTAGCATGGTATTAGTGCCATACTTGGGAAAATACTTCGGCAGGAAATTCGCCTACTGGGGTTGGAAGAGGTACATGGAGTGGCAGTATCCGGTCGAGGTGGTCTTCACGAACAAGAGCGCCTTTAAAGCTGTGGGTGCTGTTGAAGCCGCACTATAATAAATCGAGCCAAGATGTCGTTCAGTTGGAGCTCCTTCATGTTGAGATGAAGTGCCACTGTCCGACATCAGATACGAGAAAGACAACACTACATGCCTTCCATGCAGCACCCGCTTTGAGTAATCATGCAAAAGTCAAAACTCCCAACCCGCAAAGTTGTGGGAAGCGACAATTATCAACATTGGGCTTAGACATAGGGAACTCCTCGCCTTCCAAAACACTGTCCTAACGAGGACGTGACGAAAGAACCTGCATTACCACGTGATTGACCCACCCGTGCTGGCCGTACCGATATGGACATATGAGAGTCTTGAGGAGGTCGTGTCGCTCATCTCGGAAGCCGCTGGCGAAGACGTGAGTAGGTGGTTGAGGTTGCACTACTTGGTCAGAAATACCAACAGATTGTGGAGCGTTGTCTTACCTTCCGCTTCTTCTTGCTACATTCTATGCAAGCACCACCATGGCGCCTGATAAGCCTCCTGTTTTCTACCTGCTCCTGCTTTGGTACCCTGTGACGTTTCTTTTGTGGAGCTTGGACTTCCTCCATGGTCCAAGAATTGAAAGACAATTCGAATTCTGATTGCCTTGAAGAGTGGTATTGTGGTGAGGATCGACTGGGTTGATTCGAAGCAAGATTGAGCAACGGTGAGAGAAGTGGGGGATGCCTTGAATACATTTCGTTTTGAGAAGAGTGCACGTGACGTACAGTTGGTCTCAGGCCTAGTGGCACGGTTTGGCACGGCCGCGAATATGTTGACGAGAAAGGTGAGTATGGATTAGCCAGTCCTTGTGGTGTTACCGCCGCAGCACTCTCGTATGCATGGAGCTCATACATACGAACATAAGATTGAAAAGGCCTTCGAAGCTCTGTCCACTGCTGTGAGGATCCTACTTCTGGACCTCCTGAATCCCACAACGGCTCAAGGCTCAGATTGGCAACCAATGGCGTCGGACAGGACGTGTATACGGCGTGTCTTGATTCCAGCGGGAAAGAGATGGCATTTTGCTCGTAAATTGTTTCTGGATTTGAAGCGGGCAAAAATGACTGGCCTGAAGACAAGGACTGCTCGAGATATTGTTGTAGAAGCAAATCTTGCTGTTGACGAAATGAAATGGAGCTAGGATCTATATGTCCTTCGACTCTTCTGGACACAACATCCGAGTTTACAGCGTCAATATCCTGACAAGGCTGCGTCAGTGGTGGTGTCCACGACCCTATCTCTTGTGTGTCAGGGTTCGTACAGTGGCCATATTCTCGGCCATAGCGAGCTCTTGAGAATGTTCTCTGGTGACTCAAGTTTGCTTGTGTCAGGAGTGATAATCCAAGACCACCTCCTGAATCGCCCATTGGCTCGCCAAACGGGTCGAACCTCGAGTCATATTGCTGCTCTGAGAAATTGTCGTTATTTTGAGGTTGAAGTGCTGGTGACCGAGCAGATTGACCGAAAGGCACGGAATCGTTGGTGTTTGTCAATGAGTACGGAATCGAGCTTGTTCGATTCCGTCGGTTTTGCCCGGCTGGTTGAGAAGACTCCTGTCTGAAGTCTTCTTGCCAGTCAGTGTAGTAGGAGCTCGTCATGCTCGTGCTCTGCGATGAGCTTGGAAGCTGTACCGCTCGCAACTACTTCCTGATTGTCTATTATGGGTTGGAGATGTCGCCTAAGAAGTTCAGCTTGTGGCCAACTGTTTTTCTTAGCAGCGATTGAGATGAGAAGGATAGAGTGCTACTATGCCGCTAAGACGGAGTGCAACCAATTTCTTCCTTTGTCCTTGGTCGTTATGGAATTTCCCAAGCCTCGACGAAGACAATCAGCCCAAAGGTGGTGCTGTAGGCTCGTGTCTCCATGAAGGGTAGTGACAGCTGCTCAAGTTATAGTAAGTTGATACAGAGGTAGCAGTGAACCTCTAAGTTCCGTTATCTAATGCTGACCGGAGCCTAGGAGGACAAACGCTTGTGCACAGTCCTCCAATACCACACAACAGCGAAACGTATCTGTCCTGGTCAATCTACAGGAAGCGACAGTACAAGCTATTTAAACACGTCTGACTTCTAGACACGACCTAGTCTCTTTTCGGCACCGTGTTCGAGTAGCCAAAGGACCTGATCATGCAAGTAGATATGGGAAAGGCAGTCGGATATACCAACTGCCACGTGAACAATCCCACTCTCACCGCAGTTGCCGCGAAGCGTGGTTCAACTGGTGTCAATCGATACAGTTTCCAGTGCACACCAAATAGCAGCGCTTCGCTTCTCCACGAGATTTAGATTGCCATGGCTTTTCCCCTCTACCTTGTTCTCCTTATGGCACCGAAACGAAAATGGACCGGACTGTGAAGGAAAAGCCATAACATTACATCATACGACTGCTACACAGTATCACTGCCAGGTCAATGCAGGTCAAACACCACAGATGTCGGGCGCAGGTTCTACTTTGTCGTCAACGTCTGGATCAAGCACCGGCTATTTGCATTACTTGATACCACAAGACGGAACGACGGACACGGCATGACCTGTTCCAACAGTTAACTCCTACCGAAGCGACCTCAGCAAGCCTCAACGGCGCTTCTTCTCCAACAACCCACATCTTCACCGCCCATTGGACCACAATCCAGCCACTGGAGATAGACGAGCTCACCGGTTGGTCGGGCATCAGAAGTACCTTTACCAGTACATGCCTAGATGTCCATGGCTAGCATTCCGGCGTTTGTCCGGTGGACATGTACAGAAGTCATCACATGAGGGCTTGCATATGAGAACGTGCCGTTTGATCCATCTTCACTTCGAGGTGACACAAGAAATCGATTTGTGTTTAAGGCATATACATTTTGTTCGATCGAGGTACGCATACCCAAGTGAGCCTAGTTGCTTTGTCTGGGTTGTGTTTCTGTATGGTAGGTATGTCCCATGGTTGCCTGAATGCTAGGGTGTGGAATGAACGCCACAATGCATGTTTTGAGAATTGTTCACTTTGCATATCCTTCAATCACGCTGTTTTCTACACGACTTGCATTGCTGAAGCGAGACGTGCACGATTGATAGGCTGAGAGGCAATGGATACTTTTGCAGGAGAAGGAGACGGCATGATAGAATGCTGAAATTAAGAATCGCGATGACCTGAGGTCAGGAGTGATCCAGAAAATAGTAACGTTGAATAAAAATTGCTGTATATAATTGTAGTCAAGAATATTGTGCTACGAGCGTCCGACTTCGATGTTACGACAACAGGCTACCCATACAAACTGCGGCTGAATTATTGTTCGCAAGTCTTTCATCTCAGTCTCTCTTTCCAGGACACACTCTGCTGCACCAGCTACACCAAGCCCTCAGCTCACCAGCAGCTTCTCTGCCTAGAAACTTGCCACTGACACGCTCGTCTGGGAATTCGCAAACGGTGGCACCAACCTTGACGAGTTTCTTAGACTTGCTCTTAACCTTACCACCTACGCCCTCTATCTCTTGCCTGAAATAACCTGGTTCGGGTCGGGCCTCGTCGTGTGAGAGTGGAGTATTAGAGCGGCTTAGCTCGAGAGGTGTGGAGACGTCCTCGGAAGAACACTCTGCTTCCATCAGGGCAGTAGCATCCCGTTTAGCCAAACAGTATTTGTCTCGGCCGCACTTCTGACCTTGGTCACCCAAGCCTAGACCAGTACCTAGACCACCACCCAGGTGTGTTGAGTAGCGTGATCGCCATTTCCAGACATTTTGGTAGATTCTGTCTGCCGCGATATTACTGTGTGCACACTGATGGCAAACATAGACTCCTCGTGTAGTGCAGGTACAAGGATCTCTGCGCCAGGTCGCTGAAGCTGCTGACAGATACTCTTTTGTGCGAGTGTTATGGTGCTCATCTGCACTGTGGTCGGACCCGTCTGAGTTTGATCGGTGCGACCGTGTGGAACTCGCACTCGAATTGAGATGCTCTACCAGCTCTTGCGATGGACCAGTATGCAGGGCGAGCGGTTTCTCGAGGCAGGTATCGCAAAGTCTTCGAAGGCGGCCAGGGAGGAGTCTATTGCTCGGCGGTTTCTCAATACAATTTCTGCAGACCGTGATTCCGCATTTTCGACATGGTGCGACAAGATCGCGAGCACATTTTGAGACCTTTGCTGAACCATGCGAAGACGCCTGAGATGGAGGCTGCTCATGGTAAATGTGAACAGGAAACGCTGGACCACTACTGTCGAAAGTCAATTGATCCTGCAGAGACAATTGTAATGCCAAAGCAGCATCTCTCTGTCCTTGATCGTGTTCGCTAATGTCAAAGGTGCATCTCAGACTTTTTTGCTTCAATTGGCAAGCGAATTGGACGAGGGAGTCGTGCACGGATCTGCAAGTAGAAGATAGCGAATCGAGGTCGGTCAGATCGAGATAGCTGGCCAGCTTCTCTGCTACACTGGGACACAAATCAGTACTTGCGAACGGCTAAGCTTACGCTGCGCATACGGATAGCATCGCAAGGCATAAGAGACATAGACAGAAGGATTTTGCTGCTGTTCTACATCGTCGTGGCCGTGTTCTGCTGTGATCGCATGGATCAGATCAGGACTTGACGCAGGATCTTCGTCATCATCGAAATCAGCCCAAACTGCCATTGTGCCATTTGAAGACAACCAAAAGAAAGTGCTATTGGATGCCTGTTTCGTGCAAGAACAGCATTGCAATGCCTTCTAGAATATAGAATGAAACGAGTGAGATCAGTAATATGGATGTAGAAAGGACAATAGAACCATCTGAGGAGTCCGTTCCTTCCTCGTCATCGACGAAAGGAAGGCGCTAAGGACTTGTGGCAGGCGCGTTCAGACTGGTGGGGTTGTCGAGAATTTGACGCCCGTGTTTCTGACCATGTCTGACCATGTCCACTGCTCATGGAATGCAGAAGAGCGGCAGCTTCTCGTCGCAGTCGTAGATTTCAGTGCAAAGACTGATGACCATCATTAAAACATTTTAGAACTGTGACATAATGCAGCAAGTGATACTCAAACATCCGCAGACAATAAGAAGCACACGACCCGCAACGTCATCTCGCAAAGCCAGGTGTACGCGCCGGGAGCTCAAACCGAGGCTTTGAGTTACGGACGTGAGTCGGTTCAACTATACAGCTTTTCGTCGAACTCTCAGATGATTTTGTAGTTTGAGTTTTGCTATTCTTCACTTCGTCCAACACGTGCGCCGCGGAGACCGAGGTGCTCAGACTGTGATCGATGTGCTAGCCTATATGCCACGGAGTGATATTCTTGCCGTCCTTGAGCACTCCGATATTGTTGCCCGGGCATATATAGAACAGTCACATCACTTGTCTTGTTGCGAACCATCAAACAAGCCGACAAGATGGGTGCCGAGCTACTTGAATTCAAGACCACGCCTGTCGGTGAGATCAATAGCACTGTTGAACGGATTCGACAGACATTCTGGACAGCCAAAACACGAAATGTTCAATTCAGAATCAAGCAGCTGCGGAAGCTGTATTGGGCCATCGAGGACAACAAGCAACTGATATTGGATGCTTGTAAGAAGGATCTAGGGAAGGGGTTCTTTGAAACTATGATTGCAGAAATAGCTTGGGTACAGAACGATATCATATATGTAACTAACAATCTAGCGAAATGGTGCAAGGACGAGTCGGCTCCGGACATCAGCCTGGCAAATAAGTTCATGAGACCCAAGATAAGGAAAGATCCACTTGGAATGGTACTGGTCATTGGGTATGTGCATTCGACATCCCCAGATCTCTGCTAACCATAACAGAGCATTCAACTTCCCTCTCCAGCTCTCCTTCGGTCCCATGGTTGGAGCCATCTCTGGCGGCAATACAGTTATCCTTAAACCTTCCGAGAACTCCCCAAGATCTGCCATGGTTATGCAAAAGATTATGCAGGAAAGTCTCGATCCCGATTGTTACACTTGTATTCAGGGAAGTATACCCGAAATGAAGGTGCTGCTAGAAGAGAAGTGGGACAAGATCTTCTTCACGGGATCCGCAACAGTTGGCAAGATCATAACGAAAGCGGCTGCGCCCCACCTTACACCTGTCGTACTCGAGCTTGGAGGCAGGAACCCTGCCATCGTGACTAGAAAGGCAGACGTGGCATTGGCTGCCAGGAGACTCTTGTGGGCAAAGACAATGAATGCTGGTCAAGTCTGTATCAGTCACAACTATACCCTAGTCGACAAGGAGGTACTCGACCAGTTTGTGGAAGAACTCAAACGTGGCCTGACAGAGTTCTTTCCTAAAGGTGCCAAAGCCAGTGAAGATTATGGCAGGATGGTCAACACTGGCTCATTCAATCGTGTCAAGAAAATGCTCGATGGAACGACTGGCAAGATTGTTGCTGGAGGAACTGTAGATGCTGAGGACCTCTTCATTGAGCCCACAGTTATTGTCATTACTGATACAGAGGACTCCTTGATGCGAGATGAGTCATTTGGTCCTCTCATGCCAGTCCTAGGTGTCGACAACCTGGACCAAGCCATCCATATCGCCAACAAGACCCACGAGACACCACTAGGCGTGTATGCCTTTGGGTCGAAAGACGAAACAGACAAAGTTCTGGCGTCGACGCGTTCAGGTGGTGCAAGCATCAACGATGGCATGTTTCATGGTACCATTGGTACCTTGGCTTTCGGTGGTGTAGGCGACAGTGGTAGTGGGAGCTACCGTGGAAAGGCATCCTTCGACACCTTTGTCCACCATCGGTCGATTACCCATACTCCAGGTTGGATTGAGTCCATGCTCAAGGCAAGATACCCGCCGTTCGCAGGGACGAATAAATACGACCAATTGAGCAAGATGTTGCTGCAAAAGCCGAACTTTGATCGTGAAGGTAACCAGAAACTTGGCTGGATTACTTGGATCTTCACACTGGGCACAGGAGGTTACTTCAGAGGTGCGTCCCGGGCTCTAATTTTAGCTGGTATGGCGGTTTTGATAAGAGTGCTGATGGATCGCAGGACGATGAATGGTATTTTGGGCAAGGATTGAGCCCTACTTTTACTTACGCCTTTACCTGTCAACGTCAGCATAGCCGGGCCCTGGTATTAGCACACCTTGTGTCACCTCGCGTCACATTAGCATTCGACCTGTCCTACCTCAACACGCGCAAATTCTTACGACGTCACTCTGCGTTTCGTCCCATGTCTGGACACGATACAGTACCTGCATAGGTCTCCGCGGCTCCTGCACACCGTCTTTCGTATTCTACGAGCAAATCATTTCCCCCCTCGACACATTGCTGTGGGAGAGAATGCAGTGACGTACTTGACGAAGCAAGATCGAGATTCATGACGACCTATACATACAGCAGTCCAAGACGTCGGAAGCGTCATGTATTACATATGCAAACATGTACGAGCTAAGTTCGTTTATTGTAAGACACAGGATTTGTGTCTTGAGGCCTACGAAGTATCTACTACGTATCAATCGTCTCGAATTTTTATTTTTCGGATTCGCCGGCAGAGACATAGGTTCATTGCGACGGAGACGTGTGGTACTGTGAATGAATGTATGCTGCAAATATAGCACTTCAAAAGCTGCCTTACAAACGACAAGGTATACGATAACACGAACGTACTTCTGCAATCAATAATCGTCTCATAGCGGAACGCCTGCTCTACGATTTGCTAGCCATACCTGAAACAGCCTTCTCACACCCTGCCAATCACCATCTATCGTCTCCACTTTGTCGTCGTCCACGAACTCGGGATTGTTTCTACCACCAAAGTCAATGACCCATGCATCAAATGCTTGGTCGATGACAACGTTGCCTGCATTCACGTCGCCCCAAACAATTCCATGAGCATGTAGCACCTCTACAGTGGTTGTGACCTGCTGTTCCCACTTCATGTGCAAGTCGCTGTTTGTCCAGCAGCCCGCGCTCAACAAATCTATGCCCAATGAGGAAGCAGGGATGATAGCGATTAGCAGGCCGATAAATTTTTCATCAGCTTCTCCAGACACGACGATGCCCTGCAGATCTGGCAGCCTGATTTCGCTTCCGGCCAACTGCTGTCTTTTGATGTCACACAGGATGCGAAGCTCGCGGTCGAATTGTTCTTGGCGGCCATCTTCCCGTGGCTTAAAGTGCATGTAACGCCCATCTGGCACGAAGAGTCCTCCTTGGAGACTTCTGGAAGGATCGTGGTTGTCCAGGCTGATCTGACTCGCAGCAAACCGAGGAATGGCATCACATCCTGGCGGTAAATGCACTGTCTCTAGAGGCGCTATAAAGTTCGCTGGTGAATACGTACATCTATCTGCCCCTACAATGCGAGTGTCCCCCGGAATATCTGTTTTGACAATTTCGAGGGCATAAAGTGGCGAATGTAAAAGGTCCTCGAGTTTAAGGCCTTTAAATGACACCTGTGGAGCGAGCTGTTCCATCAAAGGCAAGCAATACTCACAGATATAATCAATGTGATCTCTGGCACTGAGGTCGTGAAGCCTGGCCCACATCGCTTCGAGTAGCGGCAGGTAGTGGTCGCCGAAATATGTCTCTTTTATCTCCTGGTGTCGGACTGTAATGTCAAATCGTGTGCGGCCGCGCATAGCCTGTACCGAAGACTGATCCTGTCCAAACCCACCTCCATATACAGAGTACGACGGGTTTGAGGTAGCCATTTTCAGCTTAGGATCCGGTCGGCTGAGCTAGAGACCACTTCATTGTTCGGAGCAGAGCACTGCACATTCGGATAATAACTACTATCGTAGTAACGGGTTGGAACAGTTGTCATAAGCACACAGAGTCTGTCGGATGTGCTAGCTCGACTAGAAAGAACCTACCCCAAATCTCCAATTAGTGTGTTTAAAGGTGCGATCGAAACGTGAATCAAATCTACACCTTGCACTTTGCTCTGAACACTAGATTTTGAATATGCAAGCATCCAACTCAAGATATTCTCACCATGTAAACTGTCACGATGAAGCCTTTTCGGTTACCATAGCCCGTACATCTAGAACATAAGGTGTCGACAAAGATGTGTAACCTTTTTCGACTTTCAACAAGGGTTCTGATGCACAATCGAGCGAAGAGCGAACAGGCACCGATTGAATTGCGCTCAAAGCGGGAACATGCCAAGCTCGGATTGGGTCCATTGTAAGCACACCTCGAATACAGTTCTGACGAATCACAGAAGTACACACGTTCTTCTGATCAGGGATATTGAACTCGGCTGTTGATACTCATACTTCAAATCCGGCGAGTGTCCCACATCCTCAGGTCGCTGGAAGCACGAACACACTTCGTGCGGCTGACCAAAATGGAGCTTCTTCATGGATTCCAATTGCGGCTCGTACAACCGAACCGCGTTGGAAGCTGGACCACGCTCGCCTCCATGTCAGCCATCCGCCCTTGCCAACAGAAGGCACGGCCACAGGTAGGTAGAATTTCTAGTGTTCGAGAAAACTACCGTAAGATGTTGTTAGACTGGGCGCTAAACAGTTAGGCTTGCATATGCAAAGCTTGCACAGACCACAATCTCAGACCTTTTCTGGCCAGCACAAATCCATGGACGCACCTGAATGGTGTCAACTTTATAGCACCGGGCAAAGAGCCCGAAGATGGGCGCTAGGTGAGTATTAGTCGTCGTAACGGCTCAAGTACACGCTGTAATGTTCGCACAGGTGTGATGATAAACGAATACGAAAGCTTACGGATTCAGCCAAAGTCAAAGCAATGTTCTCTTGATCATCTAGACCGTCTTTTTGATATCAGCATCAATCCCTCACGAGCCGGTGAGTAAAGGCCTGCACGTCCAGGAGCAAGGGCCGTTTCGTATTCCAGAGTGCTTCGATCTGGGTCATCAGAAACACTCAGTGCTGTAACAGTCAGCTAGATAACAACTGTGCCGACCTTGCTGACTCGCTGGGTGAAACTGTACTACATCTGCGTCCCACCGCCAATTCTGCCTTACAGCACTGCCACTTGGAGCCGACTGCCAGCTACTGACTGTCGTACGGATTAGATGTTACTGGGCCCGACTATCGAGCCAGCTAGGACTGCCGATGTTGAGCTCAGTCTATATAACAAGGTCGAATGTACTATCGAATCAGCGGTGTCATCAAGAGCCGCGCAGGTAGATTACGCAGATCGAGACACCAGGGCAGCACCGGCAAACCGACCAACATGATTTCAGGAAGCCCTCGTCATGACGCATATGATGCTCACATAGAAGAGATCAGAAAGACCGAATATCCTGGCCTACTCGAAACCACGTATCTGGATCACGCAGGAACAACTCTCTATGCTAAGTCGTTGATCAACGCCTACCATAAAGACCTCACCTCCAACATATATGGTAATCCACATTCAGAATCTCCTGCATCATGGCTTTCCACACAGCGTGTAGATGAGGCACGACAAGCTGTCCTGAAATACTTCAACGCAGATCCCGAACACTTCGAAGTCGTTTTCTGTGCTAATGCCACTGCAGCCATTAAGATCGTCGCTGAGTGCTTCAGAGACCAAAAGTTCTGGTACGGTTATCACAAGGACGCGCATAACAGCCTCGTTGGTGTCAGAGAGGTTGCTTCTGAATCACGATGTTTCACCTCAAATCTCGAGGTAGAGCAGTACTTCCAAGGCACAGATCCTGGTCTCCGACTTTTTGCGTATCCTGCTCAGTCAAATATGACAGGTTATAGACCACCATATGCATGGGCTAGGCAGATTAGAAGCACAGGCACCTACGTACTACTTGACGCTGCTTCATATCTCACTTCTGGACGACTTGATCTTGGTGATGTCGATGTAGCACCAGACTTCATTGCTCTGTCCTTCTACAAGATCTTTGGGTACCCAGACCTCGGCGCTTTAATCGTGAGGAGAAGTGCTTTTAATGTGCTGACGCGGCGAAAATACTTCGGAGGCGGCACAGTCGAGCTCGTCACTGTGATTGGTGGATCGTCTCACGAAAGTAAGAAGCACCACATTCATGACTTTCTCGAGGATGGTACCCTGCCATTTCACAACATCATTGCACTCAAGCACGCGATTGAAGTTCAAAAGAGAATCTTCGGCACTCGAGAGGATATTTCACAACATACTGCACATCTGTCCGGATGGCTCTATCACACGCTCAAGAGCTTGAGGCATGCAAACGGGCTGCCTGTTATGGAACTTTATAAGGACAAAAATGGCACTTATGGAGACACGAAGACTCAAGGACCTATCCTCTCCTTCAACATCTGGAGAGCTGACAGAACCTTCATCGGCAAGAGCCACTTCGAGAAACTCGCCATCAGTTGCGGCTTTCAGATCAGGACGGGAGGTGTATGTAACCCAGGGGGCGTAGCCTTCATGGTGGAGCTTGAGCACTGGGAGTTGAGAAGGAACTTCACCGAAGGGGTGTCATGTGGAGACGACAAGGACATCATTGGAGGAAAACCAACTGGCATTATCAGAGTCAGTCTTGGCGCGATGTCAACAATGTCAGACGTGACGAGGTTCGTGCATTTTGTGAAGCACTTCTTTGTCGAGCGGGAGGTCAAGGCGGCAAGGGCAGTGACACTCCCGACATCAATCTTTCCGGTTGAAGGATGCGCTCCGTTCGAAGTGGAAGACTTTGTGCCCTACCAGCCCTTCAACCGGGCCTGGTGCATTATCGATACAAAGTCCGGGAAGGTCGTGAAATCAAGCTTTGGCGGTTTGAAAGTCGGAATTGACGTGAAGAGAGAAAAATTGGTTTTCAACGATAGCTTCCAAATGAGTTTGTGGGATGTGCCTGAGATGACTGACAAGGACCGTCGAAGTAAGCCTTGGTATCGGACATACGAAGTATACACTGGAGAAGTCAATCGCTGGCTGACAGAGACACTTGGCTTTCAATGCGCTTTGGCAAGGTATAACCACGAAGACCACACCCTGTCGCCTGCGGCAACTACATGCGTTATCTGTGGACTCAGAACATTCGACAAAACCGGTCTCTACAAGCACTACGAAGATCATGCTCATGAATTTTTGAGAGCCAGATCATTCAGAAGGGAAACAGTCAACGCAACACCCAATCTAAAGAGCAAGATGAGCCGCGCTGCAAGTAAATCGATGCTCCGCCTCGACAAGATCTTCGTCACTAGGTATGAGCTTGAAAAAGATGAGGGGCAGCCTCAGGTCACTATTGTCGCGCAAGCTGAGCTAGATCCTAGGAATTCTGCTGTGCTGAAGCAGCAGAGACGAAAGCCGATATCTGTGCTGGTACACAGGATCATGGGTAGGGGAGAAAGATAAGTGAGAATAGGTCTAGAACGAGATTTTCAAGGGTGGTTGGAGACGTAAAGTTCTGAGTTTTGAATCGTTTTCGGTAATTTCGTCAATAGTCCAGTTAATATGCAGTTTCACAAATCGATATGGTACTTGTCTGCAGAGTCAGGGCTGGGTAGGTGGAGCATGCTGAAGCAAGTGAGATGGTCTTCCAAGGGCATTCGTAGTCGTGGCATGAGAGTTTCAGGATTGCGCTCGGTCTAATCTTACTATAAATCTAACACTTTGATCTCAGCTTTGAGGAAAGCGTAAAGTTTCTACCTTCCATCCTCATTGACCTGTATCGAAATCTTGCCTCGTGTTCGACCACCTTGCAGTTTCCGAAACGCTTTCTGTATATCTGTCAATTCAAAGCGGTTCTCGTCTTCGATGACAGTCCTGAGTCTTCCTTCTACCATCCATTGACCGACGATGTCGTGCTGCTCAGGAGGTACGGCAATCAGAGCGAACAAGGATACAGGGCGCTTGCCGCCACCGAGGACGGTTGGCCATAGCAGCATCTTGGGGATGTCTATCATGGTCTGCAGGCTGATTGTCGCGCCTACCATGATGAACTTTCCACCTGCAGAGCCGCTCTTGAGGAAGTGGTGAGAGTTCCAGTAGAGGTCCACGCTGCCGACGTTGTCGACTACGAGATCGAATTCCCCATTCTTCGCGACGTATTGCTTGAGGGCGTCCACCACGTTCACGCTTCGGTAGTCAATGACTTCGTCGGCGCCCAGGCTCTTCACTAGATCTGCATTTGCGCCTGAGCAAGACGCCACGACAGCATCGCAGCCGAAACAATGTTTCGCTAGCTGTACAGCGAATGTTCCTACTCCTCCACTGCCACCATTGATGAAAACTTTTCCTCCTTTGCCAGAAGCTCGGTTCGAGCCACCAGCCTTCCAAGTTCTGGAGAATCCCAAGTCACCGGACAACAGAGGCTGTAAGGCCGAATAGACAGCCACTCCACAAGCTCCGAATTCGGCTAATGACCTTCCCGTTCTTGAGCTCATCTCTAGCCATCCATCTGGAATCTTACCACCCCAGCCCTGACCTTTCACGACGAGAAAGTCTGCAGCAGCGCCATCTCGGCTGGAGCCGCTAACATAACCCCATACAATATCACCACCCTTCAAGCGGGAATCGTTCGTGTCCCAGACACGTCCGACGAAGTCCAGACCTGGAGTGTGAGGTGAGGCACCAACAAGTAGGCGTGGCAGAGGCTGTGGAAGAGAGGCGAGTTTGTAGTCAACTGGATTCAGAGAAGTGTTGAGGATGCGGATGAGTGTGTAGGTGCCAGATCTGGGAATGGGAGGTACTGCGGCGGTCTGATTGACTCTGACATTGCTTGTTGGATCCGATGATGGGATGAGCTCGACAGACCGATGGACTGTTGGAAGAGGCCTGGATGGAGGCATGGCGTTGCTTGGATCGGAACTAAAGTAGTTAATGCAGAAGAGACTTGTTTAGTTACTTCTACGCTCGTGGTTTGGTGTTCACACTGCAAAGATTTGGGTTTGGACTCGATACTGACTGCTGATCTGCTCTTTCGCCTGAGCTCGTAGTTTGTTATGGAGATTGAAGTCGACGGATATCAGGCAATAGCAACAGCTCACGCCAGTGGTCTGCTGAGTCGTAACTTCCATGATTGACTTGACACGTCATAGCACGTAGTATCCGCTAAATTAGGGGTACGCATAGCAGGAGCAATCCAAGAGACATTGAGGTTCTATGTTCTTCTCTTCTCGCATTGCTGACAATTCGACAACCCACTGGCATTGCTCGGGAGGAAACCATGGTCGTGATAGTGAGCTTGGTGCAATTGCGACGACGCTCCAAGTAGGCAGTATGAGGATTTAGCGCTTTTGATGCCTTTGTTTCTGCCTCATTGTGTACGTGATAAACGCGTAAGATGATCGCATCCTTTTGGCATCACTCCTGTCCGTCGCGGAACGATTGCAAACACCTTCCGATGGTAATCTTCTATGGCCTGACCCCTTTATTAGAACATCTGAAGTATAGCAGGCTGTTGCATGTGCAAGGGTCTATTACGGTCGCGGGGCAAAGGTACGTCATGTGGCAGTTTACATCGTATCAAAAAACCACAAGCTCGAGATCGTGGATCTGATACGGGCGGGAGCTGCAGACAAAGTGGCTTGGATGATTCGGTTATGCTTCCATGCAGGACGGTTGGCTTTGGTCGGACCTTTCGACCTGCATTGATATCATTCTTTGCTGAGCTACTAATTTGAGAGTGATTGTAACCAACGTGGTTGTTTGTGCCAGAGCAAGTGGATTAGATTTTGGTTTCCACCAAGCCAACAGTGTATTCCTGTGTTCTTCCTTCTTGCAGTCTGCAGTCATACCCATCGCACAGCTTTAAATCCCAACCAGAAACCGGTGAGCATGGCTTCGGCCGCTACCTCGTCGGGCAATCCATCGGTCAGCACAACACCACTGAATTCACGTCCGACAACACCAAACCTCTCGACCCCTCCACCTACAGCAGTGGCCAAAGGCGGCAACGATGATTCGTCAAGATTGAAGTTGTTCATCAGCATTCTGAGGAAGTACGTACCTTTTTCGTCGTTGGAACTATCAAAACCGCTACGGAAGAAAGAGGGAGACAAAGATGAAGAGCTAAGACATGTTATGCTAGATTCATCGGTGTCGCAGACATCGCCAACGTTCGCTTTTCACTTCCGGCGCAGTTGCTGGAGCCAATACCCAACTTAGGTGGGAGCAGCCAGAATTCATTGCCTAGAATGAGGCTGACTACGGGTAGAATATTGGCACTATATCGACCGACCAGAGACGTTTGTGAGGTAGGTGCATTCTCGTGCTCAGCGCGTTGCAGCTGCTGACTGGTGCCAGCATTGGCAAGTCCGAAAATGAACTCGGTCGCATGCTCGAAGTGGTTCGTTTCTGGTTTACCAAAGATTTGGTACGGCTGTTCGAAACCACACATAAGGAGTGGCAAGGCTAACAATCCAAGAAATTCGTCAAGGGAAAGCCTTGCAAGCCATACAATTCTGCACTTGGAGAGTTCTTCAGGGTTTGTTTCTGCTCCCGAGTGTAGGAAGGCATTTCTGACTGGTGTAGTGTAATTGGGAGATCAAGGCCGATGCTCCTTCGATATCTTCTCCTTCTCAAGCTCCTCCACAACCTCCTCCTGATCCCTGTAATGCAGCCCAGAATGATCCCGTACGCATATCCTACCTGACCGAGCAGACGTCCCACCATCCTCCAGTCTCCGCCTATTGGGTCGAGTGTCCATCGAGAGGATTGGTAGCAAGAGGTTTTGATCAGATCTCAGCAAAATTTAGCGGCACTTACGTCAAGGTAGTGGCTGGCAATCACAATAAGGGCTTGTTCATCACGCTGAAGAACAGAGGGAACGAGGAATACCACATGACACATCCAGATTCTCAGCTGAACGGCTTCTTACGTGGCAACATGTACATCTCCGTGTCAGATGTAGTAGCGATTACCTGTCCGAAGACAAAGCTGAAAGCCCTACTTCACTACGTCGAAGAAAGCTATTTCGGCACAGCAAAGAACAAGGTCATAGGCGTGATATACCGATACGACCCAGACAACGATAAACATTCCAAGCCGAAGGATGTACCCTCAAGTGATGTTCTGGTGGAAGTCGATGGAGACTGGAAAGACAAGGTTTACTATACTATCCCCTCCTCAAAAGCTGCCAAGAGTTATCCAGGTCTCGAACCAACCAAGGACAAGCAGCTGATCATTGATATTGCACCTTTGATGCCCGTGCCGAAGATCGTGCCTCCTCCAGAAGAACAGCTCGACAATGAAAGTCGTAAACTGTGGTCCGAGGTGAGCGAGGCAATTCACGATAGAAGGTACGGAGAGGCAACCACGATCAAACAGAACATTGAGCAACGGCAAAGGGACAAAGCCAAGGAAAGGGAAGACAACAAGAAGGTCTTCAAGCCCAGGTTTTTTGTCAGCGCGACCGACCCATCTGGACGACCAGAATTGACGCCTGAAGGAAGAAAGGCGTTGGACGACATGCAAGGGTTGAACTTCCATCTTGAGCCAAGATTAGACGATTCGGTATCGGCTTAGGATGCCAATACATAAGGGCTAGAGGCAATGTGCATAGGAGAGGTTCGGCGTTCGTGGTGAAGGAGTGCAGGATCTCCGATAAGCTAGGATCCAAGGTGGACGGTTCTGTGCGTGGTCCAGCTGTCCTCAGTATACTAGTTGATATAGACAACATTCTTGAACTCTGAAATACCACCCTTTCTGATTAACAGAAGGGATGCCGATTGACGGAGTGTGTCGCTTATGGTGAATACCTACATGGGAAGATTCGAAAACAGCTCTATGGTGAGGCGAAGTACTTGATTCTACGGTATGCAATGCGGCCAAATTCTCCACCATCCTGCACTCGGACGCCTCCAAGCTTGGAATCTCGTGTCTGCTTGTTCCGGTATGTAGGCTCTCTGTACAAGTCTTTGACTCTCAAGCCTCAGCAATGGCGTTACGGCGTTGTAGGATACATAAGTTGTCACCGACATTAACTGGCAAGAAATGTGTTTCGAGTACACAATCGGCAGTACGAACCTATTACTCAATACATCATCCTGACCCGGCACCATTCCCACCCATCCAGGCTCAGATCCTCTCTACTGCCCTCAAGAACGTTCCTCGTCTAGGCTTCTCTCGCGATGCGTTGTTATCTGGCTGCCGCGAAAACGGCTACCTCGAAGCATCAGCTCAACTCTTTCCACGAGGCGTCTATGACCTGATCCACTACTACCTCGTCACGCAACGACTTGCTCTCAAAGAAAAAGTCCAATTTCAGCAAGACGCTAAGCTGGGCTTGACACAGAAGGTCAAGACGTTGACCTGGGCTCGCTTACAGGCTAACGTGGACGATGGTATCATAGAGCACTGGCAAGATGCGCTGGGTCACATGTCGCTACTGGAGAATATCCCAGCGAGTCTGAAAGAGTTGGGCAATCTGTCAGATGAGATCTGGTATCTTTCCGGGGACACTCAGGTCGATTTTGGTTGGTACACAAAAAGGGCGCAGCTTGCGGCTGTTTATGCTGCTACAGAGACCTTCATGTCGACGGATAGGTCTAAGGACTACGCTGATACCAAAGAGTTTCTTGACAGGAGACTGGGTGATGTGAGAGTTGTTGGTGGTACTGTGGGAGGCGCGATGAGCTACATGGGCTGGATCGCGGGTAATGGGCTAGGATTGGCTCGATCTTGGGGGATGAAGGTGTGAAGTGAGTGCATGTCAATGCTTTCGATGTTACAACCACGACCATCTAGAAAGACGCCGAGCAGCAACCGAACAACCTGGTCGGGATTAGCTTATTCGGAAACCAAGATGAGGTCGAAGCAATGTCGAGGCTAAAGAAGAAGCTCAGCTCGATGCGAAACAATCGCTCTTAGGCTTCACCAGGTGTGGGGGAAGCAGGATCAGCTGGAATCGTACGACTGTATGACGTGGGCATAAGTACGATCCGTCCGAAGCATCAGACCTGTTTTACTATAATCACAACGTTGCAGCTACTACTCCTCTATGCCTTCGAGCACGACCGTGTCACAACGATTTACTGCTTTGCAGGAAAACAATGATAGTGAGAGGATCAAGAAGGGTGGTACCGATATGGGTGTCTGCTTAGTCAAGAGCATAGAAATTCAGCCAGGCGTGCGTCAGGGCCTTCGTGAGGGTCGAATCCTTCGAGACGATATAGACAAACGTCAGCCGGCCCACGGATGGCAGTCTCTAGGTCGTTGGTTAATAATAATGGTCACCTGGAGCCTACCGTTGGCGCCGAAGAGTTAGTTTTTCCCTGGAACATTGGCAGTAAAGGAGTACCCAAATGATTTTGATGAGATTGCGAGGAAGCCTCGCGGATGGAGATGAAGACGGAGTAACGGAGAGGTCGCAGCCATCCTAAGGGCAAGTGAAGCCGCTGTGGGAGACTTGTCTGTTACCGTCACGATGATGCTTGTAACTTTGATTGCCGCAAGGAAATGCTTTGACTAAGCTGAGAGTAGCTGCACTACATATCTGGCATACAGACTTACGAGCGGTCGTCATGGAACTTGCCGATGATCGTTTTGTGGAACTGCCGTATCTTTCCCCAGAAACGCGGCTGCCGTTGACTCAAGCCGGCCATATGGACATGAAATACGCCAAACCGACCACATGGTTTTGATGGTGGAGGCCTGTCAGACTTGGATCTTCAATCGCCGTCAAGGTTCAGTGGTTATTTTGTCAACTACACGTTTCGTACTCCTTAGGTTTGGTCAGTCTGATCATGCGCCGGTATGACCTGGATTGTATGCAGTCATTGATCTAGTCTTTGACGCTCTCAGAAACAACAATCGATCAAGGGTAGTGGACACTCACAGCTCGAGACTGGTTCCTGATACGTATCTACTAACAGAGCACCTTCTGACAGTGCGTACTTCGATTAGCCCCATGGTCCGCAATGTTCTTACGCTATCTCGATTGGATCAAATCACCTTTTCCATGTGAGAGGACACCGTCCGAAAGGACAGGACGCGTGCTTCTGTCGCTTATTTACCCTATCATCGCGCGGCAGCAAGTGCTTCGACTACGTGGATGGAGACAATCGAGCTAGCACAATTTTCACCAACCAACAGACAGAGTCGTACAACGACCTAGACTCTGCATACCGCAGATCGCCATCCCCATGGCGTCAATCAGGGAATAGTAAGCATGTAAAACTACATATTCGTGGGGATGTTAGTCGTATGGTCAAGCCAGCCAGGAAGACGAAATCTATTCATATTCTCATCCTACTCACGAGCGCCAGTCATGATGTCTATCTAGCCAATAGAAACGAACTGGGTCCGAGACTCGACAAACCAGCTCGTCTTATCGACAGCCTCATCTAGGCAAGACTAAATCAAAGTATGACCAGCAAGGAGACATCGCACAGTACCTTCCACATCAGCATCACGTCCTCTGACGCGACTGACCCTGAACGATCAACTGTTTGTCTTCGGAAGCTCTGTCTAGTCACATCTCGAACGCCCAAAGACAATTCCGAAGCATTTGTCAAACACAATATTGGAAACTGAAAACGTGGATCTTCTCGTGTTCAAGATACTATGGTGTAAGAGCATCTACGACGCCCTCAGGCCCAAAGGCGTTCCTTCTGCTGGACAGGTGGATATGCTGGTCTGGACAGAGCTCTAGAAAAAGTTTGATGCTTGAGATCTTGAACAGTCACTTCGCCGTCTCTCACCAATCACACAAGGCAACAGCAAGTCGACGGGATCGTTGCCAACTTCATGTAGTGATCAATATCGATAGAGACGCCACCGACAAAGGCGGACAAGCTGTCTTCGGTGCACGCCCAAAATTACAGCTGATCCTTGAGTCAGAGGAGGCACTGTTCCACGAAGCTGCTGTCTTCGCTCCCTCCGACAATCTCGACCGCCTCTTTGTCACCAGCAATATCTTGGCGCAAGGTGATGGCGCCGCTGCAAATTTCAAAACCAGTAAGCTCACTTGACAAGGGAAGGACGACAGCACATGGTCGCACGAAGAAACCCCAGCAGGCGGCATAGTCATGGGTAACGGCGGTGTGAATCAGCCTGGTGGTGAGAACATACTCTTCTGCAGTCAAGGCAACCACACTGCACCAAGTAGTCTTGTATTAATGAAGATCGAGTCGCCTCATAGTACACAGGTCCTGCTCAACAATTACCATGGACGTCCGTTCAATTCTGTCAACGATGTGATTTTTTCGAAAGACGGCAGCATTTAGTTCAATGATCCGAACTACGGTGGTGAGCAGGAATTCAAGCCCAGGCCACGTCTGCCATGTCAGCTCTACCGCTACGACCAAAGTCGAGAAAGTATACGTGCTGTTGCTGATGAATTCGGGAGGCCGAACGGACTGTGTTTCAGTCCTGACGAAGGTACTCTGTACGTGACTGACACGGATTGGATTCATGGAGACGGTACTACTAACGATCATGGAGTATCGCATATGTAAGTTTTCGGCTGTATTGCTCACCATGTTTCATACTCAACCTTTGCAGATACGCATTCACCGTTCGAAACTATCATGGCTCACCCTTCTTAACCGAACGACGATTGTTCGCAATGACAGGCACAGGCGCACCAGATGGTATCAAATGCGATACTTAGGGTCGCATATACAGCGGTTGCGGTGATGGGGTCAACATCTGGCTTCCAGACGGAACTCTTATCGGCAAAGTGATTGTTCCTGGTGGGATTGCGAATTTCTGTTTTGGCCGATCTGGTGAGATGTTCTTGCTCGATGAGACGAAATTCTGGGTTGCGAAAATTGCTTCGGACGTAAAGGGCGCTTTGCTGGAGGGAATGGGAGTCAGTGTTTGATGCTGGACGATTTCCTCAAGGGGTATCTGCTGCTGAGCAGGTCTAACCTATTGAAGACCACGTGTCACGCCCGGTGCTTGTCCCGTTGCAAAGCCGATGCTCAGCGATACAAGTGCTGTATAATATTGACGGCCTGAACAGATACATACACATGCTTGATAGAGTGGGCACGTGGTGACATTTATCTGCTATGCCCGGCTCACTTGTGCCGAAGGTATGGAGTAGCTCACAGTACAGTTCGCCGTATTAAATTCGTGATCTGCTTGTACTGCTTCTTAGGCAGCCCCCACGAGGAAAACACGGTGTGTTCTGGCACAGAAAGATCTTGCGACGTTACATTGAGAAGCCCCTGCTTATTGAGACACAGTCATCGGAGCACACTTGCCCGTGAGCAGAGTAGCCACTGCGGATATGCTTCTTGCTGCCAACTCGAAGCTTACAGAGCTTGCTCACGCCACAAGTGCTACGCCAAGGCTGTCTAAAATCTTGGTATTCTTGGCAGCGCGGTTCAATCGCACTGAATTCCCGGAGCTCCTTCCTTGATTGGCGCTATTGAGAGTTTCATGGCACACCTTGCAGAATGTCCATTCACTGCTGACTCGCAGAAAGCGAAAATGACGTTGTGCCCTGCCATTACTGGCTGAGACTGTGCTTTTGGCATCGTCTGTGGCGCTTCTTGTCTGTGTACAAGACAGTGTCAGAAGGCTTGCTGCAGGTATGCGAATATCTTAACCGAAGCTCGAGACGGTTTGTGTAACATGCATACAAACACCCTCGCAGGATTGATAAGGTTAGGAGGATCGACCCATGTGTTCCTGGGTGGAATCCTAGAGTGACAGGTGTTCTGAAATAAGTTCCCGACATGTTTTCGAGAACTTCCAGAAGATATGCAGATTCACCAGGATGGAAAATTCTTGAAACTGGGATACTGTAGAACTCGAAAGGTGGATCATCGCTTGATAGGTACAGCACCTCGTGCAGTATCAGTAGTGCAAGTTCTGATCTTCACCACGATTCGTCTGTCCCGACACCCCAGACCAAACGAAGCATCAGTGGGGACTCCACATCGACGATCTTCGATATCACTTCAAGATTATCTGCGACACTACTTCGAGTCAAACGATGACAACACGAACCCGAGCACAAGGTAACCATGTGACTTACCGTGGTGTTTGTGTTGCAACAGAGGACAACTACATAAGATCTTCTTTCGTACCCTCAAGATCAGTTTCTCGTTTCTCTTTGCACGCCCTGAGTTTCGCACTTACCTTCACCAAGACATTGAGGCGCACACCAAGCATTTCCTGGCGTTCTTAACCGACGTCACTGTCCAGCATACCTAATCCGCGCTTTCCATCACTCAAAGAACAATACTGTACACGACAAGCAATTATGTCTGAGCAATTCGAACCTGCCGAGCCCATTGCCAAGGGCATACTGCCGACTGCCAAACAATCGTTCAGAGACCTCTTCCGTTGGAAACAGCGAGTCGAAATCACCAACGAGTACGGCGAATCGACATTTGTCTGGCAATCACCTCCACCCCTCAAGAACCCGATCAGCTTGTTCGCTGAACTGAGTGCTAAAGAATGGGTTTTCTTCCTTGTTGGTCTCGCTGCCTGGATGGCCGATGCATTCGATTTTCATGCTTTGTCCATTCAGACAACAAAACTTGCAGCGTATTATGAGAGATCGAAGACGGACATCACAACTGCCATTACACTAACTCTGTTGCTGAGAAGTGTTGGCGCGGCAGTCTTTGGATTGCTTGCCGATAGATTTGTAAGTTCAACCCATCGATTCTGTTCTCTGTGGTGAACAGATGCTAAGTCCAGCGACAGGGTCGGAAATGGCCAATGGTTGCCAACATGATCATTCTTGGTTTGCTTCAGATTGCCACGATCTACTCAACCACTTTTGGCGCATTCCTTGCTGTTCGATCCCTCTTTGGCCTGTTCATGGGCGGTGTCTATGGTTCAGCTATCGCAATGGCCCTCGAGAATTGCCCAATCCAAGCTCGTGGCCTTATGTCTGGCATTCTTCAACAAGGCTACTCACTTGGCTACGTGATTGCAGCATGCTGTAACCTAGGTGTCGGTGGTAGCACTAACTCGTGGAAGACTGTCTTTTGGATTGGTGCCGGGCTCTCGATCGGTGTCGGTTTCATCAGAGCAGCTTTCCCGGAATCGAAGCAGTTTATCGAAGCTAGACGCCACAAGAAAGAGCATCCAGAGCTACACAAGAATGCTGGTGCAGGTGCTTTCTGGGGTGAGTGCAAAAAGATGATCGTCAAAGAGTGGCGTATGTGCATTTACTGCATTATTCTGATGACCTGGTTCAATTACTACTCACACACTTCCCAAGGTCAGTTTCACGACATGTTTACCAATTTGCAATACTGACCGTGTATAGATTCTTACACTACCTTCGTCCTTGTCGAAAAAGAGCTCAACAACGCTCAAGCTAGCCGTGCCTCCATTCTCATGAAGACAGGTGCTTGTGTCGGCGGCACAATCATCGGCTATCTTTCGCAATGGGTTGGTCGACGACGAGCCATCATTGGTTCAGCACTCATGTCTGCAATCTTGATCCCAGCATGGATTCTCCCAACCACCGAACGCAGTCTGAGTGTGACTGGCTTCTTTATGCAATTCTTCGTACAGGGAGCATGGGGTGTCATTCCAATCCACCTCAACGAGCTGTCTCCTCCTGCCTTCCGATCGTCCTTCCCAGGTGTCACCTACCAAATAGGCAACATGATCTCTTCACCTTCTGCCCAGATTGTCAACGCCATCGCAGAGAGCACATTGGTCACAAACGTTGCTGGTGATAGAGTTGAGGCATATGGCGCAACCATGGGTGTTGCGACCGCTATTATTGCAATCGGCATTATTGTCACAACCCTGCCTGGTCCTGAGAAGAGAGGTGCTAGATTCGAGCTTGCCAAGGTCGCTGGTGAGGGTGGTAGTGATGACAATCTTGCACGAAAGGTGGCTGACATTGAACGTGGCGATAGTATTGCTGAGAAGGGTCATGAAGCACAGCTTGAGTCTGTCCCTGCGAAGAGTGAGAAGCTGTGATCTTGCTTTTCTATACGATGCACATTCTGCAGTAGGGCGATCTCGAGCATGAACGAATAGCTGTATTATAGCTCAACGAAACAACGACAGAGTATGAACGAATTCCATTCCTGATCATCACTACTACCAGCTCCTACACTCCTGGATTCTCCTAGCATTTAGTTGTTGTGCACTTGTGTCCTTGCGTACTCAATAGGCCTACAACCATCGCCTCACCTTCGCACCATGCAACCCTCGTAAAGTCAGACTGCTGCTTCTCCGTAACTTGGCGGGAAATGCAATGGCCGCTCAACAGATCAAGCTACGAAAGGAAGAGGCGTGATGCCACCGAACGGTATGGCCAAATCCTGGAAAATAGTGATCAACTCAGGCCTCATAGCCCCGAAATCAGAGGATTCTTTACTATGGAAAAAATCCGGCAATTTTGAATTTCGCAGCATACTTTTATGGCAAATTGGGGGTTTCTAAGAAAACCCATTTTACCTCCCTGCAGATCCATCAAGCACACAGATCCAGTGGTGATGCTACGTGTCTCATCTCGCTGTTCTCAGAGCAATGTTGCGCGCTACAACACAAGCCCCACAGCTTGAGCTCACGAGTGCGAAGTTGCTGATGATGGGTGAAGGCATATGCTCTCAGCGGAACTTCAGTGCTGGAAGCGCGACCTCGCGGTGTTCAATGCTTTACTCTTGATCTTCAGGATGATAAGGATGATTTACTGAAGCAAATCGGCCTCCGCATTCGACGGCAAGACCTGGAAACGACGAGCACGAGGCTTGATATTTGATCGACTATGAGGACGATTGACATGACTTGCTCTAGCTTGCCAGCAGTTGCTATGAGTGATGGCCATGGCGAAGCTGACAAGCCCTTGCTCAGACATAATGCTTGCAACAGCAATCTGGACAGCTTGGGAGGCATAAAAGCTTGTAGCTTACAAGTGCTCGTGCAGCGCCTCGCCGAAACGTATTTTACTGCCCAAGAGAGGCTGGAATTGCTTGCTGTCCTTGGCAGAGAATTGCGGGAAATGAATGAGTCTTTGGAGTACCATCAGGCTATAGTGCAGAAAGTCATGAATTTCGAGCAATGTCTAAAGGAAGGCGTGGCTTTCTTCTAGGTTCACAATCGCCGAGAACGGTGGCAATCACATCGGTGCAAATGGTGAAAGAGCTGTACGAGTGCAACTGCGGCTGCTTCCAGGAGATTGAAGGAATAGGAATATTGTTCAGGGAAAGAGCTATCACCATCGTCATTTCGTTACGTCTGGCACCTTGTCAGCCTGAATGACCTTCCAACAATGCGTCAAACACGCTTGCATATATCAGAATCAAGTCATCATGAGTCAACTGTGGGGTCAACCGCGTTCCAAGCCTGATCATACGGTATATCAGCCAGTCTCACTCCACCTTGCTCATCTGCCATCAGCAATTGATTCTTCCCTATCAAGTTCCAATCAGCCTCACGATAGGTAGTAGGCTCGCTAGCCACAATTAGATGTTTTCCATGCTTGTCTCTCGGTATCCTATTTGCATCATCCTGGATGTTAGCACCATCAGGATGGTCAGGGTACTTGCGGTTGAGTGTTGTGCCTGCTTTTGTGCTGTAGTACAACGAAGGCGGTTCTTGCGTGCTGTGGTTTCGGAAACGATATGCAACCAGTTTGATCCCGTCGGTAACGCAGAGGTTGAGACTGTTCGGAGTCATTTTGGTGCCTAGTAGCTTGATCTGTAGGCCGATAACAGTTGCCACTGCGTCGTGGAGGGCCGCTGCCATTTCGTGGACAGTGTATGTTTTCTCAAAGCTGGATCTGTCGCCGTTCTGGGTCAGATAGGTTATGTAAAGAGCGAAGATGTGTTCCGAGTCTGTGGTTCCGACCATAGTAGCATGAGCCGCGTCGGACATCTTCATCAACATGGCTCTACGGATGACAGGAAAGCCTGTGATCACGCCATTATGCATGCAGGTGTGTCTGCCAAAAACGAATGGATGGTTGTTGGTCTGAACGATGGGCGTCCCGCTGGCTGCTCGAATATGCGCGAAGCAAACTCTCGTCTCCGTGTTCGCACATATCGATCTGAAGTTGAGATCGTTGATTGGTGGCGTTACTGTCTTGTAGAAAGCCGGACGCAGCCCTTCTTTGAACATGCCATCACTAGACTGCCCAGTGTCACCTTGCTCAAAGTCAGCTGCGGAGGAGGTATACCAGGCCACACCAAAGCCGTCGATATTGTAAGCGCTGTTTCGTAGCTTCACAAGATTATCGGGACAATCTTCGAGATCCTTAGGGTCATGTGGTATGAGGCCTGGGAGGAAATGCTCATGGACCTGCTTGACGAGGGAATGCTGTGGACTGATAAGGACGTCTTCTAGAAGACAAGGTTCTGTAGGAGAGAGATATGCAAACCAACGACACATGACGATTCGGCTTGTATGTTGTTACTTGTGGATAATGATATATTAGAAAATGTACAAGGAGTGAGGCGTTGGCTGTGACTTCTATCGGCTATGTATGCCCCGTGAGCCGGAAGAATTGTTCTTCCGATTACACTCTGACACAAGTGACCTTTACGGATTTCCGCTGTCAGCATTCTCGCCTTGTTGTCTATCTCGGTACGCTCCATCTATCTTGCAACTTTTTCTGTCATCTTCTTCTCGTAAGCGCGTACACCGCTCATACGACTACTACGAAGTGAAATTTCTTACTTGACACATTACTATTCTCTGAGCTCGTCCCTGACCGCAGATGCCCTGTACATCAATGTCAGACAAGCTCAAGGAGCAGGGGCGCAGGTAAGACGTGGGTGTGATCAGATGGTGAGAGAGTTGTCAGCAGTACATCACGAGGTGACGAACTTGCTGTGTTTGAATCCAAGATCAACAGGATTGAGAAAGGCCTCTGCCACATTTACGGCTTGATAACCTGGTATGATGAGTACAATCGCTCCCCAGTCACCTGAGTTCAGTGAAAACTGATCATGAAAATTCGGAGTGGTCTGAAAGATGAAACATATCGCGTATCGAGTCGATTGCATGTGTCCCTTCACACCACTGACCAGTGACGAGAAGTGAGAATGCGAAGTTTCTGTGATCTTACTTCTTCAGGGCTTTCTTCTCAAACAGCCTCTACTTGTTAGTCAATACTAGGTCTAAAGATATACGCATGCTCGCAGCATGGTACTAACACCCTCACATCCCGTTTGCCTGCCACATGGTTGTCACCTCAACAAGCCGTCACCTTCACTGTCACCTCAGAAGACACCCACGTGTCTATGGCAAACGAAAGTCCTGCTTCCTCCGACCACTTAAGATGTCCTCTTCTGATGCTTTTACACAATTCTTGCAATCAATTTTTTCCAAAGCACAAGAAAACGAAAAGATAGAACCGATCACTTCCACCTATCATTCACCATTCTAAATCTCATTTCAAAACCCATCACCTACACACCGCAACCATGCTCATGAATAAAGCCCTCCTGGTCTCCATGACCATCGCTTCCACCACCCTCGCCAGTTCTATCAAGTGGTGCAACGAAGCCAACCTCAAAGGCAACTGCGCAACCATCAATCCTGCATCCACCTTCTGCAGCTTGATTTCCGACTCCAATGCCAAGGGCGACATCGACAGCTCCGTCGAGGTAAGTACTCCCTAGAACATATATACACCCTCTTCCTTCGCTCCTTTAGCTTGATAAAGAAGATGAAAAGTGACTGACAAACCCTCACTCAAACAGCTCAAGAACTCTGGCGACATCTCCTTCTGCGTCTACTGCGAGAGCGACAACTGCACCGGTCAATGCATTGACTTCACTGGCAAGAAGGACTTGAGACAGAGCTGGTAAGTTATCATACTACCCTGATAAACACAGACGCCTTGACAGAAACGTATATACTGACGAAGTCTTCATAGGATCGCACGAAGCTACTACTGCATAGGCAAATAGAGCGATGGCTAGCAGTCATGGTTTCATGTATGGTCCATTCAGGTTTTGCGATGAAGCAGACTGAGAACACACATGCATACATGCATACATGCATTCACAATTACACAAACACGAACTTGGTGGTTAGATCTAGACTGGAGAACTCTCTGGCAGGTGGACGAGTACACACTGTCCAAGAGATCATGCTAGACAGGCAGTCTGCCTGGTAGAGGATAGAAAGAGCAGGACCAACCACGATAACGAAATTCACCCTTCATCAACTTCATCTGTTTGTATTTTCGCGTGGCTTGCCTTGTACAAGACAGTATGATCGACTATTTAGGCGCAAAAGGATGTATCTGGTAGGCCTGCGTGAGTATCAAAGCAGCATGAGGGTACAGTGCTTTAATCGCCCATAGACCAATAATACATGGGGACAAGAGAAAGTGCAGGACAAGTAGACCGTCAAGGAGCGCAGGACTACGAATCGTACAACAACTTGTACTTTGATGGGACAGAGATGCACAAAAACAAATGAGGAATGATATGGCAAACAAATGGCTTCCATGAGTAGTTCGTTGAGCATTTGCACTGATTGAACCCTGGCAGATAAGAAATACAGAAGCCCTCTACCTATTCAACGCGGTCACAACCGCGAACAAATGATCCCCAGGCTAATAGCCACGTAGCTTCGACAGGGATTTTGGCTACCTATACTGCTTAGACAGCCTTTGCTAGACCAATAGCGTCGTTGCCAAGGTCATAGACTGAGTACCACCGTCTCAAGAAAGAGTCACCAAGGATGAACAAGGGACCAATGTTGCCACCGAGATCGATACCCTGGAAAGAAGAGATGCAGCTACCCTGAACCTCGAGGATGTAGTCGTAAGCAGTAATGGTGAAGTTGTAGCCAGACAGGTTGAAGGTCAAATCTGGCAAACTATCACGCTTGCTGCACTCGACAGTGTATTGACCATTGAAACCCTTCTTGGCACCAATCTGCTTGTTGAGGAGCTCAGCATAGTCGGTTGGCATGGCGATGAGGGAAGTGCCAGTGTCAAGGATAGCGCCAGTGCCTTCCATATCAGCAGTTTCCTTGCCAAAGGTGATGGAGTCGAGGTTAAGTTCCCAGTAGGCCTTTCGTCGCAGAGGAAGCTTGACCATCTTGCCAGTGTACTTGCTCTTGTCTGCGCCACCGAAAGTGCAGACTGAGTCAGTGCCCTTGCTAGAGTCACCAAGGTAGAAGGAGAAGACTGGCTCGTCAAGTAGACCTTGATCAACCATGTTGTAGAATGGTGGAGGAATGTGGTTAACTGAGATGGTGTCATAACCAAGACCCAAAATACCGTCAAATCGGCCGAAGGCGAAAGCGAGACCTGGCTCACTTGTGGCTTCACCAAAGAGCTGACTCTTGACCTTCAAATCGCCAATTCGGAGAGTATCTTGCGAGATGTAGCCACTGACTTCTCCGGAGCCATACCTGATACCGAATTCCGAACCGTTCTTCTTGTAGGAGGACGAGGAGGATGAATCGTACTTGCTGTGTAGATAACAGGCTATCGAGCCGCACTCGGAACCAGGAACCCAGAGGTTGGAACTGCCAGTATCCATGACGACCTTGAAGTCTTGTGGAGGAGTTCCGAGACCTATTGTGCTGAAATCTACTGAGGATTAGTTGATGACCAACGAGCGCGATAGAGCAGCCACTGACATTGAGCATTGAGGAAGTTCTCAACTGGGACATCAAAGCCGCCATCTGGGTGGATAGCAGTGTCCCTGAAGATATCTTCAGTCTCAGCGTTCATGAACTTCTGAGAATATTTTTGGCTTAAAGCCTTAGCATGGTGCTGAATGCTCGCTGTCTTGAACTGTTGATCGAGTGGGATCTTCTCAAGCTTCATGTGGTGAACGCCAGCAGCGGCAGAGCCGAGCAGCGCAGAGGCTGCAACAAGAGGCGAGGTCTTCATGTTTGCTCAACTCTTTGGTGATGAATAGAGAAGGAATGCAAGATGAACGATGAGTTGTAAAATGAAAGAGTTGACACGAAGGATCGAAGGAAACGATCACACGAGTTTATGGCGGTTGCCTTGCTGGTCATGCGCGGATCGGCGAAGAAGCTCCCCAGCCGTCGATGATGCGTCAGACGAAGGAAGGTGGCCACGCTTGTTCCTGCTGCAAGTGGCTGAAGGCACTAGTTGCCACGACACCAGCTCCGAGTAGCCAGTTAGACATCCAGCTCAAGGCACTTACGTTTTCAGCTAAACCACCTTGGGATAGTCCCAGATCTTCCCACCACCGAGGTTCTGCAAGGTACCACAATACGAGTGATTATCACCACCTTTACAATCAGAAAGTAACCACAGGAACAAGTGCACGTTGGGACTGCCAGAGGCGTCCATGTGTCAGATGCTTCAATTGATCGGAATTCCTAGTGTTTGCTGTCTAATTGTCAAAGTTGCGGTGGCGCAGGTCTATCTCTAAATAAATATTGGTAAATGTTCGTTAATCATAGCTGGACATAAAGAGCTCACTACCTGCCTGATATAGGGCGAGGCAACCGCACCGCTTGCAACGAACAATGTTGCTGGGAAAGCGAGACTTCATATGAGGAGACGAGACCAGCTCAACCCTTTTTCTCATCCACAGCAAATCGCTATACACTCGCGCCTCTTCGTGATAGCTGATCGTGCAGATCGAACACATTGCAGCGTTCTGCCGTTTGTATCGGCGTTGTCCAGGTCTTTCGGACTGAGGGTCGCAAACAGAATATGGTGTTGGAAAGTTGCAGGTAATCCTCACCCGTAAACAGCTTCGACTTCGGCAGACGAGATCCCTTGAACGAGGTAACCACTGCCGCAGTTATTGTCGAATGGCTGATGCTTTGAACATCTTTTTGGGCCAAATACCAGTCGTCAATGTTATCTATCGAGACCAGGCGCGTCGAGATATATGTTCAAGTCGCACAACATTCATCGGTGAGTCTGGAGCATCTCTCGACGATGCGCTGTCAACGTTTAGTGAGCCGTTCCGCAGGCACGAGCCCAAGGTATGTTGCGAAGTCAATATTGGCTGCGTCGATATCAGCTCTTCTGGTTGTGTATGCGATGCTTTTCGTCTCGTTCTGCTATTACGTGTCATGACACGTTCCACCATACTTTTTGGCTGATTCGCAGTAGCAAGTCATGCCATGTCCAGATGGATTGAGAGTACAGCAGGGAATCTCTCCTGCCCACCACTGGCATTCTGGCCCCTCCACTGGTTGATAAACCACTTCGATGATCGAGTTATCTCTGATCTCCAATTTCTGGCGATCGTCATTCAGACTGTGGTTTGTATCCGGGTGCGAGGGTATCTGGGTTTGACGCTGAGGCTGGCTCGTGCTACTGACGTCTGAGACCATTGTTGCATCTATCGATGGCACAGCGTCGAGGTGTATGGTCGAGTCTGACCTAGGAATGGCGACCGGAGCTGCGAAGATATGTGGTCCCAGGGAAACGAGAATACCAACAATGGCTGTCGCTTTCATTGTGCTGCTGGACTGTGCCGACGATATATGCAGAGCCTAGTCCTTATGGTTCAGGATAATGTCCGGAGTGTATTGGGAAGAAACAGACAGCTAAGTCCTGCTAACGAATGAAGGTCGAGGCGATCAGCGCAAACACGAGAAGAGAACCTTCTACCTGAGTTCTAGGAGCCCTTAAGGATGTATATGTGCGAATCACAGAGTCCAGCAGCGCAATCCATCCAGCTGCCATGTTACCCTCCTTGGAAGTGACAAACATTGAGGACCGCGAGGTCTATCCACACCGTCGGGCGGAAAAGACAACATGACCAGTATATGGTCTGTCGGCATTGAAACGTGCGTCTGCACCGCAAGAACATTGTACCTTGATCTGGGTGGATGTTATCTGACACAAACCCTTGGTATTCACTAACGCACACCATGCTTTAAATTTAGCATGGCTATTGTCCAGCCTCGAGCTCAATTATTGGACTCGGAAGTCTGCAATTGGTTCATCCCATTTACGTTAACATACAAATTATAAGTCGTTGAAGTGCAAACCATGCCATTGTTGAATGCTGTATATCATGTTTGTCTAATTACCCTGGCCGGCCAGCCAACCAAGATGAGGTAGCGGCTCCACTTGGCCGTCCGCCGATTATACATGTCTGTACGTTGCTGGTAAAATGTCTCGCATTCTGACACTTTTGTATCACTACGGTTCGGAACAAGTCTACACCGCCGTCAACAACCACGTCACGTACTGCATAACGTTCGTTGTAGCCAAGGGTTTGTGTTCAAGATCTGGACAATGTACCTTGTCGACGAAGTTCGGAGTTCCGCTGGAGTGGGTACAGTATCAACACCCATGTGTTTCTACCCTCAGTGCCTGATAACAAGCTATGACTGCACACGCGGCGAAGCGAAGATTTGGTGGAACGTCAAGACACCGTTTGGACTGTTGACGCCTTGTCGGGTACCTCAATGTCTGATAATAGCCCGGTCGATGCGGGTCGATCCTGGTTGATCTTATTCCTTACTAGCTACGATGTGCCGAACTTAATTGAATATACTTCCTGGCGGCAGATTTGTAATGTTTCGTTAGCTTTCGTTGTTAATGACAAGTTCGCCAAGTCGTTCCTGCAGTGCTACATTATACTCGAGAAGACAGATATCTTTTAAGATATTGTAATGCAAGATCTTCAGCGAGGTCTGAGATTGGATGGGTTCCTGAATGAATCGTCATTGTCCGACGCAATCCCAGTCACGCCTAGCTCATGCGATAAAGGTGTCCAGCTCGGAGAACAATTGATCCCAGTCAGGCATAGCTGGCATGCCGTCTTCAAAGATAGCATCTTGTTGCCAGACATCTTCGAAACCAAGCAATGTTGTCTGAGTCGGATTTGACACCCCTGCCGCCGTTATCGCTGGTACTTGGCCACTGATAGCTGAAAGCCAGGTCGGACCAGTAGCTGTACGAGAATTACCTTCATACTGCGTGGCTACAAGACTTGTCGCATCCTCCCTGAAACGAACCTGGTGCTTTCGGAGCGCTTCGGTCAGAGAATCGAGGAATCTATGTACATGGGCTGATTCGTCCTTGGCATCCTCGAGCATCTCGATTGCAGCTGAGACGCCCTGTTTTCGGGGATCTTCCTCTCTATACATACGATTGAAGCACAAGTCCATGGCCAAGACGACCGTAGCTAGGAAAAGGTGATGCATGAGGCCTCGCACCTTGACCTTCACTGGTATGTAATGAGTAGGATCAGCTCGAATCGCTTTGCTGATTTCTATCACCTTGACAGCTGAGCTAATGCACATGTTTTCTGATTGCGAATATTGCTCTCTTGCATTACTTCTCATGAGGAATGGTTGGTGAATTTTGCACCTCACGCTATACACTCCGAGATTGATGATGTACCTTTGCATAGCGAAGAAGGGATATCGGTCCAGCACGTTCTGACTCTTCTTTACACTCTCTTCGTCGAGCTTGAGAAATATGGGTAGGTCTTCTATGAAGTTTTGAATTCGTCGGTCAAGCTGCATGATCTGAGCGTAATCGTGTTCGGTAGGATCTGCGAGACCAAAACGCAGGGTGTCGATTGCCGTCCTGCTGAGCTCTGCAAGACGGACGCGGTGAAGTGGATAGTTCATAACAGTTGGCTGGGTCAAAGGCAAATCTTCTGTGGCGTTACCTCTATCAAGCACTTCATCGTCAATGTTGCGAGGCAGACGTACTCGCATCTGCTGAGGATGAGCCGAATAGATGCCTTCTTGCGGACCTCCAGCCAGGCTGATCATCCAATCAGTTGCTACAAGGTGCCACCATATTCTTCTCTTCATTTCCGTCTCTATCAACGACTTCACTGATGTCGAACTTTCGCGCCGTCTTGTTGAGGAAGGGCAGTCAATTTTGTGCATTGACAGTTCTTGAGCGGTCAGCAAGGCTTGAGCAAGGAGTGCTCGTGCGCGCGACGTAAAGCCTTCGAGATTGTACTCGATGAAAACAATGATAATAGCAGTTTGCACAATCTCCACCGAGCCTGAAAGGACCCTTCGCGAATACTCAAGGAGGTCTAGAGCAGATCTGAAGAGAATCAAGAATGTAATGTCTCTGTTGGAAGCGAATTGGAACGGGGAAGAATCGGGTTCGCTCCATTTCGAATAGCCTAATACAGTCGCCAAAACACTTAGAACAAGCGCAGCGTGGTCGGTGTTAACTGCCTTTCCTTGTGATATATCGAGGTAGAATTTTTCCATTGTACGGAGAAAAGTTGGCAGGTGGATGATTTGATGAAAATGGCAGATATACTTGGCGTACTGATCGAAGAGGCAGCGAGCATCGCTATAGACGGGGACGAGCATCTTCCTTCTACGTTTCAGAGGGCCGTCCGAGTGTTCAATCAGCGTGCTTTCCAATTGCTCGATGTCGGTCATGGCAACTGTTTCAAAGATATAGGAAGTTGACATGGCAGGTAAATGTCTCGGTCCCTCGGTTCCAATATTCGTCAACTGCTGAGATTCTAGCTGGTGTGAGGCTTCTGTAGGGGTCAAGGGAGGTACTATCTCATGTTCGTGGTGCCTGATGGATAGCGAATCTGGTGTGGAAGGAGCGGCCTGGTTCATACGCAGGATCATCTCTTCCAGTCGTGTTAGACGAGAGAGAATGGCGGCATTCGAGGGTTCGACATCGTGCTGGATGCGAGCCATGGTTATGGTTTGGTTCGACTCGAATTCGCAGACAGCGCTGCGTGCTACACAGTTCGTACATGGATCCGTTCGAGAGCATTTGAGCTTCTTGATTCTGCAGAGCCGGCAAGACACTGGATCTTGCCTCTTGCGCGGCATCTTGGCTGCTTTCAAGGACGGAGAGGTTGACATAGTTACTAGCTGTCGGCAGACTACCCAGGAAGGCTTGGAGGCACGAACGACCACAAAAGCACTTCTATAGAAACGTGAGCTACACCCGATCTCTTTCCCGGCATTTCCGCGGACGGTCCGGGGGTGTTAGTGTCAAAAGAACATCTGCAGCTGGATGAGAATGGCCTGAAAACTGTTTTCAGGACCCCAAAATCCAATAGTATATGAGGTCTGAGAGCAAGAAGGTGCTTCTGAAGACTCTAGATGAATTTTAGTATCGTTGAGGACATCGTCGATCGGGAGTAAGCTGTTGAAGAGACCTACAATGACGACCTGTAAGCGCATAAAACGAGCAACAGCTTGACGATCATTGTATCGAATAGGTAGAATACACCCAATCGCTTTGTCAGAAGACCTTGGTAGGATATGGTCGGTATTCGTTATTGGTGATTCGAATATGCTCGGTGAGGTTGTGGGGAAGGGATTGTACGCGAGTCGCGACTTCCAGACTCATTTTCACCTCGTGTCGTATCCTGCGGAACTCTGCGAAGGAGCTTCCCTGCTATACTTCGTGCATAGCTGCTCCCAAAGCTGTTCAGCTACACGATATTGACGCAGAATGAGAAATGACATTATTGACGTCCTGACGACCAACCTTGTGAACTCGGCCACCGGAAGTTTGTACGCCGTGAACGCGAGCACTGTACGAGACTGATCTTGTGCACTGGAAACATATATATTGATAGAGGACTGGACTAAACACTTCTCTAGCTTGCTGACATTAAACAGCTCGTCCTAAAGCTAGACATGACAAACTGGATACTAGGCGAGAAGTTCCACGAAACTTATCCTCACCTCAGTGGGGTGCAAGCGTTATGGCAGACGAAATGGCGGTTTCCAGTAAGTAGCATACCGTTCTGGATTGATTCATTATCTAATAAGTTAAGTGTTCGAAAAGCGTATATCCGTTTCACCACGGCAAATATGAAGATTTCGAGCCTATCTTCCAGAAACTGATCGAGGATGATGTGAACGATGCCTACAGCGACAAATACACCGAGTATTTCCTGCCTACAGCACGAAGATTGGTGGACGAGGCAATGTCATGTCAGTCTTCGGATCGGAAACGAGCTATTGAGCTGTATGAACGTGCAGCATGCGTGTTCCGCATATCCAGGTTTCCATCTGTGGATGGAGACGAGACTGGCTTCAAGAGACAGATATTCAATGAGCAGGTACAGGTATACTTAAGAGGTGCAAGTCTATGGGATGCGCCTCTCAAACAGATCATCGTTCCTCATACTGCTGCAGCGGGCAGCGATGGTAAGGAGATACCTGTGTTTGTTAGAATCCCCAGTGCAGCAAGTGCTAGCAAGAAGTGTCCTGTTGTCCTACTCATGACGGGCTTGGATGGGCATAGACCAGACAATACAGGTGTAAGTGTTTAAGTATCCTCTCGAATGTGTCCAAGAACTAAGCTTTGCACAGAGGTCCGACGAGTTTCTCAGGCGTGGCTGGGCATCTGTAATAGTTGAAATTCCTGGCACGGCCGATTGCCCGAGCGATAGACGAGATCCCAAGTCCCCAGACCGCCTATGGACATCCGTGCTTGACTGGATCGCAGATCAACCTCAATTCGATGCTTCTCGAGTCCTTGTTTGGGGTCTATCAGCTGGAGGCTACTACGCAATCAGGGCTGCCCACACTCATCACGATCGCCTGATAGGGTCAATCGGTCAAGGCGCTGGTGTACACCTCTTCCTCAGCAAGGAGTGGCTCAGTCGTGTCGACTACCACGAATATCCTTTTACTCTATCGCATGCTTATGTAAAGAAGTATGGATACAAAGACTGGGATGAACTCCTCGAGAAAGCTCAGGATGACTTCAGCCTGGTCAAGAGTGGCCTGCTCGATTCTTCTTGCTGCCGGTTACTCCTCGTCAACGGTACGTGGGACGGCCTCATGCCGATTGTTAGTATCCTCTACGACTGTATCAATACATATCCGCTAACCTTACTAGGAGGACAGTATGCTGCTCATGAACTATGGCAGGCCGAAGGAGGCCAGGTTTTACGAGAAGATGCTGCACATGGGCTACCCACCAGCCAATGGTTCGATCTATCCATGGATGGAAGAGGTGATGGCAAGCAAGGCATAGATTGGTCGGAGTTAGCATTAACTCCACGGTTTCGGAAGAACTGTGGGTGTGCAAACATATACAATACTGTTTCAAAATATAACACCAGATCTCCAGTATCATTCAATGCTATATGCTACTCACCACCTCTTCCTCTAGCTCCGCCCTCTCTTGCACCGTCGATAACCCTCTCATCGAACCCGTCAAAAGTGGCCTCCTTTCATCAGGCGCCACATGCATACTACTCCTGCTTGGTCTCCTGCTCGCAACTCTAACGCTTCTCACACTTCTCCGCTCATCCTCATCTGCATGCTGCTGCCTCACCACCCTCCCTGCCATATCCACATACATAACCAGACTTATCCCCACGATAAGCCCAATACCCGCCAGCCACAGATTCATTGGACCCGGGTCTTCCTGAAACTGAGAATGCACGATCGCCTGCAGTGCCGACTGGCAGAAGATAGCTACCCCTGAGCAGCAGATGATCGTGCCGTAGACTGTGCCGAACGTGGCGAAGCCGAATACTTTTGCGGCGTAGTCGGACATGGCGCTGTAGTAGAGTGGTCTGAAGACGACGAAGAGACAAATGTTTGTGTATGCTGCTCCAAGGGTTGGCATGGCGCCTAGGACGCCGATGACGGTGCTCATGAGAACGATTAGTGCGAGGACGACGACGGTGCTGACATTGTCGAGGATCAGGCCGATGAATGGTACGGTGATGATACCGCCGAGTGGCAGGGCGATGTCGAAGAAGTTGTTGACTTGTGTTGCTAACGCTTTACTCTGAAGCATGTAGTCATATTGGGTGAAGATTGTGGCGATGAAGAAATTGAATCGTGCCATCTGTAGAACGGTTAACAATGTGATGAAGATGAACCAGGGTGTCTGCATTTGCTTCCAGGCTGGAATGCCGTGGAGCGCACCCCAGACACCTGAAGCCTCCTTCTTCTCTTCTTCCTTCTTTTCGTGGACTTCCCGCTCGGCTGGGGTACCGAGAAGTGATCTGATTTCAGCCAAGGACTGTCTGCGACGCACAGAGCGGTTGCCACGTAACTTCCAAAGCTCGGCTTCGTCCTGAATCTCGTCATCGGAATCATGAACATCGGTAGTCGGATCTGCTGCCACTTCTTCCTCTGCCTCAAGCTCAGTTCTGGTCTCATAGCTCCGCGAAGGCATCAGAAAGAGCTGAGTCAAGACAACGAAAATTGGTACTATGAGGTAGATGAGGAAGAAGGTACGTAAACCAAAAACACCTTCTGTTGCTTCATACAGGATTCGAAACCCCAGGAAGACAGCAGCAGAGGCATCGAAAGAGCCTGTTATTAGTGCTAAGATCAGACCCTGGTAGCGAGGGAACGCGTTCGATAGATGGAAGGACGGAACGAAGCTGAATGTACCGCCAAGCGCAAGAAAGAAACTGCTGGCAATGAATGCATCAAAGGGCAGACTGGTGGCGAAGGCCATGAAAAGGGTACCGATGACAAGAAGTCCACTGCTAATTAAACCACATACTCGAGGGCCGAAACGATCGAGGGTAGTGCCGACGAGTAGAGCTCCCATATTTGTAGTTACGGAAGCAACGATAAAGGTGAGGTTGAGCCTTTGGTCCTGCAAATAGCATATTGGTACCCCTTTACTAAGCTCCTGCTGGGTGCATAATTCTCTATACACTTCTTCATTGACCAGTACAGACTTCAATGCTGCATACCCGAATGTGATACCCGAGGCCAGGATGCAAGTGATGCATCCGACAAAGACCTGTGCAAGCCTTCTGGTGGTGGATACTTCGTAGGCAGGAGCGCTGTCGAGGACCTCCGGAACGTGTTCCAAAGCCGTATGTCTGGGTAGAAGATCGTAGCTGATCTTATGGCTAAGGCTTTTGGTCAAGATCAGGCTTGCAACATCAAGGTCTTCGTCTCGCTCCCGATCCACACCTTCCACACTCGTCAAATGCTGGACCAAGGACATGTCGGATCTCCAATTGTGATATTCAGCTCATATATACTGAAGGTTGAGACGATGTAGTGCCAAAGTACTGACGGCGATGTCCTCACACAGCCATATTGGGCAAAAGAACTTAGTCAGCCACAGAAGACAATGAAAAGAGATACCTTGTCCTGCCAACAGATGGCAACGTCAACAGTCGAAGATACTCGAGAGGAATTCTCGAGTACAAATTTTACCTATCATGCGGAGAAAGAAACTGAAGCGCGCTTGCCATCGTGATCAGATTATGCGACGATAGCGAGCAGTGGGGCCTTCCGCTCGTGCAAATTCAGGCATGTGGTTAACCGAGAGTTCCAAGAGACCGTACAATCACCACTGGTGACGAGCACAACAAAGGCATTGCTCCTGATGGTGTGCACCTCGGATCTCTGAATGGTGGTCAGTATATGGCAGACTCTCAATGGTCGTCTGATCTCCTCTCTATCTCAAGGTTGACGTGAAGGTTTTGGATTTGCTGCGGCGAGATGAACAAATTGCAACAGCCACTTGAAGTTATCGGCCCGCTACGGTGCCAGATCCGACACAATTCCGAGATTACTTTGAGATAACAATCAGCTGACCACAACAGAGTCATTGATAAAAGGCCCATTCATGCTCTTCATTCTTTCCAGAACGACAGGAACATATGCACGAGCGTCGATACACTTGTTCACGACTTCACATCTCGATCAGCGAATATTTAAGTGATACCCAGACGATTTGATGGCTCATACCAAATTGTGTAGAGCTACTGGAATCTTATTCCGACCTTATGAACAAAATTGTTTGTTTAGTGATTCGAAGCACTGAGTTATCGATTCTCTTCTTGTCGAATTGATACGCTAAAATCTGTTATCAAGCCGACATACATGTCATGTGTATACGTGCTTGCCTAACAGGACCAACGAAACAAGGAGGACCTAGTAGGCATGTTCCAGCAGTCGATCGAACTCAGAATCGTCTCTTTCTCTGCCACCACATCGATGCAGGGTCAGAGGATCTGTCTCTCCTGACTCTCTAGCTGACTGCAAAACCTTCAACGCAAGCGCTCTCTCTTCCTGGTCCTCTGGCGTGAAGTAATTCCACCACCCAACATGTCCAAGTCAGTAGCTATCCGAGCGTGTATCTGATGAAGTTTCTTCTCGACTAAAGCAAAATGGCAAAAGCAATAGCTCCTGCACCCGCTCCCAGTCCGGCTTTAATCCAGTTTGGCCTGGTGTCCGCCGCAGCACCAGTAGAACCAGCACTTGCCGTCGCACTAGCTGCGCCTGACCCAGCAGCAGTGGAAGCCATATTCGTCGACGCAGTTGCCGAGCTCGAGACGGCGCTGGCACTGCTAACTCCTGAGCTGATCACCGCACTCGCACTTGACGTTGCGCTGCTCAATGCACTGCTGATACTACTCTGTATGCTGGCGACCGAACTCGTTGCATCCGTCTGTGTCGCTTCTGTCAACAATGACAGTTCCGAGCTGGCGGAGCTTGCTGCTTGCACGGCTGAAGAAGTGATGCTCGCGGCTGCGGAGTTGGCCGAAGAGATGATGGAGCTGGCGACTGTCTGGATCGAGAGGACAGAAGAGGCGCCGCTGTTGGCGGTGCCGACACCAGTGACAATGGAGCTGATTTCTTGACTGGAGGCGAGAGCGATCAAGCCAAGGAATACTGGGGAGCTTATGGTCTTCATAGTTGTGGTGGAAGTATGACCTTTAAACAACAATCAAACAATGTTTCAGCGAAGGAAAACGAGATCGTGATCGGTAAATACGTATGTACAAAGTATAAGAGATTGGTGTTCAGGAAATGTTGTTCTTTTGATGAGGATACCCTTTAGATGTTATTAACTATGCGAATGGCTGTGCCCTCGGGTTGACTGGGGGGCTGAGCTCTTACTTCCATCTGCACAGCTCATGAATGTACCACGTCACCCGTTCGAAAGGCGGACTATTCAGATCAGCTTGAGAGGCGGACTGTCTTGGCATAGATCATCAAGACTTTCTCGCGGCACGAGTTGCCCGACTGAGTGGTGCGGCCCGTGAACAAACATGGGGAAGAGCATTTCAATCTTCTCCTCTTCCCCCTCTGCTCGAATGGTTCCTCATGAAACTCGACGATCGAGCTGTTGCACATCCGCTGTTCATGCGCCGTGTTCGCAAGCTCGTGTGCTACTTTCTTGATTGACACGAACACGTCATGGTCACGGCTGGCTTGAGTACTTTCACATTCTCATCATCTTTGAGAGTATGGGTTATGCTCAACCTCTCTGCATCAACACTGATGGAGTACTGTATTGAGGCTTTCAGACGACAACGAATAGACCCTTCTATCACCGTACCTCGACGTAAACCACACGCGCCCGTCTACTGTACGAGTTCGGCAGTGTTGCACCAGTCATCAGCTTTCCAGCAAATGGTTTGTTATTGTTTTCTATTTCATATTAAGTGCTCTGTCGCTGACACTTGGTTCCTCAGCAAAACGCTGCTGTATCGCTGCACTTCCTGATAGTCTTTGAGGTTGGCTGACCCACAGTAGTAGACACTTAGCTGATCAGAGCGTTCCGTCTCCTCTTTCGCCGCTCTTCCCGACGCGCTTTGACCCGTCTTGCAATACGATTGGCATCCACTGCCCTCGCTCTCACTCGCCCTGCTTGACGCCTCTTGTAGCGCTCGACCAATAACGATCCCAGCCTCAATGCTTGCCGGAAGTCACCTATCTCATAGTTGACCAACCTGTCCTGCATAGTTCTCAAGTACGTGCATGCCCTGGATGTCGAGTCTGGAGAAAAGACAGCATCCAAGTCATCCTCGTACTGCAACAGTATGGAGTAGTAGTCAACCACCGGCTCACGACTCATGACAAGTCTCTCGACCGATCGGGCTAACTGCTCGATTTGAGGTTCACCACTAGGGATGTTCGCAAATTCGATCTGTTGACATCTAAGCTGTGAGAAGGCTTTGAGACACACTTCGAACACCGGCAGTTCCATGGTGCGGTTGAAGTCCACCCAACGGTTAGGACACTGGAACATTATCTTGATCGACGTGTTAGGCAGTGTTTGACGAGCCATTAACACAAAGTCCCATATCGTTCCAGGAGAGAAGTTGTCCGTGGGTCCGGCAATCAATAGCTCAATAGCTCTGAATCTGGAAATCGTCGACCACGTTCTCGGACGAGGTATGGCGGCGGGCACTTGGTTGTGGTGCTCGGAATACCATGTCGGTCGTATGTACACTTCGCCCAGGATCACGAACGCTCCGTCATGGTCAATATAAGGCAAGTGGCCTGGGGCTTTGTTCTTCCATCTGCGATGACCCATCCAATTTCCTGGTTGCAAGATCATCGTTGGAGTGTTGTCTTTGTACAGGACCTCTGTACCTTTGTGGTACAGGTCCCGACATGTATAGAGAATTGCGGCTGTGAGATCATAGTTCGAAGAAGGCATGGCTTCGAGTGCTCCCCTTGATAGAAGCTGCTTCAAAATCAGCACCTCGAGCTCGTCAGGGAGCGACAAGAGTCTGCTGTCTGGTTGGTCGGAATTGGAGTGAGGACGGACTTGAAGGGACATCTTAGGTAAGTTGCTTTGATCAGTCAGGTGCGCTAGGTTTGCTCTCGCTGTTGCTGCTGCTGCTGCTGCTGCTGCTGATTTTGGTTGCAAATTGACTAAGTACTCGGGTTGAAGACATTTTGATCAGCTATCTGTGTCATGCGGTGCAGCCTCGAGCCACTGACTTCAAGATATCACCATCACGTTTGACGTGAACAAAAAAAGCACATTATCGCGTCTTGTGACACGCTTCGTCACTTTTGTGAAAGTGAAGTTCCCACCAAACTGTTGTCCTAGGCCACCACATCTCGAGCTCGGAGGTCGTGCAGATGGCTATGTCTTGACTCTCAGCGCTGGAGAGAGTGATTGAGGATCATGCACTTGTTCCTTGTCCTGAATTGTCCAACGTGTTGTACTGTAAGTGGTGAGCAGCGTTATCGCATACCTAAGGGCAACTCGAGGACTATAGATGTATGTATATATACTTTTACTCTTGCGGACCGATCACGACACTGACGCCCACCGGAGGGTTTGGCACCTAGCTATTTGTCTTAAGAGTTCAGTGCCTGGCCCAGAGGTAGGTCAGGTGTCAACAAAAACATAAACAGATTGGCACACACATACAAACAAAAGCAGGAAAGGTCAACGTCTAGAGAGTACATGGTCAGTATAGGTAGAATGAGAGCAACTGTCGTTGGGGGTAGCAAGCAAATAATCAAGAAGCCCAAACACAAATCGAATTCAATGAGAAGGAGCATGTTTGCTGGTAGTCTAACCAAGTGCCAAGCATGTTGCACATCGAAACGTGAAACCGCAACAACTCTCCTATCTCCAGTTCAACGTGGCAAGACAGAGGTAAATCAAAGCGCAAGTTTTCGTGAACAATCTTAGTACAAGGTACCGTTCCAGTCCAGCAATCTTGCATATTTAGCAGGAGTTCCTTCTCTTTCATTGCCAACTTGCCTCCCTAGTTGTGTTCATTCGACTCTCCACCAGCCACTTCAATCGCCAATCATTCTACGTCCATTTGATTCTCCTTGTCCTCCTCCTCCTCCTGAACGAGAACGAGGTCCTGATTCGCGACATTGACACTTCTGGCAGCGACTTCTAGATTGATCGCTACCGACCACATACCTCTTCCTTCGACTCTGCCGGTATAACCTTTGTACCTCCCCTTCCGGACGCGCACGTAGGCACCTAAGTTGAAGTGGTGAAATATAGCATGTTTTGAGTCTTGCCGATTGTTGTTTCCGCCAGAGACGCAGAGCTGTTGTTCTGATTTCTGGGTGGAAGTGCGGTTCATGACGTCTGGAAACACTTCTCTTTGAGGTTCGTAGTAATCTGGTCTTCGAGCAGGCCCACTGGTCTCACGTGCTTGAGCTGCCAATAGGGCTGGCTTTGACATGGTGTGCTGGTCTGCCTCTCTGTAATCCTGAGGCGACACGCTGCAGCTTCTGTTAATGCTGGCTAGCCCTGCTTTGCTAAGGCTGTGCCTGAGCTGCTCGATCAAGGCAGCAGACTCTGCTTGAACACGTGCCTCTCGCATACGGCGGTTACGATCCCAGAACTGTTGCGTCATGGCTTGAGTAGCATGCTCGTCCAAGCTTGATGGCATCACAACAGACTCAGCGGAAACATCACAACGTGTAGAGGTTCTCGCGTCAGGGATGGTGGCGGCGACATTTTCGCGATCGGCCCAAGCTTGTTCAAGCTCGATATCTTCAAGTGCCTTTGTAAGATCATCCATGTCAAGGTTATTAGGGGTTGTGTCCGTCGTTGTGGTGTCTGCGAAGATTGAATTCATGCCTGCGATCCTTTTCTTAAACAGTTGAAACTTCGATTTTCTTGTGTAGTGGAATGTTGATCTGTTTCAATTGTTCATGAGTGGTGCCCAATTATGGCTGTATACGCGCAGGCCTGATTGAAAGTGACATACGAACATTAAATGCACAGATGTGACTCCGTCCGAGGTGTTGACTTGACAAACGACCCTACATTAGTGACACCTAGACCACTCGCGTTCCGGTAAGTAAAAGTATAGGAGACACGCCCGCAGGTTTGTTGTGGTAGCCCCGACATTTTCATTGACCAGGACGTGCCGCTGTAGCCTTCCATCACATAGAGCGAAAGGTGTAAGAGCGACCACACGTAGAAGGGAAATTAGTGACAACAGTCATTCGATCTGAGTGAAGGTGGGGTCAACTTTCGACTAGTATTTGCTGAAAGGAGGCAAGATCAAGTTGTCGTTCTCTTTGTGGGACCTGAGATACCAACGACAGAGCCAATAACAACTGCTTAGAGCTATTCCAGACGGAAGAACCCGGAAAAGGGACCAGAGAATATATATGCAGGCTGCGCAGCAATCCTCAGCTGTTGACAAAAGCCCATACTACATACTTTGGGGCTGTAAGATCTTCTGTCGCATCAGACGACGCTGTTCTCGGCGTGTTGTCGTAGATTTGACGATTAGTGCACAACACGCAAGCTTGCCAATTGTGAGAAACGCGACTGTAGCAGCCATATGGGAAGAAAAGGACAATGCTGTAAAAGTCGTCGATATAGTAAGAGTGACTTTTCGGCTTATTTGGCCATACGTATATTGCTAATTCCCCTTAGAAGACATCACACCTCAAGATCTTGACCTCCTGTACTGGTCGGTCCTGTGCACCAGTTCGGACAGCGCCAAGAGCATCAACAACATCAAGGCCATCAGCTACTTGTCCGAAGACAGTATGCTTGCCGTCAAGATGTGGAGTTGCTGCCAAGCAGATGAAGAATTGTGAGCCATTAGTATTTGGTCCCGAGTTTGCCATGCTGAGAATGCCCTTGCCAGTGTGTCTGAGCTCAGACACGAACTCGTCCTCGAATTTGCCGCCAAAAATAGAACGACCACCACGGCCGGTGCCGTCTGGATCACCTCCTTGAATCATAAAGCCTGGGATAATACGGTGGAAGATGACACCATCGTATTTGCCTGTTGCTGCTAAGGTTGCGAAGTTCTTGCATGTCTATAGATTGTGCGTTAGTACAGAGATTTAATTGAGCAAAGGCAGTCGCAGACTGATATCATACTTTTGGAGTTTGCTGTGAGAACAAAGCAATAGTGATATCGCCGAGGGTAGTGTGCATGACAACACCTTGTGCATTGTCGGCATACTCTGCTCCAGTCGATGGTGCATTGTTGTCCGGGAAGGAACTGTCGGTTGGTAGCTGCTGACCACCAGAATAACCTTGTTGGCCGCCTGCATAACCCTGTTGACCACCAGAGTAACCTGGTTGGTTGCTAGAAGAGATTGGCTGCTGGCTAGAAGGAGTTGAATAACTGCCATGTGAAGCTGCCTGGTTGTCGTAAGAGGCTGGCTGGTTGCTTGATGCAACTCTTTGATTGTCGTGGGAACTTGCAATTCCAGTACTAGCAGACGACGCATTGGTGCTAGAGTGAGTATCCTCCTTGTCGTGCTTGAACAAAGACTTGAGCTTATTCATCGTTGCGGTTGGAGATTGCAGTCAGTAAGTTCTCACAGATTACTGCAAAGTTTGAAAGATCGGCAATGATCAATATGTATTTATACTGCCAGTAAGGTCGGAGAACTGGTGCTCTTCCATAATAACCTGAATTGTCCATTGATGCTCTCATCGCGAACGTCATCTGCCAAAATACAGTCTGTTGGTGGGGAAAGACTATATGCCTCAGGCAGCCAAACAGTGAGTGAGCCCTGTCATTGGTGGAGATCTGCACCGGTTGAGGGTCGCGAACCAGAATCTGGTCAAAACCAATTGACTCCTTTCAAGTAGGCATGGTACAAAGGTCAGCACTTTCTATGTCAATCGACGGTACCAGGTGTAGTAAAGAGGATGGATGTCTTCCAATGGTTGGTGACGCAGAGTGCGAATGAAGACATCTCTGTGTTATTTTGCTGGCCGTCCCCGTTTACTGTGATACTTGCTTCGGTCTCCTTGTCGCTGTGCAGCCACGTAGCTCTTGAAACTAACCTTGGCGCTAGAAACCATGATGTGTGCACTCCTCCTCTGCGTTATCTACTAATCAAGCAGTTCGTTGGCTGGCTAATTAAACAGCAACATACAAGCTCAATAACCATCTAAGTCAGGCCTGCAGGCATCAACACCCCTTGGCATCCACGTGTGAGCACCGCTAGCGTCCGCCCGCACTGAGAAATTGTTTGGTGGTACTGCGGGTACTACGCAGACCTGAGTCACTGCCTTGTGTGCCGGCTTTGACATCTCTCAATTCTTGAGATCAACCATTGTCGTTGCACATCTAAACCCGAACACCGACCAAGAGACGAATCCGAGAACATGCGTCCGATCTTACTCCAAGGCCACGAACGGTCACTGAATCAAATCGCTTACAACCACGAAGGCGACCTGCTTTTCTCGGTGGCCAAGGACAAAGTAGTTTGCGCTTGGTACACCAGCAATGGAGAACGCTTAGGCACATATACAGGCCACCAGGGCGCCGTATGGACTGTTGATGTCTCTCCTAGAACGCAGTTATTGGCCACAGGAGCCGCCGACAACACGATCAAGCTGTGGGACATACGGAGTGGTCAATGTGTGAAGACATGGGAGAACCCAACTGCGATTAAGCGGGTCAAGTTCAGCGAGGACGGAAGTCGGCTACTTGCTGTAACAGAAAAGCGAATGGGCTACCTGGGAACAATTGTCGTCTACTCGATCAATTACGACGATTTGACACAACAGACCGACGAGCAGGATCTGAAGATCACTTGTGAGGACAGCAAGGCTACCGTCGCTGGCTGGTCTTACCTGGACAAGTACATCATTGCTGCTCACGAAGACGGCAGCGTCTCGCAGTACGATTCAAAGGTACGTCAAATCAACCTTGTAGCAACTCTTCTCCACGTTTCGTTTGATACTAATTGCTCTTGCAGTCTGGCGACCTTGTTAAGAACGCAGAAGTACACGAATACGATACTCAGATCAACGATATCCAGTTCTCCAGCGACCGAACCTACTTCATCACGGCTGGCAAGGACAAGTCAGCCAAGATCGTCAGTGCACGAGACCTCGAGATCCTCAAGACCTACGTCGCAGACACCCCTCTAAACACGGCAGCAATTACACCCAAGAAAGACTTCGTGATCCTAGGTGGAGGCCAAGCAGCTATGGATGTCACCACCACAAGCGCAAGACAAGGTAAATTTGAAGCACGCTTCTACCACAAGATCTTCGAGGACGAGATCGGAAGAGTAAGAGGTCACTTTGGTCCGTTGAACACAATTGCTGTCCACCCACAAGGTACTGGCTATGCTAGTGGTGGTGAAGACGGCTATGTAAGAATGCATGCCTTCGACAAGGCCTACTTCGACTTCATGTACGAGGTGGAGCGTGAGGCAGCAAGGAAATGAGACCACTAAGACATTCTACCATCCTTAACGGATACTTACAACAAGAACTCACACCACGGTATGGTCCAACACGACAACCCACCAGTCCAGCCTCAATAATGCTGCCTCAGTACGGATTATTCTATGCTAGTGCTGGCCGAAATGCAGAGGGTACATTCTTGACAGTAAGCACTTGCAGCACCGGGCGCAAGCCCAGAACTTCGAGAACGAATTCAGGTGCAGGACTGCCGCCGATCGCGCAGGCGAAGCTTGGCATTCGTCTATACTCATTTTGACTGGGAGAAGCAGGAGACAGGCGAAGTGAAAGTACTCTACAGCACCAGCTAACCACCAACACTGTGAAGCAGCACTGATGGGCCAAGGCACGTCCCTTTGACGATAGTCACGTTCCGTACAGCGGACGACGATAGACACTATTGTTGATTTCGTCGTCTTTATACCAGTTGCTCTGTGTTCGTCCTCTTCTGGCGTGAGAAGGGCGATGATGATTTTCTAGTCTAAGAAACATATTCATGTCCACAGCATGACTCATTTCCGAGAACCAGATCATTTACGAATCAAGCCTGGACTTTTTGTTGCCTTTTTAGTTGATTCAAGCGAATATGTTGCCTTATAATGCAGGGCGCCAGTCAGCTGACACGTTCTCCTCACCACCCACGCAGTGACTTTGTGATCTCGATGCCGGATCACTAAATCGTGGTCACCACAATTTCGCTAACATTATCTTCTAAACACTGCAGCTGGAAGAACCCGGACTTCTCTTACCACACCACGCAGTTTCGATCAGAGTCGATAACCCAATTTGACAACCTCATCAGCCTGATCCACGCTTCAGCCTAATGGCTACTCGCACCAGAAGTTGTCAACATGGTGGTAGTGGGAAGTACACACATCACAGACATGGCGACGCACGTATGGAAATGGTGGTTCTTGCAGCACGCTGCGCCATTCTGTTCTATGCACACCACAAAGCACAACAACGGGCTAGGGATGCTTCGATGTCCAGGAGCTCGTCCATTCGTCAGCGACATCGTCCCAGGTTACATCCTGAACTTGTGCGCGCGGACACGACGGAGCGAGGCCGGAGAGGACGTAATCGAGCGTTCGGACCGCGCCAAGAGTCCAGCACCTCTCCCGTAGAAGACTGGGCACAACATACGCGATCGCAAAGCTTTGAGAGGCAGACAAGACGAGACAGGTCCCCGCGTGGCTTACGCCCGACCATCGGTCATCCTCCATCTGTTCAACGGGCACGTGACTTGCAGCGACGCCGACGTGCCTTTCAACACAAGGAATGCTCTGTCTGTGGTGACAAGCCGGAAACACCAAATGAGATATACGCCCATCTCACCTCTTCTTGCCAATCATATCACAACTGGCAAGATGAGATAATTTGCACTGACTGTCTTCAGCACTACCTCGAATCTCGAATGTTTCCTTCCGATGACCCAAAAACCAAATATCGCTTCCCTTCCACCCGAATAACTTGTTGGGCTCCAAACTGCAACATAGAACTTACCACAAGTACACTACAAAAGCACACTCCCACAGCCCTATTTGCCATGTACACATCCGCTCTCGACGCGCAGTATCTTCGCGAAGATACATCAACACTTCAGTGTGCAACTCCTAGCTGTCCAGGAGCTTTCTGGTCCGAACCGGACGACAAGATCCCAACCACAATCATCTGCGAGCTGTGCGGACACGAAACCTGCACGGAATGTAAAGACCTCTACTACAAGCACAGAAACCAGCCTTGTCCTTCAATAGCAGCACAGCGCCGACGTACTAAAGACTCACGCCTGAAGCGTGAAGAAGAGCTCTCTGCAGCTTTCTTGGAGGAAGGAACGAGGTGCCCGAGGTGTAGCCTGCCATACCAGAAGATCGGCGGGTGTGACCACATTGTGTGTGGGAAGGATGCAGATGGGGTTGGGCCGAGTAGAGGGTGTGGACACGAGTTTTGTCATAGGTGCTTTGAGCCTTGGAGGAGGCATAGAGCTGGGTGTGCTTATAGTATCTTTTGAGTAGGTCAGCTAGGGAATCTTTGCAGTCGCAAACAATCACATAGCATAGTATTAAGATGACGCGGTGTCCGGTCAACCAGTAGCTCTTGGCACGAGTCCGCCCTGAAATTAATTAGTCATTGATTATTAGAACTTCCTCACGGGCAGTCTCATCGTATTTCCATCATTAACTACCCAGCTGAGCAACTTCAGTCATTCACTCAAATGACAAGCAACTGGGCCATGAAAACACTCTCAGCATTGATCAACATGTTGACGCTTTGATGGACAGACAGTTCGCATGACCGGAACCTTTTCCAGTCATGTATTTGACGTCACAAAAGGATTAAACGACAAGAAGAGTTTCCAGGACTTATGAAGTCTGGACAGCCAAGGGCATTGCCCTCGGTAGTTTGGATAATGTCGAGTATATCTAACGTAGGGTTGAACGCCGATTCAGGTAGGACGTGTCTTGTTGCTTTCGTTGCCCCATCGTAGACATTGTAGCATCTTTTCGGCTCTCAAACTCAAAATGGCAGGTGCGAATCAGAAAGGAATCGTCAACATTGACACAATCGACGGGCATCAGAAAGGTATTGGCAAATACTGAAGGACTTCTTGTGAGTGCTAATACAGGTGCGTAGAAGGACTGCCGAAGGAATTGAGGGACGAGCTTGACAAGCTAGAGAAGCAATTTACAGTAACCACTGAGAAGCTGAAGGAAATCACGAAGCGCTTTCAGGAGGAGCTCGAGGAAGGTGAGTCAGCGACCTTCTTCGCATGACTTCGGTGCATGCACACCCTACCAAAGAAAAAAACACGAGCCCTGCTAGGATATGTGTGCCACTGTCACGTTAATATACGATTGAGGACATACAGGAGCTGACCATCATCTTAATAGGTCTCAAAGAAAACGGCAAGAATATTGTGAGGTTCTCTGATCATTGTCAACGATACACGATGGCTGACGTGATTAGGCCATGTTCGTTACGTGGGTACTCGGCTTTCCCACAGGTGAAGAAAAAGGATCTTTTCTCACAGTCGATCTCGGCGGCACGAATCTTCGTGTCTGCTGGATTACGCTGAATGGCAAGACAAAAGACAAGGAACACGACATAGTCGTGAAGCAAGACTCGTACACAATGCCTGGTGAACTTAAAACAGGCAATGCATCGGATCTATGGTCATTCATTGCCCAATCTTTGCAGAAGTTCATTGAGAAAGAGAACCTTACTGCGACGCCCAATGAACCACTTCCTCTAGGCTTTACATTTTCCTACCCAGCTATCCAAGACTACATTGATCAAGGCGTGCTCCAAACCTGGACCAAAGGCTTTGATATCGAGAACGTCGAAGGCAACGACGTCGCATCTCAGCTACGATCCGCCATATCTGATCTCAACTTATCCATAGAGATCGTGGCAGTAATCAACGACACAACCGGCGCAATGATAGCATCCGCCTACAACGACCCCGACACGATAGTAGGAGCCATCTTCGGCACCGGATGCAACGCAGCCTACATGGACAAAATCAGCAACATCCCAAAACTAAAAGGCAAAGAACAGATCCAAAACCTGAGTCCCGATACCCCAATGGCCATCAACTGCGAGTACGGAGCCTTCGACAACGCCCGAAAAGTCCTGCCCATAACAAGATACGACGAAAACATCGACGCAGACTCTCCACGACCCGGAGAACAAGCCTTCGAAAAACTCTCAGCAGGCCTCTACCTCGGCGAGATCTTCCGCCTCATCATCCTCGACATGCACGATCGTAACCTCTTCCTCAAAGACCAAGACATCACCAAACTCAAAGAACCATACAGCATCGACACCGCCTTCCTCTCCAGCCTCGAAGACGATTCTACAGATAGCTTAACCCAATCCTCCGAGACCTTCAAATCAGACTTCAACCTCACCTTCACCGAGCCAGAACTAAACTTCAGCCGTCTCCTCGCGCACCTCATCGCCATCCGCGGCGCACGACTCTGCGCCTGTGGAGTCGCTGCGATATCTCGTATGACAAAAACTACGACTGGGCACGTCGCGGCAGACGGTAGCGTGGCGAACAAACACCCGCGGTTCAAGAAACGGTGGGGCCAGGCGTTGGGAGAGATACTGGACTGGAGTGGGGAGGACATCAACAAGGCTGTTGATGAGACCGGCGCACCGATTGTGATTACGAGTGCGGAGGATGGGAGTGGTGTGGGTGCGGCGGTGATTGCGGCTATGACGCTTGAGAGGTGGAGGAAGGGCCATGATGCGGGAATAAAAGGAGATGGATTTGAGAAAGTGAGTGGACGATGAGGACTGAGTTATGTTTCCCATATGTATGTTGAGTGATGGCTTGGCATATTGTAAACATGAAGAACCAGCATGTAGAACTACGTATATACTGAAACGATAGGTTGAACAAATTCAAGTGTATTGGGTATCTTTAAAGTCTCAGTAAACATCTTCAACCATCGCCATATTTCAGACATATATTCTCTCGCTTGCTCAATTGCTATTCCTGCATCTTGCTTGTCTCTTCCTCGCTCGCTTTGGTACTGCTGTTCCTCGTGACCAGAGCTCTAAAATCAGCATTAGATTTCTTTATATTCTCGCTCGATGTATCCGCTCCAGAAGCATGACCATTCGTCTCTTGCGATCTCGCTTGTACAATCACGTTTCTCTGACCAAGGTTTCCTCCTTTCTTGGGCCTAGTCCCTGCTTGTGCTGGCCTCTTCACAAACCCGCTGCTCGCAGACATTGGGATTACGTTTGTCGTTGTCTTTGGTTTAGCATTCGTCTTTGCAAAAGTCTCAACTTTCTTCTCCGGGCCGTGTGTTTTCATCTCTTGTTCGCTGACGACTCGGATGTTGCGGCCGGGCGCAATCTCGTAGCCGTCGAATCCGAGACTTGCTTCGCCGGCTTGAGCTATGGTGTTGTACTCGATGAGTGCACCTTGATGGTTTGTCTTGAGTATGACTTTGACAACTTCTCCGTGCTTAGATGCTATACTTCGAAGACGAGCTTCGCTGATTGTATCTGGAACTGAGGCGAGGAAAATGGTACGTTCAGATCTCGGTTCTGTTGAAGCTGCTGCAGACACGGAAGCGGGTGACGTAGATCGGCGAATCGTCCTGCTACCATTGAGGTTTGTGTTTGGCAAGGCAGAAGAGCCACGTCTTGTCGATTTTGCCTGATTGTCTGTTGCGATCTCAACTTTCAGAGGACGGCCTTTCAATTCCGTCTCATTCATCTCCAAAGCGGCTTGTGCTTCTTCGCGTGTGGAGTATGTGATAAAAGCAATACCTTTGTTCCTGCTCTTCATAGTCTCATGTAGAGGCATACGAACAAGCTCGATCTTACCGTATTTCGCGAACTCTGTCTCGACTTCACTTTCTTTGAGTTTGAAATTAAGCCCTCCAATGAATATAGTGCGGCCATCATTAACCTTGATTTCCAGCCTTTCTTTTTTGATTGCGGGGTTGGAGACCTTGCAAGTCAGTGGCAGTCCTTTGATTTCTCTGCCATCTAGGTTGTTAACCGCGTTTTGTGCTTCAGCTGGCAGCTTGAATTGAACGTAGCAGAATCTTCGTTTCTTGTTGCCTTGTAATGATGGAAGTCGGACATTGATAATTTCTCCGTAGGGACTTAGAAGATCGCGTATCTCAGTCTCTCCGGTTTCAGGAGTATAGTTTGTGACGAAGACGGTAGAGCCAGTGTCAAGTACAACTGCTAAAATCGAGCCGTTAAACTCCTGGCCATCACGTGACAACGCGTACCGAGCTGCTTGATCGTCGTCAAATTCAACGGTCGCCCTGGTACCATTCTCCAGCATTTTGAGGGCCTTGACAGTACCGCAAGTGCTGAAATATTGTCGGATCCTGGCTTCACCTACCTTCTCAGGTAGATTTTCGACAAGAATAGTAGCATGCTCACGATCACGCTTGGGGTTTTCTGGCTGGGTCTGTTCTACTGTTTCGATCGCATCTTCCTCGGTTTTGCTCTTCTTGAAACCTTCATACAATGTCTCCTCGCTATCAAAAAGGTCTCGTTTTCGCTTCGTTAACGGAGGTCGCGACTCTTGATCAACATCTTCAGTGGCTTGTGCTTGTTGGGCAGCGGCTGCTTGCGCAGTTTGTATAGCTTCAATTTGTCTCCTTGCTGCCAGAACTTTTTCGATGCGGCGTACCTTCAAAAGACAAGCTTGCAATTCATCAGCATCCTCATAGTCCTCGCAATGATTCACGAAGGCTTCCATTATCGGTTCAGGATAATCCAGTCCTTCTTGGTCAAGAGCCTGCTTGAGCACAGCTGTAGCAAAATGTGGTGCAGAAGCATTAGCGAGTGCCTCACCATCTTCAGCCTTGGAAGCAAATCTCCGCCAGCGCTTCATCTCCCAGTAATAGAAACGTAGCCAGAACTGCCATGATCTGCCATAATCTCTTACAGCGTCATCGAACTCGCGCCTCGCGTTATCCCATTTACCGCATTCGCTAAGGTAATTGATGTAGATGCGCTGTAAACGAAACGATGGATCAGGCCGATCGCCAAGACCAATTTTGACGCCCAGACTGCCTATATTTTCCATAGAGGCTTTGATACCAATCTCGGCGATATCCTGGTCATCCTCGTCATGGTCAGGCTTGAATGCGCGACGTCTCAAGTAGCTGCACCATGCGGCATGTACCTTTAGAACTTCAGCTATACCAGCAGCTTCTAAGACGCCTGTACTGGTGGCTTTGTGTTTGATACTTTCAGTCGCCTCGTAAGATTGACCTTGGCGATCCGAAGACAGTAGAGACTGAGACCATAGACTGCCTGACCAGGGACAATGCCTGCAAGCACGCTCTAGAAGGTTGAGCGAAGGCCTAGCATTCTCAAGTACAAAGGCTACATGGTCATCCCATAAATTCGAGTCGGCAGGGAATCTTAATTCGGCTCGTTGGTAAAGAGCATTACAGATTTCAAAGTCGAGTCTCTTGCGCTTGGCTGGAGTCTTCTCCCACTCGATATACGTGGTAAAGGCTTCATATTCAGCCGTCCGGTCGTCACCGTTTTGAGCCTGTTCAATTTTGGCTTCGTAGAAAGAACGCTCTTCTAGGGCCTTGAGAGCATCTTTCATTATACGAGCGGTGTCCTCCATGATTTCGAAGTATTGATCCTGGGAGAAATGGTTGTTCATGAAAGTAGACAAGACCTGCTTGGTTAGATCGGAGGCCACGTGTGGCTGTCGCAAGCGTTGCTCAAACAAACCCAGGATCAATGTAGCTTGCTCCTTGGAGATGTCGTTCTTGAACTCAGCTATACGCAGATTGATGTATTTGTTCCAGACGAGATGGCTGGTGGCGAGGTCGAGCTTTGTGCTATCGACACCTTCCTGCCAGGTTTCGAGAACCATAGCGAAAGTGAAAACCTCCTTGCCAACGAGCCTGTCTTCATCAATGCTGTCAGAACCTGTACCCTCACTAGCCCATCGATAACACTCCAGAACCCAATCGCCGTATGTTGCCCATAATCTGCTGCTGCCGACCTCATCAGCCACAGCTTTTCTGCACTTTTCGATGACGTCGATACGCTCCTCAGTGGTGCGAGCAAGCATGCTTTCGTCCTGCAACCATTCCAGCCATATGGTTTCTCCTACAGCGAATAACTTCTCCATGCTCGAGCGAGCATCCCTAAGCTCGGCCAACAGCTCGAAGGAAGCAGGGTCTTGCTTGGGCAGGATGGCGCCATCGGAAGAGGTGGGAAAGATGTGGTCCATGAAAGCATGGTGTAAGATAGTGATCAGCTCAACATGCGACTCGTAGGCGGACGGGGTTTCTGCCAGAAGGCTGCTTAGCTCAGCGAGTCTCTCTTTCTTGTCTGCTGGGAGGCTTGTGGTGCTGAAATCAGTCCGTTTCGCATGATGTGCAGTGTCCAGCATATTGATGTCGAACGAAGCTCTCGGATTGGATGTGAGAGAGGTTTGAGCTAGGGTCATGCGGCTCGAAGAATCGTGTGATCTCACACTCTCGTAGGAGGAGTGTTGTAAAGGCGTCGCAGCTGGTCGTGAAGGTTGATGTGATTGCATGGAAGCTAGATCGGCCAATGTGTCCATTGACTGGGTCGAGTGTGAGCGTTGCGCGGCATGAGGTGTCCCTGGTGTAGCGGGCACCGGAGAAATCAGTGGGGAGGAGGACGAGTGCGAGTGTGGACTCAAGACATGGGTGGGCAGTGAGGTCAGAGGTGCTTGCGACAGTGGTGAGGCTCCAGCACCATGTTTTGCGCGGTTGGAGGGTAGCGAGGGACCAGATTGCGCCCTCTCGAGGAACTTATGCGGTGCGGGCGGTTGTGTGGGTTGGGAAGGCGTGGAGGTGGGAGAGCGCGAATGTGAATGAGCCTGCGGGTGACGATGAGGAGCAGCAGGTGCGACTGCGGGCGTGGTGGGTTGGGAGGTCGATGAGGACTGCTTCCGCAGCTTAGGCTTCTCTTCAGCCGATGGGGACAGTATCGACTTCAAATCCATCTCTATCTCTGCCTCTGCTGGTCGTTTCACTCTCGCCGTGGACAACCTTTCGTCCCATGCATTTTCACTAACACTGGAGACGTTGGAGTTCAAGGTCTCTCGTACAGGGTTGCCGAACAGGGTTGCCGAACAGGGTCGCAGCTGCGGTTCGGAAATCAAAGCCGTATATGCAGTGAGAGGAATGATGTTCAATGGACAGATAATCGTCAAGGCTTCTGGCAAATTATTACTGTAACAGTATTTCTTTAGGGCGTTCTAGGCTTCGGAAAAGTGAGGCACCGATCCTGATGGCTGGTGGCTGATGGTTGTCTCCAATGATGTCCTTCTGCATAGCCGTGCGGCACCAGGTTTCAGGGTAACCTTAGCTCTGTTTCCAGGTATCAGGGCCACTAAACTGGACTGAGACGTAGCCTCCTAAGCCTGGCCTCGTGAGCGGTCGATCCAAGGCTGTCAGTCGCGAGCAGACAATTCAGCAGCAGCGTTTACCTGTACCATCCTTCAGCGATCAACATTTTACTGGAATGTCTATCTCGAGCTTAGGTGAGTCTATTAAAATCTGTCCAGAGAGTCTCGACTAATTGTCCACAGCTCGTTCGCGACGTCCAGCGGCTATACCAGCAGATCTCTGCTCAACTTTCTGTGCCCTGTATATTGCGGCTCGTGGACTAAGTACGACAGCTACCCATCGAGCAGATGGAGGCTCCAACAATGCTACACCAAACCCATCTCACTCTGCCCCTCCCCAGACCACGAAAAGAGCCGATGTAGGAGCCACCGCAAACGCACAGCAACAGAGGACTGCAGTTCAGAATGCCAAATCTCAAACACCCGATAGTTTATCACGTCCACAGCCGATTGCTGCTCTCAAGATGACCCCAGCTGAACGAGCTGCTGCCGCCACGAGGAGGGCACGAGCAGAGTTAGCTGCTCAGCAGAAAAAGACGGCTTCAGGTATGCGACTGGGAGGTTTGGCAAGAGACAGCGTGTTTGCCGACGATGATTCGCCTGATCCTAAACAGCAAAGACTAGATCCTGACAACATCACGACCGAGTATAAAGAGCTGACCAAGCGAAGTCCTATCAATATGGAAGCACGCCTGAATCCCAATCCCAATGCTCGAGCCCGCTGGATGCGGAAAATGGTCATGCGCAACCTCCGACATCGTGGAAGGCTCACTCGAGAGATGCGCATAGCAAGAACTGAGCGAACTCACACCTCTAGATCTCGCTTCTTTAAAACCTCGATGAAAAAACTTGCTCCCCTCGCTCGTCAAATAGCAGGAAAGAGCATCGATGAGGCTATCCTGCAAATGCGCTTTAGCAAGAAGAAAGCTGCCAAGGAGGTTCTCGCTCATCTGGTCCAAGCCCGCAATGAAGCCATCGTTGTCAAGGGTATGGGTCTAGCTGACACTAATACACAAATGAGTTCCGAAGTTGCCAAGGTCGAGTTCAAAGGTGCCAATATGGCAGATTTGATTAGCACGGCTATCGCGGAACGAGAAGGGAAAGGTACACGGACACCATTAGATGACTCCAAGTACGCAGCACTCTACACCAGCATGGATGCCCGCCAGGTTCAGGATGCCACTCAATCGGAACCTAGCACTAGCACAGGAAAAGCACATGAAATCTCCAACCCATCCAACACACAACCCCTTGCAACACAAACTCCACTAAGAACCCTAAAGAGTTCTCTTCAACCATCGCCAACCGACATCTACGTCGCACAATCCTGGATCAATCGTGGTAAATACGGTATGGTGGCCAGCCCACGAGCAAGAGGAAGAATGGATGTTTTGAGACCACCGCATACTGGCATCAGTGTCTTGCTCAAGGAAGAAAAGACGAGGACGAGAGAGCAGATGGAGAAGGAGACAAAGGCCATTAGGAAGAGGATGAAGGGTAATGTATGGTCACAATTGCCCGATAGACCTGTGACGAGACAGAGTCAATACGTGCTCTGGTAGGAAAACCAGGTCATCATCGCGGGGTGTTGTCCTTGTACAGTTCAGCCACAGGTATGTAGGATAGTAGTACTGTACTCAAATATGCTTTCCCTTGACTTCAATGCATTAACGTGCTTGACATATGTGCACCTTGCTGACACGAAAGCCAGCAAGCCTTAGGTCAACGGTCACAAGTGCCCCAGACATATTCACTCACGCCGTCTGCGCACGTATTGCTGCTTGCTGCTCAACGTCACCAGAAAACGTGCTTGTTTTCTGTTCCTCAACACTTTTCAGCGCTGATATTTTGGTGACAGCTACAATAGCACAGTGCGAGAGTATGCCGATGCAAAACAGTGCACTGAAGACGGTGTATTACTCAACAGGACATGCACTGATACATGTCTGACCCACCACAATAGAGCTGAGTGTTCAGCCATACTTAAGAGACGAATACAACATACAGCAAGGTGTTCCGTCACGCAACTGGTTGCAATCACGGCTCGTACCTCAGCAGGGACTGCCCGCTCGTTTGCAGTCGCTTCACTACATACACGTGTGAAGTCTATGCGGATGCTGTACCACTTGATCGCGTGGTGTGCGGCACGAGAACGTGGCACGGATAGGTGCTTGTCGTGTAAAGTGAGTGTTACATGTGACGGAACCGCAGCAAACAGATATAGGTAGGTGTGCAGTGGTGAGTCGAGGGAGGCTCTTGGTTCAGCAGAAGGAGAGATTTTTGAGTTTGTAGCATCAGGTCTTTCGAGATTCCTGTCGAACATCGTATTTACTTCAGAGTTTCCAGCTGGAGTGCCGCTATAAGCGAGCAGGCGCATAAGGCTGCTTTAAACTGACACGCCTAGGGACTGTAGGGCATTGTGTAGGTGGCAGAGAATAGAAAGTATGCCGATGCGCTCCTGCTCACGTGTTCAAAATGTGATCTCGAAGAAATTGGCAATCTCATCTTGGCAATTAGCTTGAAGTGGTGGACATTTCGCTCATTGTGACGGTCGCTTCTTTCACTTGTGAGTCTTTCGCACGCATACGCACATGCTTCGAAGCAACACATCTTCTCAGTCCGCCAAGTTTGAGCTGACGAAGGCCTGACTTGCCAATGCGGACAACCATGACATTTTCTCATCGGAGATGTACTCCGCACCCACGTCAAGGGCATCTTCAGCAAACTTGGGCTGAGGCAACGGAATTCGTTTTCGCCGATAGCGCAGGGCCAGACTGCCTAGCGGCGGTGATTAGCTCCATGAGCTACGCCTACATCCTTGTGCATTTTGCATGGCACCAGAGGGTTGAAGACGTCAAGATCGGAATTAAGCACTGTTAGCGTGTTCTCGCCAAAGCAAGTCTCTGGAATTGTCAAGGCAAGCAAAACGAGAAGGTTTGAGCTTCTGTGAATGCGACCAACAGGCTTCTCGTATGGTCGTGGATGCTTTCAGAACACCGGGATTGATGTGCTGAAAGTATCTGTAGACATATATCGTCCAGGTTATCCCAGGTCTGAGTGAGTTGTCGTAAGCTCCAGAAAATGTTGACGGAAAGAATACTTGCGTTGTGATGCTATTTGTGCTGTAAACGGAAACCTCAAAGAACGATATCGTGCCCACGTGTTTAGTGCCTCGGTGTCAGTTACTAACCTGCCATAGCTTGCAAGCCGTCCCGTCATGACCTCGACGATTAGCTTTAGGCTGTCAGATTGTGGCTAAATTCGTGATAGATATCGACAGAATGATTTTTTGACGAAGCGATAAACATACGCGTTACCGAACGTCTATCCGTCCAAAACTTCGCCTGATAAGAGAGTGTTGTACTATGGGGTCACGATCGAACTGCCGGTGGTTGGAGTCTCCGCAAGATCCAGCACGTCTTGCTTGAAAATCCAACTCCGATACTGCGGAGGAGCTTGCTCTATGCAAGATATGTTCAGTTCAAATAATTGGCTAGTCAGCCGAAGATGAGTATCCGTGTCTCAGACGGCGATCACAATTGGTTGTGGTGACTGAAGGATTTACATGATTGCCGCTGAAGCTTGTCGGATACAGTCGAGCATGACGGTAACGACTCTGCGACAGCTTGACCACAACCCGAGATTCTCTTTGTGATGGTATCACGACATGTTCGGCAGGCAAGGATGGCTGTAGTGACATGCCACTAGTGTATGTTTTAGAACTGTCTATTAAGACGTGGGTGGAAAGCATGCGCAATCACTCCAACCTCTCTTTTGTGTATACATGATGCAGGCCGATTTTGAGAACGGAGAAGCGTGCCGTAAATACATATCAGGCTTTCAAGCAGTAGTTTTCACAAAGGCCAGACGTATTCGGACCATTTCCTGATGCGCATGTTGAAAGTGTGCCGTGCCATGATCCTGTTGGTCGAAATTCCACTACACATAGTTTGGTGGGAGTTGTGGCAAGCTCTAATCTCAGGCAAAGTCAATAGAGTTTCTAACGATCTGGCATGATCGAATAGGCAGTTGTGGATAGAGAGCATGAGTGATGTACACATGTACTCGAGTAGCCGTTCAAAGCATGCACATTCAGGCTGGAGCAGCACTTGAGCCAGGCCAGGGTTATGGCCGCTGGATCCCACCAGAATCTCAGTTTGGGGATCCACGCCGGTACTCTAGTCAGGCACTACTGCACACTTCGTCCATAGCCGCTGGTTCGTAAAGCTCCGCGAGCAGGACAGTGGTTGGAAGTGGAGGATTACCGTCAACAGAAAGTTATTCATATCTGCGACCTGCATTTCTCGCCTCGCACCTGGAAAGTCCTTAAAGTCTTTATTGAATTTTGAGCGCCCGCTGTCGAGGTGTAACGTTAGAGGGGGCGATTATCGTGCCGCTCAAGAACTAAACACCTTCTTGTTCCTCGTTCGTTACACACATCTGAGGAAGGGAACGCCCTGGTCCCTGCGGCTCCTTCCCTCTCACATTCGCTTGCACCAGCTGCCACTTCCGCCGGAGCACCGACACCTGAAAAAGAACCCTCGTGCATGCTGCATACGCTCGAAGCATAGCCAGTCGTATCTGTCTCGCCCTAATTGCAAAGCCTCACATCGTCGCAATTGACCGTAATACTACAACCAGAATTGGAATCTGATTGATCCGTCCACATTTGTTCCACAGCAGCACCATATCGATACAGTCGTTACATCCAAAAGCACCTACCAACCACACCGTTGCTAGTATCTCGATTTCCACTCGCTTGATGCAGCTCCAATAATAATTTCCAGGCCATCGAAACATGACGACTAGGAGACTCACCATTAGTGGGAGTCGCTCAGAAATGGGCCTCTTGAACGATACTCACGATCAAGAACCAGAAACACCACCTCCAGTATGGACGCCTGCTAAGAACGATTTTTGGAAAAAGCCTTCAAGGTGGCAGATATGTATGCCACGGTTACGCCTAATGGCGAAAGTCCTACTCGCCTTGTTAGGTGTCGCGGTGGTATTGAAGGTCATGAACACAAAGCCACCATCGTCATTAGAACCTGCTCAGGACTCGATACCTCCACCACCAGCTCCCATACTTACAGAAGAGCAACTCACGGAGCAAACCATTGAAGCCGCAAGAAGAGAAGAGTGGATATGGAAGGACTTTCCAATCCACGAAGGACTTACCAGAGGTACCTCGAATTTCAACACGTGCAGAGCCGATGAGGAGAACTGCAACGGCAGACCACCAAAGCTAGTTCGTTATGATGGATACAAACATCTGCAGGAAGACCCAGTCGACATTGTGCAGTGTATAGGACCTCGAGGTTTGCCAATCAACGAGAGCGACGAGGATGCCATTTGGGCATATCCTGCTATTCCTGCCGGTAAGCTTGGTCCACCTTTCTCATAAGTCTCAAAGCACTGACAGTTATAGGTGCTGTCGATCCTTCCATGGGTTCGTACAAAGCTGCAGGCATCGACGGTTCCATTTCCTTTGATCGCATCGGTCGCTTTCAAGCCTATGGGCTCGATCAGTTCGACTACTTCGACCCTGAAGCTGAACGCAAAGCATCCGACGTCGACTGGGATAAAGTCAAATGGGGCGACCTCCAGGATGAGTGTGCCAACGCCAACAGACTGCGGTTCAAGCCTGTGAAAGAGAGAATCGACAACTCAATCCAGTACTCCAATATTCGCCAGAAGCACGACAACAGCCAGAAACAACCTCCAACCAACTCGATGGACGCTGGCCGTATGAGCAAAGTCAAGAGAACCGCTATCCTGATCAGAGTCTGGACGGGCGCGACCTGGAGCGCAGATGCTGTCATGAACATTCGAGCCATGATTGCCGAAGCGTCTCTAGCCAGTGGTGGTAAGTATCAAGTCTTTGTACTGCTCCACGTGAAAGACGAAGGTATCCCTATTTTCACGGGCGAAAACCAGCCCGAAGAGACGATCAAGAAGTATGTACCACCAGAGTTCCATTCCATCACGGAGGTCTGGAACCACGCCCAGCTGCGGACATTGTACTCAAACATGGCGGAGCATGCTTTCGTTGGTCGATCACCCTGGATGATCATCCAGTGGTTCGCCCGCAACCACCCTGAGTTTGACTTCTTTTACCAATGGGAGTTTGATGTCAGATTTACAGGACACTATCTCGACTTCTTCGAAGCAGTTTCCAACTTTGGTCGCGAACAACCACGAAAGGGTATATGGGAAAGAGCTGGACGAATGTACATTCCAGAAGTTCATGGCGAATACAACACTGATTATCGCATCTCTACCAGAGAGGAAGATCCACACCGCGTCTGGGGTCCTGTTTCCGTCGAAGGTGTGTTACCTCGAGGACCCAAACCACCACGAGCACAAGACGAGGACAACTACGAATGGGGTGTGGGCGAAGACGCAGACTGGATCGGCTTTTTACCGAGTTTCAATGTAACTGGTACTAACTGGTGGTTCCGAGACTACCTTTGGGGATACCCTCAAGGCAGATCGACGCCACGACGTGCCACGCTCATTGCGCAAGGACGTGTCAGTCGACGAGTACTGGACATTATGAATTACGAGAATTCGGAGAACGGCCACCACATTGATGCCGAAATGTTTCCTCAGACAATGTGTCTGCATCACGGCCTGAAATCGACCTCGTTCCCACATCCTATATTTGCCGACCGTCACTGGACCCCGGAGGCACTTCAGTCAACATTCAATGGTGGACCGTTCGGACAATCCGGTGGCCATTGGAACAGCTCGTTCAGCAAATGGAATGAATTCGCCTGGACCAATATGACGTGGTATTACAGTTCACAGCAAGCGATGCCAGTATATCAACGCTTACTAGGCATTACTGCCGGTGAAACGGGAGGACCTGAGTGGGAAGATGCCTATGGTCGAACAGTGGTCCGACCCATGCTTCTGCACCCTGTTAAAGGTGCTAAGGCCGCTAAGTGGTCACCTGAGGGTTGGAAGCACAGCATGAGTGGGAAATGAACAGCGAAGATTCGAACACTCTAATCAATCAGTACACTAATCTTAATGAACATACAACATAATATGAGGCGCATGACGCCATGAGGAATCCTTGACTGGTCAGCCATAGCATGTACATATGAGACCGGGACACACAACAGGGTATGGACATAGCACTCTACCTGCAGCATTTCACGGCGTTTGTGCATAGATCAATGGGTAGCATGGCACGAGACGAGATGACGTACATACAGGGGAAAGGATCGCACTTCCAGGTGAGGGCACGCAACAATCGCGAGAGATGATGGAGGATGGCTGGCAGGCGAATAGACTGAAGAGAGGGATACAATATTATGTTGAATTACTGTTCAGCAGAAGAGTCGTTGGTACATAGACACATAGTCGGCTACATGACTTTGCGTACAGTCCTCGACCTGCAGATGTGTCTTCGAGCAAGACAAGCACACATCTGAATAATACGAAATATCAAAAGCAGAACTATTCCTATCCCCCTTTCATGCCGCAGTCAACTCTCTGAGTTTCATGCAATCAACTTAAAGTGGCCGCCGTGAAAGACCTGCTGCGATCAATTTGAACGTGCGATACAGAATTTGGTGAATAAAATTGTACCTGCCCAGAGCGTGCTCAGGAATGAGGGCTCAGTGGGCTCTCCCGGGTCAGCTGCCTGTTCTACGCGGAATATTGCTTCGGGGTGAAGAGATCTTGTTACACTTAGTGTTTCGTGCTTACCAAACTTCGACGGTATCTAGCTAGCTCACACGACGAGTATAGATAATTTAGTCCTCGCCATTTCGATATGATACTTACGGGCTCACGGTGTCACTCTCCTTTTCGACCCAAAAGAGCCTAGAACAACGAGCCGACATGCGCGGCCAATTAGCAGTGCAGGGAAGTGGCCCATACGGTGCGAGCTAAACGACTTTAGCGGACTTGAGGCTGGATTCTTTCGCTAAGAATACCAAGTACTTGGCCCATGCCTGCGTTGTTTCGCGTGACCACGAAGGTCTTGTAGCTACACATAGACTCAATCACCTACACTACGATTGCTGAGTGGTTTCGAGGTGCTATGCTACACTCGAACAGCACGAAGTAAGCGCGTAACCACTACTTGCAGCAAATTGGGAGCGACTACAGTACAGGAGCCACGACCGGGCAGCATTCTCATCACGGACGTTAAGCAGTGGACGACCTTGCCAGCCAGGAACCAAGTGCTGCAAGATGCGAGGCTTATGACACTTAATTAGTGCTTGAAAGGCAGCGTCCCAGGCTACGACCTGCGCCTCTGGTATCGTCAACCATGGCTACTGCTGTCCTCAATGGACCGGAGGACCAGAAGCACGATGTCAATTCGCCTGCCAGCACGGATGGTCCTGCTGATCTCTTAGGCAGTGCTTACTTCCAGGCCACCGTGGACCCAGAATCGTCCATCCAGGAAATGGACAAGAAGCATACTCGGACTCAGAAAGGGATATTGGCTGATAAATCACCTACAAACCACGGCTCCCCACGTAACACCTCACCCGACAAGCAGACTTCCTCCCCGTCTAGCAGACCACAGAATGCTTCTAGAACGCCGCAGTCTCGCTCAGCTCGTTTCGTCGATCCTGCCTCAGCCGAACAGTCACCGCTTGCCAATCGAATGACCACTGTACCTGAGGACGAGGAAGCGGTCATTGATGTCCCAGAGAAGAGTGTACAAATTTCAAGAGATGTTCCAGACGTGATCGAACCAACGAGTCAGACACACACGCCTGCAGAGGACGAGAACCGACAAGACTCGACGAAGCCACCTAGTCTCTACTCTCGCTTACGTGCCTTGGCCTCTTCACAAAGCTACTCCCACACGAGAACCATTAGTGCACTGTCCACTCGTTCCCACGATGCAAGAGATGACCGGAATGATGCCGCTATGATAGCCACCATCGAGGATGACAATACCGATGCTGATGCCGACGAGGAAAGTGGTGCTGAGAACGCTTTCACGCCTGTAGTAAATAAGAAGAAACGCAAGATTGTTCGAGGCCAAGAGGATACCGAAAGCGCTCCTCCTTCGATCTACGAATCTCGAACAGACCTCCACCCTAGCCAGCCACCGAGGTCTGCCACCTTTCAAAGGCCACCTGTATTGACTAGAAGATCAACCGACCCTGAAATGGTTGCTGGTGTCTCAGAAGACGAGGGCAGACGAAAGTTGGATCGTACCTCTTCTTCGTGGACCCCCCGTCATCCTTTACGTGGCTTAAGTCATGGAGGACAGCGTGACGATAGGAGCCCCGTGGATGGAGGCTATGGCCGACGCCCACAATGGCTGAACCTCCACGCTAGCAGTTCTAGAGACCAGGCAGATGCAGCTCCTACAAACGCAGCAAGAACACCCAGAAGGAAGCTGATGTCAGAACGGGGAAGCACTCTCACTGGTGCTCGATGGAAGCAGTTGAAACATGGCTTACGTGCGTTGACTACTGGTAAGAAGAAGGAGAGGCTTACTCAAGATCAGGAAAAGTCTGCCGAGCTTCTTGCTGAGCTGGCTGCTGGTAGTCCCGCTGCTCTGATGCTCGCAAGCGTTTTTCAGCGAGACGAGCATGGGAGTAAGCGCATTCCCGCCCTGCTGGAACAGCTCAAGGTCTCTATCACAGATAGTGAGCTCGACAAGTACAAAGAAGTCGGCAATCCTACTCCAGGCGACCGCCATCTGGTCTTCAGAATAGAGCTGGAGTATGGCAATGGCATCAACCGCATGAAATGGATCATCTATCGTTCTCTGAAAGATTTTGCCAATCTTCATGCTAAATACAAAATTCATTATCAATCAGAAAAGCTCAAGGGCCGTGGTGATGCTTCTAAGAAAATGCCCAAATTCCCACGAAAAGCCTTTCCTTGGTTACAAGGCATTCGAGGCTTCGATGACACAGATGACGAAGAAGACGAGCCTGCACTCGATACGGACGCAGCTGCTACCGATACTGAACGTCCCGGCATGAGTCGAAGCAGAACCAGAACGTCCTTCATGCTCCCAAGGCGACGCTCAACAGATCCTGAAAACACGCCCACCACCCCTGGTGGCACCCTGCTTTTCCGACGAGCCAAAGACTTGGAAAGAGATCAGCGCGACCGAGACAGAGACGCCAACGCATTTCGTGAGAAACAGCGGAAGATGCTCGAAGTCTATTTACAGAGAATGATGAAATTCATGCTCTTCCGTGCCGATGCCAACCGACTTTGTAAATTCCTAGAGATCTCTGCACTTGGTATGCGTCTTGCTAGCGAGGGCAGCTACCACGGCAAGGAAGGGTTTCTCGTGATCAGGTCCGCGAAAGGTCTCGACTTCCGGAAGACCTTGACCCCAAAGAATGTCAAGAATAGGCACACCCCGAAATGGTTTCTTATTAGGCATAGCTATATCGTCTGTGTTGACTCTCCTGAAGGTATGCACATCTATGACGTCTTTCTATTTGACTCGGACTTCTCGGTCCAGTCCTCCAGAACAACTATCAACAACGAAGGCGAGACGAAAAAGAGGTTCGGTGAAGCAGCAAAACAAATAGGAGAGAGGTCAAAAGAACTGGCTAAGCACCCACAACACCATCGCCTGAAGCTTGTCAATTCCGAGAGACGATTGAAACTGCTTGCCAGGAACGAGAGGGTGCTGCACCAATTCGAGGAGTCTATTCAAGCTATCATCACTTCTTCGCCTTGGTGTCAGAAAAACAGATTTGACAGCTTCGCACCTGTTCGCACCAAATGCTTCGCGCAGTGGCTGGTTGATGGTAGAGACTACATGTGGGTGGTTTCGAGAGCCCTTGATCAGGCAAAGGATGTCATCTACATCCACGACTGGTGGCTTAGTCCCGAGCTGTACATGAGGAGACCTGCTGCCATCAGCCAAAAGTGGCGTCTGGACCGAATCTTGAAGCGGAAGGCTGAACAGGGTGTCAAAATTTTTGTCATTGTTTACCGAAACATTGACGCCGCGGTACCGATAGATTCGCAGTACACGAAGTTCAGTCTTTTGGACCTTCACCCTAATGTGTTTGTGCAACGCTCACCCAATCAATTTCGCCAAAACACTTTCTTCTGGGCACACCACGAAAAGCTATGTATCGTAGATCATACTTTGGCCTTCGTGGGTGGTATCGACCTGTGTTTTGGAAGATGGGACACACCTCAACACACTCTAACAGATGACAAGCCAACAGGCTTCGATGCTATTGAGTTTCCCAAGGACGGCGACCATTGTCAGCTGTGGCCAGGTAAGGACTACTCTAATCCAAGAGTGCAAGACTTCTATGCATTGAACAAGCCTTATGAGGAAATGTATGATCGAAGTCAGGTGGCTCGAATGCCATGGCATGATATCTCAATGCAGATCGTCGGTCAGCCTGCCAGAGACTTGACAAGGCACTTTGTGCAAAGGTGGAATTACATCCTACGCCAGCGGAAGCCAACCCGGCCAACGCCATTCCTCCTGCCCCCACCAGACTTCAATCCTGCCGATCTTGAGGCGCTGGGTTTGGACGGCACATGCGAAGTACAGCTGCTGCGCTCAGCTGGTCCTTGGTCAATCGGTACTCCGGATCGAACGGAACACAGCATCATGAACGCTTACGTCAAGATGATCGAAGAGTCGGAGCATTTTGTCTACATGGAGAACCAGTTCTTCATCACGAGCTGTCAAACCGAAGGCGCGACAATATACAACAAGATTGGAGATGCCCTCGTGGAACGCATAACCCGAGCCGCGAACAACGACGAAGCGTGGCGTGCAATGATCATCATACCTCTCATCCCGGGTTTCCAGAACACCGTCGAAGAAGAAGGCGGCACTAGTGTGCGGCTTATCATGCAGTATCAATACCGCAGTATTTGTCGAGGCGAGTCTTCGATCTTTGGGAGATTGAAGGCACTCAATATTGAGCCGGAAGACTATATCCAATTTTATGCTCTTAGGCAATGGGGCAGGATAGGGCCAAACCAGACCTTGGCCACTGAACAACTCTACATTCACGCGAAGTGCATTATCGTCGATGATCGTATCGCGCTGATCGGGTCAGCCAATATCAACGAGCGGTCACAACTAGGCAATCGCGACTCAGAAGTAGCTGCTGTTGTACGGGATACCGATATGCTCTGGTCACGGATGAACGGCCAGCCCTATCGTGTAGGCAGATTCGCTCACACGCTGCGTATGAGGCTGATGCGAGAACACCTTGGCCTTGACGTGGATCAGATCATGGAAGATTCCCAGGCTCTGGAGAAAGAGCACCAGAAATGTGTTGGTAAGACAAAAGCACCACAGAAGCGGAACGTTGACTTCGAAGAGGAAGATCCCATAGCAGAAAAAGGGAGAGAGTTGCGTGAGGACCTTTTCACGCGAAACGAAGAGCTTAGCAGTTTTAACCATGACGTTGACTGGGAGCAAGCTGGGAACCCGAACTTGAAGTCGAACCGCAAGCTCACCGAAGACTCCCGGGTTACTGGAAAGGCTGAGCACAAAGACGACCTCGAAGGCAAGGGTTTCGACCACATGGCTGACATTGAAAAAGCTGGGCATGGTGATGCTCGGGACACAGTGGTGCTACGCAGTGGAAAGGAAGTTTTGGTCAAGGACCAGGACACAGAAGGACATCGCACATTGGCAGAACCCCGAAAGCACGATGAGATTACTCGGTTGCCATCGTATGTGATGAAAATGGAAGCACCAAACCCACCTATGCCTCCAAAGCCCAGCCTGGTTAGGAAGCACACTGAGGATCTTGGCTTGACGATGCTCTCGCAGCTTCCACCGCTACCGAATATAGATGATAGCGACATCGGCGGTCCATCACTCGAGCCCACCATGTCAGCAGGCTCTGGCCATGCCTATCACCCATTGCTCAATGAGCTGCGCTTTCCACTGGTCGAGCGTGACAGCATGATCGATCCGATCCATTTCAGCTTCGCAGATGAGCTATGGCACACTGTCGCAGAGAACAACACCAAGCTGTACCGCGCCGTGTTTCGCTGCATGCCCGATAACCTTGTTCGTGACTGGACCGATTACCACGAATACGTGGCTTATGAGCAGCGATTCCAAGAACTGCAGGGCAAGGATCCAGACAACGCTAAGACAAACCGTGAAGGCAACCAGGAGCATAAGAGGGCTGGGCCGCCTGGAGTGGGAGTTTCTGCAGTACAAGCACAACTCAAGACCCTTAGCAAGGTGCCTTCAGACCTCGCCAAAGCAGCAGGCGAAGCACAGCAGGCTGTTCAGAACGCGTTGAGCAATGACAACAAGACCAATGCTAGTGGCGTCGAAGAGGGAGAGAAAGAGGCACTTAAGAAGTGGGCAGCTGAAGCGAACCGAGCACAGATGAAGAGAACAGGGACCGACCTATCATCACGAACGTTTCCTGATCTGGACGAGAAGAGAGCATTGCAGAGTGTGCCTGAAGATGAAGCGTTAGCTCAAGCAAACAGACCAGAAAGCCAAGAAAGCGACGAACAAACTGTCAAGGCATCACCTTCGGATGGAGGGCAGGAGAAAGAGCAGGTAAAGGAAAAGCAGACGGGCACCACCACATACAGTGGATCTGTCAGACGGCGACGAAGGGGGACGACGCGCAGCTCACGACGCGACTTCAGTGCAGCCGACGATATGATGAGCATGGGAGAAGCAGAAGAGCTTCTCGGCAAAGTGCAGGGTCATCTGATCGAGTGGCCATATGACTGGTAAGCATGAGAATGTACTGACAAGAAGAGAAGATGACTAACTCGTTACAGGCTAGAAGGCGTGGAAGCAGGCGGCCGTTGGCTGTACCCCTTCGATCAGATATCGCCAATTGAAATCTAGTAAGTCATTCTTTGCCGATGAGGAATAAGAATGGATGTACTAACACAGTGTCCAGCATCTAAGCGTGACCACACACATCACAAAGACATTCACAGCGAAAACAACTTGACAGAGTTATGGCGAATAGCTCATTCCTTTTCGTCAGCTCATCCTCATACTCATCCGAATTCAATCTGTATTCTTATCTGCATGGTGTTTTGAACCGGGTTCCTGCAAAATCAAATCGTACACTGGGCGAGCATAGCATTGGGGTTGGCTTCAAAAGAAACATCACAGGTATCTATGATCTGTAGCTGGGTATTGCATACGGTTTAGATCTTGTTATCACTTTCATTCATTGGTTGTCTATCAGTTCATTCTATTCTAGTCTTAGGAGCTACAGCGAAGCTCATGCAGCTGGTATCATCACATAGTAAATGAAATGTTCTGTGGACATGGGTTAGTTGGTCATGGCTCGCGTTACCCTCAGCTAGATCTTTCGAAGAGATATTGGCTGGAGATGTGACTGGGACATCTGAGAAGATAGAAGTGAGCGGGAAACGCCTGGGGCACTCTTACGGACTTCTCCACCTCCAGTGATTATGGGTGGGATGTAACAGCCCACGACAACCGATACAAAGCGAGTATACGAGTATCGAATTGTGACTACCAGGTAACTTATCTGTAAACATTACGATGCCTTCAAGAGAAATCATCAGTACGGCTACCGGGATCAAATCACCACTATTGTCGCAAGCGGTCAAATATGGCGACACGATCTATGTTAGCGGGAATGTGGGTATGAACTTTGTAACGAGCAGGATGGCAGAGGGTGATATAGCAGATCGCACGGTTGGTTGAAATACATATATATCTGTGTATGCGCAATGGTTGTTAATAATGTATACAGAGACAAGCTCTTCTTAATATTGAGGCGACGCTGAGGGAGGCAGGTAGCGGTTTGCAGAATCTCCTCAAGGTGGGTATGGGTAGCGACTTCCGATTCAGCTGAAAGTCGTTCCTGCCGCACCACGAGCTAATAATCGAAACAGGTCAACATCTACCTCACCAGCATGCAAGACTATGCTGCAATGAACAAGGTCTACACAGAGATGATTCCTGACCCTAAACCTGCTAGGACGTGCGTAGCTGTCGCTGAGCTGCCGATGAAAACAGACGTAAGAAAGATGTCTTGCCGTTGGGAATGTCGTATGCTGATTGCTATCTCTACAGGTCGAGATTGAGTGTACCGCACACTTGTGAGTACGTCGAAAGTCTATTTTGTTACCAACCCCTGTACCGTGCGCAGAGGGTGGAATGTAGAATGCTGACTAAGTGGTAGAAATCTGGTGGCTGGGAATGGGTCCAAGCTCTGACTTCTCGACATCATCATCCCCTACTCGAATTTCATCGACAGTAATACGCGCCATCATCATATACGAAGCAAGTGTTGTGCTTGATGATACTGATACCGTTCATTTGTGCCTTTGCTACCATGCTACTCATCATCATGCATCACGGAATTTCTGTGAAGCTGGTGCCAGACGAAAGAATGAGATGCTTCGATGACTTGGACGATTCGTGCCGCTTTCAGCAAAAGTCTGCAATCAGAACAACGAAATGGCAACCCGGACGCAGCACCTTTCGCACAATAAGATAACAATCACGAAGCCTTCTCCTTCCTAATGTCTATCCGTTCTCTTTCTACTACCACGTTTGTGCCTTGTTCCTTTTTGCATACTGACTAGAGATAGAACGTATTGAAAGCAAAATGCCTACAAGAGCTAAAGCTTCCAAGGCGAAGGCGAGTCACTGCCCAGCAACTCGTTCGTCGACACAAGTGACGCAACCTCGCAGAAGTAACTCTGCTTCATTTCCAACACAGGTAGCTATTGATGCTCTTGGTCATGACAAGCTACATGACCCCGAACCTGCACAGAAACGAACTTTGAAGACTGCTCGCGCCAAGAAGACACGTGCTGGGATTAGCAAAACGAAAAAGACGAAGCCTGAGCACTGGTCGAAGGCTCCTACCCGCCTTGCTTCAGAATCACACCATGCCGATGATGAACAGGCTCCTGATGGTAGACGATTCTCCCAAGTCTATGGTCATGGTCACCTACTTGTTGAAGAAGAGCCAGATGTACACATTCCTATCTCGTCAACATCCAGCTTAAGCAAAAAGCGCTCCGCTCCAACATTCGCTGGCACTCCTTCTCCCCTGAAAAAGGTACGTTTCGACTCGGACTCGAATGAAACAACACAGGCACAAGAAGACCAGACCATGTCCATTCCTATCAGTCCCGTCGAATCTTCGGACTCGGCCGACTTTTATATTCCGCCCTACGCCGAGGACGAGCCTATCTACGATACTACACCTCCTAGCGACCCGATCGACCATCTGGCCAATCAACTCATGTGGGAGCCTCAACCACTGACGCTCGATCTCATATCCAGTCTTTTCAAATACATGCACAAAGAGACCGAGGATTTGGCTCGTCAATATTTTACACGATCTGACAAGCATACCCGCGGCGCTTACTTTCCAACAGCAGAAACGTTTCCTCTGCACGATCTTCAACACAAGTATCCTGCTCTCTACCATGCCACACTTCGACTTCTTGACGCTTCTACAACAGACGGTATCAACCACGGCTGGTTGAAGTTCTTCGCCGATGGAGCTTATCGACCCTATCTTGTCTACGCTATCCTGGGTGAATGGTTTACTCAGCGCATCTTCAAGGATCCAGCTTTTGGCTTGAGCCCAGACGCAAGAGAGGAGTTCGAAGAAGGCGTCGACAAGAAGTACATGTACTATGATACTTTTGTGCGAGTCAAGCAGCGTGCTGAGAAAATCAAAACCTGGATCGACACAGATGATAGCAGGAAGTTCGCTCTCAGTGGCGCAGCCAATGTCCTAGCAGATGAGCTGTTGGAGGTCTTGGCACCAATTGTACCTACTTTTGACCCGGCACAGATATGGGACCAAACCAGCTACACCACCAGCCTTCGCCACAGCCTAAGAGAACTCATAGAAAAGGTTGGAGGACTAAACCAGTCAATTATACGATCAGGTGTGGATGGCACTTTCGTCCGTGTTGCAGGGGCAGTTGAGAATGGAAGAGAGTGGTCTTCGCTAGCACCTATGGTGCCTGTCAACCCAGAGGTTGTCGATGCCGGCCTCGAAGATGGCGCAAATGAGAAATTAGTCGTCAAGATGACCTGCTGGGGTCGTGTCGAAGCCTTCGTTCCTCATGGCATGGACATGGTGGAGATGGCGGACTTGCAGCAAGGAATCATTCAGACCGAGACTGCAAAGAACATCGACGCTTTCCTTGCCATGCTCAAAGACCAAGGCTTGGAGGGTCACAAGGAGGACTACGAGGCTATTCACGAAAAAGTTTGCAGTGACGTCTACGCTGGTCTTTGCTGGGATTGCAGACCAGAAGGCAAACAGAACTGGGATGTCTACCCTGAAGAATTGTGGGATCGAGCGCGAGAGGAAGAAGAGAAGGAGGAGTCTAAAACAAGACAATACGACATGCGAGAGAAACTGGCACGCAGGACTGCAAGGTCTGCGAAGGCGGGCACAACAGCCAAGGGCAATGGTGATGCTGGGAGCGACCCAGGTTCCAGCGATTCAGACTCGTCGCTGGAGGATGTCAGCTCATCGTCTTCGTTTCCTTCCTCGTCCTCATCGTCCTCATCTTTTTCGTCGTCGAGTGACTCGAGTATACCTATGGTTGATCATCTAAGACGCCACTCTGAGCCCCCTCGCGGCAGCTGGGTAACTTACTACACTACACTCACACCTCATGTCGTGTACCTCGAACGGGCAAAGCCACTTCCGGCAATCGAGAATGAGCTTCGAGTGGCAGGTGTTGATCTGGGAGGCAGACGCATCAGAGACTATAACAGCTTGATGTCAGCAGTTCGCACAGCTCGGAGGGACCGCATGTGGAGGTCAGGATCGACCGGCGATACCATTCGTCTTGGCTATGAGGACACTAGACTTCGCCTTTGGAACTTCTACGCCAGATACAATCTATCCATTGAGTGGGGCGCTTTCGTGGCAGCCATGATTATCTTGAGCATGGGCAAGGGCGACATTGTGAGAGGCTTCGAGAAGACCATCGACTCAGTCTTTGATCTTGTGTCGAGCTTCAGTGGAATCCTGACCATTGTGGCGGAGCGAACCATGGCATTCGGCAATGCTGTCAACGAGCAAGTTTGCTTCCTCGTGCATGAAGCAGTAAGAAAGCTTCTTGGCCTCCACCTGCCAGACCTTGAGGTTGAGAGACTTATGGAAGGAATTCGTGAGACGGTCCAAGGCGGCCGCGACGATCTCAGAAATGGCTATGAGAGCGTTGTGAGAGCGCTGCTTCACATTCTACCGCAACCAGAGCAGGTTGCCGCAAGCACGCCTGAAAGTCCCGCAGCTGCCGTACATGAGGCCACTCCAGTCCTGCCTGCTATGACGACAGTTACTGCAACGACTACTGGTCTAATGGCTGTATGGGGTGGTCTAGTCAGTCAGTTCTTGCACGGTCAAACTGCAGTAGAGCCATCTACGAACACCGGACCTGCCATCACTCTGCCTCAGGTCATACCAACCGTGACAGCGGCATTCGAAGAAGCGCCAAGCGCTACCACTACCTCCAAGAGCAAACGATGGTTCAAGGAAGGCGCATTCGACACCCATTTCGTGGCAGACAGCATCACAGATGATTTTCCTTTGGCCCTCTCGACCCCCGACGACGAAGACACACTCCCAGAGACAAGACAGTCCAACTCTTTCAGCCTAAGAGACAAAGTCAAGACTTTCTTCTCCATAGCCGCATCCAATGCACGCGGCCTAAAATCAAACGTCGTTTCTAAAGCCTCTTCTCGTGCCTCAATAATCGGATCCCAGGCCTCTTCAGGAGCCTCAATCCTCGAGTCCGAAATCAAAGACATTGCCTCCCTAGCCTCTTCCTCCCTCCACTCCTTCGAATCCGCACGTTCCGCCGATGCATCATCCCTCCTCTCCGAAGCCTATGAATCAATCATTTCGAAAGCGGCTAAGGAGTCCGCGAGCATCACCGCGGCAGCACACAAGGCTACGAGCGAGATGAAGAGAGCTGCTGGAGTTCCGATCGTCACTAAGACAGTGACGAAGACGAAAACGGAGCGCTTCGTCAGTCCGAAGACGGATGTTGCCGAGACTGATGAGATTGGTGGGAGTACGACATCTTTGACTATGGAGGCTGGTGGGGCGGCGAGGACCGTGGGTGTTAGTGATCAAAATGGTCAGGCAGGGAGATCAGGTAAGAGAACGACCTGGGCTAAGTTGGTCTTCGGAGAGTGAGTGATTGGTCAATATGACTAAGCAGATAGGTAGATAGAGATTCAGAACAAAAGGGATGTGGGTGCGCTGTTGAGATTGGCAATATCAATTCTTCCACGCCATGTTCATTTTCCTATTCCCTTCCGAGCTACACAATCGCTATATTGATGGGGATTCGTGCTTTTGCCAGTGTGGAGTTCAATGACCTATCCCGTGTTCGCAACAATTGACAATAGCCACAGAGGGACATCCTAATCAGTACACAGCCAGACTCGACGGACTGAACCTCGAGCGTTTCCCAGTTTCATAATTTTCAGACTTGACATGAGAGGAGGCAGCGCCGGCAGATTGAAAAAGAACCTGATAGGAACATAGAGTTATCTTTCAGTTCAGTGACCTTTTGCACAGAGTAGTTATTAGGCATTCGCATTAGGCGCCACTAGACATCGGCTGCTAGAGTGCAGGCCTAATCACCTGATCAAGAAGGTGTAACGATGTTCACCTCAGGACGTGTAGGATGTGCCTGGCTGCGGAAACTGGGCGTTGGGAACCGAGCTCGAACTTCCACGTGCAGTGGATGTCCCACGATGAGGGACGAGTCCACCCCCCAATATCTGACACGTTGGCAGATACTCACTGATACCTGGGCTGTGAAGTGTTGGAGCTCATTTGAACGACCTGGAACCGTCCTGATATGTCTGCGCTGGCTACCAGTCTGTGCGAGTCGCTCCAATCAAGAACTGATATCTCCATCGAACCAGTCTGATATAGTTTCCACGATTTATTGTCGTTGGTCAAATCGTACATTTCGATCACTCCATTGGCCTTGCCGCAGATCGGCTTTGTGCCCTTATAGCAACAAACGATGGCTGTAATGCTCGGCGCGTTGTGAGAGGGTTGAGAGATGTGGATACTTCCCAGAGCTAAGGAAATTGCCTGACTTGGCTCGCTTGAATTGTCGTCCAAAGATTTACGTGTCAATACCGAAGGTTCCCAGACATTCATTTGGTGTCCACGAGTATCGAGCAGTCGTCGACCATCGCTTTTGTCCGTGACCTGCCTGACTGGTTAGAAAGACTCGTATACGTATGAGCTCGACCGAATGCAGTACTCGCGTGACTCGCAGCGACTAATCGAAGTCGCTATAGTCCAAGATCGAATTTAGCGCATATGTCGTGGTCGTATCTGGCCTTGTGGAAGTTGTGTATTCGCTCAAGCAAATGACTTCAATGGCTCGTGTCCCGCAGATCAACGACTTCAAAATTCAAGTCGTTCTTTTACATTCCCTGAGCATTTCCCAATCATGCACAACGTAAGGGCAGTACCCAGTGGCTTCATTCGAACCATTGTCAGCCACATGTCCTTACTGACTACCATACCATATTTTCGAGCATATCAGCACAACACACTATAGCCACTATCACAACTCGTGCAAGAAGACGACCCGACAGATCTGAAGTCATCAGCCGGGCAATGGTTGAAGATTGGACGCGCAGAAATCGCTTATGTCCAGCTCGCAGTAAGTGATCTTCTCCGCTGATAGCCAAAGTTCGTCTGACAGGAAACGTCCAAGGGCGCTGTACTCTTCGCGTCTGTAGTGGGTTGCTTCTCATGGGATGATCTTAATGCTAGACACTGGACGTGCTCTGCATTTTGGTATGCTAGTATCATATCAGCCATCTCGGCCGTCACACTTGCTGCCCAACAATATCTTGTACTCGAAGCCCTGGGTTCCGACAAATGGCTACAGATTCAGAAGAAATGCAAGCACAGTGCAGCAAGGATACCGAAGCGCAGCATTCTCTTCATGGTGTAGAGTCCATTGATGATGCTCTCTTACGCCATTGTTCTTTTTTTGGCGGGCATGACTTCTTACGTTGTCAGCCCGTTCGCGTTCCAGCCAGTCTGGGGTGACGAAGCGAAGGTAAGGCAACACGTCGATGATGGTCCCAGTCTAATGTTTCTCTTAAACGATAGTTATGTACCTGACCATTGCGTTGGTCATAGCTGGCATATTTGTTTTCGGTTCGGCAACGATTCATGGCCTGTCGAATGGTTGGGTCGCAGTATAGGAACTGCTGCGAGTCGTGCAGATTTTACATCCTCGAGCTCGGCACTTGTGAAAACGTCCCAAAACGAATGGCTGACCAGCTTCCTGAACACAATGTCGAAAAAACAGGGAGACTTTCACACAGCAAGTGGTCAGTGTTTTACACTAATCGAGGGAAAATCGGACAGACGTTTGCGTCAAGCTCCAAGCTTGACCAGGCAGCTATTCCAATGAAATACATCATCGATGTAAATGGCAGCCAGCTTTATTGTAATGACAGAACAGCATGTGCCAACAATCACGTCCGGCAGAAGGCCCTGATTCCCCGCACGAACCTCAAACGCTACTATGGGGACCATCTTCACTAACAGAGAATGAGTGAATACTCCTTCTGAACTATTGCTTCGACCATAGAACGAAAGCGATCCATAAGCAGGTAGCAGCAGGCGACTTAAATCAAAACATGGAACTGAGATTCCAGGATATATTCACGAACATCCTCGGGTTCCAATCCGTGGCTCAATTCGGTGCCAAGCAGGTACATACACAGGACGACGTCCACGACATAAATACAGACTGTAGTGCATTCATCGAGATTTTGCCTTCTGAATTGCACGGTGGTTCCATCGCAAAGGTAAAGAACAATCTTGCTGTGATACCAGAAGACTGGACTAGCGGTAGTGTCAGTACGAGAATTGCTCCCCATGTGAGGTATACAAACACTGATACGATCGAACAGTATCACCATGGCACAATACCCGCTCTGCAGATAGCGCATACATAGCGTGCATAGCCCAGCTCAAGCAGGCCAACTTCATTGCTTTTCATGACGACTTCCTGACCTGGATCGGCAAAGATGCAAAGATGGAAATAGTCCAGACGTTTGAGGGAGTGGATGCTGATCATGTCCACGAAGCACCGATCTTCCTTCCTGATACAAGGGAATTCGTTTTTGCGGATACGGCTGTCGTAGGATGGTTGTGGGGCCTGGACGTTGACAATCGGAAGGTATGCTTGAAGAGCAAACAGCGTGATGAGGTCTGACCAGATTTAGGTCCGAAAAATCAAGACGAACCCACCCCTTCACAACGTAAACGGTGGTACTCTTCATCAATCGAGGCTGTATGTCACGACCAACGGCGGCACCGCTCCTGCTATCTTCAGTTGCTCTCTGCCTCAGAAGAGCAGGAGCTCAGAGTCCGAGACTATTGACTGTACACCAGTCGTCAACAATTATCGTCTGGCTCACCTTAATTCACCCAATGATCTGATCTTTACTTCCGCAGGTAACATTCTCTTCACAGATCCGACGTATGGCTGGGCACAGTCTTGGCCTGGTGTAGGACTACCCGAGTTACCTACTGCATTGTATCATTTCAACATGAAGACCAAAGCTCTTATCGCTCTCGATCACGATATTTTGCAGCCCAACGGACTAGCTCTTTCAAAGGATGAGAAGACTTTGTACGTGGCGGATTCAAACTCGACTTCTGGCAAGCCTATTGGCGTATGGGAAGACAGTGTCAGAAATGTTTATGCTTTCGATTTTGATGAAGGTAAAATGTTGTTGGGCAACAGGAGACTCGTACACGTCGTCGAACGTGGCTGGCCAGATGGCCTGAGAGTGGCATACATGAAGAATGATCGAGAATTAGTGCTTGTCGCGAGCATAGGAGGCGTCGATGTGGTGGACGTAAGTCGTGGAGGTACAGGCACCTTGCTGGGCAAGTTTAATGTCGGAGACGATATCATCTTCAACCTTGAGCCAGTCACAGGAAGTGCCAAAGAAGGTGCAAACAAAAGTGAGGCCATATACCTGTTGACTGGCAAGAAGGCGGTCTACCAGGTCACGATCTCAAGCTGAAGACATTCATATCTGGATCCTGATGTCGAGGCACATTGCCGGAGTTCGAATTGATGGCATCCCTTCCCCAGTAAGAGCACACGACCTGAAGAGCGACTGGGATAATACGCGTACCTTTTGAGACCGAGCGCGTAAACTTGTTCGAGTTGTAGTGCATAGAGATCTTCGTCGCTAGACCTACCAAATTCGGATTACATTCAGTCTCACACTTCCCAGAGCTTGCAGTATCATCTAAGCAAACGAAGAGAAATGCAGAGGACCAAGCGTTCTTGTGTGCAGGGACATGAAATTCCAATAAGTAACGTGCGTTCTCATTTTGCTCCTTGCGGAGATCCATCCAGTATCTACTTCTCTTTGTACATGACTATATACAGATATATATACGAAATTAGGTATACTTTTGCGCTCATCCTCCCTGTCACGATCAGGTGACTGGCTCGAATGGGCATCTGGTTTGGTGCTGAGTGTTTCTGTACCGAATATATCCAGCTGATATGGTTCATGCTGGCCCGTCGTGCCATCCAAACGAAGACATACTGTGGGTTCAAAGTTTGTGGATAGTCAACTTCTTGTCCAGGTCCAGATGCATAAGAGCTGGCTAATGCTTGACAAGTTGTGTTGAGCCATCATTGTCGTCACTGACGACGATGCAGACATTGCATCGTAAGGTAAGGGTTGCAAATATGAAAGGGTATCAACCAGAAATGTGATGAACGTCAACAAAATGAGTGACGCAAAGAGATCAAACCTGTAGTTGTTGGGTCTTCAGCCGAAACAACCGCACTTTAACATCTTCCTCCACCACGGCGTCTTTGAGCCGAAATGGCTCTTTTCATCAACGATCGTGTTAGGTATCGTCGAGCCAGTGTTGTTAGGTTGACCAGCCGACATTTGTGATGGTATGCCGTAAGCGGCAAGGCCGGCAGCACTTGTCTGTGGCGTGTGGCTTTTGCTTCGTGTCGAAGACAAGCCTAGTTCTGACCGGCGATTGTCAACGATTTTCCGGACGATCCCTAGATCATGTCAGTGACAGTGATGTTGCTCTGGTGTTGAACATACAAGCAAAAGTCTCCTCAATGTTGACCATTTCGCGAGCGGACGTCTCCATGAAACCACAACCTCTACTTCGCGCCCATTCCCAAGCGTACTTGGCAGAGACCAAGCGGGCGTCCTTCAGGTCACATTTATTGCCGGCGACGATCATGACTGGAGGAAACTTCCAGCCTTCCTCACGCTTGCCTCTTACGCGTGTGCCTTTCTCTCGTAGCAGTCGGTTGTTCTCCTCGAGTCGATTCTCAGCCTCTATGCCGATCATATCAAGGAACCATGTTAGACCTTCGAGTGAATTAGGATTTGTAATATCATAAACCAGCAGAAAGGCGTCAGATTGTAGATTGGAGGCAGCCCAGAGGCCTCTATATTCCTCCTGACCAGCGGTATCTGTCAGTGATAGGTGGTAAGCGAGACCATCTACGGTCCTGGTTACTGAATAAGAGTCCTCAATGGTCGGGTCGTAACTAGTGATTGTTTAGTGAAGGTCCTGCGCACAAGCAAGGAGTTAACATACTCTGACGTCCATTGCGACCTGACCAAACGTAACGTTATTGAGGACTTTCCTACATGTGTGTCAGTCCAACTTCTTCTAGGCTTCTGCATGTTCGAGATCCATACCACAGCCACCATCACCACAAATTGTTATCGAAACCTTGTCCGCAATCTTTTCCGCCATATTTGAGTCCTTGTATGCGACCCGAATACAGGTGCTTGTTCCGTCGAGGTCGTCGCCGAAAGCGCACAACTGGTCGATCGAAGTCTAGGATTGAATCGTTGCAAAAATATGGTATTGCGCCTGGCACGACTGAGGCAAGGCGTGCAATGTTATTCAGAACATGCAGGTGCAACGGTCGAATATGCTAAAGACTCGAGTCGTCTGCAAGTCCTTGCACAAGATCACGACTCGGAACAGTTCGGAATTATGTGACTAACGCAGGAAATTGGGGCCGTTGAATTCAATGTTGCTCGGGTACAGTTGTTCGTGATGACTACCCCGGATAGTACTTGGTACGACTGAATGCCCACATGCGTCAGGTATGAGAAGCTCAAGGATGGTGTGCAGGCGCTCAGCACGAAGAAGTGGTTGCTGCGGTTGTTCGAAACCGTTGAATCCAGGCACTGCTGAAGATAATGCGTTCCAAATGGCTCGAAAGGGCAGAGACAGCAGAAGGACGGAAGGCTCGAACCGGGACGTGCACCAGTTGATATGGCGACGGAGAATTCATGTACAAGCAATAACCTGCTCGAGAAAAGAGCAGAACGTGCAGCAACGAGGAGTATTGACTTTCAAATGAACAGGCCCTTCTTCCCAAGTGGCTGGAACGAAAAGACATGGATTTTGGCACCGTCCGTTGCAAGGGAATGTGACTCTGCCGCCAAACAGCGAGCACCAAACGAAGACAGTCTAGCCCGATTGATATCATCGCAGACTTCTCGCACTAAGCAAGGGGCACGACTTCCGGCAGGAACCTCGACCCGCAAGGTTTGGCAACAGCAAAACTTTCGTGGTCGTAACATCCCATTTCTGTTGTCCCGCGGCCCAAGCAATGGTAAGATCAGCACAGGTGCGAAGTCTACATCTGCCGAAACCCTTCAACTGTCTTGAGTCGGTAGAGAAGGATCCCCAAGTTTTGCGGAAAACTTCCGCCCACATGTACTATGAGTATGAGGCCGAGAAACGTGTATTTGCTCATGCAGGTTCGCCTTACTGTGCGACGTAGCGGGAACTACATCCAGGGTCCGTCGCCTGCTGCAGGCTGACGGCGTCAATCACTATCAGCGAAAGGACTTGCTCCGCGAGACAAGGATTAAGAAAAACATGTAACAGAAAAGATAGGAGGGGAAGACCTTCGTGAGCTACGGTACGGTACCTACGTCAATTTTTTCGTCGCTAATTTCGCCTGACGACTTTTATTCGCTGCTTAACTGGAAAAAAACCATTATACTGCGACACTTGATCGTTTTGGGTTAGTACAGCTCGCGGGCAATAAGCTTAGCACGGACTCAAAACTGCATCTCTTTTCGTTACTCAGTGACTACTGACTCGAACGGTCCCGGCACCGCCAACGGTTGCTAGGAGCTGTGGTTTCGAAAAGTATGATCTGCTGTTTGTGCAAAGTCCGAATTCGAGCTTTTCACATTGATTTCCCATTTATGCTACGAAACATGAGAGCGATGGCGTCAGTCAGACGGCCCAGGAGAGACAGGCTCACGCATACTAGACCAAAGGTTTTCCAGCTACAGAGTCGGCACTGGGTGTTGTGATGGAAAAATGAACCGGCATACTTATAAACAAGCATTCACAGAGCGGTCACTTTGTTTCCACATGGGCATGGACGGATCGAATCCCGGCAGATGACAGCCACAATTAATTGGTGCAGCGAAATGGGGTTGGGCATCACTTTAATTGATCGTCAACGATGATCAGCATACAAGTTGAATTCAAAATGCGACCCAGCTTCACCTTTAGCTTCGCACGGCGTTTGCAAGCTTGTGATAGCCATCGAACTCGAGATCTAGATCTTCTGACCACAAAGACACAGAACGCAACACGAGGGATTTTCGTGCAGTGCGAAGTAGCAGTAGCTGACGTTTGCTGCTCTGCCGTCAAAGCGTGCCGCACCGTTCGCCCGGCGTGAAGGACATCGCAACCTCCACCTGAGCTATTTGAGTGTACTCGAGTACAGACTGAATGTGGGCTAAAGTTAAAACTCCGTCTCAGGAAAGATAATCTTGGAGCAGCGTCTACATACGCCTGCACGACTTGCCTTCCTAAATTCCCTACAACAAGCTCCGACCGGGAATGTAAATCCAGGAATCATGTTAATGGTTCGTCAAGCCTCTCCTGAATTGCTCGCGGCCGAACCAATCTTGATGGTACACTTTGAGGCATTACTCGCCTAAATTTATTCGCGTGCTGGGAGTGTGCCTATCAGACATTATCCCAAGTTATGCAAGGAAACTCAAAATACCTCCTTTATGCCTGACTGATGGGATTCAACTCTGGATGTTCCATGTATGTGCTATCCTTGCTTATGTGTCTTTTGTGCTCGCGCCAACTCTCAGAACTTGGCATAACTTTCATACATTCCTTTACACCATGTCGCAAGAAATTCAAAGCAAAGAATTCCTCCAGCTACCACTACCCATCATTCCCACATACGTACCTCAACGCCGGAGGTTTTGCAAGTACATACATACAGTAGTCCTCTTCATGCGCATTGCGGGACGTTGAGAAACAAGGGCTGAACTCAATGCCACGCAAGCTCTGTCAGCTCAACAACCTCCCAGTCCTTACTAGCGTGCTGGAAGATGTTTCCAAGCTTCTGCAATTCCATCGTCCCCTAGCATGATTGGGTGACAACTCACCAAAGGACCGGTGGGCATGCGGAGAAAGTACCCGTAGTATGCATCAAAATTCTGCATGAAGAATACGTAACGGCATAATGCAAGGATACCCTTGCCTATCATAGCTGGTTGCACCACTAAACTTTGAGGTCGTGCCGACACGGGGTTGTTTTGCAACGGCCAAAACTTTCATATAAAACTCAATACTGTAAGCTGCATTGATCAGTCGGAAATGCCTGCCGTGACTCTGGACTCTGTTTTATTTTCCGTTGACTGGAGTTCAACACTTTGGGATGTTCGAGCTCCGGGTTTGCATCATGTACATTGTCAGAAATAGATTCAAGCTAGAGATGTCAAAGAGGCTGAAGTGTCATTATATGCAGTTACAGAAGAGGGGATTGCATTAGTGGTAGGGACGCTCAAGCACGCAATTGAACGTTGACACACGGTTGAATTATCCACATATGGAATCTCCTGAACGCTTCCAGGTCTGCGCGTCATCGAAGCAATCTACAGGCTTGTATACATTCGTGGCTTCGCATGTACCTATCGTCCGAATTGGTGATGTGTCACCGCTCTAGGCTCTACCAAAGTACAACCGACTCGCACAACCCGAGTGTCCATAAAGCTTCGCAGAACCTGAAACGAGACCTCCTTTCTCACAGTCTGTAAAGATTCTTGCCAGGCTTGAAAGAATGCCGAACGCGCCTGCGCCGTCATCTTTCTCATTGTCGTGGCAGGTATTGGCCCATCGATCCTTAGCACTATCTTCACCTCCGAACTGGAGGTTGATCTTACATGTGCCATATTGTGCAATGGTCGAACACGAGCTTGTGCTTCCACCAAAATAGTTCGGACAGCCGTCTATCCATCCAGCACTTGAGATTTTGCCTGAGTTGGACCAAAGCACATCGTAGATTTGGCTTGCTGCTTGAACGCAATCGGCGGCAAGAGGAGTGTTCGAAGCGTAGGCACCACAATTTGCCTTGCCCGGGTGCTGGGACTCATGTCTGTCAAGATGCATCGAAGTCCATATCCACGTGGGATGCTGATTGCTCGCCTCGGAACCCGGCGGTATTAGTACGTCCGCCACGCTCAGTGGTGTTTCGTACTTGTTGTATTCGTTCATGTAACAGTGGACTGGAAGATAAGCTCTATCTCTGCAGAAGTCCTCCCAAAATTGACAAGTAACGGGGACTGGCTGATGGACACCCACAGCAGCATTTGAGCCGTCGTTGCGCATGACAGGCTCTTTGACGCAGATGTTGTTATGAGTGATTGAAGATCGCCACGTCTCCGGGTTGGTGCACAGGGACGTGTCGGTACCCTGTTTAGTCGATACAGTGTAGGTACCACACGTGACTTTGTACAGAGGGACAAAAGTCCAATAGCCACTGGCAGGACATTGTGGAAAGGGATTAGGATCAGGTTCAGGTCGGCCTGTCAGTGGGAGGTCTCCGGAAGACCCATGGAAGCCTCGTGGACCAAAGCCGCCGAATCCCTAGACATATCGTGTTAGCATCGGTACTCCGTAGGTCGTCACGTCGGGAATTACTCACCGAATACTCAATTGCCTTCGGACCAACAATTTGAGGTGGTGAAGCAGGTACCGTGCCAAACGTCACAGACCTTGGGCTAACAACGCAGTTTGTATTAAATGCACAGGCCCGTACTTCGAAGTAAGGCACTTCGCGACCCCAGATGTACTCAACAGTCTCTGGACAAAAGCTAGCACAAAGCCGTGTATCAGGGTCCCAGGAATCCTGGTCTAGGTGACAGGTATGATCTTGTGCAACTCGTTTAGGGCAACATGGTCCGGTGACCTTGTGTGGAACGTTGTCGAAATTGGAGAGGTCAGACCAGGTAATGCACTCAGGATCTGGCGTGCAAGAATCCTGAGAGCCAAAGACGATGGAGCAGGAGAGTGCTAGCAGGAGAAGAAGTTGACCAGTATGCATGTTGCGAAATAACATGGGTTGAATTTTCAATTTCGATCAACAAGAGTGGTAGGAGAAAAGTTGGAAGAACAACAAGAACAGAATTTCTGCAGCATTCTTGTAGGCACTGTCGAAGTCATCGTTTGTATTGTAGTGAAATCAATACGTTTCGTTAGTGCAGAGGCGATTCGATGGCTCAGTGAACACGGAACGCGACTCAGATCGCAACAACAGCTGTTATCGGGTTGAGGGTGTTGCTTGCCTCGCGATATCACCACATACAAACGTCCACCTGATATCGCTGCTGATCAAGTGTGAAATGGATCTGCAACTTCGACGCATCTCAATAAGTCTGCAGCAAGGGTAGTGCGTCTTCTTGATCTGGTACGCCAGATTCGAGGGATTTCAGAGTGGTTCAAATCGAGTTCTGCTCCAACCTCTTATTTCCCCACGAACTTGATCTTGCAGAGATGTAAATGTACCTAGCTCTTTGAGAAGGAGTTGTTTGCATGAAGAACATCGCTAGAGATCTAACAAGTCTATCGCGTTCATTCTAGGCCTCTTTGAGACACACGGTCCAGCTATCACTCGAACACAAGACTTTGGCCCAGCCAAGTCGACATAGCTGTAGCGTTGCAACTTCGTCTGCTTGCTCTTACCAATAATTGTGTCGCAACGATGATAGCGAACTAGATAAGCATGCCACGGTTCTGGTCGATAGTACTATCACCAATGAATAGTGGTTGCAATATCCAGCACCCAGCTGACCCATTTGTGAATATGCCGTAAGGTTTCCTTGTCGGACTCACGAGCATTGAGTATAAAGTCTCTCAAAATGGCAGGCTTTCAGAGTGAGACCATGAAAAGGTAAGTTGTCACAGCCTCAGAGACAGTAACCAACACGTCCTTCGGAATTTAATGTTCTCGGAATCGAGGTGAGTTTTGTGAATGACCCCGGGCATGGGTGCAAGTATGCGTGTCGAGCGGCATGTTTGTTACTAGGAGGTCGAACTTTACGGGCTTCGCGAATTATTGTAGAAACCTAGACAATCCTTCTCCCTTGAGTTTGTCGTGAGCACAAATCAGAAGCTCATATGCAAAAGGTTTGGGAGATATCTACATCTCCGACATCACTAGTTTTCGCGCTCTGCGATAGAATCAAGCCATCAATCAAGATTTCGCGCTGCATTGAACTCGCAAGTACGTATGCTCATGTAGCGAAGCGGCACTCCAAACGTGTCAAGTTGCCTACTCTCCCACCTGATAGTGAGTAACACCCGGCCTTGGACTTACTGAGCGCTCTATCCTTGGAGGTCGCAGCTGCCTTATCTCGATACCAGACCTCGAGCTATCAGAGTACGCTCGATGATGTGAGGGTGGAGAAGCTCGACGTCGAGTGCCATGATCCTCAATAACGAGGTAATTGCGATCCTGTTTCTCGGTGAACACTACTGCAGGCCGCCTATGTGGTTGTTCTTGCTCTAGAACATCCGACAATTTAGTAGAACCGCTATGTGCTCTGTCGTCAAGGAGAAATACTACGTCGTTATTATCACGTGGCTCAACTCTGATGCTGCTTTGATTGTGTGGTTTACTGTATAGCTTGGACGATCCGGCTTCGTAGTCTGTGTCACGACTGGCTTTGTGGCGGTCGTTTGCAGATCTGCTGCGACGCAGACCTCCAGTAGATTGCTTGTGGTATGATGTCTCGTAGCAAGGTTCATGCGAAAGTTTTATGGTAGGGGGACTCTGAGATTTGCTGTACTGCTGATGGCTCGGCCGGGACTTGTAGTCCATCGACCCTGGATCGCGTAAAGTGGTCGTACGGCGCTCCACCTCCTCTTCAATTGCGTCCCTTTCCTCGGGTTCGGCAAAGAGATACTGGATAGCATCTTTAAGGTTGTTATCGATGGTGAGTCGAGACACACCAGCTTTTAAAAGTGCCTCCTTGAGTGGTTTCACCTCTTCGGGCGTGACCTTGACCGGCACCGGTCCTGTCGACGTCTCACGCCACTTCCGCTCCCTAGAATGCGATGACATTCTGTAGTCGGCTAGAGAGGTTGAGGCAGCTCGTTGAAGAACCTTTGTGCGAATCGTCGGATGCTGGCTTATTATTTTGAACATCTTCTGAATCTCTTCAATGCCACGTTGGATTCGCCTTATGGAGCTGACGATCTCTGTCATATACCACATTTGTAGGGATTGTTCATGGTAACTGATCTTACGTCGGAGGTCCACAAGCTCGCCAGATTCTTTGAAAGCAAAGATGAGTCGCCGACCATAGCCATCAGCACTGATTGACTTGTATTTCTCAACCAGGTCTTTCAGTGCTTGAAGGTCGACCCGTAAGGGTTTGAGAATAGTTTGAATTTGCGCCTCACTGGAAGACGATTAGTTCGCTTCCAGAAATTGTGTAGTACGCTCTGAACACCTACGCTGTATTTTCTGCCGTTTTGAGTATACTGCCTTGGTAACAGTCCTCGAGCTGGATCCTCTGAAGTGTCATTTCTAAGCTATTAGCTTTGTCCCCAAGCTCCCTGAATTCTTCAGGAGCATCCTTGTATCTTTTGCCAAAGTCATAAATAGTCTGACAAGCGAGAACAAGATCTCCGACGCCGACTCCTATCGCCATGCTTTGAGTGCGACGGGATCAACGGCAACAAGCTGAGCGAGAACACGCAATCTTGATTTCGGGAAAGTGCAAGGGCAACAGTGTGTTCAGAGAGAGTCAAGCAGTAGAGAGCAGAAAACGCGAAGCATGGTCAGAATATATTTAACTTCCTCTACGGCCTTTACCATTTCTTTGAGGTGAAGAGGGTGATTTCATACAGCACAAACGAGGCGAAGCACGACAGAAGTGCCAGGAACTGAGGGCCTTTTTGATCGCTAAATAAGCGAGCCTTCTGCTGCGGCCTGAGTCATCAGTGTTGGAGCAGACAAGCAAAATAGCCGGGCCACGACAGCCTGGCACCTGGTTATGCCACGCATGCAAGCCGCCGTAAGTGAGTTGCTCACTTGTCGCGCATTGCTGATCGAAGACGACGAATAACGTCAACATAAGTACATGGCGATCTTGCTTTAAGACCATGCAGAATCTCCGATGTATACATGAGAGAAGGAGACTCAATTTAATCATAGCCAGACATTGAACCTCCACAGAATTTCTGCTGCTTTAAAATCGCTACCATGAAATCAAGCAGCTGACAAGCAGGGAGCCCTAGATGCATTCACGGACGTAGCACAACGAAGTGAACTCTTTTATAACATTGCTCAAATATACATACGAGCTGAGCGTTGGTCTGCATCGAAACACCCAAGTCTAAGCTTCCGCAACTACATTCGAACCGCCTATGCTGCGTTCCTGCTCATATCATTTCTTATTCTGTTGTAATCGAGCAGACCCTCAATCGAACCAACCGCGGAAATGGCAACGTCTTGATCCCACAGATACTTCTGAGCAAATCTCATCACGTCCTTTTCGGTGATGGCACCAATGACTCTTTCGACCTCGGTGGCCTCCATTCGTCGACCAGTTGTAATGATCTGTCGTCCAATATCTTCAGCCGTGGCAGTGGTTCCGTCGAGAGATAGAAGGATGGATGCCTTGAGTTGTGCCTTTGCTCGTTCGACCTCTGCCTCAGTTACAGTAAATGATAGTCTGGACCATTCTCGGAGAGTAAAGTGGACAAGGTCGTCGATGTGCGTCTTGTTCTCAGTGACCAGGTAGATACCCCAGAGACTAGCATTATTAGCACGCTAACACTCTAGTCTGAGTGGACTTACCCAGTGTCGCTGTAGGAGGTCGAGAAGGACATGAAGCTATTGGCGAGGTTGTTAGCATTGACGAAAGTGCTGAGCTTGCTACCCAAGTATGGAGAGTTGCCCATAGCTCGGTCCCAGTTACCGACAATCGCTTGTGTAACGAGACCAGTAAAGTAATCATCATCCTTCCATGCCACACCTTCGACAGCAATGGCAATGTGAGCTGTCGGAATAGTATCATCTCGTTGTCGGATTTCGGATCCAATGAACTCGGGCTTCCGCTTCTGCTCAGCCGCCAGATTGGCCTGCCATTGTGTTGGAGGTTGAGCCTTGAGGCCGGAGAAGTGTTGCTCGGCAAGCTTGACAAGATCGTCATGAGGAATACCACCAGCACTGACTAGGACCATGCGATCTGCGGTGTAATTGGTGGTAATGTAATTTGTTAGGTCTTCTCTGGTGATGCTTTGAATGTTCTCACGAGGTCCCAAAATTGTTCGGCCGAGGGGCTGCTGCATGTAAGCTGTAGCGTGCAAATGATCAAACACAACCTCCTCAAGCTGTTTGTCCACCTCCTCAGATTCGCGAAGGATAACATCTCTTTCTCTTTCAATTGCAGATTGATCGAGTTTTGAGTTTTGAAGAATGTCTGCAAGGATATCGACCGTTTTTGGCACATCAGAGTTGAAAGATTTCGCGTAGTATACAGTGTTTTCGCGCTGTATTTATGAGTCTATGAGCGCGTATTTTTCCTTGTCTGTTCTTACCGAAGTGTAAGCATTCAAATGCCCTCCCATGTTTTCTATTTCGAGTTCGAGTTGCTGTTGGGTTCTTCGGCCGGTTCCCTAGTTGTGATAAGCTATTGCGCGTTACTGGAGACAAGTAACCGACCTTGAAGGCCAAATGTTCCAGGAAATGAGCTGTGCCATTTGTTTTCTCTGTTTCAGCCCTTGAGCCAGCGTCGATCCAGACACCAACCGTCGATGTCTGTGCCCATGGAGAATGCTCTGATGCAATCTGGTCCTGTCAGCGATCCATTCCATTTCTCTCTTGTGAATGATCCGCCATACTGTGAAGCCATTCGATAGAGTAGTTGACTCCGTGCGAGCTGGAGTTACGGGGTTGGCATATCTGCGAAACGGCGCAACAGAGTTCAGAGCTTTATTGACACGACCGGCTTGCCGTAAGCTGTACGCCAGTCTTTGTGATGCCATTGTGCACACAATAGGGAAAGGTAGGGATCGTGGGAGGAACGGCCGTTGTTGACTGGAGCTGCCAGCATTTCATGCAATCTTTGAGAAGTCACGGTACAGCTTCGTTAGCGCAGAGCCGCCGGCGGCAACTCAGCCGAGCACACAGGTGGATGCTTGTCCCGACGACGTCGGGGCGAGCGATAACATGATCAATCGTTATATCAGATCATAGCTTTCTTCAGTCCGCATGATTTCGGCTACGCACCGGTATATTGCCAAATTGTTATGTTCCGCTTGCGAAGTTTCGTACTAGAGACCACGACGTTTAAATCATGCCAGTACCACAGAAGCTCTATGTGCTATACCAGCCTACCAGTCCTGGTTGGATTGATATCTATTCGTAGCTACCAGGCTCATGTACCAGTGAATTGGTTCGATGGGTGTCGAAATTTGGTAGGCGAACGGTAGGTCTCGAGATGTTACTAAACTGCCAGCTATCCTCTAAGAGATCAAAACAGCCTCTGGCCGGGTCAGGGCGTCTGTAGACTACAGCTTCGGTGCGGACATTACTATGGAGAACTCTTGTTAACAAGATGCGCCATGGCCACTGAAAGACCTGGAATTGGAACAATAGCATCTCGCCTGGCTTTTTTCAGTAGGACTCCACGGATTGGTCGCGTGGAATTACTCGGAGAACAATGCACAGCGCAGACGGAGTGGTCTGAATCTTATCCTGAGCTGTACCGAGCATTTAGAGAAGGATCGCTTGAGGTTTGGGGTTTTAATAGTGGGTACATCTCTGTTTCGTTCGACTTCAACCTTCCCGGGATGTCCTCTTCTCACGCGTGCACGGTGATCATCTACGAGGACGGAAATATTACTGTGATTGGCGTCCGAAAGCAATACATAGATGCCGTTGTGAAGCATTTGATGCTCTTCTATCCATGCGACAACGAACAAGTTCTCATGCTCGTGCACACATGGCCTAAGGGAGAAAAAGCTCGACATGTCACTGTGGAAGACATAGTCTAAGATAGTAACGTCTTCGGTTTTATTGGTGCAAGGAGCACGGAGGCGGAGTATGGTCGGACTTCAGCATGATTCTATGCAGGATGAAGATCGTATGCGATACAGACATTGACATGGGAAGAGTAAGGCATGAGGTATACTTTGTTGGTGGTGAAGGCATCAGTGGAGTATGTATATAGCTACCACGCGATGGTTGGTGGAACTGAGCCCGTTGATTCATACCAAAACTGCAACCCTACCCAATTTACCCGTATCCAGTCATCTACTACTAACGAGAATTACGCAGTCGGATAGGGCTTGATCTGGGTTATTGAACGGTACACGTTGCAATGTAGTCGGGTGGCGATGAATAAGATTGCTGGTGAAATAAGAAAGGGTGTGAGAGTGCGATGGGTCGCTTCTTGCCGACCACCACATGAGCTACTATATTGAACTCATTTGGAAAGGCTCTGATAGACTCAGGCTTAGGTCGACAAACCACAACCTATATGCGAGTCGCAGCCGTAAGGTTCAATGTTATTCCCCTCAACACTGCATCCTCAGCTTTCGATAAAACACTTTGCTTCTGTTAAAAACCGTGCTTGCGGTCAGGGAGAAGGCACTCAACTTCGCTCAATCCGTTCATTATCAGCATGCAACGCTTTTCATAGCTTCATTCACATCTACCACAATCTATCTACCTATCATTCGAGTCTACCCATCGTCCACCACCCCTCAATCCTTCCACCGATTCAAAAACTTCTGCATATCATCACTCGGCTGCGGCGCCGCCGCAATCGTGGGCTCCATACTACTCACTGCAAAGGTAAACACGTCAGTAACGGTTTGCGAAGCGTTCGGTCCTGGCATGCCCGTTCTACTCCAGATATTGTAATCACTCGTTGGGTATTGTCTCGCATTCCCCTTTGCCGTAATCTTACTTGGCGCGACTTTGGCCATGGGAGCGTAGCGGACAGGACCTGTCTGCATTGTGTAGGGAATGCTGTAGCTTCCTGCTGGTGCGCCTGCTGCTGCTCCTGCTCCTGCTCCGGCGGCGGGATTGGTGATTTGGTTGAGGGTGGGAGGGCCATCTGTACCGGAGATGGAGGAGAGGGCGGATTGGACGTTGGCCGGGAAGGTGCCTGTCATGGAGGTGAGGGAGAAGCGGGGGGAGTAGTTGTATACGACGCCGCCAGGGGCTGCACCGATTGTGCGGAGGAAGTAGGCGTTCTGTGTGTTTGCGCCGAGGTTGAGGTTGGTGATTTTGGCGCTGTATGAGTTGCCATCTGTTGCAAAATCACCTGTTGTGGTGAAGGTTAGGAGGATGGTCTGGGAGTGAGATGTTAGTATGTGGTCACGCGTAAGTACAGAAATGCAGCCAATTGTGGAATAAGCATGATCGGAACATACAAAGTCTTTCTCCGTCTGACCACCAGCACATAACTGAAGTTGGTACGTTGAGAAGTCTGATAGTGGAGGGCTGTCTGGGCCATCCTCAAATTCCACGTCTATCGTGCTCCCTGATATCTTTGCGCCTGCTGCGGGTGAGGAAAATGCTATGTCGGCAGTACATGTTTGGAGAAGTAAGGCACACAGTGTGCTGAGGAGCAGAGGCCTACACGATAACATGGCTCGCAGTAGTTGTGAACGAATGTGGGAGGAGAGTGGGTGGACAATCGGTGAGCTGCAAGCTCAGAGTGTTATGTAAGGACTCCTCGTGGCTGATGTGGTTTAGTTGTGAGTCTTCGTAGTTCGTTACGCTTCTGTTCTGTCTATGGGATATGACTGCAGGTGCTCGATTAGGTACAACTCATTCACAAAATCAATGGATAGTCGTTAGATAGGCTGCGCATCACACTCCAAACAACTCCGTACTAATATGCAGGTACCCGCGGCATCCCTGCAGGCACGGCTTCAGACGGCAGGTCTAGGCGGCATGTCAGAACTCCAAGTCACACGTCATTGCAGCACATTCGAAACTGAGAATCCAATGTTTCAAACTGCAATCACTTATTGGTGTCACAATTACAGACCAGACGTAACAGGCGGTAGTTCTACACCTAAAGTCGTCTGTGAGAACGTGCGAAAATGGCAAAAGGCCTCACAACCACCACAATCCTATCCTCCATCCTCTCTATACCCAGAGAATCCCCCATCGTCCCCACCAGCCAAAGACCACAATCACCCACCAACTACAACCAAAGTGGCTGGTCATCGCCCGACTCATGGCTTACAAAACTCTTCAGAGGTGACCCACTGACGATATTGTTCGCACTGCTGGTCACTCTGGCACTCCCTGTGCTGAACCATCTCTATTTCTATACACAGAGTTCTAGGAGCCGCAAAGACGGGCAAAGTGGGGATGGCATACCGACGTTCTTGTTGCTGGGGCCAAGTGGAGGTGGGAAAACGGCTCTGGTGACGGTGCTGCAAATGAGGGGTAATGTTGCGAAATCTGAGGCAAAGGAAGCGGACGAGGAAGTCGATGAGGAAGAAGACAGGTCGAGGTCTACCGTAAATGGACACAGTCGTGACGCCTTATCACCTACAAGACTAAGTCAGATCGCGAGCACAACGCGTATGAGGTTATTAACTGGGACGCCTCTAGGAAGCAACAGGTACAGATCGGAGAATGACTACGAGGTCACCGCGTCGAAGAAAGAGGGCGCTGTTTACAAAATTATCGATACTCCTGGTCATGGCAAGTTGAGGTCGGAGCAGGCGATATCCTACATCAACAAAACAGGTATCGGGTTGAAGGGAGTGATCTTCATGCTTGACAGCAGTGCCATGGACACTAGTGCTGCAGATGACGGAGAGATGGCTAAGGATACCGTCAGCTATCTACATGATGTGTTACTGAACCTGCAGAGGAGGCCGAAACTAGTCAAGAAAGCCAGGGCAGAAGATGTGAGGGTACTGGTTATTTGCAACAAACAGGATCTATTCACGAGTCTGCCACCTACTGCCATCAAGTCAAGGCTAGAAATGGAGCTAGAAAGAGTCAAGGCGAGCAAGAAGCGTGGTATAAGTGCTGTTGACGCCAAGGAGGATGCAGATGAGAATGAAGACGAGACTGTTCTAGGCGGAGGTGGGGAGCAAAAGTTCACCTTCAAAATGCTAGACGATGAATTCGGCGTTACTGTTGAAATTGTGGGTGGTTTCGTCAAGGACGAAGAGGAGAATAATGACGTGAAAAGGTGGGAAGAATGGATTGGTGCCTGCTTGTAGCTTGGCATAGTTATCTAATGATGCGAATCTTCCAATGTTGGTCAAATGCGGCGATGGCCTCTCTAGGTCCAGCATCGTATGTGCGCCCTTCTGGTTGCCGTCGAAAACGTGTGTCATGACCTAGCTCCTCATATGTCACGTAATACCGCTCACTGCATTCTTAGGCGTAGGACGGTGGTAGAGAATCTTTACTGGGCTCCTTCATTGACTGAAGCTCAACATCGGCACTTGCTTTAGGAAACAAGCGTCGCCATGAGCAGATAGCTATCAGTGGAGCGTCTGGCCTAATGTCAGTATGTTTTATGTTACTGGAATTGGAGCCAACATACGAGCTGACAGTATGCAATAGCAGTAGAAGATTGCGTAATATACGGTGTAGGTCTTGTAGCTGACAACCGTGTTTAAAATTATGGTAAGTGTGACATACGCCACGAGACTTAGAACGACGTGGAAGCCAAAGTGGAAACCCCAATGGATATAATTGACTGGTGGTAATATAATTGCAAGGCTCGTGGAGAAACTGCGCAGACGTTGTGCTCTAGCAGTATCTTCGTCTAAGTGATGTATTTTGTTTGATGAGGACCCCATCGTGACAAAGACGATTAATAGACCTGTGAAAATGTTGTTTCGTAATACTATCGCTATGCAATGCAGGCCCAAGAAAAAGGTCGTGCTGAAGCTGGTGTATGAGAATGCTGACAGATGCAAGACAAATTAGAGGAGGACCGGCAACTGCATGATGCAAGGATGCTCGTACCTATGAAGACGCAGCCACGTTCGATTTGTTGATGGTCGCATATGAGGGCTCAAGGAAGGTGCTGTTGGTTGAGATTGACCATTGACAGCGCCTTCTTACAGTTATTGATGACTGCAATAACACAAGGGCATGGGTCGTTCTTGTAGCACTCCTAAAGGAGCTCTTCGTCCTCTTCTCTTTCTGCCTCCTCTAAGGCTTCACCATTAAGAACGTCATCGTCATCCGCTTTGGCCATGACTTTCTCAATCAGCTTCAGTGTCGTTCTGAGTGGCAGCCCAACCACATTATCGAAGCTTCCCTCAATCCGATCTACCAACACAGCTCCCGTGCCTTGTATGCCATAGCCGCCTGCCTTGTCCGCACCCTCCCGAGTCCGCACGTACGCCAGTAGGAGATCATCCGAGATGCTCGTATCAAATTTCACAACAGTCTCCTCCCAAGCTCTTTCGATCGCATAGCCTGGATCTCGTGCTGATTCGAGCGGTGTCATACACACAACAGCTGTATAGACTCTATGTGGCCCGGTATCCCTCAAGCCTTTCAGCATGGCTATATGATGTGCCTCACTTCTTGGCTTCTCCAGTATCTCGCCCATGGCACTCACGACCACGGTATCTGCAGCTATTATTATGCCTGGCTCGCCTTTTTCCACGTTGTCCACTTCTTGCTCATAGACAGCTAACGCCTTTCCTGTAGCTGTGGCGAGGACATACTCAAATGGAGAGTCGTCCTTGGGTAGATTCTCTTCAAAATTGGAAGGTATCACTTCAAGGTTGGTCAACCCTATTTGACCTAGGAGCTGTTTTCTCCTTGGCGACTGAGATGCTAATATGACCCGTTTGTCTCGTAGCAGCAATAGTGCTGGCAATTCTAGAGGAGGAGGTCTTGCCAGTCGTCTTGGAGGCGGATTCTGTGCTGGGATCGCTGCTGCTTCGTAGGAGGGAGGAGCGTCTGTTGGCTCATCACCCAGCGATATCAATCTCTTCTCAGACATCGTTCTTCGTGTACCTTGCTAATAATGGAGCACTTCCGGGAATACAAAACTTCCGAGTCCAGCTCGAGGAAGAGACAATTCTGGTCGTGGCGCTAGCACTTCGACGAAAGTTCAATATCGGAGCGGATTGTCCTGGTTGTAACGACTCTTGCGGTATAGTCTGCACAATATTCCCAGCCTTCCAGCAGCTCGTCCTTACAATTCAGGATTTGTTGCTCCATGACTCAAATTTCCAGAGCGTCCACGCGTATACCGGCGGTCATTTGCGTTCCAGTATCGATAAGCATGCACTGGTGGGGCATGACGAAGTGTGGAGGTGAAAGCATGAGCTTGGGGACGATTGCATGAAATATTTTGTTTACTGACTCAAAAAAGAGCTACTGCTACCACGTATCGTGGCATATAAACTTCTATACGCATTATTGTTGGTCTCAAGAACTTGACACACAAGATGGCTACAACACTACATCTGCGCTCTGAGAGCAAGCCGCTCGAGCATAGATCAGCTCTGACTCCTACCACTACCAAGGCAGTACGTATCAAATGAGCTGCTAGAAACAGCTCCTAGCTAAAACCCACAGCTCCTAGACGCAGGCTACAAAGTCAACGTCGAGCGATCGCCCGTACGAATCTTTGACGACGAGGAATTCGAGAAAGTCGGCGCAACACTCGTTCCAGAGGGATCATGGATAGACGCGCCTACAGACCACATCATCGTCGGCTTGAAAGAGCTGCCGGAAGACAAGTTTGCGCTCAAGCACACTCACGTTCAATTCGCGCATTGTTACAAAAGTCAAGGTGGCTGGGAAGAAGTGCTATCGAGATTTCCGCAGGGAGGTGGAACGCTGCTCGATCTCGAGTTCTTGACAGATGAGCAGGGAAGAAGAGTTGCGGCATTTGGGTATCATGCTGGCTATGCGGGTGCTGCGTTGGCCATCGAAGCGTGGGCATGGCAGCTACATCATCCTGAAGCTAAGACTATGCCTGGTGTTTCCAGTTATCCAAATCAGGATGCCCTAGTTGCGAATGTCAAGGCTAGGATGCAAGAAGGTGAAGCCATTACGAAGCGAAAGCCAACAGTACTGGTCATCGGTGCTCTGGGTCGTTGTGGTAGGGGTGCTGTTGACCTGTGCAAGCAAGCTGGCATTCCAGATGAGAACATCCTCAAGTGGGACATGGCTGAAACAGCAAAAGGAGGACCATTCGATGAGATTGTCGAGTCTGATATCTTCGTCAACTGCATCTACCTATCCGAGGAGATTCCGCCTTTCGTCAATGAAAAGTCGCTCAAACAGGATAAGAGGAAACTATCAGTCATCTGCGACGTCAGCTGTGATACAACAAATCCCCACAATCCCGTACCAGTCTACACTGAGAACAGCACATTCAGCAGACCAACCCTGCCAGTCGTGGGCTACGACAATCCACCACTCTGCGTCATCAGTATCGATCATCTGCCCAGTCTGCTGCCTAGGGAAGCCAGTGAAGCTTTCTCTCAAGCTTTACTACCATCTTTGTTGAGTCTGAACGACCGAACTAACAGCAAAGTATGGCAGCAAGCCCAGAACCTGTTCAGCAACAAGGTTGGAACTTTGCCAGAAAGTATGAGATCGACCTTTCAGAAAATGGCTGACTCGATGCCGGCAATGCCAGGACTGAGCAGTAAGTCGTGAGTAGTGTATGATTCGAAGCAATACATCTCTACCTTTGTCTGAGTGAATCTGTCAAGGAGACTACTGTGCTTTGTTGCGTCTTGTCTGATCGTGTCCCTCGTCACAACACGCTGGACTGCCGTTTGCTCGACCTTCTTACCATAGCAATACACTCAGTATATGCTAAGCTCTTTTTATCTCCTTCTGATTCATCATTTTGTTCGCTGAGAACTTGCAAGTATGATCAGCCTTTCATTGCAGTATCATCTGATTCTATATTGCCTGCCTTCCTCTTGGAGCCTGTCTTCGATCCTGATTCATTCTCATCACCATCATGGTATTCCGAAACCTCCCAGCTGATAGTTGTCGCACCGTCTGCGGATGTGCCGTAACCTTTGCGCTTTGTGGCGCTGTAACCTAGCTGACTTCCTTGCATCATGTCTTCGAACCATGTAATTCCACCACTTATGCCACTCCTTGACGTCCTCGACACTGCATCGCCAGCTGGTTGCGTGATCTGTTTGGAGTTTTTGGATGTAGCGCTTTCGTTTCGATTCGACTTCGCAGCTGTTTCGGCGTCTTTGAGCTCTTCTGTCAGATCGATATCCACAGGAAGCAAGTCTAAGTCTTCGAGTGCTAAGATATCCCTACTACCCAGACTACCCAGCGTGATATTCATGAAGTCCTGCTCGCTAGCTGGATCTTCAGTCCAGTAGGACATATTCGTGCCACAGAAACCGCAAAACTTCCGTTGAGAGCCTGGCCGACGAGTAGGTGTGAAAGTACGTGCGATGTGCTCATGCAGCTCATCCGGAAAGAATGAGACTGTCGCGGATTGGTACCAGGTCAATGGCACTTTCAGCCATCCTGAGAGGAGTGAAGAGTGAGATTGACCTATTTCCACTTAGTCGAAGGTCTTGATGATGGTGCGATAGTTTTCAGAAGGCCGTACGATTGAATTCACCTGTCCCGAAATGGACCTGAGCTTGATTTCGAGCATTTATGTCTGTGGGAACATGGATAACATGATTGTACCGTCCGCAGCTGCAGGAGCCTTGAAGTCGGCCATCGATGCCCATTGTGATCGATAGTATAGATAGAATAATGTCTAATTAACTACAAGCTGTACTCAGTAATCTGGAAAGTTATTTGAGTTGGATGTGACGACCTACGACAGAAGTACGAATTATGCGCTCATACGCTCCAGCCAAATATGGGGTTTATGCATCACGCCTCCCAATTAGCTCTGGCCATGGAGAATTCTCGCACTTGGGCGCAGCAGGCTGCCGCTTACAAGCAGCAGATGCGTAGAAAGAGCAGCAACTCGGTCTCAACCATTTCAAGTCTGGTTCGGAAACCACAACACACAGCTTTCATTTTGTTACAAACATCTTTGACCTACAAAAAGATCTCCTTCTTTCATCAATGTAGTTCTGCACACGCTGCACAGAACGAACACTCATGTCTCGAGACCAAATGGCCGAGTCAGAAGCCACCTCTAGTCCAGAGGCTGACACTCCACAATCCGGAGCAGAAGACGACTCCAAACTCGGAAGCGCGAAAAAGAGAAACAGCAAATCTAGTAAGCCAAGATTAACTGCTGTACAAAAGAACACAAACCACAAAGACGCCGAAAACAAAAGGCGGACAGCCATACGGGACCGTTTTTCTGAGTTGTCCCAACTTGTGCCTGAAGCTGCTGGTCAAGAACGAAGCGAACAGGTCATGTTAGCAAAAACTAAAGACTATCTTCAAGCTGCTCTTGAGGAGATCAGAGAGATGGAACACATAGCACAGCAGCAAGGTATACCATTACCTGATGATGCGAGATTGAGAGACAGCGATTATGGTGGACCGAGATGGAAACAGCCTCATCTTGCCAAGTACGAGAAATCGAAGAACAAGAAGCTGGCGAAAGGCACTATCGGGGTTCAGGACGATGCTGATGGAGAGGCCGAGGATGATTAAGATCTGTTACTGATCCGAGCTGAATTCACAGTACACGAATGAATAGTAGGAGTGGCTTGAACCAGATATTAATGAGCACCAGGGCTTCATCTGTAAAAGTGGCATAATACGCTACGACGGAGCAGCAACGAGCGGTGGAGTCTGGGAGTGCTAGATAAGCGACCTTCACTCGGAATTTCTGTCACTGCATAAATTTTTCTCCACAGGCAAAACAAAGCAAAGCTAAAGAACAAACCCCGACCTCGAGCCACTTATTTACACCCCTCATCATTACTAGATATGCTTTTCTTATCCAAGGGGACCACTGGCCATTATGTCTTACGACAACGTCGGATCTGAGCGATCGAAGCCTCGCTTTATGCAGGCCACACAAGCATCACGAGCGTCCAAAGCAACAACCCCTTCGCCTTTGCAGACGCGACCGGGTGTAACACCACTCCCATCTTCACTCTCCAGAGGACAGCATCTGTTTCAACGCGCGAGTCAGAGACTCACGAGCTTCAGCACTTCCAAATCCAAGCCTAGTAGATTGCCAATAGTCTCACCTGGATCTTCTCGCAACACAAGAGCAGTAAGAACTGCTGCTAATTATGATAAAAGGTCTTGCTAATAATTTCAAAGCCTTCGCTTGTCCTCTCGAGTCCTACTCAGCGATATAGCCACCTACCAGAACCCATTAAGAAACCATCGCTCGAGTCACCGACCGAGAAGCCTCTCCCTAGTCTGCCTGTTGCGACTTTCGTTCCGCGATCACCAGTCCATAGGCGATCACTCATCGATGCTGCTGAGAAGCCACTACGAAAAGCAGTCTCGCCAGGAATAGAGCAAGACTGGCCTACGTTGTTACCAGCGAACCTCACGGAGATACCCGAACCACAAGGCATTGGCAAATCGGCTGAAACACCTACCATGATCAAGCCAAGTCTCAGCGAAAGTTTGTACGAGGGAATGCGCAATTTGAAGGTCAATGACGATGCATCTGGTCAGCTGAGAAGTATCCGTACTGAGTCAAACAACAAGATCAATGCTCAAAACTTCACACCAAAGATATTCCACAACAGCAGTGAAGCATTAAAGAACCACCCAGTCGAAGACACTAAGTTCCTCGATCCTCGTCCGGCACCCGGTACTCCTCGAGTCGATAAACAGGATCGATCATCGACTGGTTCTAGCATTAACCGCAGATCATCTCACCAGGGCTTGAACATACTGAAAGCGAGAAGGAAATTCAAATCCAGCGGCCAGAACTCTCAGCCTCCTAGTTTCATACCACAACCATTGTCTACAACTATCGTTCAGGAAATGGAGGACACAAGCCCGTCCAATAATGATGTATCTAACAACAAAACTGAGCTCACCGAGTCAAGAATGTCCCGTAAGAGGGGAGTCTCGGCCACAGGGTCGCCTTACTCGAATTATGTGAAGAATTCTTCAAAGGTTGTACAGCTAAAGCGTGCATGCAGTCGAATCTCAGACATGAAAGAGCAGGTCAACAGTAATGATGACGACAAGCACACTGATGACACGAAAGACATGGCTACTATTCCTGATACATCCGTAGCTTGTACTTTGCCAAGTGAAAGACAAAGCTCTCTACCACTACCTACCAGACCGGTGGTCAAGACCTCTACGGTCGACGCCAAGACTATATTGTCAACCTGGATGCGTGCAAATGCCTGTGAGACACCTGAACAGAGCCTCAAATCAGGATCATCGAGCACCACCATCAGAAATGGTCTTGCTTCGGTAACGAAAGTCAGCTCAGAGACAAAAGCCTCGACCCTGCCGTCGATCTCCTCTCGGAAGTCGAGTATGAAGGAGAATGTGTCGCCAAATCACCCTGGTGATGATGAAGACCTTTCACCTATACGAACTTTCAAATTTCCTGCTAATACCTCGGAAGTGGACGACAACAGTTCCCAGATGACCCGCATCACCTCTGCAAGTAGTCTTTCCAAAGCAGGTACGATCTATGCACAGGACGAAAGAGGCAGATACCGGCTGAAGCCTTTGTCTCTTGCAGACCCCAAACATGGTCCACGAGTTCGCATTGATGATTCTGCCGATCATCTGCTCCTTAGCGATGAACAGCTGGCACATGTCGAAGCTAAGCGGGCAGCATATATGCACAAAATCGAGTGGGCAAAACCACGCGATGGTCATAAAGAGAATGAAGTGTTCCCAGAGTTGGAGTCCCTTAAAGGTACAAACACGAACACACAAGCGAACGAGGGATCGAATCCTGGCCCAGCCTTGGATCAACAACTGCAGTCAAAGTCCTCCTGTCATAGCTTAGGCAAAGGACTCAAGCTTGCACCGCCAGTTGCGGAAAACATCGGCATCCTCAGTCATAGCCCTGATGGTTGGCCGCTGTTGACTTCCAAGATTGCTCCGTTTGCAGAAACAGATGCCAGTGCACCAGCCTCCATTCCTCCAAATGTCATTCGTATGTCGGCATCAGAGGCAAAGTTGGAGAGCACTCCTGGCACACCACTACGCCAGCATGGGAACAACAATCAGACGTCACCATCGAGTGCATATACCCTGAGAACAGCTCTCAACAAGCTCCCGAACGAGGCCGAGCCCGCAACTACCAGCCTCAAGCCTAAGCTGCAAAAGTCATTACCTGAATTAGCACGACCACTCTTTCCGCTACGTACATCTTCCAAGAGTGATTCACCTTCTGCATTATCGCCATTGCATGGCGGTGTGCGAAGGCGAACCAGTGGCCGTTTACAACCGTTCGTGAACCAGCGAGCCACCTTTCGCCGTGTCACCAACAAAAGCCAAGATGACGAGTATACGCATGCTCACCCAGCAGTTACATCCGCAGAGAGTGATACCCTAGCATCTCCAGCTCAACATATGCAATCATACCATGCGTCAACTCGTCACATGAATGCTCACCAAGATATCGACAGCGATCTACCATCCTCGCCCCTTGCGGTTCCAGGAACAGTACATAGCAATAAGCCCAAGATGATGTCTAAATTTGGCGGACTCTTCCACAAGACTTCGCGTGAAGGCGACTTGCACAGATCAGGCTCTATCAAGGCTACCCACAACCACAAACCTAACATACCCTCGCCTCTAGGCGAAACCCTATCCGATTTCAGCGCAAATATTAGTCGTGGAGGCAATATCACGCTCTTCACCGGGTTGGACAACATTGCAGCCAGCAAGACTCAGAATGGACTACTAACCACGATGCACGGTACGGCCAGCAACGACGACTCTACAAGCAAGACCTCACATTCAGCATCCGCAATCTACCACGGCATGGTCAAAGAAACATCCAGTCCACCTTCCGTCAAGCGTAAATTTCCTCGTCTAACCGGCCACAAGCATTCTGCAACAATCTCGTCCGCGGCTTCATTAAAACCACGCGACATGTCCCCTCAATTCATGACATCAGCCCTCGAACCACCCGAGATCCGAGAAGCGACAACCCTAGCATTTAGCCTCCTTGATCGCGCACGAGATATCCGTTACGGAACAGGCGCATCTTCCACACCATCACCTACAAATACCGACGAAGATGGCGAGACTGTAAATGATGGCGCAGGAGTAAGTCAAGCCGACTACGTCGAGCTTGCAAAAGTTATCGTCAGTATCGTCGCCATGGCACGAGAAGCGGAAAAAGCAAAGGAAGAAGCAAAGTCTGCGGCTGCTAGGGCGGAGATTGAGAGTGTGAAGACAAGACGTAATGTTGCGGAGCTTTGTGTTAGGGTGAATAATTTAATTAGTGGTGGTGGACAGGGAAGGGGAGGTGATGAGGAAGACGAAGATGAAAGTGAAGGGGTACGGGACTGGATGCTTTGAGCGGAGGTTGGAAGATTTTGATGAGGATCTTGTTCGCGTTAGGAAGGGTATTGAAAGTATTTTGGTGTAAAGAAAATGATACTCTCTAGGAATTGGTTGGCTGTGATTAGTCTGGTTGATCCCTTAGGTGTGGAAAAGGCTCGGTATGCGTTGCTTTATAGCCTTGTTTTGTTTGATTGCGATTCCGAGCTCTATGTCAATGGTCCGAGTCTTGCGCAAGCTAGCTAGCAGAGGTTTAGACTACTCACAACCGATCCAATATTCACTCAGTGCGAAGCACTCTTATGTTTTGTCGACAGCTGTGTCAAAATCACCAAAGAAACGGGATGAGGCTATTGTTTGCGGAACATGACGGGTCCGCCAGAGGAAAGCGTGTAATTCATTGCACATAAGTTATACACATTTGTTTGTCCTCGCCACTAAATTTCTACTCACGCCTGGCCTTTTAGAGCTTTTGCATCGTAGCCCAAACCACTCAAGTTCGATTTCTCGATCGTGGCGTCGTTCTTTCCTGCTCTCCAGATCCTCTTGACAGCTTCTGTGATACCGACATCGTTGGTCTCGAATTCGTAGAGACCGATACCGACGACGAGGGTGGCGAGCATGAGGAGGTAGTCAAAGGCCTTGCGAACACCTGGCATACGCCATTGCGGGACGTAGTCTGTTATTATTGACCTATAGAGCTATTAGAGAGACTGGTTGGGATGCTGGAGAAGGAAGAAACGTACTGGAAGCCCAGGTGCGAGTGAATGAGCATAGCACCACAGAAGATGGCGTCCATGGTGGGGTTGAGAGTGCCAGCAGCGAAGGGAGCTAGTGTGAGAGGGACGAGGAGGACGGAGATGCCACGCTCGGCGATCCAGTGGTAGGAGCTGTGTAGTTTTGTTAGTATCATGTCCCTCGACTCGCGTGTTGTGTGACGTGAGTAGGCTGCTCAAGATCACAGTCCAGAGTATATCCGTCTCCGACAGGTAGTACTCACCCATGCGTAGGATGAGGATCTGGCACTGGCGCAGGGTCATTGACACCTCCATGAACGACCTGTGGACCTGGTGGTAGAATGCTCTTCTTGGTGGTTGTGGTGAATGGTGCTAAGCGGCTCACGATCGGAGAGCTCTGTCGGATGTGTTCTGGTCGCAGTACCACTCTTCTGGCAGGTTGGAAGAGTTGTCTGGCACATCGCATGCCTAGCCTGGTCGTCGATGCCATCCTGAGCAACTGTATCGGACAAAGTAAGCTGCAGTGTAGTGGTCGAGGATTTGGCCTACTCGAACTGTTCAATGCGTTCACGACTCACGTGCAAAGACGGTACAATTGAGGAAGCTGCGATTGGCTGTCTTCGGCTCCTTCCGGGCACACTTCAATTGGTTACTCGGTATTTCTAGGTGGGTCTGCTGAGAACTGGGGCTCGATTCAATCCCCACACTTTCGCATGCGAGTGAAGCTTTGCTGACCATTGTAGGAAGTGGTCGACGAAGAGTCAGAGTTGTGAGATGACCACGTAGCGGATGATCACGGTGCTTTTCATGCCTCTCTTATTGTCGAAAGCGCTACCTGGACCTCCACTACGAATATCCGATCTGACAGGCGCTCCACCTCGAACTCACCAACAATGTCAAAGCGTTCGTGGAATGAAGCTAATAACCTGCCTTCACCTCACTCCTTGCCCGGAGGTTTCAATCAGACGATAACTTCACCTGCTCAATCACATCACTCCCACCATTCCTCAATTCACGCTCCATCACCTAAGAAATTACGTGCCTCATTCGAAGAGACTAAGCCGGTCGCTCCTCGTCCAGCACCTGTAAGGACTGCAAGCATCGTGACTGCGACCAACAATGCAGCCGACTCAAGGTTGCCTGGAATATCGCGTAAGGTCAAGGCCTGCGCAGCATGTCGCAAGCAGAAGATCAAATGTATTATGACTGGTGACCCGCCATGTCAGCGGTGCAAAGAGCGAGGCCTATCGTGCAAGTTGAATAAGAGCCTGCAAACGTTGATGAGCGAAGACTCGAGGTGGAAGGCTTCAGTGACCAGAGACATTACAGCTGTATATGGCTCACTTGAAAGAGTGCTACAACTGCTTAACCTGCCCGAGTTGCCTGCCCTACACTTGTCCACAACGGATCCCGCTATGTTCTTCGAGACCGAAGATACTGCTGGCGCTGATGAAGACGATGAGGAGCCAAGCGACAACCACAGTCCCAAGGTGACTCCAGTCACTGACCACTTGAGTCATGTCCCTATCGAGAGCTTATACCAGATAACTGGTATGAAGAGCTTGCGAGCTTCGGAAAATGTCGACGAAGACCAAGTCAAAATATGCAAGCAACTCAGAGACACCGACTTTGTTTCTCGCGGCATCGTCAAGATTGAGGATGCCGAATATCTTGCTACTTTTTACTTGAACAAACTCGATCCGTACATATGGCATCTCGCTAGTGACTATACTGATCTTGAGTCTTTCAGAAGCCGATCGCCAACGTTGACTGCGTGCATCCTGACTGTTGCTGCCCTCCACGATACTACCAGGAGTCATCTGTATACAGTCTGTGGAAAGGAGTACCGAAGACTAGTTTCGAATGCCATGTTCGAACGAAAGATCGATATTGAATACCTACGTGCTCTTGTCATCGGCTCTTACTGGCTGTCAGACATCTCTTGGACTCTATCGGGATATGCCATACGACGGGCAAGCGAATTTCAGTTCAAGCAATGCTATCAGATGATTGCAGATTCAGTTAAAAATGCCACTAAGGATATTGATCAGAAAAAGTTGGACGAAGCTATGGTTGGACTTCGTATCATCTACCATTTGTACATCTGTGACCATCACCTCTCTGTACTTTATGGCCGCTCAAGCATTATGCGTGACAACGAATCTTACATCATTGGTTGGGAGAACTACCTTTCTTCCCCCTTGGCTGCTGCCGCTGACAGACGTATTGCAGGCCAAATTTGCTTGATGTACCTGATGAATCAGATACGAGAGAAACTTGGACCTGAGGATACGACCGTGCCTTTGCCTGAGAGCGCGATTGAGCACATCATACAATATGAAGCAAACTTGGATGACTGGATTGCTCGGTTCTCGCGCCACAATGCACACGACCTTATCGGACAGTGGCCAAACCAAGGTGCCATCATGCATTATCACTGGGCCAAACTCTATCTAACGTCCTACTCATTACGTGGACTGCCCGAACACTCGGCTGTTATACCGGAGCACTTCCTCGAGTTTGCTAGTGCTGCAGTTGGGGCTGCTACCAACATCATCAACTTACTGCTCGAAGACAAGGATGCACACATGGCACTTGCCTATGTACCTCACCACGTCCATGGTATGATCGCTTTTGCAACCATGTTCCTCCTCAAAGTAGCGACACGGCATGCAGAACAGCTCTTCATTGACAAGAATCACCTTGGTATGCTGATGGGGGCGCTGTCTCGCCAATTCAGGTTGACTGTCGTCGGCAAGGACCACCTGATACATCGCATGGCAGAGGGTGTGGAGAAGATGGCCGATATGCTGACCAGTAAATCACGAAATAGGACACCACACAATGGCTTGGCGGATACCAAAAGCTCGAAGAAGAATGATAGCAACACGGATCAAGTGGACCAAGATGACAGGACATACAGTGAAGATCGTCTGGTCCAAGCTCTGGCTAACGGTCCAGTCAATCCGAGCGCAGGTGTGAACGTCAACTCGAACGGTGTCTTCGATGGTTCTGGAGTCATGATGCACAATTTCGATTTTAATGACCCTTCATTAGGACTTGGGATGCCATTCTTTGATTTTGAAGGGACGACGCTGAATCCGGCGGATGGCAGTATGTGGACTTTTGATACGTGAACGTTTGAGAATGTCTTTATTGTAACGGAGAACAGCCGCAAAAACACTGGTGCATGTATCTTTGGAGGGGCACACAAGGCGAGCACGAAATGAGTCGTGAGGATGTACACGCTTCATGCGCTATGGTAATTGCTTGCCCATTTTGCGTGATGTCTCGAGTGGTCGATCTTATTGGATAAAACTCAGCACCTAAAGCATCAACCCATCTTCTTAGTCGAGGTTGGCTGTGGGAGTACATACGCCTAAGGAAGTTTCCAGATTTACGTTGTGACTCGGGACGTACCATCGAGAAGTGCCGATCATACGTTCAAGCAGCTTGACCATACTGGAGCAACATGTGCCCCAGATATGACGACTATCTATTGACCAATGTCCGAAGGACAATCGTACTGACATGTCGAGAGCGGGAAACATGGTGGTCGAAGCAATGGGCAGCTAACTATACCGAGAATACTCGTGTGCATAATCATGCTGGCAAGCATAGCTGGTCGCGAAGGACGTCATTTGAGAGTTTACAGTTTGGTAAAATGCCTAATGTCCTTGGCGCCCAGCGCAACTCGTTCCAATCAATTGTTTTTACAGGTTCCAAACAGTGCTGGGACGACGTTACTTTGTAGACCTAATGTGTAAAAACGGGAAGCGCTCCACTCAAATGTTCTGATTCCTGTACCTGTAACTACCAGAAAAGTGGATACTAAGACATACAACCTCCTGCCTCGTCCTCGTCCCGCCTCGCTGGTCTTCGTCCCTCATCAGCGAAGCGGAAGCGTATGTCTATAATATAGATCTTTATATACTCTTAACATGTCTCTCAACAGAGGAGATCATACATGCCTGCGAGAGCATAGCTCTGTGTTTGGCCATATCTCAAGAAGTTCTTCGAAAGTCTTGTCCTTTCCTCAAGCAAGATCTTGACCATATGTACTACGAATGAGAACGACTTCACAAGCAGGCAAATCGTGCAATGCCTGGCAGATTTTGAAATATGGCACTTCATAGCAAACACTCGAAGGTTCACAAGATGGCAACTGTATCCTCGACAGTGGCTGTCCGCAGCAGAGTACAACGTCTCCCAAGGAACGCTTCGCAGGGCAATGTTGGCGCCGAACGTCCTGTAACTAAAGCTAGAGCGAGCTCTAGACGCAGAAAAAGGCAAGCCAAAGCACTTCAAACCTTAGATCCTGTGAAGCTTAGAACGCTAAATTCAGCCGATCACACCGTCATGTCAGCGAAAGACTCCGAAAGGCGGTCGGCTCTAGTTGGGAAGGCCGGTACGCGTGCTGAACAAGTTGTTGAACCAGATCTCGAGAACCGACAAGACGACGTCTTAAACACCGAGGCTACGTCTTCAGTCGCTCGACCAGGCGAACGAGGAGGAACAGTACCACAACCGATGGATGTCTCTGCTAGCCCACCACACAACTCCATGCCAACATCATATACGGTGTGCAGTAGCGTCCATAAGTCAGACGCTCCTGCATCATATGGCCCATTTTCATCAATTCATCTGGAGGACAGAGGTAACGGTCAAGTTCATCCTGATTTCCCAGGTCTGCTCACACCACTTCCAAGATTGCCTCGTGGTAAGTTAAGACCAGTTCGAGTAGCGTTCAAAGTGCTTAATATACATGTTTAGTTGCCCAAACTACAAGCGCTACACTACCAGTGCCAACCGCATGCACACCCAACGACAACGACTTCCTCCATGATACACGTCTCATGTACAATATCAGTCATGTTGCTCCTTTCGCAGATCCTTCTAGTATCAGCAACAACCAATTCATCTCTCTCGTCTCATTTGCAACGTCTTATCTGGATGTGAGACACGTTCAGCCTTCCCTGTTCACACAGCACCAGCCGAATTACCATTATACCACTCCACGAAATCCACCGCCATCCGATTGTCACTGCAGTCACCAGATGCCATCGCAACGTCTGCCCGTCCAAGTGTGTGAGAGCCAGTGCTCATATCCAGGTTCGCCTCATACTCACCAGCCTGCTCCTGTAAATTCCCCGCCATTCTCTGTGTATCACACTAATCCCCAAGGTATCGGACACAATAATGCTGGCAGAATATACGACGGTACAATTATGGAAGGCAGCAGCAGTGCCATACTTGGGGACTCTGTGAATCACGGTCACAATCATAACTATAGCTTCTACTTTCCGGTGCCTGGACCTCATCGATGAATGCAAGCTCGAAGGAAGATTCGATTCCCTAATTGAGATTCCACTTGCCATGAAAACATGCCACATCGTATCCTTCCCATATCAGAAAGCGCAGCCTTGCTCATACGAAGTGCCATCATGGACGAGATCTACAATCCATTTCACAGCACGACAGTATCAGAACATGCACCGTTCATCTTGTTGACCAACAAGTGCTTCGTAATGAGGCTCCTATGCCAGAGCTAACTGGTCGGATGGGATTGTTCCTCTGAAACCGATACAATCAAGCCCTAAGTTGTGTCGAGAACCAGCACAAGCACAAGCACATACGAGGTGGACCTCGATGGAAATTTGAAGATATTCCAGGAATAACGCAAGATGCAGAGTGGGAGTCATGGGAGAAGGGTACTAGACGCAAGCTGTCTGAGCGCAACAGGACCACGCCGATCTCGTTGAGATGGAAGTGGCCACAAATAAGTCAGATCAACTGAATGAATGGCCGCACCGGACAGCCTTAGCATTGGCTGTCCTCAACGACGAGCGACTGAGCAGATCCCGCAGGAACCGAAGCCCGTCAGATCCCTTGAAAGACACATATGTCGTCGTCCTGGTATAGACAACGCAAATTTCCCGTCGGCTACCTATGTAATGCCTACAAGGATGTGGCGCCGCATCATTCATACCTCATCAAGCCCACAACTCAAAACACTCGTCCACCACGGCTCCATATTATCCTATAAATACATTCCTGACGTACTTACAATGCTGCTCAGCTCGAAAATACAACCCTGTGTATCTATCCCTTCTAGAAATCGAGGTCGAATGTCTTGGTGATCTAGCACGATTTCAAATGGCGAGAGAGCCAAGGCAATACCTCACGATATCACAGTAGCCCTTTTTAATTTCAGGTGGACGCTGTAACAGCTCGTACGGGCCAGTAGCCTTGGCTCAAAAGATGGGCCTGAAGCAGTGACGAGCCAGGTTGATTTGACGCCTGGACTTGCGTATTGAGCTTGCTTCAATATATATTATGTTTGAAATGACGTGTCTACTTTTCATGATATCCCTGCAAATTGGAATTGTAGCCACGTTCCGGTTAGGAAAAAGTGTCACGATATCTTATTCAAAACACGGACGTGCCACTGACACTCTTGTCGACTGGCAAGGGCGTGGTAGCGTTGATACGAAGGAAATGTATATTTGAGCGTTATTTTCATGACCTCTTCGTGAGACGAATGTTAACGTTGAAGCAGCGTGCGACTGGGGTTCAATGGAACAGGAGATAGTAAGACAATCTATTACCATAATTCTCCTGGCTGGGACAATCTACACGAGTAACCCGTAAATCCAAACTATGTCCTTCCACCAGTTAGTTTCATATACTGCGCCACAGGATTGTCCTGAAGTTCGGTCTCTTCCAGCGCTTCTGGACCAGGACTCAGAACCATCGACAGTCGACTTCTGCGTTTCTCGAGTCGTGGGCTGCTCCATATCTTACTGCTTCTCTTCATTGGTGATGCAACTTTCGACAAAAAGCCTTCACGTGCTTGTGGGTTGGGTGTGTTAGCGGTTGTATTGCTCGCCGTGACGGTGTCCACGTCCATAAGTGGCTCTTCTTCTGGATAGCGAACGTAGAAGTGTGGATGTGATGGGTCAGGCATACTGTTGCGTCGATATGGTGAGCGTGGACTGCTGAGATTACTATATAAGTTGGGATTGTGATCTGCCGCACGACTCATCTCAACACACCACTTCTTGCCAAGAACTTCTCCGGATGGACCCCCGCCGCAGGCTCCTGCGAGCATTGAGCTCTTTGGCGAATTGATGGCTAGAGCGAAGAGGTTTTGTGGCTCGGTATAATCTGTGACCTCACCATAGTGGATGAAGTACCACAGCAGAGTGGCTGTACAGAAGACGTTCAGCACCAAGACGGAGATGAGAATGATGTAGAAGACACCCTTCCAATTCGCATCGTAGCCGGAAGAATAATCTTTATATGATAGCAAAGCCTCGAAAGCTCCAGCCTGCGGGGGTTCAAAGATAGGAGCGAGATCAGAGGCCCCTGTCCAGTAGTGCACAAAAGGTGCTACATCGGACGACATGAGCAGAGTGTAGCCGCCGAGCAGGCAGATACCCTCCGCAATAGACGGAAAGACAGGGCTGAGTTTGGTCCCAGTGTCGTTGGTATATTTTGAGATTGACTGGGTCAAAAATCGTGCGATCGATGCATTACCATCCGAGATTCCTTGACCTAGAGAAAGTGAATTGATCCATTCCATCCCCACGTCTTTCCAATTTCTGGAGTCGACGGTCGATGGCGGTTGCGCCTGCGGTTCTGAGGCGTTCTTAGTCTCCGAGTACTTCTTCCATACTCTCGTGTTGTCGTTGCCACAATGAACTGACAACTGACCACCTGATTTTGTCTCCCATAGAGAGGTACTGCAATCGAGGTGTTGGTACGAACGAACCCCGCATATGGTATAATTGTTGGTTGGACCGATCGTAGATTGATCTGGTTTGCCCAGTAAGTAGATCCATTCTGAACCCCAATTCACAGTGTGATTCACGACTGTGTTGTAGACAATAGGTAATTTCCCGAACCAAGGCGCCCACTGGCCTCCGACCTTGACAGGATCTTCTTGCTTCCAATTGAAGAACTCGTCAAATGGTGTCTCTACTGGCCAATTCTCTGGGTGGTGGCTCGCATTACCTACCAGGAGATTGACCTCCCAATCATCAGCTCCCACGCAGAGAACATTGAGCGCCGGAGCTGGAACGGCAGCTTGCAGAAAATACTCGCCTGATCCAGATAAATCATCGGGCTGCAAGATACGATTCATTTGATCTCTTGCCGCGTGGTAGACGTTGGCATGAGGCATTGCCATGGTAACATTCTGAACAAGTCGCCCGTATTGCTTGGATTGTCTTTCAATATCGCCGTAGAGATCGTTAATCCATTGACCAGTAACAGTTGTGTTCTCGAACAATATCGAGATGGGTAATGGTCGCGGTGAGTTTCCATCCGTGTTCGTGCTCGATGCCTGTCTTTCAGCCCATTTGTTACGCCACGAGCCAAGGTTACGGAAGCCGTTGCCGGCATAGTCAAATTGCAGACACGTATTGCCACGGGCAACGGCATCGGCATCCATTCGCTCAGTGATCGGTGTCTCGCAGTGTTCTCTCAGGTAGACTGAGTTGGCATAGCCAGCGCGCACTTGCCCGAAGAGTATCACAGTTTCATTCCGTCCATATTTGAGTTTTGGCGCAACCAAGGCCTCTGAAGCTGTAGTATAGAAAGTCGCTGCGAATGCGGCAAGCAGTGCTGTAACTCCGAGGAGTGTCCTTGCGACGTACTTGACGCCAACGAAATGGGTCACCAGTGTACCAGGCTGCATGATCCATAGCCTCATATTCATCTCCGCGATGCTAATGCCGCCGCCTGCTTGGTTCTCTCTGGCGAACGCTCTCCGGCTCAATATCTGTCCGAGTGTGGCCACGAACGTAGTTGCAAAGGATAACTCGATCGTCTTGGAGATAAAGGCACTAAGAAAAGTCGCACTGTTATAGGTCATACGTCCCCTGGTACCGATTCTGTGACCCCATCGTGGGCGGGCGATCGCGATGACAAGGAAGGCTGCGGAAAGCAGGGTAGTGTAAATGGCGAGGAAGATGACAATCCAAGTAAGCCACGACCATCGCTCTTTCAAAGGACCTTGCTGCGTCGAACAGCCGATGTGGTCATGAGCATGATCATGATCATGATTGCGAGACAATAGATTGTCTTCCGAGGGGACGTGCTTGTAGGGTTCGTCACGTAAAGATTGAGCAGAAGATTGATGGCTTGGAGTGTGCCACTTATTGTGATAACTAGTATCGATCTCATCGGTATTGCGCGCAGTCAAAGCCTGACTGAGGGGCTCAGAGCGAGCAGAGTCTATCAAGCCAGATGGCTCAGGAGTGCTTCGGCCACCAACTGGCACACGGCGCACAACTGAGGAGGTAGTGCTTTTTGGCAGATTGGTCAAGCCGAGACCACGAGCTTCGGTGTTATCTTCCTCTTCTTCTGCCACTTCTTCTGCAATGCCATGATCCTCCACAGAAACATGCTGGTAGCGTTTTCCTGAACTCTGCCATGAGGGTTGTCTGCGGTAAGGTGTTCGACTTGTGGGGGAGGTGGCAGTATCAGGCTGAACAGTACTACGGATGTTATCCTGGAGCAGGGAGCTCACGTCGTTTTGTGTAGACTGTGCCATGACGGCTGTCCAGATGAAAATGTGATAGCAGGGACATTGTTAAGTTGACTGGACGTCAAGTGGTTTAGTTGAGAGCTTCGAATATGGTCTCAGCCTATGGTGTAGACGAGTATGCATGAGCCATGCTAGATGAGCATATCCTGCAGCCAAAGCATCAGCGGCGCGGGATCGGTCTGCTTGGCTAACCGGATAGGATCGCAACTTTGAGAAATGCAAGGGTTTCGTCCTCTCACAAGAGCGGCAGGAATCACTATTCTTGTCCACATCACGGCACAACCCGTGATGGCGCTGATTCCTTGCGTGATTTGAGACGCCTGACTTGGTAAAGAGTCGGGCACAAAGTGTGTCGTAAGATAATTACGTGGCAGGGCTGAACATCAGTAAATCATTCTTTGTGCAGCACCCAGAGACATTGAGACAGAGGCTGTCACGTCCTCATCAGAAGCGCGATCACGCTGGTGGACGCCCTTACCAGCGTGCCCGGACGTGTTCTTGGTTATGACCCATTCGAGTAGCTGCATGAAACAAAGCCACGAATTTAGCACAAATTAGCAAGGGTCAGGATGTTCTGGAAAAAGCCTGGCACAACTTGAAGCTTACAAGATGGGTAACGCTATTGATACCTCAGGCATCTGAGGCTTGAGAAAGTAATTGTGAACCACAAGAAAGTTGCAATGAAGAACCAGCCGGCGATCAGCTCGTCGTGAAGCTTTGCGGCAGTCATACTCTATGTCTTCCCAGTATATCGTATGAAATTCGACCACACTCAAACCCCGAGTCAAGACGGGCAGGAACAAAGTCACCTGGCAGCGGCGTCTCTAGTACTGATCCAGACTGCATGGCTCCGCCAATGCTGCACGCACCTGCCTGAAGTCCTAAATCCATCTTTGGGACAGAACGCCAAGGAGGCACGAATGATGTAAAGTTGCATCTCCTCCCTTCCTCTCCTTCATGCCATTGCCCAGATGCTTAAGTGGGTTTGGTTGACCACCGTCTGACACCTTCCGGAAGACTTGCACCTTCTCCGCTTGATCCTTGCGGTCCAGGATGGCAACTTCTTCCTCTACCTGGATCCTCGTCTCTTCCCTAGGTAACCGTACCATAGTGCTTCTTCTCTGCCTTGCAAGCCACTACTTGGCGCAATAGCTCTTTCCCTTCAAGGTGCTTGAATTTGGTGACGAACGTCGCGGTAGTGGTGTCTGTACGCAAGACGAAGTCCGAGATACAATCAAGCCGTTGCTGTCAGCCTCTTGCTCATAACCATCGAGCTATCCCTCTGCCCGTCCTTGATTTTGAAGAAAGCCGAGATCGAGTATCGTTTCAGTGAAGCACTATTCGAACGTCCATCGACTCTTGTAATGCGAAAGCGCTTCGCTCTGACGGGGTTCAGCGATTGTGCCACCTTCCTGACTTCGAAATGGCTTGCAGGCAATGCAAACCTCAACGGAAGATCTCATCGAACGGTCTGTGGTCGACGAAACAGCTGTCCCAGACGTCGTTGACGACTTTGACTGCTTGGACATCATCCTTGCAATTTGGCCTCATCTTGACACTGATAATAGCTCGGCGTCTCACACAATCCTGATGATGTCTCTGGAATGCCATTACTCTATTCCTGAAGAATTCATTCGACCATCTGCATTCTCCTGATAGATTACTAGCTCTTATCTCCGCACATGCGACTTTTCGTAGATCCTCATCGGGCCCAAGATCTGTCTTGAAGCGTAGGTGGTCGTATGCGTGGACCATTTCGTGGGCTAGGACATCCTCCAGCATCGATCTCTTAGTAACGTAGTTCGCGCATAACATAATACCATATTTGTGATCAAAGCCACCCAGCTGCCCAGTCTTACACGTCCGGCACCGTATATTGCTGCTATTCAGATCACCTCCTAATCTCTTGATATTGTCCGACATGTATCGTATTAACGGGGACCATTGTAATAGATAATCTCGATGTGACTCGCATTGTTTGCAGTCGATTTCTGAGTATCTGGCGTCCGCGTCTGCCCAATACCTTTCCTGTCCACTTTTAGACATGCTGCCTGTAGCCATGCGATAGAAATTCTTGAAGCGGTTGGTCATGGTATCTGACGGAAGGAAATCACCTCCTTCGCCACCGCTTTGGGCATTTTCATTGGCAGATGAGGTCGTAAAGAAACGTGGTGGCTGCCATGGTTTTGCTCGGTTATGTGGATTTGGAAATCGCTGTGCCTGTGGTTTGGATGATTGTTGTTGTTGCTGCCGCGAAGCAGCTTCTATCAGGTCTGCATTCGTCATTGAGTTCCTGAAGTCGGTGCCTCCGAGCCCGAAAGCGCCAGAGATAGATGAACAGCACGATATTGAATTACGTGTGATGAATTGTGTGTACCAGTATTGATGTCCATGTTCGAACCTTGAGATCGACGCGCAGCTGGTTTAACAAGCTTAAATAAGCGGGCCGATGCTAGTTTCCAGGCTTGCTGGAAGGAGATTAGGGACATCGCTTACTGGCCAATTGGGCTTGCTCAGGAAACTCGTGCCCTTGAAGTGAGAAGAGCTTGGAACATCGGGCTGCCGTCCAGAATAGTACAGCTCCTACCGTCGCTTTGCGTGTTCCAACACAACATAGTATAGCTTTTTCAAGCTCTTCTTGTTACACAGATGCGAGGTTACAGAGCAGCTGACCCGCCATAGTGGCCTGCTCCATCTAAAACTGAACAGGCACTCCTGTACGCAAATCTATAGGTCTATCATCCATGATTTGATGAGTCCACCTTCCCCATGCCCCATGACCCATGCCCAATTCTCGACCACTGTCGAGTAGCTGCCTTGCAGACTTCATACAGCTTCTACTCCTCTGCTGTTTTCATTGCGTTGTTCGACATAACCGTGTAGCCCACGTGGCTTGCTCTCTACACCTTTGCTTGTTCTTGCTTGTTGGATGTGTCGCGTCTCAATCCAATGTACTAGCTGAAGTTCCTACTGAATATGCTTACCTTCTTCCTAGACCCTTCAATGACACGTTCACCCAGCCTTTTGTCGACATCGCGCTCCCTACTGGCGAAGCAGCAAGCACACTCTTGCGAGCACGCAATGTTAGCTTCATGTCGTATGATGCCGATTTCAATACCACCGTGGAAAGTGCCACTGTTGTCGAAATAGCCAGCAGCAATACTTCCTGAGCCTTCGAAGCAGGTATATAGGTGCCCACCCTCAACCAAGTCTGGTTAACTGCCTTCCTCAATCCAGTACCCGGCTATCTTTCTATACTCGACCTCAACAACTCCCGAGTTTTTCGACCGACCTTGACTGGCCCTGCTGCTCATCTACTCGTTAATCCTAATGGCGGTTATTATCATAGTGGGTTGGTCTACCTTAGTTCTTTTGGCGACCCGAAAACTTCTCCGACCATTGTAACCATCGACCCTTTTACTTACGGGACCATCGAGACTGTTAACTCCTTCTATGGCCTTCCACTCAATGGGTCCAACGATATAGCCGTCGCAACCTCGAGGACCACTGCCCAACCTTCTTTGTTCTACTCCGACTTCTATTTCGCTGCTGAAGGACTCCCAGGTGTTTGGTCGGCACCTCAGCAATTACCTAATGCAGTATATCGTTTCCAACCCACCGAACAGAGTTTGGCTATGGTCATCTCTCCTCTTGATGTCCAAACAGCCAACGGCTTGGCTGTGGACAAGAACAATACGGTCCTCTACGTCACTGAAGGTCCTGATTCCGCCGTCTTCGGTCAGTCTACAACAAATCGTCTGGCTCCGCAGGTATCTACAAGTTCGATCTCGGAGGTGGAGATGAATGTACACCTGTGAACAAGAGGGTCGTCGGCCTTGCACGACAAGGTTCTGCGAACAGAGTGAAAATCGACGACCATGGTCGTATTTAGGCCGCCGAGTATGAGGGATTCGTGGTCATGAGTTCAGCTGGCAAAGTATTGGGCGTTTTCAATGCTGTTCACATACTCGAAAACTCGAACGTTACTGATGTGGCACCTCTCGCGAATTTTGCGTTGGTCCGTGATCGACTCATCTGGCTGGGCTTTGACAATATCTATTCTATCAAGTTGGCCCAAGAGGTGAAGACCTGGTTCTGATACTGCTAATCACCCTCATCAAATGAATGCTGTACTGCAGTCAGATGGGCACTGCGTTCATGATACATGGTCGAGCTATCGCATCTGTGCCTGGACACTGTCGCTATAAGCAGATTTGTGGACGAAAGAAACATTATACCTTCAAGCATAAGAGCATGCGCGTAACTGGGTGCAAGTTTTTGAATGCTTGACATCTGGCGTTGTTAGGAGAAAAGCTAAGAATCTTGAGGCGCGATGTGTCGGCAATGCACGGGGTTTTGGTAGGGCTTTTTGCAGATACGGCGTAGACCCTGGTATTACGGTGACAAGTGTCACACGTCTCAGACTTAAGGGTGCGAGTTCTTCTGGTTGGTATGGATGCTCCGGCCGCGAACCTATGCCGCCGCCGCCTGCCTAGAGACGAGAATATTCAGTCTGACACAACCCTGAGGATCTATAAGGCATGCCAAGAACGAAGTGTCATCTGATTCCGACCTACTTAGTGTCGAAGACTCGCATGGCTAGTAGAGAAGCTGTCATGGCTATATAAACTCGTCCGACACTTCGCAGTTGGATCCTTCCTTTCCTTGCGCAGTTCAAAAGACCCAGAAGGACTGCAATCTAGCCAAAGCAGCACTATGCATTCGTCAACGTTTGCATGCACTGAATATATGTACAGGAGCCTTGATATGGACGTTGTTGTGGTATGTGCAAGACTATCACCTCAAGCGTGCACCACGAGGGATGTCGGAGAACAAGTCGACACTACAACAGTACATCAATGCTTTTCACACATGAGGCAGGAGAGCAAGGCACCTGATGCCTTGAAGGGAGAATATGTCCCACCACACAGCCATAGCCGATCTAGGTCTTTGTGCTCTCTGGATGATGGCACTGATCTCGCCTGTCAAAGACTTATGTCAAAACACTCTCGAGCTGGCAGGGTTGTCCTTGCTTTACCTACAGCACTACAAGCGATGGTCTACTACATCACAAACGAGGCAGCTCTAAGGGCAGCATCGGACGTTTCGTCTTTGCAAAATATCTGCAACCTGGACATATGGACGTGCCTCGGAGATGTTACTGAGCACGACTTGAAAAACATCAGCTTCTTGGTCGATGATGGATTTGTGCCAATTGAGAAATTCTTTGAGGCTTTACGCACTTTTGCGAACAAGACAAAAGTCGAGCTGACTCAAGAAGTTGAAGCTACACAGCTGATTGAAAGCCGTGCCTGGCCGATCCTCCAGAAGGTGGCGCAAGTAAATGCTGATGGAGATTGGACAGAAGGTGCATCTTTCCTGCCGGCTGACTATGGAGTCCCTAACAGGCAGAGGTCTCGCGCTGACACTGCGCCCTTCTCCAGGAATTATGGTGTCTGCCGGCGACCAGTGATACACTCTCAGACCAGGTCTATGGAACTACCTCGAACGTTGCCAAGGATCAGCGGCATACAGGATTCTGCGAAGTATTTGGCTCAGTAGATCGCTCGATAATACATGCTCATGGATCTGGCACTCGGAAGCGATGTTCCTGAACCATGGGACCTATCGGGAGTACTGTCATGTCGGGTGAACTCAAGGCTCATTTGCATCGTCGATCATTTCCTGTATTCTTTTAGTCTGACTCATCTGCGGCTAGGCAATCACGACAGGTGGACCAATATCAGCGTGTAAGCACGAGCAGAAAGTGGCATTTCCTGAGCTAGAAGGCGTTGGTTGACATGTTTTAGGCAGGCGTAGTGAGCTTGCAGTGCACGTCCAGGCAAACATAGCAGTGGATTCGTGTTAGTGGTACTTTATGCTCAGGACGCCTTTTTGCCTGGTGGGTGATGGTGTACAGCCACCACAACCTTCCATTCGCAAAAGTGCTGCAACCTAGATTGATGCCTGTTGTAACCAGGACCAGGACGTTCTGTAAACGTTACGGTCAGAATAGAATGCCTTTTAGCTTCCGTGGTCTTCGAGATCACCAAGCGGATCGAGTCAACACAGTGTAAAAACAATCGCCAAGAAGAATTTGATCTGCCGGAGTATAGTAGCCGCTATCTCGTGGAGAGCACAAGTAGACTACGGCCACGCACCTCTCCTTGCATCCACAGGCGGTCAATAAACTTTTGGGTTCTGGAAAACAGCTTCACAAGGCGAAGGGCGCGAAGGTTCAGTTTGATATTCGGACAAGATCATGGGAAAATGATAGAAAGCTCGTCTTCACGCACACAACACAGACGCAGGCGAAGACTGCCACCATGAAAGGCCAAAAGCGTTTGACTATTGTCATCAAAGTCGGTAAGAGAACAAACGATCCCCTAAAAAAAGATCCCACAAACTCACAATATACCCCCAAAACAGGCAGCTCGTCCATAGTCGACGAAAAAACACACGAACCCATCCTGCCCATCCTCTCACTCATAGTCGACACAGCCATCAAACTCCGTCGCGCCGGTCACCGCGTCGTCATCGTCTCCTCGGGCGCCATAGCAGTCGGCCTCCAACGCATGACCATCGCCAAGAAACCAAAACTCCTCGCTCAGAAACAAGCCCTCGCCGCCATCGGTCAATGCCGACTCATCGCCATCTGGGACAGTCTATTCGCGCACATGAACCAGCCTGTGGCACAGGTGTTGCTGACGAGAAACGACATCGCGGATCGGTCGCAGTACCTCAATGCGCAGAATACGCTGAACGAGTGTCTGGCGTTTGGGGTTGTGCCGATTGTGAATGAGAATGACACGTTGAGTGTGAGTGAGATTAAGTTTGGGGACAATGATACGTTGTCGGCGATTACGGCGGCGATGGTGAATGCGGATTATTTGTTTTTGATGACGGATGTGGATGCGTTGTATGATAAGAATCCGAGGGCGCATGCTGATGCGAGGGCGATTGAGGTTGTGGAGGATATTGATGCTTTGACTGTGGATGTGTCTTCGTCGGGGTCGGCGTTGGGAACTGGTGGGATGGCTACGAAGATTACGGCGGCACGGTTGGCGACTAGTGCGGGTGTTACGACTATTATCACGAAGAGCAGCAAGCCTGGGAATGTAAAGGAGATACTGGACTATCTGCATCCTCGGGAGGCTCCAGTGCAGGGGACCGTGTTCACAAATGGAAGTGTCCTTCCTGAGCGACAGGCACCTCTACATACAAGGTTCGTGCCGACCGGAGTGCCGATGCGAAATCGAGCGTTTTGGATTTCGCATGGACTGGTGCCACATGGGACGATCTATATTGACCGAGGCGCGGCAACTGCTCTGCACAACAAGGCTGGTCTATTGCCAGTTGGTATTGTGGAAGTGAGCGGCACATTCGCCCAGCAAGAAGCTGTGAGACTAGTGGTCGTTGACAGACAGCCAATCGGATCGCTCTCACCAGCACCATCTGATGAGCCTGGTCAAAGAAACTATTTTACTCTGCTGTCGAAAGGAGAAGAGATCGGACGTGCTCTGGTGAACTATAGCTCTGAACAAGTTGCTCTTGTCAAAGGTCTTAGAAGTACCGAAATCTCGAGAGTGCTTGGATATGCTGACAGTGAGTATGTGGCATACCGAGAAAACGTGAGTCTCAACATAGAACATCGAAGCAGGCCGGAGACGCCTGTTGGAATTGGCAGCAGGACACCTGAGGGGAGCATTTCAGATCTGCGAGATTTGAGGACCGAAGTTCTGGCTGGCATGCATAGGCGGGAAACGAGCATGGATATGCAGGACTTGCAATCTCCTCCCCAGCAGGTGCAAGACCACTTGCAGGAAACTGAAGAAGTGGAAGTCGCGAGGACCATAGCTGAGCACTAGCTCTTGCTCTTGGTTTCGGCACGTCCTGATCAGCAAACGTGTCAAAGGGCAGGCTTGTGATTTGGGTGAAATGTTCCAACACTTTTGCTGGCCGAGACATGTGTGCATAGTATTGGCGTTTGAAACTAGCATCTTCCTAGCAGTAAGGCTGTTAGCGTTGCGAACACTTCGTGTTGAGTTCATTCTCGGTTGAAGCGCAAACACGAAAGCATAACATAAGTATGGAAATCAGCCATAACGCCAACCAGACAAGACGTTGGAGACAACAACAACAACAATGACAACACGGTGACAGAATGACGACCTGTGAACCCCTCAATCTTGCATAATGAAAAAGCTTCCATTTGTATTCTGAGTTGATCAGTGACAGATCTTTCTCCATGAGAATTCGGATAAATACTCACGCACTGCAGACGTCAAAGCTGTCAGAACGGCCTCAGGCGGGTGTCAACAAGGTAGTTGCCGTTGTCTCCGACCAATCATCGATGGAAGTTGGTGCTGTGGATTTACAGGTTCCCAGGAAAGTTATTGCAGGTACACATCCGTGTGAGTGGTCGTGTGCGTCGTTCCTGCATCTTTGTGCAGTGAGGTGTGACAAGACCCTGTAGAGGGGGGCACCCGTGGTGGGTTTGTGTCATGTTTAAGCGAGCCTTGTCATTCCACAATGCAGGTACTTGTGAAGGTCTCGCTTCCACTGAGGCCATATTTTCCCACGTGAAGTCCAAAAATTCAGGCAGTGCGGGCTTGGCCAAGTACGAATTTCACCGTGAGAGTGAGACAAAGAACGTAAAGAAGCAGGTTGTTAGCAGACATTATCAGACAGTAAATACGTTGAGCAAGCCTATCGAGTGCTGCGCTGCTCCAAATGACGCCCCCAAAGCCTCGTGGTTTAGGCTGTTTCGTTCTCCTGAGCTACACACCAGATCTCGTACTCCTATGGCACAACAACGTGGAAAATTCGATTCGTCGAGCGTGTCAGATGGAATTATCCGAACATCTTCCCTACTCTAGTCTGAGTTGTTCAAGTGTCATTGCGGTTCGAGGTTCTGACTCGAGGTCGCAAACGATATCTCCATCCGATTATGCTAGCCCTGGTGAGCTCAGGGGTGGCTCACAGTGTCCCCCCGTTTGATGTCGGTGCTCTCCTTTTGGATTAGTTCGACTTAGATCTTGCTTTAGCATTATCTGGGATCTCCCTGGCCAATGTGCATCAAAGCTTCGAAGATTGAGTCAGCGCCGTTGACGGACTGTCTCCTGCCCGTCATTTTGAGCGCATACGACTTGCCATATGTAGTGGTGCTAAGCTGAAGTTTTTTTTTGGCGTGGCTTTTAGAAGTGCTCGAGCACTCTCTCCGCTTTGTGCGATTTCTACTGTGCGCACAGACTTTCTCCCACTGGCGTCCTTGCTGGAGGCGGTTGGTCGGTCCACAATTGTTAGTGGAGGAGATCCCTTGCCCACATGTGTTTCGTCGTCCCTTGGTCTGCATATGCTCCTTGCACCTCGCGAATGCGCAATTCTTGATCGCTTGCAGTATATCGGAAGTGTACCTATTCTTGTCGGGCGATGACTGCCTTGGTCCTCTGAGCAGGAGTCGTCTTTCCGCGCTGTCGTATGCTCTAGAGTCAGCACAGCGCTTGAGACTCTCAATCGCCGTCGCGTCCCTCGAGGTTGGCCTCTTTCAACAACATCATCATCGATAGTCAACGTTCCCGATCAGCCCTTCGTCGAATCAAGGTGCTCACCGACTGTTCTTACCGAGTCTTGAACAATATCGCTTACTATCCTTGTCCTTTGGCTAGTCGTTACAGCACGATTTTTATCCGAGACCACGAACACTATCACTATGGGGAACCTTTATTGACATTGAGAAGAAGCAACGCGGCCATCGTCGTAGAAGGAGAAGAGAACATAGGCACAATACTCAGGGCGGGCATCAGTGGAGGGATCTGAGCAGTTGCTCAAGGACTGTAAACGACACAGCCGACCAACGTACTCACTGCTAGTCTATATCAAGATTCGCGAACCTACCTATCGCACGACTTCCTTACCCTCAAAAGGCAACATCGATTCATGTTTTCTTCAAGACTACAATCGAGGTAAGAGGCAAGGGAGTTGAAAATGAGTGTGCCATATCTGGGCCCTGCCATAAACCGCAGGTTATCAAGGTCGAATTCTACGTCCTCCTCCGTGGCTACCCTCAAACCTACAGGCACGAAAGTTGGACTCTCAACATCGTATTTGAGCGCCAACAATAAGGCAAGGCCGACAAGCTCGGATTCAATTGGACGACACTTCAATACGTTGGATGCAGCAGCCGAGCAGTCGACGATGGATGGTACAGAGGACCGAGGCAGATCACCCAACTTGAACATTAACAGATGGTCGCACTCGACTTCTTCTAGTGTTGGCATGATCGACTCCGAAGTTTTGCGCCAAGTCGCCGGCAATGCTGCTCCTGCTCGTTCGTTGCAGCCAGCCCTGCCCACGAAAGCTCCTCTGGTCTCCAAGTATCAATCCTCCCGACAGCCTAGCGAATCATCTATGATTGTACCCTCTCCCACTCGAAGCCCTGGTCGGTATCTGAAAAGCAGTTCGAGGCAAGCATCGAGTGACCAAATCTCTAATCTAGCCTCAACCCCCGAGGCCGAGGTCCTCCCCCACGGTCCCACTGCCAGTGGCTATTTTGGGACAACTATGGTTGATCATTCAAGAGGCGCAAACAAGTATGGACAACCAGTAGAAGGAATAGCTCTACAGCTTACCTCTGGTCCCTCGAGGCAAAGGAGATTGGATCATAACAAATTTGGAAATGGGTTGTATCAGACAACAAATTCTAGCCACATCAGTCTGCAGAAAAAGCCCAGTCAGGGCCGGAGGAGAGACCGATCTCAGAATAATACGACGGACATAGTTGCTGGAAAATCTAGAAGGAGTAGCACTGGCAAAAGAGGTGACCATCGAAGCCCTACGCAGAAGAACATGCTTTCCCAAGCATTAGCAAAAGCCAACCAGGCCGTATTGCTGGACAACGCTCAAAATATTCATGGTGCGATCCAGGCGTACAACGAAGCTTGTGACGTTCTCGAACGGGTCATGATGCGAAGTAACGACCCTGACGATTGCAAGAAACTCTCTGCGATTCGCACGACTTACTCGACCAGGATAGCAGAATTGTATGATCTGGACGATTCTTTTGACTACCTGAACACCGACAAAGAACTACCAGAAGCTCCGGTCACTACTCGCTATCTGGAAGGACAAGACCGAGTAAGCTTTGAAGATCCAGAAGACGATGAGCCTCAAAGCGAACTCACAAACCACGACCCTCGGACAGTCGTGCAACTACCCCCACGGCAGGAGTCCCTGTTGCCGTCAATATATGGAGGGGAAGAGTTCATAGAACGGCAACCACTTCCATTCGAAAGACGACCCTCTCCATCGAACAATTTGGCCGTACCCATGGATGCTCAATACATGCCTCCACCACTTTCACCAAGGCGGCCACTCTCTCCTGTCACCACAGACGATCAATCTACACCAATTGCACCTGTGCAACCAAACTCAATGTTAGAGTTACCAGGTCAACGTCTCAGCTCGGGCTCGATTTCCTGGTTGGACACAGCAGGCGACGAGAACAACTCGTCTGTAGCGTCCTCACCGCGTTCGTCCATGGATGTTGCAGGCAGAGATAACGAGTTGATGTCGGCGATTGAAGCAGATCTCGATGCCGCAGTAGAGGCAGCATATGGAGATGATTATACCACAGAAGCTACACCTAGGCCTCCAGAGGCCGCAGAAATGCCTCCGTTGGGGAACCAACCATCTCCAGAAGTCGAACCATTAAACCCAGAGTATGAATACCTTACCCGGGACTATCTTGATGCTGAAGCTCAAGAAGAGGAGGAGCTGTTGGAAATGATGATGGCTGACGGTTATACCATGGAGGATCAATACCATCATCCTGGTGCAATGTCATCCTTACCACGACAGTCCGATTCTAGTGGATTTTCTGCTCGATCGTCAGGAAGAACGTGGGAGAGTTCGGCCACTGCAGCCACACAAGGAACGGCCCTCAGCACACTGGCGGAAAGCCCAGAAATTCCTCAGCAAGAAAGTTTTGACTTTTCGAAAGAAGACGAGACCACCCTGCCAGCACAGGATGTCAGTGTACTGGCGCAGAAACAAGCCTCACCCCTTCCTCCTTTACCAGTCACTGACAAGCCTGCCACTTTACCATTACGAGACCGACGCTTATCTGGACAAAGTGCCAAGCAGCTCAAGATAGAAACTTTTGCTCGCAGGCTCTCGATCAGTCAGCAAGAACAACCGGCTCAAGCACTGTTGTTGGAGGTGCCATCGGAATCAATTCAATATCCTGCGTTGATTCGAAGTGCTTCGAATACAAACATGAGTGTTAGCACCATGCCGATAACTCCTTTAGCCTCAGTGCACTCGTCAGATTCTACAACGGACTCGATAGGAACTCCCGGACTGACCCAGCTGCTTTCGAGTTCGACTAATGCGGATGATGTTGCAGAGTCGCAGCTTATGGATACGCACCGTATGCCACCACCAGCTCGCAAAAATACCTCGTCGTCAAATTTACGACCGAGAGATCTCTCCCTAACTACAGCCGACCTCAACGATCGTCCAAGTACGCCCGCAAGTGCTCTCTTTACTGCACACTCAAGATCAGCCACCTCAATCACGACTCCTGTGGTGCCTACTGTCAGTCCCAATGCGCTTGCGAGCACAAGCGTTGGCGGCTCATACATATTCGATCATATCGCAGAGCCTAGGTCGCCGCAGAGTCCACAGTCTACGACGAGTGATCGAAACGAACCACTGCCACTTGAGCCATGTCCTGAATCATTTTTGCTTCGACCCTTTTGGCTGATGAGATGTCTGTACCAGACTCTTGCTCATCCGAAAGGTGGGTTCTTGACGACGAAATTGTTCGTACCGAGAGACATCTGGCGTGTACGGAACGTCAAGATCAAGGCCATTGATGAGAAGATCGGACATTGTGATTTACTCACGGCTGCTCTGCTCAAGCTTGCTAAGGTGGATACACTGGATGCTGATGCAGTTTTGGAAGAGCTTCAATCGTTTGATGCCATCATTGATAACGTTCGACAAGCACTGGGAAAGAAGCTGGGCAACGATGTTGGACTTTCGGGGTCAATGATGGCAATGAATAAGTCGCCCTTAGGCGAAGAGCACGAAACGACTGGACTCAAGACAGCTGCATCGGTAAAGTCGATAGCATCTGGTTGGCGCAAACTGCGATCGAAGTCATCAGCTCCAGCACTTACACCCCAAAATCTTGCAAGGAGGGACACAGCCAATGACACGACACTAGCAAGTCTACCGATGACGGGTCGCGCAAACGTGGCAACCTCGAGAAGCTACAAAGCACAGAAACTTCCACCACCAACACCAGTTGGCATGCCGCACATTCTACCTCAACATGCGAGCTACATGTCTTCGTTAGCTCGCTTGTTTGATGCAGTTCAGGTACTGGATAGCATCGCGCGACAGGTCGAAGATCCTGGTCTGAAGGCAACAAACAAGACTCAGGTTGGTCTAGAACTAAGCATACGTGGTGCGGCTGAATTTTTCAGCTTCTATGTAATAAGGTTCGCAATGGCAGATATTGGTCTACTGGTGGACAAGTACCTGAAAAGGAACGGCGAATGGATAATGTTATAAGTGATACCCACATCAAAAGCGAACAGAGACGTACGAGGCGTCTAGGAGAGAACCACCATAGTCTCATGTTAAGTGGGAAAAGGGTTGGTAAGGAATTATGTGTATAGGCATTGGAGACTTTGTTGCTGCATACTAGCATGTACCAGCCATCGATTGAATAGCGGGCTTTTAAGCAGAAAGCATCTTAGAGAATCAGACTTATTAATCGCTACCATGATCGACTCTTGTTGCGCGGAGCAGGAGCAATGTCCGAAATTCTCCCGATGCTTGAACTTTCCTGCCAATCACGCTATTTCTTGGCTGCCGTGATATCAGTTCTGCAAAAGGACACCAGCGGCCCAACATTCTAACTCTGTGCTGTCAAGACTTTGTGTTCTTGGGCGATAGCATTGCTGCTTGACTCTTGCTTGTGCACATAGCCCAAACATCAAGTGATCGCAATTTAATCTTTACGGAACCATGGCAGATAGAAAGACAAGCACAACGGACTCACATAGCTCGCCTACCATAGAACTCATGAGACTGGACGACAAGCACATCCACGAGTCCAAGTCACCACAAAACACTCATGCCAAAACACAGCATGAATTACAAACACCCATCAACAACGATGACCTCGAAAGCACATCCACATCAACCACATCAACCACATCACCACCACCATCATCAGACCCAACAGCCCTCCAACACTGGAACAAACCCCGCGGCAACATTGCCCGCTTCGCCGCCTCCTTCTACGCCATGTTCGTCTTCGGCCTCAGCGACGCTGCCTACGGCGCCCTCCTCCCCTACCTCGAACAATACTACAACCTCTCCTACACCGTCGTCTCCCTAATCTTCCTCTGCCCCTTCGCCGGCTACGCCATCGCGGCCTTCACAAACTCCTGGTTCCACCATAAATTCGGGCAGAGGGGGATCGCGCTCGTTGCTCCGGGGTGTCACGTCGTCGCGTATATCGTGTTATCGCTGCATTTGCCGTGGCCGGTCGTTGTGTCGTTTACGTGTCTTGCGGGATTTGGGAATGGGCTGATTGATGCGGCGTGGAGTAGCTGGGCGGGACATATGGAGGCTGGGAATATCTTGGAGGGCTCATTGCATGCGTTTTATGCGTTGGGGTGTACGTTTTCGCCGTTGATTGCGACGAGTTTGGTGGTGAGACGGGGGGTGCCGTGGTATTATTTCTATTACATGTTGACGGGGTTGTCTTTTGTTGCGCTGATTACTTCGACGAGTACGTTTTGGTCGAAGACGGGGGCGGTGTATGTTAGGGAGCATCCGAGGGTGCCTGGGCAGAGTAGTACGAAGTTGGCGTTGAAGAATAGGGTGACTTGGTTGTGTTGTGCGTTCTTTTTGATTTATGTTGGGGCTGAGGTGGCGCTGGGTGGTTGGATTGTTTCGTTCATGTTGCATGTGAGAAGGGCGACGCCGTATGCTTCGGGGATTATTGGTACGGGATTCTGGGCTGGCATGACTGTTGGCCGGAGTCTGCTTGGAGTTGTCACGCACAGTCTCATCACGTATACGAATCAGCCTCACAAGTCTGGCTTATTCCATCGACTACGGCTCACGGAACGCTCGGTTGTCACTGTGTATATTGTCTGCGCTATCGGTCTAGAACTGCTATTTTGGCTCGTGCCTTCAATCACAGCCTCTGCGGTTGCAGTTGCGTTCCTGGGTATGTTTTTGGGACCCATCTTCCCAAGTGGGATCATCATGGCGACGAAACTGCTGTCGAACCATTTGCATATTCCGAGTGTGGGCTTCAGTACTGCGCTGGGAGGTACAGGAGGTGCCATCTTTCCATTTGCTGTAGGTGCGATTGCACAGGAGAAAGGTGTACAGGTACTACAGCCTGTTGTTCTTTCCATGTTGGTTGTTTTGCTGCTGGTATGGTTGTGCTTTCCGAGGTTGAAAGTCCACGATAGAGCAGAATGAATCGAAACACTTTTTTCCGAGAAAGAGGAAAGCATGATGCGCCCCTGCCAATGGCTCCGAAGCTTGTGTAGATGGGCTAGGCTCTCGTAAATTCCGCTCCACATTTTGTCCGTGGATGGCATCTGGAAGGCAGGACAAGTGAATGAGAATGGTCTGAAAGGTCGCCTTTCCGCTGCGAGTCGTTCAAGGTTGAACTTTGAAGACGTCCATGTCTCCAGTTGTAATAGGAGGGATCTATGACAGCCTTTCTAGCCTCCTCATTCATTATTTTCTTCTCCTGTGCTATTGAGAATCCCTAAGCAAACAAGCTTGCACAAAGTCCTGACCAGCCTTCGTCTGTCTCAATCTGACTCTTTTACGTCAGAACGACTTGCGTCAGAGTAATGGCTAAAATCGTTGTAGTCATCTCCTTTCTCACATGGTTCGGTCAGATCATGTACATGAAATTTGCACAAGTCCCGTGCAGCGAAAGAGGATGACCAGTCGTAATCAGGCCATTCGTTGTTGGCCCAATGCGCAGCCAGAACTAGCGCCACGACCTCTTCATGAGGAAGCCGTCGTAGGATATTCTCGAAACAGTCCGTGTGTTCGTCTGTGGCTCGAGCATAAAGCTCGTTGGGATATACACCGCGTTTGTAGGTCCACAATATCTCTGGCGCAAGCAGACGATACAGCAGGATGTCGCGCATGTCGGCCTCTCCAAGGACGAGCAACACGCCAGGATGCAGCATACGCTTCCCAGCATACGCGACGAATTTGTCAATAAGGCTATTCGCGACCTGCTCGGCTTTGTATTTGATGGCAACAACCCACGCTAACAGATACGCCTCAACCCGTGCGGTCTGCTCGCGACTACAGCTGTGGTCTACGTCGGGTAGTTTCGGGACGCAGCCTGTATAGGCGTAGTACAGGACGTCTGCGATCGTCTTTGCGTTGTCTTCGGGAAGCACGAACGTCTTCGTCTGCGATTCGATGAAACCACCACTAAAAGAAGTCAGCATGAAACCAGAGATTCTCCTGGATACCTGGAGGCATATCAAGTATTCAGCCACTGGCTGGGCCGTAGATGTACTTGCCTATTCAAAGCGTGTTCAAAGTATGGTATCGCCATGAGAATGTCGCGGGGAACAAATAAGTCTTTCTGATCTGAGCCGACTCTGAGTGTGAAAACCTCTCCAGCGAAACCTCGAAATTCGTCGTCCATGGCTGCGGTCGAACTCAAGTGCGTAACGGCGAGCAAGTAAGTTCTCACTAGAAAGCGCAGTACTGTATCGTAGGCGACGGGGATATCAACAAGCTTGCGTAGGCGACATTTCCACAGAGGCAGAAGTGGATCGTGGTAGCGAAAATTTTCTTCGGCCTCGAGACCTTCACTCCAGGAACGATAGTCCATTCACTAGAGAAGGGTGACCACATGTTGAGGGAATATCGTGGTAGGTGTTCATTCCCGCTGACAACCCACTCTCCATGTCCCGCTTATATTTTCCTTCGTCTAGATCGCCGCACCTTCGAGATGCTGCATACACATAATTGTGTTTTCGTGCTAACACTGCCAATGGTCATAGAAGTGCTCGTCACAGCGCTATTGGAGCGACACAAGTGTAGAGTGACCTTCAAACCCATCTGCTGCTATCAAAACATCGGTCAGCTTCAACTGTACAGAACTTGATTTAATGCTGCTGCTCAATCATCTACAACGATCTTGCTTTATTCTTCTGCCTCTCGACAAGATGAGCTGCGGCCCAAGCTTACAACATCCTTCATCTCATCCTGAGCTCCTTGTTTAGCGCCTCAAAGAATTGATCAGTACAACATGGTCTGTCATCTCGACAATCACAAAAGCTGATGTGGACACCGCACTCTGGAGGAGCTCTGCTCAAGTCGGTGCGACGAGCGTTCGCTGGTTCGTGATCAGCATGACGGAAAGTTTTCAAATCTTACCTACTACCCTGTCCTGCTTCGGTAGTTTACTGATCTCATCACGATCACATTTTGTCCGACCGCGTACTGCTATTGGAAGTAAAATCAGTATTTCTCGTCGTAGTGCTATCAGAGCAGATTCAAACATGTCTCAATTGTGCATGAGAATCTGCTTGCACTCGATTGTTGGTATAATGCTTCAATGTGAACGATACGAAAACTGCGTGAATATTAAGGGAAGTGTTCTATGAGTTGCACGCGTGGTGAGGAGATCGCACGCGTCGTTTGCCAAGACCAGAAACCTGGGATTCGACCTTTTACTTCAAGTTCTAACGAAGCGAAGCACTTGCGACACAGTGCTTGTTAGTTGATACTGCTCTCGCGTCTGTGTCGGTCTCGCGATCGTGACACATCAACTGGGAAGTAGTCAGATCTAATAATAGTGGCTGAGAACGGCGAGATTTGGCTTCACAACAGATACAGTTGCTTCCGTTGTTCCTCTCCTTGGTGGATCTAAAGGTCTGGTTGAACGGGCCTGCAGGGGACCTGAGCACACGGCAAACGCGTCCCAAGCAAGTCACAGGGAGGACTGCGAAAGGAAGTCGAGTTTGATAGAAGGTCGTGTGGAGGCTTCATAAGAGATATGAGCGACCATGAGTGGGTGCAAAAGTGTCTCTAATTCGTCATTAACAGCACCGAGCACAATCGTCTCGATAAGCAACTAAAGCAAAGACAAAATAGATGCCAATGACACTTCTCGCACTTTTGACCGAAGGAGTACCACTTCGCTGTACATAACAACTACATCAAGAACTGCAACGTGACTGAAGCAGTCCTATGAACAGTATAGAAGCTCGACGAACAAGACTACCGATGTAATTACTACCATCAGTCGCTCACCGTCCGCACCTTCGAGACTACAGACAACGGCCCTTCTCTTCCTTGGATTGGAATAATGTCGTCGCATCTTGCACAACACAGACTCTTGTTCCATTGTCTGAAAGCACAATGTTTCCCTTGTGCTAGTTGATATGCAGGATCATTGTCTTGAGCTTGTAGGCATCGTCATGGCTACCAAGAAGTTCCAAGGAAGCAAATATGTATATATATTGATTGCCAAACTTCATCTTCCCTGTACAGTATATCCAGAACACACAAAATCAAGCATTCAATCCCAAGACAGAACATCCAAACACGAACAAGTTTATTCAAAGTCCCAAGACAATCAACATACCAACACTTCCATCACCATGTGCAGATACGCGATCGTTCAATACAGCTGCGGCTGCTGGACTCCGGACTACGTCTTCATTGAGTGTCCACCAGATCAATGTCGAGGTCAGGTCTACAGCCGCCATGGTCATTCAAGCATGCAGAGATGTCCCCGTCACGCAGACCCGAGCAGCCCAAGTCGTGATCATGGACGAAATCCGAGAAGTTCCTCGAACAATCGCGAGAACCCGTGCTTTCGACTCGCTAGCTGGGGTGATCGTTCCCTTATGCGGCAAGCAGATGCTCTCAACGATCATGGTGATAGAACCACCCCACGAGGTCATGTCCGCCGAATAAGCGAGCAGTATCGAGACCAGCGGGGAAGACCACGATACAGCGACACCGAGTTCATGAACGACTTACGGGAAAGTAGCACATCAGGTCATCGACGAAGTAGCTCGTCTACAACGAGCAATAGCCGGCACAGGTCATCCCCAGGAAGCAGCAGCCGATACGAGTCATCTTCTGGGCGTAGTGGTCGAAGAGACTCATCTTTCCGAGATCGCAGACGAAGCCGGTCGCCTGATCGACGAAGTGGCACGCCTCCTAGACGGAACAGAACACCTCCCAGACGGCGTTGATTGCCTGAGGTCACCATCCTCTATGTCTCGTTAACGGCACAGCTGAGACCTCAAGGCCAGTATTGAGTGGTATGAAGGTGTGCATATACACCCACTATGCAACAGATAATCAAAATCCCAGGTAAGTGGCTTGACTGTGAAAATTGACATCTTACTTTCTGTGTTAGGGAAAAAAGGTAAAAGAAGAAAAGCCGTCGAAAGGACTGTGCTAAATACAAGAAGAAAAATATATGTAAGTTGAACTAAAATCTTCGAGAAAATTATGTGCTTCAATCCATTGTTTCAATGTGCAAAACGTTATGTATTACATAATGACCGCGTAGATGAAATCGACCTGCTTTCACAGATGATGATTGATACTGCGCTCTTTGCGCTATTGCAAGCTAAGAGTATGGTGAGAGAAAATGCTGTGAGTGAAACCTCTGCGGGTAAAGATGATCGAACTCGATGTTTGTCAAGATTTAGAGGCTCTGTTGTCAATTTCGACGACTTTCCACAATCATCGGTTCCTGTTGTATCTTGTCACGATCAGATGTGCCTGATGGTTAACTGTAACTGTTTACAGAAGAGGTCCGCATCAAGGTCCGAACGTGGTATTCACGGGTTGAAAGAAGAGCAGTCAAAGCTGAGGCTTTCTTCTGTGTGGTAGGCCGCTATCTCAGTTCTCAGGCTATACGATGCTATACTGTTTATTCCATTGTACTCTCCTCAAGACAATGAACCATGCCTTTTTACGAAGATTCTGGTCAGGGGAGCTCATGCTGTTCACTCAAAAAACCTGGCGACGTGTCATTGCCTCATCCTGATCGCGACGATCCCATGGCGGGAGATCGCCCCAGATTGCAGGCTCATTCGAGTCGCCATTCTCCAACTCTTTCGTGCACAGAGCGGCCTTGATTCTGTTGACCATATCCCACTCCTGGTCGTTGAAGAGACTCCTATCCCATGTATCGACAATCCGACGTATCTCCAACAGAATGGCATCAGCTTTCTCACATCTTGGTACAATCATCTTACGATTGGCTCGTTGAACATTGCGCTTTTGCCAGATATCTATGTCCAGGGCATATCGTTCGCGTATTAGTTCTCGCAATCTTCGAATGTTTTCCGCGGAAGCATTGTGTTCCTTTTCCAGCTTACTTCGTCTCTCTGCATCGGCACGCTTCCTCAGCCTTTTTTCTCGTTTCTCTGCATCGACACGCGCCTTTAGCTTTGCGGCAGCTTCGTTTTCCTGTAATACCTGAGCTAATCGCGCTTCTTCAGCCAGGCGTTGCTGTTCAGCATACTGCTGGGCGGGGTAAGGCTGTTGGTTTCTGGGGACAGCCGTCGCATAAGCGTCCCTTCGAAATACTTCCAGTTCAGCAGGCCTATGATAACTGTCTGGATGATTTGGAACGAGGGGAAGTGGTTTCCGCTGTACACCATAGCTTTCATGGTCTGAATCCGGCTGAAACGAACCTGGATTGTATGGCGAGAGAGACGGAGAGAACGACCGCGACGTCTTTTTCCTCCTGAACAGCCTCTTGATTCGCCAGTAGCAGTTTGGCATGCTTGCAAGACTATTCTCGAGGTTACTAAGTTTGCACAAGGCTATCGAATCCTGAGACTTGACAATCGACCCTCAGAAAAGAGACTGAAAGATTTGTTTGGCCAATGGTATCTTTTGGCTGTGCTGTTGGGGTTCAATTACCGGTGCATCAGGAAAAGAAAGCGAAGGGGGCGTAGTGCTGTCTTTCAGGACCAGGTCTCTCTTTGCAAGCGAGTGTGGCCATGCAAACTCATGCACTCTTGTGAAGTAACATGGTCTGGCTTACGCAGTTGATCCATGCATGAACTCATCAATGAGCCGCTACAGCCATTCATTTCCTGGTATCTGTGTTGTCGGTGTGATCGATATCACACGTGGTACATTAGTCAGTGATGGTACTGCAAACCTTGCAGTTGTTGTAACTACAGTCGGCTAGCATCGATGTCTCAGGTGTGCTGGCGAACTCTTTGTAGATCCGTCAGACCGAAGAACGCCCTTGGTCAGCCTAACGAGCGGAGCGCGAAGTTGTTTGAAAGGCGACCAACTATTTGCAGAGCATACGAAGCCTGGCAGCGCTGCTGGCGCAGGAAAATCTTGGACTCCAGGCTACACGCGACGTCAAGGCCGATCCGCTGGAATCGCACCAGTAACAGATGAGTGAAGTAAGTTTGAGGCTGACCAATCACGAGACCGGATAGCACTCACCGGACTTTGAGCCAATGATTTGATGATACAGTAGCGAAAACGCTGGGGTTGTGCGGGAAGTCGATCTCCACTCGTACCGAAGAGCGCCCACCCAAAAGCATGTCCGGCAAAAGTTACCTGTTGATCACAGGCAATGAGAGAAGCTTACGATTGTTGACCTATCCATTTCTAATATGCTGGTACTGGAGCCATCTAAAGGCTTATGCTGCATATTCTGAAGCTCTCACCTCAGCCTCAAGCCATCAGTGTGTAGGCCTGGTGTGTTGCCCATACCTGTTCAATACCAATCGTTGACTGGAACATCACGCCGACGATCAGTTCTCACACCAACTTCACAACGTGCTAAGGTAACATTGTCATGTACCACTTCGACTTCGAGGCAAGAGGTAGAAAGCTGCAAGTAGCAACTGAATGTACCCACGTCCACATCCGCCTGTCTTTGTTTATGAGGCACGTGCAGGTCACGACCCAGGATTGTAAAGAGGTCACACTCTACAACACAAGCTACCTCAACCTCTTGCATCATGATTAGTTGTCAGCTCTATCACGGTTACGGATTTCACTCACCATGTTGTCCATCCCCCCATAGATCAGGGACATCGTCATCATCCTCGAAACGTTTCTTGTAACGATAGATGGGCATGTCGTACTTTCCCGATGAAGGGATTGCTGAAGTGAGGCTGAAGCGTTTGCTGTAGATGCTCCTCTTCTCGGAAGACAAAACCAAATCACCCTTTCGGACGAGCCACTCGAAACGGTCGTTGAGCACAATACCAAAGCTCTCTGTGATAGCCGACATGTACTTTATTGTTTTATGACGAGACTTTTCGACACCATATATGACGGCACCTTGTACCACAGCTGTAAGACTGTAGATCGTTAGCCAGATCGTAGGTAACCTAGTCTACATGTGTCCTACGATTTTTCAGATTCTGGTCGCCGCAGCTTTGATCTGCGTAAGTCATCCAAGGACTCTTTCAATTGTTCTTTCAAGTAAGGTGAAGCGCCAAAGCCCCCAACGAGAAAGACATCCTGCCACATCTGTTAGCAACACCGTGTGCACGATATGATTTTTGTTATGGCATACTCTCGCTCTCCGCTGCTTGGCTTTTCGGAGCTTCTTAATCTGGTCGTCCAGCAAGTTGATAACACCATCAACACAATCATCAAATAAGTTCTTCATCTCCTCGCTAGAACTCGTTAGCGGTTTTCCGGACGGAGTACTGTACTAGGAGAAATCCCACCTATAAATTGTCAACTCACCCTGCCTTACTCTGCCTTCTTTGTTCATCATGTTAAGAGGTTCAGGCAAATCTATTTTGATATTCTGAGTCGAGTTGGAAAACAGTTGCTTCTTGACTATGAACTGTTCCAACAGCTTGCGCATAGGACCACTTTCCACGCTATGAGTACTGATTCGAGTTCGGGCATTAAGAGGGTCGAGTTTAGCATAGCAGTCATCTCCAAGAACATGGCGCAGCCAACGCTTGAAGGCGATGTCGATGAAAGCAGAGCCATACTTACCACCTGAACAGGTTAGAAGTCGCACTGCCACCAGGTTTCAACATACTCGAAGGTTCAGTCACTTTCTCAAGCTGAAGGTGCGGCGTGACTTTCTTCACCTGGTAAGAAACCACGTCCACCGTTCCGCCACCAGCATCGCAAAGGATGAAGCAATCATCTACCTGCTATTTTCAGTCTGGTTCGTTCCAAGTGCAACGACAACACTGGCTATAGAGCAGGAAAGCTATCTTAGGGTACAAACCAATAATGATGCAGTGGTCATTGGGCAGAGTGACAGAAATGGGATTGTGGGACATCATTTCAACTTACAACTAGATTCATACCACTGCTGGTTTGGTGGTCTCGAATAGCGAAGAAGGCAGCAGCTTCGGGCTCGGACACCAGGATTGTGTCAGCAAGAGTGGGAATCTCACTCTGTTGAATCCGGCACCTCGTACAGCCTTGAAAGTCGCATCAGTAGCTTCGAGTGACCAATTCTAATGTAGACTGTCAGCATAATGCCACCATGAGTCTGCGATTTCGCCTCACCGCAGGGACTGTGATCACAATGTCTAGAGGGGTATTGGTTTCTGCAAGTTTAGTCAAATCAACCGTTCCAAAGCTCCCACTCTTGCATGCACTCATGCAAATGTGGGTCAAATAGTCTGTGACTATTTTTCCTGGTGATGCACTTGGATATACCGGATTAGGGCCGATCTTTTTCAAGTGGTCGAAAGCGAGGTCACCTGTTCTCTTAAGCAGAAGCCAGGTCAGTTCTAGTTCGTCAAATCGCGTAGCTTGTGGCTCCAGTTCCAGCTTCGTGTTGACCATTGCAGTGGCCTGGTCACTAATATTGGAACCCCATTGCGTTTCTCCCGTGGAGGATTTCATGTAAGAAATCATTGAGCGAACTTTCGACTGATTGCCTCCACTAGATTCCCAGTTTTGCAGAACCTCTATCTTTTCGAGGTCGGCGTGTTCCGAGTGCGCTCCAGCAAGAGCGAAGCCTGTCGTACAATATTAGTCATTAAGGATAATAGACATAGCGGGCTTGCCTGTATAAGTAGTGCCATAGTCTATCGCTACTACCACGCGCGAGCTTTCAGGAGTCAAAGCATAGCTGCTGGGATCCTTGTGCTGTCTGTATGTTGGAAGTTTGTTCTCAGGTTGTGACACAGCATTGTGCTTATAGGGAGAGCTCTCGTGCACAGAAGACCTTTGCTGCAGGTTATCAGACGGCTGAAGGATGGCCTTTGTCACCTTTCCGAGCAATGGTGGTGGTGGACCTTTCTTGTATGGGTCTCGGCCCAGTTCGGTCGCCAATGCCTCATCGTTGTCATCCAACAGATTTGGTACTCTATAATCATCAGCATCACGAGAAACCACACTTGGTGAACGGTTAACAGAACGTCGTTCCATAATGGTATGTCGCATGATTGTTGTTCCAGGTGCTTTTCGCGACTGACAGCAGGTCTCAAGGTAGTAGCCAATTCAACTTTTTCTACCTGGCGTTAGGCTGAGACCAACACGAGGTGTCGGCAATACCTGCACATGATATGCATATTCATCTAATGTAGCTTTTGTGAATATGCAAAGCTAATCAGATCCCTGCTCTTGAGCGCGCCTTGCATGCATTGGCTCTGCGCCGGAGGTACATTCCTGGGCAGCTCTATCCAGCGATATCGTGTGATACAACCAGAGCTCAACGGGGTGGCCAATAGCAAAGTCGATCTGTGTTCAGCACTGCAGTAAGTCTACCAACACGATCCTACACATTTGTTTTCGTTCAAGTTGAGTCACATCGCCAGACTGCACATTATAGTCAAGCTGAAAACATCTTCTCTGCAATACATTGCAGCCTAAGTGATTCGTTGTACAGTACGGCTGCTGACTGAAGCACGCAACTTCCACCACAACGCTGAGGCACACGTCCATAAATCGACAGCCATTTCGTCTGTCACATCAAACGAGTCTGAAAGGCGGCATGGGACTAGGAGTCGAGAAGTTTTCCTGTTTCTCCAGGCCGCGGAATCACAACGAGGATGAGCGCTTATACGGCGAGTCAGTCGATGTACAAGCGCTGCGCACCGAGAACGGACGACTTGGACGATCTCTGAACGACTTGCGCTCGCAACTAGAATTTGCGAAAGACGATGCCGAGAAGTCGCGCCAACGTCTGGATACATCGAACGCGAGACATTCCTCAGAGGTCGGCGCTTTGGTGCGCCAGTTGGACGTTGAACGGCTTCAGCACGAGGATGGGATCGTTGCAATGCAGCAGGAATTGACCAGAACGAGAATGGAATTCGAGAAGCAGACACGGACAACAAAAGCTACACATGAGCAACAGATGACCAACGTCTTCCAAGAACACAAGATACAGATATCACAAAGAGAAGCGGAAATAGCGCGTTTGAGACAGGACCATGATAGAAAATTATCGCAGCTGCACGAAGCCCATAAGGCCGAGCTAACTCAAATGACGTACCATCATGAGCGAGTTACCCAGCGGCTACGAGATGATATACAGAGGCTCAATGCAGCGTTGCTAACACGCGATGATCAGATATACCAAGGAGAGCTTTTTACTACATCAGGCTTACCTGCGAGTCCGGACGAGCACATCGCAAGTCAATTCTCAGATATCGAGCAAATGATCGAGAGTCTTGGCAGGTTACAATGGAGGCAGTCACCGAAGATGTGGACTAACGAGGTGCTGCGAGCAATTCGTGGCAGTCACAACGATAGAGTGTTGAAAAGAGCTATTGTACAAGATCTGGTATGGAGTCTTCTTTTCAAATACATCTTCTGCAGTCCTTTTCGAGTTTTTGGTTCGGAGGGTAGGTTATTGGAGGCTGAATGGCGTGAGCAGTGTGGCCAAAGTACGTATAACTTGCTTTCTCTACAAGCATTCCTTCATGCGGTCAGCTGCTTACTTTGCCAGGTCGCAAGCAAGCTGTCGCTCAATTCTACGATTACCCAGAACCAGGAGCAAAGGCAGAGAGGTGGCGCTACATAACAGTCAAGGAATGTGCAGAAGTACTACGACCACCTGTGCCATCCGAGTGGGATCCACGTATGCGATTGAGAAAAGGCTTCATGGACAACTTGAAGGAACTCGGGTCGGATTTGACGTCGTCGCTGGAAAACATAATCGATCTTACTTCCTCTGACCTACAGACGATTGTGAAGTTGGGCAAGAAGGCAGCAACCATATGGCTGGACTTCTCGATGCATCGCTGTCGTTTGGTGCTACTCTTAAGGGGGCCTCCAACGCTGTCGATGGAGGAGAAGATAGTCATGGCACAGACCAAGTCTCTGGAGTTGACAGTGGTTCCTATGTTAGGCAGATATGGAAACGCGATGGGCGTGGACCTGCTTGACTTCAAGGTCATCGATAAATGTGGCGGAGATAGCATTGTTATCCCAGGGTAGTAACAATTCTATACGCCACGACGCAATGACAAGAAAAATTGAAGAACAATCACACATGAAATTCGCGCCAGTGGCCTTCAGGCCTCGTACCCACTACCAAGGATCAATGCAAACAGGATTCCACAAACCTCACGAACCTCTCTATCCCTAGGTATACTCCGTCCAGAACCCGTACACGATACGAGCCACCTCAACCGCTTTACCACGCACGAACCCGTGATTAGCCTCACGAACAACCTCAACACGATCAAAGCTCAAATCTACAAGCTGCTCCCTACTACAAACATCGTCCAACTCAGCAAGTACCACAACATTTCTCAACTCCAGCCTTGCCAACTCTCGAAAATAGTCCTCACGACCATAAACACCACCATCACGAAACATACTAAGAACACTATGCCGGTACCCAAGATGTTCCCTCAACTCCCAGTCCCTCAACGCCTCGGCAACAACTTCCCCACCCCTGCTTCGTTCCCGCCAATCCGGTGGAACTTCGAGGGGTCCACCCTCAAGAAATGACAATACACAGTCTATCGCTTCGTCTTCTCTGCTCTTTGAATTGTCTTCCAGCAACCCCTGCATCTGCGGACTAAAGTTCTCCTTACGCAGAAGACCAGCAGGCGCTAATAGTGCGACGGACAGTACAGCCCAGGGATTGTGTACCGCGAAAGAAACAGCCGTCGATCCGCCGAAGGAGTATCCTACAATATGCGCGCTTATCCAGCGCATAAAACTCAACACCTGCATGATTTGGAAATGGAAGATTGCGGGCGTATGTGCTGTCAGTGGTGTTGATGAGAGACCATGGCCCCAGAGATCGAACAGGACGATGTGAGAGTCTGGATCTAGAGCTTGTAGTTGTTTGGCGTGAGATAGCATGCCGAGAGCTGGTGTGTTCAGGCCATGGATGATGAGCACGGGACGTTTCAATTGTCCTGAGGGAGGAGGGAGGTCGTATACGGCTGTAGTGCCAAGATCAGAATGTAAGTATTGTGGCGGCGGAAATGCGTGGCCGAAGTGTGAGGTGAATGATGCGTGGCTTGGAGCTGGGATACCATTGCTCTGTCTGAAGTGTCTTGGCCTTGGAAGCTCGAGGTCTGGTTGAGGTATGTCTGGCATTGTGAGTGCGACTTGCTGCCACCAAGGACGTTGTTAGTGCTATCTTCATAGTCCTGGCTTTCTGTGTAACATGATGCTTGGTGTAGATTCACCTCAGTGGTCAGCCTAATCCTCAAATCTTATCTTCGCTTGAAATGCTGACAAATCAAGCCAAGTTCTTGGGGTAGAAGCTGAGGACTGCTGAGTTCGGTAAATCACGTGATGTACGGTACTGCTTTTCGTCACGTACTCAGGGCAGTCCAGGCGTGCCTATAGGTGGTTGATGACCTATGCTCCTACTATGACGTAAAGCTGGTGTTTTGAAAACAAGCACTGTCATTACAAATATAAGATGGACGAATGTAGTGCTCACAGCTCGCACATTACAGAAGGTCATGCTATTGACATTTAAATACTAACGAGTTCCCTTGTAAAGTATTTACACAACAATGAACGTCCTCTTGGACTGTTCTAGAGACGTGCGAGTCCCACCGATTCACCTGGAGCATGGTAGGCAGGCACTCTCATCTCCAGTGCATCACCAGAGTATCCCAGATCCTCAGCAGCAAGCATTGCACACTTCTCACCAATTAGCAACGCAGTCGAGAAGGTGTTGCAGCCGACATTATCTGGGCAGATTGACAAGTCAGAGACCTTGAGACCCTTCACACCATGAACATTGAGTCGCTCGTCGAGTACACCATGCTTGACGATGTCGTTACCCTCGCGAGGTGCCATCGAGCAAGTACCGAGGGAGTGCCAGGTAGTCTCACAGTGGCGCTGAACCCATTTCTCGATGTGGGCGATATCATCCTTGGTATACTTGAGTGGCTGCCTGACCGTCTGCTTGTTACTGCTGAGAATGTTAGCAGGTGCTGACTCGTCACCTTCATCGATCGGGAATGTCCAGCTGCCGTGTTGGATATTGGCAGTGATGTGATTGGGTCCAGCGTAGGCATTGCGAGTGGCCAGATCCATATCCTTAGCTCGGGCAGGTGAGTCGTAAGGGAAGTGGGGGTGCATCATTGTAACCTCTCCGGCATATGCTTGCATGCGGCGAGCAGTCTCTCGAGATTGAATGTAGCTCCAGACCATGGGTGCCATGTCACGCTTGTCGTTCATGAAGCCTGCATCGAAGTCTGGGTTTGCATATGGATCTGGAGAGGTGATGTGAGTGAACCCTCTAGAGAACGGGTATTCGAGCTGCACGCGTTAGTCCAGTAAGAGATGTTTTGATCTGCGAACTTACGAAGTGGAACATTGTGAAGAATTTCCCAGCTGGCATGTCGAGATGGTCACCAAACCAACCAGCAATGACCTGGATGATTGTCAATATGAAGTGCTTGCAAAATGGTTAAACCCAAACTTACCGAGTAATGCATCACTGGCTTGTCAGGCTTGTGCTTGAAGTAGCTCTCCCATCCACTAGGGCTAAAATCTGGAGTTGGCCAGCTCTTCATCTCCTCGAGCTCTTCTTCGGTTGGTCTGGCTTTGACACCAGCCTCGATACCATTGGTAGCAAGTGGACCAGTGCCTTTGATGTTCCATTCGTCGAAGACTCTCTTCTGAACTTCCGGATCGCCTCGAACGAAATCATCGAATGACTCCGTCTCCGGCTTAGCACGGTAAGTGGAGAACGTGAGATAGTGGTCCTGGAAGTTCAGGCCTACACCAGGTAGGTCTACAACGCACTTCACACCCACTTCCTCGAGTTTCTTCTTGTCACCGATACCAGACCTTTGCAAGACGAGTGGCGATGACAATGTGCCACATGAGACAATGATGAGCTTGCGAGCTTTGAAAAGGCGACGCTTAGGCTCGCCATATCCGGCTACCGGCCTAGTAGGAACTGTTAAGACACCGACAGCACGACCGTTCTCAATGACGACACGATCGACTTTGGTGTTGCATTGCAGGTGAAGGTTCTGGTGCTTGGCACGAGTGGAATGAATATAGGCTGAGGCAGCATCTGAACGACGGCCAGTGTCTCGATTGATCCACTTGAGCCAGTGTTCTGCTCCATGACTGTGATTTGGTAGCACGTTAGATAAACCTGAGCACGAAGCAAGCACTAGCGAGGAAGGACTTTCTAACTTACGCTGTTTTGAGATCTTGCAAATCGTCTGTAACTGGAAAGCCTTGACTTTCCGCGGCTCGGAGGAAGTCCTGCATGATTGGATAGCTAGGCAAGTCAGTATTGGATGGGAACTGCAGGACAAGTAGCATACGTATAGTTGCCGAAAGAGACCTTGATAGGACCATCAAATCCATGGAGGTCCCTGTTATTACAAGCACGCTGGTATGTCTCATGTTTCTTCATCAGTGGGATGAGCTCCTTGGTCGTCCAACCCTTCGTTTTGAAATCGTCATAGTCTGAGGCAGAGGCTCGAGTGTACATCATGAAGTTAATGCTGCTACCACCACCCAAGATATGTGCACACGGGACAACTGCTCGACGTCCATCGAGGAACTCTGAAGGCCTGGAGTAATAGAATGATGCAGTCTTGCTGTCGAGCTTCATGTTACGCGGATAGATTCCCGGACGATAGACCCAGGGGTTATTGATGTTGTTCTCTCCTCCTTCAATAACCAGAACCTGGAGGCTGTGGTCGAGGTTGGCGAGACCTGTTACTGTCAGCAAAGTCCGAACAACAGGCAAAGGACATACATACGGCCTGCTGGTACACATCCTGAACTGCCACCACCACATACGATGATGTCGACCTCGTCGGGGACGGTCATCTTGAATGCTTCTCGAATAATCACTACAAACGTGAGGAGAAGAAGGATAGATAGTCGAGCCTGAAACCTGAGGGCAAGCTCAAAATACGCAGGGAGAAGAGAAGAACATGGAAGATTGCTGGTTCTTGTACTTTATATTCCTCCTTCGGACAATCGGCTAGCTATCGACTTTGAGATTGAAGCAAGAGTATGTGAGCATGCACTTGACTGAGGGGTTCATAGACAGCGTAACGCTCGGGTGAATAGGATCCTGGTACAAAGCTCCTGTACCAACGAATGACAGTATCGACTCAAGCATAGTCCTTGTTCTCGAGAGTTTCTTTTGAGATGGCGGCCTGGTGACATCCAGATGCAGATGCGAGGCAGTGATCAGTGAGGGGTTCGGGAGATGCAGATCGGCATGTTGATATGCACCTCAAAAAGACGGCACACGAATGCACGAGACGCTGTGAGAGAAGCAGGAAGTGCATATCTTCGACCGTGGAAAAGAGATCGGGCAACGCTGAGTATCATGCCGTGCGATCGTGGAAAAGGGAAAGCTCAATGCAGTAACGAGGATTCCCCAGATCAGCGCCAATACTTATCGCTAGGACAACAATGTCTCTTTTGAGAGGCCAGACATGATCGCGACCTTACCAGGTATGACAGGCTGCATATAGGTTGCTGGGACATCTCCGTGGATGCCACCTAGATTCCTGTTGAGGCACGAAGAGTACAAATACGAATAGAACGAGAGCCGTTCAACAGTCTTGCGGGCATGGCTCGGGCATTAGAATTGGGTTCAAAGTGCTCGAAGAGGACCCTGAAAGTCGACATTGGTATTGAGTTTGGGTGATGGTTATCCAGACAGAATGAGCCGCTGGCAAGCATGAGGCAGGATGAGCACGGATAAGCTACTCCCGAAACGGTCATGAAGGCTCCATATGAAGGATTCCAACTTGGCGGCTCCTGCAGCGAAACGCGGGGAAGGTTTGGGTTGCTCCAGTTCGATATAGTGCCCACGAAAGCCTATGGCACGCTGCCAGGCTGTTAAGGATGTGCGGAAACTTGCTGATCCTGTATTCAGCTTGAACATCTCCAAGACGATCTATCAAGGTCCCTACTCGCTCCTGATGGGACAGTATGCAGCGCATGTTTCTAGGCGTTGCTGCACTCCACGTCTGAGGGGTAAGATCCCGGTAGGGACGCGACGTCCTGCGTGTGCTAGTACTGTTCTCGATAGCGCTGGTAGCTGATCAGACCTGACTCGATCGTGAGATTGCTCGCATTGGCTCATGAAACCCATTGGCTGGTGGCGTAATTTGAGATGGGGCAGAATAGTTATTTCAAATGAAAGAGGCTTTTCTTGTCAACACCCAGGCGACCTACATGCGTCCAATTCAGCCAAGGAACCTGTTCAAGTGGCACCTGTTCTATAGTCCAGAAGGTGAGCTCGTAACTGATTTGTGTCCCTCTTGAAGGTCGAGAGTCTCTGACCTTCAGAGTTTGACACGACTGTTTTCAGAAAAGTCCAAGTATTGACTCGTGCTGTTTTGTTAGTGAATGGGGAATGACTCGGAGATCTTGATACAGTGCGGGGAGCAGCTGCGACCAAAAGGACAACCAGGATTAGGGTGTCACTCTGGTAGAACGTATAAGTGGCTCGGCGTTGTTGCAGGTACTGCGAGTGTTCATGTTGTTGCTGTTATAGACGATAATTTTGCAGTAGAAAGCTCAACCTCCAGAGCAGTGATAGCGATTTGGGTTTCCACAATTCTGCTGATGCCCTGCTTCCATGTCTCCTCTAGTGCCAAAAGTTCTCCTTTTGAATCTTCCTGAGCAGTTTTCCGAATACGGTTGGTGTTCTCAGACAGCTCTTTGGTCGTCCTTAGCTCTTCCTCAAGTTGCTTCAGAATATCTTCGAGTTGTGAATTGCCGATGAGCCAAGCGTTCTTCCCGTACTCTTCAAGAAGGGTAATATTCGACAGACGGCCTCGCAGATACGAAACGTTCGCGTAAGCTGTCTTCAGCGCAGACCTCGTATCCTCAAGAGGGCCATCAGCGGATACATCATCGAAGGATTCGTAGCGAGACAAATCGATTCCTCCAGACATAAGACGGCCGGCACCAGCTCGATCAACCTCTTGCTGTATGAAAGCACGAGGCCCAGCAGAAGTAGTGTCAACAACAGAAGGGTGGATGGTAGCTGAGTGATCTCGAGGGAGGTGAGATTGTATCAAGAGGTTGGCTGCTTCGCGTTGTGCTTGCGACGGATCTGGATCGATATCTGGAATGGTCAAATACAGTACTGATACATCGATGTAGTGGCTTACATGGCAATGACTCGTGCGATTCCATGCCTGCTGATATAAGTCACGCGTTCTTGTTCGCTCCAGTCACAATAGGTGTAATCGAAATCGTGTACATCATTAACTCAAAATATCGAATGGCGGAAGTTTTAGCAGAGAAGGCGCGACCGGTTTAGGAGGCTTGTGCACTAGCCACACGAGGCGCAACTCTTAAACCACGTCATTTCTCGATCGGTTGGCGCCTTCCCAAAAGTTATTCGTTGCATTCGAAGTTGAGCAGGAACAACGCGAAGCTCTTCTACTAGCACTTAAGAGGCAAAAAATACACCTTGTTGCTGTTCAGCTCGATGATGTATATTCTCTTTAGAGCCTGCAGGTAAACTCGATATCTGTCCGGCACCATGACGAACAGCCTGATTCCTCGTGTCTTTGGCGCAGTCGCATTCTTCTGTACAATACTTCTCCTTCTTGCACCATGGAGAGCTTATTATGCCTTCCTCGTGCCTGGAGACACATCTCCTTTCCCTACGGCTGATCAAGAACATGAAGAGAAGAGCACGATTGAGGCCGCCTACTTATTAGGCGTCGGCAAAGCTGATATCACAGGACCTGTCGTTGAGATCAATCTGATGGGCTATGCTGACACTGCTCAGTCTGGCACGGGCCTGAGACAACGTTTGTATTGTCGAGCCTTCATCGTAGGTCACCCTGCGCACATTAGCCAACGTGTTGTCTACCTCGTCCTTGACACTCAATCCGGTGACCTCGCTGTACGGAACGGTATCTTGGAGGGTCTGAAAGAGCTCGGAGATGAATACTCAGTATACAATGAGCAGACTCTAGCTGTGACGGGGACACACAGTCACAGTGGTCCTGGTGCCTGGCTGAACTACTTGCTTCCTCAGATTACAAGCAAGGGTTTCGACAAAGACAGCTACCAGGCCATTGTCACTGGTTCGCTCCTAGCTATCCGACGAGCCCATCAAAGTCTTTCTCCTGGCACTTTGTTACTAGGCGCTGGCTCCGCCTCTGGCATTAGCATCAACCGCAGTCCCTACGCCTACTTGGCCAATCCTGCGGACGAACGTGCAAACTACGAGACAGATACTGATACTGATATGACTCTGCTTAGCTTTCATGACGCCTTGTCTGGCAAGACAAGAGGTGTTCTGACGTGGTTACCAGTGCATGGCACTTCACTCTACCAGAATAACACACTAGTCACAGGTGATAATAAAGGTGTGGCTGCTTACCTCTTAGAGGAAACCATGAGAGCTGAAAATCCTGATTTCATCGCTGGCTTCTCACAGTCTAATGTTGGTGACACAACCCCAAACGTGCTGGGCGCTTACTGCGAGGACACTGGTCTTCCCTGCAAGTTTGACGATTCCACGTGTAACAATAAGACTCAAGGCTGCCATGGTCGCGGCCCCTTCTTCCAGTTCTCCGATCAAGGTACACGATCATGCTTCGAAATCGGTAAAAGACAGTCGGATGCTGCATATGCCATTCTCAAAGGTGACAATCTGGCACCACTAGATTCCATCGTTGTATCTTCGGTCCACAACTTTGTCGATTTGTCCAATTATACATTCGTCTCACCATTCAACCAGTCTCGTGAGCTTCACACCTGCTCCGCCGCTCTAGGCTATGGATTCGCTGGAGGCACCACCGATGGTCCAGGAGCTTTTGATTTTGCGCAAGGTACAAACGACACCGACGATGACTCTCCGGCTCTGAAGAATCCTCTGTGGAGGGTCGCTCGAGCTTTCGTTCACGCTCCATCCGACGAACAAATCAAGTGTCAAAGCCCGAAACCAATCCTGCTTGACGTCGGTGCTGCAAAAAAGCCCTATGCATGGTCGCCGAATATAGTCAACATCCAGACTTTACGAATTGGCTCTCTGATCATTGTTGTTGTTCCAGGCGAGGCCACCACCATGAGCGGTCGAAGATGGCGAGAAGCGGTTGCGCAAAGCGCCAACAATGTGCTTGGCATTGATAGCCCTCGTGTCGTGATCGGTGGCCCAGCCAACACGTATGCCCACTATATCGCCACCGAGGAAGAGTATGGTGTTCAGAGGTATGAAGGTGCAAGCACTCTGTATGGTCCGCACACACTTGCAGCACATATCAACTTGACCCTGACCTACCTGCCGTATCTCGATCCTTCGAACGAATTGCCATCACTTACTGGGCCCCAGCCACCACTCAATGTCAACAAATCTCTAAGCTTTATCACTGGTGTGGTAGTGGACAACCCTCCTTTCTTCAAAAGCTTTGGTCAGTCCTTGACTTCGCCAGATCCATCCAAGACTCATATCGCTGGGGAAGTGGTCAGCGCTGTCTTTGTCGGGGCTAATCCTCGCAATGACTTTCACCTTGAGGATACCTTCGCAGCTGTAGAGCACTATGACTCGGTCGCTGGCAAATGGACTCAAATTAGATCCGATCGTGACTGGTCACTTGTCTACCATTGGCAGCGCAAGAGCACAATCCTCGGCACCAGTGAAGTTCGAATAGATTGGGAAATCGAGCCTAACCTGAATTTCAACAACAGACAATTATATCGGATACGATACTATGGCGACGCGAAGCACATTGGTGGAAGTATAACGCCTTTCGATGGTACGAGCGGCACTTTCTACATTGGTGCACCAGCTTCGAACAGCATCGATATCGAGCTTACCCGCGAAGCACGATCTAGTGATCGTAGCATAAGCTGAGATTGCAGTCATCAGCTAAAGATCGTTTCACCTCTCGCCATATGCGGCTAAGGAATATTGCTAATGGTCTGTATTCAGTCCACAAATGCGTGGCATTCCGTACACCACGGTATCCTCGAAGTCCGTTCTGAAGAGGCTGCTAAACCTTCAGGCGGTGCTAATTGCAGACAAAATTTACAGGATCTGGCCTGATTGTGCTAGAGTACCAACAAGTCACTGATATCGACTAGCGTATTGGCGTAGAAACACGGTCGGATCCGTGCAAAGCGGCGTCGTTCTGCAGACCTCGAATTAATGTCTCTTAGGCTTGAACACTGGCATGACTATAATCGCATCGACACCCGTCAGCATCAAAACATGTCAAAATTTATCAAGCATTTTCTTCGATCCATTAGGTCATCAGCGTCAATATGTGTCGGTGCCTGGCTGTATTTAAATTTAGGGGTCTAGCTCAATACGGTTTGCCTACGCTGTGACGGTGAGCAAAAGCACTACCCTCTTTGTTCGGCGAAACATGTGAAAACAAACTTCTGTCAATACTGAATAACGTATCTGCTCGACAAGTGCTTTCATCGCCAAAAATTCCGCACATGCGCGGCACTTCCTCCGCAGTACGAAGCACAAGAAACTACTATGACCACGCTCTTGACTAGCTTCTTTTCACGTTCGCACCAATATACCCGGACGTTTTTCTGATCGCTGCACGTAACTGTTTATTTGTGAAATGACCAAGCAGACTTCTAAGTGGTTCGACCGGCATCGCAATCCGAGCGAAGACTTTGATAACTTCACCGACATGGGATGTGTCGAGAAGCTTAGCGCATCAGACAATCAGAAGACAACGCTATAGCGTGCTACCATCTTACAATCCTGGTGATCGTGGTATCGACACTGCTGCTGACGCCGCCACAGAAGCAAGCATACGTTCGCTGAACTGCATCTAATAGCTACTTGTCCCGCTCGTCTTGCTATTGTAAAGTCAGTAAAAGCTACGCAGGTGCGAGTTAACCTTCACTGACTCCGAGAGTACCAGACATGGATGGCTTACCATCACCACTGGATTTTCCCGCAGCAGAAAAGACATATTCTCATGTGTCAGCTCACCATACAAGGGAAACCTCGGACGAGACGCCGCTACCGTCCCCGCCCTATTTTCCGACCTCATCTCACCACGAAGCTTCGTCAGCAGACCAAATAGCAGAAATACTAACCCCTACAGTGTCCCGAACGTCGAGGCCGGCAATATCTAGAGAACTCTCCCGTTTCACTACACGTGGAACAGCAAACACGTTAGATCCCTCCTTCGAAGTCGACTTTGAGCCCGACAGCTCGGAGGACCCTCGAAACTGGTCAGCATGGTACAAGGCTCTTGTCGTCTTCTCACTCTCCTTCTCCACACTCGTCGTCGTTTGCTACAGCACAAGCTATACGGCCACACTCGAGCCCATGATGCAGGATTTGAGTCACACTAGCAACACCACTATTCCAACTTTAGGGGTGACGACGTACCTTTTCGGGCTTGCAATTGGAAGTCTGATTCTTGCCCCAATAAGTGAGACCTATGGTAGAAGGCCAGTCTATATCATCGCTCTCTTTTGCTTCTTCATCCTTGTTTTGCCTTGTGCGTTAGCGAAAAGTATCACAACGATTGTTGTCGTCAGATTCTTCGGTGCAGTTGCAGGATCAGCATGCATTGCCAATGCCCCTGGCACCTTGGGAGACATGGTGGCCGACCAGTACCGGACTGTGGTGTTTTCTATATGGTCAATCGGACCCATGAATTTAAGGCTCTCCTAAACCGTATTGGTTCAGCCAGGAACCGTGTACGAGTTTGACCAATACGGTGTTTTGAACTAACATCTTCCAGGGACCTGTCATCGGCCCTATTCTTGGCGGCTTCATCTATGATTATACGCTCAAATGGAGATGGGCCACATGGGTGATCATGATATGGGGTGGAGTTGCATTTCTACTGATGTCCTGCCTTGCGGAAACTTACGCTCCATCGCTCCTTCAACAGAAAGCAAAGAGACTTCGTAAACAGCATGGCGAAGAACGGTATTGGAGTCGGTACGATGTCCGGGTTGGTTTCCTGGAGCTGATGAAAGTCAACTTGTCTCGACCTTTTATGATGGCCGTGAAAGAGCCGATTTGCATGTTCTGGAATGTATATATCGGAATCGTCTATGGCATCCTCTACCTGTGTTTTGTGGCATATCCTTTCGTGTACAACGGAGTTCGTGGTTGGACCATTTCTCAGTCGAGTCTGGCATTTGTTGGAATTGGCGTCGGGAATCTGGTCACCATTGTTGCAGCAAACCCAATCAAGCGGATGATCGAGTCGCACAAGCCACGTACTGATCCCAGAACTGGCGTGTCTGAAGTGCCTCCGGAGAGTATGATGAGTGTGGTATGCATAGCTGCGATCTTGATTCCGGTCGGTATACTCTGGTTTGCATGGACGTGTCTCCCTATTTCGATCCACCCAGCGATTAGTATTGCAGCTGGAATACCGTTTGGCGCTGGCAATGCTGCAGTCTTTATCTATGCGTCGAATTACCTCGTGCACAGCTACGGGATATATGCTGCAAGCGCCATGGCTGGGAATGCTGTGGTACGGTCTGTGTTGGGAGGTGTACTCCCTATGAGCGGTCACGCGCTGTATAGCAAATTAGGAGCAAACTGGGCGGGCACCTTGCTGGGCTTGCTTGAGGTTGCGATCATACCCATTCCCTTCATCTTTTACAAGTATGGCTACAAAATCCGAGAAAAGAGTACTTTGATTAGACAAATGAGAGAGATAGAAGAGAGACAGCAGGCGAAGAAGAGAAAGGCTGAAGCCAGAGCACACAGAGGTTTGGCCGCTGAAGAGCGGAACAGTAAAGGAGTGCCCTTGATCACAATGTTGGATGAAAAAGAGACAGACCTTAGAGTCAGGTCAACGGTGGCAGATATAGTAGGCAAAGAGGAGGTATAAGGTCCAACTCTGGGCTGCCCATACAGTTTATTGAGCGTTCACTGCGCGATGTTTTGACATCTTTTAGACATGGTAGGTGGTAGACCCGATTGAAATAGACTGTGAGAAGTGACGGATCAAGCGCAGACGTTTCCTGGAAATTGGGCACGTTATTGTGCGGTATCTCACTCCTCATTCTACGTCTTGCTGTCTTGTACGCCACTTACTATCATACACATACATTAGCAGTACTCACATAGCAAGTCTTCTGATAAAAACGCCGCACCGACCTCGGTTGTTAGCAATACGGTAGGGCACATTCATTTTTATCTCTCACGAAAGAGAACCCATGATTGCGGCTTCGATGTTACACAGACTGCAACTCGGCGACACACCAGGTATCATGAAGTGAACCTGAACAACCCTTGCCAGGCACCTCGTGCTAATCGATGATGGGTTGAAAGCAGAAGCCTTGTCCATGTAACGGGAATCCAACTTCCGCATGGCGCACGCAGGGTCTGAGCACTGTTCTGGCAGAAGCTCCTGAAGCATCACAGCCATTTTGGGAAATTTAGTGCTCTTGGACAGACCATTGTTCTGAGCGAACCAGTCACGAAGCATTGAGTCTTTGGCGAGCTGATCATGTCCTGTTCAGATTCCTGATGTGGAAGAGCGAGAGACCGACGTCATGGACGTTCAGGCGGTTTCTCAATTTGACGGCTCTCATTAGTGCGGTACTAGTATTGGTTCGTTCGAGCCACGGCTTGTCCCTATGACGATTTGCTTCCTCGCCTACCAAGCTGCAGATTCTCCATCATTCTGGCTGACCTTGGCGACTTGCATGGCCGAATTGGAACACAGTATCGACGATGAGGACCGGGCAGCCGATCGCTGATTGATTGGCCCTCTCCAGATATCTATCGAGTAGCAGGGGCATTGATACGGGTGTGTCTACCCTGTTTTGCTCCCCTGGACAAACCACGATGTCATCCTAACGACGCTTCGAGCTCTAATTTTCCCAGCAATCTAGCACCCTTGCTACTTGGTGCACTCTGCAATACTGGATTGTTTCTTGCCATACGCTTTGTCCATCACGAGCTCTGCATAAGACGTTCTTTATTAATCTAGAAGTACAGGTAACGGATACCAATGCATCTATAAACAACCGTTAAGTTTGAGACAAGCGTGGCGAACTACTGCACTTGAGGCATGAATACGCGGGTTTAGAGCGTAATGGATACAGACAACGCATTTCAATTTCGACAACGCAGCTCAATCTTCACCGAAGTAGGCCTTGAAGGTCACGATATCATTGTCGATGAAAAGATTCGAGACCGACCACGACTGTCAGTGAGGTTTCGCAGCAATGTCTCAATAGTCGAGCCACATGCTGTTGAATCCGAACCATTAACACCAACGGTTATCCCGACGCCATCCATACCTGTATCGTCGAAACCTCTTTTCTCTCGACTCCCCTTCGCACAGATCGCGCTGTTGATAGCGCTCCTTGCGGTTGCCTATCCCACCTTCAACGGTCCCTCGACAGACTCGAACTTGATGCCTATCTTAGCCGAGGCGAGTCCGATGGGACCGCGATCAGAGATTCCCGATATTCGCACCCTACCAGCTAAGAGACAAGACACGACCGCTGTATGCAAACGATGGGCTGGCCAGAGTGCAGTCGTGAATGGTACTGTATACTACTACGGAGGAAGAGCAACAACTTCTGCTGACCAAACAACGAATCAATGGAGTAAGAATTCTTCTCACACAGACTTTGATATATGCTAATCATTCCAGACAACGATCTCTTTTCTGTTGACCTGACGAAGTCCTGGCAGATATCTTCACCTTCGATAACAGGCCTGCCGACACCCTCTGGACCACCTGCTGTCTCGCTGGGTTATTTGTGGCAATCAACAGACGATCTTTTCTTGTACGGTGGCCAGTTTTCAGACAACCCGGCTGCGTCGCCAGTACCCTTCTCACTGTGGTCATACAATGTCAAGTCCAGCTCTTGGACTGAACACGACAATCCCAGACTAGGAGATGGTAGCGCTGTGCAAAGAGCTGCCGAAGGTGCAGGTGTATCGGTGCCAAACAAAGGTTTGGGCTATTACTTTGGTGGTCATCTAGATGGCTATACAACTCAAGGATGGTCGCAATGGATACCTCGAGTCTACCTGCCATCAATGCTTGAGTTCACCATGCCAGGCTTCTCCAACTCTATGGCCAATGTCTCCCCTGCTGGCAGTGATGGTGCTTACAGAAACATCACTGTTGGCAGTGCGGGCTTTCCGGAACGCGCTGACGGATCCCTGGTCTACGTTCCTGGTTACAGTGAAGAAGGTATCATCGTCGGTCTGGCAGGCGGCACAAATCAATCCTTTACTCAGCTAAACGTGATTGATGTCTACGACATTGCTACTTCCAGATGGTACAAGCAGGCCACGGAAGGTCGTACACCTGGAGTTCGAGTCAATCCTTGTGCTGTTGCAGCTACATCAGCTGATGGTTCTTCTACTCAAATCTACATGTATGGCGGCCAGAACCTTATTCCTTATGGATCACAAACACAGTATGACGACATGTGGATTCTAACTATCCCAAGCTTTACCTGGATACAAGTTGACTTGGATGGCCAGTCAGTACCGCCTGCTCGCGCAGGTCATATGTGCCATCACTGGAACAGTCAGATGGTTTCTATTGGTGGATATGTCGGCCAAGAACTCTCATGCGATAGTCCAGGTGTCTATGTCTTCAACACATCTTCACTCCAATGGCAGTCAGGATATGCTGCTCTTGCAGGGGGCGATGATCTCAACCGACAGAGATCGCAGGCCGAGGACCCTAACGCGCTTCAGGGTAGCTATGGATATCAAGTACCACTCGCCGTGCAGTCAGTCATTGGCGGTAACGCAGCAGGAGGTGCAACAGTTACAGCACCAGCACAGACTCCTACAGCGGGTCCATTGGCTACAGGATCGCCAGTAACATACACTGTGACTGGCTCGGATGGTTCGATCGTGACTGAAACTGCCGCACCAGGTTCAGGCTCAACTTCTTCGAGTAGGAATGGTGGCGGCACAAACCTTGCTGCTATTATCGCGCCGTCAGTCGTCGCAGCTATTTTCTTCCTCATCGCCCTGTACCTCGCGTTCTGCGCCTACATCTATCGGAAGCAGGTCAAGCAATACAAGAACCACGCCGCCATGCTTCAGCACGACGCCTTGATGAACGAGAAGACCCCTCCACCAGCTGAGTTCTGGGTACAACGGCCAGCAAGATCGGCCGGAAACTCGAATAGTGATCGTATCTCCAGCGACAGAAGGTCAAACAATAGTGGTGCTCCTGGTAGTTCCGGCGAAGGCAGTTCGAGATTACAGACCGAGTCGATGGAGCATTACCCATACAACAGTGTCATGGCATTGAAGCATGCCGGCACCGCGCACAGCTCGACAGAAGATCTAATGCGTGGACAAGAACCGAGTTTCTTGGGTGTCCTGCTCGCGCCGAGAAGGAGTTTGCGCGTTGTTAACAAAGACTAATAACACACTTTCGAAAGAGATGTTTTGTACAGTTGAATTTAAAAAGCATCATTGCGGATTTTGCCTACTATGGCACATCAATACACACGACTGGATCACGAACACATGCATGGAATAGGTACCAGCTTCTCTTCTTACATGGAGCGTATGGCGTTCATGGCGTACTGTTCCCTCTGAGATACCCCTAATCAAGCTTACAGCAGAGTATGCGGGTAATTAGGATGAGGAAGAATGCAGGCAGGCAGGCAGGCAGGCGGGTTCCTGACTATCACCATGGTTGGACACATACAGAAACCATCACGTACACGAGCACCTAATGAGCTTAGAAACAAAGAATCGATTACTACAAACTAGAAGTACGAATTTAGTAATATTTTGAAACCGACTCGCTGCAATGTGAATTCACAAGTAAGGAAGCAAAGGGGAAGAAAAAACACTAGCTGACACGTATACGTGGTGGAGAGCGAAGCACGAGACATATTTCTAATGCGTAGAGTGAATACATGCCTACACTACAGTAGAGGTCGATGATGGATGTTAAATGTTACCTGAAATAAAAACGACATGTACTTCCTAGATTCTGGGGAAATTCAGGTTACGTGAGGGTTCCTCAGGTTTCTGGAGGTTTACGTACTGTAGTAACCTCCCTTAACCTCTTTCAGCCTCTACTTGTTCATGGATCGCAATAAATGTCTCGAAACCTTCTAGTTAGGTATATCCAAACGATCGTATCAGAACCATTTATCTACCAAAGAACGTACCAGTCTTCCTTTGAGGCTTGGGTAATTTGAGGTGATTCCAGGTTACGCGAGGGGTTTGGAAGTTAAGGCATTAACCCGCAGTAATCCAGATTAACCTCCTTTGATCTGCGCGGACCTCTCGTGACCTCTTCGGTCTGTACTTGTTGGTAGGCTGCAAATTCTTTGAGGATTATCTTGCAGGGTATGTCTAGGTAGGTAGTTACGGTTAATCAAGCTTGAGCAATCTGGAAAGATGGTATGATTGTTGTTCGTTGTTGGAAATGGTATGGTATAAATTTGTCAAAACCATGCTTTCAGTCAGTTCTGGACTACAAAATACCAGCTGAGCAGTGATTCTTCATTATTGTCTTCACAAACTCCGCCTACTCCTAGTCAAGTTTCACTCATGCCAAATCTCCTTGACGGTTGTCCTCATAAGCAGTGCCCATATTCGTTAGGCCACGTCTCTCCCTCCCACGAAACATAACCCAGACTATCGACCTACTGTATTCAAGCGCTCAGCTAGACTCTTGGCCAATAAATCCGGAGTCATATCTCCAGGCTGCGGCATGATCGCTTGCGCTGTGGTAGGTGTTCTGGCGCCTGAATGTGTCCCTGGCGTTCGACCGCTAGGCGGTGACTTCCTCCAACGCCCAGTAGCATCCCTTTGATACTGCCCAGCGCCTGTCCAACTGCTTCTCGAGCTTCCGAGAGCTGGTCTTTTCGCCGCAGCCACTCCGGATGTAAGCCGACCATTGGGACTCGACTCGCGTGAATGTATAGGTGAGGCGACACGGCTCGGCCCTCTGCTTCTTATCTCTGGGATGTCACGAAGATTGTGCTCCTCAGCATCGGTCCATTCTCTTCTTCTTGACTCGAATGGATCTGGTGTGTCATCCGCCTCATCGAGACTTTCGATCTTGCTCAGTGCTGGTAGGTCGAGGGTGTGCACCTGAGGCGGGCCTGAGTGTGGATATCGCATCTCATGCTGTGCAGCCGTGCTGTAGGAGGAGGGATTGTCTCCTACGATGTTCGCTGTTTTGACATTGGGTTTTTGATGCTTTTTCAAGAATTCTTGGTATTGAGGATCAGTCGCCATACGCGCCTTGACCTTAGCAGCATGTGAGCTACCAAGTACAATTCTTTCGTTGTCCTGTTTCTTCTTCTTGGCTTTTTCATAGCCATCCTTTTCACCGAAAAGCCATGTTTTCAAACCGCCCTTCTTTTCCTTCTTGTCGGATTGACCATGAGGTGTGCTGCCACCACTTTGTTTTCTGGGTAGGTCATATTGTGTAGATGTGTGACGATTGGAAGGCCATGCTGGCTCGGACTGGATTGAATTGACGGAAGAGCTGCTATTACTACGAGATAGTGGTGGCGTGCTTATAGGAGAAGTGACAGGAGATCTGTCGTAGTTCCTGAGCATCTGTTTCGAGTTTGTTGTTGCCCATGAACCTCGCGAAGGAGGCTTGCGAGCGAAGGTCTGCTGTGTCCTCGATTCTGGACCAGTGGCACCACTGGCGAAAGAGTCAAATAAAGGCATGGTTGCGTATGGACCGGTGTACAGAAGGTTGAACGGGAATTGGTGAGGCGTGAAGAGAAGAAAGGCAGCTGGAGAATGTTCAAGGATCAAGTTAGATATGAAGAAGATTCAGGGCAGAATTCATTGGACGGATGGAAGAGGGATATGTCGTAAGGAAAGTCACATTTTCGACACCGCGAGATATCCTTTCGAGTACAGTGGTGAGCCTGATTTTGAGGACAAGTCCCAAACAATTGTCGCACGTGGTGATCGAACAAGGAGGACACCCAGCACTCAAGACACATCAAGCTTTGGAGCTGTTCGACAAAGACTCGGTAAGTGACCCACTCATACACAATGCTTCTCGAATGATTCTTTTTATGGTTATCAAGCGATATCCAGAGTGGCAGCAGAGCTCGTTTTGTCGCAGCGTAACTTCCAGATAAGAATATCGGCGACGCACGTCATATTCTGGTAAGCGGACCGGGAAAGAGCCACGATCGTCTGATTGGTGCGGTCCTTCTTTGCTGGGTGGACACGTTGAGAGATCCAATATTGAACTTTTTCCGCCGAACACTCGCAGCTGTACCTGAGGACGTCCCAAGCACAGCTCATACGTACTGAAGTGGCGGTATCATGAGTGATCCTTTGGGAGTGCCAAGAGATAGGCGGTCTGGATACGTCTGAAATTAGCAGATTGGCGATATAATCCATCAACAAAATTCCCTGCAATCTCTCAAACGTGGCAGGTCTACGGCTTCGCAATACCAAGGCAGGTACGGAGGACAAACTCTATACTTTAGACAGCCACATGTCCGCGGCAACGCCGTCCTTTTTCTCCAGTGGTATTTCGTGGAACTTCGTGCGGGCTTGTGATATTGACAAAACCCTACGTCTAAATCCAAGTATGGAGACGACACTTTCGTCTGATCCACTCGATCGTGGCAACCTGACCATTAGAAAATAGCATGTCAGTGCCTGAATGAACATGTAAAGACTTTGACACCCAGTCTGCGCGTGGCAGGAAGACTACAAACCGTTCGACATTATCCAAAAGTTCACAGCCATCGCGGGGAATGCCAACACTGCACCAGCTTCGTGGAAGACATCGAAAACCATGCATATCTGTGCTACACAGTATAGTATGCGCTAATTCAGAAACGCCAGCCCAGAAGTGTATGTACATTTCTGCTTCTCTTCCTCTTCCTGTTGCAGTTCGGCATGGACTTCTAGCTGTCCTCCACACTTTGGCTGAGCAGGCAAGCTGATTGCATCCCCCAAAGCTCCAATAGAAGTGAGCCTCATGTTATGAGGGCATGTTTCCGTGCAAAGTTTGTGACTTAGTCCTTCGTCAGACCAGGGGAGTATGATATTGTCGGCCGTACGAATCTGTGGTAAATGCGTCAGTACAGTTCTCCTGAATATCCAGTATCCTCCCAGGCCTGTGATATGCAAATTTCTCCACTGTATCATTGTCTCGGACAATAAGCGGATATAGTACATACCTGTCGGCAATGATTGGACTCGATTGTGTTCCCAGTAGTTCCTTCTCTCGTGCCTGATCCGCATACCACCTTCGTACCTGATCTCGATCCTCTTCCGCCTGCAGTAGAGGTGTAAGGTGTATTCTACTCCACATCTTCTCCCGTGCTAATTCAAGCTTCTCACGCTGACCATAGGCAAGCTTGTACCATCCATAACCCATGACTGCAAAGACACCCATCATCCATACCACAGGTTGAGGACCTCGTGCAGGCAGATTGCGCTGTAGAATAACATGTTAGTATGGGTTCAATCTCGAGTGTGGAAGCATTTCGAAACAGCGCGCTCATCTCCCAATAGTCGTTGCGCGTCCTGCTATGCTGTTGATAGTATTCGCAATCCTGCGTCGGGAGAAGTGTGCTGTTCGTGCTTGCTGGGCGAGTTTCGTACTTTGTATTGGATGGCTTCGTAGCCACCGACGGGTGGCAGATCCTGAGGCATGATGGCTGTATCTCTGCGGTATAGCAGACCTAGATGTCTTTCATGGACTGGTGAACACGACTGTATGCACACTCCCAGACGAGACTGCTACTAGCAAGTGGTTGGAGCTCCACCAAAGCTTTGATGCCTGAAGAAGGACAATCGGCTCATGCCTGCATGCCTTACGATTATGACGGAATCACCTCAATATCTAGCGGACGGCATCAACAATTGAACATCATTCATGCCTCTTGCTTGACATTGAGGTTCGTCTCTGCTACTGCACAAAATCTCGGAATTGGCTTCTTTGACTAGCCAAGCATCGCGAACTTTAAGTCACTGGAACCCTGTACAAAACCAACATCAGAGACCAGAGTGACAATGGTCCGCCACAAGAAAGACAATCCAAAAGCCAAGAAATACACAGCCAATGCTCGCCATACACCTCGCCGGCAAAGGGATAACTTGCCTGATGATGAGGTAGACTCAGCTTCATCTAGTCGCCCGTCTTTCAAGGCGGCCATGTGGGACTTTGACCATTGTGACTCCAAGCGATGCAGTGGCAAACGACTACAGCACTTTGGTCAAATTCGTCCTCTCCCAGTAGGCCAAAAGCATCAGGGTGTCATAATCTCACCAAACGCCAAGACTATACTCAGTCCAGCTGATGCGTCAACACTGGAGCAGTTTGGTGCTGCTGTTGTTGAGTGCTCGTGGGTACGAATACAAGAAATTCCTTGGTCGAGGATAGGTGGTAAATGCGAAAGATTACTTCCGTACCTGGTCGCAGCTAACCCTGTAAATTACGGACGGCCATGGCGGCTAAACTGCGCGGAAGCACTAGCAGCATGCTTTATGATTTGTGGCAAGGAGGAATGGGCTGAGGAAGCGCTTCAACACTTCTCTTATGGAGAGTCATTCCTCAAGATCAACGGCAGCCTGTTCAAACGTTACGCAGCAGCTGAAGATGAGGCTGGGGTCAAGCGAGTTGAGGAAAAGTGGATGAAAAGACTGGAAAAGGAGTACAGCGAGAGCCGGAAAGTTGGCGAGGGAGAGAATGGAGAAGAAGATATCTGGGCCGGTGGCAACGTGAACAGAAGAGAGCTGCCAGAGGATTTATCTGATCTTTCAGACTCCGAAGACGACGCAGATGGCGAGAACGGCGATGACAATGATGAAGACGATGACGAAGACGCTGTATACGACGCCAATGGCAACCTTCACCAGGGTGTGCCATTAGATCTGCCACCCGACTCCGACGCCGAAGCAGAAGAAGCTGAGATGGCAGAAATACGGCGGAAAATCCTTGCAAGCAAACCTTTCCAGAATCCCAATGCGGAAGCAGAGAAGCATGAAGACGAGGACGACAGAGCGCCAACGCAGAAACACCAAGCACGGTCAGCCAGAAACAACGACTTGGCAAGCACATCGGAGCCACCAGCACCTGTTCTACTTGGTGCAGATTCCGATGCTGAGTCAGGAAGCGCAGACAATGATGATGAAGAGTTCGATGACTTTGACCAAATAGCGAATGCTACACCAGTAACCGATCGGACAGGTCTTACAGCCAAGGAGAGATCGAAGAAGCTGGAAAGACTAGCGGGTTCTGGTAATACTGCTAGGTTTACAAGGGCTGAAGTCAGTGCTCCGAAGAAGTGGTAAGCGAGGCAATCTAGAATACCATCGGCATTAGCAGAAGAACTTCTTCTTGAATTCATTCCTCAAAGTTTAAACATGCATAGAAATACAACGCCACTCGCTTCGTCGTCGTTCGTGTGGCCTGACAATTCTCGATGAACGTGCTAAATTTGGATAATGGACCCGATGTCTTGTAGGAATTTGCCGGTGAACAACCGGGTTTATTTTCCCTGCATGCATATTGTGAGGTAGTAATACATGAGCTGAAAGTTTCACACCGAATTTTGGGGAAGAATGCACTCTACGTCGTTGCAAAGAGAGAATACAGACGGATACGATATACCTGAAACATGTGTACGAACATAAATATGGCTCGACGCCAGCAGATGTCTCAATATCACCATCGCAAAAATCGAACTTGAACAAGCATCGCATCTGCTCTCCAGCATCCTCAATCGGTGCTTCCGTCAGAAGAACGCATTGCTGCCAACATGCACCTCGCGACGTATCTCATCTCACTGCTCCCCCTCCTCTCAACTTTAACTATAGCCATGGTAGTCGTCACACCCTCTGAGCCAAACCAAAAATCTGTCGACACCACTGCCTTTGAGTGCACCACCAAACACGACTGTTCAGGCAACAAGGTCTGCGCACGTAAGTACCCGATCCCAATGCCCAATTCATTACGGCACGATACCAAAACTTGAGTTTATGGACTATCTGCTGACTGCGCACTCCCGTACTCAGAGGTTGGCTGCCACGGACAAATCGTGGGCAGAGATTGTGTAGATCCATCGAGTAGTGTCTGTCAGCCAAATTGGGGTTCTGGGAGTTGTGGGAGTGTTTGTAAATAGTGTGGTGAGAGGATATCCTCAGCCAGTGCTGGGTGGGTGCGCTGAATCCAGGACTTCATTGAGTTGTCCTAAAACGGATCTTGGTCAAATCCCAGTTGTTAACGTAGAAAGCTTCTGACCACGAATTAAAAGTCCAGATGTCTTCCGTCCTCATATCGAACCTATGAGGCCAGGCTTTTTCGCAGCTCTCCTAGGGTCGGTAGTAGTCCTACATTTGATGTAGTCATGGTCGTACTCGTCGTTGCTTCCACTAGATAGTTAGCGCTTCGACATAACATGTTTGACAGAAGCTGTTAGTGGCATTCGAACGTGTTACGCGTTGTGCGTTGCTGAGATGGTACGGTATCAAAGGCTGCAACGAATCTCTTCAAACATGAAGAAGTCCATGCTGTAACAACATGAACGACACGCTCGTGAGCCTAGTACGTTCAAGATTGCAGGTTCGAGAAGCAATGTGCATTTCAGTAAAAGGTTCAGGGGGCAGAGCAGCTTCGCAGGGTTAGCGTGTTAGCGGATTCGAAGAATCTCGCTCGTTGGTGTGGTAAGCAAGCGAAGACGCGACGCGTTGATGAAACCTTACGAAAGTCGGAAATCGTTTCTTCGTTCCTGATCTACTTGAACAGTGGTCGGCCTGTATTCGGAGACGGAAATTTCTCAGATTGCTCGGGTGGCTTCAAAGCATCCCAAGACACATGAATCTGATCCTCCATGATTTCTGGTGCCAGCACGAATGCAACACCATCTCATTTTGATTAACCTTCTAGTCATCACAAGCACCATGAGCACCAGCGCACCTGCAAAGTTGGATATCAATATCGAGTTCCATATTCTGTTCGTGGGATTTACTTACACGTAACCGGTATAGATGGTGAAGACACATTGGCACGAGCAGCAAGCTTCTGGTCGTTGAGGAGGGCAATGGTAGAAATCACCGAGACACTTCTGCTCAGAGTCTAGGGCGAGTCCGGAAGTTGCGTTGTTAGGAGAGAACGGGAGAGGATTTGCCATTACAATGCCTTAGAATAGGTTAGGTAAGTGGTTCAGAATGCAGAGAAGGTTGTTTGGAGGACATCGAGGTGAAAATCACTTACCTGAGAATATGGCGGCAGCCAAGAAGACAAGCGATTGAAACTTCATTTTAAGCGATTGGTTGATGTTCTGAACACTGGTCAGCTCTAGTCTGCCAGATCATGGTTGGACTCGCAATCAGTTACCTCTAGTCAGGGGATGTAAAGAGTTGGCTTCGTCTAGGGATCCCTGCTATCGAGAACTGTGAGGAAGAAAATATGGAAAATGAACTTTCAAGTCTTAGTGGTGGCAGGAGCTCAAGTACTACAAGCAAACCCTGCATGGCCACTTTTCGTGGGCATAGTGATAACACTGACGTGTTGCATAGGTAAGCACACATTCGTAAGTGAAAGCGTCTTCATGACACTATCTCTAATTGTACCCAGAGCGCGCGGCACAATCACTACAGCTCGAAAGCGAAGCCCTTACTTTCAGAAAACAGAGCGAATATGTTTGCAGGGGAGCAAGCCAGTATGTTTGCTGCTTGGCTTTGGTTGGCTATAAGTGCTAGGAGCATACCTGATGTCTTCCTACACGTATCACCACGTCCAGACACAGCATGTCTGAACCCACGAATACATTATCACCTTCAGCTATCATTTTCCAGAGCGTAATCGTTCCCTTTCCGCCAGATGATTGGAGCAGTCAGAAGACTAACCTCTTGAGCTGGGCATCTAAGGACAGAGCCAGTGACCTAGACAAGCCCACCTATCTCGGCGAGGTCTTGTTCAAGAAAGAGCTTTTCGACTTCCGTCTTTTCCGTGTGCTCAAGAACAAGGCTCTGCCTGCCTTGCGTTTAGATCCCAACATTGGTGATCTGACACCCGACACAACCAACAACCCCTTTTTCTCAATTTAAAGGCTCTCAACACTCGCAAGCTTCGCCACGGCAGGAATGACCGAGCAACATGGCTCAATGGACTACAGAAGCTGCTAGCAACGTACAGAGTTAGACGACTGGACATCCTCTCCGACGACCGCGAAGACATAGGCCGTTTTACACGTGCTGCCGGCATAGTAACCATGGACGAATATCGTTAGGCCGAAACTCGAACCTTCGAAAACCCTGGATAAGAGCAGGGGAGATCTTTCGTAGAGAGTGTATACTAGATAAAATTGTCAAGAAACACAGAAAGACGACTAAAAGTGAAACAAAAAGACCACCAACGAAGAACTGAATGAAGAGAAAATGAGGGTTGGCAGGTACAATGGCACTTCCTTCACACTAGCTGCTGAAAGGCATATTGAACATGCGATCATTATGACTATCAGTACACGTACCCATCGTAGGGTTGTCGCTATAACCAGCCCTCGATCTGCAACCATGACAGCTCGTATAATGAGACCTAGCTTGTTCATGCTTCAGGACGCCACCAACGCCATGCTCGCACATGCAGTAATATAACACTAAAGTCGACAAGGTAGCGATACAAGACCGTCCTCAGTAGTCCATCATCATAGCACCCGAGGCAGCAGCAGCAGCATTATTATTCGGAGGATCATTTGCACCATCAAAGCCACCACCATTGTAGTCATCCAGACTTTTGTAGCCAGCGAACCCACCATTTCTCCCGCCTCTGCCACCATTTCCACCTCTTTGCCTTCGAGTATTAGCCAAGTTCTGAGGTTGTGTAGGCACAGCGTTCGGGTTGACGGTAGGGTTACTGTTATTATTGAATTGTTGGTGGCTTCTGCTCTTGTTGAAGTTGTTTTTGGGCTTGTTGAAGTGTCTGTTTCCGGAAGCTTGCTGGTTTTGGTTATGTCTATTATTTTGAGCAACTGAGGCCCAGGAGGGACTACCCTGCTGTCCATTCTGGTTCTCTCTGTTAGGATCGGCTTCGTCTTGAAATTTGCGCTTGCTGTTCACGTTCCGTGGCAGACGTACTCTGTGGTTGCGTTCGTCGACAGCAGCGTTCTCGTCCAGCTCTTCAAGCTTCAGCATGACCTTGTCCTCTGCCACAGTTTCAAAGATGTACTTTTTGTCTTCGCTAGGTGGCTGCCAATTCTTGATTCTGTTGGCGTCGATCTGTCTTGAGCCCTTGCGGATTGCGAGGATGACCATGGGCGTCTCGTCCTGGGTGTAAATAGGCTTGTCGCTGATTGGCGCCACACGAGCGGCCCATATTCTATCCTCGAATTTGGCGACTCCAGTTACCTGCCAGGTAATCTTCGTACCTCTACCGCCCACCTTTTCTAGAATGTCCTTTCTCGGATAGTAAGGGACAATGAGGATGCTTGATGCCATATACTTTACTTCACCTGAATCGATGAGATGAGCTGAAGCATTGCACAGAGTGATCAATCGAGCGGAATCCGTTTGATTTATTAGGTAGCCGAAATACAAAAATTGTTCGTGTATACGATAGAACTTTTCGAGGGCTCGCGTAGGGTTAGGAGCACCACTCTTAATAACTCTGTTGTGTTGGTTGATAGCCTTTTGTACTGCCATGATCTCAGTCTGGGGGTCAAGAGCACACTTCAGTTCACAAACGTGAATGACCTCGGCAGTGCATGTTGTACTTCGCTCTGCGAGGGCGGGATCAACTACTTGAGCTAGAAAGGATTTGTTGAATCGTTCCATGAAGTCGCGGAAGCCTTTCACATGTTTCACTCTGTCTTCGTAGATGCGAATGTTATCTGCAAATCTATAGGTAAGAACAAGATCTCTCAGATATGCTTGCTTGAAGTCCATGGTAGAGCTGAATTGCTGCTGGTTAGGGCCGACCTCTGGCTTGAGCACAACCATATCGAAATCGAGTTGCTTCGAGTTGGCCATACGGTTGACCAGCTCTGCAAAATTGGTCTCACCTCGGCCAGTAAGCAGAACAGTGAGCGTATCCTTCTCTTGCATACTGCTCTCAACGAGCTGGACAATGACCTCGTTCCACCAACCATTCCATGCACGTGGCTCTTCAACTTCAATACCTTCACCTGTTGCTGCTAGGATATCGGGATTATGCCACCACCCTCCATGCGCAAAGACTTCGTAGGCCTGCAGCAGACCTATGGTAGAAGGATGCCATAATTGGGGATTGGGTAAAGGACTCGAGAAAAGAGTGTTGTCGAAGTCGTACACGTGAATGTTCTTGACAGTGTCTATATCTGGCAGATGCTTGGGTTTGGACGACCATCTCTTGAGCCCATTGATTGTGTTGGTGGACCTCATTCTTACCAGAGTCAAAGGCGTATATGGATGCGCAAGCGAACCTTGAGAAGCACGCGCCAACCGCGATAGTCACCGAGTCTGTGAGAGAATCGACCTTCTAAGCATTATTTAATGTTCCTGAAAGTTCGTCACCAGTCGCAAACTGCATCGGAAACTAGGACCAGCTCAAGAGATGAAGAGGAACGATCATGATCAATCATGCACCAGAGTAGGGCGGCGTTCAATGAGACGTGAAACGCGTTACACTTTCCTGTCTAGGTGATAGGTGTCGTATTGGGCTTAGACTGTGGTACCTTAAACGAGGACTTCCTATCGACTGAATGGGAAAGTATAACGAAGTTCACGTTTCATATCAAATAAGCTTGCCACTTTTGCACTGCTCATCTACAACTCAGCATCTCTTCTTTCTTGCACGTTCATCTGTACCGACTGCAAGTAAGGACCGTGCTATCATGCAGGTATATGGCAAGCGCAGAGTCTTATTCTGAAGATGTAAAGCTGCGCGAAAATCCGGTCGAGACGGACGTCAAGGTGCTCTCTCCTTTCCATCAGCTCGACGCCTTCAATCCTACTATATGCGTTATCTGCCTCGAACGAACACTCGACGAAGCAAGCGCAATTCCATGTAGACACGATCAATTTCACTTTTCATGTCTCGGAACCTGGCTTCAGCAAAGCAGGGCTTGTCCTTTGTGCAAAGGCGAAGTGAAAGCTATCGCTTACCAGGAAGTGGGCAGTTCGCAGAAGGTCTACTATTTGGCCGAACTAGCTACTCGCCCGTCACAGTCGAACCCAGCATTGCGGCGTGGATGGAGCCGTCGGGGTCCCCAGCGTCGGTCTTCATTCGCTGATGGTCGGGTCAATCGTGTGCTAGATACGACACTCACTTTCCGCAAACGCGTTTATGACCAACAGATGTACTCCTCATACATCGGATCAAACAGGTTCAGCAAGTATCGCAACGTGACACCCGAGTCTTTCCACACCGATAGCACCCTTATACCCAAAGCAAAGGCATGGATCCGGCGAGAATTGGCTGTTTTCGATTTCCTACGGCCTACTTCGCCCGCGTTCGGCCGTCTCGACCGACGTGCTACAAACGCAGAATACTTGCTGGAATACATTGTAGCCATATTGAAGTCAGTAGACATCAAGGGCAGTGCTGGTCAAGCCACCGAGCTTCTGAAAGAGTTCTTGGGTTCAGAGAATGCACGGTTGTTCTTTCATGAACTCGAAAACTGGCTGCGAAGTCCTTTCCAGGACCTCAAAGCTTGGGATCAATTTGTTCAATATACAGCTCGCTGACGATGATGAATCCCGGGCTTGTGCGAAAGCGATGCCCGCTACGCGGCTAAGTGTCTTCGACGTACATACGATACGAGAGCCTACGTAATAAGTACTGCCGCGAAGCACGGTGTCTCCACAGGAGGACCATACGCATTGACAAGAGATGGGGGAACAGCTTTGCAAGGTCGGCTTTCATCATTGTAGCATGACACTGAGTACTCTCAGAGCAGTCTTAAATAGTCAGAGTAATTGCAAATTCACTGTTGGATACGGATCGGACACGATACAGTCCCATGAGATTTTCCCTATGGCCTCGCAGCTCGTTTGTCATGCGTTTTCGATCGTGTGATATGCCGTAATTTCACCATAAAAAGTGCCTGAGGAAGCAATCGATGCCTTCCATACCTTCCTCGTCACAAGTGCATTCTTCCTTCCCTCAAACATTTCATCTCGTCGCGTTCATCCTCTTGCATTTGTCTTTCTCACGCTCGCTTGATTGCAATACACATTACTCGATAGTATTTGTTTTGCTTTTATCTCTTAATTACTCGCACGACTTTGCTCTGTTGTGAATTCATCCGAGCTCGAGTCTGGCAGATAAAACTAGTGTCAAAACTTGGCCTCATAGTCAGACCAAAAGGAAACTCGCATCTGGAGACCTGCATCGACGAAAGGGACACAATGGTCGTCTGCAAGTATTGGAAGCAAGGTAGTTGTCGTTTCGGGAACAGCTGCAAGTTTGAACATCCAGCCAATACCGCGAACACAAATACCAACAGCAACAATAATGGTAATAACAACAAGAATAGGTCCAACTTTGGTGGTGGCATCTTTGGCAACATAAACAGGCCCGAGAGGTGGCATCTCAGCGAAGAGGATATTCAGAACGATCTCTCCAAAACCAGACCGCAGTGGATACTTTCGGCTTATGGTCCTGGCAAAGAGACTCCTGCGGCTCTCTTCGTTGACAACGAATACAGTCCCGAAGAAGTCAGATTACGTTTCTACAATTCTCAAGCGACAGGTCAAGGGACGGCCGCTGCCGATCAAGAAGCTGTTCAAGTATGGCAAAAAGCCACAAACGATATCGATACTGTTTTGACGAATGTCAAGGATGTCCAAAATTTTATGGAGCAGAAGGAGAAGGAACGTCCTAACAGGTATGATTACTGCAAATTTGATGGCACGACTTCGTTAGACGAGTTTATCAAGAAGACCGAATTCAACACGCAACCAGGATCTTCGCTCAACCCTTGGGGAGGCGCAGTGCGTGCTACGCCTACCACAAACCCGTTCTCAAAGACACCTGCATTTGGGCAGTCTGCCTCTCCTTTTGGCCAAGTGTCTCAATCTTCAGGCTTTGGGCAAACAGCACAACCTTCGACATTCGGACAGTCAACTCCGATATCTGCCTTTGGCAAAGTAGGGTTTGGTCAAAGCAACACACCAAACTTTGGACAGAACGCATTTTCTCCACCACAAACAAACCAGCCTGCGACCATTTCTGCCTTCGGACAGACATCTAGTCTAGGCCAGAACAGCTCTTCAAGCCCTTTTGTCAAACCTTCCGCGTCAGCTTTCAGTGGCAAGCCTCCTCTGTCGTCAGGCTTTGAAACCCAAACGGCGGGAGCTTCCCCTTTCAGCAGTACAGGTATGTCTGGAACAACCTCGAACGCTTCACCCTTCAGCAGTGCTGCACCTACAACAAATGCTACGTCGCCCTTCAGTAGCAACAACAACAACGCCTCGCCTTTCGGCGGCAACAACAAACCATCTCCATTTGGCGGAAATAACAACGCATCACCATTCGGTGGCAACAATACGTCGAGTCCGCAGTTTGGCCGTTCGGGTTTTGGGCAACAACAACAACTATCAGCTCCGGCGTTCGGACGACCCTCGCAGCCTCAACAGCAACCGCAAGCTTCTCCTTTCGGCCAAATATCACAATCACAAGCGACACCTATGTCTGCACCATTTGGTCAACAGGCCCAGCAACCCGGTTTTGGTCAGAGTCCATTTGGTACCCAGCAGCAATCACAGAATCAGTCTCCATTTGGGACTTCGATACCTAGCCAAGCATCGCAGCCGCAACAAGGGCAGAACCCATCGCCATTTGGCCAAACTATTCCAGCTCAGAATCCTTTCGGTGGTGTACAGAACGGGTCCATGTCTGAAGCACCACCAAGCACCGTATCGCAGGCAGGTTCAGTGGCGCAGTCTTCCGCATCCAAACCAACAGGAAAGCCTGTGCAGCCACTACATTACTCTCAAACACTTCCGAACATTCCACCTCAATTTCGACCGGACGGCAAGCTTTCCACATATCGCGGACGTCCTGTGCAGTACGATCAGAGATTTCGTCCGACTATCGAAGGTGAGGAAGTACTTGACGCGGAGCTACCCATATATCCACGGCCTGACGGCAAAGGCCTCGAGCGCGTATGGTTTCCTCAAGGTGCAGCAGAAGCATCTGTTCAACGTCTGGTAAGAGCATTGCTGGACATTTCCCTTCCAGACGACCAGCTCTCAGACACAGATAAAGCAGAGTACGCACGATTCTTCGAGACTGGTAGATTTGAGGCTGGCAGAGTGCCTCTTGTCCCGCCACTAAGAGGCTGGATTGATTATGACTTTTAGGAGAGATCAAGGACGAAAGGCAGTTCCGAACGACTCTTCGACCTCAATATCCGAGTGAAAGGTATTCTTGGTTTGGACAAAGTGGGCATGGAAACCAGTGCTGGCGGTATCAAGTCTAAAAGACGATAGACATTCAGAACTCTGCCAACGTCGACCACGATGCGTAGGAGAAGGGTGCGTCGATTGAAAAGACACGAGCAGCCTCGTCTATTGTCGTTGTCACGGTATTGATCGATTGCCAAACAGGTGGCCACTTCACTAGAGCTCTCTGAAGGGATGGATAGCCTCGCCCAGCTAGACTGGGATGTATCACGCACTTCAGACTTATGACAGAAGCGGAAAACACTAAGAAAGGAATGATGGCTTGACTTTTTTTTAGCGTGCAGTTGGGATGTTATACGGATCGTATTTATATCATGTTATGTTGGCTTGATTGTCATCGGGACATGTGTTGTTATCATTCGTTATGCACTATGTATTACTCGTAGCGTGAAGATAGAGACAAATTATTTCTTGCCTCAACCATCCACCCCGTCAAGGTCACAGGACTTCCGATCGAGATGGTCACAACTAGTGTCTCTGTAGTTGTGGCTTGTGATTGTAGCTTATGAAGTACTTATTTTACGGAGTTCGGACGAGAATTTAAGCTCTACCGCTTCCTGTGCCAAGTCAAGGACTTTTGTCAGGTACAATCAACAGGATCCACTTGCTTCCATGCAAGCTATGGCTTCATCCACATGACTGCTTCATTCCTCAGCATTTAGCATTAGTGCCCAGACAGGTAATATAATCAACGATACGATTACGTCTCGTGTCCGCTTTGTGCTTTAGACCTTATTCGCTATGTTTTAGAGATCACTCAATCTAAGCCGCGAGGATGTGTCGCGACCTGGCGTCAACCGTGCAGGTCGCGATCTTTGACCACGGCCACAATGACCTGGAGACCCACGCGTGCCGACGCGTGCAATACATTACTTATCTTTCAATGTGACCGCCGAGCGACTGAGCCTAGCACTGGCAGGTCGCATTAGCGCGCATACGGGCCCATCAACTGTCCAGCGCCTATTGTCCGAACACAGCCTCGTGATCTGAGAGGCCCCTGCAGTGACCTACCAGCATTCTTTGTCTTTTACACTCTAATAGCTACTTACATGCTCTTATCTTTCAAGTTGGTGCGAGTGTTGGTGCAGAATTGATAATGTTGGTCGAATTGGAAGAGCAGCTGAAGGCAATTAAAAAAGCTGAAGAAACACGCAATTCGCTTGTTGAGGTACTTGAACGGAACACATGTCTTATCCAATCTAATGCAATCAGAGTTTGATCGCGAAAGTCAGAGAGCTTTATGTCGAAAGAGGCGAGCTACAGAGTAAGCTCGAACAAGCTGAGGATCTCCGCGACGTGTATCACGACAAGTTAAAGCACGCTCGCAATGATTTCAATGAATTGGAACGCAAGATGGTATACCTCGCTCTTCCAGTTTGAAACGACCTGCTAAATTGAACAGGCTGCAGACCCGTTTTGTTTAGCCCTCATCGATGCAGATAACACTCTGGTAGGTGAGCGATCCACAGCATGCCAAATCAATACTGACATGGCCAGTTCTGCGATGGATACATCAAGCGCGGAAGTCTCGGTGGACGAGAAGCTGCGATACATCTTACAGGGAATCTTACGAGACTGCTGAAAGCACAGGAAAACTTTCAGCCTCATTTGAAATTGATTGTGCGTCTGTATGCCAGCATGTCTAAGCTAGGCGAGGCCTACGTGAAGAGCAGTGTACTTGCGGATGTGTCAGTCTGGCAGGATTTTGTTCAAGCCTTCAACAAAGAGATACCACTTTGTGAGTTTATTGACGCGGGAAGTGACAGAGAATCTGCGGATACTAGGATCAAAGGTAACGACACTCTCGTGTAAGCGTTCTCAGCTCACTCTGCCCTTCAGAGACGTTCAACCTCTTTCGAAACAATGTGCATTGTAAGCATATCGTCCTTGCAGCATCTGGAGATAATGGTTACACGGGATTTTTGCGACAATTTGCCCCTGTAGCAGGTATATCCGAGACCATTACCTTGATCGAAGCTCGACCCTTTCCAGCACAACTCAGAGAGATTGCAAACGCCTTCCAAGTCGAAAACTCCCCGCAATGTTTCGAGCATCTGATCTAATATCAAATAAACCATCTCCTACACAACACAAGCTTAACTTAGTTGTGTCGACGAACGATTCTAACCCCCATGAGACCACCAGCAAGACTATGGCCGAGGTCGTCGCCAATACTCGGACACAAGCTCTCGCATCGGCGTTATCGATACCAGCTTCCAGTACGAATCGTGCCAAAGACAGGAAAGTTATACGTGTTTGTTTCAACGAGTCAAACCATCGCCTTGACCCGATCGTGCGCTACGACAAGCAGCTTATCTCCCAGCTGAGAGCGAAGAAATTGTGCGAGGCTTTCTTCCTCTCGAAATGTGACTTTGTGAGTTGCAAGTATGATCACAGTGGCAGTCTCAGTGAGGAAGAACTCAATACACTCCGGTACATTGCAAGACAGAACCCTTGCCAGTCAGCATATTGTCAGAAACCCTGCTGTGTGCATGGTCACGTTTGCCCATACGATCGAAAGTGCGCTTTTGGGAAGAATTGCAAGTTCCCAGTGGCAATGCACAATGTCGACATGAAGGTGGACAGTGGAAGAACTGTGGAGGTTCCAATTTGATTCCAACGACGTCGTGGGGATCGATATCTTTTGGTTGGCGAAGGGCCTGCTTCGGCCAAGTGCCAGGACATGATTGCAAGTTACATGGGGTTTAGTTTGAATATTCGGCACCTCGGATGGTTACCGTCGGTGCCTCGTGCAGTCAGGAGCGTTCACTCCTTCGTCTTCACACTGCAACCTGCTAGAGATATAAAGGATAGCAAGGTAAATGCGCACAAACCAACAAGGAAGTCTGGTTCGTTTGGAAACATAATGGAAATGTATGTTGCAGACAGTATTGGCTATGGCATTATCTTCTAGGTCCATCTGTCCATAGCTACTATCTAGCAATTTTCAAGCACCATATCGTAGCTCTTTATGCAGCAATAGTGACCTCAACCTCGACACCAGCCTCGATGTTGATGATGATCTGCTTGACGGCCTCGGTAGGAGCGTTCAGATCGATCAGTCTCTTGTGGATTCTCATCTCGTACATGTCCCATGTCTTTGAACCTTCACCGCAAGGAGTCTTTCGGGTGGTGACCTGTGAGATAGAGTGTTAGCATTCGTTCTCGCAAGCTGTGCGCTGTGTCGGTGTGTAGCAGAACCGGGATGAACGTGTATATGCAAACGTGCAGGTCTTATCCCTCCTCTTTCCTTCTGCACCAAAGCTCCTCCAACAGTTGTTTTGTCAAAGCTGCGCCTGACACATAACCAAATCAACCACAACACCCACAGCACAACACAGTAATCTCTTTCACTCAACCCCATCCATGCACCCGCAACCAAACATAAAAATCACTCTTCAACATACCTTCAACACCTTAGTAGGCAACCTAACCGGTCCCTTGACCGTCAAGTTCTTGGTCTTGGCACGCTCTAACAGTTCACTGCAGACTTTCTCGAGCGATGCGACCTTTCGGCTGGTGAGGGTGATTCGGATCTTGTGGGTTTTCTGTTGCGCGAGTGATCAGTAAATCTGTCCCATCATTTGTCCGTATTTCTCCATGCCGCGATCGCGGTATATAGGAAATTGTTATGCGCTAACAGCAATCTGTTTGCATGTGTACATACTGGACCTTCACCGAAATCCTTCTCTGGCTTCTGGAAATTAGACATTTTTGCGGTTTTGTGCGTTTGGAAGTGATTATTCGATTTTGAGGTCGATTTGCGTGGGCTTGAGTCTGTGTGTGTAGTTGCTTGGTCACCAATCACGACTTGAACGTTCAGTTCGGCAAAGTGATGAAAGGCTGGAGAGGGAGGAAAGAGTCGCTAGGTGGTGAGCGCAAGAGGGAAAAAGACGTGGGTTTGTGCCAAGCTTTGCGATTTAGGCATTCAGGCACGATTTTGCTGTCATGAGGCATCACATTGCAGGATGCATGTGCTACAATGTGTGTTCAACCACATCTTCAGGCTGGACTGGAGTCGAGTGGTTCTCAATTGTTTGAAGTCTGAGGTTATCAGGAGATAATGAAACACGTAGAATACATTCGTGCATCTTGCGTGCTAGCCATCTAAACTTTTGTACTCACTAAGCTCCAGTCTCGATGATATAGACATGCTAGGAACAGAACACCATCCTTGTGGTGTCCAATGCCAATATACACCAGCTCAACGCGCAAAATATTTGAGACAACTGCTCGAAGCACATGTGGACAGCAAAGGTCTGCTCGCCTCTAGCTCACGCCATAGCAACTCTCCAAGCCACCCAAGCAATATCCTTCGACCAAAATCAATCCTAACCACCACCCGCTTCACGTAGCGATGTTTCTGACTCTGTCTGCATACTGTCAGGAGACACAGCTGCCACAGTCTCACATCCAGAGGAGCGAAGTGATGATATTCTTCTGGTAGGACAAGGAGTATCTGCGGACTCGTGATTATCAGCAGGCATATCCTCCCACAGAAATTGCTCCGATATAGAACGTCTCTCTTGCTGCTCGATTGAGACACCTGACCCATGTCTTGGATCTTGTTCGGGTATCCTGGGCTGTCCACTTGGCCGTATATCTTGCAAGTGCTGTCCGAGATGATTCGGTCTCCTGTTCGTAGGTCCCTATCCAAACATATCAGCAACTCCTTCCAAGTCAACTCCATCTTTCAGGTTAGCTCTTTCTGCGTCCACAGCAGCTTGCATGCCCAGTAAGTTTCTTTGCTTGTACTTCTCGAGAAGACTGGATCTTTCCTGCTTGTTGTCAATTTTACCAAGCTCGCTCATACGCACACCTCTAACATTTTCTAGTAACTTCAATATAAGTGCTCGCATCGTGCGCTGTTTCCCTGCAAGTCCAAGCACAGCAAGCTGCATGCCAGTCCGGTCGACCTGAACGCGGTCGACGCCTGGAATGCTAAGTAAGACGTTCTGTGGAGTATCTGTCCAAGGAGGTCGATGGTGGGCAGGCTGTGTCTCCGTAGCAGCTATGTGTGCAGGCAACCCATACGATAGCCAAATCAGCGCAATCAATACAGCTAGATGTTGGTGATAGTCAGCAAAATAGCCATCATTCAGACTGTTGATCGCCGCTTTCAGCATCTCAGTGGAGATAAATTCTCGTACAGCTGCTGCATCCGATCCAGAGAGGTGGACTTCGGTAGAGAAAGCAGGCACAAACTTCTGCAATACGGGGATAATCGTCGAGGAAGTCTTAGTGTCTTTATAACCGATGCTGTGAGTGCAGAACATCAGAAGTGGCTCGAGGATAGTTCGGTTACCCAGCACGAAGTTACGAAAACTGGTGTCCGCCCTATTGACAACTCGTTTTGCAGTAGATAGCTTGACTTCGCGATTACCATCGATCCAAGATGTCACTATGTTGACGGCCTTCGTTGTCATTTGTCGTAGAACAGACTCGTCTCGCATCTCGTCACTCAAATCTCCATTCACTTGTTGCTGAGCTTCGCCAGCGGTCTTAGCATGAACCTTCTGCCACTCGGAAGTGCATTTGCGATCAATTTGCAGTGTCAATTCGGCTAGAACAGGTGTCAAAAAGTGTTGCATGTTGCTGGGTGGACATTCTTCAATGAGCTTTGGTAGCATGGAGAGTAGTTGACCAAAATGATGAGGGCTGAGAGGCGCTGAACTCGAAAGCAGTGCTGCGGATAGTGTGTCAGGTAACTCTGGTATGCCATAGAAATGTGATCCTAGTCTTCCCAAAGTGTGAATAATGCTGTAACAATTCTCTAGATTCGTGCGTATGCGACCTCGAACGGACGACGCAAAGCCTTCCAAGGTCATCTTGGTTGCCCTGACTTTGTGGTGAAATTCTTGCATTGACCCTCCTGAGATGCCAGACTGCCAGTAACGATCTCGCATAAGTCTTTGCATAATGCTTCGCTGGTCTGGTGACAGATTAGGCCACGCAGCAGGGTCGTGCAGTTGGTGATTATAGCTCGCAAGACGGAGCACACCTTGGATTATGGGTCTCAATAGAGGGGCCCAGACTTCGCACACGATATCGTGCAAGTCCTCAGGAGCATCTAGACGATCAGTAGACATACTGAGGAGAACTCTAGTTTCCCGCAATGGTAGTGGTGAAGCGCCATCTTTCATGGCTCGTTGGATTTGCTGTCCTTCTTCGTCAAGGGTTACTGTTGTCCAATCATGCAGATTCTTCGCATTGACCCTAGTCATAAACGGTCCCACTCTGTCGAATGCTTGGGCTCTTATGAATGATTCGAAGGTTGACATTGCAGCTTCTTGTTGGCTCCATGCTGAAATCAACGGGTTTACAAAGCTTCGTAGTCGTTCTAAACGTATATTTCTGTCAACACCACTTGCATGCTCGACGAGCAACATCAAGATTGCTTTAAGGTCAATCTGGAACTTCTGATCCAGATTGCTATTCATGATCTGTCCTAGGTTGTTCTCAAGCTGATCGTAGAAGGTGATGAAATACGTCGCATGGTCCGAGCACAATCTGCGCAGCTCTTGGATAGCATATTGATGTAATTCTGCATAGGAGTCTGCTAAGATAGGATTGTTCGTTTGTGGTGTATCCAGGGACGATAAAATATGTTGCAACACACTGAAAGCGAACTCAGTATCCATCTTAAGCAGCTTGCTTGATGCCTCTACAGCAGTCTTGATTTGTCGCAATGTTGTGCCGGGGTCACGAAACTTGTAACGTGAAAGCATGTTCGTGGCCCATTGCTTGCATTGTTGCAACAATTGATCTCGTAGTTGTCGGTCTTCCTGCTTCTCCTCATTCACTCGAGTCGAATTGAATTTGAAGATGCCCTTGAAGTTGGCATCAATAACAGACAGCAATGCATCAGTCCGAAGCATACTGATCGACAATCTCTGATATTGGTTTAATTCCTCGGTTCGGTCTGCTGCAATCACTTCACCCAGACCAGCATCGACTGATGAAAGCACGAAACCCAACGCATCCTGTAAATAAGCTGCGCTGATGCTCTCAATGACTGCAGAACATAAACGACGATAGTTGAGGTAAAACCCTTGTTTTTCTGGATACAGCTCAATTTCCTCGTTCACAAACTGAACGGCGGGCTCGTCTTCTGGTAACATATCATATGCAATGATTCTTCGCATCGCAACCTGCAGTATCGGTTGTATGCAGGGTTCCAGAGCCGACGACCTAGATCGATTAGTCCAGGCTTCGAGCAGTCTGTGCCAGGCGTGAATGGCTGCGATCGAGACTAACAGACTATCGTGCTCAGCCACAGCGACAAGCAACGTCAAGTAGGGAACGAGGTCGACGTCCTCTGGAGGGCTCATGCTTGCGAGACCTGTCGCAAGGTGGTACATTAGCTCCCCAAGCTTCTTTGATATAGCATAACGTGGATCAAACGACTCATCCGGGCCGACAATCGCAGTCTTGTACACCTGCTCCAACACACCGACGCTAGCAGGGAGGCAGAGTGGATGTACGAGTGCTTGAACCTCAACAGCTTCGAGACTCTTGCGGCTATAGAATGCGAGAAGCGTATCGATAGCTGCAAGACGGATGTGTGTGTCTGGGTGCGTCATAGCCTCGCAGACGGCCGACATAGCATTAGCAGAGACAATAGCAGGAGACATGATCCAGGAGAAAACTGAACGGAGAGTCACAAGCACAGCACCACACAGCCGCTGTGACTCTTTAGTAGCCGTCCTCCTCGATAGTAATGCTTGTAAGAAAGAGGATATCCTGGTTGTCCAGCCTTCCGCCCCACAACGCATGTGATGTTTTGTGTCGCCAATCACTAGTCCACCTGCATAATTCGCTGGAGAGGTAAAGATCTCTACCACAGCATTGTTGAGGTCGCGATCTCGCAGAATAGCCGTTGGGTCTTCTCGAACAAAAACATCTTCTGACAAGTTCTCCAGAACATGCAGGACGAACTCTTTGGAAACATCCGATTGTAGCCACAGCTGTTGGAGGATCTCATCCAGGTCAAACCAATCTAGTGCCCAGGACCGCTTCGCCAGTTCGACCCAGAGGGCTGCTATCTTGTTGCGTATAAATGGTTGAGGAGTGCTATCGATCGTCAAGCTCAGCCGAAGGATAAGGTCTCGCAAGTTTGCGCTGCCTTGCTCGTTCAAGGCAAAAGATTGTCGCTTGATCACATGCTCGAGAACATCAAGGCCAAAGTATCGAACAACTGGCTGCTGAGAGTTGTCGTTGGCAAGAATAAAGCCAGTTTCTGCAATACCATCCTGATCCTTGAGGCTCTCCAAGTACGCTGTAGCCGAATGGCGATGATCGTTCTTTGAGGCAGGGTTGTGTATTACGTCGAGTGCTTGTATGACCGTCGATAGATCGAGCTTCGAACCGCTTGAGCCGTTATGTCCGTCAGCGCCATTAAGCAATGCCATCCCAATAAATGTCTGTCGGAGAGGAAACAATGATAGTGCGGACAATGGATGTAGAATTGTCTAAGTCAACTTCGCAAAACCATCATCGATCACATGAGCTTGTCACTAGTGGTTGCTATACTAGTGACGAGCAGATTCAATAATCTATTGTGGATTTGACGCGTCCGTTGTAGATGATCGCGTGCCTAACAAAAAGGCGGCAACAGCAAACAGCAGGCAGCAAGCTGGCGAAGGCTGGAAGTTCAACGCTTGCTTCAAGACACAAACAACAGTCGTAACGCCTGCACGTTCCTTCCCATCCGTTGAAGTAACGGAGATCCAATATTCGACCAGCGAAATGTCGTTTGGTATTGAGCTTCCCACAAGCTAAATATCTAGTGGTTGCTACTGGACTATATCACGTGCATCGGACGAGTAACATTGTGATACCAATTTCGGAGTGGATATGGGCGCTAATCAAGGTAACGCTAAAAGCAACTTCAACGAGATAGCATAGAAGCGAATATTGTAGACATTCGTGTCAATCCTAGTCCTGGTATTCTTCAAGACTGTGGCAACGGCCCCATGCCACGACCAACTTTCTTTGCTCGTGCATCTCTACGGCTGTTTGCGCCACCTCGACCTCGACCCTGCTCCTTACGCTTTCTAGCTTGTTGAATCGCAGCCTCGCCCGAAGGACCTGCTGTGCTTCCACCCCCACGACCTCGATCACCTCCAAAATTTCGATGACCGCGTATACCTGCTTGACCCATCCTTCTACTGTCGTTCGACCTTTCTGGGCCGCTTTCAGTCTCTGAGTTTTCGGCCGAAAGATTTGCCTGCCACTTCGTACTCTGGAGAGCTCTCTGCTGGCCAGAGAAAGCACGAGCGGTCGAGTACTTGTCCTGTAGACTGTCCTGCAACTTCTTGTCCTTATTGAGCATGATCGCCCAGCCCTCGATTTGTTCATCACTCATGCCTGTTTCTCGCTTGAGTTGTTGCCGAATGTTCGAGGCTCGTGTCTTACTGTCCCTTGCGAAGAGTGTAGGTGTCTCCTTCCAAGTTTTGTAGAGAACACCTTCGTTAACATCTGTTTGAGGTGGGCGTCGCTCGTCAGTGTCGACGGTATTGTCTACAGCACCACCAACATCCGCTATGTCGTATGTATCATCGCGCTCGTCGTCGTCTGAGTCGAACGTGGCCAGAGCAGACAGAATAGCAGCTTTGGAATTTGCATGCTGATCAGATGTCTCGACCTCATTCCCAATTTCCTTTTTGCCCCTTCTTAGTTGGTTCGAAGATATTCGAAGTCTGGCGAAGTCATCGTTGTCGAAGGCATTCCTTGTTTCAGATATATTGTCTGGGGTCGATCTTGGTTCGAGGTCCACAGGGTTAACTTGCGAGTGGTAATCAGCTTCGGGCAGGTTCTGATCCTGAAGCTCTAAGGGCAAGTTTTCTGGCTCGAGAAGTGCTGCAACGACTTTCTCAGCGTCATCTGCATAAGCATCGAGAGCTTTCAAAATGTACGTAGTGCTGAGATCGGGGAAAAGTTCGTGTACTTGTGAGACTTTTGCTGCTCGATGCATATGCATACTAGTGTCTTCTTGAGCCCGCTCCTTACCCTTCCGCCGATCCTTCCTGACTGGTGGTGGATGGAGGTGAAGCATTGCCAGCCGGTAAGCATTGAGCTGGTCAATTAGCGCTTGGCGTCGGATAGCGTTATCTGCATCAGATACGAAGTGCTTGAGAAACGATGTCGAACATAACAGGCTCGAGAGCACGGTGGGAGAGTCGGGGTTCAATTTCTGGAGACGCTCACTTTCCGATTTCATATGGTAAATGTTGTCCGTCAGTATGGTTACGTGCTTTGTCTGAAGCAGGGCCAAGAAGGAATAGAAGACGTTTTCAGTCACGGCCATACGGACTTCTGCCGAGCCTGCATGGTAGATCTCTGATAGCATATCAAGATAATCCGCTCCTGCTGCTGTTATGGTAGCTACCAATGGTAGAGACTTGGTCAGTGTAGAAACCATTTTGAGCCAAGATAATTGTTCTTGGGCTGTACTTGCTTCGGCCACCTTATTCTTTGCAGCTTCGACTGCCTTCCTGGTCCTCTTTTGTTTGGATACCCAGAGTGATTGGATTAACTTGCTCCAGCTTTCCGTACCTCCATACACCGTGCTTCCTTGGCCCAGCAGTTCGAAGATGACAAGTGCAGACAGTTGCTCATTGCTGCTAGTCAGCAATCTCTTCACTAGCCGGAAGCAGTCTTTGCGCAAGTGTACCTCTTTAGCGTTCCTAGTGGATTTAAAAGAGGCATTTTGGGTCAAATAGGAAAGTAGAAAAGTCGTGCCCAGGGCCTGTGGCTGAGCTTTCGAGAATCGACTGTCGGAGAGACCCAGTCTCAACTCGACGCTGTTGATCCAGAGATCCAGGCAAGCCTCCCATTCCTCTGGTGGTATCTGGTTTTGAATTTGTGCGGAAGGGTAGGCAAGAATAGGTGGGAGCTGAAAGTCAGAACTATCGGCCATCGTGTACGTAATAAGTCCCAAAGGAGATCAACGCGCAAAAAGCAGATATGTTTGCGAACGGTCACGATATGGAATGCTTCACAATGTTCAGATGTGTTTACCGTTCAGCGTTCAACGTCTTTGAATGATGACTTTATTTTGTGAGTGATCCTTGGCTATGGACAACTGACCGTATACGTTCGGCGGTTCCGATTTCATTTCGGCAACTTCATGGACATGACTCACCTTATGTTTTTCGTAAATAACGACGTGGTTCAAAGAAACCAAAAACATGTCGTTGCAAAAGGTGATAATTCAGGGATGATTGCGACCACAACTAGGCAAACATACTATCACAATCGAGTCTGCGAAGGCATTCGTCTTGTGTTTGTTTAGCTAATGTAGCTTGGTTGTGGACGACAGCAATACTAGTGACATACATGGCAGGAATACGCCAGGTTTCTTAAGCATCCCAAACTGACTACCATTCTCGTACTGTTTTGTTGCACAGAATGTCTACATACGCAATCCACCTTTCGATGTCTATGTATGCCACAAGGATTCTAACAGGGGATATAAGTTCTGCTTCGAATACTGGCAGCGCTTGTGGCTTGAATGGTCATTAGGCCAGCGAGAGCTTCGCTTCGCAAAACCGGAACTACGAATAAGTGGGACGCGCAACAACAATGACAGCATGTGCATTGGCAACACGTGGCAGAGAGGAGATTTTGCGCAAGCTGCTACTGGACACCGTGAGCAAGTCCTCTTGTAAGACACGAGAGAATATCACATAAAAAAATGAATGTGTAATCACACATAAAACCTCGTTCTTGTACCGAAAAGGTCGATGTGATCGGAGTCATGAGGTGAGTTCGATGACACAAAGGTTCGCCAGGATCGACGCTGGAGACAATTCAAATGCATTAGGTTGTTGCTTGGAAGCGGCTGCGTAGACTCTTATTGGACGAAAGGAGGCTGTTGGTGGTTAGCGGATGCAGATGGGAACCTAATTCTGGGCCATCCTCAAAGTCAGGGATGACGTAGCCCTGAGCAACGGCTGTTTTACGCCTAGCACACTGAATTTGCTCTTTGGTTCAAGTTTTCCGAAGCTGCACAGCTGCCTCAGCTTCCGACGCTTCCATTGCGCACCACTAGGATTAAACCTTCCCACAAAACAAGACGTAGTCGCCCTTGCCACGAGCCGCCAGACGTCACTTTCCGCGGTTGCTCTTCTTAAATCATCTGCCTGTTGAGCTCTCCCATATCATCTTTGCATTTGTATACCATCGAACTTTGGACTACCAGTTCTACCGCTGCAGCCTCAGTTCCGTATTCTACCACCACTTTGTAGCTTAGGCAGCATTCTCATTCGAGCATCTCAAACTCACCGCAATCACAATGGCACAAATGGTTCAGCTCGGCCTCAGGGTCGTACAGGTGAGCAGCTCGACTTCGTGGCCATAATGACTCTACTGACAGCTGTGCAGTTTCTCCTCACGCTGATCATCATGTCCTTGGTCGGCAACATGATCGCTGAAGCGTTCGGTGGGAACCCATCGATTATCAACTACGACATGTTCGTCGCAGTCTTTTCGATGCTTACCTTGTTCTACGCCATTCTCATTTGCTTTCGAGAATCCCTCACTTTCCACCGATTGGTTCCTGCTTCTTTGGATTTGCTCAATGCACTCTTCTTCTTTTGTGCTGCGGTCGCTATGGCTGCTGAGCTCAGAGTGCACTCCTGCTCAAACTCGGTAAGGCTTCACGGCAGCTAGTAAAGGATTCGGGCTAACAGAATTGCAGGACTACACCGAGAACAACCACATCACAAATGGATCGCGCAACACTGCAGGACGATGCCGAGAAGCACAAGCTACCACTGCTTTCCTCTGGTTCAACTGGGCTCTTTACATGGTCGCTCTGGTGCTGTCTCTGACATCTTCTGGCGGTGTCAACCTCAGAGGTCCGCGCCGAGGTCCACAGATGCGACAGGTTTAGAAGACCAATCCTGATGAGGCACAGACGGAGTCAGATCAACAAACCAACCAAGAAAATAGCAAAACTGAAAGGCCTACCCCACACGGCCTGTGTGATATACCCTGGGATGAGCAAAGTGGTCATTGGACATTGGATGGTGATACTATCATATCTCGCCCACATCTTTAATGCATCAGTGATGAAGGATAGCTTTGGAAAGCTAACGCAGGAGTTTACAGCATCAGCAATGGTGTTTGATATGACTTTGATGTTATTGAGGCGCTTGCTTCGAATATGATACCTCAGCTGCAACAAGCACAGTATTTAGAGATAATACAATTAATGTGTATACTATCATGATTGATGTTGTCCGTGAGCATTCCGCTCGATACTCAACACGTTCAACAGAAGCACACAAGCTCTATTACACATACAGGGCTAATCCAATCTTCGTTGTAGTACGAGTGTGAAGTCAGGCGAGCGTCCATAGATCCTAAGCCAAGGCAGCTACCAATCATTCCATGTAATGTATGTACAGTCTCTCTGTTCTCAACTACTCGTTATAAAACCGTGTCCACCCCAACTCCATTCCACCTCCACCCCTTCCCTTTGCCTGTCTTCTTCGCATCCTCCCTCCCCACCAACCAAACCTCATCAACACTCCACCCCGCCCCCATGGCCGCCCACCCCTTCCTAATCTCCTCCCACGAAATCCTCTTCCACTCCTGCACCACATCCCCATCAATCTTCCTCGCTGCATTGGCCGCCCCTGTTATCTTCAGCATGATTGTGAGATCCCAGTCTCGGACTTCAGAGTCCACGACCGGTTGATCTCGAAACCCAAGCTCGTAGATCTTGATTTGTTTTTGACGAGGTTGAGGACCCGTCCTAGATGTTGAAGAGAGGAGGCGGTGACTGTTGCTATTTCCGCAATGAGGTGTTTGGGAGTGCCGGACCATTTGAGTTGTTCGACGTAGTCGAGTTGAGATGTGATTTGGGAGGTAAGGGATTTGAGTTCTTCGTCGAGGAGGCTTGACCATTGAGCACCTCACTGAGCTGGAGAGGGCCAGGAATTGGGTTGGTGGAGTTTGGATTCGATGAAGTTGGCGAGGAGGATGGTGTATTCGGCGAAGTTTTGGAGTTGAAATGGGGTGGTAGAATTGTCGGGCGTTGACTGGGACTTGATCTTGTAGTCGGCGGAAGAGGAAGAGGAAGCTGCTAGTCGGGAGTACGGCTTGTAAGGAGTGGACGAGGCGGGCGCCGGTGTACCTGGGACTTTGTAAGCTCGAAGGAAGGCGTTTAGCCCGCCTTCTGTTCCGGGTGAAGGTGGAGCTCGTGGTGTCGATAATGATGATGGTTCTCGGAGGACGTCCTTTGTTGGGCGTGGCTTCAGCCGCCAGAGTTGTTTGCTGAGGATCTCATCGTGTGCACGATTCAGCTCTTTCATCTTTGCCAGTCCGGATGGTGTTTCAGAGCTAGGTTGCGATATGCCTTTTTGACATCCTGTTCGGTGCACTCGCCTTGTCGAAGGCCAAGAACTGCGAAGGGGTCCATGATGTGTATTCTGCTTGCATTAAGTTATCATGCTCTCCAGGATGTTTGCACGCTCTTATCAGAAAGGCTAGGTAACAAAGCAGGAACATAGGACAATTAGCCACAGCGCCTTTATTCGGATCTCGTCGTCGCCAATCAGGAGGGGCTGCATCATACTGGACAATAATACAGTGCCGGTGGGTGGTTATGCAACTCCGCTTTGCAACAAAGGAGGCATGACCGCTGTTCTGTAAATTCGAGTAAGACGTCGACCTAGCTGCAACATCGACATCGTCAAGTCCACACCGATGGGCCTCGTTTGTCTTATTGAGTTATGCTGCGACGGTCCGAACGGACTCATCAATCCGTGAAAGTTAAGGTTCGGGTAGAAGAGCCAGAACATCGTTGCTCGAACTGGGTGTGACCAAAGGAGCAATTTGAATGAAAATCGAGAAGTGGTCCCGAAGAAGACATGGCAGACACATGGTATGTCATTCACCGCGGCCACGTCCCTCACGACTCCACCGGTCTCTGCTCTTAGTCGGACATGACTTTTGTCGAACCAGGAAAGTGTTCGTATATATAGATAGAACCTCAATTTAGCCTCATCATCGTGCCTCTTGCTTCTTCGTTCCACGAATCAGTAGCTCAGTGGTAGAGCATCACCAGATGGATAAACCCTCACTAGAGGGCGTCCCAGATCTAGTAGAGCTTGTGCTAGTATCGCAAAATGATCACATAGATCATTATATATTGGTGAAGGACGTCTGTTCGAGTCGGACCTGACTCGTTTTCGTTTTTAGTCATGCCTTCAAGTTCATACTGGCGCTACTTCCGACGTGGCGTGCAGGTGTGGTATAGAATGTGCAAAACAGCAGAGTAGCGGAGACAGGATTGATCCAAGAAGTTTGGAGAAGAAAGGAAATTTATTGTCCTGCTTTGTACATGGGTATCCAGAGCTTAACATGATTGCAAGCTCCTTAACAGTGCGCCAACCGATGCAGTGTCCCGAAATCAGGCTCTGTAAGCAATCATTTATCATGTCACATGCTTGTATGAGCTAGGACGAAACCTTGTCGACCTGTACATGATGAATTCTGGCAATGAGTGTTCGTCTATTGTGTTCCAGCAACCTTGCCGAGACCCTCAGCCTCCAAGTTCTTCTTGAATCTCTTTTCAATTGCCTCCATAAACTGGCCAGTTGTGACCCAAGCTTCTCGGTTCTTCTTGCCGCACGACAGAGCAAGATCCTTGGTCATGATTTTGTCTTCATCGACTGTCTGGATGACGGCCTTTTCGAGGTTCTCAGCCCAAGTGACCAATTCTGGCGTCTCGTCAAGCTGACCTCGCTTTACTAGTCCTCTCGTCCAGGCAAATATCGAGGCGATAGGATTCGTGCTCGTCTCTCGTCCCTTCTGATGTTCTCTGTAATGTCGGGTCACTGTGCCGTGAGCAGCCTCGGACTCATATGTGAGGCCATCTGGTGTGATCAACTGAGACGTCATGAGGCCAAGCGAACCGAAACCCTGTGCAATGATGTCTGATTGCACGTCTCCATCATAGTTCTTCATGGCGATGACAAAGCCACCATCTGACTTGAGCATTTGTGCGACCATATCGTCAATTAGTCTGTGCTCATACCAGATCTTCTTCTCCTCGAATTGACTCTTGTATTCTTTTTCGTAAATCTCCTGGAAGATGTCCTTGAAGCGACCATCGTAGGCCTTCAAAATGGTGTTCTTGGTCGACATGTACAGTGGATAGCCGCGATCGATCGCATACTTGAAGGAGGCGTGTGCGAAGCCTCGGATACTGTCGGTTGTGTTGTATTGTGTCTGTGCTACGCCACCGTTCTCGTTGAAGTTGTAGACCTCGACGACTTCTGGCTTGCCGCCTTTTGGGGTGAAAATCATCTCGAGTTTGCCTTCTTCGTTGATGGTTCGATCCTTCGCTCTGTACTGGTCACCAAAGGCATGTCTGCCGATGATGATAGGCTCTTTCCAGCCGGGGACAAGTCGAGGAATCGTAGGAATGACAATCGGTTCACGGAAGACAGTACCTCCTAGAATGTTTCTTATTGTGCCGTTGGGAGATAGCCACACTATCAGGAAACTCGATTAGCATAAATCTTCCTGTAAACTTAGCAGAGTGTATACCATACTCTTCTTCAACTTGAACTCCTCCACTCGCTGCTCGTCAGGTGTGATGGTAGCACATTTTACACCAACACTATATTTTATGATAGCCTCGGCCGCCTCAACAGTGACCTTGTCATCAGTCTCGTCACGATATGGCAGACCCAGGTCATAGTACTTCAGGTCGATGTCGAGGTAAGGATGGATGAACTTGTCCTTGATGTCTTGCCATATTATCCTTGTCATCTCATCGCCATCCAGCTCAACGACAGGATTCTTTACCTTGATCTTACCAGCGGAACTAATATTCCTTGACTGTGATACCGAGCCCATCTTTGCTGTTTCTGCTGCAAGTCTCTGTCTAGCTTGGGAGGAAGATGACATGGTCAAGTAGGTTCGCGAGGATGTGAGAGATGTATATCTGGAAGTGGTCGGCCTTGAAACTGGTACGCCGGCTCGTTGTGTGATGGACACGAGTGTTCTAGAGAGTGGATTCATGTTCGAAGCAAAAGAGGCTGTGAGAGCAAAGAAAGCTCTCCAGCAGGTAAAATCAGTCAGTCTCGGTCAACTTCCTGGAGAGACACAGCAACAAATCATGCAAGAAGGAGGGACAATGCGATACGGAGTATTCCTGTAGCGAGTATTGCCGAGGGTATTCAAGAGCGCAGAAATTTTTGGGAGATAGCTCTTCACACTCTTCATTTGGAGGATCTCGGTGCGACGTCGGCCAGGCAATTTACCTCTATTTCATGCTGTTACATCTGAAATGCGTGGAGAGCAAACGGATGGCTCCGTGTTTGTGGGCAGTTGGAGCTCATGCGAAAGACGCAATGTGCAGCTTCGAGATGCCGCGTGGGGCAGAGCGAGCTTTGAGCTCCAAACTCGAGTGGATGAGCAGTCTCCGAGGCATGTACGACATCGGATAGAAACCTCGTACAATCAGAAACTCGTCTGTATAAGCATTCGGGACGAAGACCAGTACTCGCATGCGAAGGAAGTGGTTATGGATGGAAGAATGATGCATCTTCGTGGTAGTAAGACTCATTGCACTGGCAATCACGACGAACGCAAAGAGGAAGCTGCGGAGAATGATTTCGTGCTTTGCCGTAGGTAGTTCTGTATAGATAAATTGCGTCCACGCACACCGTATAGAAATTTCACGGCAGTCACAATCGCTGTTCGTTTCACGGCAACATCTCCTTTCCTGCCAATATCGAAGCCCGCGATTAGAAGCGTTTTCCAGGCAAGACCCAGTCACTGCAACATTATCGCCTAGCCACACAGCCTCTTTCTCCTTGACGCACGATGGCCGACAAACTCCGTACCCTGCAACAACTTGAATCTCTCCAGGCAAAGTACATCGGCACTGGCCACGCAGACACGACGCGCCACGAGTGGACGAATACCATTGTTCGTGATAGCTACGCTAGCTACATAGGTCACCCGGCGCTTCTTGGATACATGAGCCTGGGTATGGGAGAACCGAAAGAGGTGGTCCGAGGACAGATGATTGAGAAGATGATTCGGGGCGTCGGCAACCCTCCAGTAAGGGAAGAAGATTGAAGGCGTGAAAATCTAAGAATTAGAGGATCATACCTCAAAACAACCGACATTGAATGTCCGTACGTCTCAGGACAGGGTACTTTTACTTTGCACGTCCGAGCATTGGCGCACCTATCAAAGGGATAATGCTTCAAGAAAGCCAGGCCCTCCTAATCCAGGACCGAGCAGGGCTTGGATAAAGGTCTTTGAGGAAAAGTCGCACCAGAGATGCTAGGAAGACGCTTGGCTGGGAGGATATGACCAATGGACCTATTGACATGGTGCCGTCACTAACGGTGTCCTCTTGCATGACTACATCCCCGGTTGGCGAACCACTGCAGATAACGAAGAAAAGGATGGAAGGACGTGGAATACTTGAAGCAGGAACGAGCTACCTTCTAGTTATTAGGCTGAGCAAAATAGTCTATGGGTAGGGTACTTGTAGGCCTACAAGTTTCTTCCCAGCTGATATTTGAGGTGTAAGCGATGGCTTGGATCATATCGAAACAAAGTAGCGACATCGCAAAATATCGCACTATTGTCTCTACTCCTGCCACGCCTCAAACCTCTCTCTACCTACACCGCTGTCCGAAACAAAACAGCTGCGACAATGAGCTAGATACAATACCAGCAACGAGGAATCACATCTTGGTTATGGGCAACGATAACACGGAATGAATAGCATGGTGGTAATTCTCTTTGGATTGTACTCTGCTAATCTACAACTCATATCGAGTCTAAAAGCAGAAGTACACCGTCGTTCATGTTATCGTGTTTCCCATGACCAGTTGCCTCAACTGCCCGTAAACGCCCTGTCATGACTCGTAGACTTCGCTGGTCGGGTATCCTCATTAATGCAGTGTGTGGTGAAAAAAATTTTGAATCCATTGCGCCGATAGTATGCATCTGCATAGCTCCTGCAATCCAGTCCAAGATAGTCACAATCTCTGCGTTTATGGTTGAACAACAAATCATACTGTCAACTGTCTGTTTCTTGGAAAGCAAGCATGCATGTCTAGTACATGTACATGGCGTAAGTGTGGTGAATCTCGAACCTGAGCTTGGTGTAGATCGCAAAAATGGCCAACATGGTGGTGCAAGGTTGACTGCAGGAGACCGCTTCTAGTAGAATGCGGCCAGAGCTGCAATGGCGACCATGAGACCAGACTTTGCGTTCAAAACACCTACTCCGTTGTTTGGTGCAGGTGGTGTGAAAGAAGCGCTGCTCGAGGTAGACTGCGTGGTTGTAGCAGTGGTTGACGGTGTGATTGTCGAAGTGCCGACGGTTGGCGATGATTCGACAGGAGTGGTAGCACCGGTCGTAGCTGGAGGAGCCGACGACGGAATTGTAGTTGCGGGAGTCTCAGGAGGAGGCGTGGTCGAGGATGATGGAACCACCGGTGGGGTGGTCTCTGAGACTGGAGGAGTCGGGGTTGAGACGACAGTGGAAGTGGTCTCAGAGGTAGTGATCACCGAAGTCGTGGATGTTTCAGTGGTCGGGACAGAGGCGGTAGAGGTGACAGTTGCTGGTGGCGGTGGTGGTGGGACGACAGAAGTGCTGCTGCCGCAGAAGGTAACAGTCTCAGTAACAGTGATTACGGAAGGTTGTGCCTCTATCGCGGTGGTTAGAGTAATTTCCTCAATCTCGTGGTTGGGATTGTAACTTACGTCGAACATTGAGAAGATTGAGAAAGCCTTTGTCGTAGGCCATGGCATTGCCAACTGTGATCTGGTTAGCACTGTTGCCCTACCTAACAACTGCTGAACTGCAACTTACGAGTTCCTGCAAAGACTGCTACTGCAGTCAGGCCTCGAATTGCAACCATATTGAATGATTTGATAGAAGCTGTAGCGAACAGATGAAAATGGTATCCAAGTTCTATGCTACCAGTGGTCCAAAAGAGTGGAAGCGCTGATCGCACCGAGTGTGACTGGAAAGATGATTGTGTGTAGAGAAAAAGTTTTCGAAGGTTGTAATGAGTAAGGAGCGGAATTTGTAGTCTTCTGAGAAGGCGCAAACCACATGCAGGATCAGCCTGCCAAGCCTTGTTTTGAGTTGATTTTGAACAACAATTGCAAACAGCGGGGACCAGACTTCGTTCAGGCTGCGATGCGACAATAAACGTGACGCTGGATACTGAGTGACCTATGGCTGATGTGGGCGCACAAAGGTGAAAAGCTGGAAGGCTAACGGGTGTATGCAGTATACACGGATATGGTGTGTTTGACGAGTGGAAAGTGAAAGTGAATGTCAAAGTCTCGGTGTGAAGATGCAGTAAACGCGACCTTCAGCCTGCTGGTGATATCTAGTCTCAACAGATTGCGGGGCACAATCGATGGCGTAAATGTTGCAGGTTTCAGTTCAAGTATTCCAGACCCAACATTTTCAAGGAATAGGAATGCTAAAGTGACTTACTTGTCAAAGCAGGCACGACCACGTTGACATTAACAGGGAGGCTGGACATCGGCTACCCACATCGTTTTTTGACCGACCGTAGACTCACCTGTTTCGAAATCGTCATACACGATAATGTACGTTTCCTTAGGTGTAATGCGACATGAAAGAGATTAAGATACCGAGAGCTCTTCTATATTGTGGTCTACTGCTGAGGTTGAAGTTGTCAATGAAGTCCAATTTGAAGCTGTTGCAAATGTGACAGCTTCTATCACTATGCCGAGGATAGCCTACCATCTGCCGATTCCAGGGGCCACGTATCGCCTGCGTTGTCCTGACTTTGGCGCTATCCTCTTGTCAGCTAGTCCTCATCTTGTCAATCCCGGCTGCCAGCAGTGGAGCAGATCGTGCTCGTTCTCCGGTCTTCAAGTTTCGTAGACGGCGTGCACGCTGAAACAGGAATTTGCGAGAAGGGGAAGCATGTCATTTTGGTGCACTGTTAACATGTCTTACTTGAGCTGGTAGATGCAGCGATCAATGCACCCATTCTCGTCCCTGGCTATTGGTATCTTCGTTGCTGGCTACATCACCGCCCGCTGGGATCTGGTCACTAGACTGTATGAGCTGGCCTTCTTCGCTTGGGACCACGGTGTCGTCGTAAGTAAACCTTTGTGGGTGAACACTCTAAACCTGGTACTGACTGCAGTAGACACGAGCAGCTAAAGCGTTCTCTATAATTTCCCTGATCTTTGCCGCGCTCATTTTACCTCTCGAGCGACTGGCTGCGAACGAAGCGAATATCCATCCTAGATCACCGAAACACGGAATCTCTGCACGAGAGCAGCTTAGGAGGAGAGGCTCATTGTAAATCCCTGCGACAACATGGGATCATGGTCAAGAACAGAGATGGCTTGCTTCGCCTTTTTTGGCCGAACAATCTGGCTCGATCGACTACTCCCGGGGTGATTGTAGGCTGGAGGAATTCTGATCTCGATCTTTTCGTTGTGACAGTCCTGGACGATGTTGACATTCGAAACGTTGAGGCTGCGCTTCGATCGGGAACCCTCTTTCGAGGGAGCCCTTTCCCCATGGCCCAGATGAACGAGCTTTGTGGTCGCAAGGCAATGTGTGTCTTGGGCACGTTCAACCACGGTGACGCTCTAAGCAATTTTGACCTTGGTCAGATTCAAGTTTACAAGCTGTCAGAAAAAGCTTTACCTCAGGTCTACTGCCACTCCGACGCCGCCTCATCGATCCAGGTAGTGCTTTATCCTGCTCTGGATCCTGCCCAGCTAGAGTACATTTCCGCGGAACCAATTGATCTTACCTTGACTCACCGACAGCTCCTTCACGATGCAGCCCAAGCTGAAGACGAAGTTGTTCTGGAAGACCAGCAAGAGAAGAAGAGAGTGGCAGACCTGGTGAAGAAGCTCAAATTCCATACTGTCATCAGACGTAAACCGACGCAGAAAGAGCTAGCTTTGCCAACAATAATTCACCAGGTGAATTGTGCATACGAAGTGGCTGCGCTCCTGCAAAAGAACACACCCTTCGTCGGACCTCGACGGAAGCGAGAAATGTCAGTCAGTGAGATGGTGGTCGAATCTGCCCAATCACTATACACCGTTGCTGTGTGGTCTTTGTGGTCACTTCTCATGACATCGATCTACCCCATCCTGTCGTACGCCTTCAGACTTGCTATCGTGTTGCACAGATGCATAGCCGAAGGGCTACTGCAGTGTCTGGAATTCCGGCTTCCTTTGCGGCGAGCCTCCATTCCTGACTCGACCGACTCAAGTCCTAACCTCCTATCATTGAAGGACATTTCAGCCTGCAGCCAGCAAGTTCACCTTCGATTGCAGCAGTTTTCATATTATCCTGTGCAATACACTCTCTTAAGGAGAAGACGCGAGACCTGGTCCTCTATTGCTGGTACAAATTCAGACTATATCCGTTTCTACAACTCATTATGGTTGGTGGCCAACGATGTCATTATCGGCATTGCTCTTGGCAGTTTCATCAACGAGAATGCAGATGCCACAGCCCGATTTATTGTGGATGTTCTCAATACATACACTATTGATGGTCTCCGAGATACCATTCGCTGGCTCATGTCTTATCCTGGTGGTCTGAAACTCAACACCGAGCTCGCTGCATTTCTAGGCGATCTCTTCTTGTGGGTCATTGAATACTGGTCAGTCAGCTCAAAGTTCCTGGTTCTACCATACTTGCCCCAGATTGTCTACGTATTTGGGTTCTCGGCGTTCGCAGGAGCAAGCATGCCAATAGCTATCTTGTCGGACTTGTTAGGCTTGATGACATTGCATATCTATGCCTTCTACATCGCTAGTGCTCGCATCTTCAATTGGCAATTGAGCATAATAGTAAGTTTGTTTCACCTCTTTCGCGGCAAAAAGAGAAATGTCCTGCGAAACCGCATCGACAATTGTGACTACGACCTCGACCAATTGCTGCTGGGGACAATCCTCTTTACCCTTCTCTTCTTCCTGCTGCCTACTGTCATCGTCTTCTACCTCACCTTTGCTCTATTCAGGATGGCGATCATCACTTTCAAAGCCGTCCTTGATACATTCTTGGCACTTCTAAACCATTTCCCACTTTTCGCACTCATGCTTAGAGTTAAGGACAGCCAACGTTTACCTGGAGGCGTGTACCTCGAGCTCATTAAGTCAGATCTCGTGTTTCCAACTGTTCGGTCACCCAGCCTTATTGAAGAAGAGGTCGATGCGGACACGACTAGCGAAAATCAAGAAGATACACCTGACAGCGGCAATGAACCACTACCAGTATCCATTGCCTACATCAAACTGTCTTCAACACCTCTATCTATCAAGCAGATCTTCCAGCAATATTTCCAGCTCGGTGCACGTATCAGGAAACACTATCTGTCGCCGAAAGTGGTGTTCAGACTGCTTACTGGTCGTTTCGTACCGCCGTTAGGTCGTGGGGAGATGTACGGAATGCAATATAGTGTATTGCCAAGAGAAAGAGCCAGTACTGCAGAGGTGTGGAAGGGATTGTTCGGAGAACAGGAGCACCAGAACAAAGGTATGAATGGCAGCGCTTTTGAAGGTGATAGTATACCTACCTGGTTGCGAGGCAGCAGCAGGAAATGAATAAAATTACCGAGTCAGATCTAACATTTACCCTCTCCGATTCCTACGTCATGTCTGCTCCCTTAGTTCCCATCAGGAAACGATCACGCTCCGGCAACTGTATGATTGTAATTTATGAATTTGAGCATCGCCCATCGCGTGTATATTGTTGGGAACGTCTTTCTCCGTTGCTTGATTGTCATCATCGCTGCTACTGAAGACTCGTTCCGTCCAGTCAGATCCGTAACCGCACAAACACAACACATCAAGTGCCCAACATGGTCAAATGTCCAGACTGTGGCGCTGGCGCCGATCTAACAGCTGATGGCTCCCACGCCCATTGTGCCTCCTGTACGCTCCGCCACCATATTGCTATACTCTCACAATTTCTATCTCCAGTCATATAGAAAATAAGAACGTATCATCACTGTCACAGCTAACACGTATCTTCTCAGGCAACAACATCTTCGAACCCGGCAAAGAAGGATCAGGTGAAAAAGGCTCAGGAAGCAGCTCAGGCGACAGCAAAACGTCGGAATCACAGGCTCAGACGAAGGGAAGCAGTACCAAGGACGACGGGGAGGAGCAGTCGAAGTAAGAAATGAGACTAATGGCTTTCTTCTTGCAGGAGAGTGATGAGAGTCAGATTACGAAGAGGAAGGAGTGGAAAAGTGGGATTCAGGCGAGGGAGTGGAAGAGCTAGTTGAGAGATTTCGGGATGAGAGTGTACTAAGGAAAGAGGGCATGGAAGTGGGAGGAAGTAGGAGATTACTGATTGACTGCTCTCTACATCTAACCCAATTGTGGCGAACTCGCCCGCGATAGAGCTAGTGACTACGTGAGCTAGTATGTGCTGGAGATGATGTTCTTGCCCATAACTTGTGCTTTGAGCTTTTTCATCGACATCCCTGGACATCGGCCACCTGTATTTTCCTATGTCAGCCCGTGTACCACAACTAGATCTTATCGATCGAGCCCTGCAGGCCTCACAGCCTCTGAACCGGCCTATCCTTCGATCTGATGGCTCGTTCGAAGAAATTGGGCGACCTTGTCCGGAGCTGCAACCACATGCAACACTTCACTTCGCTCAAGCGTCTTACCCTGAACTCCATGAAAGCACGGGACGTGGTGAGGACATCAGAGAGATCTGCCGCCATTTGCTCCCTAGACGCACATAAAAGAATCCCGATTCCACTAACACCTCGCCCATTCTCGCGGCTCAAACCCATCCACGCCTTGACAAGTTTCCTCGAGTCGACAGCCACATGTGCCGTGTCCGTTGCTCGAGCAAGTAGATTGCAAACGCAGGAGCACGTATACACGGCGATCACACAGACAAACGTTGCCAAGACGAGTCGTCGTGGGTTGTCGCCATTGAAAACGTCTGAGACCTTACTCCAGCATGAACACTGGTAGTCTCATGACCGCTGTTCCCTCTTCAGGTAGTCTGCATCGTGACTCAGTTCGATACGAGCGCTTACGGTCAGGAGATGACAGAGGTACACTTTATTCTGCATGTCCGGCGGTAGCTCGCCAGGTCGTCCATGGAAATCGGTATTAGTTGGGTCAACCTACAGTCTGTCTTTATAGTCAACTTATTCGTCGTACTTGCATTCAGGCCACGAACAGAGAAGAGAGTATTGCGCATCGTCTCGACTACTACTCGTACTTCCTTGAGAAGCTGCGATCAAAGGAGGCAAACGCGCAATCCACCTCAGACTTTGACAACTACACAGAGCTCGCTCTATTGACCAGTATTGATTCCTTGCGCACAATCTAGACAAGCAAAAATGATTGTGTTGCTACTAGTATAATGAGTATCCAAGCTTCTGCTCCGCAGCACGTTTTGAGCAAATCAACCTCTACATCAATCACATATTATGACTGACATATCAATTGAACTAAGTGGGAAAGCTTGTGCGAAATGCACGCTTTGCTGATAATCAGCCATTGACACAAAGCCTGTATTAAAGAGGGTGCCTTCGAGCTACTTTTTACCTCTCTACTACTGCGCTGCAAACCTTGAGCAGGTTTTTATACCTCAACCTGGACGTCCAAAGAGACTAAGCTTTTATCGTCGCTGTTTGCACTATGTATGGACTAGGGTATTTCATTCTGCATTGGGAGACGGATATGTGTCCCATGATGTTGATATAAAAGCTTTCATGGAGTGAATTGTGCTCAAGATCCACGCAGTCGCATGTGCAAAATACTTGCGAAGTATAACGTGTGGTATTGATTGAGCCCCGACTCGGAGTCCAGGTTCTGCTTCACCCCTTCTATCCCCCACGTAACGTTGAAGATTAGCAGCTTTCCTCAATACCTTGACCAGTGAGAAATCTATACCATGTCTGGATCAGACCGAGTTGCTGGTCGAATTTAGACTCCGAAACATGACAATGCCCGTGGCACACAGACTTGTGCAGTCTGGCCGCTTGCTACACCGAGCCTCACTTCATTTGTTGGATCACTGACAACACATGCTTGGATGATGGGCAATTGAGCCTGCACTCAATATGTCTTACTCAAACCCACTGGACCTCCAGGAATGCTCCATGTGAGCAAATATAGCACGATTCGGAAAACTATAAGGATCGAACTGCCTGCCGTATCTGCTTCTGTCTTTCTTTCTCTAATTCGTCGACCTTTTACAGCTCTTATATTTCTAGCACTTTAGCTACCTCAGAATATACATCTTCAACATGAAGTTCAGCGTCATCCTTCCAGCTCTCTTCGGAGCCTTGGCTCTTGCTGCACCACGCCCAAATGGTTGGACCAACTTTGTGCAAAATCAAATCCGAGTACTATGCACTGACATGAGTAGCAGGTGACACTAGCCCCGAGACTATCACTGACCAGTTCAGCGTCTCCAACCTGCGAGCCTCGACCCAGAAGAAGAATGGCAGGTCATGGCAACAGGTTTCGTTCGACTTTGAAGACAAGAGCACGAATGCACCAGACTGGACAACCTGCTCGATCAGCTGGAAGGGCAAGACTCCACCTCACAGATCAGTATGCCAAGACATGTCGCCCATAGGCACACTCTCGTCAATAGTCACTAAAACATTTATAGTTCCGCTGCGATGATGGTTGGGTCACTGCCGAGCTCGAATACTTCGATGACGTCCAGAACTTCCAAGTGAACCTCAATCACGCTTATGGCGAGTATGTGCTTCATGCTCCGAATTGACTCTTTTCCACATGAGGCTAACATGTTTAATCAGGACATGCGAGAACTGTAACAACGAAGAGGACGAGGACTACGAGGGTGAGGTTGGTTCCTGCGAGGTCGAGGTCAATGACTTGCGCATGGGTTCGGTCCAAGAGAAGGACGGCGTTAAGTGGTCTGAGGCCAAGAAGAGCAACATTCTGTGCCCGGTCGACTACGACTAGACGGCGATCGAGAAACGATCAGAGTCTGGCGCATTCCTCTATGTCCAGTACGTATCGGGCAAACCAGACGTTATTCAGGCTACCAAGATTCTTGGTTATACGTCAACGTGAATGAGGCTGCTTCCTAGGCTGATTCCAATAACCGTCTGTACTACTAGAATGGACGTCCAATAAAAGTGGCTCGATCAGTATCGAGCGTGTAATTAGTGTAATAATATAACTGTAATACGACGCACGTTTCGTGGCTCCTCCAGAAGAGCCAACTGACTCGACTCTAGACTGGAGTAAAGAAGGCGAGCAAGAGGAATACTTGTAGAGAGGTGGCAGGTATGGACGATTATGTTGTAAGGGAGTAGGTTAGACGATTTCACCCAGTCGTGTGACGTCCTTTTCAAGCCGCGATTAACCATACCGTGCATACCACATGTCGGTCGCATATCGACCGGAGTTCATCGCAACCACGAACCGTGTCTGAAAGTACATATGCTATCTCGAATCACAGCTAAACGAGCTATCAGTTTGGCACAAGGCTCTAAGACTTTTGTATCAACTACCCGATCTTCCCCAAGAGCCTTCGTTGCTTCATATATACGAACATCCCGCCGCAACTTCTACGGCCATATAACAGACCCGAAGATGGCTCCCAATCTGGATCCGTACTTCAAACAGTATGCCTTTTCTGGCTGCACCCTAGACGATGCTGACCTGAATGCAGAGTAGACGCCCTTGCGGATACCTTCATAGAACGTCTACGAGCAGCAGTGGCTATACCTTCTGTCAGTGCCAGTGATGAGAACCGCCAAGATGTGTTTCGCATGGGCGACTTCCTCGCAGACGAGCTCACTCGTCTCGGCGCAGAGGTCGAGAAGAGACCACTTGGTAAACAACCCGGCAAGGAGCACCTCGAATTACCTCCAGTAGTCATTGCTCGATATGGCAACGACAAGAAGAAGCGCACGATATTAGTCTATGGCCACTACGATGTACAGCCTGCGTTGATGGAGGATGGCTGGGCCACGAAACCTTTCGACCTGACTGTGGATGAGAAGGGTCGTATGTTTGGAAGAGGAAGCACAGATGACAAGGGACCAGTGTTAGGTTGGATCAACGCGATTGAAGCACACCAGAAAGCTGGCGTGGAGTTCCCAGTAAATCTATTGTGTTGTTTCGAGGGCATGGAGGAGTATGGTTCAGAAGGTCTCGACGACTTCATCAACGCCGAAGCGAAGAAGTACTTCAAAGACGCAGATGCAGTGTGCATATCAGACAATTACTGGCTAGGTACCGAAAAGCCCTGCCTTACCTACGGCCTCCGAGGCTGCAACTACTACAGCGTCGAGATCAAAGGTCCAGCGCAAGATTTACACTCCGGCGTCTTTGGCGGCAGTGCACAAGAACCAATGACCGACCTGATGCACGTCCTAAGTAAACTCGTCGACCAAAAGGGACAGATCCTTATTCCTGGCCTCAATGAGCTCGTAGCTCCTGTCACAGAAGACGAGAAGAAACTCTACCCAAACATCTCATACACTATGGACAACCTTTACGAAAGCATCGGCAGCAAAACCTCCATCTTCGAAACCAAAGACGAAACCCTCATGGCTCGATGGCGCTTCCCCTCCCTCAGCGTCCACGGCGTCGAAGGAGCCTTCTCCCAACCTGGTGCAAAGACCGTCATCCCCGCCAAAGTCATCGGCAAATTCTCCATTCGCACAGTCCCAAACATGGAATCCAACGAAGTCAACGAACTGGTCTACAAACACGTCAAGGACGTCTTTAACAAGCTTGGCTCGAAGAATAGCATGAACGTCTACTGCCAACATGACGGGAAATGGTGGGTCGCCAGCCCATTCCACTGGAACTTCCAGGCTGCGTCCAAGGCCGTCAAGCAGGTCTTTGGCGTTGAGCCGGATATGACGAGGGAGGGAGGCAGTATTCCTGTCACGATAACGTTTGAGCAGGCGACAGGGAAGAATGTGTTGTTGTTGCCGATGGGAAGTAGCACGGATGGCGCGCATAGTATTAATGAGAAGCTGGATCGCAGGAATTATATTGAGGGGACGAAGTTGTTGGGCGCGTATTTGCATTATGTGGCGGAAGAGCCGATGAATGAGAAGAAATGAGGAGATATAAGGACTTTCAGGTGTTTTGACAGACGACGAAGAACAGATGGCTAGAAAAGATGCTTCTTCTCCTGAAGTGAACAGATGCCTCACATTCGACCAAACTTGTTCCTTGTGTTCGAGAGTATTCCAGCCCAATCTCGATAGGCGATAACCTTCCTTGGAAGCTCTTGACCTCCTAATATGAAATGACAAACCACCATTATTCGAGCGGAAGGTATGGTCGCCACACCTGCGATACAGCCTGCCTCCGTTTGAGCTCTCGGAGCTTACAGACAACACTATGCAGTCAACAACAAATTTCGCTCAAGCATCCCTGTACGACATCTCCCTTCTAATCTGTCTGTCCTCTCTGGCAACCCTCCTCTTCTGTCCCCACCTACTCTTCACAATCTCAGTAAGTTTCTTCTGAATTTCCTGCTTTCCAGCCCTTTTCGCTATTCCTTCCGTCGCCATACCCACAAACAACACACTGCAATCGTATTTCAATGCTAGCTTCTTCGCACTCCAAGTCAATGGATCTTCAGTTCGTAACCGCCTCATTTCATCTAGATTCTGCTCTGTCAAGTGGTATCTCTTCTCGTATGGTTTGCGTACTGCGGGCGGAAGACGTTCTTTTCCGGCTGGTATGTATGCGGGTGTGTTTGCTAGCAGTGGTTTTGCGGATGATAACGATGGTGCTGGTATTGTTTTTCTGGGGTCTTCTTTGGGGAGGAAGATGGCGGGAGTGTGGTAGACGTTGGGCATGGATGGGGGTGGGTTGTGTATTATGTGGTCGTGGGCTTCTGTTTTGGAGGGGAGGAAAGCTGGATCGGGCTTGATGTTTGATTTGGAGCGGTGACGGCGGTAGGAGGAATTGTGTCGCTTGGTTGATGTGTTTAGGATGGTTGCGCAGAGCTTGTAGAAGCGGGAGGAGGCCGAGCTCATGGCTGGCGTGGTGGTAAGGGAGTTCATCGTGCTTGTTGCGACTCGTGGAAGTCTCCTGTGTGAGCAGTATTGGGCACGGTTGAGTTCCTTCCTGGACTGTGAACTCGTTGTGGTCGATGAATGGAATCGAAAAGCCTTCACGGCACGATTTGGTCGATTGCACGTATGAGCTTCGGTTTCCTGACACTCGCGGCCACGATCAAGCTGTGTATAATCCCCGTGCACTGCGACGGCGTTGATAGCTTCCGTTTTCAACGTCAGGTCTGTCACAACCAGTAATCGTTGTGCTATACAGTCTTTCGACCCCTTCGACTCGAGATCTTGATGAGGCTGACGGAAAGCCTCGAGAGTGCTTCATCCACCAAAATAGTGCCGCTTTGAACATGTTGATAACTCGTTCGCACCAGCAAGGTCATATGACTGGTCTATGAATTGCCAAGCACATCAAACACGCTCAAGGTTTGTGTTGGAGGAGCCGTGGGTAAGCCAATGCTTATTGGCCACCCGCCTGGTGCTGAATCGACCAAGTGCCGGGCATATCGAGATTCGGCTGTAGCATTGCGTCGTCGCCCCGTCACAGCCGTGAACATCACTGGGCAACCATCTCACGTTCCCTTGTCTCGCATGTTCTTGTTTGGCACAGCGAGTAGCACATGATCTTGTTGAGCTTCTATGTAATGTGAAAGATTGACTTCGAGCGAGGCAGAATTACTGTAAACACCTCCATCTGTCCTTGCCTATATCGAGACCATTTAACGCTCACATCCGAGCAGCTCCACGTGCTCAGCTGGCTGTGCACCCCAAAAAGACTCTCCTCCACTGTCTGCAATTCTGCTGAGGACGACTGCGAGGCTTTGCTACCAGGCTATGCTGGATGCGCAATAGATCCTCCCACTTCGCACAGATTGCAAGTTCCTCGTTGCACATCTCCAAGTACTGTATCGCAACCTGACGCAGTATTCGACATCCTGAACACAGCACAGACTGCCAGTCTCGCAAGCATGAGTAGCATAACTGGCTCCGCTCCATTGAGTGTGTCGCAAGACGCTCAAGCCTCTCTAACAACTGATCCTACACAGCAGTCAAGTGGACAACTTAGCGCTACCGAAGAGAGGAGCAGAAAGAGAGACTTCTTTCGCTTCGGCAAGAAGGATGAAGATAAGAAGAATTCAGAGTCTACAGGAATATCGCAAACGATGTCCGCTGGTGGTCTACGTCCTGTCTCTCCACTAGCAGGCATAGATCCTAGTCGAAACCCAGGATCACCGTCCTACAACCATCCTTATGGTATTGCTTCCTCACCTCGAGGCATGCGCTCCGCCTCGCCCCGTACGCACTCACCAGCGTCCTCGATGATCTTTGAGAGAAGTGTACAAGAAGATGTCGGAGCCATCGCCCAGGCCTCACCACAGATTCCATCTCACATCATTACTGAGAACCATATTCCACCAGCACTAGATGCAACTTCAGAGGCCATTACAGACAAAAAGCTTGATCCAGATTCGGTGGAGATAGTAACTCACACGGCGCATCAACCTGCCGCCGTGACCATAACCGAAGGCCATCACGATCAAACAGCGAGCCCCATCCTCTCCGACAACAATCTGTCGTCAGCAGTCCGTCCAGAACTACCAACAGAAACTTCTTCCAATTCAGCATCGAATTATGCTAACTTGGACTCGGTCGATGTTCGAAGATTGAGCTTTATATCTTTCGCTGATGTGGTCCACGGTGAACATGATCTGTCTAGTGGCGAGGGCAGACGAGATAGTGCAACCATCACATCTCATCCTAGCTTCCATAACATCGCTAGATCACCTTCTCCTTTCCGCTCGCCCATCTCGAGCCAGAATACAACGGGCATCTCACCACCTACTAGCCACGAGACATCACCTCATCGTCCAGCTGCAGCACAACTAGGTGATCTTAACATTCAAACTATGAGCCAGGCACTCAGAAAGACTGCCAGTGGCGATATGAGTGGGTTCAGGAGTGCATCAATTAGCGCAACAGGTAACGACGAAGGACCCAATGAGAGCACACTCAGATAAGGACAATCGAGGCGAAGAGCTCAAGGAACTTTACCAGAGACCAGGTCATAGAGTCTTCGGTTAACCTGAAACTGGAGCATAAGTCGACGGAGCAGAGAGTACTGCAATGTTGAGTCAAGTCTATTTGCTACCATATTATAGATCCAATAATGGCTGATGACCGTATTTCAAGCATGAATGAGCAGGCTTTGTTGCTACTCAATTCTTGCCTGCATACCGCAATCCACGGCAATACTTTGCAGTAGTACTTGCTCACCTTGTTTGCGACCGGTGAGCCGAGGACAGGCGGTCGGTCAAGAACGCGATGATGCTGACACGGGTGCTCTTTGCGAATACAACCAACCAATCAACGTCATGACGTACCACCCTTGTGCCACTTGCGAGTACGCCTTGACTGGTTCAGTGGAAGTGATCAAACATAGAAATTGTTACTTAGGCGTTTGCCTTGCATAAGTGCTGCTTCGTGGTAAAGCTGAGAAGCTAGGAGAGTAGTGGTCGGTATTAGAATTTGGTGAAGTGTGCCTGTCAATACGCGAACCGTAATTGTGTTGACCGGCCAGGACATTACGCGTAGGTCAAGGCCCCGCACGTCACGTAGCGAGTGCCTGCTGACTTCGACCGGAACCTGTTACTCTGACACCTCCAACTTGAACCACCACGTTCTACTCACACCTCTTATCTCTACCATCTCCAGCTACGCAGTCACGTTGTTTGTATGCAAAGCAATTTCGTGGATGTCGTAGGACATTGGTGAGAGGTTCTAACCCATTTCTTCATATCTTTTATCTCTGCTCTTGCAACCTCGATACCGCTTCTTGCGGCAAACCGACATCATGAGCACACCATTCCCTCACAACGGTCCAGTTGGACCTGACACACTGATCACTGTCAAGATCCTTGTCGACGGTCAGAATCGTCGCTTTAAGCTTGCTCTTCGCGACCTTGGAGCCCACGTGTTTCCCCAGAAGGTATGTAAGATGGCTGCCTGTATACCGCCTTATCGGGTGTCGATAGAGCATTAATTGAGCGTCTGCTAACCATTCTTAGTTACGAATGCTCTTACAGATTGCACCTAATCAAGAAGTCAAGTTCGACCGATACTCGGATTCCGCTGGCACCTACGTTACCCTCGACTCCGCCAACCCGGGCGTCTACAAGCAACTGTATCGGGCTGCCAAAGCTAAGCTGAAGCTCAGACTTAAAGCGACGATCATCAAGTCCGAGCAGAAGGAGGACCAAACTGTCGTGGAAGATAAGGCGGTGCCAGAGATGAGCAAGAGAAACACTTACCTCGAAACTGTCCTCTCTAACCCACCAACTGAGCACGTAGTCTCTTTCAAGCCATTTCAACCCAATCCAATCCAGCCTACAACCACAGAGGAGAAGTCTCAGAAGCTAGTACCTAAGCTTAGTATGCCTACTCTGCCGACTATGAATGACTTTACTGCGACAACCTTCAGCATCGATTGCAATCATTGTGGTGGTTCAGTCTCCAATGAGCACTATCACTGCAGCAAGTGTGAAAAAGGTGACTTTGACCTTTGCCCGACTTGCATTGCTCGTGGGATCACTTGCGATGGTGACGATCACTGGCTCATCAAGAGAACTATCAAGAATGGAAAGGTCTTCTCCAGCAATACCGAAACTCTCCCACCGAAGAAGAAATCAGAGCCACTTGTTGAGGATCATCAGTCAGCAGTCTTCGAGGAAGACCAACGAACTTGCAACAGCTGCATTATCCGTAAGTACAATGGAGGCAGAAAGAAATGTGTCATGACTAACTCCTCAGAACTTGTTGCTTCCTCATTCGTTACCTGCCAGCAGTGTGCTGACTACGACCTCTGTTTCTTCTGCCTTGAGCATGGTGAACACGGTCATCATCCTGCTCATACCTTCTCGCCTGTCGATCCCTCCGCTTCCGGCGTATCCTACATCAAGTCTCTTTGTCAACAGGGTCGTGGTCTGAAGCACGAAGCAGTTTGCGATGGTTGCGACGCTCAAATTGTTGGAGTTCGCCACAAGTGCTTGACTTGCCCAGACTTTGACTATTGCTCCATGTGCCACAGCATTAAGAACGAGGTTCACAAAGGTCATCGCTTCGCTCCTATCTACGAACACCTTGCAACAGTGAGCGTAAACAAGGAACAGCATAAAGGCATTTACTGTGATGGACCTCTTTGCCTCGCTCGAGCTCGAAAGACGTACATCCGAGGCGATCGATACAAGTGCGCCATCTGCCACGACACTGACTTCTGTGCCAACTGTGAGGCCCATCCTGAAAACGAACATAACAAGACGCATCCTCTTATCAAGCTCCGAAGTTCTGTAATGTACCTCTCCGTTGCTAGTGTCAACGATGATGGTAGAACTACACCAGTTCTTTGTGGCGATCGACCTGTCGCCAAGCACGCTTCTACTGAGACGACTCGACCAACTCTTTCCAATGCTGCCACTCAGGTGCAGACTATAGCTGAGACTGTCCCTGTGGAGACTGTGCAATCTGTTCCAATCGAGAAGCCTGTTAGCGAGGAGGTCAAGAGCGAATCCACCCAAGATCTGCAGGCGTGGTTCGAGTGTGACTCGACCCCAGACGGCTCAAGCTTTGCACCAGATAGACTTGTCAGTCAATCTTGGACTCTACGAAACCCAGGTCCTCAGGCTTGGCCAGCCGGTTGTGCAGTCTACTTCATTGGTGGCGACGACATGCGCAATCTGGACGACAAGCATCCCTCATCTGTCAGCACAATGGCTGCTGCCAATCAAAGCAACGTTCTTCAAGAACCTCTCCAGCCTGGCAAGACTGCTACCTTCTCAGTCTTGCTCAAATCTCCCTCACGTGAGGGTCGTGCTATTTCTTATTGGCGAATAAAGACTTCAGAGGGTCTACCATTCGGCCACAAGTTGTGGGTTGATATCACAGTCACCAACAAACCTTCCAAGCCAGTCGAAGTTCCTGCCATAGTTCCCATTGAGGCTCCTGCCGAGTCCAAAGCGAACCCCACCGAGGCGGCTGAGAAGAGTCAGGATAGCTCACAGATGATCTTCCCTACTCTTGAGAAAGAGTCACCAGAGTCATCGATGCATGACATCAAGGAGGAGACTACTGCTGTTGAGCCAAGTGTTGTTTCAGAGGATCAAGACCTTGTTGATGACCTTGATGACATGACTCTTGGAGATGAGAACACGGAAGATGGATTCATGACCGATGAGGAATACGACATCCTTGATGCTGAGGATGAGTCAGACGTTGGTAGTACTCAGGTTGCGAAGAAGTAGATCCGACCGAGAAAGAACCACGTAACAGAGACACACAAGGATACTTTGGATAGGAATGGTCAACAGCAGTCGCTCTATTATTTCGACATAGCTGAATTGGGAGTTGGAAGGACAAGGATAAGGGGGTGGAACTATTCGCACTGCGCTGGACATGTATTCTATTTTATCTCTCTTACTATGATATGACACAAGACTACTGATATGAATGAGCTTCAAATGGTCACCTCAAACTGGATGGTGCAGTCTTTCTATAATAGAATCGAGACTTGGCCGGTCGCCTGGAAGCAATAGCCCAACAATCCATGGATGCCCAGCTAATTGCTTGTCTTGAATAACGCTAGGCTCAAAAAGTAGTGGCCGAGTATCCCCGCGCGCGTCATGCATGCCTCGTGCAGTCCAGTCCAATCCCTGCAGGCTCGATTGGGCAGCTGCGACCATGCATCTTTCGTCCTTGACCACATGCTCTGAGATCTTGCTGCCTTGATCACCCGAGAGCGCACACCCGCCGTCTGCTTCTTATTGACCGCTTCGCTTCTGCTTACCTTCCAGCGCGTTCGCAAGTTTGATCTCAGTCGAGAGCCTGTCCTACTTCCTCATGGAATTTTTGTCACTATCACGTCCTACAATATCACTTCCATCTTGCGTGCCTAACGGGTGACGCTGCACACGAAGTAGTTGAACTAGAATCATCAAATCAGGCCTGACTAGAGCACGACTCTACACGCCCTTACCCAAGACTTTCAGTAGCACTACCGTCGAGATGCCTGATAAGGACCTTCGACGTCAGGCCCTCGACAAGACCAAAACGGTCTCTCGAAGGGCTCAAGCGAAAGCCTCATTGTCCATACCCTCCTCAACCGGTCACAGCCAGCCTGGTTCGGCTCGTGGTTCTCGTGCCGCATCGCGTGTTGCAAGTCGAAATGTATCGGACGACGAAGACGATAATAGAAGTGGATATCTTAGCGACGATACTAATGCCAGTATCAACTCGATAGACGCATTTCTAGAAAGCGACGAATTTCAAGAAAGCAATTTGGAGAACCTCAAGTCTGCGCTGAACACTACAATAGAAGAACTAATAGAACGAAAAGGAAGCAGCGTACAAGGGCGAGAGGAGGCGCTGGAGCGGTACACGAAGATCCTTACCAGTCACCACTTTGGCGATGTACTTTACGGGAGGGTCAACGATATCCTGGGTGCTTTAAGTAAGAGTATCAAGTCCGAAACCTCGTCAAAAGAGGCTGTTCTCGCTCTACGAGCCGTTTCTCTTACTGCCATCTCCTTTGAAGACCATACACTGTACGAAACGATTGCACCACTTCTCAAGCGCACCATTACAGATAGTCAAGACAATCCGACAAAGGCTGCAGCAACACAAAGTCTGGGTATATGTCTATTCTTTGGTGGTGCAGGAGACGATGAGATCGCCGAACAATGCACCTTCCTCCTTGAAGTCGTACAATCTGACGGGTCTTTCGTGGGTGCAGACGACAACGCCGAAGTGGTCACGGCTGCATTGCAGACCTACACTTTCCTACTCACTCAACTCGACGATGTGGAAGCTGAGTCAGAGGATGCAGTCGAGGCCTTTATCGAGCAACTGGACAGCGGCAATGTAAACGTGCAAATCGCAGCTGGCGAAGCTATCGCGGTGCTGTTTGAGAAGAGTTATACACCGAAGGAAGACGACGAGGATTCTGGAGAGAACGATGAAGCAGAAGGCGAATCTAGTGGGGACTCTGACGGTCCTACCACAGGAGACAAGACCTTGGTCAGACGCTACAATGCCTATCATAACCCAGAGGAAGTCGTTGAAAAAGTCTCTGGACTTGCCAATCTAAGCACAAGAGGCCTGAATAAACACGATAAGAGAAAACTTCACCAAGCCTTCGCCAGTATAGCGATCACAATCGAGAACCCTAGACGAGGCCTACAGACCAATTCATCCAGTCGAATGATCGTGCGGATTCATCGAGAGGGTGAGATCAAAGTTGACAAATGGTGGAAACTCGTGCGTCTGAATGCGCTAAGGCGCCTCCTGGCTGGCGGATTCATCAATCATTACTTTGAGGGAAACGGTCAGGTTCTGAACGCGTTGCCACTCTTGATCAGGAATACAGGGCCTGGAGGAACATTAAGTCCGAGGAGGAGTGCAAGAAGACCCGGAGACAAGTACAAGGAAGTGAGAAGGTTTGTGAGTGCGGAAGTGGGTGACTAAGCCAGTAAGATAGTAATACTAGCTAGTCACTTTGGCAAATGCTCATGATGTATTGTCGTCAAATGCATTCCAGTACCACGCCTGTTGTCACCATGGACGCATGCTCCTTGGATCACGTCTACGTTGTAGAACTTTGTTGGGATCGTTGAAGTACTGCCTTGCGCAATAGCTTGATCCTTTCTCCCCTATCCAGCCGGTTTTTTCTTAGAGCGACTAGTTGGTTGTTTCGATCTTAAACAGCTGTGACCAGTCTCGACTTTAGCCAGCCAGTCTCCACGCCGGTCCTCGATCTACCTATGAGCAACGGTAGTTTGTGCAACGCGTTGCATTTTCTGTACATCGCTGATAATTCGGTAATCGCTGCCTGACCTGCCCTCCCAACCTCACTCGTACCCTCGCTCCTTCTTTCCTTCACCAGCCTCGCTCCTTCCCAAACCAAACCTCCACACCCATATACATATCCAACTTCCCAAAATCCACCTTCACACTCCCCCATCACAGACGCCGGTCTCATGGCGCAACGGTTAGCGCACCACAGCTACGACTCGAAGATGTACCGGACCGTGTCGAAAGGCGCGGTTCCGGTCTCTTCCCCTATCATCATGATAGGTAGCTGGGTTTTAAAATTCCCAGGATTATTACGTATCTGTGAGGGCTCCTGGTTCGAATCCAGGTGAGACTATTTAGTTGGCATGGAGAGTGGGTGGTTTCTTTTTTGATGTTTTGGTGGTGATGAGGGAGGGAAGGTGCGGATGAGGAGTGGCCGTGTTCGCTGTGGAGGATCGGTGGTTGAAAAGTGAAGTGAAGGTGGAGAGGTGAGAATTGTTGATGAGCATTTAGACGGGTACTGAGCGTCAACCAATATCTTCTTTGTTAGCTGCGGCTTCTCAGGACCACTTGTAGATCACGACGTCTGCTTCCGAGTAATCTTCGACACAATACCCTCCCCAATCATCCCCATCTCAGCTAGCATGCCCTCGGTATTCGCAGTACATATACCTTCCTCATCTTCTCCTTGCACATCTCCCGCCTCATACGGCACAGTACTCATGCCCAATCTGATCTTAAACGCCCTCGCCACTCCAGGTCGTACATGCGGCCTCCACAATCCGCCAATCACAGTACTTCCGCTATACTTCCCACCATGAAAGAAGATAGCTACATTCCCAAAGCTGTGCTGTAGGTCTTCAAGATACGACGTCGCAGTATCGATACCAGTCGTATCAACATCCACCATATTCGCGAGCTGTAGATTTTTGAATTTGCCTTCTTTGTTCGCTTTCTGAGATCTTCGAGCAGCATTGGCGACAGAGTCTTTCAGGTGTATTACGAAATCAAAATCTTCCGAGGAACTGGTGAAGATGTCATCCCAATCACTCTGTGTCATGAGTTTGTCTTCTCGTTGATCCGCGCTCTTCATAAGTTGGAGAGCCGCGCTTGCTAGTGCTGTCAAGCGACCCGCTACTACTCTGGGCGGTTTAGGGTCCTGGCCGGCTAAGCCTTGCGTCCAGACGACGCCGGTGTTATCGAGGTTCGTTCCTATGAACCAAGCGACAGAGTTCATGTTCGGGTCTAGCTTCCGCCATGCCATGAAGCGAGTCTCGAGCTCTTGTCGCTGTTGCAATGTCATGTCCTGTGCTGGACTGAGGTCGATGATCAGTGGTTCGGCGCTCCAGTCCCAGCGTGAGAGGAAGTGAAGACATCGTGTGAATGCGGTGGTGCTTGTGCCTGGGGTTGACCATGGTGCTGGGTTTAGGAAAACGTCGCAGGCTATGATCTCAGCAACTTCGCCAGGGATGTGTGGCATTAAGTGATGGACGGAGAGAAAGCGTTTGAGGAGGCGAGTCGTGGCTGAGAGGGTTGGGAAAGTGGTGCTGAAGGAGCGAATTGCGGTTGTGTGGTTGACGCGAGCGAGGGTTTGCTTCTGGGTTTGAAGGGCGGATTGGTAGGGATCACGGAGGGGTTGGCTGAGTAAGGCTTTGGTGGACAGGGCTTGCTGGATGAGATGGAGTTCGCGCTCGTGGTAGATACGGAGACGGAAGATGATGGGAGGAAGCTGAGGTGTCGGAGATGGTTGCTTGATGTCGAGAAAGCAATTATTGTGCGTTCCAAGGCTGGATGAAGATGTGTTCTCTAGACCTACGCGGCATTCCCAAGTACGATCATGCTGTGTTAACAGGTCACCAATCTTGGTTAGAAAAGCTATTTTTGTGTATTGTATTGCACGAAGATCATCTGGCCAGCGACCTGAAGTGTCAAACTGTATGACGAGGTCAACCGGCTGCGCAAATCCAGGTTCGAGTGGCGGGGCCAAGGAAGTTGAGCGCACCAGTTCGCTTGCAGCATTGACTGACCGAATTGGTAGTGGTAAACCATCGAGGTGATGAAGAGTTGACACCAATGCTTGCAGCTTAGTGTTGATGACGGTAAATGCCTCATCGGCAGGGACAGCATCGCTCAACTGCAACTTCTGGACATAGGGACTAATCTTGATGTTCGTTGGCGCTATCTTCAGGTGTCTTAGCAGCAGATGCTTGACGATCTGCTCGAGCACGCAAGAATCTTTGGACCACACTAAACTTTCGTTAATGCTTCCGTCCTTGAATTTGCGAAGCTCGGCTTTTTCTCCCCAAAATTGTCGAAAGTCTTCGGCTGCCTCCTTGTCTTCGACCGAGGGCCCATGATCCACAAAGCGCAGGGCAGCTTCCGAGTTGATCAAAAGTCCAACGACTACTTTTGCAGGACTTGTCGATGGTGCTGAGGAGGTGATCTTCCAACCAGGCTTCGAATCAGTTTGCAGGTGAAGCAACCTCACTCTATCGCTGAATCCCTTTCTGAGTATGCTGTGTATACGTTGGGGGGTATCGTGTGATTTCTGTGAAGAGTCTGTAAGGTCAATTGTGTAGCTTTGCTCGAATTCCAGGCTCGTCTCAGACACTTTAGTCACAAAGGTTGCCTCAAAGCCGTTAGTCTTCTTCGAATTGACGGCGGCAAGAGACACTGTTGCATGGTGCTTTAAGCGCTCATATGACCATGGCGTCATCTTATACAGGATATTGACACCAGTGTCGGCGTCGTAGATAATGGGCAAATCCGACTTCCTCAGGTTGACATTACCCCGTAGAAGCAGTGGTTCATACATGTCTCTTCCACCCAAGACTTGCAACATCGCCTTGAACAGCTGCAGAGCACTATATCGTGGTGAAAATAAAGGACGGCCCTGGTGACCACCACTCTGGAGAAGTAGAGCGCATAGGACGGCCCATTCTTCCAGACCGAAGCCACCCTGAGCCTGATCACTCGACATATCTCTTTGCTGCAACCAGACTGACCCGAGATAGCAGGCGTCACAATAGTTTTCGGCTTTTGTAATAACACTTTCCACCAGCTCCTGCCAAGGCTTTGTGGAAGTTAGGTATCGGACGCAGCTGTTGTAGGCAGGCGTAGTATTTGCGATATCGTTAGATAAGTCTTCCTTTCTCAAACAGTTATGCATTGGAGTCATCTTCTCCTTCAAGCCGAGTGTAGAAGGAAAGACTGGACAAACTTCGAAAATTAATGGTCGCTCGCTGGAGTTTTCGGTAAGACGAATGACTGGAACAAATTCGCAGTCGTCCGAATAGGCGAAGTTCATGTCAAATTCCTTACCTGTCTTTTTTTGAATATGCGAAGCTATACAAGCAAGATAGAAAGCTCTCTTGTGAACAGCTCGATAGTTTAGATAATCCTTTTCGTGAAACATCTCAGCTGGCATCTCAGGCATCAGAACAAGCTTCCTGGGCTGCTTCTTCGTTGACAATCTTTGTGCTAAAGAGCCTGCAAGAGTGACTCTCGTCGGCGCAACAAACGAAAAGGTATACTTGACGTCAGTAGCAGGTCTTTGAAACCATGGTATTGTGATGCGCAGATTCTTCTGAGAAAAACTTTGAGCCTGTGCTAATGACATTGGTTGCTGCGAGGGCACCTCTTTCAGAACTTCAACAAGCATGTTGGTGGTCGGTCTCATTTGCTTCGTTACACTATCATGATCAAGCCTGACATCGTTCAGCAGGTTCGACACCTGCATCTGTAAATCTCCAGGCGACGTCGTTGAGCCTTGTGCGACTCGTGATATCCTCGAGTGCCGTAACTGTACTGGTAAGTCTACAGCAATCTGGGAGGTCTTGTCCGCATGGTTGCTTGTGACTGCGGCTCCCTCATCGTTGCTGGGATCTCCATCTTCCACATTGTCTAAGGAAGCAGCAGACTCTACAGATGATTCCCGTTCATCGCTAGAATCGTGGCTCAGCTTCCTGCGCTTGAAAACATGCCCATTTGTCCGTCTTGGCTTTCTGACTGACATGATTGCGAACACTGAGTGGCTAAACAATTTCAAGGTATCTATCAGCTATTAATTTTTTTGGACAGGGAAGTTCTGTCGGAACAACTTCGGTAGTAGTAACTCCATCAGAAAGTCGTCGCCGCAATTCGGCCTTGTGAGACGAAAAAGTTCGAGAAGCTGTTTGTGAGGCGGCAACTTGTTACACAACCAGATATTCACGGCCTTTATTCAATAACAAGCCCTCCATTGTCAACCTCGGTCTCGCATACGCACACATCTCGATAGCAGACAAGTGGGCAGTATGATCGCTCCTGTAGGCCAACCAGTGCCCGATACGCCTCATGTGAGTGCCCCTTTCTGGTCAGAATCTGCCCCGGACGCTAACCATACATACATTAGGCTGTGAGTGTCTCACTGCCGACATGGAAAGCAAATGTTGGTTACGAAGAAGGTGAAGACTGGGTGATCTCGGCCATGCAGACAGGATATCCACGCTTCTTCGTTCATCTTACTATCCAGGAATTGGAAAGGGAAGTGCTCAGTCAGTATGGCAAGGAGGGCGAACGAGTCACTTTGTTCCCATCGAGAAGGGCAGCTCGAAGATGCTACGACTTCTTCCGTGACAAGCGACCGGAGCTGGATGGAGTGCGCCTTCTTCATCTAGAGCCAGACGACAGTAAAGGTAAAGCTGTTGGGTATGTGCTTTCGAATCTCTCCTGCTGTTTCTATCCAGCAGAAGGATATCCAACAGCAAAGCAAGTGTGGCAACATACTGGTCTTGGCGTATCGAGTAGGAGAGGAGAGTTTTGTTTGCAAGCCCTTAGGGAAGGCTTTTTGAGAGTAGCACCTTCTCACAGTCCTCAAAATTCGTCGCATCACGACTTGTTCAGCAAGGGTCCAAAACGATATCAAAGGGGCGCTTCACAGCACAGCTTCAGCTATCCCGACGAGCTGCCTGCGACGAACGGCGCTAAAACCAACGGACATGCCGAATCACAAGACTTTGCACAGTTTGTCGAGGAGCGCTTCGGCAGGAATCTCAATGCTCAGTTAGCAACCAAGGCGAAACTTGCCGTCAGGAGAAGGATTGCTGGCTGTCTGACGACGAACGTTGAGCTCGAAGATGGCCTTGAAGCCTCAAATTCCGATCAAAAACAGGAAGAACAGCAGCTGGATGTACCAGAAGCAAGGCTGAGAAATGTATCTGAGAGCGACGTCTACCTATATCCAACTGGCATGAGCTCTATCTTTGAAGCGCATCAATCGGCTATGGCAATCTCTCAAAAGCGAACGGGACAGAGACTACGCAGCATTTGTTTCGGCTTCCCTTATATTGACACACTAAAGGTGCTTGAAAAATGGGGTCCTGGGGCACTTTTCTATGGGAAAGGTGTCGAAGAAGATCTCGATGACCTCGAAAGACGTCTCGAAAGTGGTGAACGCTTTGCGTCCCTGTTTACAGAATTCCCAAGCAATCCTTTACTCAGATCACCTGACCTTGCACGTATAAGGCAGCTGGCGGACAAGTACGACTTTGCTGTGGTGATAGACGAGACCGTGGGCAACTACATCAACATTAATGTCCTACCATATGCAGACATCATCGTCAGCAGCTTAACGAAAATTTTCAGTGGTGACAGCAACGTCATGGGCGGCAGTCTTGTCCTCAATTCCAAGTCTAATCTCTACTCAGACTTCAAGCAGCAATTCGACCAACAGTACGAAGACGATTACTGGGCGGTCGATGCGATATTCATGGAACGCAACTCGAGAGATTATATTGGAAGAATAATACGGATCAATACCAATGCCGAAATCATGACCAACGAGTTGCAAAAATCGTCCTTGGTGAAAGAGGTCTATTATCCAGCTCTTGTGCCGTCTCGAAAATACTACGATGCATGCAAGACTACCGACGGAGGTTATGGTGGGCTTTTCTCAGTGACTTTCCACAATCCAGAACACGCTCACCAATTTTTCGACAACCTGCAAATACAGAAAGGACCAAGTCTTGGCACGAACTTTACGCTCTCTTGTCCTTTTGTCCTAATTGCGCACTACAACGAGCTAGACTGGGCCAGAAGTATGGGTGTAGATCCAGATCTGGTGCGCGTATCAGTTGGTCTAGAGAATGCGGAGGAGCTCAAGAGAATCTGCCGTAATGCTTTGGTTGACATACAATAACATTGACTGCGGTGTGAGCTGATCCAAGACATGCTCAAGAACCAAGAATCAGCTTCTTCTCTCGTACGACCGCGCTCCCTGCTGCTGTTGGTGCTGCATTTCACTCACTGACTCTGTCACTAAAAGCCATGCGTAAAGACTGATTATCTGATGAGCTTGCTTCAAATCCGTTGAACAGGTGGACAGATTAATTCATTCTCAGGGGGTTTGTAGGTCGTTTTTGCCCCGGATTAACATGTAGCTTGCGTCATACTTGCTCCCCACTTCACCTCCACTCCACCTCCACCCATTTCCGACCTACCACGTTCGTTCCCTCTATTACAGCCTCAAACGCAATCAGCTTTGGTGATAAACAGGCACAATTCTGTTCGACTATCTGGTTCTTTGATCCAGAAGCTACAAACAACGATCTCGTTGAATGATCAGGGCCCTAAACGTGACTTTAATCTTGCTCATAGCCATATTTATACCATTACTAGTCAGGCAACAAGTCATTGGGATTGGCGGACTCGACCTCCCTAGACACTGCTCACTCGGCTTTCTATCTTGGGTTGATCCAACCATAGTCACAACGGGTAACACACAGTCACGACACCGTACCGCCAAGATGGCCTGGCGCTGCTCTGGGCGCACCAATGCCGAGCTCATCTCAAACCTCTACAAAGCTCAACTGATCACGGCTGAACGCGTCCGCGCTTCGATGACAAGCGTAGACCGTGCTCACTATGCACCTGCTGCAGCATACGAAGACTCTCCACAACCCATCGGGTATTCCGCCACAATATCAGCACCACATATGCATGCTAGCGCGTGCGAGAGTTTACTCCCGTTCATGCCAGAGAACAAGAGCGCAAAGGTACTAGATATCGGCTCTGGTAGTGGTTATCTGACGCATGTCATGGCGAACCTGGTTTGTGGCAGTGAAGGCAAGGGAGAAGGGAAGGTAGTGGGCATCGATCACATACCACAACTTACTGAACTTGCGCTATCGAACATGCGAAAATCCGAAGAGGGTCGAAGGTTACTGGACAATGGGAGAGTGGAATTCGTGACAGGTGATGGGAGGAAAGGCTATGCGGAAGGTGGACCGTACGATGCAATTCACGTCGGTGCAGCAGCCGCTGAGATCCACGATAAACTCATCGACCAATTAAGAGCGCCAGGCAGGATGTTCATCCCTGTCGAAGACGAGGACGGAAGAGGATCGATGTTTGGCAGCCAATATATCTGGGTCGTAGATAAAGATGCAGATGGGAAAGTGACAAGGAAAAGAGATATGGGAGTGCGATATGTGTTGCTCACTGATGCGCCGAAGTGAGTCTTGACTCCTGTCTCATGGGTACACTGGGCTCGGTTCTGATAAGCATATGGAACTCTGAACGAGGGCTTGAACCGCGGCCTTCATGCATTAGGTTCAACCTTTCGAAACATGTTCCAGCGGCGAAATCAGGAGTGATAGTTTCACTGAGTGTTTTCAGTCGGATACTGAGGTAAGTGTCTTGGGTCAAGTATTCCGTAAGTCGCCTAACGTCTCCAAAACGAAATGGATCTTCGAGACCAAATAGACCCGGCTATCATGAACTACCGGTCACTTACGCTTGAGCAACAGAGTACATCGAGAGAAGTGAAACGCATCATACTGGAAATTGTACAAGAACGATCATGCTATGAACAGGGTATCAATAAAACTATGCCGCCAAGCTCTTTCCCCCTTTCCTGCTGTATCCGTAATAAAAGAAGCGCGATTCAGCTATACGCATAGTAACATAGATCCTTGTAAGCATTAAAAGAACGAGGTGAGCCTTTGTCAACATCATTCCTAGTCACCATTTGCTGCAGCACCAGCCCGTCTTCGTCCTCCTCTACTCTCCTCAATAGTCTGCTGTCCTCGTTCAGGTGGTGCAAGTTCCTGCACTCGTACATCGTGGTCTTGAGGAATATCCTCCTTGGCGCCAGGAGATATTAGAATGTACTGCCTGCCAATACTCTGCCGGGCGGCGTCGAGAATCATCCTTATACTTGTGCTTCTGTTGACGTTGTCCATGAACACGTCAAATTCGTCAAGACATCTCAGCGGACTGCCCATGGCCTCCCAGATAGCGAGCAGCATGCAGATCTGAGCGTAGGACTTCTCACCGCCGGAGAGAGTGTTTGCGGAACGACCAGCAGCGTTTCGTCTGGTGATATCTGGCTCAACACGAAGATCTAGCAGCCTTTTTGCATGGTTGATGAGCAGTTCACCTCGGAAGCCACGCTCGGAAAGAAGGGCAACGAATGTAACGCGTGCACGTGCGGAGATGAATTGACGAAATAGTCTCCATCTAGCTCTGCGGTCGTCGAGGGATGTTTGCAGCATGTTTTGCGTCTCTTCGAGCTGCTTGTGGTCGACTTCGGCTCGATTACAGTTTATTTCTGCCTCTGCCGCTGCTCTTTCAGCATCCTCGACGGAGATACCAATTCGCTGCTGCCATTGCCTGTGGGTTTTCTTCATCTCCTCATGTTTCTCGAAGAGGCTTTTCGTTGACCTGTCTGGCACATGAATTCGGTTGCCAACTTTCTCGGTAGCTTGAGCTATGATGTTTTGAAGGTGTGCTTCAGCCTCTGCTTTGTCGTCAACAAGTTCTTGGCGTCCTTTTTGTGTATCCGCCAGGACTGCTTCCTTTCCATTCTTGGTAAGGAGTGTGTTTGCCTTGTTTTGGTCGGCTAATCGATGCTGTCGCTCAGCTTCATTGAAGGCATGTTGGAGCTCTTGCAGAGTCGTATCGTACGCATTCATACGTTGGTTTCGCTCATGCATTGCCTTTTGCTTCGTATCGCGGGCAATTACGGCATCTTTGTATTGGTCTTCAGCTAATTGCCTTGACTCCTCGACTTCTTTCAGACCATCCCTCAATGCACTCAGCTTGCCTCCTTCCACACTATCGTTGCTGATCTGACCGTCTAAGACTTGGACTTTATCATCAGCTTCTTGTGCTGCTATGTTCAATTCCTCTAAACGTTTCTGCCATTTTTTGACAGCGGCATCGGCTTTGACGACTTCAACACGAGCTTCGGTCCAAGCTCTTCTTGCCGTTGCTAGATCATCCTGAGCATCTCGCAGAGCTATTCTTTTTATGGCTATTGTGGCCTCTATGTCTCCTTTCATGCGAGGCAGACCACGGTAAGCCAGAACGGGATCTTGGCTAGCACCATCACCGGCACCATATCGTAAAAGGTGTCCTTTTTGTGGGTCATGAGGATTGAAGGCAAAGCATCCTCTGACGCATCGCAGTCGACCGGAGTCGTACATGGTTCTCGTCGCATCATCCAAGTTAGGGACGAGTATGTGTTGATCAATGACATGCTGAATGATCAGGTGCTTTTTCACATCCTGATTGTCGATCTCAAGTACTTTGAGGATTGTCACAAATTGCTCATCTGGCTCTCTGACGTTGAAGTCTTTTCTATCAGTTAGGAGGAACATTTCAGCATCACAGGCGGCTCGCCTTTTGAGGTCGCTCAATAGATTCAAATCGTGTCTGCTAAAGACCAGGAAACCGCTCAATGTTTTACCGAACATGCTCTCGAGAACCGATGACCACTCTGGCTTTAGCAATTTCACGTGGCGGCCCAGTGGTCCCAAGGGCTTATGTTGCCATCGAGTCTCTTGACCAATCAGTCGTTCCAATTGCTCGTTGTTGCGTCGAAAAGCTCTGTGCTGATTATTTGCATTGATATTCTGGAGCTTGCCTAAACTCTCTTCGATCTCGTTGATCTTCCTTTGAGCTGCATTCATGATTCCTGCCTTCTCATTGACAACAGCGCCTTTGATTTGCCTGTTCCTTTCTACTTCTTGCCTGCCTGCCTTATGCGCTTCTAGCTCAGTACGTGCTTGCTGCGCGGTTGCTTGAGCAAGCGTGCGTTCCTCTCGACGGCGAGCAGCTCCACCACCGTTGAGCTCATCCAGGCGCCGTTCCTCTTCGGCTATCTGGCCCTCAGTATTCTTCTTCTCTTTGACCTTCTGCGCCAACGTGGTTTTCGCGGCCCTTTCTTCATGTTGGGCTGCCATGGCTTCTCGTTTAGCTTCCTCGTAGAGGACTTTCAGTTCACGCTTCTCGCCTTCAGCGGCGTTGAACGCCGCCTTAGCTTCGTCGAGAGCGATTTTAGTCGCTTCGTGCTGAGTGGTGGCATCCTGATAGTTTGTGTCATACTCATCAACCTCAAGCTGAGCAGTCCGAATGAGCTCATCTTGTTTGGTCATTTCAACGTCGTATTCAACAAGTTTGGCCTCCTGATCCCTCACTTGAGCCCAAGCGCATTGTCGACGCAGCTCGCGCATTTTGGCTACTAACCCATCTGTCTTTCTTGCCTGCTCACGAAGCCTGATTTTGTTGTTCCTTATATTCTCGAGCACTGTCACGTCCTCTTTCTTCTTGTCCAACTTTTGCTGTATCGTGAATAGTCGGTCTTCCAGAAGTCGATAGTCTTCGTCCAGCTGTTCGAGTTGCACGCCTTTGATGAAGAACTTGTACTTGTCGGCTGGCTTCGCGCTGCCGAGAAATTGTCTTGCGTTGTCTTGTGACAAAACATTGAGCGGGTTATCGACTTGTAAACCGCAATGGTCCAGTATCGGGTCCAGATCAAGTCGCTTATCAGATACTTTGCGCCCGCTGGCAGATCTGATCACGTAACCGCTTGTACCGTTCGCTGAAAAGTGTCGTTCTATAGATATTGAGTCCCCATACTCTTCTGGTTGATATGCGCCGGAGCCTTGATTTTTGATCTTGCAAATGATTCGAGCTCGTTCGCAGCCATGTCGAATAAAAGACTTCAAGCCTTTGCCTCTGTTGGTGGATGCGGCTTTACCTCCTAGACACAGGGTGATAGCAGTCAATACGGCACTCTTGCCCGAGCCGTTCTTGCCTGTAATGAAGTTGATCAAAGGGCCGAACAGAAATTCGAAATAATGGTGGTTCATGAAGTCGTGGATAACGACAGACTCCAGAATACCATAGTCTCTGGCTGCATTGGCTACACCACTTTGGCGAGCTCTTTTATCACGAACCCTTTTTTCCTGGACTGCTTGTGTAGCCTGTTGTTCGACGTCCTCCTCGTCTAAACTTTCCGAATCCTCTTCCAACTCTTCATAATCTTGTATTCGAAGATTGGGGTTCTGTTCGGGAGTAGTGTCTGAGTCACGACTTATGCGACGACGCTTGCGACCATCAGATCCAGGAAGAGAACTTGTGTCTTCTGAGACTGAGCTGGCAGCTGAATCGTCCTCGTCCTCAGTGTCTACCCGTGCTGGCCGTTTACGGGTAGACATAGTCGATAAGATGCGCGAAATCAAGGCCAGATGCAAGACATTGGAGGATTCTACATTAATCAGGAAGACAGGCAGAGGTGGAGCAAATGTTGATCGACACTTTTGGCAGGCGCGACGCGTTGCGGGTTGCACTCGAAGCGCGTCACAGTCAGGCATCAAGGCATGATATCGGCCGATAATGAACCGTCTGCCACAATCGGCCGTCACTTTTTCAGGCCTGACGGTCGCTAAGTGAAGCTAGCAGGCTCTTCAGTAGTACAATCACACGACAACTATCATGTCGGTGGCTGCTCAAGAGCCAGGCAAAGCCAAGGTGAGTGCTGGTGCTGGACCAGTGCGGCGTGAATGAATGACTGACCAGGACTCTAGCCAAGTGTGCTACGCTCGATCATTGCTGGATCAACAGCAGGTGCTGTCGAGATAGCAATCACCTACCCTTTTGAGTTCGCAAAGACAAGGTCACAACTCAACCAGAGATTACCAGATTCTAAGAAGCTTCCATGGCCTAAGTTCCCGTCGAAGGAATGGTATGCAGGTTGCACTACATTGATTATCGGCAACTCGATCAAAGCTGGTGTTCGTTTTGTGTCGTTCGACTTCTACAAAAGTTTGCTTGTTGATGAAAGTGGGAAGCTCTCAGGCCCGAGAACTGTTGTTGCAGGCTTTGGCGCAGGCTTTACAGAATCTCTGCTTGCAGTAACTCCTTTCGAGAGCATAAAGACGCAGCTGATAGACGACCGGAAAAGGGCCCAGCCACGGATGAATGGCTTCTTACACGGCTCCTCGGTGATCGCACGTGAGCAAGGCATTCGAGGCTTTTTCAAGGGCTTCGTTCCCACGACTGCAAGACAAGCTGCCAACAGCGCTGTGCGCTTCAGCACATACACCTGGTTGAAGCAAGCCGCAGAATCCTACACATCGCCTGGAGAACGATTAGGAACTGTCAGTACTTTCGGTTTGGGGGCCATCGCCGGAGCTGTAACAGTCTATTCCACTCAGCCTATCGATACTGTCAAGACGCGAATGCAGAGTCTCGAGGCAAAGAAGCTATACAAAAACAGTATACAATGTGGCTGGTCGATATTCAAGAATGAAGGTATTTTGACTTTGTGGAGTGGTGCAACTCCACGACTAGGTCGCCTGGTGTTGAGTGGAGGCATCGTCTTTGCTGGCTATGAGAAGACTCTGGAACTGCTTGACTCACTTGACCCCAACAAAAAATACATATGACCAAGTTCTCGTGAGCCAAATATTGGCATCCTAGATTTTCACGATCTGTCCAACTAAGCTCTATTGATTCTGACACGAAACCTTAGCTGCTCAGACGAATCTTTTCAGAGATTATTCAGCACGATTTCAACAAGACCACGAGCAAAATAGGCCTCCACGATGGCACCACCCGACTGACACACCGGATTGCGATGATTTCCCAAGCTATTCACAACAGCTCGAGGAACGATTTAGGCGTGCAGAGAATTACGCAGCTCATCGTTTTCCTTACCTCCGAATAGCGCGAAGCCAACTTCTACCACACTTCTGAGGAGTTGTCCCTCCTCGAATGGATCACGTCCGGGTCTGCTGCCTCATCATGGCTGACTCATAGTCACTCACTTGAGACACACCCGCGGGCCGAAGCCTCGAATCCTGCGGGTCAAATACAAAACTGTAAGCGGTTTCCTGGCCTAACGGTTGAATATCAAGGATTGACTCTTGGAAAGGCATGAATTGTCAGGGTGAATTGTAAAAAGAGGTCGGGAAAAGCTGGTCAGGGAATTGACCACGATGATGCTGAATGGAGTCCGGGGTGAATACTAGTATGATGTTCTCCCAACGCTCCTGGCACTGCGGACAGGAGTGATAATGGTCCGGTTCCGAGAATAGTAAGTTCTCGGGGTTTTGGGACGCCGGACCACAATCCTCCCTCGTGCTAGCCAAGCTGGAGATCGAGAGAGAGAGTTTAAAATCTATTCGCTAGTCTTTTGATCGGGGACTATGAGCGGCGAAGAATGAAGCATAACGGCATGGTAGTGCGCCAGTGCAAATGGTGGCACTACAACATAAGACATTGCGGTCTAAGCATGTTCGAAGAATAGAATAGACTGGAATGTTTACGTCGTCCGAAGAGGCATCAGTTCAGATCTCGCAGGAATTATGTACAGTAGTTTTGATGCACATTTGAATTGATACAAGCTGCAAACCAAATGAATATATTGTGTCCTACGTGTGCGATTCTGTTCGACCGTAGAGACCTGGTGGTCAGACTACGACACTACAGCAGCGCATATAACGCAATCACGACCACTCGAGACACCAAGAGTCCTTGGAGGACGCGCATGCGCACTCTTCCACTACGTTGCGGTACTCGACAAGACTTGCCATGTATCTGTCGAACAACTCAGTGGACTTACCTGGTTTCTCATGAACTCACCTACTTCTGCTCTCGAAAATCTTGCAGTGTAGGGCCTAGCATGGCGCATTTCCTGCGTGGTAAGCAGGCAGGTGTGCAGAATGATCTGTCCCACGGCATATCTTCTGAGTTCTTTATGCTCGACGATGTAAGCGCACGGTAAGGTCGGTTACATCCATATAGCTAACTATCCAGCTCGCTCGATATGGTGTGAATTCGCAAGTATCAGCACTGGCCCACGAGCCTGTTCAGTCATTACTCGCTGTGGGTACCAACGACTCTCAGTTCGGTCCTGGTCAAATATATATCTATGGGCAGAGACGAGTGTGTGTGACGTTTAACCTGCAAAAGAGAGCTTCTGTTCAGGAAATACAGTTTTGTGGTGACAAGCTTGTTGTACTTGATAGCAAGAACGATGTGACCATATTTAATCTGGGCTCACGGAAGCGAATCGCGACATATGCACCGCCTGGACGTGTTACTGCGTTGTTGACAGATCCAAGTTTGGACTACTGCCTGACGGGATTGCAAAATGGTAACGTGCCGCTACTCCACGTTCCGAGTTTATGGCTGACATTAAACAGGGGACATCGTCGCGTATGACCTCGACCGCGAGCATATGACTCCCTTTCGAATACCCAACCTCTGGCGCGAGAGAGATCCTAGGGCCAAGATTGTATCAATCGTCTCGCTCCAATTGCATCCCAAGGACATCGGATCTCTACTGATTGGTTATTCCGAAGGAGCTGTGATATACTCTTTCAAGCAAAACAAGGCAACAAAGTACTTTCACTATGAGCTACCATCTGGGGCTCCTGGTGGTAACCAAGATGCAAGAAACGCCACTCAAGCGCGAGCACCCAGTCTTACTCATGCTCTTTGGCACCCTACCGGCACTTTCGTTCTCACTGCGCACGAAGACACGAGCCTCGTTTTCTGGGATCTTCGTGACGGCCGCGTCTTGGAGGCTAGAACCGTGGAAGATGTCGCTGTGAACCTACCCAGTACTGGTTCCGCTAAGCGCGCCGATGCTCTCACTGCAAGTGTTTCCAACAGTTATGCAAAGATTGCTTGGTGCTCGAAAGACAATCCAGATGACACAGGCATACTACTCGTTGGAGGCCAGTCAGCTACTGCAGTAGCTCCTGGACTCACCTTCATCGATCTTGGACTCACTCCAGTCTATCAGACTTCGTCGTGGGATGTCCTTACCAACCATTTCCGAAACCCAAAGAGGATTCACATCCTGCCTACACCACCAAATGCCAAGGTCACCAACTTTCTGCTCATCCCTAGATCTTCTCCTCACTTTGCAGGTTCGCATGATCCCATCGCAATCATTGCCACTCTATCATCCGGTGAATTGATCACAATTTCCTTTCCTTCGGGACATCCTATTTCGCCCACGAATCTGCTTCACGTATCTCTATCTACTGTACATCCATTCATCACCAAGTTTGCATTTGCAGATGTGGACCGAACAAGATGGCTTGGTATGAAAGAATTCAGAGAGCGAGGTCCAGGTTTTCTTCTTGGTGGTGGAGAGGCAACAAAACCCATGAAACGACATGAAAGCAGAAACATAATACAAACAGCTCATGCTGATGGCACAATTCGAGTATGGGATGTTGGTAGTGGTGACCAGATTGAGAATGGTAGTGCTCTTCAAGCTGACTTGGCACGCGCTGTGAGCAGGTGGGACAACTTGAATGTTGCACAAATGGCCATGTCAGGCGCTACGGGCGAGCTCGCAGTCGGTCTTCAGTCTGGCGAGGTTGTGGTCTTTCGATTGAACAAGAACCCGAACTTTGGCAGACCACCAACTGGTGGTTCTGAGAACGAAGCACCAGGTCAAATGACAGATATCAGACAGAGAGCAGATCCAGCACTTAGAGAAGGCTTAATGCCTTTAACTCTCACAAACGATCAGCAGGGCGTCGTGACAGCTATGAAACTATCAAATGTTGGTTTCCTTGCTTCAGGATACGAACAAGGTGGTATAACAGTCATCGATCTTCGTGGTCCTGCCATAATTCATACAGCCCTTCTCTCCTCACTCGTGGCCAAGCGGTCTGGTAGTATTACAGGCACCATCCGGGGCAGAAAGCCAAGCCAGAGTCATGGCTCGACTACAGAACATCCTTCGGTCATCGAGTTTGGGATCATGACTTTGGACGGTGACGGTAAGTCGAACCCCGAGCGAATATATTAACAAGCACTGACCTGAGCAGACTATTCATCGATAGCCATGTTTGTTGGTACCAACAAAGGCAGGGTAGCCACGTTCAAGATTCTGCCTTCGCAAAGCGGACGATTCACTGCAGAATTTGTGGGAGCTGTTAACCTGGCAGAAGATCGTGTGGTTTCGATATCGCCCATAGTTGCTGAGCTCGGTTCTTCTGCTTCAGCGACAGGACCAGCTATGGCTGGCTTGCAGCAAGGTCACAAGATAAACGGTGTCCTCGTCGTCACCACCGTCTCATCAGCACACATTTTCAGACCCGCAAGCGCGAAAGGTGCGGCAAAAAGCTTCGACAATGTCTTCTGCGATGCAGCCACTGTCACACAGTATCAACAACGAGGATATGCCTTGGTCGGCTTGTTTGGTGACGGCTGCGCTCGAGCTTTCTCGTTACCAGCACTCAAAGAGATAGGGAGCGTACGCCTCAACCACATTCTCGATATTAAGCGCTTCTCCGATGCGAAGATCAACTCCGCTGGCGATGTAGTAGGCTGGACTGGACCCTCTGAGCTCGCAGTCGCCTCTGTCTGGGGAGCTGGTCAACCATTACAACCCTCAGCTGACAAACTCTGGGATCCAACGAAAACACCTATTCCACGTCCAACAATCAGTAATCTTCAATGGATTGCCGGGACGCAGTACATCACACCGTCCGATATGGACGTCCTAATTGGTGGTCCTGATCGCCCACCCTCCAAGCGCATGATGGCCGAGATGCGTGCACAGCAGGACGCAGAGTTCCAACGGCAAAGGGAAGCTGCGAAGACAGGTCGCCAAGCTGCACCTGACCCTAGTCAGGAGAGCTACTGGCAATACATGCAGAGACAGATCCAGGAAAGAACAGAGAACTTGGGGTTGGCGAGTGATAGTATGGACAGGACGGCAGAAGCTAGCAGTACTTGGAGTGATGATGTGAGTAAGTTTGTGGCGAAGCAGAAGAGGCAGGCTGTTACAGGGTATCTTACAGGCAAGTTTGGCTTTTAGCCGCGCGCTCTCGAGTCATGCCTCTCCTTCGAGCTTTGCCTCATCCACTATCTATGTGATGGTAGTAAGGCGGACTACATAACATTTCTCGGCAGCGGGGGTTGTTTTAAGAATAGCCAATGAACAGTGAACGCGTACTCACAGTATGTGCCCGCTCTCGAAGTGTCTGACTGCAAAAGGCCATCACGCCCCAGGCGAGTATTCCCGTGTTGATGTGGTTCACAGGTTCAGGGAGCTCCGCGGGCTCAACGAATGAACATACGGTCACGCAAGAATAGCTCTTCTGCGCGACGTTGGCAGGCGCGCCACGTGCGCGCCTCTTGTACTCTTTCTTCACCTCACCTTTTCTTCAGTATCTGGTCAATCCACCACATTGTACGTCTTGATCTAGATCGTGTGAAGAGCATGATGACTGCTCCCCTGTGTTTCTGGTTGAGTTCCTGCAGGTGCTGCGACGAAGATCATCATCTCGATGAAGCGACGTGGCTGCTATCTAGGATAACTGGCGTCAGGTGCTGCTTCGGCGCTTAGGACATGAGTACTTTTGTATCTCGTGAAGCCAGTGTTGCAAGGCTTTAGACTGCTGTTCCCTGTCATGGGAAGTAGAGCTGCTAAGCTTCGATTGAAGGCTTGCGACCATGTCTCTTACACTGGTTTGCATAGTGATGCGGTCTGGTTGTGGTCGCAGGCTGAAGACTCGGAACTAAGATAAGCTGCATCTCATATGGCATGGTCCGAGGTCAGGACGCCATGGCAAGCCTGGAGAGAAATTACATAAATGAAGGTCTTGTCGCATTTCGTGTAACTTCACTGCCATTCAACTAGCCACTTGGCAAGCCATTCACCTTCATTTGACAACTGATCGTCGCTCCAACCTCTCAAACTCCACACAGGTAATACCTGTCATTATTCTATCATAAGCCAGGTTCAACTCGCCTGCGATCAAGGAATTATGTCTGAAGAGATCGCTGAGCTGTACGAACAGCTGTTCGGCAAAGAGCTTGTTGAACCAACCTCGGAGCAGGATGTCAGAGATATTCTCAGCTGTATCAGAACGTCACACGGTCAAATCTATCAAGCGGACGAGGACGAACTGCAAAAGTCGTCCCCAATGCTAAGAACAAAGGTCAAGTTAATCGCCAGCGCAGCGCGCAAACTCTGGCTGGATTTACCACCGCGTAGGTAACACCACGACTCTTGAACAAACTGGGCTGATTATATGCATAGAATGTCCAGTCAGCTTTACGACGATTCCTTTCGCTTCTTCTTCGAAGTGATTCAGAATGCGGACGATGCCATATTCGAACCTTGGGTCATCCCTACTATCCAATTTCGAGTCTTTCCGTCAGAAATAATCGCGGAGGTGAACGAAAAAGGATATCTTAGCAAATGTGCTTTCAATCTGTCATACCGGTCAAAGTTCCAAAATTGAGAGCGCAGACACTACAGGTGAAAAGGGGATCGGCTTCAAATCAGTCTTCGGGATCGCGTCCAAAGTGCATATTCAATCAAAACAGTGGTCCTTTCGGTTTGAGCATGAGCGTGAGCAAGATGGTATCGGTATGGTCTCACCAATTTGGGAGCCAGGCGATACACGAAAACGAGAGCCACCTCGAACATGATTGCATTGTCAGATCCGAGCCAAAGATCAGTGCACGGTGGCCGCAGCGTTGCGAGTCAAACAGCTTTGTAGTGTGAGTGACACGATGGTTGTTGGAGCTGTCTCGGGTGTTTCGTTCAACTGTGTTACACTGCCGCGTGTTCTTTTGGTTTCAGAGCAAAATTATTAGGAAGGGGTAAAAGCTAACCAGTCTTTCTCTTCAGGTTGCATCCTGGCCGGATCGACGCCGTTCATGATACCATCTTGACCGTCACTAGGGATCTCTCGGCACGGGTTTAGCGGCAGAACTGGATTTGACGGGTCGCAGACCCTTTAGGTATAAGTTGTTGCATCGAAGCACGTGGATGAGGGCCTGAGGCGATCATCTGTGCCACCTTCCGTAGTCTCGACAGATGATCTACAAATTGATCTTCATTGTGTCGTCTGAATCAGCCTTTTTCAGTTACGGCCTGAGTGAAACAAATGTCGATGGACAAAATCAGAAAAAGTTCGCCATAATTTTTGTGGACAGCAATTCGGAATTCAAAGAGCCAAACACTGGGGTTGACATGAGGTTTTGAAACTAACTCTTTCAGGGAAGCATATGGAATGAGTGGACACTGGCAGTTGCCAAGTCGTGCTCGAAGGAGCTTAATTTGGGCGTTGGAGAGGCAGGCACGAATCATTGCGGACTTGCCTGGATACCTACCGCATGCCAAGACCTGATTTGCTCTGTTTGACGATGATTGAGAATCACTTTTTGAAGGTGTACAGTCTTTTTAAGGTCTCGGTATTCTGTCCAAGTGGGCTTCTTACTGTGTGGAAGGCTCTGTCAAGATGCATTTCTTGCAAGTCTTGGTCGTCGTCGCTGCAGCTGCAAAGCTAGTATCTGCGAACCCATTACCACAGTCACAATTCTCAACCTTCACTGTGCCCAACGCGACTACCACGTCCACACAGGAGCCTGCTACAGCAACCTCAACGACTGTCCCGATGCCAGACTCGAACAACCCATGTGCAAAGATCACAAAACTCTATCTGAATGCCACTGAATTCTACCCAAAGGTTCCTTCCGACCTCGCCTGGCAGTGCCTGAACGATGTGCCTCTCGATGCACCAGCAGCCACTATTTGGCTCCAGAGCTTACGTCCTTACATCGAGTGGCAATCCACGACAGCTTATCTCAAGGACCCCCCCCAAGGTTACTTAGAGCCTGCTGTTGACGTATGGGCTGAATTTGACAACATCGTTTCTGGTATTTCTGCTGGCAGATACGCCAACGAGTACGAGTTCGAGTTTGCACTGTATCGACTGTTTCAGGGCACTCACGACGGTCATTTTCGATATATGCCGACTCTAGCGAACGGTATCTTCAGCTTCGGGCGACCAGTCTCTCTAATCTCCTATTCCGCTGATGGTTACGAGGCACCAAAACCCTATGTTTACGAGGATGTGCTATCCAATTTCGTCAATGGGACTGCTAAACCTTCCGCTGTGACACAAATAGATGGGAAGGAAGCCATTCAATTCTTGGAGGAGTGGTCGCAATATGGCTCACTTCAAGATCCTGATGCACTGTACAACAATCTCTTCTACGGACTCGCTCAAGCGTCTCTGGGTGCGTCTGGTTCAGGGCCAGGCACTTTTGCCGGTGGTGGTCGAGGTGCCTACATATATCCTGGTCCAACCACATCGCTCACATTCGAGAATGGAAGCACACATACCCACGACAACTTTGCACGAGTGCAAGTGCCTTTTCGATATATCAACAATGGTAGCGATCTATACCTGAATTACGTCAACTCGCCACTGCCCTCTTCAACGGCGTCCAACCGCTTGGCAGATGCTATCCAATTCAGTGCTCCGGCAACTGCCACTTCACCGACAGTGTATCCAAGGCCGGGTTATCCTCCTCCAGTCGTAAATTCGAAGACGTTTAACAACGTAGCAGGGTACTATCTTGACGAGCCAGGATACGAGGATGTTGCAGTGCTTGCCGTTGCTAGCTTTGTTGGCACATCGGATTACCAGAATGTTGTCTATTCGTTCCTCGATCAGGCCTCCAAAGCTGGCAAGACAAAGCTGGTCATCGACACAAGTGCCAACGGTGGCGGTACGATCATGCAGGGCTACAATCTCTTCCTGAACCTCTTTCCTGGGATCGTCCCTTATGGAGCCACCCGTTTTCGGTCTCACGAAGCCTTCAATCTCATTGGTGAGACAGTCTCAGAGCGGATGTTCTACTATCCTTTCGACTACCATGATCCTCCCAATTGGGTTTGGAACGACTTTGCTGGTGGTGTACCATTCAACTACCGCGCTGACGTTGATGTGAACTACACGAACTTTGATTCATGGCAAGATAAAAATCCTCCAAGCACCTTTATGGGAGACGACTTCACATCGGTCATACGTTGGAATCTTTCGGATCCATTGATTTATCCTGCAAACCAAGTCCAGCCCAACGGTTATGGTAATCGTACTGGCCTGCCTCCAACCCGTCCTTTCGAGCCCGAAAACATAGTCATCCTCTACGATGGATACTGTGCTAGCACCTGCGCTATTTTTAGCGAGCTGATGACTCAACAGATTGGTATCAAGACCGTCAGCATTGGAGGACGTCCGAACGGGAGACATATGCAGACCGTGGGTGGTGTGAAGGGAACCAATAACTATCCGTGGTACTTCATAAGTCAACTGGTGACCGATACCTATACGTTAGCACCAGACCAGGCTAGCTTCTTCAACACTACTGCTTTGTACGACTACATAGATCCCGACACTGATTGGATTCCATATCATCGAGCAGTAGGAAATTCGGGCCAGGTCAATGTGAGAGATGGCTTGAGAGAAGGAGACGAAACACAAACTCCACTACAATTCATCTACGAAGCGGCCGACTGCAGACTTTACTACACCGCCGAGATGACCGTTGATGTCACGGCTATGTGGGAGAAGGTGGTCGATGTTACCTGGAACGGCGACAGCTGCGTAGTAGGTGGCATCTCTGGTCAAGGTCATGCTCAATCGAAGCGCTTCGGCGAGGACACCAGTGACGCAGTCAAAGCTCGAGCACAAGCCAAAGCAAAACGAAGACTACAGAAGCGACGAAGGCAAATGACAGCGTCGCGTATCGCTGCCATCAAGCAAAGTCTCGATATTGTTACTGACTCGAGAAATATTCAACCGATCCAGGGCCTGATGTTACCATGAGACAACGAGCGCATCTCAATGATTGCATTTTAGCGACAAGGCGTATTATGACTATTTACGGAAAGACAAGTATGCGTTAATGTATACTATGTGTTTGGGCAATTATGACTCTGGACGATAGAGATGTATTAGCGATGCATGACTGCATAGGCAGACCTCTGTAATACTATATAGATTTGAGTAACAATATATACTCGTCTTTCGTATTCCTGTATCCGGAAACCAGCGTGCCGTTCAGATGTCTCGGCTGTGCTTTTCTGTATCAGCAGATGAGCCCAAGCATGGACTTCGGCGGATTTCCTCAACGAGACTGAAACGCTCCAGACGACCCGGCCGAGTTTGTGACCAAGACAATGTTCCCACATCATGCTACAACGTTGCATCTTAGTCTTTTGCTTAGATGCGCAAGTCCTGTCTGTGAACACTCGTCGATAATCTTGTCTCACGTGATACGAGGTCTCGCGCAGGAGCGTTGAAACGTGTCGGATGTTAAATGATTACCGCCGGACTCGCACAATACGGCACGACTAATTATGTGTTCGGGGAATTCTTCGATGGGCTCCCCGCCAGAATGGAACGGGTGTGATAGTCGTTCCGTAGTGGCACGAGTAGAGTACTCGTTGCGGAACCTGGATATTCGTCTACCTCAAGCTCGTTTCTCGTATGGCTCGTCAAAGGTCGGACTTGCGCTTGCAAGTTTGAGATTGTCGGACTAGTAATGGTGGACCTGGCGTGGTGGTACAACCTTTGTGGACTGGGTACTGCGACGTCGCCGACTGTGCTTTGATTGACTGATATGATGTTCGGCGCTCGCCGGACCATAGGCTGCAGCGCTATGGATGGTTGTTTACCCAGTCCAGGTCATCGGCGCAACCCCGTGAGTATGAGTGTGATACACCATGCAGCGGCACCATTTATGGTCAATAACGTCAATCTCAGTAAATATGGAAGGATGGTAACGTCTTCATTTCCTGCAGGTGGGACAATCTATTCACCATCCATAGGTTTCAGTCCAGAGGTGAATACCCTGTGCGCCTGTACCCTTGTGTACAGCTCGCTCATCTGAGAGACCCGCGACATAAGTCCTGATCTGCGCCATCATGTCCTTGCCACCACAAGCGATGACCACTGTCTCACCTCGTGCGGCTTCGACAGTCGGTCGGATAAGAGGATCGAAGGAGCAGGGTCTCCCCAGGGAGCACACGAATGACGGACTGGAAAGAGCGGGTTTGCATTTGCAGCTCTTGCAGCCGCAGCAGTTTGTGAAGGATTCGGACTCTGATCCTGATCCGGAGCTGGACGACACGGCCTTGGAGGGGCCAAGCAGGCTTTTGGTTGCTGCGTCTTTCTCGTCTATGTCGGTAGAATCTGTGCTGGCTAAGCTCTGCGCGTCGTTGACGGCAAGCTCAAAAGGTAAGCCATGTGACTTGAGCCAGCATTGACATACCTCGGCGACAGAGTCGATGGGCAAATTGACCGATTTGAGCTCAGCCTCATTGACCGAGCCTGTCACAAAGATACGGAAGGTGATGTCTTCTAGTCCTAGTGCTGCCAGTTGTCGCATAGCTGCTCGAAGCCGAGCGTCAAACCAGGAAATCTGTGAGACGTGTCGAACCACCCAGTAGAAGCATACCCTTTGTACAAATGGTGACTTTTTGACGGCATGCTCGAGCAATGGCATATTGAAAGCTGCACCAGTAGAGGACGTGACGAAGATCACAGAGTTGCATCTCTCTATGACTGAAAGAGGCGGAGTGCCCCAGGGTCCGCTAAGAAAGACACGATGGCTAGGAGGAGGGCCATCACGGGCTTGAGCTGCGAGAGCTCTCTTTTGCAATCTTCCAGTAAAGCCAGAATGACATTTCAGAAAGACTTCGAGGTCGCGTGAGCCTGTCTCTTCACCGTTTGGCGTACCCGATGTTGGTCCAAGTCTAGTGTTCGAGATCGTGAAGGGGTGAGATTCGAATATGCCACATGCAGGAATCGATAGGAAGACGTGTTGGCCAGCTCTCCAGTTGAAGTCGACGTTTTTGATGTTGAGCCGCAGATAGCCATCTCCCAACGCTGTTGCTTCGCCACGATAACCGAGTCCGCCTTTACCGAAGGCTCTCAAATGCAAGTTGTTGACCAAAACCCAAGCGCCCCGTACAATTCGATCGAACGCAACGAAAGCGACAGCCATCCAGATGTTGTACCTGGCATAGCTAGGTACATGAACGTACAGCAGCCACAAGAGAACGCCTGCGCTTGCCAGATGTTGAAGGAGCCAAAGTTCGTAAGACAAATCTCTGAAAAAGCCCCAGCCAGTAAGGACAGTCCAGCCGATTACAGCCCAGGCAGCGAAACCATAGGTCACCATCGGCATCATCTCCATTTGATATGAGACGAAGTTCGCCAACGTCCACTCGTGGAAGAAATATGCCCAGTGCACAATGACAGTCAAGAACAAGGTTCTCGAGACCCAGCGATGCAGCCAATTCAGACGTTCATACGATATGCCTGTGATGATGGAGATGACGTTGAATTTGCAGGAAAGAGCATAGAGAAGCGGGACCTGAGCCACGGAGACCCACCCAGCGCGGAATGCAGGCTTTTCCCAGCGATAGCCGTACAAGGACGATGCAGGAGTCAGGAAAACGTCGGTAAACAACATGATGATAACGATGATCCAGAATGCGAGAATTACCAGACACTGGCCAAGGGGTGGAGGAGTATAGTAGCGTAGGAAGCGCCCACGGAACGGTCGCAATGCAGGATAGGATATTTCTCGAAAGATGGTATGGAGGGTATCGTATGCTTGCGTGAGTACGTTCGTCGGCTTGGAGGGTATAGCAGAGCGGCTGGTGTTTCTCCGTTTAGCTTGAAGGGTCCTGAGGTAATCGATGAGAGAGCGAACCCCTCGAACGACGGCTATGGCGGCGACAATGTACCAAAGGGCATGGGCGACGTCTATATTCACAGATTGAAATAACCCCGTGCTGCCCATGTCCATCCCTCCCATTCCATCCATACCGCTCATACCCCCATGTCCGCCACCGTGCCTGCGTGAAAGAGCCATGTTGTCGATTGCCCTTGGACTCTGACGATAGAGTCAAGTTCAAAGGGACCGGAGAATGCTAGTAAGCATTTCTAGGTGGCGCTTACAGAAGACAGAAGGACGTTTGTAGAGATCGCGTTCTGCTGTGTCTTGAACACACTCAAGCAGTGCACAATGTATACAGCCTCGCTCTGCCTCTCTGCGATGGCTTGGCACAAGTCATAGTGCCCATAAGATTAGCAGCATGACCAGCACGCCAAAAATTCCAAAATCTTGTGTAGGGAATTGCTCGGTGACGGGCTTTGTGCCGAAGGATGAGAAGTTGAGCAAGTTTTCTGGAGAAGGCTAGCTTCAGAGTGGTGCCAGGACCCTCGATGGAGATTCAATAGGACCCGCTGAGCACGTTTTGTAGAGCTCATAATTGGTTGTTCGATAAAGCTTGTTCCTGGCTAGAGATCTCGACTCATTTTCATTGGCTCATTGACACGATCCTTCCCAGAACAAAATGTGCTCGAAGTTCTGGGACACCATTCAATAGACACAATGTTACAGCGGGATCGGTCTGCAATGCAATCTGGTCGGGCTAAGTAGAGGCCGCAACGACAATGATGGCTTAAATCGAAGTGAAGGCTAATTAGAATCTTAGATTTGTGTTTGCTTACAAAACTTGTCCTCCTTCTCTTACAAACAGTGCACTCAGGCCAATCTCGCAACTACTCGAGTAACAGCTTCCCGCAGATTCGACCACGTAAATTCAAGAAAGAGCAACCACCAGGATGCACGCCTCATTCCTGCTCGCAGCGCTCCTCCCAACCACTTTCGCCCACTTCATCCTCAACTATCCCACCTCCCTAGGCTTCGACGACGACAGACAAAGCATTGGCCCCTGCGGTGGCTATGATATCGTCTTCGGCGCCAACGACACAAATGTCACTGTCGAAAGCTTTGCCATAGCATCGAGGTCAACCCATCCACAAGCAAACTGGCTGTTCAGAGCTACTTTGAGCACTGCCGAACCATTCAACTGGACCAATCTCCTGCCTGTAGTGCAGCAGAGCGGACTGGGAGACTTTTGCATACCATCTTTCAGCGCCCCATCAAGCTTCGTAGGACAACGAGGTGTTCTACAGATTGTGCAGTCTGCTGTTGATGGAAACTTGTATCAGGTATGTGTACAATCATGCTGGTCATACTGTGAGCCGTTTTGCTAACAGCTTGGACAGTGTGCAGCAGTCAACTTCGTCGCGGGCGCTCAATCCGGTCTTCCAAGCCAATGCACTAATGGCAGTAGCGTCACTGCCTCTCTCACATCTATGACCAGCTTGAGTGGTACCAGTGACAACTCGACCTCACCCTCGGCCTCGGGCTCCTCCTCAGCCACCAGCGCGGCTCCTTCGGCTACCTCTACACAGAGTTCTGGCGCCACGCAGCTCGTTGGTGGATTGCTGGCTGTGATGCCTGCTGCACTGTTGCTTTTGTAGATAGACTCGAGGGATCGCAATGTATTCTGGAGGACAAAAAGACAAGCAGTCCGTAGAAAGTGTATATTATTGCTCGACAGATCACGGGTCGAAATCATTCTGAGCATTTACCATTTGACTTTCCTGCTGATATAGACCAAGAAGCCTGGAATCCGGACAATGCTTATCAATCGGTAGAGTCGAAATTTTCGAAAGAACTCGAAACAATTTTCTACTTTCAAGACTGCAATTCTAACATCTACCACTCCAACCGATCATCACACTTCAACTCAACAATACTCCTCTCCTCGCCCCTCCACACCTTGCTCCCATCATTCACACCAGCTACAATCGTCCTCAAATCACTAATCATCCCACCAGGCCCACTAGCATACACAGCCGTGCTGCCCTGCACCGTACCCGCCACGAAATCCTTGACAATAGCTTGCAAATCGGGATGACGCATCTCCGGCGGCGCGGTGTGCAGGCTTCCTCGTCGTTCGATCGTGATAGATTGTTTCCGTTGTACGGGAGGGTTGCAGAGTTCGATTTCCTTGTCGGTGACGGTGTTCTTCTTGGCACAGCAGCCGGCAACATTCGTTTGATCGGAGGAGCTAGACGTCGACGATCCCGATGAGACTGCTTTTTCCGAGACTTTGAAATCAGCTGCTTTGTGTAGATCACTCTCGCTTGACGTGCTGCTATCGACTATCTTGGAATGTTCTCTTGTGATGAAGATGCTGATCTTCAGATCCATGGATCTGCTCGCTTCGTACAGTAGGTTGAGCTCAGGCTGGATCCATGCGATGTCTGCCTTACGACGGATGGCCCAGACGAGCTGCAGTTTTCGAACAGAAGAGCATGCGCAATTTGTAATTTGGCTGAGGAGGACTGGGAGGACGTATGTTATTCCCGTACCGCCTGCGATGCAGAGGATATTCGTTGTGAATGAGAGATTGTCGACTTCAGATACGCCGTAAGGACCACTGAGAACGACTGATGTGGTTTGTGGTAGGTGTGAGACCCCTTTCTCGTTGGTAGCGGTGCCGTGCGTACCAGCAAGTCGTGCCACTCGAGCGGTCTCACCACTCTTAGCTCGGAAGACATATGCGTGAGGAACACCCGAGGGCTTCGGTAATGGTACATTGAGAGGCGTAAAAGGATGGCTTTGCCAAATGCTGAGTTTTGGAAAGGTAAGGTAGAAATGCTGGCCGATTTTCCATGGCTCCTGAGGATGTGAGAAGTCCAGGCGAACGACATCACCATTGACGTCGTCGGGGTAAGAAGTGATTCGAGCATCTGCACTGCGAAAGCCCATCTTGCTCCCACCATCGATGTAGTTGTAGTGCAGAAGACCTGTTCTGACAAGGCGGACACCTCTGTCTATGAACCAGACTACAAGTGCTGGGATGAGAAAGCATGACAGCTTGGACCAATGACCCCAGCATGCGCCAATGTAGACCATCGCAAGGACGTAATGAGACTTTCGGAAGAATTCGTATCCTGTACGCTTGATTGCCCATGGTGTGCTGAGAATGAAGAGGACTAAAAGCAAGAACATAGCAATGACACCCCAGATCATGTACAGCTGCTTGATCCACTCGACAGCAACCGTAGGCTGTGGTTGATACAGACGTATCTCAATGATGGACCAGCCAATAGTATGCATTATTGACTGCGCGACAATGATGTACCCGAGCCAACGGTGCAGGAAGTTGAAGCTTTGGTATGGCAAACCTGTGATCAGAGACAACAGTGATTCTCTGCTGCTGAGTAGGATTGAAAGCGGTGTCAAGGCATACGCCAGTACTCCGACACGGTCCGCCCAGGGACCCAGGCTGGTCCTTGTATTGTAAACACCTGGCATCTTCTTGACAGGTGTTACCCATGTGTTGTATACGATTCCGACAAAGGAGAAGACAGCCAGATATCCTGTCAGAGTGGCTAGCACTAACACTTGAGTCTTGGTAGTTCGTCCGAATATAGGTCTGGTAAATTCAGGAAGCAAATACTGCCTTCTGTATGTTGCTAGCGAGCTCCGGAGACGCTCGAACGTCGTCATGTGAGTACGCAACCCTTCTCCTTCCAGCACTGGTTGCAGGCTTTCGCTCTGCTTGGGCGATGACCAGCTGTAAATTGCCCAGATGAAAAGGACTGCGAGGAAAGTTGCCCAGATAATCCCACAGTACAGCATACCGAGGTCGTGTGAGTGATACACGACATCTAGATATGCACACGAGCCTGCATCGTTTGTGCATGGCACAGCACGATTTGCATAACCCCAATGCGACTGTATCGACGCCGCTTCGCTCATGTTCTGGATGTGTCGAGGGGTGAGATGCACCATTGCGGACGCCATACTGACAGTCGACGTCTTCAAAATGTCAAATTGCTGTGAAGAACTTATCATTACCTCAGCCAGTAAGTAGCAGCTGCATAAGTATTTCGACAGTATATAACTGCAGCGATGAAAGCCTTCAAGAGCATGGCCGTTCCAGTGACATTGCGCATCCGATAAAGTTTTGACAAAAGTCTGGAGCCTCTTGGTATCCTAACAAGTGGTGCTGTCCGATGTGGGTGGCCTCGTAGCAGCGGCGAATAGCTGTTGACGAGTTTCTCATGGTGTTCGATAGGAAGCGCTGTCCGTGCCAAGACCGGTGAGCATGTTCTTGGTTCAGCATGAAAGTGGATCCTGAGCAAGTTTTCTTTATGCACTCACAAGCATCGGGTCGGCTTATTTGCGGTACTCAGTCTGACCTTCCAGGAGCCTGCTGTGAACGATCAGCGAAGAGAGGCTCGAAAGTGACTGAATGAGGATAAATAAGCTCAGCCGAAGGACTAGACTATGTGCATGCCACAGATTCGGTATTGTGCTCACTCTGGGTTGGCCTAGTCTGTGCTCGAAGTCTATTGTTTGATAAAGGTCCTTGAAGTTGATGTGACAGTCGAGGTCTTCACTCGTAATATTACAGCTTTCTTGGCACGTGGCTGTTAGATTGCATTAATTCTTCCGTTATAGTCAAGCTGGTTGTCATATCATCGCTTCAGATTATACACTTCCAAGATGTCTTCTTCCATGACCATGTCGATGAGCATGTCAAGCATGGCCTCAACTGCCACCTCAGCTGCGGCTGCAGCGACATCATCTGCAGCGTCAGGCCACGATCACGGTGGTATGGATATGGGTGGTAATTCTTGCAAGATCAACGTGAGTATACGCTGCTCTGATCGACAATGCCGACTGACAGGTGTAAGATGCTGTGGAACTGGTACACAATCGACGCATGCTTTCTCTCAAGCAGCTGGCACATCAGAAATAATGGAATGTTCGCCGCCTCGTGCATCGGTATTGCAGCCCTCGTTGTTGCTCTCGAGTTCTGTCGACGACTTGGCAAAGAATATGACGCTTTCATCGTGCGACAGTTCAAGCGCAATGTCAATGCCAGAGCAGCATCCGTCCGAGCACAAGCAGCTGGTGCATATGAAGGAAGTGAACCACCTTTTGCTACCTTCCGTGCAACGCCTGTGCAGCAGTTTATTCGTGCTGTTCTTCACGCCGTGGTCTTTGGTTTGGCATATCTCATCATGCTTTTGGCCATGTATTACAACGGATACATCATCCTCTCAATCGTTATCGGAGCTGGAATTGGAAAGTTCTTGTGTGATTGGATGATTGTAAAGATACCAATATTTGCTCAGACTGACGACAGCGGGAAGAACATCGACCATCAAATTGACGAGGCTAGTGTCTGCTGCGGTTAATGTGTCTGTGGAGAAGAGCTAGTGTGGGATGAGGTATTGGAACAGAGAAAGAGAGAGCAGACAGATACGAGCACATGTTTCTGCAGTTTGGTCTCATGCTCGAACGGAGGTGTGGAAGTCGGACTGATGGTACTCGAGCATTTGTTTCAGCGTACAACAGTACAGTATTTCGTGTCTTTAGGTCGCCGTAGGGTAGTACAGGGACTCAATGAAACTTGGAAAACTGGTCGATGATTCAGCAAATTTTCATGGTTCATTTCTCATCCTATGCTCGAGGAGGCCATGTCTGCGCGTGCTGAAGCGTTGGATTCAAGACATATTGCTGAGTTACACGATTATGTCGTAGCATGACGCGACATAGTATGCCGATGCTCCAATGCCCTTTCTTGTGTACGCAATCGTCGTCATTAATGATGTCTGCCACAGTATAATCTGCTCTGGCTTCTCGAGTGCTGTCGGGGAAATGTTTCGTGGAGCAGGTCGACAGTGAGGAACCGCACAGAGCTTGGGTAGAGGAGAGTTGAGGAACGCAGTCGGACGCTACGGTATACCATTAAACCACAAATGCAGTTCCGGCGACCAGTAGAGCCAGCATTTGCAATGCAGCCCAAGGACACCGGCACGTCCACAAAACGTGTCTGAGATTGTGTAAACAACCTCTCAATGCGCTGTTTGACGTCATCGCTAGGTTAACTCCGTGATACTATCGCATGAGGATTTCGCAGCATAGCAGCCGGAAATGTGGTGTGATATAATGTATGCTTGGCCTTGGAATCTTGACTTGAGCATAGAATCAACACCACCACTCAGATAGGGACACAGCCATCGAGGGGTAACAAATCAGCCCTCCGACTATGTCAAAGGATTCACAAGGTCGTCCAGCCAGGATAAGTCTGTGTCTAAGAAAGCCTCATATGATGGCAAGGACGACTGCTCGTGGTTGATATCCGTGTGGTTGGGTCGCATGGTAGCTGCGTTGCTCTTGTCGCCAATGTCGCTCAGTGAGGCCGTCTCAGCTTGACCTGCGACCTCTTGTGCTGCGTCACGATAGTGCATCAGACAGTCGTACTGCAGACTTGCCCCCATTCGACTCCGGATGCGAAGCGACGGTGGTTGCCGCATCAAGTCAGGCTTCTTCGCCATGTGCTTCCATATCATGTTCATGGCTGTTCCGGCTCGGTTTGCCCTGTCGCTCTTTGTCTTAAGATGCGACATCTGACGAACGAGGAGTGCGGAAGCGTCGTACAATATTTTTCCACTGGTGCGATCGATGTGATTGCCCAATTCAGAAAACCATACTTTAGCTATTGTGAAAGCAGCTCTAAGTAGAAGTCGGAGTACAGTGAAGGGTGCACCAGCGAGAAAGGTACTGATGGTTTCTTCTGCAATAAGGTCCTGGATCAAGGTAGTCGAGGTCCGGTAGGCCCTCAGGATGCCTTTTTTAGTCTCTTCGAGGTCAGAATTGGACAAAAGGTATAGTAGTTGGAGATATAATATACTACCTTGTGAGCGAATCCTGTTCAAGAGTGACATCTCAATCCCATACAGGGCATCAATGTCCGTGAGTACCTTCTCGTAATGAACCATGCGAGCAAAGAACGAGGCTTCTTGACCAATCAACGCCGGGTTGTCGTTCAGTTGCGCAAGCGCTTGAAATGCTTCATTCGAGCTCTTTTGGATAACGACGAAATATCGCAGCTCTGCCGGCACACATATCTCTGGCTTTGGACGACATACTCGGTTAGTAAGCCAATCCACCATGGGTGCCAGGGGCGGGTGACCAGATTCCAGAGCCAAGCTAATACAGGTACAATAACAGGCGACCCATGCCGTAGATCTCTCGTTAGAAGACTTTTCATTTAGTGGTAATGGGTTGCTTTCGTACTCAAAGTTGAAACCAGGTCTATGTAAACCTAGATACATGGCTGAGGTCATGGCTAAGTTGCTCATGATCAACGACCTGTCTGACCACAGGCGAATGTTCGATAATGGCCATGTAGCTAGGAGCAAGAGTGCTTGTATGTCGGCGATACCACTAGCTACGACTGCTCGTGTTAGCCCCACTCAGATGGACCTCATTAACACGTACCTCCTGCGAGATTCTTCTGAGGTGATCCAGTCTCTGTCCATACCAGAGTACTCAGGACGGAGCCTACGTCATCCAGCAGTTCCTGCTTGTACGAACGTAATGCCACCGAGATAATGCTCCAGAAGAGAGATTTCGAAGCATCGTAGTATTGTGTGGGTGTTTTTTCAGGGTCAAGAATAGGAAAATATGAATGAAACTGCTCGAAATAGATAGCGAAGAGCCTCTCAATTTCCTCTGGACTCAACGTGATGTCTCCCATCGACCGGTTTTCTTCGGAACTAAGCTCTAGGAATGGCTGGCAAGAACCCAAGTCGCGGCGAGCATTGCTAGCTGGCAATACTGAATTCGCATGTTGACTTCTGTTATCAGATATAGTATTGTTATTCCTTTGACTCGCCCCTATGGTGCTAGGTTGTCGTGGGGGGCCATACGGACGGTCATTGCCTTGTTGTCTCTCAACGATGCTCCGAAGCAGCTGGACATTGTCTTCGAGCTCGTGGACCTTATCTCGCTTATTTGCTCGTCTGTATTCGGGATTGATTGAGCAGTCGATTTGCTGTCTCTCGCAACGCGAACAGGGTATTGACGTGATGTCACAACGTACCTTGGCCTGACGACACGGCACGCAAGCGATTCGGCTTCTCTTACGAGTTTCTGACGGAGGTGATTGCGACCGAATCATCACGCTGATAGAAGAAAACCACCTCTGAAGAATGTGCTCCAGGCATCATGTGCGAGCCTAGAGGTGTGCTCAGTGGCTCGAGTATTTCCAGCTTCGTGTGGCATGGTCTGTTTGAGCAGGTACCGACGTTACGATGGCAAGTAGCCGGTCGATGCAATCGACCGTATTACTTAATAGGACAATTTTCATCGGCGACTTCCTTGCAATGCTACAAAATGAATAAACAAACTAAAATCTGACCGAGGCCTCATCACAACTTGCATTGATTGTTGTCGCCTAAATTTTAACCAATCCCTCGCACGAGTCTCATGTCTACTGCAATACCATCTGCAAGTCCTCCTCGTTGTAGCTTGAATTTTATGCTCTGACTGGTTCGACTCTGGTTGGACCACCAGCTTCCGCAATGCACCTCTCGCAACCACAAACGAAGCCCCATTGTTCTTGTAATCTGTTTCTCCTTTCACGCACGTCGAGATTCCTCTCGTCGCCTCCCAGATACGTGATGCACAACTGGTGACCAGCTTTGACACTACTGAGGCCGTCCTCGGCAATGTAGAACGACCAAGTTCGCCCTTCTCTCTGCTTTCGAACAGTTGGCTGACACGAATGGTTGAAGAAGCTCGCTTCAGGCCATACACCCCATCCTAGGAACTCCCCACTCTGCTCGCCATCTGTTGTACCTTCAGGCCGAATTGAGAATGCATTGTGAGCGGCACGTGATGCAAGGTTGATGATCAGGTCAGGTGTAATAAAATTCTGCAGCTCAATAGGCAGTAGCGAAAGGAGAATAAGATATGCAGAGGTATAATCGCGTAGAGGTGAGGGTGTTATAGGATTGTCAAAGAAAACGTGGTCGTCAGGGACGAGTTCAAACAAGGCAGGCAAGCAGGTTCGAGTGTCGCCCATACGATGGACGTTGTTTCGTAGGTTTGATTTGTAGGCCGCAAGTACACCGGACAGAGAGTAGGCGAGGATATCGGTATCGACTACATGCTCTAGTGCCTGTCTTATTAGTGCGCGTTGTCTTTTCGTAGGGTTTGCTGAGGTTCTGGCCGCAAATACTTCTTTACCTAGTATTTCCGCGTCTTTCCACGAAGTTGAAATCTGTTGTAATGTGACTAGCTTCGTCGTCTCCATTATCTGTTTCTCATGTTCTTTACGCTTGGCTTGAGATTTAATGTGTAAGTCGATGGTCTGTTGGGCTTCCGTACAGATCTCGTCGTTGTCGCGCCTCCATGCTGCTTCGCAATTTGTGGTACAGAACACATGGGCGGTTGAGATGTCTCTGATTTTCCACTCTCTACCGCGATCATACTTGAAACACCATGCGCAAACTTCTCGTCGGTAAGGGCGAAATATCACGTGAGCCAGAGGTGACAGTGTTGGTGTAGTTGTCAGTATATGAGAGCCCCTGTCTAGGTCAGCTTTCGCAATCACCGCACGACCTTGATCGGCGACGCTTGCAATGACAAAAGCGTGTGAGGTAGGCAGTGGCCAAAGACTGCTTGAATTGGCATCTGGCATCGGAGACTCTTGAGAGGAATAGATCTACCGCATACCTGAAAGCGTGGTGGGAGCCGTAATTGTAATGCTGCGAAAATTATGGGGAATACTCGTAGATTGTTCCCAGGTTAAATCATTGCTGACGTCATCTTGGTCATTTCCGTATTGGTAGTCGCGAAAGTGCTCCTTCTCTTCGAGTTCGACTGATCATTCAGCATTGCGGCAGATATACTGTCTGTACAACAACCTACACCTGGGAGTTCCCACCAGGTTGTAATACATGCGGATTTGTACCTTGTTGTGAAGGGAAACACCAGTCGACGTGGCAAGCGTGTTGACTGTGTGGATTGAGTGCAATCACACCTCTTTCCGTGTAATGAATGGGTCTGGAGACGAATTCTCTGCAGTACCTCCTGATGGAACCGTCTCCAAGTGCAAGGTCTGTACGTGCCTGTCTTCCAGCTTGGCTAGCCAGTCAGGCAATTCTTCAGATCTACGCTGTCGAAGAGGTGCTGCAGACGCGCCTGTGTTCGTCCTGCTTATATCCACGAACGTGTCGACGTCTGCGAGTGCGTTCGACAGGGTACGCTGTGATGATTGGACCAGATCCACCAACTTGCTGAGTATAGCAAATTCAAGTTTCAGTTTGACACTGTATACTAATCCTTTCCAGGTCCGCTCCATGACTCTTTCGCCAGTATATTCCAACACAAGCAGTGCAACGTCGGCTATGACAATGACGATATTGATAGAAAGAAGTTCGCCCATGACTTTGCGTGTGCCTTTCTTCTGAATGACGCGAAGCAATTCTATTGTCTTCCACAGGTATAGTCCAGATATGATGAACTCCTGAATGCAGAATCCGGTCATTTGTATCTTCTCAATGTAGAAGAGGGCGTCGTCGAATGCTGTGCGGTGGTCACTATTCGCGATCTTGCCATATTGAACCACCGTGGTCGAAGTGTGGAAAACAACAGCGTCAATGATGATCATCCATTTCACTGCTCTGAGTATGCGCGCATCGTTCAGGATGAGACCGAGTCGGGAGTAGAGGACAAAGGATTGACCAGTAATCAGGCAGATCCAACCAATTGTCGACACTGTCATGTCAAGCCAGTATGTAGCCAGCTGAAAGTATTCGAGAACGAAGCCAATGAAGTATGGCAAGACACCGAGCGTTGCGATGGTCAAAGATATAAAGTATAGACTGCGCCTCTCTTTGAACCTCGAGGGTATCATTAGCAGAAGCTCAAAGGCATTGTAGACGGCCACGGTCGCCGTTGTGACAACGATGATGGACTTCGCATCCCATCCATCATAATATTGGTCGCCCGTGATCGCAGACATCCTGCCATGATAGTCCCAGAAATTCAGCTAGTAGCTGAGGAAAGATGTTGAACATCGTTGTATAGAATCAGGATATCTTCACCCACAATAAGCACTTGCGAAAGCAAGCGCGCGAACCGTGATTGCCGTGCCCCAGGAACTTCTTGCTTTTGCGGGGACGAAAGTTTGGTCCAAATCGGCGACAGTTGGTGCCCATCCCCATTGGAAGCCACGAGGAGGCGTACCGTTTCCGGTCAAGACTGGAATCCAGATATCCGCGATGTCCCTCTCGACGATAAGAATAGCCGACTTGAATATCGTCTACGGCGAAAGATTACCATATCGAGTGAAGCGATCTTTCAATCCTGCACATTATTCGTATTCAAATCGTCGCGCGGCTTTCGCGCGTGCTCAAAACTCACCTATCACGAAGATCTTGGCAAAATATTTTCGGACCTTGAGGGCGAGGCACGAACAGTCTTTGTGTAAAATCCAACCAAGACTATGCAGAACGATGAGGCGTCGCAATGGAAGGAACGTCAGCAAGCAGAATTGGCCCTGCTACAGGCAATGTTTCCAGATCAGGTAACCTGGAACGACCAAAGGCAGGAGGTACAATACAAGAGTACTGCAGGTGCTTCACTAACCCTACGCTTACCCGAAGGATATCCTGGGAAGCAGGAGCCAACTCTGCTTGGTGCATTCGATCAACAGAAAAAGGACATACGACAACTGACGAAAGACACGTTCAATTCTCTTAATCTGCCCCTTGACCAAGAAGTACTTGACACGCTTTTACAGAGGTTTGAAGATGTGGTCGAAAGTAGAGCACGAACCTTGGAGAGCACACAATCAAGCAAGGTACTCGCAGATAGTGCTACAACCAACGAGGAGTCTTGCAAGACCGTCGTTGTGTGGTTGCATCATCTCCTGAATACCAACAAAAGAAAGCTCGCTCTACATCCCTCGATAGGTGCAGCCAAAATTGTGGGTCTCACTAAGCCTGGCTATCCTGGCGTTCTGATTTATTCTGGTCCGAGGGAACATGTTGATGCGCATGTTGCAGAGCTCAAGGATCAACGTTGGCAAGCATTTCAGGTTCGTATGGACGTCGCGGGTCCAACATCGTGGTCGTTTTCTCACGGATCTGGTATCAGAGAAGTCGAATCAATGTCGGATGTAACGCAAGCGATTGTTGAAAAGGAGAATCGGGACGCCTTCCTCGAAGCTATACACATCAAGTGAGCTCTTGAAATAGATTGAAAAGTGGTAGACCTATTGGTGGTAATGGAAGGACCTGCACTTCACATGTGAAGATTGCGCAATCACTGAATAGCCGATCACTCATCTCAAGTAGATGCGACGTAATGGACCATACCAGAAATCGTTCAAAGGTGATGGTAAAATTGTATGAAGTGCTTGAAGCTCTGAAGGTGCTTAGGGAACCGAGGGAGCTTTCAGGCCAATCACAACAGGTGGCACCTTCCGGTGCGACATCACTAGTGTAGGCTCGAACGTCGCTTATCTACGGTCTGGAGTGAACTTCGACAAGGATCAAGATAGCTCAATTCCAGGCAAGAAAATCCTCGACGTGGCATGCTTTTCCCTTCTCTCAAGTTTTCCCATGGACGAAGAGACTTCCCAGTCGTGGCAGAAACTCTAACAATACTATTGTGAAACCATGCAATGTTCCAAGTCCTTAGGCATGACGTCAAGTTAGCAAGAAGCCTGAATGTCGCGTTGAAGCTTTCGCGATCGTGTATCAATACGAGCCCTTACCAGAGTCATCAGAGGTCGCGTTGTATCAACACGGCCCTCGGTCCACGTCGCGCTGGCAAGTATGATCCGACAACATGGCCGCAACTTGCTGAGAACGTATCAAAACGTGCAATCAGCACGACCAGTGAACTCCATGAACGCGCAGATGCTGCAAGCGATGAGGAAGTCACAGCGCCCATATCACCACTTGCAATAGTCTTCACAGACATCGTCAAATCAACAGCAATATGGGAGAAAGACTCCGCAGTCATGGCTGAAGCCATGGAGATTCATGACAACTTTGTGCGCCGTCTTCTCGACAACCACGCCGGCTACGAAGTCAAGCAGAACGGCGATGGCTTCATGATCGCATTCCAATCTGCTCTATCCGCATTGAATTTCTGCTTGGAAGTTCAAGTGCAGCTTCAGGAGCAGGAATGGCCTCCCCACTTACTTGAGCTGGGACCGGCGCAGCCCGTCGTTGTCCATGACACCGAGCATGAAGCAAAAGACCAGAAAGTCCTGTGGAAGGGCTTGCGGCTGAGGATGTCCGCTCACTTTGGAGAACCCGTTTGCAAGTGGAACGACATCATCAAAAGGATGGACTATCTCGGTCCAGCTGTGAATCGGGCTGCAAGATATGTGAGTGTTTGCGAAGGTGGCCAAATCGTGGTCAGTGAGGAATTCATCGAAGCTCTAAAGTCGGAGCGAACAGCATCGCTGGGTGAGAATGGGCCGTTGTACAACGATAGTCAATCCGAGGACACCAATGGTTATGCTCTAGAGCAGAAAGACTTTGAAGGTCTTATTGAGACTGAGTTCGAGCTGCGCATGCTCGGTCACAGGCATTTCAAAGGAGTTGATGAGAAGCAGAGGCTGTTCTTCATCATCCCAAAGTCCTTGGAAGGCAGGCTGGAGTACTTTCCCAAGCATACATATGTTCAAGCGGAGAAGGGTAACCTGGTTTGAAGAAAGGAACGTACAGATGTTTGCTCGGTTCGAATTTGGGCCGATGATCGGCAAACCCATTGAGCTTCTCCACTTCCTTATTATGCCGGTTATGAGCTATAGCAATATGGCGCGGACGCTTGAGAACCATAACGCGCTTGATGGGGTTAACAAGGGTCAGGAGGAGTTGGATCGCGCGCTGGTTTGATCAACTGTATTAGAGAAGGAAGAAGCATTACCTGTGACTTGAGAGGGAGCGAAGGGAGCATGCCGAGCTCTGTTACGGCAGGGAGACTATCGCGAAGTCACCCCTGACACTGCACTGTCAGGTGAGTGGAATGAGTAGACGCTTGAGGTTGTCATGTATAGCACGGAGACACGTAATACAACAAGTCTTGATCCCGCTTGTTGAAAGACATCTCAATAGATCTAATATATTGTGGCTAGACTAGTTCGGGACAATGGTGCCAAACTGCTGTGAACACGAATTCTGTCAGCTATATCCAGCTCGGCTATCTGAACCACTAGTTCTTACTCATCTGCACCCAGCACGAAGTTGGTGTAGCTATCCACTGTGTCGTGTTCGCTCGTAGTTTTGAGCTGGAGTGGCGGTGCCTCGAGACTGCCTGGCATTCCTCTCTCCCACTGAGAGATCATATCAGCGACAGGAGATGTGACTAGATTCTTCAATCCAGTTGTCTTAACGGCTGCCCATTTCTTCGCAGCAGGCATCCAGCACGTTTCCTGCGCCAGAGCCTCAAGGCGATCTAGCTCACTAACGATTCTCCATATCAAAAGCCAGCCGGAGTGCTGTTGGACCGTGGAGGAATTCTGAGCATTAGCCAAGAAACCTTGCAAGCCAGTGCGGATGTTGTCAATATCTTCCAAGCGTGGCTCTTCTTGTACAAAGCTGTTCTTCGGATTCTGCTTTGCTGCCTGCATCTTCCACCAAGGAAACCACTTTGCTCTGACGTCTCCTCTTCGTAGGGCGACAGTGAAGAAGTCCCGCTCCCAGCTGCCATTTACTATTAAATCAGCCACAGTAGTACATCCGGTGTTCTTTTGCTCTTTGCGTTTGAGCATTGCTACGAAGGTTTCCTTTTCCATGGTCATATCAGGTGCGACGTAGTTGTCTGGTAGATCAGGGAACTCAGCACCGGGTAGAGTCTCCAGGAACTTCGGATAGATGGCTGCAGCCTGTAGTGGTAGTGGATGTGCAGCATCCCAATCGACAATGCCAGCAACCTTCAATTTGTCTTTCTTTGCTCTTTCAGTCGTCTCAAAACTCACTGTACGTCTGTGCGGAAGGTGAATCTGAGGCTTAGGGCTTTCGCTAGTTGAGAAGCCTCTTGCCCGAATGTCCGGGATCACCTCTTCACCAGCCTGGTTACCTTCGATGACGATGTTGCGGTTGTGCAGATCCGGATGTGTGATGTAGAAGTACGAGTCATTGTACTTTCCAACAATTTGAGTCGGAATGAGGGCTCTCATTAGCAGCAATATCAGCAGATCCATTAAGCGAGACTGCATCGTGGTCCGCAGCTCTTGAGTGCGCTCAGTTGCATTCGACGCCAGTAATCGCTCGACCTTGCCTCGGATAGCCTTATCCGCAAGGCGATGCAAGTATGAAGAAGCTGTCATGGTGGGTGGTATATCGAAGTTGTCGAAATCTTCTTGCATACCATCAATGTTGTTCGCATTATTGAGAACGAGTCGATCCTTGTATATTACAGGTTTCGAAAACATCTCCAAGTAAATTTCAGCGATCTGTTCAAGTACTTGTCGTTTCTGCTCCCATGCAGGAAAGGACTCCGTCCACATCTTCATCTGTCTGCCATCGATAAAATCGAGTAGCATAAAATCCACGCGAAGTTCGTTTTCAGGGTCTTGGGCTAGTCCGTAATGATAAAGATATGGAACTCGAAACGAGAACTTCCTATTGACCCGGATCAGAGGCTCGACCTGATCGATGAGAAAGTCGCGGTCTGATTGACAATAAGGTATTCTGGTAATCCATTGCTTGTCGGTGTCTTTTTCTTGTAACAGAAGAAGCACATTCATATATGATTTGATGACGGGCACTCTTTCGATCTCACAATCTGAGCCAGCAAGTTTGGGTACTTTGTGTAGCAATGCATCGATATTGATGCGATTGAGTAGTTCAGCAGCCTGCCAATGAATGACTAGCTCGGTGTCATCCGTTGCTTCTCCTGGTGTTGTGAAGGGACCTGTAGAAGAGGACACTGATCTTAGAGAGACCGTGTCCGAGTCTAGAGCCAAAAGTGGCAGTGGTGCAGACAGTCTGTCTTCCATTTTTTCGATGATGGTTTCTGTCAAGGTTTGCTATAGAGAAAGACAACAAGTAGCCAGGAGTTGCTATCGATATCCTGTGGGAACAGTGATCCAGGTGTCTCGAGTGACAGAACAGTAGCACGTACCCAAATGGCTCTGGAAGTTGTAGCTACCAACAAGCATCGTTTGCACAAAGTCTGACGTGTAAGAATAGGAGTCTTGTCTCAAGCGTCTTTTCAGTCTCGTATGGCTGAGAGATACCAGTTGGGTAGCTCTATGTATGCATGTCGTAGATACCTCGCCACTAAAATCAAAGAGCCCAATTTCATACTTGTTCAATCCAGGCAAGGGCTCTTTTGATAAACATATCTTCTTTCGTTGGTTCTGTACCAGGCGTCGGTGATTCCCAAGGTGGTACGACTGACACCACGACCTCAATCGTCAATGCTCGAGCTTCACCAGCTTTCTTTAGACATAGCTCCGGATTGCCCATATACATGGCTTCCACGCTCTCGTCTATACACTCTGAAATATTCCGCACATTCTTCGTGATGCTGTTCAATGTCTGCTTGTCTTTCGAGCTTAATTCTTTGTCTCCTCTCCTTACATTCGCCGGCATTTTTGCCAGTCTCTGCTTGACAACCACGTGTATACTTTGTGGTACCCGTGACAAGACTTTCGATACCTGGTCTTTGACACCAGCTGCTATGGTAGCTTGATCTTTGTCTTTTCCCTTGCCAGTGAATGTGGAGGAATCTTCTTCGTCGTCACTGCCTGCTAAGCCGAATACGTCTTCGTCTACATCTTCTTCGGGATCCCAGTCTTGAAGTTCTTGTACCGCATCTTTCATCAGTGCCAACCACTGCTCCGCCTTCTTGATAACAAAGCCCGGTATGCCATCGCTCACAAACTTGATGGCTTCATCACATTTCTCCCAGATTCGGCCTGTGGCTTCCGTTACTGCTTGTTTCTCGGATTTGCTCGGTTCGGACTTTGGCTTTCCATCTTGAGCCCTCTGCTGTATTAGTGCGAGTAGCGGAGTTAATTCTGACAACGTGGAACTGGCTACACGGCGGGTTTCTGCTGCAAATGAGTCAGGAAACTTAGCAGGTGTTACGAGCAAGGTCGCGGTCACAAGAGACGGCAGGGTAGAGTTATTCAGCTCCTTCAGTAATGGCTTCACGGCTGACTCGGTAAAAGGAGGAGTGATACACAACAGAGAGAGCTTAGTCGTGGTGGACTTTAGCGATTCTGCAGCTGCTCTGAGCAGAGACAACGACGGCGGGTGGTCTCCGCTCGCCGTTGCTGTACGCTCACTGCTCTTGTTTGAATCCAAAGACTTCTGAAACTGATCAATCAGTGCAAGTGTAGTGGACAAGGACTTCAAGCAGTCCTGTTGCACGTCCGTGTTCATCTTCGTAGGTACGAGGAAGACAGGATTCGTCCTACATGAACGATCCAACCACTTCTTCTTGACAGAAAACAAGCAGGTCGTGTGCAATAGCCGTGTCGAATTGGGAAGGAGCTATGGATGACTCTTTCCACGAAATATTGCAGTATGCGAGAAAGTTTGCTTCGTTTGATTATGCACATCGGAACCGACGCGTTCGAGTCTCCTCCGTCGAACTCCACGAACCTCCACTGAGCTCTGCTCATATGCGCTCAACACTCCCTCTTGCTTGACATTAGACAAGATGATATATCGCAGAAATTGTCCTGTCCTAGTCTCAGGATACCCACATGGTTCTTCATCGACAGTAAAGTCTTGCATGCCATATATTAGAAAACTGGCTGTTCCTCAGTCTCCCACAGGTTCTAATACTCCGAGATTTGTCCCGTTGTTCTGTTGAAAAGCTACTTTGCCATTACTGACCAGCAGGATTTCTTTCACACTTCAACGACTGCGCAGTCTCAAATTTCATTATAGTAGCCGGCCCATTCGACCACCATGGCCACACAACACAACATCACGACCACATTACCGCTCAAAACAGGTGCATCGATCCCACAGTTCGGCTTCGGTACCTGCGCGAGCGCTACCTGTACCCAGTCTGCACTCTGGGCACTCCAACATGGCTACATCCACCTCGACACAGCTCAGATCTACAAGAACGAAGCAGAAACCGGTGAAGCCATAGCTCAATCCAACTTTTCTCACGACAAGATCTTTGTCTGCAGCAAATTATGGGAGGATATGTACTCGCGCCAGGGTGCCCTTGACGGCGTGGAAAGCAGTCTGAAGAAACTAGGATTGAAGACAATAGATCTCTATCTCTTACATACACCGCGTCCTGGGCCGAAAGCACGATTAGAAGCGTGGCTGGGATTGCAGGATGCAGTCGAAAAAGGTTGGGTAAAGACTATCGGTGTGAGCAATTGGGCGCCACGCCACATTGAGCAACTCATGAAACAAGATGGTGTAAAGATCATGCCTGCGGTGAATCAAATCGAGTTCCATCCATGGCAGCAGCATCGCGAGCTCGTGAAATACTGCAAGGAAAAGGGAATAGTGGTAGTCGCTTATTCGCCATTAACACAAGGACGACGATTAGGCGACGCAACGATCACAGCAATTGCTGAGAAATATGGTCGGACTCCTGCACAAGTCGTGTTGAGATGGTGTTTGCAGCAGGGAGTGGTTATAATCCCGAAAAGTGATAAGGAGAATAGAATTGTGGAAAATCAGGGTATTTTTGACTGGGAACTGAAATCTGAAGATGTTGAGGCCATCAATGCTCTTGATGAGGGCCAGAAAGGCAATGTAGGTGAGTGGGATCCATATGCTCATGAATGATCTTTCAAGCGGGCGACTATCGCATCTGTCCATTTCCGAATACCTTTTCAGGATGACTCGCCTCGTATCTATGCGGCCCTCTACGTATCTGTCGAGCACCTTCAACACGTTTCCTGCTCATTGGTTGTCTTGTCGAAAATGAACTCGTTATCAAGATAAGATGAAATTGACTTCATTAACCTTCGTTCTCTGCTACTATCTCATACGAGTCATCCATGTTGAAAGGATGCCTCAGCCTGCGCTGTTGATAGCCGGCTATATTTCTCCCTCCCTGCCTCCTCAATCTTGAAATTATGTTAAATTATGTACCTTTTTTTGATCATCGTATCGTCATCACTCGTACTTCTGGGTATCATGTTGAATCATGTCTTGAACTTTTCCTGTCTCCTCTCTTGTAGCCTTGATCGCGTTGAGCTGATCAGACACGAGAATTGAACTCCATTTTGGTAAACCTCTTTGCGCCTTGTATCATAAAGATTGTCGTCCCTCGAGAACATTTTGTGGCCTCAGTGCGCCGAACCATTTATGCCATTGACTTTCAGTGCTTCGCCTGCTGTTTGGACTGGCATCTTGTTTTGCTCTCCATTTGTCAAGCTCAAGTTGTCCATCTTCGTGTCTCCGTTGACTATGTCTCGTGCTCCATCGTCCTTGCTCAGTTCCCCATTTGGCTCTATATGGCCATTCACGTTCGCGAGTTCGTCTTCGAATACTAGATCGATGTCGCTGACCTCGAGACCTTCGAATACCTTGAAGATCTCGTTGGTCTTGTGGAAGTCGTTGTCCACGATGTTCATGAGATAACACTCGTCCATGATTCTGGAGATCAAGCGTCTCGTACCAGATCCTGCTGGGTAGCACTTGCTCCAATCTTCTCCTAGCCTAAAAGCTTCGTCCTTCCAGGCTAAGAACGAGACTGTTTCGACTATAGTAGGCTGCACTACTTCACGGTTGGGAAAGATACCCCAAGTCACGGCATTTGGTCCTTCGTCCTTGGTGTTCGTCTTCAGAGTCCCTTCCCTGTTGACTGCGTAATATGTCAGGTTTGGGTTGGCTTCTAACCGTTCCAGAACCTTGTCGATTACACTGGGAAACACGAGGAGTTCGAGATATGCTTTCTGGTACACATATCCTCCCTTAGGACCCCAACCATGCACAGGATGGTTCGAAGGAAAGCCGTTGACCGCAGGCTGCGAATTGATACTTAGCAACCCGCGGCGATTGATGTCTAGCAAATGATCCTTGAGGCTGTCAGCTTCAGATGAGATCTTGCCCTCACACCATGGAAGACGGTCAAGACCACCCTGTAGATAGGTTGTGAAGAGACTCGTAACATCACGCAGGGACTTTGGTCGTCCCCATAATTTCATGTTGGCATCGTTTGTCCCTTTCAAGCCAACACCGTAAGCATCGAGCTCACCAAATGCAGGAGAACGAGAATCACCCCATCGGCCGTTTGGAAACTCGTCCCACTCAGCAGTTCGTGCAATATAGCTGACGTTTCTGTTGCGCCAGAAGATAGGTCGGACGGTCTCCTCTCGCCTATTCTTGCCAAGAGATTGCCGCCAAGGCAAGGGCTTCTCAAGTGGTGTGCCTGTGACTTCAGGCGTGAGGTTCAGGTCATCAAGGATTCTTTGCGTTGCTTGAGCAAGATTCATAGTGTAGAAGTGCAGGTGCAGAATGCCAGCATCTAGAAGCTTTCTGCACATCTCCACCACTAGGTCTTTCCCGACATCCCGGACCGCACTATCGTCGTTTTTGACAGGATCGAGTTTGTCAAACCAGACTTGAGGTATTTGACAATTTACCCACTTGACACGTCGTTCAAAAGCTGCATAGGTCGAAATTGGCATGATTCCAGGTATAATCGGCACTTTGATACCTTTGTCTCTGCATTTGCCGACCCAGTTGAGGAAGTTATCAGCATCATAGAACATCTGCGTCACGATGAAGGTGCCGCCTGCGTCAACCTTTTGCTTCAGATGGTCCATCAGCAGCTCTGGGTCAGTGTCGTCCTCGCAACCTTCCGGATAACCAGCCACGCCAATATCGAAGTGATCGCCGTAGTTCTTCTTGATATATTTCACCAAGTCTATTGCATAACGGAATTCCAAACTCTTAGCTTCCCACTTTTCAGCGTCTCGTGGAGGATCCCCTCGTAGGGCGAGTATGTTCTTGCAACCAGCCCGGTATGCCAGTTCCAGGGCTCCGTCGAGCTTCTCTTTCTCCATGTCTGTGCAGGTCAAGTGCATACATGTCTCCAGGCCGTATCTTGTCTGTGCAGCGTTGACCATCTCGCAGGTTAATTGAGAGTGCCGGCCGCCAGCACCCCAAGTGACGTCTATGAAAGCTGGACCAAGGTCGTGCATGCGGTCCATCCGGTCGTAGAGGTTTTGAACACCTTGGGCGGTTTTTGGTGGGAAGAACTCGAAGGAGAAGGATGGCTTCGAGGCCGCCTGGTTGTGGGCCAGCTTCTGTGAGATGTGCATCTTGGTGGCAACGAGAGGAGAATCTGGAGGAGGTATGGTCTGATAGTCTGTAAGGTCAAGAAGTATGGTGGTCGGCCGTTTGACTTTGTTTTTCCTTCGGGTTTGGCTCAAATACAACAGACTGCAATCGGACTGAATAGCCACACAAGCTCAACGAAAACAGCAAACAATAGTACGGGTATTCTTCTCGATATATCAAGATCAGCCTGTGTTAGCCAATGTATCGAACTCTAGCCCACCTGTCTGCGAGCTGTCGCGGCATGGGGGCAAATATATCAGTAAAAAGATCAGTCGAATCTCATGGTAGACACATATGGCTGCTACTTGTACTCAAGTAGTCAATATGTCACAGGTTGCGTGCTAGAACAGCCTATGAAAAGATTGCAGAGACAAACAAGGACCCCGATCTTAAAGTTCGGATTGTGGATAGAGAGCTTCGCCGCAAAACTTTTCAACGCAGTGGTTGTGAGCACGAAAAGTAATGACCGCAGGACTCGAGTTCTTTTCGCATACCGCAGAACACGTTTAGCGTGGGTACATGGGCTAACTCCAGGCAGTCAAGCCTGCTGACTGACCTCAGAGCCATGCCTGTATTGAAGCCAGTCGCGCTCGCGATGCCTACAGAAATGTCCTTGGCAGGAACAACCACTATCGATAAGAATAGAAGGTGGGGGATTTTTGTGAAGGCCGTCATCGATGCATTTTGCAATATAGAAGTAGTACCGACGTTGACGTGTCGCGGATCTACCTAGCAAGCGAGCGAGCACGTATTCAACATGCCCAAACAAGATGAAGTCAAAAACGAACTCTTTCCTCTCCTTCTTGAAGCCAGCGCTCTCACGTTCGGTACCTACACCCTCAAATCAGGCCGCGTATCGCCATACTTCTTCACCTCGTCGCTGCTACATACCTCTGCTCTCCTAGCTAGTGTCGCTCGAGCATACGCCACCGTCCTCACAAGCCCACCCTTTAGCATCCCTTCAGCTGTCTCTGACACGACAGACTGTGCTGTTGCTCAGGGACATGAACCGACCTATGACATTCTCTTCGGTCCAGCCTACAAAGGCATACCAATATCTGCCATAGTGACCAGAGAGCTCGAACACTCTGGAGCACCATACAGCAATGTTAGCTATGCCTTCAACCGCAAGGAAGCGAAAGATCACGGTGAGGGAGGTATAATAGTTGGTGCTCCGTTGAAGGACAAGCGTGTGGTGATCATAGACGACGTCATGACTGCAGGTACCGCTTTGCGCGAAGCCGTGTCCATCATTCAGGCTCAGGGCGGTATAGTCGTGGGAGTGGTGCTGTTGTTGACCAGACAAGAAAGAGTGAGCGAAACAGAATCCCGGAGCGCCATGCAGGTTGCACAGGATGAGCTGGGTGTGCCCGTACGCGCGGTATTGACCTTTGAGGATATCATGGACGCCGTCGAACGAGGGGACATTAAAGGCGCGGGCCCGGAACAATTTGAACAGATGAGGGTTTATCGGGAAAAGTATGGAAGCAAGGACTTCGAGGAGAGGACAGCAGGACAGGCAACCCGATAAGGACAAACCAAGACGTGGACAGACTCCGGGACACTCCCAAACAATCACGCTTCAAGTCCGGTTACGACATCAAAGCCACACGGGTGTCGTAAGTAATTTCTTCTACATTGGTGGCTTCTAAAGTGTGGTTGTCCCGCTTCACAACGAGCGGACGTATGACCGCCCCAACAACACAAGCCACAGTTCACTCCAAGCTCAAGAGACGAACGCAACAGGCATACCTGCCTAGGATCATCGCTAGAGAATGAACGAAGGCAGGAATGCGCAGGTGATTTTACCAGGAGAACTCGTCGATGGCGGGGCTATCAGCAGGAGAAGACCTCGAGGTTGGAAGAATGGCGGTGAGACATAATCCCCAGCGCATGTTCAGAAACAGCACAGGGGAAATGTGTAATCAGAGCACCCTCGTGTCGTACACAAACCGGTCGTTAGACAGAAGAGCTAGATTCTTGATCAGAGCATGTACCAACAATTATTTTTCGAAGTTTGTGGTGAGGACAGCAGGATGAAGCAATGCTATCATACGACAGATCTTCATGGAACTTCTATAATATGGGTTGATTTGTGCTGGATGATGGCTGGATATGAGTCGACATAACCACCCACTACAAAGACTGCTCGACAATCACTCTATGCCAGCGCCATTTCCGCGCTAGCTGAATCGCGTCGAACTAGAGTGTATATCTGTCTTCGCCCGTCCTGTCTTTTCCTTGAGACAAATGTGTGTTCCCGCCATATTTTTGGATTCCGCACTCAACTCTTGACTGGTCTTATAGGTGTCCCGGCTCTGCTTCCACCAGGCGGCCTTCGGTCTTTCAAAAGGCCATTGCCACCCGTCTGTAAGTCCTGTAACTCCTTCTCAACACCAGCCCGGAAATGCTCCACCTCCATCTGACGCTGTCGTATCTTGCTTTCATATGCCAGCGCTATAGTTCGTCTCTGCAATCTCACTTGCATGAGTTCCTTCAAATCTGTCTGGAATCTATCGACGAACCATTGACCTGTCTGAGCCCATTGTTCATCTGTCTGAGTTCGGAAGGTCTCTTGTTGATGAGGTACTGCCATTTTGTCCAGATTTTCGAGGATTTGACTCAATGTCATTTCGTTACCATGGGTGTCCCTTGCTGGCTCTTTGGCTGCATCCTTGGGATCCGTGTTGAACGGCTCCGCTTGTAGGTCTGATAATGTCTTCTCTTTTAATTGGAGTGGATCGTAATCGAGCACGTCCGCGCTGCTGCTTGCGTGCGGCCGCTTTCTGCTCAACTCCGAAAAGACGTCTGTGGTGTCGAGAACAGTACTCGAGCTAGCCTGTTTAGATTGTCCTTGTAATCGGTCGTCTTCAGACGAGTCTTGCATATCTGATTCCGGTGCTGAGACTTTCTGCTGCGGTGGTATTTTTTGACTGTGCTGCAGCATCTTGTGGAATCGACCCGAAGCTGGGTGGAAGGGGGAATGACCCTGTCGTACTTGGGGATTCGTTGCTAACTGTGATGGATGTGGTTTGTGATGCATCGGTACACGTTGTATGACCGGCTGGGCACTATTTGGCCGGGAAGAAACAATGGATGGACTGTCCTCTCTTGCAATGTCGGCACTCCGAACAATAGGAGAGTCCATACTTCTTTCAAAGACCTCTGGTGAAGATACAAAATCGACACGACGTGGTATCGGAGCCTTGATTCCCTGCACTGAAGGCACTGATTGTGCTCGCGAGGGTGTTTCTAGCTGAATGTCATGATCGACCGCTGTTCTCGTCGGGCCTTTACCAACAAAAGGACTCACAGCATGTTGTCTCTCTGCTTGTGCTCGGAGTCGATTCTGGTAATCTCTCTCTTCCGCAAGCTCTTCTTGCCATTGGGAGCCAAAGAATTCGTTCGCTGCTTGTGTGTCGAGTCTTCCAGACAATAGATCATGCTCACGGGAATTGTAGTGGTCAGGCCCTGTCTTGGTAGTATGTGGAGGAAAGGCTTCTCTTCTGAATACGACTGTACGATTGTCTTCGTTGATGCTATCGTCGATGAAACCACTGTCCAGACTTACAGTATCGTCGAACGCACTGACTGGTGGCTTTTGCTATGCGTACAGTCAGTAAAGGTCGTGCTTGCTTGAATGCTGAACTTACCTGCAATTTCTGTGCTTTTGTGCCCATATTTGGTTTCTGCTGCTTCAATGTTGAACTATTTACAGATTGTGTCATGTTCTGTGCCCTTGCGTTTTCCGGTCTAGGCTGAAGAGACGAAACAACGGGTATCTTCCAAGGGTTGTGATCTGCCTGGATGTCGAGACGTTCAGTACCCAGAGCTTCAAGGGAGTGTTTGCCAATGTTTGGCATATTGGTCCTCGACCATTCGCGATGTTCTTGTCTATGTGGTCGGTTGTCTTTTGATTGACCAGGAGTCGTTGGTCTATCAGTGCCATTGTCTCTCGACACACGAACCTGTCGGCTCTGTTGTCTTGCATGGTGGAACCCAGCAGGTGTCGTGGGCAAGGTCTCCTGGACTGCCGCATCCAGATCCTTGTTCATAGGCATTGCGAAGACGCAGCTTGCAGGCAACACCTGGCCAGTTGAGTAAGGTAGTGGCCGACATGCTGAGTAATATTGTGTAGCAAAACAACAGTTGGAAGGAGCACTCTACAGGCCGTTTGATAAGAAGCGCGTTTTCGAAGGATGCAGCCGCGATACAATGGCCCGCCAACCGTGGCAAGCTAGCCGCTGAATGCGGTCAGTTTCTATTATCAGCTCAAACACGTAAATGAAAGGCATGAAACGCGTCACTAGGAAGGACACGAATACGAGCCATGTGGACAAGATACCAGCTGTGCCAAAAAAAAAAAAAAGGGGGGGGGGGGATACGACTTGCTGTCGAAACGGTGGGACCTGACGCTAGGACACGTATATTACAGGAATGATCGAAACAGCTCAAAGCAATCTAAGATTTCGCACTCAACATGAATCCAGACATGTATGGGTATCGTTTTCGTTCCTCGTAACCAAAATCGCTTGCTAAAGTCCAATCACCAATCAGCAAATCGTTGTGTCGCCATATCGCCATATCGCCAAATCATACAGTTTTTGATCCCTCCGTCTTCTATGATGAGTTGGACGAGTTATGCCGTAATCCGTTAGCCAGCTTCCTCCTCCTTCTATCTTGTATGTCTACGCCGCCTAACTGATCAGCTGAATGGTCCGCCGAATCATCTCCATCTGACCCAAATGCGTCGAGATAAACCCTTCTCTTTGGTCTCTTGAAAGCAGGCATTCGAGGCACTCGTTTCCATACAACTTCATCATCGCTGCTTGAAAATCCAGTATCTGTTAGAGGACCCTGGTCGGCTGGCTCGCCCATGCCCTGTATTGGCCGATGGGTACCACCTGAGAAACCATTGTGATTATCGTTCTGCCCAGGTGGCGCATTGGGATCCCACACGGGAAGTCCACCGGGCGGAATGGCTTCTCCAGTAGGGGTGCCGATTGCCAGGTCGATCATGGATCCGTTAATACCTGTCAGTGACCATGCGAACACAGCCACGTCTCTGATAGCGCTCATGAAGCCGGACTCAATCGGTTCGGTCACAGGTTGCAGCGCCGGGACAGAAGCAGCCTGTTTCATATCATCTGGTAATATAGGTTCAGGAGCCCAAGGAGATGCGAACAACCCATTAGGAAACGAAGGCTGTTCTGAGTCTGGTGTGGCAGTGGTTGGTACCAAAGGATGAGCTCGACGCAACACGACCACAAGACCATCTGATGTGCATGACACTACCGCTTCAACTTCAATAGCATTGGGAGTCGATTGGCCAGTAAGGCCATTCGGTGGTGTGATAGACGAGGCGGAAGATCGAGCCACCTGGTTGGGTCGGTCGAAGATGCGATCATATGAATTGGTGTCCATGTCTGTGCTGTTACCAGAAGATGTGCGTGAATCGATACCATCTCCTATGGAATTATCTCGACTATCTCCTCTAATGTCCCTTGGTTGTGTTGAATGTCCATTCAGTGGTGGAGTGTTCACTTGTACACGCGGGATGTTGTCGACGTCCTGCATGACCGTAGTCGAGGTGGTAGAGACACTAGATTCCCTCGACCCTCTCGATAGTAATACGCCTCCCTCATCATCGTCCTCGTCTGTATCGCTGAGGCGGTCCTGGATGAGTGGAGGATCAGGTAAGGTTGGATCTCGGAAAAAGAATCGAAGGTAAGCGATGGAATCGTTCTGTTTGGCGCTTTCCAAGGTTCGGACAGCGTCGGCCAAGCAGTTCTCAGCAATACAATAATAAAAGCTTTTGCCAACCAGGTCTGCTGAGGAAAGTCCAAGTATCTGTTCAACTCCATTGGTCGCAAACATTACAGACGATGTCCTCGTAAATCGATTCAACACCAGCGCGGCGCGGGGTTCCCGTGTGGTGAAGTTTATTTTCTGAATGAACTTGTTCGAGATGTAGGACAGCATATGGTACCGAGGATCTCGTGGTGAAGAAGCGAATACTCGTCTGACCGTTGCGCCATCGACAGCTCGTTCTGGAATTCGATATCAGCTCACGCATTAGCATGCCTCAACTTGACTCACGCTGAGCTTTTTCCCCTTTTCTGTAAATTGAAGTTGAAGCGACCAGTACATCATAAACAACAGTAAAAACACATTCGCACCCAATCCAGGTACCATCCCTGTGCCGTATCCGGCAGTAATTCAGCGCAGCCGCCTTCTCGAGGTCGAGACCTCGGCCATGAATCGCTCTGGCAAACGGTATTTCGTCTGGATGGAAATATTCCCAACATGATTTGCCTTTTACCTCGTGAGGTTTGTAGCCAAGAATGTCCTGGATAGATTCCGAGCAGTACTTGATTCGTGCATCAAGAGATAAATCTGCGCCAACGTTAGTTTCGCGAGGTAGAGTAGTGCTCAAAAGAGTGACCAACCATGAATGGTGATAAAGATAGTTTCCATGGTGGCAAATGTGCTGCGTTGAAGCCTCTCACAGGCAGCAAGTTGAAAGGTGACCAGTCAAGCAGCCTTGGAAGGATTCTGGGAATAAGAAATCAAAATATTAGGGTGAAATTGAATATTGATATGTCACCAGAGCTCGTGTATGTGCAAGGTTGTGAAGTTCTCTCAAAAGTCGTACAGTATAGAGTGCTCGAGGCCAGAGATCGGTGATTGGTATAAGTGGCGTTAGACCACAATCCAGGATTCGATGCACAAACTAGTCCAGGCTGCTGCAAGTGACCGCAATACTGGCGACTTTGAATGTGAGAACAGTATATTCCTCTTCGCGACTGAGCCGATGAAGCAACGTTGAGATTGAGTTGTCAGTCAGAACCATCGGATGGCGACATGCAGGAGAAACGGTTGATGCGGATATAGCAGTGAAATTTTGCACTGGGTCATAAATTTTGTGCCTGCCAATGCTTGTGAAATTAGATGCCGAGTAAAGAGGTGATTTGCTGCTGTCAGAACCGAAGACTGCCAGTATGCGAGTAGGATGATCATCGACCTGCAAGGCTTGCAAAACCCATGAACGACAACGTGACTCCGAATGAAGAAGAACTCGCAGCAAAGTGTTCTGGTCAGCGAAAGAGTGGAACCGAGCACAGAAGTTACGTCAAATATGCATGGGTTTGCCTCTACTACTATCGGCTAAATGGTGTACGCTTCCAACGGCAGGGCTTGGGGATACCACAGCAGGGATTTCGTCTTGGGTGGCTGGTGAGACAATCAATCAATTTTACACAGCCAGCGACCTCATTAGTACTAGAATATCGTACATCAGCTACACGAACATGCACCGTATCGTCTCTCGCAAGTACTCTTAAACTTCACCGCTACCTCGGTCAACATGCACCCGCCCATATTGGGTAACCAGGATTGAGGAAAATCCATGCCTGTTAAATACCTTGGTAATGAATTGAAACACATTTGTCCAAAAGGAAGGTCGGCTGTAAATCTTTCAGCAATGCTAGCAGTCCCATGAACAGCCTGAGTTTCGACAGTGCAAGCAAGGCTTGAGAGCACTACGTTTCTGATTTTTGTCGGAGCAGTACTGTATATGGACATCACTCAGCATATCACCTCTGCAAGCACAGTTCTGTAAACAGGTACCTGCCGCCTCCAGTGGACGTATGTGGCAGAACAAACCCTTGTGGAAGCTACCTAAGCGAAACCCACATTGCTTGGAGCGAGCCGATATGCAAGATGATGTCAATGTGCAAGGTCTATCTTTAAGCTTTGGCATTTCATCGACCGATGAAGTGCAGCTCATTCACTGACACGAAACGAGTCATGTAAGTCAGAGATGTCGGCGACCATCCCTTGTGCACCGAGGATATTCGACCGCACTCTGCGAGAAGTATTCTAATGATTCCATATCAAGTCCTATGCACCACGGACCCAGATATTGTACATATACATGTCTGCAGTTGGTCTTGTGGTGATTGGTGTGCTCTGTCCTTGCCAAATTTTGTCAGAAGATACTCCTCGAGATCGCCATTCAATAAAACCAATGTTTTTACAACACAGTCCACAAGTCCTTGCGCACATGAGTCTCAGCGAATCAGTATCGACACTAGCAGTAGCCGTCCTTACTAGTTGACCACAATATTCCGTGGGAATAAGTTCCGTGGTACAAGTGTTCAGCTGTCTGTCCACTGTGTCAACGGTTCTCCACAGGAACTTATCAGTTTTGCACAAAGCCTGCGAATTTGTGGTCCCATTGTTTCGGTACAGAGCTGCAGTCTATGCTGAAACTGTGGCTGTGCAGCGTCTCACACGCCGTTGTGTTTAAGGTGTACTTCAGAATGTAGGCAAGAAGTTCGTGCGGCTCAATCGTCTTGACTATTACAGCGTAGTTTGCACACGCCACACCCCGCGAGTTGCTTGCACTACAACAGGCGTCGATGGTGCCTCATCGTCGATATCCCGGCGCACATAGCCTATGGGCGGGTCCTGTCTACCCAAATTGATCAGCCACGCCAAGTGCTTACGACTGCTTGACCTTGGTCTTGAACGACACTCCACTCGATTGGTGGTGCCTTACGTATGTTCCTTCTCGTATTCATCTGCACAAGGCCAATTGCGCACTGGGCTAGCACATTCGCAGCCAGAACTCAAGTATGATTGCAGAACATCCAGTAAGAATACATCCTCCTAACTTCGCACTCGGAAAGACGCCTCGTTAGCCACAGTATAAGACACCGGCGGTTCATGCTCGCATGCTCGTGACACAGAAACAAATTGGCTGAATTGGATGCACAAAGATCGTCGATTCCTTTCGTTACCACCACTTCTAGCCACGGTCATGTTCTTGAGTGTTTCGCATAGCGGCCTCGTTCTGTGCGGTTGTGGCTTCGACACGAGTCACAATGGTACAGATACATGTTGTTCGAACAATTTCCCGCCGGTCCGGTAGTACCGTTTCAAGATTTGAGAGGCTCATATTTCAGGAGATTTATAAAGAAACTCAACATTTGTGACCGGCCACTCGACTTCGAGGCCAGAATGGAAGCAAGCTTTCACCCACCTAGCTCTCCAAGTTCGAACTTTCTCTTTCTTCTCCCAAGATTCAATTCAGCAGGATGTGGGAAAGTTCTTTTGCTTGCGCATGATATGGACTACTATGGAAAACTACGAAACTGGCTGAGTCTATCTACTGGCCTGCAACAGCTCTTCTTGAATCACTCTGAATACGCAATACATACTAGGACCATCTCAGACGGGTAAGTGTGCTACTTCACCAGATCTTGCTACTGAATGAAGGTATCTCTCGAGCTTCGCCTTCCTGTTATATCGCATGTCTAAGGGTCGGCAGCTAATCTGGACTCTTGTCAATTCTGTCCAGATACTTGTTCGCCATATTTGTGGTTCGGTTACCTAAACAGATGCTCTGGCCGGATTGCTCTCATGCTTTGGTGCATACACAAAGTAAGAAGATATCAACAACAGAGTAGAAGTGAACAACTTCTTTCTGCACGCCATACAGCACCTTGGCAGCTTTAGCCACCCACTGCCGTATGACAAGCTTCGTCGCTCAATTCACGGTGTCGTGGTGCCGATGAGAAGAGAATGTTTCCCGTATTGATATCAGGCTCACTTCGCTGCCGTAACGTACACAGGCTGGTAGTACCAGATACAGTGCTGCAGCATAGCGTCAGGCACCAGGTCTGTATCGGATTGCGAAACTGCCGCAGCTCAACATGTGTCGCTGAGACTGAGAGAATCTCGTGCGACTGTCTATTGGCCACAATATTGGAACTTCTCGTTATTGTCTGCACATTACTCATGAATCATGAGTTGTTGCCATAGTGACGGCTCGCTGATCATCAGAAACGTCCGTGAAGCTCGGCGAATGAGCAATTGCGCTGCGGAAGGGCCTATGCTGATGTTTGAGTCGTCAGTGTGACTGGCCGAACTCGTACACTGTCATATGGAATGTATTGACGTAGTAATCTGTCTTTCACTAGTAGGCACGAGGTCAAGCGTTGTCGAGAGACAAGCGACTCGATGCTAGGTTTGCTGCGACGCTACCATCGTAGCCAGATGAAGTTGTGGTATAGGCGTCCGAACGTATATAGCAAATCTGACGCGTGTTTGTGGTATCTTAAGCTTCGGATGATACAGTCTGTGACAGCCAGTCCATGCCTTCGTTGATGCCCTTGCCGTCAATGCAGGAGCATGCGACAATGGACCAGTTCCTGTCTCGCAGCTCGCCCAACTTAAGCGCTTCGGAAATCTCCCCGGCACCCTGTGCGCCAGGCTATCAAGAGTCAGCCATTGTGCACAATAACGATAATCGCGGACTCACCTGATCCTGCTTGTTTGCGAACACTAATAGTGCCGCATCTCGTAACTCATCTTCGTTGAGCATCGAACGAAGCTCATCGGCGGCTATTTCTAATCGCTCAATATCGGTTGAGTCGACCACGAACACGACAGCAGCTGTATTCGCATAGTAACTTCGCCAGTAAGGTCGTATTGACGTCTGTCCACCGAGATCCCATACATCAAAAGTCAACTGACCATATTTTACTGATTCGACATTGAAACCAATCGTTGGTATGGTAGTCACTACCTCTCCCATCTTCAGCCTGTAGAGCAGGGTCGTCTTCCCAGCATTGTCCTGCATGCTGGTAAGCTGATGTGCCTCACAATACTGACGTAACATACTAAACCTAGGATAAGTATGCGAATATCCTTCTTACCCCTTGACTCCATCAGTATGTTTTGAATTAACCTCTAATAGGGAGGCGTACCAGATCAAGCCTGAAAATAACTTGGAGAGAGAGGCACCCATGTTTGTCGTCTCCAGCTGGTAGTCCCCGAGAGAGAGAGAGAGAGAGAGAGAGTCGTTAACGAGCGATGAATGACTGGGACGAGGATATCGAGTTTATCGTTGATGAGTGAACACTCGAGTAGAATGGCAGATGTTATGCTTGTGGAGTGGTGCGAAGCGGCCTGAAATCGCCAGGCAGCAAGCACGGATTTGAGCTGATCCAGCCGCCGGCCGATGTTGAATGATCCAATGTTCCAAGCGTGACGATATCGCGCTATCTCTCTAACGTTATAGTCACAGGCTCATGGAGTCTGCAAACGTTTCCTCGACATGTTGCAGTGGTCTTGACGCCAGGCAACGCTTTTCGACGTTGAAATGAACCAGATCCAGATCAGCCACCACATCACATGCGAGCAAGAAATGTCGGAGGCATATGAGAAAGACCTGAACTTCTCCTGTCACGCTTTGCTTCTTTTAATTGGCACGGTTGGAGGACACCAAACCAGTTCCGCAACACTCGACCAGCACTCTGCCACCATCCGCAATGTTTCCATCAGTACTCTACGCTTTCCGACGCTCCTCTTTATATGACTCCTTCTCGCTGACTAGCTACAGTACGAATAAGGGGAATGGTACAGGAATGGTGAACTATTGAGCATGAGGTGGAAGCAGTCACGCAGTGGTATGAGATGATGTTCACCGACCTCGATTGGGAGCATTAACGAGCGCTTCTCCTTTCGCAATTTCTATCTGAAGTGAGGCGGAAGGATTCCAGAGCACTTCACGAGCTACGAATTCTGGCCAACCTACACCATTACCTTGTGAACATCGAAACACCGGCCCTCATCATCTCGAGCCCCTGGTCGTGCTGCAAGCAAAGACAGTATCGTACTGCAGGGCTTCGGACCAGCTTGCCCGCTCGACATTACAGCATCTTTCTCTACCGGATCTGCACCACTACACAAGCTCTCAAAGGCTCACGACCATGTCATCTAAATCAGATAGGAGAAAGCCGGTGAAAGGTGGGCAGCTCGACCGAATTCATCCAGGTGGCTCCACAAGCCTTCCTCTTGTCACCTCCTCGAGTAAACGCTACATTCATCTACATTCACGATTTTGTCCCTACTGCTCGCGAAGTAATGCGAGAATAGTCGTCGTCCCATGAACTTTTCTCCGCATCTGTACTTCTGGTTGTCCTTCTAACAGAATCCTGGTCCTGATCTCGGGGTTAATCCTAGCAAAATTACCACAAATGGGCAAGCCTAACTTCTGAATCTTCCATAACAGACGAAGCCAAGGAGCATATGGAGCCTTAATAGAGTCCACTAATTTATGTCTCCGAAGTATTGTCATAGCATTGCAGAACAGCATATTGACCAGGATTCACACGTATATATAGCGCTGTCCTTAGTGCCACAATCAGGAGCACTTCGGACAAAAGTGCATCAAGAGCCAGTGAACCTCTAAGCGCGACTCAAAGCAACGAGATCATTATGGCATGTGAGACTCATACTGCGGCAGTATTGGAAGAGATTGGTCAAGGTCTGAAGCTCGTCAGTCAGCCCATACCAGAGCCAGTATATGGCAGTGCAGTCATCAGAGTCCTTGCAACTCCTATCTCGCCAACTACTAACCGTGTTATCACTGGTAAATTTCCTGTAGGGCTCAACACCCCTGTAATGCCATCCTCCTCCGCTGTTGCACGTGTGTATGCTGTTGGGCCTGATGCAACATTGTTGAAGCCTGGTCAACTCGTCTTCTACGATTTCTGCATTCGAAGCAGAGATGATTACGACACGAGCATCTTGCAAGGGTACATGGGTGATAATAAGACCTTCGAGGCAGCTTGGACGCACGGAACCTTTGCACAATACGCTTGTGTACCGCTTGAGAGACTCTGGGTCTTGAACGAGGATCTATTAGTCAACAAGCTCAAATACACGTTTGCTGAACTTGCTTTTCTGGGCACCATCAGTATTGCCGTCGCTGGCCTCATTGACATTGACACAAGACCTGGTGACACAGTCATCGTCGCACCTGCCACAGGCTGTTTTGGAGGCTCTGCTGCACATGCTGCGATCGCAATGGGCGCGAGAGTCATTGCTTGTGGGAGGAACGAAGAAATACTCTCGAAGATGACCGATACATTCAAGTCGAGTGGTCGCTTTAAAACAGTCAAGATGACGGGTGACGTTGAGATTGACACTGCAGCCATCAAAGCTGCCGCAGGATCCGAGAAAGGCACTGACAAGTACATCGACTTCTCACCACCACAGTCAGTTGGCAGCAAGCATATACTCTCATGCATATCAGCTGTCCGTCCATTTGGCAATGTTTCCTTCATGGGTGCGGTCTTCGCTGAAGTCGGTATCCCATATTTTCTACTGGTGAAAAACAGCATCCGGATTCAGGGCCGATACATGTTTGAACGTACCCACGGCGAGCAAGCAATCAAGCTGGTGGAAAGTGGTCATATGAAGCTTGGTGCTGGTGATAATAGTGGTATGCATATTGAGTCTTTCGGTCTACAGGATCTAGGTAAGGCATTGGATCAGGCAGAACAACATGGCAAATGGGCTCACATGGTCGTGCTTGAGCCTTAAATAAGGTCTGTTCAGCAGAACAACGACGAGACGTGTTAATCAGCATCTCGTTCCTTCTTTGTCCAGCCATATGTTCATGGAAGTAGAGTGATGGCTTTGAACACCTTGCCAGTGTCAGGCTATACCAAGCAGGCTGACACAAGTCATTGTGTATAAGTCGAGCGCTGTCTCATCAGGCAATGTATAAAAGTGCCATGTATGTTACAAGCTTCTACACCAAAGCGCACATGTCGACTTCGTACCAGCAACAGACAACGTAGTTATCTTGAGAGCCATATGAAAGCGCTGTCGCATCTGTGATTCACTTGCAAAATTGACTTGGAGGAACAAAGAAGTGTTCAAGTTGAATTGGAGGTAGATGTGCAGTGCATGCAGGTAATGATAATTACCGCCTCATGGTGTCGCGACGCACGAAAATTGCAGCTTCTTCAGCTCCAACGAAGTGAACAGAAACTCGTCGAGCTTCAGTAAGCCAACCAGTCTGCCTCGCTTATCAAAATCATAGAAAATCCAAGGAGTAATAGCTCAGTTTAAATTTTGTCATTCGACTCAGACAAAGATAGCAATCCTTGTTCAAGATATCGAAAAGCAATAAATGCTAGTAACAACGGCGCATACAAAGACACTACTGTAGAAGCGAGCTCTGAGCCGAGATGAGAGGCACCATGATCGAAAATCAGCGTAGACATGTCTCTCAAGCGTAGCTACGAACCAGCACAAAAAACCTCAGAACACGATGAAGCGCTCTCCAACCTCTTCGAATCAGGTCAAATCCTCGATCGGGCCTCCAAGTTCATAGGACTATTCTCACCTGCCACAGATACACCACCAAAAGTGCTCCAGCAACATCCGCCTTTTCAGAAAGCCACACACCGGATTCTAGCATGGCGCCTGCCGTCTCGTCAACAGACGGTACAATTCGAAAAAAGTAAGAATCAGCAGAGTAATCCTTCCAAGAAACCGCTAGTCTACGACACAGGTTCCCTCGATGACGGTGAGAAATACGCCGGCAAGAAGCTCGAAAAGTTGTTGATCGAACTCGACGTCGTGGGAACCGTCGTAGTCGCGCGATGGTACGGTGGCGTGATGCTCGGCCCCGTCCGCTTCGACCACATAGTTAACGCGGCAAAGGAAGCAATATTAAAGTACCAAGAGTCTATCGCTATCACTGCCGACCACGACACCTCTCTACCTTCCAAGAAGCCAAAGACACAATCAACAGAGAACGAAGTCCTTACACCAGAGCAAGAAGCCGAGCAAAAGGTCCGCCTCGTAAAAGCGCTTACTGACAGAGACAACAACATCGTCGTGCTACGGCAATTACTAGCACAGAAGAAGACGAAGAAGAAGGCAGAAACCACCTCCACCACTCAGTCCGAATCACCTCTAAAGTCGTCTTCTTCACAAACACCAAAACCACTACCCGACTATGCAGCAATGTCCTTGACGAAACTAAAACAACTGGACAAGGCACGGGATACAACCATCTCCTGGATATTGAAACAGATTGACGAAGCTGAAGGTTTACAAACACCAACGTCGTCTATAGCGGAGACTTCTGAGCATTAATAACAAGGAGAAAAAGCGTGATCACGAGATTAGCCTTCCTGCTACTGACAAGGAGATTGATATGTGTTTAATACATAATGCTCTCGTAAGAGTGTGAAGGCTGTAAACTGAGCACTTCATATACTGCGCTTAGCTATTTTGACTTGCTATACACGTTAGATATGAGCTTGCGATACGAGGGCGAATTCATAAGACGCTCTATGGCATTTGGTTGAAGAATATTGACCTGACTATATCCCATGTGCCCAGCCGAGGACATACCATAGCTGCCGTACTTACAAGCTCAGGGCATAAAATTATCGTGTAGTCAATGATCAGAAAGCAGAGGAATGTTTATATCATGAACGAGCGCAGTAGCTCATTCTCTGCTTGATTACATATATTAACAACACTAAGACATATTGAATTCGCTCAAACAATAGTGTAACTCCAACTCCAGCAGCAATTCCCGGGGGTATTCATGCAATGAGTTCGCTATCAGCCTCAACTCCTTTACGCGTTTACACTTTCTCAAGTAACGACAGTAAAGACTTTTCTTCAACCTCTGATCTCGTCTCCTCGAGCTTGAGCACCAGAGCCTTGAGCAGCAGTTGTGGTAGTCTTTTCGTTCAACATAGTCCTGACTTTGCGCACATGTTCTGGATTCCAGTGCAACTTGTTCTTCTCATCGAACCAAGCGTTTTCATCAGAGCTGCGGACGCCGTGAGAAGTATTTTGCTGTACAAGCATACTTGAAACGCCGCAGGAATCTTTGGCAAGCCAGATGAAAGGCTCATCAGCAGCGATGGCTGGGTTGTAATATGCATCATGGTACTCGTAGTCAATGATAGGCAACTCGAACTTGATGTTCTTGTTGGGTGCATAGAAATGGCTGTCAATGTATGGCCTGATGCGAGCAGTGAGCTTGTTGCCTGTGTTGCCTTCTGGGAGCTTATCCTTATGGGCTTCAACGTCGACACCACCGGCCGTGGTACCGGTAACATTACTCTCCTGTCTTTGATCCCGGACTTGGGCTGGATGTGCTCCGTTGGCGCCAAACTTCTCCTCTGAGACATCATAATCGTAAGCATCGTCAGACACGAGGTCAAGAGGTAATCCCTCCTCAAGTGGACTGATGGCACGTCCGAAGATGAATTGAACAACGACAACAACTACCAGGAAGATGATCATCAAGACCAGTGGTCCAGTTCCGGCGGCCGATTTCGACGCGCCAATGGCGAAAAGGCCGATCAGGCAAAGCGAAGAAAGGTAGACACCCCACATAAGCTGTTTCAAAGCCTTGGCGTATGCCTCACCCTTCATGTCGACCTTGTTGCCGAGCACATAAAGCCACTTCCATCGGAAGGCGAGATAAAGAAAGGTGAACCCGATGGTTGAGAATCCGAGCACCAGAGGTGCAATACACGAGTAGGAGATGGCGATGACACCCAAGTTGGTCCATTTTGGGTACTCAGATCCCCAGCCCAGGCCAGCGAGACTGACCCATCGGTTGTACATCTTGCGAGGCGTGTTGTCCAGGAACTTGCCGAGTAGGACGAACAAGATCAAGACGACAACGTTGAGTATCTGCGCTGCTGCCTGAGCGAGGCCGTACAGAATGAAATAGGAGATATAAAAGTTGGAGGCCTTAGGTAGATTCTCCGCCAACAGAGTAGGAGCAGAAGTAGGATCATTTATGATTTGGGTCGTGACAGCTGCGGCACCGGAGAGAAACGTGGTCATTAGGAAAACCTGAATGACCTGGAAGGCGAAGTACCAAGTCTGAGTCTTCAACTCGACGGCCGACAATGTTGGCTCGCCTGCCAATTTGGCAAGGAGACGGCAGATGATGGGCACCAGGAGAATGCAGACTGCCAGGACGATTGTTGGTAGAAGACCAGTGATGACACCAAGAATGACGCTTGGCACTTGATTGATGAAGCTGAGGAAAGGAACTCTGTTGGTCAAGTAGTTGATGTTGGTAAGAGAGGCGACGAAAGCGATGATCGGAGTCCAGAAGATGATGATTAGAGTGACAATGGCTGTAGCAACGAGCATCTTGGTCTTTCGCATTGCATATGTAGTCTTTAGGTTCTTCCAAATGATCTCATCTGGCTGAACATCGATGTAGCGAGGTTCCATTGACTTCTTCACGCTCTTCGCAGCGAGTTGGAAAGCTCGTTGAGCAGCAGCCTGGCTGGTGAATTCGACGAAGGCGGCAGAAACAGCCTGGGCAGCTCCAGAAGTGTGAGCTCGTTGTTCGCTAGCAATCTTAGTGTTCATCTTGGGTAATTCCTCTTGAGCCCAGGAGATGGTATCAACTTTCTTGCCAATCAACGGTTTCAGTTTGTGGGTAGGCCGCTTCTTGCTGTCGATCCAGTGGGCAGGATCACGTCGTTCGCTCTGACTACCAGGATTTTTCTTTTCTGACTTGAGTCGGTTCTTGTTGGCCAACTTTGTAAGTTTGACCTCAGCACCTTCCAGCTTCAGTGCAGCCTTGGTTCGGTCTTCTACCATCTCTTCAAGGTCCTTGCAGTCGGTGGCTAGCCATACATTCCGAACATGACGACCAAGAGCTGCTCGAAGAGCCTCAACGGACTGGCTCTCTTTGGGAATGCTCATGAATAGGACAGTGCGTGAGGTTAACCTGGTAGCTCTCACTGAGTTGAGGAAGTATGCTTGTCTCAAACCAACAAAGTACATCCGCTCTCGAATAACGACTGCGGTGACGAGACCTAGAAAGATCCAGGCAACAAGACAGTGGGCATAGTAGCGGTTGACGTTCAGAACATTACTGAAACTCAACATATCGAGTTGTTGTTGACCACCACCTCCGGTAGCATTGACTGGAAACAAGATGGGCCATGTTATGAGGCAGCCAGCAAGACTGATGAAGATGAGCATTTTGAAAAACCGCAGGAAGAGATATCCATCGAGGGAATTGCGTTCGAGCACATGATGGTCAGGTAGTCCCTTGAAATCGAAGATTGCACCGAAGAAGCCTCTGTTATTGAGAGGAGTTCGTCGCTTCCTAAGAAAAAAGTCAGTCGAAGCATTCTATCAGTATTGAGTGAACATACTCGTCCCAGAGGATAAGGTCCGAAGATCGTGGCTCGTAAACTTTGGTGTAGCGTCTTCGCAGGATGAGGAATATGGTGAGAGAGATGGCAGCAAGTATGATGACTGGCACCAAAGTGGAAATGATACCAGACAATGAATTCGAGCCTTGACCACGATTGCTTCCATTTTGTGCGGCCTGGAGATGTGGTTAGCAGAGGTTTCTTTGACGGAAAGGATTAGATGTCGCTTACCTGTCGCCTCAGCAAATGCATGCCGGCGTCCATTTCGACTAGGCTGCTTGCTGCAACACCAAAAACAGCAATATGCAAGAAAATACACAGTACAAAGACAACACAAGACTATAATATTTATTTTGTGTGTAGACGGATTGACGTTATAGACTGATCATGTCGATTAGAGTTGACGAGTGAAGGAATTCCAAGGTTGATGTGCCTATGACGCCACATGCGTCTGCACGTTTCCTGCTGCAGGTGCGGCTCTCTGTTTATGCTTTCCCATTTTCGAGATTCGATATGACGATGGTCAATCTTAAGCACGACTAGCGTCTACGTTTACTGGTAGCAAGCGCGACTGCGGGAATGTTTCTGCTCCACTTTGTCGGCTGGGTGACTGATTGATTTGCTTGGCTTTCCTCAGAACTTGCAATTATGGGGAATGGCTACAGCAGCCACAACCAAGATCGTCGTGAAACATTGAGCCAGGTTTGCCTGGACGATGGCCAACATCTGTGGCTTGATGTGGCACAAAGGGGTTGAACAGATAGTTTGTGGTTTTGTGTGACCAATATTTTAGGGTTATTAGTTTCGGTGGCTATGCTTATTTGTCTTCATGCTATTATATCTTCGATGTGTGAATCTTGAGACCAGTGGCACGATCGGTTCCTCCTATGAAAGGTGTCTTGGCAACTCTCCTTAACTTTCGATCTGATCCATCGACCCAAAGCTCACAGTCCAGTGCTTGCAGGGCGGCACGGCGGCTTCATAAATGCGAGCAAGGCCGGAGAAACTCTTTCGCAATAATTGTATGGAGGTTCTGATATGAGTGTTGACTTTGTCACACAGCACATCATACAGGTAAGCCGTCTGTGAAGCCGCTGATCCGGCACCCGCAGCATGCAACATGAAGAAGAAAAAGTCTGTTGTCTTCACTGCTCCAATCGGTCGAACCCTATATCATGCCTGGCATGTCCACCCCACCGTGGTTGGTAACACCTGCCGGCATGCACAGCTTATGTACAATGGCCGACAAAATCGACAGCAAGCCCACGATAGCCAAACTGCAGGTGACCGTGAAAACTTCATACCATCTACCAGGATGTTTCGAGTTTGCGACAATCTCACGTGTGGCAGCGACAACATTCGTGTATTCTTCCTTACTCTTGTCCTAAGGTTATCGGTTAGACTTGTGTCGCATCCGAGTCTGCTGTGAAATGTGTACACTAACTCTTGTTTGGTTCAGCAGATATCCTGCTTCCTCCAGATTGCTGCTTGGCTTCATCCTGAACAATTTACGAGTTGGGCGTAGAACTTTTCCAATGTTCATGTGTATGTTCTGTCAATCTAGAATACGATGACATGTTCTGGAATGCCAACCACATTGTCACTACCCTAAAGCACGGACTCGAAACAACCAAATGCCCCACACTCTGATACCTTACAATCGACTGACTGAACAAAGACCCTGTTTTTACAGTATATCACGTTACACGGCAGTCGCACGCCCGCTGTCCTTAGCCGAAGGATATTCAACCTTGACCTCGACCTTGACTTTCATACCCCAGCCCAGGTCGTTGTCATCATCCTCCTGTCCCTGCTCCTCAACCTCGTCATCTGTGCTAGACCAGTCATCATCAGCAGCCGTCAGCTTCTCCTTATGGTAACGATTCGTCTTCACCCAATTCTTCTTCTTGCCCACTTTCTTGATCTTCTTGATATACTCCTCCAGGGACTCTTTCACCTTCATAGGATCGTCCTTGTTGGATTCTCGCATTCGTAACCTGAATGTCAGACGAATACCAGGCTTCCTACCGTCCTTACCCAGATCCTCTGCGAAGCATGCCTGGAGTTTCAGATGTGGTTTCTTGTGGTGTGGTCTGTGCAATCCGTTTGTCTTTGCAACTGGGTCAACCCCTTCGCCTTCATCGTCACTGTCGAAACCTTCAAGATCGTCCTCGCCGCCAGCAGGGTAAATTCTGCCAAGTACAAGCGCAACTGCACCAAGGTAATTGATCCACCAAATTTCGGCAGGGGTAAGCAGCCGCCGCATCGCTTCTCGATAGTTATAGTCGCGAGGAGGCAGATCGCCTTTGTATCGGGCGTCGAGTAGTAGAGCCATTATTGCTCGGTTGCGATGCGAAGTGCCGTGCGTGTCAGCCAACACTCCTGAAGACGTCGTGTACAAAGCTGCAGCTGAAGAGAGTTCTTTGCTCATGTCGGCGTGAACGTAGATCATATTGGCAAAGCCATGCAGGATGTGAATCGACAGTGAATCTGGTATGTGCTTCTTTGACTCGAAAGATGGGATCTCAGCCCAACCATCTTCAATCTCTTCGAGAGCAAGTATAGCATTGCGAGATGGCTTCTGCTTCGGCAGAGAGTCGTAGAATAAATTAGCAAGCTTTGGTGCAAGAGGTCGTGCGTATGGAGCTGTAGCAACCTCAATCGGTGCTTGTGTTCGAATCTCCGGAGGCAGGTCCTTGAACAATATACCTTCTCTGACACCACCTTGACAGAAATTGGCCTCCTTGATGCCGTGAGGTATGACTTCTGCCAGCACGCTCACCAGAAAGGCGACTGCAGGAACCTGAGCTCTTCTTCTATCCGACACCCTGAATATCCGATCAGCTTCTCTGGCAGCCTTCTTTAACCTCCTGACATCGGTGAAGTCCTTTCTTCTCGCCACGAAACCGTTGATGATACTGAGAGGATAAGCTCGCTTGTGCTTCTGTGCCATGTATAGTAAAATGTAACCCCAACCTCGGAATCCTCCACCAGACAAAAACAGTGTAAAGCCACCTTCACGCTCTGCCTTCTTGACAAGCTCGTCAGGAACTTCTAGACCATAGTAGGCACGGTGGAAATTGTCCTTCATCTCCTTTCGTAGAGCTTCTTTGGCGGCTTCGGCCTCTTCCGGCGACTTGGCTTTCTTCTCAATGAGCTGGAGTCTTTGCGTCAAAGCGGCGGCACCATAAGGGAAACTAAAGGCACCTTTAGGGCTCGTTTCCATGTGTCCATCGGTAGTGATCATCCATGTAATCTGGGTACTACCACCACCTAGATCCATGACCAGTCCGTCCACGTCGGAAGCACTGCTGGCTATTCCCCATGCTCCTGTTTGACCTTCTCCAGCCTGGGATAAAATTTCGACGTTAAGACCAGTCTCTTTAGCGACCCGACCGACGAACTCCTCGCCGTTCAGAGCCTTGCGAGTCGCTTCGGTTGCTATGATACGGATATTCTCGAACGGGACACCAAAGTCAGAGCAGAAGATCTCGAAGCGCAAGAAAGCTCCGATGACAGACATCTGTACATCTTCGGGAATTGGGATCTGATTCCCATCGTCGTCATATTGAGCTTCGTACAGAGAGATGCCAAGGCGATAGCTGTAGAGAGTAGGCAGGATACGTGCTGTTGACGAGGAAAGGTCTGTGATGGAGAAACGAATACCATTGCTGCCCATATCAACAATGCCATGGAGATTTCGATTGAAGATTCGTGAAGTTGATGATACTTCATTCCGCCTGTGCGACAGGTCGGGGGCTTGTGGTCCGCCGCCCATAATTATGCGATGTAGTCGTTAATGAACCCTCAACGGGCAAGGTTATCTGTGCCGGTGTGAGAAGGTTCGAAAGCTGTTCTGCAAAGCGGCTCGTACAAAACAGTGGGTAGAGAAGTGCGTGTGCTCTTCGCGAATACGAGTTGGACTGATTCTCCTGTCTTTAGAGAACTTGAATCACAAGATAGAGGACCTTGTTGTGAGCCTGGTTTACCAAAGCTAACATTAGGCGCTATGGACACTAACATTGGCATGGCAAATCAACGAAGCATCACAGTTCCACGCGTCCCAGCTGCGTCAACCAGGTGACTACGTCACATCAATTGTCCGGAAATGGTTGGACTTGGCATCTCGAATCAGTATACAGCTCTCCTATTCAACAAAGCATTTGACGGCACAGTGTGCCAACAGAGAAGGTGGTTTGCCGATAACGATGGTACCTACTTCGGCGACGAATGTTTGTCGTTGTCTCAGAATCAGTCCTTAAGATGCTGTAAAGTCTGGAAAGCTCTTAAGTCTAGAAGTGTCTATTTTATACCCTGATTCGAGCCTGCTACTATTTACCCTGTTCGACCCAGTGGTCAGTTCGACCTATTAATTTATCAAGGCTCTAGTTGCTTTCGAGTTTGAGCTGAGTGCTCACACGAAGTTGGTACTTATTCATCGCTAAGCAGCTGGCCTGGCTCACCGACTACCACTTCAAACTGCAACATTGGACTGTACGGAGTCTCTTAGTGGCCAAGCTGATGAGGCTAATGTCCTCGCTGCCACCGATACGTCAGGCCTTACATTCGAATTTATCATCCGTCACTATCAGCTGTGTTGGCACTGTTCTCGTCCTTTGCTTCAACATGGTCAGTACCAGTCGAATCCGCTCCCTCAAGGGCATCAATAAACCTATCGATACTAGTCCCTTGGACTTTGCCCTGATCGTCTGTGGAAAATCATTTGCCTATGATCCGACAACCCTTTCCTCATCAAGACGGAATCTAATGCATATCTCTCGTCCTCGATCATTTCGATGATGTCGACGCGGTCCTCTCAAGCCCATATGCTCCAATCTGCTTTCGAAGGTCTCAGACCAATTTGCCAATTTACCGACACGCCTTGCAATATACTCTTGAGAGGTGAAGTAGCATCACGAATGTGTAAGCACCAAAGGCAAACTTTTCCGGCACGATCTTCTATCACTTTGTTATGGGCTCCTTTTAGGATTTCTAGAAGCGAGAGTTGAGCATCCCTTAACCCCAATAAGAACAATACGGTATTTTCGAGCCTGTAAGCAAAATCTGCGGTCTGCTTGCCAAGCCAAATATTTCCAAGATTGGGAAATCGCCATTTCATTTCCTGGAACAGAAGTTTGTCTTTGAATGTGTGACCGATTGACCACATGCCTGCGTAGCGGATTTCGGTTATGGCTGACTCGAACAAGGATCTTGAAATTCCAGGTAGCAGAATCCAGATCAAGTCCCCTTTCCAGGTACCGAAGCGTGACGACAGGAGCGCATGCTTCGCTTCAGGGTACACTTGCCTACAAACGAGCAAGGGATTGGCGGTACTCTGACTAGAAATTCGAATATCGTGTCCCTCGCACACAGTGAAAGGCTCTGGGCAGTAGTGCTTAAGGACCAGGCCCTGTATTTCGAGAGGCGGCTTGAGGAATCTGAACGGTTCAGTCGAAGAAGTGGTGGCTGTCTCGTGCGTCGGCTGCACCTGGTCTTGATATGCCATCAACAAGACTACCTGTTCGTGGTGCTAAACGTGGATATGGATCTTGTAACGGTCAGCTTGGAACGGGTTGCCTACAGTAGTGTTCGCATTCCTTACCGTGATCATACATCCTTGATGGCAATAGAGCGCAACTAACCAGCAAGGGCAAGTTATTAGAAATGTGAAAAGTTATGAAAGAAAAATTATGGTGGAAGTATGCTAACGCTACCAGTATTGCACGTGAAGGTGGCAGGTACGGCCCGTTAATGAATGAATACTTCATTCGCTTCAAGTTGTGTCAAGTAAGTGATAGACCTTTCGCTACGTGTGCTACCTTGCAACCTACTGGTGGACTGCGCTGACTAGAAGTTCACCTGCATTTCAGTCTGTAACGAGAGGATAGATCGTGTTTCAGCTATCATTTTGATTGTTTGGTTATCGATTAACATCGAGCAATGCCATCTTATGGTTGGAGTCTCTAGGTAGGTACTTTACAGCCTGAGCCTCGAACGAAACGAACGCTCAGAATGCATAGAGTGAGCTATGACCACTCTGAAAACATCCGTGCCCCAACACATTCGCAACCGGGTCTACCACTGTTTTCGCTTTGTCATATTCCCTAAATCCCAAAACTGCATTCCTCAATTCATCATGCCGCAAACAACCTCACTCCACGCCCAAGTCTCATAAAAGAATTAGAGCGCTTATCTTCAGAACTCCCAAACACGAGCTCCTGCGCAAAAGCAATCCTCCTTGTCTAAAGCCTGTCGCAGCCATGCAGCTCGATTACGTGGCCCTGGCCATCATATGCAGCTTCGCCGTATTGTCCATCATAATGTTTATCATCTTTCGTAAACAGTCCAAAAAGTCAGAGCATCCAGAAGCAACAGTTTCGAATGCCTCGAACCCAACTTTGCTTCAGCATGCACCTCCAGACAGTCAGAGCGCGTACTCGGTCAGCATGTTGAGTCTGATAAAGACAGGATCACCTGATCCGAACAATCATGGGACGGCAGAGGAGGAAAAGCTGGCAGAAGAAGAGCGGAAGTTTAAGAGGAGGCTGTTCTTCGAGGATAGTGCGGACGACAGTGGTGTCGCAGGGAAGTGTGGCAGTCAAGCTGTATGAAGAGTGTCAGGAGTCAACCGAAATATGTGATTGATATCTTTCCACGACTCAGTCTCTACGTGGGAACCTCATTTATCTTTGGAGCTCTATCTGTGAGCCACCCTCGAGCTTTGGTCAGGTCATTGTGCTCTTCCTCGAGCGCTTTTGTACACCAAGCAAGCTCATACGCACCTTCGGCGGTCACCATCTCAGCCATAGCCCTTCTTGACTGAGCCGCTTCGTCCACACAAAAGCTCAATCCGGTATGATCACCGCTTGCTAGACGATCCAAGACCGGCTTGACCTTCGGCAGGGCATCCTTTGCTGTCACAACTCGATCCTCACCAGTCGAATTCTTGTGGCCAGTCTTACACCATTGAACATTGTGACACCATGGCTTGCCACAGCCCGACATGAGTTGTTGCAATAGCCTTCGCTCGACTCTTCGCCGAAGCATTTTACCCTCAGGATCGTGGGTGGTAACGTACAACGGGCCGAAGCACTCAGTGCACAAGCCAAACTGCTCTTTAGCGATTCTTCCTTCATCACCAGGCTTAATTGTCCTTCCGCAGACTACATTCGAGCATAAACGCGGAGCGATCTTCCCAATTCGGTCGCGGTCATGCAGGCGGAGATGAGTGTGCATATCTCTAAGCCGCACAATGCGATTGCAGATGTGACATTCCGTCGTGCGGGCACCATCAGCATACTCATGCGGAGTCATACCTGACATCAGCACTTCTGGGTCAGTGAAAGACGGGTCTTCTGGACTTTGCTGAGGTACTATCAAGTGACAGAATGGGCAAAGAATCTCCTTGGCAGGACAGGTCGAGGTGCGGTGCTGCGCCAGGATGGGAACGTTGAAGGCTTCGAAGTCGCAATTTGAACATTGGAGTATTGAGGATGGGTGTAAGAGTGTATCGTGTTTGGTTTGAGACAAGAGGCCGTCACCGTAAGCATCGTCGTGGGGACAGTGCCAGTGTGACTTCCATGATTCTGAACTTTTAAGGAATACATTGTGGCATTTCGGACAGGAAATGTTGTTTCGATAACAGAACGCTTCGTGAAGTGCCAAAGTCCTCTTAGGAACGTGTTGTCTGCAGTTTTTGCAAATAACTTCATCGGTATCCAGCTGCGCAGGTGTATTTTGTGGGTCACGCTGACCATTGTCGTCTCTTGCCATAGATACTGTAACAGTAAATGGCAAAGGCTTCTGGTCGACGATGTTATCAGCTTTCCAAGCGTGTATAGATATGTTGATATGTTCTGCCTCTTCCACCTCGACATTCGTGTGACTAATTTTCAGTCTCTTAGCAGGGCGACTGCTCAGGTCGGCAAAAACATGCTCGTCAATTCTTGGTTTCGACCGAAGATGGCTCGAGAAAGGATTTGCAAGGATATCGATATCATCTGTTTCGGCTGTGGTAGTCCGAATCTCTAAATCTGACTTCTTGTCCCACTGCTTGAGCTCAAAATCGACGTATTCTCCTGGCAAGACCTGTCCATGTATTTCCTGACCAACAGAAAGAGCACCACCAGCAGAGCTACCAGTGGCAGTTCCGGGGGCTTTCTTTGCTTTAGCCAACCTCTTATCTAAAGTCTCTCGTGCCTGCTCTTCATTCATCGGCTCAATGTCGACCTCGAGATCTGTGTCCACCACACAGATTGCTTCTCCTTCGGGGTCAACCTTATCTACCAGAAACCGAAATCTTTCATTACGACTTGCTGACACAGTCAACAGCTCACCAGTAGTCAAGGTTGTGAAATTATCTCGTAGGTAGCGCTCAAGCAAGCTCTTCCAATCTTCAGGGTCGTAACCTGATTCCAATGGTCGCAGCTTGACATAGGTTCCTTTCGGAAGACTGCGATGTGTGATGGAGATCGTCGGGATTTTCGATACGACTGTATCGGTCGTGTCGACGTCTGGCTGAGGAGTATTACTCCTCGTGGTCTGTGTTGAGTCATTTCTGATGCCCAGTGCTTCCTGTAGCATTGAGCTGAGCCCAATTTCTCCCTCTTCAGAGCTAAACTCTCGAATTCCGGCATACACTGCACGACCGTTCTGTGGATTGACAAGTCTGAAAGTCAGGGGGTGAGGCAACTGTTGTTGTCTATCTGCGAAAGCATCACGGGCTTGCCGCTCTGCAGCAAACGAGTATTGGTTGAAGGGATTGAAGGACGAGGTATAGTTTCGAGAGCCATTGCCTTCTATGGAGACAATTGGTGCGGCGGCGAGCAGCCCTTCAAGAGCGGATTGCGGTAGAACAATCTTATCACCTTGGAGACGCTTTATTACCGAGGATTCGGGTGCGACATGTAGGCGCGCTGACCACTTCAATGATTCGGCAGTCATGGTGGATGCAAGAATGAACAAGGAGTAACCACAGCAGACGTTGCTGTCCTGTTGCTTCGAACCTTTGAGAATTCATCCATTTTGTTTGAAGCGACTGGAGTGAAACGCGTCTCAGGCAACGAAAGATGACATCGTTTATTCTGGAAGCTGCGACTGATAGATAATCTTTGTGCACGTGACCTGGCGTGCTTTCCAGATATGCCGGGGCTACTCGTCCTCATCGAAAAGCTTCACTATGGGACAGCGACTTTTTGTTGGAACCTCTCGAGGTCGATTCACGTGATGGCGACACGTCTTCGCACTGCTTACTCAGACAGAGTGTCAAGACAGTCCTCGAGGACGTGGTGTAAAGAATTCACTGTTCAGTATTCTGGAACTGATCGGACTGTTTTCAGCCTCAAAGCCCTCGGCCCGATTTGCCTGACGGGACTGACATCCACGTTCAAGATTGGAGACGTTCAATCAGTAGTGCCAGATCCTTTACTCCACCCACCTCCGCGCCGAATAATTGCGGAGGCACAGCATTGGGTCTCGAATTCAGCTCTAATGAGCCAGTAGTGCAGAACGTGCTACATGAAAAGATATGGGATGGTCAGATCAGCGTGCGCCAGAGTGCAATGTCTTGGGTTAAGGAAAGTGTCGAACGATCACGAACCCTATCCTTGAAGTACTGTCCTCGAGTATAAATCAATGGATGAGCCCTCATCTCAAAATTTGACCGAGATTGCCTTGAGCTTAAAAGAGCGAAGCGAATCACAAAGAGCCCCAGGACACTGGCCTTCTGACGCCACGGTGCATGGCCATGCTTGCGTGGGGTAGAAAGTCGCAAGCTCTTTATTTCGCTATACAGTTTTCTGCAACTATTTGCAACCATGTTGCTACGTCTTAGAGCCTGTTTGTTTCTGTACCTGGAGATCATCGCGACTTCCTATCGTCCTCCTTGAGCTTTGTCGCTACTGTTTCCACCAAACACAGTATGTCGAGCTTATCCATTGATCAACAAGCTCGTGCCGCTGAAGCATACATCCTGCAAGAGCTTAGGAAGACCGAAGATGGAATATCTGTGCTAAAGGACAAGGAATTCCAAACAAGGTTGGACACCAACTTCATCACCATATTCGCCATCTTCGCCGAACTATATGGCTACAGACACGACTGCCTCGACCAGCTGGTCGACCTGATATTGATGTGCGGGAAGAGTTGGCAAGCTAGAGATTCAGAGCTACGAATAATCGACAGGCAGAGAGAGCTCGATCCAGAGTGGTACATGTCCAATCAGATGCTGGGAGGTGTCTGCTATGTCGATAGATATGCGAAGAATCTACAAGGTATCAAGGACAAAATTCCATACTTTAAAGAGCTGGGTCTAACATATTTACATCTAATGCCCTTGTTTCTGTCTCCGAAACCTCTCAATGATGGTGGCTATGCTGTCTCCAGCTATCGCGAGGTTGATCCTGATTTGGGTACTATGGACGACTTGAGAGAAGTGGCAGCAGAGCTGCGCAAAGCAGGTATAAGCCTCGTCATTGACTTGGTCTTCAACCATACATCGAGTGAACACCAATGGGCTCGGAAAGCTGTGGCAGGAGACTCAGAGCATTCAGGCATGTACTGGATCTTCCCTGATCGCAACGTCCCGTCTGCGTTCGAGCGCAGCACTCGTGAGATCTTTCCAGATGACCACCCAGGCTCGTTCATACAACTACCAGATGGTCGTTATGTTTGGTCTACCTTCTATCACTTCCAGTGGGACCTGAACTATTCCAACCCAGCTGTATTCCGTGCAATGGCTGCAGAAATGCTCTACCTTGCCAACATAGGAGTAGACTTCTTTCGTATGGACGCAGTGGCATTCATGTGGAAGCGCATGAACACGGACTGTGAGAACCTTCCCGAAGTACACAAACTCCTTCGTGCATTCAATGCATTATGCCGTATCGCAGCCCCTTCTGTCCTTTTCAAATCCGAAGCTATCGTTCATCCAGATCATGTCATCTCCTACATCGACCGCTACGAGTGCCAACTCTCCTATAATCCACTGCAAATGGCCCTGAGCTGGGAAGCACTAGCGACACGCGATGCCAGTATGCTTGCTCAGGCCATTGAAAGAAGACACAATATCCCACGAGGTTGCGCATGGGTCAATTACGTCCGCTCCCACGATGATATAGGATGGACCTTCAGTGACGAGGACGCTCTCGAACTTGGAAAGCACGGTCTCAACCACCGCAAGTTTCTCAATGCCTTCTTCGTGAACCGTCATCCAGGCTCCTTCGCCAGAGGCGTCCCCTTTCAGGATAACCCACGTACTGGGGACTGTCGAATATCTGGTACCACCGCTTCCCTTGCTGGCCTCGAATCAGGTAACGAAGGTGCACTAGACCGTATATTACTCAGCTTCAGCATTGCCATGTCTACTGGTGGCATACCGTTGATCTATCTTGGCGATGAGGTCGGCCAACTAAACGATTACAGCTACCTCAATGATACCTCGAAAATGGACGATAGCCGATGGGTCAATCGCCCCTTCTACCCCGAATCGAATTACGCTCAACGACACGACCCAGACACATTACCAGGCAAAGTCTTCGCAGGAATCAAACGCCTAATTCACTTACGCAAAACCACAGACGAACTCAGTGGAGGACGCGCGATAGGCTTCTTCACTGGCAACCCAGCCATCCTAGGCTACCAGAGGCCAGGCTCAGGCGGAGCAGCCATAGCAGCAAACGGCCGCCGATCAAGCTTGACAGGTGGTCAGACAGGAGGTCTCATGAACAGCATGGTTCTCTGCCTATGCAATTTCAGTGACGAGTTTGAATGGATTGGAAGAGATAGGTTCTTGGGTATGCCTGAGAGTGTGGTTGACCTTATCACAGGGTATGAGATTAACCTACACCACGCAGGAATACACATGAAGCCGCATCAATACATCTGGCTGAAATGGACGTGGTGAGGATCACGTTCTGCGAAAATAGCGTGTAGCATTACTGCACCTCATCATTTTGCCGTAACAATTTTATTCCGACTCTGCAAATGATGCTCATCGTGACCACGTCTGATAATCGTACACCATCAATTGATTACCTTTACCATCGTGCCACACGAGGCCTGCGCCTTGCTACGATTTTATTCCTTCTAGTCTACAAATGCTGAATACAAGCACCTGATAAGCTTAGCTGCTCCAACCCAGGACCCCCTTCACTGCAGTACATGCTCTTCACGAAAGCAATCATTATTAGTATTACATAACCTCCAGCTTAGAATTACAGCTGTATCGTCGTTGCTCCTCTCCTTCTTGACTCAATCTTGCCATTTCCTTCTGCATCCTCACTTCTTCTTTCTTGAGTCCCGTGCGCTTCCTCCGCTCAGTCAGAAAATACAACGTAGTACCAGTAACAGCTGCTTCGGTAGCCTTAATCGCAAATTCAGGCCCTGCTAGCTGCCTCACAGGTTACCTTCACCTTCAGATCGGTCCAAAATACTGAGTACATTTTTGTACAGACACCAGGGACCGAATAGAGAAGTACTTCTTCCTACTTGGCCAGTTCCAGATTCAAAGTTGTGGTTGTTATGTTATGACACCTTTTCCTGGAACTGTGTGGTACAGTGATTTAAGAAGGGGCAGTTTTTGTCGAACTTGCCTATGATTCTAGTATTTCAAAATGCGTGTTTTAGAGCCAAAATATCTGCTGGGTTTGAGGTATCGAGTCGAGACGAAATGTTGCCCTCTCTTGCTTCCTCGCCTGTCCAGTCGACTGCCAACCGCTGAGTGACTATTCATAATTTAACCGTGCCCCAACGCCATGCTATACCCCGATGGTTCGTCGATATGGATTGGAAGCCAATGTCCTGCATATGCCGTAGATCCAGGTACAAAATTAGCGTATAATACGTCGAAGACTAGCTAATCCTCTCATCTATTCCAGTCTCCTTTCGATTTCATATTGTTTTCAATACTTCTCCACAGCTCTTCCACAGTCTCCCTATCTCTCCACCTCCTGTTCGCTCTTTGATCCATATCTACCCCGACCCCGTGAGCTCTCTCGTCCCATCTTTCTACTTCGAATTTCCGGACCGCACTTCCCCAACCCTTGATCTCGGTTGCAAGAGGTAGGCCTTTCTCGCCGACATATACACCCAAGACATTCTCAAATAGCTGTTGTGGCTCGCGCCATTTATAGCTCTTAAACTGCCAAGTTTGTCCCGTGGTGAAAACTGCGACGACACGAGACCAATACTCTGGCTTGAACTGATCGGGTGAATCGACTAGGATGAACCTGAAAGGCTTCGGAGAAAGGGAAGGTAGAGTTCGAGTAACGTGTAAGATATTCGGGGTCATTTGCGAGCTGAGAGCTGGATGATCTGGTGGAACGAAAACTCCCTGGTCGAGAAACGACTTAATGTTTGACATGCGGAGGAGACTCGATGCGGATGGTGATAGCATAATGATAGGATCTGAACGCTTGCTGTTTACATTCGACTGAGCTGGTTTCGCAGGTGGGATTGGCCGTGCTGCTATAGCCTTGGAGGCTGATTGACCCGGACGCGCGCTTGGTGCGCCTTTTGCGCCGCGGCGGCCGAGGAAAAGTTCTGCATGTTTGCGAACGTGAGAGAAGTCCTTTAATTGTCAGTAGCTAGAACCTGGGCAAGACGGACATGAGTGCTCACTGTTGGCTTTATGCCGCGTAATACGGAGTTGTGATCAGCCGTCTTGCGCTCTCCGTTATATATGGCCTGCAACCGCGAGTCCACTACTCTTACTGTCCTCCCTCCGACCTGCTGTGTTGTCGTTGCGCCTGTCCCTGGCTGTACAGGGACGCCAGCTCCTCCAGCGATTTCGGCAGCCTTAGCAGCGGCAGTGTCTGTGCCTGGAGCGCCTTCCACCGGTTTGATATATTCAGACTCGTCTGATGCACCCTCCAGCCATGTCATAAGTTCTATTCTTTCCACGAATACCAAATTCCGTATCCTCTGACCATCGGGTAGTTGTCCATTCAGCTCCTGTGCAGAGGCGATGTAATCAGATACGGTTACATCTTTCTGTACCCAAGCAAAGTATATACTTCGCAGGTCGACTTGTACTGTATCTGGCGTGGTCGAGGTGAAACGTGTAGGTGCCGTTAAGGGCAGGCATTGCGGTGATGGGTACGAGAAATAGAGGTGGCTTGCCTCCGCGAAAGACTGTGTAGTATTTGCGACTGCTTCGTCGGGATTCAACGTCGTTGTCAGTTGAGGAGGCTTGGAGACTGCGAGCGAGTTGCGTAGTAACAGTAAAGGGTCGGCAGTAGACATGGTGTATTCCCTAGCTAGATCACTTCGATACAAAAGGATACGTTGTGCCAGGTCCAACGCGATCTTGAAGATCAGTCCAATTCCTGCTACTCTTGTTATTCGTACTTTTGCACCCAACCCGAGACGAAGGTCAACAGGAATGCGAGTGTTCAATTAGATACGAGGCAGGACAAGGATGCCTGATGCCTTGGTGCCTCGGTGCCTTGTTACTGCTTGCCAATGAATGCAGTGTGTCTAAACTGCAGGTACTGTAGAACACTAAGGAGATCAAGCGCTGAGAGGTAAAACTTGAAGTGCCTGAAATTAAAAGAAACGTGATAATGAGTTTTTCTTTCTTAACTTAACAGCCAAGAGCAAGTCATATCTCACTCTTGCTAATAAACTCGTATAGACAGCCTCACTGAACCTTCCCATTGGGTATCACACCAGTATGAAGTCGACATCAATTGAAGATGGACCAGTTTTTACGCCCAAAAATGCAACAATGTTATGCCGAACCATTATGAAGGTCAAATCAGACACCCCTCGCTATGCTCCCAGTACACCGTTACATATCTAACTCATCTTTCCATCGTCCCGTATCAGTTTTGCATAAGAGTCATCAGAAATGGTTCCTCCCATAGGCTGAAATGATGTGCTGTGCTGTGGAATGCTGCTGCAGGTTGCCACCAGTCCTCGAGGACATACTCGTTTAAGCTTGAGCTTCACTGGATGCATTCAGTTTAGTCAAAGCATGAGCTAGATGTTGTCATAACTTGGAAGTTGATGTGAATATTATGTGATGTTACATTTCCTGCTTCTATCCCTTCCGACTGGTATTGGAGCGGCTGAGTACAGGCTTCTCGTTCGAGGATGTTGACGCAGGTGAAGGGGCGGTCTCTATAGTTGAGGGTGAGCCAGGCACGGGAGCTGGAGACAATGCTCGTTGCGCAAGCTGCATGTCAATTTGGTGTTCACGAATAATACTTTGATATCTTGTATCGCGCAGGAATTTCGGAACGGAGTCCTGCAATTTTGTTAGATCAACTGTATTGGCAAAGACAAGGCTGACTTACGCTTGCCATAAGTTTGGCGACACTGGAGGCTGCCAGCTCGATCAGGTGTAGGATTCTTTCCAGCCGTGCCCGCTGAACATCATTATCCGTTTCAGTTTGTATGATTTGTTCGTCAAGGCGATGACGCAGTGAGTGGTCAATATTGAGTTCGGAAGGTGCTCCGGTAGCCAGGAATGAATTGTAAAGGTCTTGCGAACAATTAGTACCAAAGCATGAGGGAAGAGGAGTCGGACTCACTATACGCGGTTGCTAAGCAATCTTTGACATACTCAGGCTTCACCACGCCATTCTCCTTCCTTCCATTGTGGTAAACTTTGAGCAGGCCTTGCACATCCATCCAGAAATTGAGGTTCTCCTCACATAGCGACATTTTTAGATGTTCTCTAAAGAGCATGCGGAGCGCTGGGTCGTGGACGATCATGTTGAATCTATTCATGTTTGTATCTCGTGGAATCTTCACCTTTTCATGGTCCGATTCGGTGCTTTCCTCACTGCTCATGCTTACTGGACGTGCTAACCAGCCACAGATCCTCTGGCCTTTCTCCGTAACAGCATAAATTGCATTCTTGGTCGGCTGGAAATGTGTTTCTGACGGAAATTGACGTTGGTAGTTTCTGTCCTCGATCACTGGTGCCATCAATTGTGCTCGTACAAAGCTCTCGCAAAGCTGAAGACACTCGCGGCGGTCGATGGTAGTACAACAGTCTTGTAACCAATCAGCCGCAGCTTTGCCCATGAACGTGTAAGGGACGGTTTTGTTCATCACTCTCCTGTCCTTGGCCATCTTTACGCCGACTAGTCCTGTCGCATAGTCCGAGACAGAATCTGAGTCGGATAGGGTGGTATTTGCCTTGAGATTTGGTCCTTCCATTCCACACATACGTCGAAATACGACCTCAACGGTTGTCTTGTCGAGGCTGATGCGGTCTGTGTCCATATCTCGCTCTAGAACGACGAGCTGCATTTGTGCCTTCTCACATAAGGCTTCGAGCTGTGGGGCGGGTTGGCCGTTCCTATCCACCCATCGCTTCAGAATTGTGCATCCTTTTGGTGTGACTTGCCAGATAGCACCCTTCGTAGGGAATTGTGGGTAGACCTTGCCATCTGCAGCCTCGATGAAACGAGCATCGACCAATTGCTGACATGTGGAACGCGCCATATCTCTTCCCATTGACCAGGTGGTCGAGGTAGTGGTCTGCACTGTCTTGGTGGGGTCGCTGTGGTCAGGTACGGTGTGTCTTTGAGTGACTTTCAAGCAGGCCAAAGGAGCCATAGCATCTTCAGAGGTGAACGTGTCCTCCACCTTGCGAAACCTTACTCGATGCTCTGTTAGCGGAACTGTGGACATCAAAGCGGCGAACATGTCCTTGAAATCTCTCATGGTAGACCGACCATCTATTGTTTCGAGTAGCGACTTCGAGGAGCCTTGGTAAGCAGATTTTGGGGGCATATTTGGCGTGTCTGGTAGTGGTACAACGGTTGTGGCAGATGGATTCTTTTCGGAATTCATTCTTGCGACCGTGGATGGAGAAGTGATATTTCTAGGCAAAGCTGGTCTTTGTACAACTGGCGTCGAATGCGTTTGCAAGCTACTAGATGACGTGGTTGACCTCAAGGCTGGTGTATTGGGTGCACCTATATTCGCGAGTTCTGCAACCTTGTCTCTTGCTAAGGCTGCCAGCGATCTCCTGCTCTTGCTAGTGGTCAAGCCGGACGACGAGGACGAGTGCTTATGGCCTTGTGGCCTGGGAGGGTTGATTGCAGGACGAGAGCGTGGGAGACCTGGTGGTTGCTCCAATATCGGTCGTTGTGCAGTTGAAGTCATGGAGGTTACTCATAAAATTAGAGAGCTGGGCATGACTGCCGTGATATGGTTGTGGTAGGGGACAGCCCTGCGCGGTGTGAAAGCTGCGACTGATCGACTGGGATGAATGGGTCTGAGACGAGTAGAAGTTAAGGCTTCTGATGGAAATGGAGTTCTGGTGGATGACCAGTGGTGGACACAGTCTGCTCGTGGTAAGCCGTTCCAAGCCTCAGCCAGACAATTAGGTGGACGCTATGATTCAAATGGCTGACTGCTCACACAGCGTGGGAGCGAGGACTAGTGCAAAAAAAGCTGGAGGAGCGGACAAAGTTTTTTGCGTTAGGTCATCTCCAATTTGAACAAGCGGTGCTCTACTCCTTGCTCTGTGCCTTATGAGTCCCTCACTAGCCCACACTAGGCAGGTCACTGTCGTGTAACCTTGTCAGTTCAGGAGCATCCGGCTCAAGCGAGAAGCGTGCTTGCAACGTGGCCGAGCACACAGGTTGTACTCGTAAGAGATTGGCTTCTGTTGTGCTGCTGTTACTGGTTACGTGGTTTTGCTGATCTTAGTTGCTCCAAAGGAGCGTGCAAAAATTTGCTTGACTACTAAGCGGCTCTTTCCAGGTTGATGACATGAGTCGGAAGGCAAAAGAAAGATTGACAATGATGGCGGCGACGATCATACGCTCAACATCGTTGCCGAAAATGAAACAGCAGTACGAAGTCAAACTGCATTACAATTGGCTGTGAATTCTACGTCCTCACAGCTTCACGAGATATAGCAATACACAGCACTCGAAGAAAGCCTGTATGCAAGCACTTTTCGAGCTTGTGTCTCAGTATGTATGCCTCGAATTTCCAGCCTCTTACGTATTGCCAACCAGTGATCAAGACAATCCTAATCTTCAGATGTTATGAATATCTTCCTTGCTATCAATACCGATTCTCGTTCTCAGTTGAAAAGACCTACCTCCGTATTGTTCCAAATGCATGGTGCCTATCGCCGCTACCGATTCTAGTGTCGTTTTCAGAACAACTCCGCAGCACTAGCTTTCTGAAACATTTTCGTTCATCGTAAAGCCGCAAGGAACACATCGCAGTGCCTTCTCCTCTCGTCCACTAATGAAAAGAAAATAGCTTCTGGGCATGATTCGCACTTTAATTCGAATTTTCGGCGGACAGTCTGCGGAACGACCGGGATCCTGCGAACTTTATCTCACAGAAACACGTTTTGCTGGGATCGAAGCTTGTGGGTGCCACTCCATCTCATCTCCAATCCAAATACGATCTGCCATGGTATTGCCCGCTTTACCAGCAGATTGACCTATCTTTCCTAGCTTTAAAGCTAGTTGCTGGTTTTCTGGAAGGAAATTGTTACTGCCGACCATGAAAAGCTCGAAGAGTAACGTCAGTATTCGTTGTCCCTGTCCGTGCTCACTCGATGATAAGTGACCTACTGGCGTGTGACATGCATGGAAATTACAACTCCTCGTATGGATTGTGGTGAAGCAACCTGCTTGGACGCTTCTGTTTTATCTTGATATACATGCCTAAAACTGTGGGCTCGTTCCATGGAGATAATTGCGTCGAGCTGCAACCGAGCATAATGAAGTTCAGACAATCCTCCTGGAAAGCTTGCTTTTCCCGAGGTAGCTGGGGTTCATGGGACGCAGTGAACACATGATCAGAATTATACGTACCTCCTGCTGGCGCACTTAGAGCTGGGGAATCTATGTGTACGAATGATAAGGGTATGAGTGCTGGCATTCCGCATCATTACGAAGTCAAGGTCATATCGATCAATCTGTTGTGCCGTACTTGAATGATTTGTTACCATAACTACTGTACTTGCACGGCAGTATTCGCGGTATGCACAATTCAATGTTCTGGAAAACCAACAACCAACAATGAAGGAGAACCACTAGCATCGAACTCTTGTCGTTGCACATGGAACCGACCGTTTGAGTTCAGCTACATAATAGCAAAACTATATCAAGCCACGACCTTGCTTAGATTCGATCATCACTCGTCTTCGAAACACTATGTATTTCTTCTTGCCTGGAATCAGTCGAGGAGTTCTCAATCGACAGCTGATACGGAAAGATCTCAGACATCCTGTCTGCCTTCTTCCATCTGAGAAGCCTCTCCCTCAGGCGTGCTGCCCAGTCATCATCGCATTTCATAAAAATACTGAACAGCTCGATTATGTGCAGCAGCCCACTCTCGGGAAAATGGATTTTTGATTACATGCTAGCCTAAAAGCTTGGTCGATCCTTTCGGGCTGGCCTGACTCACACGCGCCCGAACTAGCGAGCATCTCCGTCACGAGAAAGTGTTCGAAATGCGTATCTGAGGGCGGCCAGGTACAACATCCAGGTCAAACTTACTGTATGATTCAAGGTCCACCTGAAATTCGAGCTGTATAGAGAGAAGATCTTGGGTCTGTGCAACAAGTTGTGATCGCTTATGCTATATAAACGAGGTCAGCCAAAATCGATTCTGCTGTTTCAGGCTGCAATTCAACTCCGAACACATACTGCTACAGCAGAGAGCCACAAGGTACTTGGTTTGAATGTACTTCTCGTACGGTCTAATCTCGGTGGTGGTATTGACTTCGAAGTTTCCGTTACAGCAGGCACGAGGAGTACTTGCACGCGCTACCATGCACATCCTTGTCCTGGGCTGCATCAAAACACTGCAGAAGCTGCCAGGATCGAGTGGAACTCACCACTCGCCACGTGGCAGCAGGCGTGCATCCCACTTATTTCCCGCCTGTGTGGTAGCTGGTCTCTCCTGACAGCCACTTTTCTGCTTGCTTCATCACCACGTGGCCAGTAGCAAGGATGCCGTCGCAGATGTCTCGCAACCGTCACTGATATCGGCGGCGACTCGGAGAAATCTTTATCTGTACAAATATTGCGTCCTCGTGTTCTTCACGTGCTTGTCAATCTTATCAACTGTCAGGTACCTGACATTGTTGACCAACAAGCTATCTCCCGAAATAGGCATTGCTTCAGCACACAAGCAGTGAGTCACTTCCATTGGTTTCTGGAAATCACATCCCTGTGACCATGTGGTCGAAATGGAGACCTGGAAATCCACCTCCGTGCTTTTGCATTGCATATACTCTCGTTATTTGCACGAGCAGTCGCGTTTCTAGACGTCAATTCGTTAAACATGGACATCCCTAACCGCCAATGCTGGAACACGAAGCAACAGTCATATCGACAAGCCTTGTGGTGATTATTTCAGTCTCCACGGAAGCTCTCTCGAACACTTTAGAAATTTCGTAGCGACTTTTCGTTTCGCGAGTTCGCCCGGTTGTCTCTAATGAAGCGAGAACACTAGTAGACAGCCACCAGCGAGCGGCGCGTCCAAGTGTTAATGAGCATAGTCCACGAACGATTAACATACGAATAGAAAGCTGGCACGCCGTTACAGCACGATGTGAGACAAAAGAAACAGCTTCATGAAGCCTTATCGATCCAATGGATTTAGTGACCAGGTGGGAGATGAGCACGTTGCACTCGGTAGGTCCGGCAGTTCACCACCAGCCCCAATCTCTCGTTACCACTTAAATCTGATAAAAGTAGGAATTTTGAATTACAAGCCAGCCCTTTAGGTGACCAAACCAATTGCTTGTTCCGAAAGAGCTTCGCAACCTCCAAAAGTACCAAACGTGGTTCTCTCCGTGCTCGAATTCAACGTAGCATTGCTGCAGCATGATGACTGTCCTGCTCGAGTAGACCGAGCTTCGGCGACCACAGATAGGTCCGCGCGTCGTAGCCCAAACGCATGCTTTCTCAGCCTAGAATTGACCAGACATATATCCAAGTGATGGCGAAGGGTATACTAGCTTGAGCGAACAGAACGACATTTTCCTAAAACTTTGAGAGGATTATGAGATGCTGGAGAGCACCAGACTCTGAGCAGCAAGTACGGCTCAATTGTCCTTCGAAGCATTTCAAGATGCCGATTCTCCAAAGTAACGTGAACTCTTCTGAGTATCTGTTGTAATGTGGACTTGAGCCATGTGTGTACAAAGGCAAATACTTGCTGTAAAGAAATGTGTTATCCGCTGTGATGGGGATTCAAGCGTTCATAAATTCGGTATATGATGTCTTTGCAATCTTAGGACTGAGAGATTGTGTCAAAAATAATTAGAGGGATGTCACGAACCCGGACCTCCTACTTTGCTTGCCACGGCATGTCTCATGTAGTCTGTTCGCCCATTAAGCTTTTCCAAGTAAATCTCGTCAACCACATCACAAACAAAGTCATCCACGATCTGCTCGTTATATCGTTCACCAATTGCTCTGCACATCTTCCTGGGCTCCGGACCGGGATCCTGCTCGTACCCGTGCCACCAAGGGCCGTCGAACTTGCATTCTACCGCACCACCTGTGAAATGTGACAAAGCTGGGTAATACCCCAATAATCCATCGTCAACGGCGCCTTCTTTGAGCGAGGTCTTGCTTCCAAGCTCGATGTAGGAGGCTGGAGGAAGGAATGCAAAGAGATGTTTCGCAAGAATACCGTGATATTTCCCGTTGACCCAGACCTCGATCTTGGAGCCTGGTAACGTTCTGAGATGCGGCAATTCGTGTTGTGGATGTGTTTCGGTGTTTAGATCGTATGGTTTGCCAGTTTCTGGGTTCTGAGATTTGGTTTTATTGCCAGCACTTGGTCTGCTGAGGTCGTTGTGAGGAGTGTAGTCTGGACACTCAAAGTATACCTGCCCTTTGAGGCCGAAAGGATTACGATCGCGAATGACTTCGTGATCAGATGGAAGGGTATGGTTGGACAGTGAAGAGAGTTGCCATCGCAGCGCTGCTCTCAGAGGATCAGGCTCGGCTGGTTTGACAGAGTCTTCCCTCTCTTTGAGCTTGTTCTTGCCAGAAGCGCTTTGCTTCCCAGTCTTGGACGTCTTTTGACGCTTGTTTTTCGACAAGTGAGCAGGACCGCATTCGAGATGGGGGTAGTCGCCAGGATTGAAGGTACCTTCGACCACTTTCTTGTGGACTTCGAGAGGTGGTAGGGTGATCATCAGACCTATCACGTCGCCAGGCGAAAGGTCATCGAAATCTTGCCCACCTTGAATATGCTGAATCTCGGAGTTGAATCGTACCACGCCATAATCTCGGCCATAACCTGAGCGCGTCGCGACTGCATAGCTATAGGCGCTGTTACCTAAAGGCTCTCCATAAGCTGCCTCTCTTCTAGCAAAGCCGACTCTTAAGCCTCCTCTGCTAGTGCTTGTTCTATCTCCTTCTTGAAACGACGATAGTGATGCTTTGGGTGGTTCTCGACCAGGCGGTGCTTGTGAAATAACCTTGGCTTCCCAGAAGAACTGCCCTTCTCTTGCAAAGACGTTTGCTTTAGTTGTGTAGTGACCCCATTCTCCAGTCTTACTGAGCATGTCCTTGCTAAAGCAATTTCTCAGTTTATCTATCTGGCATTGTGGATGTTGTTCGTCGCTCAGGCGGGCGTGGTATGGAGGCGCTTCTGCGGCATGAAAGTAGAGGCTCTGAGGATCGCGACGTGCACGAATGTAGAATCGCTTCTCTCTTGTCTCGACACTCCGTGAAATTAGCGGCACGTTCATTGATTGCCGAAGTGTAAACTTACTGGTGACCAAGAGTGTAAAAGTCGAATTTCTCTCCATTTGCTCCTATCTTGGTGTGGTCGTGAGTCTTCTTTACCTCCTCTTGCTCCTGCTCGTATTTTGCTTCACGATTCACGACATAGACTGGCAGGTAGACGCGATTATCATGCTTGGATTTGTCAATACTGCTCGCCGCGGTACCTGTAGACTCTTTGAGTTTCGTACTAGGAATCTTTTCTCGATGCCCACGGCCACCTGAGACTTCGTCCATAATGTTGACGTTGAGTTGAGATCACAGAGGATGGGAACATCTGTCAAAAGAGAAGTTGTCTGGATACCGAACCAAACATCTAAACACAATTATTCAAGAGTCTCGAGGTGGTGACCCGCGTCACTGATCACGACTACACGTTAAAGTGGTTGCATCTCAAAGCACCCAAGCACTGCACAAACTTGCCAGGCACTATACAATTACCTCTTCACGACGAGCGGCAGTATTGACACATTTGTTCGCTGCGCCCCTTTCAGAAGATTGTTGTTGTGAGTGCTTGCGACTTCGTTGAATTGCTGTCTACTTTACATGGCGGACTGGTAATTGAAGGATATTGGAGCACTGGCATCATTGTCCAATGGATCTGAAACACGACTGGGTTGCACTCGCGGCACACAGCCTAAAATCGACAGGAACCAGCACACCCTTATGAGCAGCAAGTCTAAGCGCTAGAGCGCCGACTCGTGCTGCTCTTCTGAAGTGGCCAAATATATAGACTTGTTGAGAGTTGTGAATCGGTGTCTAAACCACATATACACTTCTGTCATATGTCCAACGTTACAACAGCACCTCAAACCGATAATAATTAATACCTGACATGGCAGATGATTGTGTCCATTGAGATATCTGGCCTGGCTCTCTTTCGCTTGCAATTTGTGTCGACATCGACTAATCACACCCATCGTTGAGATCATTCAGGATAATCAAAATCAAGCGTCTTCACCCCATCCGTCAAGCACTCTGACAACGTCACCCACATTTGGCCAGGTATCTAGCTTCGCCTTCACAAGAAAGGCCTCACCTACGAACTCAACGACGCCCATCATCGCGACCTTGATGTTTCTCAACAAATCTTTCACCTTCCGAACGCTTTCGCTTTTGTCGTCCATACCTCTAGCACCAAGAAGTCGCCCAAGACCTCTGAGATGCCATAATGCAGGACCTGTACCAAGTCCCAGGCAGGAGATCGTGACAAACACAATGAGTTCTGTTTCGAGGGGTGTAAACTGTTCGAAGTCCGATAGGTACAGGCCATAGACGGTGAAGAGCTCCATAAACTGGACATCAGCTGTGTGGTAACCCCATTGAGGAAAGATTCGGTTGTGCAAGAGTTCGTGACCATAGATAGAGTGTATCGTGTCGAGTCCCCTGGCGTGTATAGCGTCGCGGTCTATCGTGTTCCTAAAAGGCACTCCGTCGTCAGAATATGCAAGGTAATAAGTCAGGAAAGAGTTCAGTGTCAATGCACTGCGTGGTGTTTAGGGACTTCTCGGAAAATGTAATACCTACCATTTTTCACTCAACTGACTATCCTTGGCTTTTCCCTGTGGCGTACCTTCTGCTGCTGCAAGCGGTGTCATAGCCATGAGAACCTGTGGCGCTCCATTCAACGTTACTTGCTTGAGCAGAAGGTCTCTGAATTGTAGAGATAGTTTCTGCTTGGCGTCTTCATGCGTGAATGCAACATTGTGCTGAGTCAGATACGTATAGAATTCCGCCAGGAGTTGTGGTGATGGAGACGTAGCCAGTGCGGCGGCCTATCTGCCATGGTCAGATCTCAAGAGAATGTTTCAATCTTTTGGCAGCATTCTAACTATCAGTATGTACCAGACTTGATCACCTAATTCTTTCGGGGTGAGAGATTTGGTTTGGTCAATCAAGTCGTCCCACTGCTCTTTGGCGTAGATTGACATCTTGAATCAGTCTTCGTAGTTGAAACAAGACGAGCTGTAGATAGAACGGCCTTTGTCCTTTGTATGACCTTGGAACTGAGGACGATCTGAGGTCAGCAGAGTTCAACCGACGAACCGTTGGAGAACAATGTTCTCCATTGTCCTCTGCTTCAGGGAATCTTCGAGGAGGAGGAAGAAGACGACTATGTCCTACTATAGCGTGAATACTTCTCAGCCATTGGCTCTACGACGACACCTCATGCGGCAAAGGACTTGAAACCTGTCTATCGTGGAGTGAAGGGCACAAGAGATGGGAGTGATGGCAATCTGGTGGAGGTTTGACCAATGGCCATTGGGCATCGCGTGAGGCAGAACTCCACCTGACTCTTCCCCCCAACGCGTACTTGTCCAGTCTTCACCAGATCATCCACTGCGAGAAGGCCACGCAACGTTGAAGTACTCACCTAATCCCGAATCTAAACGCCGTCGACGTAGTTCGCTCTGTGCCAGACTTGTAGGAGCAAGATGTGATCTATCGGACAGACAATATCATTCATTTATTCCTCACGCCTGCCATTACAATGGCAGCGAAACGAAAAGCTGACGAAATTAGTACCGGAAACCATTTCGACGATGGGAGAAGAGATTCATCGCCTTTGGCAGCCGCCTATGGTCTCAATCTCGAACCCTCGACGTCAATGCCAGTGTCAGCAAAATCACCCAGAAGCGAGGCCAATCTACGTGCCAAGCAGACATTCCACAGGGTTCGACATTTTCAAGCCTCTGTTGACGCAAAAGCCTTAGACACAGCCAGTCAAGCTCTAGCCGAAGCGGTTGCATGTGCCAGCGCAGCTGGAAAGGCTTCGTCCTCCTGTCCCGCTCCGCCAATACCGAACTCAGCTAATGTTGCGCCAACCTCAAACAACAACAAGCTAACGGGCTTGGACGCGCGATGTATACCATATCAAACAGGCAACCATTATTGCGACGGTCAGAGACCCAACTGTGATGAGTGTAAAGCCTCATGGGGTAATTGCACATATCCTGCAGTTCAGGTAACTGCTGGTCAGAGAATTCGATGCCTTGGTTGCCAGGACAAAGGTCAATTCTGCGACTTCGAAATGCCGCGGTGTTCTTGTTGTGCGAAGAAGAACGAAAAGTGTTTATACCCAGTACGATACCCTGCTGAATGGTGCATTTTGTGTCGTCAGCCTGGACGTCAATGTGATATGCAACAGCCTAGGTGCTCGACATGTGTTAGGAATCAGCAACCTTGCAAGTACGACACTCAGCCCCTCTTGCTCCCCAAGACAGCAACGAAAGCTATCGATCTTACATCAGATGCAGAAGAACCAAATGATCCCGAGTACGAAGTCGAAGCGATTCGGAGACAGCGTGTACGGAAAGGTGTCACGGAGTACCTCGTTAAATGGAAAGACTATACTGAAGCAGACAATACATGGGAACCAGAAGAAAACCTGGAGGGTGCGTCCGAAGCTCTTGAGACATTTCGTTCGAGGCACGTCGTTAGTGATTCTCAGCAGCAGCAAAACGTACCGCCACCGCCTCATCGTCCTTTCGAAGTCAGGATGTACCAGCCTCCTCATTCAAATGCGCAAGTACCACCTCAATTTAAAGAGCAGAAAAAGCAGCTGCCAGGACCACCATTTCCTACTTCTCAACAGCACATGTCTCCTGAGATGGCAGAACTGGCTGCAGCAAAGGCAAAGATTGCTATGCTCGAGGCACGACTTGCTAACCAGCAAAATGTTGGTCAACTCAGAAATGACCCGACAGGATCAGGTGTTGCTGCTCCTGTACAACAATTACACTACGGTGCGACTCCTGTCCTACCCCTTGCTCAACCAAGGAAGCGCATTCCTGACGACGTGAAATCAATTGTTGCGCATCGATATGGAGCAATAGGTAGTGAGTACCTAGTCCGCTGGAAAGATGCTGGTCTTGACGATGATACATGGATACCAGCAGCGGACCTGACAGACATTAAGAGTGCTATACTCGAATTCCAAGATGTCATGAAGTATGGAGATAACATCTATGATCGGCCACCAATACCCTATCAGTCTCCAATACAGACCGCTGAAGAGAGAAGGAAAGGTGCATGTTGCCGCAGATGGATACCACACGACATCTTGTGCATTGTCAATCGTCGACATCGCAAGAATTTTCGTGTTGAATACTGTGTTCATTGGAAGGGTCCTGGTCCGCCTACATGGGAAACACAACTGTCCCTCCGAAATGCAGCGATATACGTCGAGAGATATCACACTAGTTTGGGCAAACCTACCGATATACACCCTAATCTGGTCCAGCAACCCTCGGCCGCAAAAGTCGGAGCACGACCACAAGACAATATTCGTGTGGGGCCATATAATCGAGCCACAGGGCCACAAGCAATCAATTCGCCACATACTTTCGCTGACCAGACCACCTCGAATGTTCAAAACAACACTGGTGCTTCGGCAGCAGCAGCACAGGGTAAGGGAGCTCAGTTGTCACATGCATCCAGGCAACATCCGCCTGCTCCACCACTAGCAACTCCTTTTCTTGGAAAGCCTCTTCCAGCGCCTCAATTGTTTCAACGCAATGACACGAACGTAACTCCTACTTCCAGCTCTAGACTCCCTCTGACTACAGCATCACCCGTGCCATCATCCTCCAAGAACAAGCGTGGACGACCTAGAGAGCAATCCTTGCCAGACGCCCATTCGAGGCCTCCACAACCGAAGCCAAGCAAGCAGTTTGTGCCAGTCGTTGATCTTACACAAAGTAACCATAGCTCCAACGCTCCTCCTGCGTCTAGTGGGATCAAAAAGAACAAAAGCTTGGTGGGTAAGTTAGCTGAACTCAAGTCCAACACAAACAAGCTCAATGTACAACAAAGTGTTACTCGGCCAGTCAAGCACGACAATCACAATGATAGACAGCAAGGACAATATCTTCTTATCCCTGAGAACGAAACGTTTCTAGTAAGCCGAGTCTTTCCTTTCAGCCCATACGGCCCGTATACCCAGCATAACGTGGCAATGAATGTTCTGCTTGCGGCAGGAAAACACCCTTGGTTACCAGCACTGAACGTTCGCCTGCGCGGTCTCATCGATCGTGGTGCAAATGGTGGTGAGCTAGACGCGCAGGCGCAGCATCAACGTGGAGAAAGCTTCAAGCAGTATGTAACAGAGCGTCTGTTGGCGGAGCAGAGTCAGAGGCCGAACCAAGTTCCCCAAACCCGGTCATGACTGTCCTGAGCTGAGACCACTACGGAAGTGTTCGAGGACAGAATGGGTCAGTGTATAACAATTCCACATACTGACAAACTGTTGGTATATCACTTCAGCAGGTCTGTATGTCGCTTTTATAGTTTACACGCCTGCACGAAAGATCGTGCATTTGAAACAGCTGAACAACCTCATCTCATTCCCATATAAACTGCTGACTCAAGCTCTCTTCTCATTGGCTTACCACACACGCCTACACTAGCTTAAGATCAGCACTAGCGCGCTCATTTCAGGGGCCGAACATCGTGGCTTTCGGGGTTCGAAAGTGTCGAAAGATTGGGGCACGCCTCACGGAAGTCCGTTTTAGTAACATGAGTTTCTATGAATATTCAAACATCTCACTGCATTGGTCGGTGTGCGTTTCGTGCCACCTTTTCGTTGCCCTTTTTCGATATAGCCTGTAAACCCTACACTTCTTCGTGGTCTTATCTTCGCCTTGCTATACATCTTCATCTCGGGTTTCGCGTTTAGAGAGTCAAGCACATCAGCGACAACAACAACAGCAAGATGTCATTCAACACCAATCTGCAGAGCAAGTTCTCTGGCAAAGTCCCTGATCCCGTCCCTGAATTTAACACTGAGTACGTCCATCAATTTCAACCTCAACAAGCCAGATCTAGCACACAACCAAAGAACAAAGCCACGTTACTAACAGAACGAATAGATTCCCCCTCCACCCAGCCATAGTCCACTTCCCCATCGCCTTCAACATGCTCGCATGGGGCCTCGACATCCTCTACGCCCTTACAACAACCTACATCAAGCCCGACTTCCTCACCTCCCGCTTCTCCTCCGCCACCACCCTCCTCGACATCACCCGTCTCGGCTACTTCATGCTCTGCGCCGGCCTCCTTGCCACCATCCCCGCCATCATGTCCGGCAACAAACAGCTCGTCGGCATGATCTCCAAGAACGGCGGGCCCTGGGAAAAAGACACCGAAGGAAAACAGAAGTCCACCATGGTGCCCAGGATAAAAGTCGCGATTACGCATGCTCTGGTCAACGATACTATTTTCCTGGTGAACCTGTATTCGTGGTATTGCAGACGGAGCACGGCGGATCGAGTGAATGTGGGGAATGTGCCGAGCCAGATGAACATGATTATTAGTATGGTGCTGTTGCCGTTTTTGATGGGGAGTGCGAAGGCGGGTGGCACGTTGGTGTTCAACCATGGTGTGGGTTTGAATTTGGGACGGAAGAGCACAAAGGAGATCAACAGGAAGCCGGGGATGGAGTGCTTGATTGACCGGGCATAAAAGTGCGCGCTTGGTCAGTGCTTGGTTGTACTCGGGATTCCGAGTGCAATTCTGCATAATAATACCCTGGGGATGAACTATCGCGCTTCTCTTGATTCAGGCCACCTCCTCAAGGAAACCAGGCACGATGCCAGGACATGATGTGGATGAGGCTCTCCTCTCAACAACAAGGGACGTGCTCAAGAGGATCGATCGAAAAGACGTGCTCCTACATAACAAGAAACATCACTAGAAGACGTGTCGTATGCCGTAGCTACAGTAATTATCTTTTGGACACGAAACACTACCTATACGTGGAAGATTAAGACGGTCCAGAGTGGTTGAAAGGTAGTGTGGGGACGACAGGCATGAGTTGATTCGAGTTGGATACTGAGTGACGGATATGAGTAAAAACAATATTAGCTATTTAAGATTATCAACACTTTATTTTCCAGTGTTGTCTAGTAATCCTTCAGAGGGCATCCCTTATCAACACTCTGAGCACCATACTTCGTCTTCACAATGTCTCTCGTCAATTTCATCAGCTGCTCACCGAGCTGTGCGTTCCTCGCGAGCTCGCTACCAGGTTCAACAATAGCAGGTGGGCAGATATATTCTCCACTTCTGTCTGTCTTTGTGGCAGCAAACAAAGTGCTTGTAGCACCCTCCCACTGATCCTTCTTCAATGGCTTCATGCCGACGGACATAAGAGCACCAGCAACTGGATATGGCTCGTGAATATCATCTGTTGACATCTTGGTCTCTACAAAACCAGGGTGAGTGGCGTTGATGAGAATTTTAGAGTTCTCCTTGTGTAGATGGGCATCGAGGTATCTAGCGTAAAGAAGGTTTGCGAGCTTAGAGCGTCCGTACTGTCCCTGTGGTCCGAGATCCTGGTTAAGCTCTTCGATGCTCTCGAACTTGGTATCTTTTGGTGCTCCTTCGTGAGCGTTGGATGACTGGAGCTGGATGCGTACTGTGCCCTTCTCAGCAGTCTTCTTGAGCAGACCGAGGAGATGTGATGTCAATGTGACGTGTCCGACGTGGTTGACCATCATATGTCTGTCTATCTGGGTGTCCTCGGTAACCTGGTAGGTCATGATACCTCTTCCAGCGTTAAGGACAAGGATATCAAGTCTATCTGTAGATCCGCTGATCTCCTTCGCAGCCTTTGTCACGCCTGTCAGATCTCCAGTGTCACACTGGATGAAGGTCACCCGTCGAGCTGCATCAGCTCCCAACTTCTCTGTGATATCTTGCAGCGCACCATCGAAGACTTCTTGTCGAAGAGACAGGATATAGAGCTTCTGAAGGTTGTTCTTGAGCAGCATGAAAGATGTTGCGTATCCAATACCTTCTGAACCACCTGTTACCACTGCAACCTTGCCAGATAGATCTGGGATATCCTTCTCAATGTCAAATCTTTGGTCTTCCCGGGCGAGGTTGTGGAGGGCACCGCCCATGTTCTCTGCGAGTGTGTTCCTGATAGTCTCCATCTTTCCTTCTGGTTTCGTATCGTTTTTCCTTAGAGGGTTCGATTCCTGTAGTAGTCTTGTAGTGCTGAATGCAACGATTCTAGCAGGTTTAGGTTTGGTGTATCTAGCTAAAAGTGTCAATGAACAACGACGGCTCAAATAAGCAGACATGGCATTTATTAGCTGTGAACAACAAATACACGCGGGGTCACGTCAGAGGAGATATGCGTCTTCGTTCTGCTGACTCTTGAGAATCCATGATTCGTGCTTCTCGAGGTACCTGCATCGACTGCGGCGCTTCAGCCGGGTCTCATGGTGCTCTCCCAGATCCTGAGTGGATGTTTCGAGATCTGTTTCCACACCTGGACAAAGTGCTGAACAATACAACGATTCTGTATGGCTCCGGACACGCCGTGCGAGGGGAGATTCGCGTGTCGAAAGGTTAGAATTCTGCTTCTACAGCAGTCATGATGCAACAAAGCCATGCAGGACCTGGATCAATCAAGGTGATCGACGTCATTGATAGACATATTTTGGACATCTGAATGCCTTGGCTCGATCTAAACATTCTCATCACGAATGGTAAGGCGAGACAAACGATGGCGTGGAAGTTCGAAAACCCAGAACAAGAACTGAAGAGTGAAAGAAGTGGTGTGCTGTACGTAGCCAGTATTTCTTGTATCTGCTAGCGAACTCGCAGTCTCCTCGCCAATCGTTCTGATGGCTCAGGCCACTAGCATCGACGCCCGTCGACCTGAAGACTTGGAATCGATTCGGGGAAGTTTAACGAGGTTTACATTTGTCTTCCATTACCTACTATGTCAATATGTACGAGGTGTTTCGTTATCATTTCTTCTGCTCTCACAGCCATAACTGGGTCAGATATTACTTCTGATTAAATTTGATGTTTCACAATGTAGAGAGTTCCATTCCGCAGGACTCAACTGTCCAGCCCATATGCCTTACCCTAGCAGTCAAGCTATGCAAGCAGCTCGTAACCGCCTGAGCCGAAAACTTCCATATGAATTCTCCCTGTCTGTACATCGTGTTCTTTCAGGAATCTGCCACACTCCGCCATGAAGGGATTAGGACCACAGATGTAGTAGTCTGTGCTGTTGTCCTTGAGATAAAGCTCGTTGACCACCGAGCTCAAATCCAGCCGTCCTTTGAGGTCAAAGTCTTCACCATCATGCTCACCTGGAAGCGGAGTAGAATGAAAGACTTTGCAATGTAAGTCCTTGTGCTGTGAGGCAATATTCTTGATGTCGTGAACAAATGGGTCAACATTCTTGTTTTTAGCAACATGGATCCACGAAATCAGACGATCGTCAGCTGCGGATGCGGTGATGCTGTTGAGCATCGACATAACGGGTGTGATGCCGACACCAGCTGAGATGAGAACGACTGGATTCGTTGCTACTCCATTTGACTCGAGGACAAACTCGCCTGCTGGATGGGTGATCTCGATCGTGTCTCCTTCCTTGTACTTGTTGTGTAGCAGGTTGCTGACGAAGCCTGGGTGGTGTCGCGCATTGTGATCTGCCAAATCAACACCCGCATCGCGCTTGACAGTGATGCGGAAGTTGTTATCGCATGCATGGCTGTTGTGCTGTGGTACTCCATTGGCGAGTCCGTGCGCAGTATACCCTGGAGGCGCATCGGACAAACTGTACTGGCGACATTGCTTGTAGCCCAAACCCGAGACGTTGACGCGGACGCTCACATACTGTCCAGGTTTGAAGGTTGGGAGCTCTTTACCATCTGTTGGCACGAGATAGAAGCTCATGACCTCGCTGCTCTCAGACACCTTTCTTACAATCTTCATCTCCCGCCAGCCTCGCCAACCTCCGGCTTGGCTGTCGTGTTCGCTCATAACTGACTCTTCCCTTTTAATCATAATCTGTGCCAACTGGTTATAGGCAGCCGCCCACGCGTCACGAACCTCGTCGGTGAACACATCTCCAAGCACTTCCTTGAATGCTGCCAATAGCCCTGTTCCGACTATATCGTATTGCTCTGGCGTAATATTCAAACTGGCGTGCTTTTGGTTTATGCGTTCGACCACAGGCAAGATGGGCGTCAGATCATTGATGTTTGCAGCATATGCGTGTACCGATGCCGCAAGCGCGGAAGCTTGGTGGGATGTTATCTGGGCAGAATGTGAGAAAAGGTTCTTCAGGTCGGGGTAGTCGGTCAGTAGTTTTCGATAGAACGTTTGCGTAACAGTAAGACCATGTTCGGCCACCACTGGTACTGTAGCCGTGATGATGTTCTTTTGTTCTTGGGTCAAACTCATGTCGACCTCGAAATGCTGACACTGATTGTTAAGGGGTTAGGTTTTTCGAAGAGGAGCGATAGACTTGGCCTTCTTTACTTGTGAGAGAGGCAACGACATCCATGGGACCGTGTCGCAACGTACTTCATTGATATAATCTCTGTGTCTGCGCGGAGAAGGCCATCTCGTCGCTTTACGGCATCAAGTAGTCATGACAAAGTACTTTCTTGCTGCTACCAACCTAGGTTAGAGATTTTCAGCATCACGTCGTACGCATCAGGCCACTAGGCCTTTTGCTCTGGTAAGCCGACGTGTTTTCTGCTCATATTGTTTGGACTCGGAATAGACCAGCCGCGGAGGATGGTAAAAATGCATGAAAAGTTGTGGAGCGGCAGAACCTGGTATCATATGTGACTCTCATTGCGGTGGCATTTTTTTTTAGGACGACCTGATGGAGGGCGGGAATACACGGAAGCTCGTGTTACCTAACATTTATACCAGGACCAGGATTACTTGTCGCGCTCTTTTTGTCACGTCAGCTGTTTCAAAGACTCTTGTGCACATACTCTGCACACTTTGGTATCTTTGCGTGTACAAGGGTTTTGTGATTGAAGACAATCAATAGGCTGAACTCGGGATGCGTCTGTAACAGTGTCCTGGAGATTTTCGTCTCTTGGCATCTCGTACTCTCAAGGCAAGGCTATTCTTGATCAGAAAAGCCCTGTCTACTTTTCAATCGTAAAACGCCAACGTCTTTTTAAAGGCTGACCTTGAGATCTGCTCATGAAAATGCCGTGAACAGGATGCCAGGAGGTGAGTGCGTCAGGCACAGCATTAGGAAGATATATGCGTCACACTCAGCATACTGGTCTCAGCGGCTCCAGCTGGCTATCAGGCGTCTGGCCAACAGGAGCTCCGACAGCCTCGAGGAAGCACAACAACAGTTTTGCCACTGTTCCCGATATTTCTGGTGTCGAAGGTCTCGGATGTTGCAACTTTGAGCACTGGGGTCTAATGTTCACAGAGCCAATGACGTTCCCTCCTGTCAATGAACCCTAGCGCTGTCCCCGGGCTGCGGCTGATGCACACCAAAGCCGACAGCACGAACCTAAATTTCTTCACTCTTTTCCACACTGTAACGTTCTTAATCCGAACTGCACAACTCCTACCTACTTTGCGTACCACACATGCATACTTTGATTACATCAGGTCAGCTTGCATGGCGAAGCTCAGACTCAGTAGGTCACATACGCGACTGCAGGGCGACCTAATCTTTAGTACGTCTTGGCTACTGCAGCTGAAGTGTGCCAAAGTTACTGCGTGACATCTATGTATGGAGGACGGAAAGGTAAAGTAGGGGTTGCGCAAAGGAGAAGAGGGAGCGGAAAGCAGGCTTGTTCTCTTCCACGAGGCAGATCTTAGGTCAACGTCGCAAAGTTCCCTCCTTTGGCCTTATCAAAGATCCTTTTAATCAATATTTGTCTGTATCAGGCAACGCTCACGTCTTGGCCATCCCGCTACCTCACCTAATCTAAGCCATTTCTCCACAAACAACCGCACCACTTTCCAGGAGACTGCTTCAACATCATCCACGTGCGCAACGATTGCCATCATGACCAGTTGCTCATGAGGCATACTACAGCCATTTGAACGGACCTTACAGTCGCTAGAAGGGTTAATTTGTGTCTGACCATGTTTCGATGGCCTCTGGCGCGTTGCGCACGATCAGCTGGCACCGGAAGTCATGAAAGGGTGCCGCAGTATTGGTTTCGCCAGCATCTATCACATACGCCACAATGCCGGTAAGTGAACAAGGGTCTAGAGCCTTTTGACAGCACTTGAAAGACCAGCTGATAACAGACTGAGAAAACGTGCTCGTATTCATCAGCCAGCCAACATGCACATCGTTGAAGCCTCGACCTCCCTGGCTGCAGTACATGAGTAGCAGAGATCGAGTTGGTCTTGGCCACGCGTCTCTCATACAAGACACAACAAGTCCTTCATGAGGCAGCCTTCGTCGTCCGGAAGACAATTTTTACACTTTGTACTCTGTCGTTTGTTCGGAATCCAAAGCCTGCCATTCATTTACAAGTCCTGCCACTCCTTTGCACTCTTGACTCCGTCGTTCTTTATATGTCGAATTTGCCCATTCCTTCATACCACGTATTTCTCTATCTGTAAACTCATCAAAGACAACAGGCGCAACTAATCATGAGGGTCTTCAGCAGTACAGCAGCCGTGATCTTGGTGTCGTTGGTGGCAATGGCATTTGCTCTCCCAGCTGGTGCTGGAAACAGGACTATAGAGGCAAGGCAGAATGGAGGACGTTTCGTTTTCGCGCACATTATTGTAAGGAAGAATCAACGAAGATCTGCAAATTTGGCTAACGCGTTGCACAGGTCGGGATTCTCAGTAACCGGCAAAGTGCTGCGGATTGGAACCCAGACATGCAGAGAGCAAAAGCAGTCGGTGTCGACGCATTCGCGCTAAACATCGGCACGGACTCGTTTACGGATACACAACTAGACTATGCCTACACATCCGCTCAGAACAACGGCATGAAGGTCTTTCTTTCATTCGACTTCAACTGGTGGGGAATAGGATCTGCCACGGCGGTCGGTAGAAAAATTGCACAATACGCAAACCATCCCGCTCAACTCAAGGTTGATAACAAGGTCTTTGTTTCCACCTTTGTTGGTGATGGCGTCAACGTGGACACTTTGCGAAGTGAAGCAGGCCAGCCGATCTACCTTGCGCCCAACTTCCGCCCTAGCTTTGGTACATCGTAAGTGCTCCCTTGAACACATACCGATTCTCTTAACTGACATCTTTCAAGTCTCGCAAACGTGGAAAGCGCTTTCAATTGGATGGGCTGGCCTCATAACGGCAATAATCGTGCGCCAGACTCGAACACGGTTAGTGTAGCACAAGGTGATCAGCAATATATTTCAGCATTAAACGGCAAAGACTATATGGCACCAGTCTCGCCATGGTTCTTTACTCACTTCGGTCGAGAAGTTAGCTATGCCAAAAACTGGTTGTTCCCTGGTGACCTTCTGTGGTTTGATCGATGGCAGCAGCTTCTCACCCTTCAACCAAGATTTGTGGAAATCGTGTCATGGAACGACTATGGCGAATCTCATTATGTCGGACCATTGAGCTCGTCTCACTCGGACGACGGAGCTTCAAAATGGGTTAACGATATGCCCCATGATGGCTGGTTGGATATGGCTCGGCCATATATTGCTGCATACAAAGCGGGCGCCACCTCGGTCGCGAATTATATCACTCAAGATCAGCTGTTTTATTGGTATCGACCACAACCAATGACTGCGAACTGTGATTCAACAGATACTTGTTGGCAAGGTCCTGAAGGTGGCGACTACTATATCGGACGACCGAACGGATATCAGACAGTTACTGATAGTGTATTTGTGGTGGCACTCTTGCGCTCGGCAGGTACAGTTCAGGTCACATCCGGTAACAACGTCAGATCCTTTAGTGCATCGCCAGGTGCCACCTCATTCACTGTTCCAATGGGGGTAGGACAACAGAAGTTTTCACTTACGCAGGGCGGCACAACGGTCCTTTCTGGTACCAGTTTGAAGGATATCATTGACGGCTGTGTATGTGGCATCTACAATTTCAATGCTTATGTCGGACAGCTTCCAGCAGTCAATGTTCCTTCTCTCCAGGCGCCCGGTTTTGGCCAATTTACGCCCGGCTTACGAGTAACGACTTGCTCAGCAAAGCCATCTCTGGGTACCAACACCCCCGCGGCATCCACATCAAGCACAACACGAACTACCACAACGACAACCACGACAACCACCAGTGCATCTACTACCACAAAAGCTGCTACTACAAGCACAACCACCACGACTACCAAGACTTCGTCCGCATCAACTTCAACCACTTCCACCACTTCGCGGTCAAGTGGTACAAGCACAACAACTACGACCGCTCGAACGACATCCACAACTACTTCAACCACTACAAGGAGTACCACGACGAGCACTACGTCACCATCAGCGACCTCCTCTCCAGTATGTGTTCAAGGTACAGGAAACGGAAACTACATCGGCCTTTGTTCTTTCGCGTGTCACTACGGTTATTGCCCGGCCGGTGTATGCACTTGCACCGCATACGGTCAGCAGATACCGCCTCCCCCAAGCACAGGAGTAAGAGGGATTCCGGCCAATGGACTCGATGACAGCTATCTTGGTCTCTGTTCGTTCGACTGCGATAGAGGCTATTGTCCTAGTACAGCTTGTCAACAGGTATAAATCACGAGTATATTTGTATGATCTTGCACGACGGCGTATTGTAGAATTGTGTATTTGTATAGATTACGATGTATAGAGTTCTTGAGAACGAATAGTTGGTGAACCTTTCACTATCAGCGATTGAGTGTATCAACGCATATCTTCTTGCACTTGCAGATCTTATTGAGCCTGAGATTCAGTTCCTGTTCCTGAAGGCTCCTGGCCTCCACAGCAAAAAAGCGTTGCACTACGTAGCTTTACGTCAGAGCGGAGTAAGATTCCGAGCCATGATTTTGTAGCTCACTGGCTGAAGCTCTGAGAAACTGGAAGGCACGAGCAGTAGTACAAACGCGTTTTTCTTGCAGCTTCGGCCACAATCGCTATCTATACAAGTTTCAAGGACTCGATCGTCTCTATTTTCAATTCAGGCTTCTGCTGATCACGAACACACATACTACAATTCACGAATAGACAAGATGCAGGCCTTCAGACCTGTTGCGTTTCGAGCCCCAGCTCGTCAGGTTCGCAACTTGCACCCACCTCGACAAGCCGCTCTTCCAAGAAGCGCTTTCAGATCGTCCAGACGGTATGCATCGACCACGCCACAGACACCACAAGGCGCTGGTGGTGCTTCTGGCGCACTCGCAGGAGGTCTCGCAGGTGGTGCCGCAGCTGTTTTGCTCGGATACACATGGTACAGACTGTCTGGCACAAAGACAATCGTCGACTACGCGCACTCGTCAAAGAGTCAGCTTGACAATGCTTTCAGATCAGTCACCGACAAAGCTCCCAATTCCAGCGAGGCAGTACAGTGGCTGAAACAGACGGTTGAAGGATACACCAAGATGATCCCTGGCGCGAACCAGTACGTCGACAGCGCGTTCCAGGACTTGGAGAAGATCCAGGAAAAGCATGGCGATGAGGTGAACAAGATCATTAACAACACCTACGGCGAGCTCAAGAACGTCACAAAGCAGGGTGCAAGCTTTGCTGCTGCTACTCAGGCTTGGGATGTATTGCAGAAGTGCTTCAAGCAACTTGGCAACCTCGCTGGCGATGCAGCTGAAGATATTCTGAACAACCACCCCGAGGCTAAAGAGAAGGTTGGAGCACAATACAAGCAGCTGCGGCAGATGGCTGAACAGTATGGTCCTGAGGCAAAGAAACAAGTCGAGGATACCATGAAGCAGGTGCAGGATATTGTCAAGGGTGGACTTAGCTCCGACAACATCAACCGTGCGAAGAAGTTGGTTGAGGAGAAGACTCAAGAGCTGAGAAAATACGGCGACAAGGCTTGGGAAGAGGGCATGAAGCAGGCCCAGCCAGTATTGGATAAATACCCCGAGCTGAAGAAGCAGATCGACCAGAACAAGGACAAGTTACTACAGGGTGACCTCGGTCAGTTATGGAACAAGGTTCAAGAGGCTGCCAAGTCAGGTAACGCTGATGATGTCAAGGGCTTCGTGCAAGAACAGGTACAGAAGGGTCAGCAGAGCCTCGGTGGCAGCGGTCAAGGCCTTGAGAGCCTGCTCGGAATGCTGCCAGGTGGTAAGGACATCAGCGGCAAATTTCACCAATTGCAGGAGTTGAGCCAGAAGCACGGTCAGGATGCAGAGAAGCTGATCAAGAGCGCGTTCGACGATATCAAGAAGGTGCTTGAGCAGAAAGTAGAGGAAGGTAAGGACTTGAAGAACAAGGTGGAGAAGGACAGCTCGAAATAGTCGTGGCATGAGGGGCTAAGTTTCTGGATGTTTGCTCAGAAAGCAAGGTGAAATGCGAATACCCTGTAAACCAGCCATAATACTGGCGCCGAGGAGTTGAACGATTCTTAAGTTAGGAATTCCACAGACAAACTCTTCCGATTGTGACACCTGCCCTGAATCTTCCACTTCGCGCTCTTACGCTCGTAGTCCGATTAACGAAACGATCCACCATTACTGATCATCCTTCAGATAGTCCCTCTCGAACTTACTCTAGAGATATAAACCTCAGACATAAGTATTGAATAATTGTCTTCGGCAGAAGCAACTAGATGCGGATTGGATGTTTTGGACGTGTCATATTGTGAGGAGGGTCGATCTTGCAAACCCAGGAGCCGGGTGTTGAGAAGGATGAATTTAGGTAACGACCAGCCCCTAAGGGAAGTGCTCGCATCTGCTCCTCAGTTACGATGGACCCCATAAATTCTTTTTGCTGCACTTCTCAAATCCTTTCGGATGCTCATGATACACGCATTTGCTCCGGTCATGTAAAGTACGCTTGTCGACGTTTATTGTCGTCGTCAGGACAAGCAATGCTAAGCCGTGATGTCGCTCAAATATTGTTTTCAGTTGAGCTTGAAATGTTGCCTTGTCTTTTGTGGTCCACCAGTCGCTGGAGTTGCGGGCTTCGTGGTAGAATTTCGACGCAATGTACTCTATCATAAGTCGTTTCAACTGGCAGGAGTCTGGCCCTCTTTGTAGCATCATCTCTAGTGCTTGTAGATCCATGATCTGTCCTGTCTGAAAAGATCGGAACCGATCTACAATGTCATTCTTGAGATTGCCCATCAGAAATTTATCAGCAAGGATGTAGAGCTTTGTCAGCTGCGTTCCATTGAGATTGACAGACTTGATTAGCGGAGAAGATGAACCGCCTCGTAGCGTTGACGTGCCACCGTAGACCCAGTTGACCAAATGCTGGAAAGTTTCGTCATCCTGCTCTTCTCTGACCACTACTTCCCTGGTTTGCGCTTCAGCAAAGCCTTGTTCGAGACTCCGCTTGAAGAAAAGAGATTCTGTACAGAACGGGTTGGTATAGACAACGTAGCGTTTCCCTGCGTCTTCGAGGACAATTGTGAAGGTATTGGTAAAGTCGATAGTCTTTCCGGCGAGCGCTGAAGCAAACATAGTAGGCTTCGAATCCATTGTGGTTGAAGGAGGGGAAGTTTGGAAGGCAGGGTAGATTGCGAAAAAAGAAGGAAAAAGAGAAAAACAGTTTCCAGATGGTTAATTTGCAAAGTGGCACAAAATGTGACTAGCACTAGCACCAGCACCTGCCCATGGGAGTGAAGGTCAGATAGAACCAGAGTAAAACAGATGCACCACAAAAACTGATCAGGCCGAGTCACTCAAGTCGAACTTGTTCAGATCCTTCTTAGAACCGTCTAATCTCATGCTCAGAATGTACTAATTTGTTCCTGCAGGAATGGTGGTGTCGTACCTTGGGATGTGCTCACCGTTAGTTGTGAAGGTTGGTCAGCAATCCGGTTACGTTGGATCGTCTTGAGGGATCGAGATATCCTGATTTGCCTTCGTCTTCAGCTCGAACCTCGATACACAGCTGAGACGTTGATGTCTATGAAGCACTACTATCCTTCCCCACTCCTTCATGGGTCCCACCTCTTTTGCAGATGGCATGATGACCTCCTTCAAATGCTTTTTGTTATTCAAGTATTCGTGCTGGTCTTTCGAGTATCAAGCATTGTGGACGTGAAGCTCGCAAGAAGGTCGAACCGCGCTCAAAATTAGCTTACGGGTCAACGGACGGCGTACTCCAGCGATGTAGGTTCTCGACACATCACCAAGCTCACACTGATCCCACAATCTCGTCTTTGTCATGCTCAAGACCCTGTGGTCACAAAAATGAGACGACCCTGGAACAGGTCGAAGATGTTTTGATATTCAGCAATGGCACGTGACGTGCGTCGTTATCGCGTGTTCTACGCGTCAGGGTCTCTCATCATTTGGTGTTGAGCTGCTCGGAACATCGTTTACGTACCGTCTTCTCTGCCCTTCAAATATGTGGACACTTGCACTCGCGTCACAAAAGTCCCGTGGAGTCGTCGTGAATCTGTGCGCTTGCCCGCCCATTGTGATAGTCATACTATGTACCAATATCCCCAGTTCAAAAGCCCATTCTACTAAAGTCGACAAAATAGACTAACACTGCATTGCCCACAAACCCTATCATCTTAAGAGCTCGGGTTTAAGAGTTAGACTCAGTCTATGGGCTAAATGCAGCGACCGGCATCTGAAATGAATCGAAGCTGCTGCTTCAAGAGACGGGGTTATACGAGGAAAATGATAAGTCGGACCGCGACGTCTCGTATCGCATGAATATAAAGGCAAGGATCAAGATGTGAGTGCTGAGCAAAAATCTTTGGTGACAACAAAAATTCGTCTGTAGGATCGAGGAGGCACAAAGAAGCTGGAAGCGAAATAAATGGCACGAGATCTATCGTAGACACGCAAGTCCAATCAATCACAGACCAAGAGCCTTTTTCACAGTCTTCGCCATATCCTGTCCAATCAGCTGATGTACCCTCGTCGTGGGCTGAACAAAATTCATCCAGAAGAACGTATTCCAGCCTACAATCTTCGTGTTTCCACTTGATGAGGTCTCTGTAACCATGCACTGGTTCCACGAGGCGTCGCCCTGTCCATCGCAGAACTTTGTTAGAGGCTGGGTGAAGCCGAGGGACGATGCATTGCCTGCGAGATAGGAGATGAAGTTGAAAGAGTCGTAGTAGATGACTTTCTTTCCGAAGCTTGCGGACAACGTTTTCTGCAACTTGGAGTTCGCATTGCTGATGACTTGACCCCAGGTCCTGGTGCAGTCGTTGTTTGTACCTCCGCAGAGGTAGGTTGCGGTCACTGGCGCGATGTGCTTGGGGTAGATATTTGAGACAACGACATATGGCATGCCGAGGTCGAGCAGTCTCTGTACAGCAGTGACAGTGTAAGTGCTCAGGCTGTTTGCAAACTCCTGATTATGCGGGTCGCCAAGCCAGAATGCATCTGTGTGTTTGCTGAGATCGTTCTGACCAACCCAGATGAAGCCCAAGCTTGAACTAGGACGAAATACGCCCTTCCTTACTGCGGCGCTATAGTTCGCGACTTGGTCTTGTAGCGATGGTGCGCCTGCGTCTGGTTCTGTGTATGAGCTGTCGAGGGTTGCGCCGCTCGATGCTGCTCCACAGCAGCCACCAAAGGCATAATCTGCAACGAGCGGAACGCCGAGACTGCTTGCTAGATAAGAGACAGCGACAGGACCATTAGTCCATGTGCCGTAACCGTAGACCGTGGCAGGGTCACCAGTAACGCCGTGAGCGTAAGAGCCATTACCGTTGTCGGAGAGCTCGTCACCGAATGCCACTATAGATGAGATAGAGGCGCGTGCTTGAAGGTGAGGTGCTGCTAGGGCAGTACTGAGTGATGCGAGGTGGAACAGGGGCCTTCGGTTTGTGATCATATTGTTCGTTGGTGGTAATAGCAAAATGTGAAAGAGATATTATGTTGAGGTTAAGAGGTCTGGTCCGCTCGAGCAAGAATACTGGGCTCATCAGCCCTTATAACGCAAGAGAAGATTCGTGACAGAAGTGAAATATGTTGGAGGCATTTTGAGACATGCAACCTCAACCAAGGGCTCAGGGCGGGTTAGCAATGAACTTTGTGTCTGTAGCTTCTTGCTGTACAGGCATCGACGATGGGACGGAAGACATTGCTCTGTGCAAGCGTGGTACTTTGACGTACTAAGCCAGGTTGCCTTAAAGGCTAAAAAGCAGTTCTGTGTCCAGCATAGGATTGTGTGCAAATCTCCACATCCCCAGATTCGTTACCCAAGGACAAGCGTTTCAGCCACACGTGTTTCAAGTTGGCTGCCGCATTTGACATCTTCATCCTCAAGTCACATGCTCTTTCCGCCAATCAGGCTTTTCTAACATTGTCCGATTCTTGAGTAGCACCTGTCGAAGCACTTCTGTTGCCTCTTTTGTGATTCTGTAAGTAATGAGTCAAATCAATTGATGCGACAGTAACGAGGGCAGTGCTTGTCAAAGTGTGATGGTATGTTGAACGAGCAATTTTTTAATGTTGTGTTGTATCGCTTTCTTGCAAAGTGCTTGTGACCAAGCTGTGTTCTCCCTATGCTGTTCTCACAAATAGTAGATAGTAGTACAACACTCAGTCATCCGCAGGATAGCTCACCTTTCGCCTGCATGTTTCCTAGAGTGCTTGCGGCCACGATATCCACAAGTAGGAGGAATTGACGAGCTTGTTGCCTCACTACCAGTAGTAACCAACCTGAGGCAACATGCTCGCGACTCTCCAAGAAGACCAGCCTGTGTGACATCTAGTAGCAACGAAAAGAATCGATGTTCTAGCAGTTGACTGCAACAGGTTTTACGCCGGGTACAGCTGGCAAGACACGTTCGTCTAATGTCTTCACCACAGCACTAAAAGCTGCATGATCAGCCAAAGCAGTTAATCCCTCAGTCGAAAGGGTTGGGTAGATTCCAGGTGCCATTCTTGTCATCTAGAGACACGACACCGACTCGGTTTCGCGAAATGGACCTGGACTTTCTGACTGATCCCAGCTCAACCAGGCCAGGATCTGCAACGTCTCCGCCAGTGTAGGTCCGACAGCGGCTCGCACAAAGGCTACTGGCGTCAACGACGTTATTGCCATCACGCCTCTGATAGATGGATCAGGTTTTGCTAGAGCTGCATGTGGTCCATTAATGCCCACTTACATCCCGACTCCCAAGGTTGAGACCTAGAAGTATGTCAAGATTGACGTAAAGAGTCCGCCACGATACGGCGCTATCGCAGTTGTTGTTTGGGGTTGACATCGGAAGTCTTTCTTGTATGTGGAAGGTCGCCATGGGAGGATGACATAGAAGTTCGTCTGCCTCGATCTGACCAATGAGATACCACTTAGTGCCTTGTAGATGCTCCGACAACTCTTTTGCTTCAGTCTCGGATGGATCTCGAGCAGTGTGACTTTTCTGGCCTTGATTTTGAAAACCATGAAGTAAAACGAGGTCATGGTTCTTCATGTTCACTTGGCTGGGCTTAAAGATTCGGGGCTCAGCTGAAAGTCGATGTTGCAACAAACAATCTGAGACAGAAAATTTCTGGAATCACTAGAGCCATTTAGCAGAGTCTTCATCTTGTTGTTGTCCAGGAATGGAATCTGGGAAAGCTGACAGTGAGCCTAGTGATCATGTTAATACACAACATTCTGACCTGGTTGAGACAGGAGGTTGTGTTCATCTTCGTGGATGCAAGAGAGAACATCGAGGGAATGACAAGCATAATCAGACGCTGAGCAGGAAGTAGCACATAACAAAGGAATGCATTTGGATTGATAGGTATACTTGACCTGATTCGTGGGCTGCTGCTGAATACGTGATCACTGTGAGATGTCAGTCTGCCTCCCAGCAAGTAGCGTTTCCCATGTTATAGGAGGGATCTGCCCGCACGATCTTACTCGCAGGAGAGCAATACAATCGGTCATGTCGGGGTCAGTGAGCCCATACATTAGATCAACTAATTCTATCTTGACTCCGACGTGATCGATGTCCTTGAGACGAAGCTCGAGCCGCACGTGCAATCTTTGCCCCAGTGGATAACAGTATATGGACAGCGATGCTTACGGTGTACTATAGCATCTTTAGTGCAAGTCGAGCGTTCTCCGGTGCTCGTGCTGTTGTTTACAACCTTGCTAGCCGTCCTTCAGAGACCACCAAGTTGCACGTTCATACGTACTGTTGGCATCACTGCTCAAAACTAGAAAAGAGAAGCAAATCGTGTATTCGAGATCGCAGGCTCAAGAACCCTAGGCTGAATTTTCTTGCATGTGCAATAGCCAAATAATCAATATATCCTCAACGAGCTAGAAGTTCTTCAACACCTCCCTCACAACCTCCTCTATACTCTTCTCCCGAACTCCAAGCAAATCGTTATCGCTTTCCTCCCTCTCCACCACGATCGACCTCTTCGCACCTCTCTGAAATAGCTGCGCAACCAAAATATCGACCATACCATTCCTCTCCCCTCTAGCAAAAGCCTCTCTGCCCCTCTCATACATCTCCTTCCCATCCACACTTTCCACATCCCAAGGGTCTCCCATCTCCCTAAGCTCCCTTTGACAAACACCCAGTATTTCTCTCTGACACGTCTCCACGCTTCTAACATGACACATTCGGTTCCTCGTCTCGTGCGGCCTGCGCAAGATGCCTCTCACTGCGGTCCCAATATCCTTCAGGATAGTCGCGCTGAACCTCTCCTCCCCACCATCGATCAGTCGTGCCTTGCGGTTCCTGATATCCACCCCGATCTGAGGGTACTTGACCAACGCATAATCTAGGAAGTTGCCCGTCGCAAGACCTGTCCATGAGAAGGCGCCATTCGTCTCAAGAGCCGTCTGCTTCGCTACGTCGAGGATCTCCCGTTTGGGAGTGCGAAACTGTTCGAGCTCGGGCAGACCAGGCTGGTCGTATGAGTTTGCGAATTCGTTGAGGATGAAGCGTTTAGGGCTGCCTGCTTGCGCGGCAGCTTTAATCATAACATATTGTGATGGCAGACTTGGGATTGCAGAGGCGTGAATGATTGCGTCGTGGTCCTTGAAGATGTTGGTCAGAGAGTCAAGGTCGTCTAAGGCTGTCTTAACCACTTTGAGGCTATTATGTTCAGGGAACGTTGCTGTTGAGCTGGGTCTGCACAATACGCTTATGGTGAACTTGTCTGTCGGGTCTTCAAGAAGGGCTTTTAAAATGTTGGATCCTACTGTGCCCGAAGCCTGTCGTAGTAACGGAGATGGTCAGCTCGTGTGAATAGTACATTAACAGGACCTCAGATCGAGTCAAGATGTGTAAAGAGGAGGCAAGCATACACCTATGAGTACAACTCTGGACAATGTCTTCGCCATCCTCTTCAATTCTATGTCAATCACCTGCTCTTCTTGTTCAGGACGGCAATTGAGCAATGATACACCTAGGTATCTGAATTTACCCCTAGGAGCACAGAAATAATGCAAAGGTCTATAATTTACTTTCTTCTCACGGGACGCAATAGATGATGCGACAATGCTCGACTTATTCCCATAGTTCTACAAATAGCATACCACGAGAACGAAACGCCTAGAGCCCAACAGCCTGAGCATTCACGATATTCTGCCTAGCAGTGGAGTTGCTTCGGCCGAACTGAGGACGAGATCCATGTTCCACACTTTAATGCAAACACGCTATCAGGATCTTGCAGCCCTGACAGGCATGAGACAGTGCAGGAAGACGGTGCATGTGCTATACCAGAATATGCGAGCTCGAAGGGCGACGAGACCTGCACAAAGAGTGCAAGGACGATTGCTCGGAAACAGTCTTCACTTCCCAGACTGCAGCATCTAAGATAAAAGTTTTAATATACTTGATTGCTTTTCTGTATCTAACCACAACCACGCAAGCGAACACAAGCAGCAGAGATTTTAGGAGCTCGGACAAAGCCCGAGGCCTTCAACTTCCTGCTATGCTCGAAGCTTGATTCATAACCTCCATACCTCCTATAGGCTCATCTCTTCCTCGATTCGTATCCAGAACCGGACAATTGATCCTTGTACACTCTATAATTTGTGGTTTGTTCGTCGTATGAAGTCGTTGTAGTACTAGTGAATCAAACCAGACACCTTTAGACCAATTCGCAAAATGAAGCGATACCAGTCGAAGAGAAACACATAAACTCCTTTACCATATGCAGTTGGCCATCGTAAGGACGAAGAGCCAAGTCAACTCCTCCTCATGCTTTGATTTAAGCGCGGACCCAGCCAGTGCCATAATCGTGGACGCAACTCTTTTCCTGTCTATATACTGGGGGTTTCAGGAAAGGACCCCATATTGGCTACTGCCAGTCACGTCTCCTCCGCAAACTTCCCGATATCAGACGAGGCTTAATATAGATCTCAACATGCCCACATACTTGACAAGAGCTTGAAGGTTCTCCACATGTACACCTGAATCGTGCACATGCTCGTCATAGTGTACAGGTGGTCAGAGTTGAATTTCCGGGGTGGCCTCTCAATTGTCCCTTTCTGAGCTCTGCAAAAAGATTGTGTGTTTGAGATCGTCCAATGTACAAACGCCACGTTCCCCGTTGCTGAACATCGCCCGCATTTATAAGAACAAGATCAATACAGCCAGTATCGAAGCAGAAACAAGCTCTTGAAGTAGCGAACTGCATTGAAGTTGACGCTTCATGCTCTTCCCAGTCGCGTAGGATTGTGGGGGCTCCATCTGACACGTCGACCAGAGAGGCACATGATGCTGTACGATGAGCGGATTGTAGAGCGTGCCGTTGCAGATAAGAATGAGTATAAGCCTATTGCTGATGACGATGAAGACAAGCGAAGGTAGGTGAAAATAGCCTGACGACATGATTTTGAACGAATGCACGAAATAGCTCGAGCACGTGATCAACGTTGTCCACGATTAGGTTTTCAAAGTTGAATCATTTCGCTGATCTTGAAGCGATTCCTGTAGCACGGGAAGTAAGCAAAAGCCGAGAACGCGTGCCACTCCTGAGGACAGAAGGTCATCATGCGCAGATATTGCTTATCGCTGACGGGAAGTAAGCTTACCATCAGCTCCAAGCGCGCCGGAAGGCATGTAGTAGCCGTTCGATCCAGCCTCGTGAGGTTCGCCTTTCACTTCAGGGTGAGCTTCTCCGTAGCCATACATTTGATTCATGTAATTGGCTTCACCAGCAGGTGGGAGAAATTGGTTCCAGTCATTCTCGACATGATGACCTGCTTGTGCAGGAGATGCAGTGCTGGAGCTATACATTAGCTGGCCACCTCGACCATTGTGCATACCCCAATTTGCACCATTTTGTTCCTGTTGGCCTATTTGAGGCTTAGAATCGCCTGAACCATTAGCAAAAGGCATCGAAGCCATAGCAGGCAGGCTGGCAGTGGTCGCAGGCATAGAGCTACCAGCCATTGTAGTAGCGTATGGGCTTGGCTGAACGGCACCTGTGGAGGGAGCGGCGTGGGCGTTGCCTGCGCCATTACTCTGCCCCGGTGTAGGTGGCTGTTGCGTTTGTGAGTTTGCATGAGCAGACGCGGCGGCGGCGGCAGCCTTTTGGGCAGCAGCTTGAGACTTTTTCAGGTGTGCAGCAGGGTTAGAAAGGTGGCTAGCACCAGTCGGATTCCCTCTTCTTACGGAGCACTTTTGGAAGTGTCGCTTGAGGATGTCGCTTCGAGAAAACGTATCGGTGCAGAGAACGCACATGTATGGGCGGTCGCCAGTGTCTAGATGAAGTCAGTCGAGCTACGAAGTAGTGGATCGAAACTTACGTCGGAGCATGTGGCGCTTCAAGTGCTTCGCGTGGAGGTAGGTCTTGGTGCAGTTGGGGCAAGGGAACTTTCCATCGGCATCCTTCTGAGGAATGGTGTTGCCTTTGGGAGAACCGTTGAGGCCATTCTGCATGACGGGTGGTCGTCCTGGCGCACTTGGTAAGATGCCTCGTCTTCCTTGGGAACCAACGACGTGGGTGCGAGACGGATCTCGACCGACATCAATCGTCATACCTGGCATTTGTTCCGCGCCTGTCCAAGGCCGTTCTCCTTGCTGTCCATAGCTTCCGTAGGGGTCATTCATACTCGATCGAGGTGGGGCGGGGGCTAGTGGTTGTGGGTAGCTGCTAGGACGCGCTCCAGCTTGAGTGTAGGGTGGTTGCGGCTGCGGAGTTTGACTCTGGGGTTGAGGCAACATCGAGGGTTGTGACATGTTACTCATTGGTTGGTGAGGTGCCATCTGCGGAGCATAACGGTTGTCAGGTGTGCCTGCGGGAGACGGGTTCTGACTGTGGCTGTAACGGATGTTATCGCGAAACTGTGGTTGAGCCATATAGTTCTGGTTGGCAGGTGGTAGGCTCTGTGGTGGTGGGTACTGCGAGTTGATCGGAGGCAACGGGGTGTAGGACCCATGGGGCATGTTGCCAGCGTAAGCAGACATGTTCGGGTTGCTGTAAGGCGATTGCTGGAGGGTGGTCGATGCAGTCCTCGAGAGGGATTGAGATCTGGGGTCCATAACCAGAGAAAGCGTCCTCGATGTCGCGTAAGCTAAGCACTACAGAGCTCGGTCGCGTCGAAGATGAAATCGATGAAAATTGTGGATGCAACAAAGTAGTGGTGAAAACTTCCCTGGTCAGCACTGACCTCTGGCCCAAAGTGTCAGCTCAATGAAAGACGACGCGATTGCCGCAAAGAACCAGCCCAAAGAAACGCGACGACGATGCTATGCTATACAATTTTGTAGATGAGTGGGATGGATGGATGGAGACAAAGGATGGGTGTAAAGGTGGAAAGATGGATTCGGGAAAGGTGTATGTCCACTGCTACGAGCTGATCCACAATGCAGGCGTGGCTGATCCATCGCAATTGGGGGTGCCAGTGTGGATATAACACTCACTTGAATATCGAAGACCGACGACAAAGCCGAAACGACGTCCCTGGATGAGTAGAAGACGTGGTGCAAAGAATTTGGTCGAGTAGAAGAGGTAGACGACGACTAGACTTTGGTTGAAAATCGTGTCTAACAGTTGTTGAAGGAGGGAAATTCTCTTGAGAAACAGCGAGGAAAAGATCGCTCTGCCGCTTTACTCCATCCGGTTACCCTTGCTCTCGATTCCGGAGGTACCTTCTTGCTTAAAAGCTTGCCCGAGCGAGCTTGAGCCGAGTTCACTATTGATATCACGGGAAAGGCTTCGCCTCATACGGTGTTTCGCAGTCCTCTTCTCCGAGCTGTTAGCAGCTCTAAGCAGTATTCACAATTCACTGTCTAGCCACCCTTTTTGGTGCCTCTTCATTACTCGAAGGATTATCCCCCATGCATCGCAATTTTTACCGGCTAAAAGACTTTCTCGTTGGTCTATGATACTCGAGTATGGTTTGATTGACCTGAATACACGAGCAACATTGTATATCGCACCAGATCTCGTACCACAGTCGCTCCCAAAACAGAAGCGAACTATTTCATCACGTGATTAAGAACATACGATCGACATCCTTATGAGTACAGTCATCATTAGGCACTGTCCTTATTGTGATCTTGTACTTGCGTTGTCATCCATTAATCGTTGGACAAAGATCCAGATGCATATACTGGCCAAAAGATCGATCTCTCGTGCGTATAGCTATCATTTGTCTTCTATCCTATCCGTGTAGTCCTGCAACCACCGTCAACACTAGGATCTCGTGTGGCAACATGGGGAATAATCCATGTTGTGCCACGATCATCTTAGTCTATTCAGCCTTCTGGGTTAACAGGACTGTTCGTATAAGCCCTACTTGCACTACAGAGTCACCACAACGAGCCGAGAGCACGGAGAAAGCTACGTGGGGAATGTTTGTAGATAGAAATCTACGAAGGATGAAGGAAATACTGCCAATTGACCAGCATCTAGACGTGCTCGAAACATAACATTGATCATGCTACTGTAGTCAAGTACCATGTGCTCTGACCGCTATAACGATCTCCTTAGCCGCAAAACCTCGCAGCATTTACTTCATCTCTGTCAATCTCTGTCAACCCCATGGTCGACTATACCAGAACTGTTTGAGGCAGCTCGTAGAGCCCGTGAAATCATACTAATACGTGCATTGAGCCTGCAACACCTGCCATGCGCATGCGACATAGTTTTATCGAGTTATCTGCAGGGCTGTTAGTGGTAAGCTTAGCAGTAATTTCAAGTAGAACATACCTGATAGCTCACAGTACCAGACTATTCTCCGAACGGAATCTCTTTACCACGCTCAAGATCAGCGATCCAGTCCATGAGTTCCTCTGGGTTGGCTATCTCGATGTCATCAGGAGTGACATCTGGTTCCTCAAGTTGTGGATGATTGTCACGAAGGAAGCGGCCTCTGAACTTGACCCAGTTCGGAATCTCCAATTCAACTTGTCCTATAGCGTTCTCTCGTAGTTGATAGTTGAAGATGTATTTGTTGAGCTCGGTCAACACACTTGGATATGCCTTTCTGAGGTTGTTCAACCATTGTCGATCATTGAAGGTATCTTTGACTTGAGTAGCCCAGGAGGTGCAGTCATATGGTTCATTCCATCGGTCCTTCTCTTGGCCCCATCGACGGATGCGATGATCAGCTTGATCTCGCTGGGCTCTGCTTAGGGGCACAGCAAGGTGGATGCTTGTGTAGCATTTGTACTGCAAGTTGAGACCGCTCGAGCCGATTGCGTGAGTGAGAATGAGGATTTGGCAGGCATCATCTCTGGTGTTGAAGGCTTCGATGACATCTCTTCGCGCCTCCTGACTCATATCGGCAGATATCATGCGAGCATCGAAATGAAAGGCGCGCCAAATTTTCTCCACGAGAGCCTCCTCACCTGGAAGAGCAACCCATATGATAAGCTTAGTACGCTTTCGTACCACCACATCACCTGTAACTGCCAGACCCACACGGAGCTTAGGGGCTTCTTTGAGGACCAACTCAGCATGCTTAAGGTCTTCTCCTAAGGGTGCTACATCGTAGCTATCCTCTGGACGGTTTGCCTGCACTTTGAGCAATGCCTTGTGTAGCCAGTTACGGTCTTTCTTTATGCTATCCATCTTTTTAGCAGTGAGCATATCCTCGCAATCCTCCCAACCAAGCCAGGTACTGTTATGACGGGAGCATAAGGTTGATCAGCTGGCAGAGAGCGAAGATCGATAGTAGTAAGTTCTCTATCGTCCTTCCAGGCACCAGAGTCGCCTGATTTCGCGTCACATGGGCGGTTCATATGAATTGGAACGAGGATGGCTGGAGCGTCGGGAATATGTTCAGCAACTCTAGCGCTCCATGCGTCGTCGTTTGATGGATCTGGGTCTTCGAAGTCGAAGTCGAACCAAATCATAAGCTTGTCACCCGGCACGAGTCGAGTCTGGTCGTCGGCTGGGGCTGGCAGAAACGCAAGATACGATTCCTCGAAGGCAGATAGGAGGCTGATGATTTTCATATCCTTGGGGGTTTCGACGTAAACGGATCGCTTTCCTTCAGCCTCGTTTCGCGCGAATAGTCCTGCCATACACATTTCGACTGCCATGTGCTCTTTGCTGTGGAAATTTGTTGGGACTCTGTACCGATAATCTTTGGCATTTTTAGCGATCTCGTCGAGCTCGTCTTTGGGTGAAAACTGGCCCTCCTGAATCACAATTCTACCTTGTCCTGCTGGGAACATTTCATTCAGATTGACCTGGGTGGAATCTTGATGGAACTGCTGCTGCAGCTTTGATATATTGTCCATGGTACTGTCACCTCCAGCTAACCATAGCAACAACTTCTGTTCAGAGATGACAGTTTCTCGCACAGAATTGATCCAAGATTGACCACCCATGAAGAACCTCGAATCAGCCACGCAGTTAGCATCGAATGTGACTTCGATCGAGATGCCAACTGCTCCTCGCGGCCATGTGAAATCTGTTTTCTTGTCTTTGAAAGCTGGCAGGGCTATTTTCTTGAAGTCGAGCAGCTTGCAAGCACCACTATCGATATGAAGACGACTGACAATGTTCTGCTTCACACCATCGATAATCTCGTGTTTGTTGAATACAATGTCGAGCGTAGGCACGATTGCGTTAAGGGTGATACTGACTTTGGTTGCACAATCTGGAGTCAGGAGCTGTTTTGTACTGGGACTAAGAGCAAGTGCCCAGTGTGCTGCCATGCCCAGGTCATGCTTCCCAAAGAGGAGCTGGTCCTGGAAAGGTACCTGCTCGGGCTGATTGTCTTCGGTATCTGACATACTGAACGATTTGAGTGATTGAAAGGAAATGTATAACGAATTGGTGAAGTCGGCGATAATGTGGTATGAAAAGAAGCGAGGAGAAGAGAAGTTAGGAGGACAGAATATATAGGTGCAGGACACCCTATCTTTTGAAAATTCCCCTGTGTGAAGGTTGCGAAAAATTTGCGAGTGCAGCCTGCGAATTGCGGGGTAGCAGCCTGTTGTGATCAGGTTTCACTACAAATTAGGTCAGTAGGTGAAAGGCTCAGATTTGCGGTCGCAAGAGCAACGAACCTTTGTGCTGATTTAGTTTGAGACTGAGGAAGAAGAATTCAGATTAAGACCGTACCCCTAGGGCAGGCTCTGTACACAACGCCGCGTATCAAGTACGCAACCCTATGTACAGGGATTTATGTCGATATCGAGGAATATTTGAGCAGCTAACCGGTAGAATGCAGCAGAAGAAGTAGAGTGAATGCATCGACATACTGTGCCAAGATGCACTGGTGGATACCTCGAAACCACTAGCGTAAGGCGCAAAAATGAGATCCCAACATCTGGACCTGCCAGTCCACCGTCTAACTGATAAGTCGTTTGCAAGGCCAAAGGGAGTGAGTACTGCACACTTGGGCTATTTTACCACCACAATTGGAGTTTTACGCCATAGATACATGTACTTTTCATGTTGCTTTGTCATTGAGGTATTGGGCTGGATTGAGGTGTGCAACCGTGATGTAGGTTGTCCTCCGTCAGGCGGAAATCACATTGTGATGCTCGAGGATCAATCTCAAGGCAGTCCTTAACTATTGGCTGCAGGATTTCGTTGAGAAGATTTGTAAACTGAACTCGTTGACCTGCTCGGTAAGGTGGTGCAATTATTGAACTTTTGCAGACAATCTAAGGAGGGCGCTGTTGTGGAGGCTTGCTGCGCCGCCGGAAGGAAGAATTCGCCATAATGCTGTAAATTTGAGGCAGATGACCGTCCTGCGAGCACGAAGGAGAGCGGCATGAGGAAATGAAATCGTCAAAGTAGGCGTGCAGGAGTGTCAGATGAAATTGGAGATGTGGATTGGATCCCACTAATCAGGACATGAAGTATAGTTGGATCAAGTCCTTACCCATCTGCAGAATTCGTATCATCGCAGTGAAAGGAGTTGCTATTCGTGCGCGAACTCACTTTAAGTCGTAGTGCTCAACTTATATAATCCTCGAAACAACTGGCCAGTGCTCACTACTAGGGCCGAATGTGCCCATTGGTAGGTTGCAGCTATGACGGGAGCCGACAGCTAGCTCACGAACGATGAAGAGCAAGCAGCGTCCGAGCCACCTCACAATGAAGATGCGATAATTAGCAAAATATGGAGCTGTACCTGATGTACCCCATCACCGTCTCCAGCATTCGCCTAGAATCCCCGCCAAGGCTACAAGACAAGATGTGCAAGAGATATGCTTACGATGAGATCGCATAGCAATAGCGGTCGAACGGCTTTACCTTGGAAATATGGTGGAAACTTTGAATAAATAAAGTTACCCTCTTTAGTGTCCGAGCTTGGCACACATCATGATCTCGCTGTTGATGAGCTAAGGGCGTCCAACCTGGAAGCAGCTGATGGGAACGAGGAGGTCGTCAGTAAAATACTGGATCGTCGTTGTTCAAGAGCTCAAGTCGACCTTCGAAGTGTGTCTTCTGCAGATCAAATGGCGTGGAAGCTCTTAGAGTTCTTGCTCGTGAATTCTGCCTATCGCAAATCGTACAGAGCTCCTTTGTATCACCTTTAGTTTCTTAATTCTGCCACACTTCGCGCTGTTGACTAACATGTGATGACCTGACATTTGACTTATCGTATCCTGGACGGCGCACATTGTTTCTAAATTCACGAGCACATGTCTTAAGGACAATACACGACCACTTAGCGCAGACGCAATCCTCACGTGGTCCGCCTGATTCGCTCTTAGGATTTTGTGTTCCGGACACTCAACATCGAACATGGACTTTAAAGTCAGGGACGAAATAATGGTTGAGCCCGTGATCAATATGGTGGGTGTTGTATGTATGAACGTTGTTCCCAATGTTCCAGTCGCTCGTTCACTTCAGCCATCATGAATGAAGTTACAAAACTCTACGGTACAATGACAATGCAAGGAGGCAGCATACAAACCGATCTCTTGGTTGTGGGCACGGTGGTTGTCTTCTTCGTCCTGATTGCGCTGTACCTGGAGCTCGGCCTGAATGTCTCGTCTTCTGTATCTTTCGACAAGATTTTTCCTCTTACTCCCTATCTCAAATTCATCTATGTCAGCTTCCTCAAGCCTCACACAGGCAAGGCAGATGGCGGTCAGCAGTCGGCATTGGAAAGCTTTTACTCGGCACAGGCTTCTGTCTATGATAGAACGAGACGTCGTTTATTACGAGGCAGGGAGGATTTGATCGGCCTCGTAGCCGCACAACTACAGCTTCCAACACGCAGACCGAGTAATGGCGCCAAGCCTGTCTGGTTCGATATTGGCGGAGGCACAGGCTACAACATCGAGATCATGGATAAGGTCCTGGACGGTGGGGTGGGCTCATTCTTTGATCATGTTTACCTTATCGATCTTTCACCCTCACTCTGTGAAGTTGCTCGTGAACGTGCGGAAAGACTTGGCTGGAAGAATGTGACGGTTCTCTGCCAAGACGCCCGAACAATGGGCCAGTATCACTCGCAGCCTCGAACAGCAGACCTTATCACCATGTCCTACAGCCTCAGCATGATACCAGACTTCTACAGCGTTATCGATCAGGTGACCAGTTTCCTTGCTCCACGTGGTATCTTCGGTATCTGTGACTTCTACGTCCAATCAGTTGTCGATGTATCGAGTCGAAACTGGACAGGTGGTAGTATTAACCGCCATGTCAACTGGTTTGGTCGAATGTTCTGGAGGACATGGTTTGACGCCGATCGTGTCAACCTTGATGCTGGACGACGGGATTATGTCGAGTACAAGTTTGGCACCATACTATCAGCTTCTGAGCGAAATTACCTCTTAGGTGGTATTCCATACTATCTCTTCGTTGGATGCCATATCACAGCGGAGACAGATCGTCAAGTGTCCATGCACGGAACTCCTAACATGACCGCACAGGACTCTCTCGAACGCTACGATGCTTTCCTCACCGAGTCCCCGTACCTCTCACCTAAGGAATATCGCGCTGCTCTCTCTCATCAAGCTTCGACTCCACCACAACCTCAACCGAGTATTCGCAGCAAATCCTATGAATCGGCTCTCGTCAACCTCAGTTCAAATCTTCCACTTCCCAGCACTTTCTATCAACTCCACCCCTGGCGCACCACATATCCAGAACTCCATGCGAAGCACGCTCAATTTGCTTCCGACTACATCTATGCTTTCAACTGGGAAGACCCAGCTGTTGACCTTGAGCTCCTGAACCTACGGTCTGATGATGTTCTCGTCACAATCACGTCTGCTGGAGACAACATTCTCGACTACCTCAGTCAAAGTCCTCTCCGACGTGTTCACGCTATCGACCTGAATCCAAATCAAAATCACTTGCTCGAACTGAAGGTAGCAGCCTTCTCAGCTGGCTTGTCGTACGGAGAAGTGTGGGCAATGTTCGGTGAAGGACGATTGGCTAACTTCCGCGACCTCTTGATTCACAAACTGAGCCCACATCTTAGCAGTCATGCGTTTCAGTTCTGGCTCTCGCACACATCTCACTTCTCGCCTTCTTCTCGAGGTCTCTACGCCGTCTCTGGCGGCTCGAGACACGCAATGACGCTCTGTCGATGGCTCTTCCGTCTTACTCGTCTATCTCAGAAAGTCCGCACATTATGTAGTGTCAGCACCTTGGCCGAGCAAAAAGAAATCTGGCAACAATCAATCCGCAAAGTTATTCTTTCTCGTCCACTACACGCCATGCTAGTCAGCACAGACTGGTGGTGCTGGAAGGCAGCAGGTGTCCCACCAGAGCAACGTGCTCTCATCGTCAACGACTACGCCGCCACACTGACACCTGAACAAAGACGACGACTAGGATCACGCCAACTTACTGGGGAAGCTATCTTCAAATTCCTCGTTGACACTCTTGACCCAGTGATCAATCATACACTCCTCAGCAAAGACAACTACTTCTACCATCTCGTACTTCAAGGCAAATACAGCCGCACCTGCGCACCAAGATGGCTAGGCGAAAGATCATGGCGGAAACTAAGCAGAGAAGGCGGCAAAGTCTTCGACGGCCTACGAATCCACACAGACGAGTTTCTCGAAGTCGTGAAGAGGATGAGAGGCGGCAGTGCCGGTGCCGTCATCGTTATGGACAGCATGGACTGGCTCGAAGTCCCCGACATGAACACCGTCAAACACGTCAAATTCTCCGATCGAAAGCAGAAGCACGACCGAAGCCGAAGTCAAAGCAAGAGCCGAAGCACAGAGGGCACAGAGGCAGCACAAACGCAGATTGAAGCTATCCACCGAGTCCTACGCGTTGGTGGCAAAGTTCTTCTCAGAAGCGCAGCCCTGCGACCATGGTACATCGAGCTCTTCGAACGCATGGAAGACGACGACACCGGCGAGAAGCTCTGGAAGGTTAAGTGCATGGGTCGACGAGACAGTGGGAAGTGCATCGACCGAGTGAACATGTACGCGAGCTGCTGGATCATCGTCAAAGCTGGCGAGGGTACTCCGGTTGGTAGCCCTGTGCTCAACGGCGGGATTAAGAGCGCGCTCAAGCGGAGGAGAACCGGAAGTGCTAGTGGCAGTGGTAGTGACGGGAGCTTCAGCAGCGGTAGTGATAGATCGGCGACGAGTCCACAGACGCTAAGGGGTAGGAACTTGAGGGTTAATGTGGCTAAGAGGATTGCTGGCGAGGAAGGCAATGATGATGATGGTGATGAGACAGAGACAGAGAAGACGCTGAGGAGCAAGAGGGGCCTCATGGAGGATATTATGCTCCCTGGCGCTGCCATGGATGAAGCCAATGGTGACAGGTTCTGAGCTGGAGAGAAATTGCATTGAGTCGGTGATGTGATTGGTATGGTTGGTGCCCTGGCAAAAGTTATCATTTTTATTCGAGCTGCGAGCATACCCTAGAATCATAGATGTCCCTACGTCACACCTTTAAATCCAGGTTCATAGCCGAACAGTATTAGACGCATTGTATGCCTTTCATCAGGACAATATACTCACAGTGTTTTGGGTTGACTGTATTCACAGGTCGCAATATTGCGAGGTGAACGCTACGACTCAGAGCCTTGAGCCTAAGCCTGAACAAAAGATTCTGAGCGTCTGTACGGCCACACATAAACACCAGCATTACGCAATTTTGTGGACTTCCAAAACAGAGGGTGAAGAAAGTACGTACTTGAACGGTTGAGTTGAATCTGTTACACACAACAAAACCATACCAGGTAGCTCAGGTAAAAAAAAAATGGCCTGCCGAATACCATGGGTGCAAATAGTCTCAGCGAAACTTCACCGTTGTCGGAACCGGTGGAGGAAATGGATGTGGCTTGTTTTGCGACAGTTTTTGGTAGTTGCTCCTGACCATAAACTCCGACTTGTTGATCTCTTTCTGCGGCGTGACGTTCCGTCTTGGGTTGAGGTAAGTTATGAGGTGTTGGGTATTCGACAAAAGCTGTGCCTCTTGCCATAGGCGATGAACGCGGTAACTGCGGGTGGATCACAGCCCGCCAGTAGACGGAAGCTGTCACAAGACCCGTCTCCTGACGCACAACGTTCCCGCAGTACCTGCATCAAGCCGCATGAAGGTGTTTTGTTCATCATCATTCAGACTTGACAAAAGTTTCGTGATAGATGTTGAACAACACATCACAGCACTAATTGAATTCTGCCGTGTCGACATTGAGCTCATCAAGCAGTGATGCGTCTTCTTCGTTGCCATCGGGGAGTCTTGCGAACATAGTGTTAGCAAGATTGCGTGCACGCAGCACTTTATCATTCACCTGTCCAGTAGGGTCATCTCCCTGTGCAGTCGTTTCGTTTAACCAAGTCTGTTCCAAGTCCTTGTCGATCATGGGCAAATCCTTTTCGAGTTCAATTTCAAGTGCATCGACAGCCTCCAGAAGGTCGGCACACCACAGAGCGACCATCCCTCTCAGGCGTATTAGTTCGAGATCATCGATGTAAGGAACAGTACCCAGCAACGTGTCCATTTCGCGGGCGATTCTCTCGGCCTCGCAAAGTTCCCACCTTTTGACCTCTAGCTCTTTAGCCATCATTTCCTGAACTAAGAGTGTATCCTTGTGTTCATCAACCTGTAGGTGTTTACTCTGCTGGCACACCACATATATCCACAAGCTGAACATGGCGAGCCTGAAGTCTTGGGCATTGACGACATTGGGCCAGGACCTGTGCCAGGGGTGCTGTAATGCCATCTTGTCGTAGAACAACTTTGCCCTCTCAAAACCCTCCCTTGAAATCAACCCAGGTTGTGCGTGATCCGGGGTCCGTAGAAGAACCTCAGCACCAATAGCCCACAAACTAGTATGCCGTAGATCAATAGTCCTTCCGCCAATTTCGGTCCGGAGGATCAGAGCTAGAGCACGTGAAGCTCGCTGATAGTCCCTTGCGGCAAGGCACTTGTGTAGCAGGGCAGTCATGGTCGCAAGGTGTTGTAGTCGAAGGGAGTGAGCTTTGCCATTGGAAAAGGTCGCAGTATTGGATTGCTCGTCATCTCTTTCACGTGGTTTCGGTTGAGGAGCATGAGGAAACGGGAAGTCTGGAGGTGGTCTAGAAACGTCCTGGCCAGCAAGTCTTCGTTGTTGTCTCTCGTCAGGCGTCACGACAGCTGAGTATTCTGTGTTCTCAGTGATTAGATCATCCTGTGAAAATGCCTCATCGTCCAGAACAAGATCTCTTTTCCTCTTCTTTCGCGAAGAAGGCAGAATATGTGAGGAAATAGGCAGTGGTAGTGCATACAGAAAGTCACCATTAGCCATTGCGGAGGTTGCAATGAAGACAGCTCGTGTCCTTGTTATCAGGAACAATGTTCCTGTCGAGCATGACTCGAAAAGTAGACTGAGCAGGAGGTTCGAGTAGAAAGTACTGCAATGCTCAAATCTTTGAGCAGGTGCTCACACTCCTTCTGCCCACAAGACGACTATTGACAACGAAGATTAGGCCCAATGAAAGCAGTATACTGAGTAACGTGAATATGAATGATCGTTGTTGGTTTCAAGGTTTGTGTCGTAAAAGCATGGAGCTTCTTGAGGTGGAAGTCTGGAGTCTCTATAATGTGGTGATATGCCTCTAGTTGGTGAAACGTGGGCACTGCGGACTGGGCCTTGATCAGTAACTAATCATCGGCCTAGGAGGCCCTGAGGCTGATGCTCATTTGCTGGCGGCAAAGCACACGCCAAAGTCGCTGTTTGTTTCAGCCCTTTGAAGCAGACCACGCACCATTATACAACGCAGGCAGATCTCATCGCACGACATATATCCTTTTCATATTGCCAAAGACTAAGCGTTGATGAGGCTACCATATTACCTACACACCAGGACCAAATATTAAAGATCTAGCTATTGTGCACACGAGAAGGATCGGGCCACCTGTTATACTCGTGCTTACTCCAGCATCTTACCAGACCTCGCTCGAAGCCTTCTGTCGAATTGCAGACACCTCTCGGAATCCGCAATAGTCTAATTGGAAAAGTCACGTCAAGTGAAGTACCCAGCCAGTGGCGTATCGTCTCAGGGTAGGCCTGAGTTCATACTGAGAGTGGACGGCACGACCATCCATCATGCGACCGTAGCACGTCCTGTACCCTGACCCTTTACCATCCTAGCTGTCATCTTCAAGAATGGGCAACAATCAGTCAAATCTTCGGTCCGTTGGGGGCAGATCACAGCCCACAGCACCAGTCAACGAGCAGGCTACAAACCAACCCTCCACAACTCCAGTCCCGCCTAGATCATTCTTCTCCAGCTCGAGGCATAGCGTTCCATCCGATTCGTGGAGGGGACAGTCTCAGCGACTATCCGCTGAGAATGACAGACATCCTGACCATCCAGACGATCGACCCTATGAGCCCGAAGACAGACCTCTATTTCATTCCGATCACGATCCTCCAGTCGATCTTCACTCCGCGAGACCTTCAAACTGGCGTCATTCTACAATGTCAAGACTGGGCTCTCGCCTACTACCCGATTCTGTTGCAAGGGGCTTGACAAATAGTGGGGAGGAAACAGCTGAAGAAGGTCATGCCTTGCGCAATGGCTTGTCCACCCGCAGCCGGCCCAGCGTATACCACAGGCGAATCAATTCAGCCTCGGACGAACGCTTTTCTCTGGGCTCTTCTTTTCGCAGAAGGACTACCGAGCCACGAAGAGAACCACAAAGAGGATCAGTGAGAAGGCTCTTCACAAACTCAAGAACTACATCCCAGCCCATTCCTAACAGCATCGATATTACTCCGAGTATGATCCTCGATCCACAAGCATACACTGACGACGCCCAGCTGACTGATACGCCACGAAGATCTCGCACAAGATTGTCCCGTGTTCGTAACTCTCTTTCTGCTCCTTTCACTACCTGGCTAAATTCAGATCGCCTGCCTGCGACCAGGCGCCTGAACCTGGGTCATCCCTCGCCCTCACGGCCATCGCGTACTCCTCTTACAGAGGATTCCGACGAACTCCTGTCTCAGCCTCATCAGTCTGACTACCGCCCTGATGCCGACGATTCCGCCCCTCACGAATTAGACGCGGTTGAGCCTGAGGCTAGGAATTTGCTTTCCAGCAGCCGCATCACATCAGGAATGAGTACCATTAGACGTTTCCCTCATGGTCTCCGGTCTCGTTCCACACGTCTAATAAGAAGAGGCGAGCACCCACCACTGTCACAAGTATTACAATTGGCAGCTGCGGCAATTGCTGCGCAATTGTCAGGCTCATCAATCAATACTACCGATCGTTCGAGTCCTGGAGGGGAAGCCTTCGACGGCAGCATTCAGAATTTTGTACAGACACTACAAGAAGCTGCAAGTGCTCAGGCTGGTCAGAACATTGATTTAAATGCATCAGACGGCGAGTTACCACCAGTCAACTTTATGCGTGTCTTCCAATTTCCTAACGACGAGAATGGGACCCCGCTGGCTGCTCGATCAATTCGACATAGCACAACCGACAACCGAGATCCTCAATCTGTAGATGCTTCAGATAGATCAGTCACCCTTGTACTTGTGGGGGTGAGGTCCATGCCAAATTTCAACGATGGCTCCGCCAATGAGAACGGCACACTCGGACCAAGCCTGGACACTCTGCTGAGTCTGCCCTTTCTACCACCGGCCAATGTGCTGCGCAATGGCAGTGCCGGAGCTCTCTTCCGACGCTCCGACACCCGTGCCAGTCCACAGAGTCGCCGGCATTCTATGACGAATTTCAACTTTCCACAACAATACGAGAGCCAAAGGCATAGTCGAAACCGAGGCTTGGGTGCCACTAGAACATCTATCGAAAATGGTCTTCTTACGCCAATGTCGGAAAGTCCACCTGGACCCCATCCACCGCCGTCAACCCCAGCAGACGTTCGTTCTGGGCATGCCACACCGATTCGCAGACCATCTTCAGCTTCGGCAGCACATGCACCAGGATTACCAGATCTTGAGGAAAGTCAGGATGTTAATTCGACGCCATTCCCAGCCGAGTCTGCCTTCAATACAGCACGACAGAGGAGGCGCAGTGACTCTGAATTCGCTCGTCGACCCGAGTTGAGTTCTGGTAACTCACGTCGTAATGGTGTGGTCGAGCCAGATAGACCTCGTGGAAGCACAGGACGGAGCTGGTTGATATACGTGGTTGGAACCAATGTTTCGCCTGATCATCCCGCATTTACAATGCCTAGCCTCTTCACCGACAATCCATCGTACGAAGATATGCAGATGCTCTCCACTTTACTCGGACCTGTCAAGCCACCTGTAGCATCGCAACAAGATGTGCAGGCCGCTGGAGGGTTGTACCATGTTGTCAGAAGTGGAAGTATGCTCATCGCAGAATCAACCAACGACGCCACTGGCCAAGTGGTTACTATAAGCCTGAACGACAGGTGCCTAATTTGTCTGTCAGAGTACGAGGAACACGACCAAGTTCGACAAATCAAGACCTGCAATCACGTTTACCATCGCGAATGTATTGATGAAGTGAGTATCGACAATGTCCAAGATTGTCTGAATCGCGCACTAACAAGTACTAGTGGCTTACCACAGGCCGAAACAGTTGTCCTATGTGCCGTGGCCAAGGAGTGAAGGAAATGGCTTCGAATTCGAACTCGCAAACCGATACACGTTCGAGGCATGCCGAAGCTACGTCGTAGCTCATTCCCACGTGTGCTCCCTTTTCTAATGTGTTGCATTACGATACTGACGATTGCAATGTTGCTATGCCCTTCAATGTCTCTTACCTGCGAAGATATTCAGGATACACAGGCTTTGGTGGTGTTCCTGGTTAATGATCAATAGTGCTGCTTAACAATGAACAAGAGATGGAAATGAATCTACAATGGAACACTCATGGTGTCTCAGCTTTCGATGATCTGGACTTTAAGTCCGGCTGAGAAGGATAGTTTTCTACGTATACCCTGAATGAACGTCGATCGCATGGATTCGTACAAGCTTTTCGTATCATTTTAGCCTTTTCTAGTTCGATTGAGGTTCGGAGCTCCACAGTAAAGACATGAGATGGCCTTGTACCACTATGCTTCAGAATGGTTTGTTTGTTTGTTGTCTTCGACGGAGCTATCACAAGGAGTATTGTTTTCTGCTTGTGCCCACAATCACGCACCTCATCATCATGAGGTGCAACACTACTGTAGTATCGATAATTGCACCACTAGTCCAAGCCCTTTAACTTCGATAAGTCGCCAATACTCGATAGTTCGTCAGCGCCACCTCGTCCCGTGCTTCCTGATTTACGTTAATGTTGGGAGGAGGAAATGGAGCTCTTCGCGAGCTATTCAAGGCTGCGTCCATTATGTGAACCTCATTACACCTTCCCAAATACAACGACAGACGTTACATCAGGCTCTTACAAGTACCACTAGGATTACTGGCGAAGCTCCTGTCCATTCGACCTCGAATGCCTGTTATCGTGCCACATAGGCGTGAAGACACTCAAATATAGAGATGAGACTGTATGACTTTCGTAAATATGGTGTTCACTAGTGCTGATGATGAACTTTTGTACTATTGTCGACTAAGACAAATATATGGCAGTTGTCCATCACCACCATTTCCATTTTAGACAGTGAGTGGAGTTGCTTTGTGCAACACCATCTGCTCCTTCCTGGCCGCAACAGGACTGATAGACTACTTCTGTCATGCTCTTTCGCAACGACAATCACTGTGATACTTCTTGGCTGTTGCTCAGCGATGACTGATCTCGAAGCTTGAAACCTCTAGTTCTGATTGAGGATCATTTACAGGAGTATGAGCTCCACTTTTTGTCTTGTTTGCGCGTGCATCTCGTGTACCTTCCGTTGTGCACACCTAACATGAACAACAGCCACAAGTTGGAACTTTTCACCAACAACAGCAGGGCCACTGTCTGGTACAATGTCTTCTGATATGAAGCTCCTGCCCGACAGGGTCGATCTGACCCCATCTTGGTCCACGGGGAATGAGTAAACCCTGTCCCTGTTTTCGCACCAATGCCACGTGTGAAACGGAGACTTCGAGAGCCAAACCTATCTCGTTGGGCCACAAATAACGTGGTCAGGTGTATACCACGATATCGGTCCCAATCAGAGCCGAACTTCTACTTTTGAGTGGATCTGTACCATCCTTGGCTTCACCTCGTGCACTGTGGAATCCTTTCTGGCTACAACACACAGGTACTATTACCTTTTGGACCTCTAGGGTTCCACAGATCCTCGCAACATCTTCTCTGCAGCGTGCCTGCAAAGGATTGCGATTGCGGTTTCTTGAAGCCTCTCCACATCCTCTGGCTGAACGCCGTCCTCCAACCACGTTGGCTATTCAACTCCTCAATCGTCCTCCAGGTAAACCTAGTTCTCAGCTTTGTCCGCTTGACCAAATCGCGATACACAGTTGACAACGCGGCAAAAGTCGTGGCCGAACCTTGCAAGGTTGACCAGAATTTGACGCGAAAATAATTTCCGATACTCAACACTTCACAATAGCGAAAAACGAGACCACTATTTCTGACACAAGATTTCCCCTGCCAACGTTAAGCCGCCCGAGACCCGTGCCGTTATTCAGGAGCTTGTGATATTCCTCCACATTGAGATAGTAAGAGCTGCTCATAGCTCGTTTCAAAGCGGCACCGAGAGTAGCTGAGAGAACACGCACCAACATCTGATTCTACTCTTCAACCGGCATGTGATACCTAGGGGCCATGACGCAAGCTATACATTACCAAAATCGATCCGTATGCTGGGATTGCTGAACGATCTCTGCTTATTCTCTTACAACCAATTCACGTGCCTGCCAACGTCCAATAAGTACCTTGTTAGGCTGTGCTTCCTCCGGCCAACGTTCCCTGTCGCTTGTCAGATTCTCCACCTCTGAATTAGCGCACCACAAGTGTCGTTACTGTTGGTTCTTGCGCTGGAAGAATATCTTTACCTGGATTACCAATCCTACAATTGCACCGACCTCGAATCCATTGTTGAGGAGGCTGTGCTTGGCTATTATCGCTCTCGTTGCCATCCTGAGAGGCTGAAGGAAGCGTCTCTCTGCTTTCTGTCTCTGTAGCCAGTGAGGTCAGCTCTGGAGCCTTTGCGACTCGCCTGTTGATCATCAACCCACGATAGGGAAGGTCGAGGACTGGCCGTCGATCACCACAAAAGGGTTCTTCTTAACGCAATCTACAGGACGATCTCCAAGTCAGATACCTTGCCAACACCTGGAGTAAAAGCTTTATCGACGTCACATAGGATACCCCAGTCACATTTCATACCCTGGTCGATACTTGTACTCTGTACATCACTGTTGATGTGTTCGCACACCATCTGAAACCCGCAACCTCTTCACAGCAGCTGGACCATCTGAGACGTGCCACCAGCGTAATAGCGATCGGAACTGCCTAGTGCTGGACAGGGTCGCGAGTCGTTCTCAGGTTAAATTGGATTGGCTCTTCTATTGCCTTGAATCTACCGTCAAGCTGCTCAAACAGACACTTAAATCTCGAACAACTTCCTAGACGAGCTTGTGGAGAGAACCCGGACAACAGTATATCCTTGGCAATTGTCACGCTAGTGCCTGCTGTAGCAGTACTTACTTGCCATCGCGAACCTCGTCTCAAACGTCGATGCTATATTTGGGTTGAGCTACCTACCTTCGAAACTTCAGGTACCACAAGATAACATCGGCGAAGTAGGACTGGAATCTGTACACTTCCTCGTATCTCTGTGTGCATACATTGATGACCTCGTGACGACTGCGACCTTGCAACGCCTTAGAGGGAATACAAAAACTTCACGTCACTGGAAAACATGTACATTTGAGGCACTTGTATGCCGAAGGACAAGTTGGCTGGTTACTTTCGATAATCAGGCCTTTCTTTTGTGCGACCAAAAGTTCACTCTTTCGATATGAGTGGTCATTACGAATACTCGATAAGTGTTCCTCCTTTGGATCAGTTTGATCACAATTTTGCTATATACGATCAACAATATGGCCATTTCTCGAGAATTTCAGGTCCCAGTACACCACACGAAAACTTTGGTTTTTGGTACAGGCACGAACCACCAGACACAATATATCGTCGAGATACCTCAATCTTTGCTCAAAGCATGCCACCAGTGCAGACTACCAACCTCCAGTCACTGGATCCAGCTCAGACAACGAAGCACAGGAGAACGAGAAGTGGTTGTTTTACCTGCCGTAGTAGGAGGGTGAAGGTAAGCTGATCTACACCTCGCTGGCGTCTAGATCTTGACTGACTTGGCTCTAGTGCGATGAAACACGTCCTGTTTGCGACCGTATGCCATGCAGCACATGAAGCGAAACATGCTAATACGTGCTTGCAGGTTGTAGAAAAGGCAATCGAGAATGCGAGTTTCCTCAGAGCGCATCCTCCGCTAAGAGGACCAAGAACGAACCGAAGAGCACGACAAGCGAGACTGCATCAGAAAAGCTCGAGACTATCAAGGACGAGAGTGAAACAGAAACCGATGAGGATGAAGAGGAGGAAGACCCATCAGCCTCTGCGACTTCAAAGGTCAATCAGCGAAAACTTGAGTCAGCTCAAGGAAGGGGCCAGAGTCGCAATAATCCCTCGCGATCTCAACGGCAACGTCAGCAATCAAATGCTTCAGCGCGTACATACGAACAACCCGGGACGCCTTCTACAGACACATCTGCTCATGAGGCCCCACTTTCACCAGCTTTGCAATGTCCCAGTCCCCTGCGAAAATGGAGACAAATCAAGCCAGACCTGAAACCTGAAATCGAGACCTATTTGCGATTTCAACATGACTACATGACGTTTTGTCACTACCTTTTCAAGATCGACCCTGAAGATTTCGTTCACAAAGAACTCATCGATCTGGCGCTGCAGTTTGAGCCCCTGCTTTACGCTGTGGTAGCATTCGCTGCATACCATTTTGCGGTACGCCTACCAGAACCACAAGCTGACTTCAACTCTTTCTGGAAGTATTACTGCAAGTCTATCGTCACATTGCGCAAACACCTGGAAACGACTGGAAGTAGAGACGATCTGGTACTGCTGACTGTACTGCAGCTTGCTACCTTCGAAGAATACATGGGAGACTGGACCAATCTCGCCACACATCACCGCGCCGCCAATGGCATCCTCACTTCGAATTATACCCCTCAAACGATAATGAAGACTGACAGAAGTCGGAAGATATTTGATTGGTACATAAGAATGGACGTTATCGCAGGCTTGATGGCTATGCGCGACATCAGTCTCGATCGGTCATGGCTTGATCATGCTATGAAATGGCATGACGAACGATGCATTGAAGAAGATGACGACAACACAGACAACAAACTGATCTATTTCAGTAAAGGCATGGAAGTTATGGGTTACGATATTGCACATACCTTCACACAAGCTAACGAGTTGCTGGAAAAAGGCATCTCAACGATCGACACAGTCTTGAACCAAGCGAATGAGCTGTATGTTCGGCTCGACAAGATGAGGCGTCGCATCCAACAGCTCAACGACCCTGCCTTTTCGGGCATCGAGCCGAATACACCACGAGACGAGGATGATGCATTTGACCCAAACATACCTCTATTCAGAGACGCGTTGTGGCCACTCAATTACATTTGGCTCGATTGGTATGGCATTCTCATCATGCTGAAGCAGCAAACCTTGCTAGCGATTCTTAAGGCACAACGTCTGCAAGCAGAGTTGCGTCTTGAAGTCAAAACAAACGAGAATTTGCAACGACAAGCGGCTCGTATTCCGGCCGAGCTGATGCAGTACTCCAAGATTCAGTGCCAGATCTACAACGCAATCAGAAGTTCACCAAGTGCACCAGCAGGAGCAACACTCATCTGCTATGCCAGTCTCGGCCTCAGCGCAGTCTTTCTACCACGAGCTCCTCCCTCTGAGAACTCCAAGTACACCATGTGGGCAAGACGGCAGCTTGCCAACATAGAAAAACAAGGCTACGTTTGGCCTCCACACTTCAGGAAAGAGATGGCACACATATGGCAGGACCCAGAGATCGAGGACTGGTGGCTGCCAAAGGGAGAGGGCAATACAAGAATTATCAGTGAGATCCGGGCAGTCGTCCAAGATCGTGTGGCAGCCGCCATGAGCAGTCCAAACAATGATGGGCGCAACGATCTACGTGAGATCAAAGGACTTTTTGAGAAGATGGATATCAACCGAGAACGACGAGGATCTGCAACTGTCCTTGATCCAAATTATGTGAACTCTGCAGCTGGCATGGCTCATGCTGCCAGCTTGGTCAGCACACCTGAAGACGGCGGTAGCAGTGCAGGCAGTGTAACTGGTTTCAGCCCTAGGAGTATTGATACAGAGAACGAGAATAGCAAGTATCGACGACGCAGGAAATCGACACGATCCAACGATACGAACGACACACCTTCAACGCAGTCAACGAGTTTGGCAAGCAACCGTATGAGCGGTATTTGGGAAGAACAACCTCGAGCTGGGGGATGACTCAAATGACTGGTAGGCCAGACGAGACATGTCGAAAGGAGAAAAAGCTACTGCACGATTGGCGAAGAGACGAGTGTTCTAACACAACACACCTCAGCAGAAACAGCATTTCCGAGTCTGTTCTTCGTATCGTGGTGGCAAGGTGATCGCAGACCCCGAACAATGCCTTTGAAGGTACTGTTACTGTACATTATTGCTGCTCATTCAGTGATCAGTTGTAAGGATATACTGAACACTGGCTAGATTTTGGAATAGAGGAATATACTTTTTGCAAGCACGATGACGACAACAATGTTCTTCGAGCGTTATCGGGGTCGTGACTGCTGCCTCTCACTTCCACTGCGTCATCCTCGTGCCCAACCTCTTCTCGCTTCGAGACTCCTCACTCCTGCTTGTCCAGTGCATCAATACGATCAAATGGCACGCCTTTATGGCACCGGTTCCGGATGCCGAATGTCGTCTCCGACTAGCCTGAAATTCTTAACGCCGAGAAGCCTTGATCCTTGTCAGTATCAGCTGATTCTTTCCAATTCCAAATGCAGTCAATGATTGCTTTGACGCGGCTCAGAACGATAACAAGAAATACGTCGGGGCACGTCTTAGCTGCAGCGAGTTGCGTGTGAAGCACTTGAGTACCACAGTACGATCTACATGTACAATCTCCCTTGGTACGGAGGGAGCAACACCTCCGTGATCACTGATCCACAAACGTCTTTACCACTAGCTTCGACCTGGTTGCCGAGGCAAAAATGAAAGAAAGTCAATTCCGAACTACTGGTTCGGAGCTGTGGAGTTGCGGAGGTGCACTATACTATAGGCATAGCCTGAACGACTGGCGCAGCGACGGAATATGCCTTATTGTGCCAGTGGTCTGGCTGTGTTAAAGTACAAAATACCTGCCTCTGGTGAGCTTTGACATCAGGAAGCTACTGTGGCAGCAGGCAAGGTTGGTGGCATTCTGGTAGTCTCACGACATGTCGATCGTGCAGGGGAGGAGACTCCGCCGAGCCTGCAAGGCGCTAGTTGTGCAGCCGGAGTTAGTGAAAAACGTGGCGGAATAGTTGGAAACTCAAGAAAGCCTCCTTGCTCATGGCGGAAATGAAGGTTTGCACAAGAGTGTAACTACTGATCAGCATTATGGGACTTGCGAAGGGGACGAAGTGAAAGTACAGACAACACGTAAAACAGTAGCAATGTGCACAGCACATTTCATGGTTGGACGATATGCGTCTTCTGTGGACGTGGATCGTTGGCAGCTGAGTCTGGCAAGTGCCTTTTTGACGCCTTCCTTATCGAGTTTGGCGCACAGCGATCGTGCAACAGTCCTTGCAATGTTATTTACACCAACTTGGAGCTTTGTACCTCCCTCACAGGCGCGAGTAGCACGATGCTTTTTGTGTCGCACGAAGTTGTAGGTCTATCTTAAAACGGTGATGGTGACAATGTGCGATCATTTCCACGGTCCCGAAACAAGAGGGGGCTGTCAACATTGTTGCACTTTCGTGGCATGGCAAGGAATGTCTTCGAGCCTGAGCTATCGAACCACCCCCAAAGTCTGTTCTACACGTTCACCGCGTTCAAGTTCTCTAGCCGATGGATATCCCCTACAACTTTGAAGCCTTCTTGATATGAATATGATCATATCCGAGTATCAATTAATTTGCGAAGTTTACAGATAAACCCAGCAGTCTAGGCACTCCTTGATTTACCTCAACCATCATCACCAACGTTGAAATGTGATGCTGAAATTTTTGTCCGGGTCGTGCTTTCCGGATGCAACAATCGAGGAGATAAAAGGTAGGAATGAGTTGTTTTTGGCAAGCACGGCCTGCAAGCCCGCAAGAACAAGACAATCGTTTCTTTTCTTCGCTTCAAAGCTTTCACATCCTCGACAATATTAACAACTGATATACCATTTATTGTAATACATTCAATCATGGCAAGTGACACCAAACCCCGGAATGACGATGTACGAGTTGCACAGGTGCTCAAGACGTACAAGAGATATCTTCAAGCACGACGCCGTATCGAAAACCACGACCAGCTTGCCCGTATGTTCCAAGAAGCAAGATCGAGGCTGCTCGAGGATTACAAAGGTCGTGAGGATGAGTTGGATCAATTTGAGGATGTAAGTGTGTCTGGGCCCAAGCTTGGGGACAATGAAACGGCGGGTCTGAATGATCCTCATGTTGCATGATGGAAAAGCTCGATGAAGTTGGAAGAGAAGGGAAATCGCCGGTCGAGGCTGGTCCAATTCGACAGCCATCCCTCGACCGACACAATATTGACCCTGTCCTTCATGGCAAAGGAGGCGATCTGAAAAAGGACAATGAATCCGTTCCGCAGGTTCAAAGCATATGCCAAGAGGCTATGGATGATGAGAGGGCGGATTTAGCTGCCATGATACAGAAATTTACCAAGATCCTCGGAGTCGGATGCGACTCCCATGTTACCTTCGATGACCTTGTCTCAGATACTCGCATCGGTCAGCTTAATGATCTCGATGAAAACCCCCACGCAAATTTACGAGCTCAAGTACTCACGTTAACACTTCTTAGAATGCCACGGCACTACTTCGATATGGTTGCACAAACGACCACGACCATGTGCAGGAGTGCCAAATATCTCAACGACGATCTCAGCGATGAAGAGGTGGCACTCTCCCTGACTATGTACAATGAAATCGAGAAGAACATGAAACTCTTTGTTGCCTACGCTACTAATACCCGTGCCGCTTGGCGAGCCAACGAAGAAAGGAAGAAGAAGTCAGACACTACCACTACAAATCTTGATCCCCACAAAGTTCAGATCTCAGCCTCTCTGAACGATATCGTGATCAATTTGGGTCTGATGGACGGAGTCAACTTCCAAGCCAACAGAGACACCCCGCTTCGACAATTACGAAAAGCTGTTGCACGATTACCAGAGCCTCTCAAAGAGGAATACACCAGACAAGACGCAGGCAACGACTTTCGAGACTTCTTCCTGGGGAAAACGCTGGATCTGAGGAAGAAGGAGGCCATGCTAGAATTGTATACTGCATTGCTGAGAGGGAGGCAATTAATCTGTGCTGAAGAGGATGAGGAGGAGATGGAGTGGTAGTCAGTCATCGGCGGAGGAGAGACGCACATTGAAGATCGAAAGCGCAACACAATGTGCTTGTCACCAGGGATGCTATGAACGACAACGATACACACATTGGATGAGGTGGTGGTCCTATCTATCACGATATGATATTCTCACACAAAGTCCTTAGCTTACCTCAATACCAGGCTTCCAGAACTTTCTCGTGAGAAGTTCTTTTTGCACCTGCCACATTCTTGAGACCACCCGATGTGTGCTGTTCCTGTCAAGCAATCACAGTCTATGGACCGTGGAATACCCACTCCAGCCCTCGTCGCACATCCGATAGCCTATCCGACGCCAGAGTCAGGTCACGTTCATCGCGTAGGGTTTTGAACGAAGCAGAAGGACGCGCACGGATTGATTACCACTTTGTCCTTGCCTTGAGCGTCTTCCATTCCTGACACCTCTATCTCCTCAATCCTCACATGAGTAACCAAGTCAACTCACACCTCTTTTACCTCACGTGCTTTCTCACCTGACTTAATCAACACTCGTACAAGATCATCCCTTTCTTTTCCCTTTAGCTTCCTTGACTTCTCTGCGTCAACACTATTCTCACAGATCACGTCAATATACATAAGCACCCGCACCTCAGTCTTGGCCGGAAGCCTGAGGTCCTCGAGGATCTGGAGGGCTTGTAGTCCTTGTGCTTCTGCGCACTGTGAGTTAGAATGGTAGCAGAAGAAGAAGAGGAGGAGGAGGAGGAGG